AAGGCGCGTCACGATCGAAGTGGAGCGTGCCCAGCTGCGGGCGCCTCTTCTCTCGGGCGAGAAGGGCCTCCTCGGCAGCGGCATCGTCGGCGTGCTGACGGGCCTCTGCCTCGAGCAAAAGACGGTCGGCGTCGGCGAGGCGGTCGCCCTCGACTTGGGCAGCCCAGAGGGCCCTCTTGGCAGCATTGTGGGCAGACCAGATGGCGATCAGGTGCTCAGTCGCAGCGGCATCTGAGGCGACCTGGCCCGCCGCGACCAAACCCTGCCGCAAGATGCCATACTCGGGGTCAGCGAATTCAGGGCACAGCTGAAGGCCGGGGTCTGAGGCCAGTCGAGGAGCATCGGCCATGGCGGAGAGAGTGTGTGTAGAGGGAGGCGCAGACGGAGACGTGAAAAGGAGACGACAAAAGAAAGACAACACTTAGATAGTGTTCAGATTGTGAGGTGAACGGTGTAGTCAAAAGCAAGCGCAATAACCTCAGCGCTTACTGCCGTGCAGACACAGACAATCGTCTTTGACGCCCACTCGTGCCTCGCCAGCGTCACAGAGTTACTATTTCTAACGTACGATACTAATACTATTTGTATGTTACGCTCACGCAGTCTAATACTCACATTTATATGTTTATTTGATGTGCCTCGAACCATTACTTTGGTACATAATGAAATAAGTGATTCAAGATTCAAGTACAAAGTTGCGGATGTTTATTCAGGGCCTCTCAAATACGAAACCGCCTAATAAGGCAGGGGTGCATTACCGCGTCCCCGGACTGCGCGCGTCGACGTCAAGCACAACTCCGAACCTCCCTCGGAGCTCAAGAACTCGTGCTCTTTATCATGCCCAATCGTTCAGAGTACCAGCCTCTGTCGCAGGGAATTGACGAGGAAGAGGAGGCAGATGTTGTGGAGAGCCTCTCTCCGGCGCCGCAGCCCTCCCCACATCTCCGGCGTCCCGGGAACATAGACCTGAGCAAGCTGGACACGGCGTTCAAGAGGTACGCCCGCATTATGGTCACGTCTAGAGCTATCAACCTTATGGAATGGTAGATGGACCGAGTCTATTGCTCAGAAGGTAAAGCGGAAAAAGAAGGTCGAACACAACTCCAGGAAGGAGATCCTGCACAGCGCATTTGACCCTCCCATTGTTGCCGTCAATGTATATGACGGACTTGTGCGTCACAATGTTGCTTCTCTATATGCGTTTCATGACGTCCTCCCCTCGTAACTTCTAGGTGAAGACGCTAGACCATAACCCGCCCATGACGCAGGCCGACTTCGACAGGTGAGTCTCCGTGGGTTGGCGTACTCGGGCCTGTCTCACTAACATGACAAGACTGGTGCAAGCAGTGAAGGACGCTATTGCCGAGGGCATACACCCCAAGATGATCACCAAGGGCTCGTCAGGGTCTTACTTCGCGCGGGCAAAGGTTGACGGGCGCGTGCAGACGGTGGCGTGAGCATCTCCGGCGTATTACGAGTATGATCATCCTAACGCAAGCATGACAGCGTTTTTAAGCCTAAGGACGAAGAGCCGTACGGGCGTCTGAACCCGAAGGTGGGTGGATTGAGCTCCGTTCACGTCTACCCATTCTGATGACACTCGTAGACGACCAAATGGCTACACAGACAGTTCAAGTGGATCATCCCGTTCGGACGAGCTTGCCTTATTCCTAACTTGAGGTCAGCATTTACGGAAGCATGATTTCCCATATGTTCTAAAGTTGTGTTCAGTTACATCTCGGAGGCCGCCGCTTCATTACTAGACGAGCGATTGGACTTGCATATTGTGCCCCGGACACAGCTTGTGTCTCTTTCGAGTCCCGTAAGTTTGCGTTTCGTATGACGGCCATATGACCCACCTCATTCCTTGTGGACAGGCATTCTTCTACGACTGGCTAGACCGGCAAGGTGCCAAGAAGGGCAAGGCATTGCCCGACAAAATCGGCAGCATGCAGTATTTCCTTCACGGTTATACAGGTATCTCACCCCTTCACGGACCTCTACAGACGTATGCTCACGTTCGTCTAGATGCCTCTGAGTTTCTGCGGAAACACCCGTGGCCCGGACGAGCTATATCCGATACATTTGATGACTCTAACCACCGCAAAGGGGGTTTCACGAAGAAATGCTTGACCACTTTGAAGATTGTCTGCGGCAGGACCGGAGAAGACGAAGACATATCCGATGAAGATGACAGAGAAGAAGAGCGAGTACTCTTTGATGCGACTGAGAGCAGGCAGGGCCAGCCTTTCTATTGGACACCGGCTTTGCAGGACAATTTCCGCGAGGAACTCGAGAAGTAAGTGATCTCTCAATTGAGTGCGGGTTCTCTGACGCATTCCTGGCGGCAGACTAGTCATCCTCGGTAAGTGAATCAACAATAGTTCTCCGTGGTTACCTAACGGTTTGACAGACTTTCTGATGCTTAATACGGACCGTGGTGCGGACAACTATATGATTAAGTATTGCGATTGTGATCCTGGCAAGTCGCTGGTCGACGTCGCTCCCTCACGCATATCACGTCTTGAAATGCCTCAGATGACTGAGCTGCGACGGACGGATTCTGCCACTAGCTCACCTCAACTTGGATCTGGTTCGCCTGGAGGACCTTCATATTCACAATCAGGTTACTCAAACCCGCATTTGCCGTACACTCGCCAGCCGCACATTCATATCGCGGCGATTGACAACTCTTTGTCATTCCCCCATGAGCATCCCCGCGGCTGGCGTTCATACACATATGGCTGGCTGTACTTACCTGTGACGATCATCGGCCGCCCATTCAGCCAGAAAACACGGGATCATTTCTTGCCTCTTCTGACTTCAAAGTCATGGTGGACAGAGACGACGTATGAACTACGCAAACTGTTTGCCGTTGATCCTGACTTCCATCCAAAAATGTTCAACGTGAGTGACCCGTTGTCAGTGTTCGTACGTAACCCGAACTACCTTACAGAGGCAATTGGCTGTCATCAAAGGCCAGGCATGGAACATTGTGCAGTCGCTGAAGCATACCGTAAGTGATGACCATATCCATGTATGACCGTCGTTCACACATCGAACTTAGGACGAAGGTCAGGCCGTTCGACGTTCTTATACCACGTCGCTAATGTCTAACAGGTCCTCTTGAGTTGACGAGACGTCAGAAGGTCTTGGTGTGGGACGATGAGGTGGAGGTCACTGACGAGATGCTTCCACAACTCGCCAACGGTACCCTGCCCTCACCGCAGAAACCTGCGGCCTCGCCGCACGCGTCCATCAGTACGATGCCCCTCCCTCGGCATACAAGGAGTCATAGCACGTCGGACTTCCCACCTCCTATGCGTCGAACATCCTCTGAGTACTCTGGTGTGCCCCGGCCTGTGTCGTTCGCTACCAAATTCTCTCGGGTTCACCCTGCAACAACCGGTGTGACTGTACTTGAACATATGGAACGACTGGATGCTGTGGAAGCAGGGCTCAAGCGTCTAGGCGTTGAGGACGACGTGATAGACGAGACAGAGGAGGTTGATGTCGGTGAAGCGTCTTCCTCTGCCCCAGTGCGGCCATCGATCCCAGCAGACGCACCTGAAGATATGGTATCGCCATCTGCTCGCTCAGATCATCTTCCTGCAGTTCCTGAAGATGCTCTCTCTGCGTCCATGACGGAGGAAGACCTCATTGCCATGTCTAAGTCTACATCCCATCTGGAAATTTCGCCTTCAGGTCGGCACACTCGCTGGCCGAGCTCAGGTGGCCGCCCAGACCGTCCCAGTCTAGACTGGATGCACATCGAGTCGGCTGAGAGTCCGAAACCACGGACGGTCATTGTGGAGGTGAGCCCTATGTCTCAATTTGTTTTTTTGCGCTGCTCATCTTCCTTGAAAGCGTCTGCAAACTGTCGACACCAGACCATTCTTCTCGCGTTGGTAACTTAATTGCATCCTGGGACTTTCTTCACGTTGTCGCATCCTGCTCGCTTGCTTTCGAGGACATACGCGCATTTTGGATGTACATTATTGCACTTCCGGATGCATTCTCTGATATACTGTAGATGAAAAATCAATTCAGAGACCGCGGAATCAGTCTCCCTCGGTCATGAGCCATTGTGCGAAGTCGTCCAGTCGCCTGCTCTCGCCTTCGTCACCCCCTTCAACGTCGAACTTATCGTCATCGCTGCGCTTGAACCGTTGCTTCCCGGAGTAGAGCGACGCTTCGATTCGGCGCCCGGCAAAGAAGCGGCCATTCATTTTCTGCTTGACATTATCAGAAGTAGAACCATGAAGGAGGTGGCAGCACGCACAATGACACACGCCTGTGCACCGAGCAAATCTCGGAATTTGACGGTCATGACACCTTCAGGCTCTTTCTATGGGTGAATGCAACGTCAAAATTAGGGCACGTAGTATGAGGCGATAGTACAAACATCGTAAAGCACCACGTTTGTCACTTCGCCAAGTGACGAGCACTCGTCTCGCACATCCTCCTTGAGGTCGAGTAGTAGAGATGCATCCTCTTCGAGCTCCTGCAACGTGAACATGTGCTTTAAAACGACCACCCTGGCCTTGTTAACCAAAGGCACTTTGTCTTCCTCTGTGATAGCAGGCCCGAAGCCATCTTCATCATCCCATTCCCCGAGCTTCCTAGACGTTGATCATATTGCACTCAGCTCCTGATCAAAGCAGGACGAGGGGCACACGCACTTCTGCATCTTGCCTATTCTCTTCGTCGCCTTCTTCTTGTCTGAGACTGTCTTCCGCGGCTTCATCTCGCCCTGCCCGCCCTCCTTCTCGTGCTTGTGCCCAAACTCCGCGCGTTGCACCCGCATGCGCGTGCTCGGCAACCCTATCCTCAGCTCGTCGTCGTCGAGGAGGCTCACCGCGAGATCGACCGACTCTTCTTTGAAGTACACGATAAGCGCGTCGCCGCTGAACGTGCCGTCATCGCGGGCATATAGCTTGATCTTCGGCGCGCCCTCGTCATCCTCCTCGATTAGCCCGAACTTGGAGAAGCGCGTGACGATCTCGTCCGCCTCCGTGTCGGGTGGCAGGCCGGTCACATAGACGGCGGTGTTCTTGGACTTGCGCTCAGGCTGCCCCTGCCCGCTGGACATCGAGGCGGCGCCCTTCTTCCCGCGTTTGGCTGCAGGCCCTGCGATCTGACCCACAGTACTAGACGTGTAGTCTTCCGGCTCCTTGCGTTTCTTGTTCGTGCGCTTGAGGACAGGGGCTGCAGGGGTCTGCAGATATGTTGGTGGGGCGCGTCACAGCGGGTGTATAGCATACCTACAGTCAGTTGAGGCCAAGAGTGCACCGCGTAGTGATTTCACTCACCTCTTCGTCAACACCCGCCACAGAGTATGCAGCTTGTTGCGCTTTTACGAGCTCTTCATCGACCTGATAAAGACAGTAAGGAACCGCAGTCGGTTCTGCAAGCTGCGGTAACGATAACGCTTGATGAACACCTACCACAGGGACCCAGACACCCTTCACAGAGTCATATTCCAACTCACTCCCATCGTCATTCTCCAAGCGCCATGTCCCTGACGCACGGTCGAAATGGACGCGTGGGTCCTCGGCAAAAGCTGCTGCTTGAGCTGCACCGGATGAGCCTGCGGCGGCCGAAGGCGGAGCAGTCGACTGCGGTAGTGCGCTTGACATCAAGAGAGAAGAGAAGAGTTGCTTCAAGCTAGTCTCAGCGACCGAAGTTAAGGACAACCTGGTCCGTCGGCGGATAATGGAAGGGGACAAGCAAAGTCAACTTTGTAGAGGTCACGAACGTTCATGTCATGAAGTCATTTCAGGCCGCATGATCGCAAGCGCGCAAAGTGAGCGAATAAGGCTCGAATTTAGTGGCTTCCGTGTGGACAACAGACAAAATATTCTACTTCAGGGCATCTACTTGTAAAGCAACATGGGGAAGTATGCAGTAGGATCATGCGGTGCATCTGGAGTGCGCTCGGGCGTCCAACGCTTGTTGGGCGTAGGGAGACTGGGAGGAAGTTTGGACTCGGAGAACGCCTTCTTAGCTGAGGCGATAGTCGCAATGGCTTGCGTGAGGTCCATGGGCTCCTCGGCCGCAGCGGGCACACCAGACTTGTCTGCTTCCTGACCTTCTGCTGGAGCAGCGACGCTGAGGAATGCCTAAGGATTGGTGCACTGGCTCGATCCGTGTAGACGTAGACTTACGATTGCGCCTGAGAATGTTGAATGAGCAGAGATGAGAGCTCCGTCTGCGTCACTACAGAAAGCTGCGGATATGCGCGTCGCACATCACGCTTCCAGTACGGGTTCTGAGCAGGATCAGAAGCTGGGCAACCCCGTCAAGCACCCGCATGCATCAATCAGACTATAGCGTAGCTCACCCTTGGTAGCAGGCGTGGAGTATCGTTCTGGTCTCGAGGCGGGAGGAGGGTATCGAAAGACACCAGGTAGCGGGAGACCACTGGAGATCTCAGGGTTCACCACGACAGCATCCCCTAGAGGACGATTCAACATGCGCAATCGACTTCAGCTGAGCAAAGCGTACTAAATTTCTTCCAGAATCCCTTCGGACTGAGATGGTACTTGGTTTGGTCTGCGAACTTGCGAGTAGCCATGCTGGCTCTGGCGATACCTCACCACCGCTCGCGAGTCGTTGGGGAGAGGTGTCAGATCACGTGGTTGCCGCCCACACTCCGGGCGCGATCAAGGCTCAGGCTAATGTCAATCGCAGCCTAGAGATTGCCTTTCGAAAATTTGCTCTTCGTAGCCCTTATGCCCAACGGAAACCCTCACAATCTCGGGATACGAACTTCCTTACCCGCTGGTCAGTGGATTGATTAGACCGCTAATGCGCTGAGTGCGCAGAAGAGAGCTCGGTTACGACGTGTTCTAGACACTCGAAAAGCATAGTTGACGAGCTGCCACATGACGTACGGTACGATTCAAGTGCGCAACCAAAATCGCCACCAGCAGCTCAAAGGGCAGCTCAGTGATGTTGCATACAGTAATTGCCATAAATGTGATCAAGTCCAGTGTATGATGATGGCAAACGACAGTGAGCGGTATGTCGTTGTTCGCTCGACCCTACACATACTTCCGTTGCAGCGATGAGCTCAACGACGCTTGAACGCTGTGGCCTTCACGAGTCTATGTTCGAGAGAAGCCTGCCAGATGGTCCCACGCACTGTGTGCAACAGCCGAGCTGAGACCACAATCTCTCGGTGAGCAGAAACACGCAGGCAGCAGCAATGACATTGTGAGATGATGATCTTTATCCTGTTTAGTATATTCTAGAAGGCGTCCCGTATATGATCGCCGGCAGCAAATGAACATTAGAGACTTACGGAGACCATGTTGCCCGCTTTTCAACTCCACGGGTACCATTGAATCCAGCTGCTAGAGATGGTATCGTTTGACACGAATTACCTTACTAGGGGTTGTCTTGGATGCCGATCAAGTACCGTAGCGATCTCTGTACCAACACTTGACTTTTAGCAGCGAGAGGATGCAGTGGCCCCTTGTTGGCCACTGACTTCGACTCCCGTGATGGGGCTATATCTCGACATATTTCTTTGCCGCTTTTCGAAACGTTCGGGGGACCTATGGTGCAAAGAGAGCTGACATACGATTTCGCGATACAGACACTCCCCGCGGATTACCTGCATGCAGGTGTTCAAAACCGTTGTACTTGATAAAATAAATATAATCTAAAGAGGCTCAGCAGCAACCCGCAGTTTCTTTGGGGTCGCCAAGCCTGGTCGTCAAGTTCACAACTGCACCGAAGAGAAGAGTGCAAGATGAATTCTCGCTGATCGTCGGCATGATGATTGAGTCAGCGTCCAATAGTCTACTTTGACTGAGAATGCTTCTCGAGGGCCAACAGATAGACCTGATATGCACAGTCGTATTTCAACACTTCGGTCCTTGCCAGTGTGAGGTAGAAATCTCGAGTTTGAATGGTCGATTTCACCCGCCGGCTGATGCAGCCGCCCAAGTCCTAGACGCCACAAAGGTCAGATCCAACAGATGATCGAGACCGATCCATCACCTTGATGGTCTCGAAGTCCTCGAACATTGGTTGGTATCCTCAGCTCGCTCAAGCCATCGTGCAGTAAAATCGCTACTAGCGGTCATTCTAATCGTGTTATGGTTGTCTCCCTCCATCCCCCAAAAGAGGACATGATATGCAAGGTCTGCCTACGGAAAACAAATTATATTCAGTCTGTAATAGTGCATCAGCAAATCACCACTCCGATGCCGTGAACTCGGCGGCCTGATTACCTCCAGTTCCATACTCGGGTCTCGTTGCGGTCTTCCACCGGCGAGCCATTGTACGCAATAAGATCGCTCTGTATACTAGATCTGACCCCGTGGTCATCAGGCAGGAGTGTTTCGCTGGAAGCAGCCAGAGGGCGTGAGTTACCGTCACAGTTTCCCGAAAGAGACGGTATACGAAGCACTGGCACACGGGGTAACCTACTTCCACGTCAGATGCGTAAATTGGGAAAGGAGGCGACCGTCCACGCGTCCCATTCCATTGTGAAAACGACCTTGCCCGGACGGCTTTCGGATTGCGACGCATGCGTTACAGAGCTCGGAGCCGCTCTAACTTGTCCGAGCAGCAGAGAGGCAGGATGGCTCGTCCATCACGCCCGCAAGCTGCAGCTCATACTGATCCTGGAGTGTCGTCGATGTCTTCATCAATTGCAGGAAGAGACGGTAAACCCGGCAAACGAGATGAGCAGGGGCGAGCCCCCAGTGGGCGTGAATTGGCCGCTTGCAGATACACAAATCTCGAGCATGTAGCAGGAGCAGGATGATGAAAAGGAGCTCCAAGGGCAGCGCGACGATATTCCAGACAGACATCATGGCCACGAAGGCAAGATGTGCAAATAGGCTCAGCGTAGTATCTCGATGGAGGTTTATATCAGTAGGGAAAGCAGAGATCACAGTATGCACAACACTTGGCTGATTCGATGGTCGTCAAATGTCCATCTGCGCCGGGGGTCGGTGAGAATGTGAGAGAATGAGAAAGCTCCTTGTTCATAGACAATAGTCGACCTCTTAGGCACCTAGCCAAACGCATGGCTACCACAGCGTCGGGTCCGTTGTAAGCGAGAAACAGTCAATGCAGACAAGTCACCTTCGTTACTAAAAGCAGGATGTGGGGATCCTTGCACCATCGTTGTTCTACGTAGCTTAGACAACTCGGTGGAGCCGCGAGCTTGTGTGTCACTATGGAAATGGTTGCGATGAATGCACTTGATAAGATAGTCTGTGTCTTACCGTGGCCCTCTAGTCTGGGGATGTAAGAGACGGGAATCCGTCACCTCATGTCTCTTGTCGAATGATGTTGGACGACATGCGTAAGAAGGGCCATGCTTTCACGACCGTGCTACACACCTAATGCAGTCACAATATACGTCACCAATATAATACAGCAAGCACAGCAGCAGACGATAACCTAGGATGAAGGACGAGCCGGACATCTGCGCGATTAGGTTAGTAGTTATCAGGGCAGTGGCCGTAAGCGCCGAGCGCACGATCACACCAACTTGATCCCTCCGAATGCACGCAGATCGAGATCGTTGGCCAGATATGCGAGGCTGTTGGGCTGGCCATGTTGAAGATAATTTCCAATATCAAACCGCGCACCCTTTAGATATGCTTATGAGTCCCTCTGCGTCTCGAACCGGTCTGCATGTCGACAAGACCGAAGTCCACTTCCCAACGCATCTGGACGAGTTGTGTGTCCAGGGGGACCATGCCACGTGAGTTTACTGTAGAGCTCTGAGAGTTGCGAGAAGAATGGCGTCAGAGTGACCAATAAGGGAACAACACCGTATAGATTTCCACAGCAGAGCGATGTAAACACATGGGCTACGCGTGTGATCGTGGAAGGCGCGATGCTGAAGGAGTCGATGACGGAAGATATTGGTCGAACGACAAGCTCGTCTTCCTCTCGTCCAGTCCAACTTGTGTACTGTTCACCGTACGCACGACTGCATTCCCACATGTGACATATATTGTTCCCAGTGCAGTCGCATTCTGCTTGCAACGTTTAGCGGTCAGTCGCGAAGACCAAATATAACCGTGCTTACAAGGTTGGACAACGAGACCACAGCTTGAATGACGTTCTGCTGCCGTGGTCACGGTACAACAGACCGAGGGTGTGGCCGATCATTCGTGATGATGCTGCGCGTCAAGGAAGCACAACTGCAGGCGCGTCTGCCGGAGATCTGTCGGAATGAAACGTGAGGTCTGAACATGAACCGTCCATCGGAAGGGGACGCCTGCTTGCAATATGACTGTCGATGATCACGATTTGAAGACGACTGATCTGACGGAGCCCACGGATCTTGGAGAAGGACGCTTGCGAAATGCCTCCGCGGGAAGCAGGTGGCGTGAGCAGACCGTGCTATATGGGGCACCAGAATAGGAACGCCAAGACATTGGTTCGTTGAGTGCAGGCACTAAGAAGGCCACCAGACGGTCGTTGAACATGCAATCAACGCACGAGACGCTAGACGGATGCGTCGTCAGGCAAGCAGACGGTTTAGGGCACGGTGAATGGCTGGAGACCATGACCCAGGAACGAGGGCACATAACGTCGTCGCGACTCCGGATCGCGTGTGCATCGAGTGCATCGAATGAGAAGGAGCACGGTCCTCCTGTGGCGGTCTGTATAGAGATCTCATTGACAGTGGGAAGGGTAGCGGCCCAATTGAGTCAGAACCTAACGGCATTATGGGCAGAAGCCAGTATTACCAAACTCAGGAGAGACCGGGGAAGTACGTGTAGGTTCGTTCCCAGCCGTCCGCATTGTTGCGATCAAGCCAGATGGGGGCAGACCAACATTCGAAAGTACATGAGGTAAGTCACACAACGGTGCGAGTGATCACGAGGTGCTCGACGGCGTTGCAGCGGGAGGAACTGTCAGAAGCGGCTGTCAAGGTAGGAATGTGAGAGTGATCGAAGCGTGGGGCTGCGAAAGCCTGCATAGCTAAGACGGCAGGAAAGCTGTCTGGAACATGACGACATGAGTCGGTTCAAGAGAAGTCCGGCAAGGCCCAGAAGCAGATGCTAGAGCAAAACCCTGCCCGAGTATCCTCCAGATGTCTTGGTAAGGATTGAGGAGAGCAACATGCGTGGGTGGATCGGTGTGGATGTGATCAAAAAGTGGTTCTGGAAGCCATGCTTTTTCGAGTTAGACTGAGCGGGAACCACGGAACGCAGCAGCAATGGGGTACGCCGTGTTCAGCTTACAGAGCCACCTGAAGTCCGCGGCAGTATGTTGTGGATGAAGCGACCCCACCACGGCAGAGACAAGTAAGTTACTAGTGCGGGTTATCCGATTGAGGCCAGACGTGCTGCCGCGATGCATGCAGAGAACCGGAAGTGCGTAGGCGAAGGCGACGCGCCCAGTCTGATCACCAAGCTCGACAATTGATCAAAGAACAGCCGTGACTTGACTAAGCGCTGGCAGCGTCGCGGACTTGGTGATGGAATTCCACGCGGAATCCCATGCCGCGGTACCTCGGGACCGGAAGTGGGCCGGCGAATCGGGGTGACCGCATTGGCCGGCGCGTGCCTGGAGGAACGACGTTCATATTGATCTCACGCGAGCCTCGCTCGTGCGGCAGAACGGCGAGTGGAGGTGGCGGGTCGCATTTCACCACAACCAGGGTCTCGACAGCGAGGAGAGCCACAGGGAGCAGTCAGAGAGATCTCGAGAGCAACATCGAGTCACGAGCGCACGGCATCAGGATCGGTCTCGTAAACAGCCAGCGCTAACGGGTGTTATTGAATGGGTTGGGCGACCACTGGATCCGCAATTTGAGGGCGAGGTGAGAACTTGCTGACCGCGAGAGGAATTGACACAAGCTATTCTCGTAGCAGCGCCCCATGCTTCGCGACGCGGAGGAGAGCGCAGGGTGCAGCATAGCGTGCTCCATGTGAACTACGGGGGATTTGTAACTCATGGTCCCGGCGACTGGCATGTGGAGGGACTGAATGCTGCGGTGCGTGCCGAGCTACTGCGAAGTTGCATTGTGGTATGGACAGATGGTGGCCTAATATGTCTACTTGACGCCCGCCAGAGAATGCGAAGACAGATGCCGGCAGGGTCGAGCGCTGTGAGGAGAACTTGATGCCGTCCGGCGTCGGACCTGGGCCTGCGTGCCATTCATGCGTATGGAGCAGGGAAAACAGACATACCTGAACGGGCGCAGCGCTGAAAGCGGTGCAGGTGGTACAGGCCGGCTATAAGCGAGGGTGCAGTAGGGGCGCATGCAGCCCATCGACAAGAGCAGCAAGGGCTGGCTGAAACCGTTGAGGATGTATTGAAAGTGACCGGAAGCGGAGTTCCTAAGGGGGCGCCGCATGTGAAATTGGGATGGACCCATGCATATTCAATTTCCTGTAACGCAGACCTCAAACACTCTGTACGAGCCTTCCCTCCCCTATTACGTCCGGATGCGTAAACAACGATGCGCACGAGGATGCCGCGTCCGGGGGACCTGACGCGTGCCGCCGTTGTCTGTGCGAGCAACGACGCCTCGCGTGCAGCTGGCGGGCAGCGATGGCCAGCAGCCGCAACGAAGGGAGGAAGCCTGAGAAAAAGAGTAACTAGAAAGGGAAGGGCAGAGAGGGGCGGCAGGAGGGCGGAATATTTTGATCGCGGGAAACCGAGCAAAACGGGTCGGCAAAAGCGTATGAGCGGTCTATTTGGTCTCCTCTAACGTGGTCGGGTGCGGTCCGTCCCTTCCCTCGGCCTCAGGCTCGCTTCCTTCAGCGTTCGCTCCCCTCTCGCCGTCGTCGTCGTCGTCCTCACCGTCGTCCTCGACTTGACTTGTCGCAGCCCCCACCCTTCCTGCTGCAGGCCGGCGAGAACAACGTCCCCTGCCGTCATCGATCAACCCGGCTCTCATAGCCCGTGTGCGCTCCCCGCGTTCTGTTCTCACCCCCCTCTCGCGCTGATCATTGCGCGCAGTGCAGTCCTATGGAACTGCCGACATCGTCTTTGCGAGGTTTTCACGAAGACATTAATCGTCCTTGGTCTCCGGAGCGAGCTACTGTGAATACCTCTCTCTCGCCGCTCTCTGTCTCCTCGCACTCTGCGTTGGAGCTCAGCCCTCGCTCTTCTTCTTCAGTGTCCAACTCGTCTCACTCTTCTCCCTGGTTGCAGCAGATCCCACTCTCGAACCCTGCTCCATCGTCGTACATGCTGCAACATTCAGTCCCGCCCCCGCCTCATACTGGCGATACCTCGGGGCAGCACGGCCCCGTTTCGTCTTTGCCGAGCAATGAATGGGGGAACGTGTTTTCCTCGCCGCTGGATCCTTCCACATTTGCCGCTCTCGCTGCATCTGGCGTCTTGGGCCCCCCAACTTCTGGAGTACCGTCCAGTCTGCCCGCCCGATCTACGCGCTCACCTCATGACTATCCGATCAACCCTCGAGTGCCGCCGCCGCTCAACACCAAAGACATTGGCCGTCCTGCAATCAACCAGAATCTCCATGCCCCATGGTCGAACGTGCCCTCGCCGTATTCGTCTACGCCCTCGTCATCTCAGCGGGCTTCCCCCCTTCATTTTCGACCTGGCTCTGGTAGCATACCTTACGGCAAGCGCAAGTATCCCATCATTAGTCCCCCCCCAGAGACGTATTGACATGCGATCACCAGGACCATCAATTCCAGGGAGCATGACATCTTACGACAGCCATCGGCTGTCAGGTGGTCATGATGTCTCGCATTCCTCGCGCAGCACCCTTGGTCAACAGATACCCCAATCGGATCTCCCTGGCCCCAGCGGCCAATTTGACGTACCCCTTGGTCCTGCTGGCGAGGGCCGCCTCGACAGTTTTTCCTCGTCTTTCTCGCATCATTCATCGTCTGTCGATGTGGGGTCGAACTTACATTTTCAGCATGAACGTCATAACATAACACTACCCCCATCCTTATGGATGTCGCCTACTTCCGTTACGTCGCAATCAAGCCTTAATGGTCCCTCGTACCCGCAGCTGTCCGAGCTCTCGATGTCCCGGCATGGATCAATAACAGATTCCCTGTCGGGATCTACGCACAGCCCGACGAACTTATCTTTATACGGTGATTCTACGAAATCCACTGCTCCTACGTCTGCAAGTAGCCCGAAGGGGCGCATGTTTACAGGTTTGTTCACAGAAGAACTCTTTTCCGGAAACTCTCCACTAGAGAACCCTGGACCCCACAATTTCCCCTCTCCTCGCCTCTCTGGTTCTCCCGATCTTAAATCCATTGAGTTAGCCATGGCGGACGCAGATCCCGAGAAGCTGGCAAAGGAAGATCCTCTGGCAACCCAGGTTTGGAAGATGTACGCTCGAACGAAAGCCACAATGCCTCATGCGCAACGGATGGAGAACATCACGTGGCGCATGATGGCTTTGGCGTTGAAGAAGAAGAAAGAAGACGAGGACAGGGCGAAGGGGGGCGACCTGCAGTCTGAAGGCCAGGTGGACGGCCAACCTTCTGATCCCACGCAGTTGTCCTCAGATGACATCCTCAAGGAAGAGCAGACCGAGAGAGGTAGGACCTTTGACAAGGGAAAAGGCAAGGTCAAAGTCGTCGGTTTTGACGGCACAAATCAAGATGGAACAGACGAGAACGAGTGAGTGACCTTGTCCTGTCCTTCAAACGTCCCGTGGACTTAGCTGCGTTGCAGCGTGGTGCCGATGGACTGGCGGGCTATGAGCAGGTCTCGGTCTCGAGTCCCTATGGATTGGCGCCCGGCAAGCCGTTCGCGGTCAAGACCGCCATTGCCTGGAGTCCTATCTGATCTTGGATCCTTGAAATTCCCGTCGTCTTCGCCGCCCAAGGGACTCTCGTCGTCACCAGGACTTCCCATACCTGGCTCCTCGTCTCTTGCGGGCCGCCGCAGTCCACGCCAAGGATTGTCCGCCGTGCTCGAGTCTGACACGCGTGGGCCCCTGGGACATATCGACCCCCTCTCGGCCCTGAGCAGTCCCACCAATCATCCATCTTCTCTTCCATCATTTGGTCTCCACGGGCTGCAAAGGCTTGCGGCATCGACTGTCCCCTCGCCCGAGCAACGCACATTCCCAAGGCACGTCAGGAAAACGAGCTTCGATCACACCGTAGCCAGAGAAGGCATATTCACAGGGGTGAGTGGTCGGCATCAAGTCAACGGGAAGCCATTGTCCCCTGAAAGTGTTCTTGGAACCAAGCGTCGTGCCGATGCGCCGCATGCGGATTGCATGCTGCGCGGAGATCCATCCGCTATGTCTCATTCCGAACACATCGACGCGCAAGACGTGGACCACATGCGACGGGGCAGTCCCTTCCCTTCCTCGTCATTCAACTTCACTTTCCCTCCTTACGACTCATTCTTTGATTTGCCTGGAGCCAACACCCTCCCACCACCGTCCCTGCCTTCCTCCTTGTCCTCGGCAAAGGACATCCGGTCTCCCGAGGCGGCTTTCCACGACTCCCTGCGTTCTTCGCTGAATGGGAGCTCATACTCTGTTGGCCCTGGCAGCGAGGGTCTTTCTGCGGCAGCGGCCGCCGCGTCCGCAGCTGTAGCAGATGGTTACGCTCAACTGAACGTGGGCAATCTAGGTCTCGATGACCAGCCGCTTGATTATACCAACTTGGTCGGAATGATGTACCCGCTCGACGGCTCCTCCGGAATGGGACCAATCACGCACGTCGATCCCCACCAGATACTCCCGGTGGAACACCAGGAGGGTCCGTTTGGGATCTTCCACCCTAGTCCCTCGAGCGATGGATGGGGCAACGGTGCAAGCTCAAACGCCTCACCAGAACCGTACACCTCGAACGCTTCTACGCCGCCTTCTGCGGAGAACGGCGCGGCGGCTAGGAATCCAGCACGCAAGATTGCATCTTCCAAGCGCGTCTCTCAAGACACGCGGGCAGGCGGCTCGCGGAAGACGTGCGTCCATTATGCTCTGGATCTGATGGTTGAGGGCTAGCTAAGTTTGTGCATCCGATAGTCCTGAGGCATCTACCTCCGGGAGAAACGCCAGCGACGACGGCGACCAGAATCCGACGGTGTGCACGAATTGTCAGACCACCAACACACCACTCTGGCGAAGGGACCCTGAGGGCCAGCCTCTATGTATGCGCTCTGTGGAGTCATTGTCTACATGTGCTGATTGTTCTTGCTACGTCTAGGTAACGCCTGTGGTTTGTTCTACGTAAGTAAATTGCTACCGAGCTCCCACAACCTTCTCACACGTTGCACAGAAACTACATGGTGTTGTCCGCCCATTGTCGCTCAAGACAGATGTCATCAAGAAACGGTGAGTGTGTCCACACACGTGCATGTATAGTTCCCATGAACGAACTTTGTACCCAGGAATCGGGCGTCCGGCACACCGCACAGCGCTTCGCGCAAGGGTGCTTCGGCTCTACCAAAGATCACGTCGTCAGCGACCAGGCCGCGGGCGGCAACCACTAGCTCGATGCCGTCGGGTCTTCACAACGCGCGACTGTCTCCCACGAATCGCATGGGCGCAGGCGGTAATGCGTCCATGAAACGCCAGCGCCGGACTTCAACGAGTATCACGCAATCATCCAGCCGTAAGACAGGGGACGACGGCGTTGGTATCTAGTATCTCATCTACTGCGAAGCCTCGCCTTCACGCGTCTTGTTTCTGTCTGTGACATACACCCTATATGCTGTATTTTTGCTTAGATCTTGTAGCGGTCTGCTCGAGTTCTGACCCCGATTCCCTGCATATGTTACCATGATTTGCCTTCACGAGGGTATGTTTGTACGACCACGATAGGTAGACTTCATAGATTATTGTCATAACAGCTGATTGTTTTTCCTGCTGTCCATGGCGAGACAATTTTGAATTCCTAGGCCCGCTCAGACCAATGGTAGGTCAACAGTGCACAATACCTCACGCAGAGCGATACCCACATCCTGACGAAGAGCTGACATCGTGATTACTTGAATGATGAAGGGCCCCCGGTGCTAGATATATTCGTAGGCTCTAAATAGGGCCCTCTTTGCATAGGGCGAGGTTCTATAACTTGTTGGGGGGGGGGGGGGCCAAGAACGAGCAGCGTAGCATCGTGTCAATACTATGACTTCCTTTCTAGGACTAGCGTTGACTAAACCGCGCGCTACCGCCGTCCCCGCTAGCGCTGGTTTCTTGTAACCCGCGCGTCGCGTACCCTCTGCTCGACACCGCGTTGCACGTCGAGGGCAGCAGGATAGTCGTTGTATACCCTTGTCCGCTAACACCATTCATCCTGGCGTCCCTCTTCAGGCAGCCGTCTCCGCGGTCGCCTATCCCGCCGTCTTCCTTTCCAAATACTCTCCATCCAATCGGCTCAAACGACCGCGACCTCAATGTTATTCAGCGCCGCACCTCTCGCACCGAGTTAGATTTTGAGCAGGCATTGCGTGCGGGAGGTACTGTTCTTATTAGGGAGGGACTCGACGTCGACGCTCTCGGTGCGGACCTGTCCAACGCGTCGATATCCTTCTCGCCGTCCTCTCAGAAGCCGTACGTCGGCTTCCAGCCGGCTACGCCTACCATTGTGCCCCCGACGCCTTCTCCGCGCGCCGGGCCCTCCGGCTCATCGACGCGTTCCTCCTTGCTACCTGCGTCCTCTACCAACGAGAGTGGCATCGAGCCCCCAGAGCACGAATACCAGACGAAGCGTCGATCAATGTACCGCTCGCCTGGCACTGCTAGCAGCCCTGACCTTGCTACGCTGCTGCGAAAAGCGAAGGAGCGCAGCGGTAGTGCCTCTAAAGATGGTCAGTCTTCGATCACCCCGAATAGGCCTGACACATCAAAGGGCACGATTCGACAACGCTCGACGACGACCATGTCTTCACCGCAAGGTTCCCCAGCACCAAAGGGCAAGTCAAGGTCCAATCAGTTCCTCGGCGTCGACACGGACAGTGGCAGTGCGAGCCCGGAATGGGTGTTGACAGGTCCGAGGTCCCCTGGGCCTCCGAAGGTGCGCAATGCTGTGTCCCTCCGTTCTCTGTTATGCTGAGTGCGACAAGCAACAGAATGCCAAGTCGTCGGTGCGAGCCAAGACGTCCGCATTCCTAGGGAAAATGTTAGGGCAGTCGAGTACGCGCGACCGATCTGTGAGGTCGCACCTATTGCACCTAGACACCGCTGATTGACCCGTGTCACCGCCGACAGCGTACGATCATGTCTTCGCCGTCCACCACATCCGTGGCTACTTATGCGCCGTCACCACTCATGGACGCCTTTACCCCTCCCGTGCCCCCGATACCTCCTAAACATAGACCGCAATCACGAGTAGAAGCCAGTGACGTGTTCAGCTCCCCGGACATGAACAAAACGCTGCCGACGGCACCCAGCAAAGGAGCAAGCGTGGAAAACCTCGAAGATCAGTCATTGGTTATCATAGACGAGCCTGTCGGTCGTTCACGCTCGCCGTCACCGAGCACGACGGTCAAGCGACGGTCGTCCAATCAGGTACAGTCCAAGGTCCCGAGCAGGAGCAAGCGGAGAAGCATGAGCGTCAGCGATGCAGATCTCAAGAAGGTATTCGCCATGGCGGCGGTGTCCAACGCCGGGCGTATGCCGACTGAGGGTCGGAGAACGGAAGGCACTACTCGCTCGGACAGGACACTGAGTGGCATCATATCGGATTTCAGAGGGGAGCTATCACAATTAGACCCCATTTCGACCGGATCGCTCGACCTTCATGATCCCACAACGCCCTCGAGACGGCCAGCGTTGGCAGCGCTCCGTGCTCGAAGTGATGGGGCGGCGGCGCAGGTCACCCCGCCACGCCCATCATTACAGTCGGCGGCATCAGAGCCTGCCCAGCATACAGCGCCTCGACTGACACTCCATCTTGCTGACGCTCCCGCGGAGACAGAATCCGCGCACTCGTCGCCTATTCAGCCGCAGTTTGCACAGGAAGGCACCTCGGACGCATCTCGGACGGCTCCCGCACAGACGCAGACGCCAATACGCTCGCGCTCAGGCTCCAGTGCGCTCCCGCCACGAATGTCGTCCTTGAAATACGGCCCTAGGGCGCCAACAATGCGAACGGGGAGCGGGTCATTGCTCCCACACAGCCCCACCGCGTCGCGCGATGCCGACCGACTTCGGGTGCACCATCGTTCCACGGCATCCACGTCAGAGCCATCTCTAATACCTGAGCGAGACGATGGGCGCGTCCGTGAGCATGTTCATACTGTTTCTTCGTACCCACCCTGACCGCGCCACACGCAGGCACTGGGTTTGCAGCGAGTTCGCAGCAGGATCTTACAACGAACGACCTGCTTGCCACGCGGTTCAACGTGCAGAGCGGGGCGAGGCAGTCGCCAAGCAGGGCAGAGGAGAGCGCGGACCTCGATGCACGAGGGAAGGAGCTCGCTACAAGATGTTGGGCGGAGGACGAAGACTTCTTAGCGAAAGACAAGATCGCTGAGTGGCTTGGAGGACAGTACGTGCGACACCTCTCTTTAGTGTGTCGCTCCTAACGACACGTCTTGTGTTACAGGAGCCTCATTAACAAAACTGCACTGCGACACTACATGGACTTCTTCGACTTCTCCAATCTCCGTCTTGACCATGCTTTCAGGTAGGACATGTGCACGTCCCTATTCGATCAAGCTGACCCCGTATTGTAAGGCGCATGTGTGCGAAGCTCTACCTCAAGGCAGAGACCCAGCAAGTCGATCGTATTCTCGAGGAGTTCGCGCGGCGATACTTTGAATGCAACCCAACCACAATTTTCGGCAACGCAAGTGCGTGCTCTGCGATCCTTCTGTGTCCGCTCATGTATGAACGGACCGTTCGCAGGCGTTGTCCATGCTGTTACTTATTCACTATTATTGCTCAATACCGATCTCCATGTGGCCGAGCTCGCATCGCGCATGTCCCGTGGCCAGTTCGTGCGCAACACGCTTGCGACCATCCAGATGCAGCTGCAACCCAATCAGGGCTCAAACAGCGATCTGTCCTATGATGATTGGACCAGCTTCCGTGCCGGCTCAGACAGTGATGTCGGCGGCACGACCATTCGTTCTCGGGCGAAGCGCAGTGACAGTATCGCTAGCTGGAACAGCATTGCCACCCGCGATGGTGGGTTCACGCCCTCGCCTCTAACCGTGAATTCCTCCGGACAGCTCAGTTCAACTTCCGACGGCGCAGGTCAAGCGCAAGTGAACGGCAGCACTGTATCCGTAGCACTTTCCACTGGCCAGGAATTGAAGGAGGCAAAGAGCTCTGACCCGCCTCCCGCGACCTTTGTCCCCGATCGTAATTGGGAGACCGAGATGGAGAACACTCTCAAGGTCCGCAGTCGTGCTTGATTCCTCGGTGGATAGTGGCTCACAGAAGGTGCAGGAGATGTACACTGCCGTCAAGAATCAGCAGATTCTACAGCCAGTGGGCAGCGTGCTCATGGCGCGTTCGTCCACGTCGTCCTTGAGCCCACATGGACCATTGTTGCGACAACGAAGTTTGCGTGGTCCCCCGGATCGGTTCGCCAATCTCAAGCGGGGAAGCATTCGGGGTCTCCAATCCATTTTACATGCTCAGGCGGGAGTCAGTCCCTACAGCAGCAACAGCAGTATCGACGGACGGGCCAGCCCAGCGCCCAGTTTCGCGAATTCTCTTGATGTGAGACGCACTCCTTTTAACAGTACTCTCACGCACTGATTTCATTTATTTAGGGCGCGCATGCGTCAACAGTGTCTTTCCTCACGCCGGCTTTGGGGTTCGCATCTAACCTTTCCCATACGATCATTCGAGAAGCGCAAGAAGACGACAGCCATAGCGTCAAGAGTGTTGGCTCCAGTACGGATATCAGCATCACAGATGAGGAACTAGCTCTTTTAGGACCACCATGGGCGAAAGAAGGGATGCTCTGTCGCAAGCAATATTGGGAGTCTTCAGGGAAGCGAGCGAAGTCGAAGGCCTGGATGGATGTCTTTGTCGTCATCCAGAAGGGCGAGCTAAGCATGTTCGTCTTCGGGGACCACGCGCATGGCTCATCCGCAGTTGTCGGGGGTGGAAACTGGCTTGTGCGTTTCGTCTAGTGGATTCTGGTGTTGGGGGGGACGCTCATTATGGCTCAATTACAGGAGAACGCGCAGCCGGTGGGCCAGGTTCTGCTGGCACATTCTCTGGCACACGCGTTGCCCCCTCCGGGCTACAACCGGCAACGCCCGCACTGCATGGTGCTCACGCTGTCCAGCGGAGGCGTGTATTTCTTCCAGGCGGGCACGGAGGAGCTTGTGAACGAGTGGGTGTCGACATGCAACTACTGGGCGGCGCGACAGAGCAAGGAGCCGCTGGCAGGGGGCGTGTCGAACATGGAATACGGCTGGAACCGCGTGCTCGATCCGCTCACTCGTGTGCGGTCCATCTCCGAGGACAACTATTCTGTGCGTGACGGAGACAACGAGGACGGACAGAGCGTGCGCAGCGGGAAGAGCGGACGCAGCCGGATCAAGGAGATGGCGGCGACGGTGCGGGCGGACAAGTCGCCGTGGGCAGACCGGACGTTCATCAACGAGTGGAAGCCGCCGATGCCGCCGACGGTGCCGAGCAATCACGACGAGGAGACGCAGATGGAGGCGCTGCAGAAGCACGTGTCGTCGCTGAAGACGGAGCTGAAGCTGCACAACGAGCTGCGGACGCCGATGATGAACATGGTGAGTCTATATGTTATCACCGCAGGAGGCATCAGTGTTGCTGACGCGTGTATCACGACGGTGGATCAGTATCAGCCTCGCTCGTCCAACGGCGCCAAGGCGCTGAGCAACTGGGAGAAGAAGTCGCAGTACCTGCTGACGGAGATTGTGAAGTACGAGTCGTACATCGACTCGCTGCAGGCTGCGATGTCGCTGCGGCTGAAGAAGCGGGGGGAGAAGGCGCTGGAGCGGGCGCTGGTGGTGGCGAGCCCGACGGAGGAGGAGCTGGCAGACACGGCGGTGAAGCCGCGGTGGAAGGGACAGCCGGACGAGGAGACGATTGAGGAGGGAGAGGAGCCGGCGGTGAGCGCAGGCCAGGACCCGTCGCCGGTGCACAAACACCGTCGGGAGGTGGCGGAGACGGGGGAGGCTGGGGGGCGGTGATGTTGTCGTGCGTTGATCTTGTATACCATTGCCGTACTTACGATTTGTGATGCTAGTAATGTAATAACGTCTGCGATGTTTTATTGTGGCTACGATGGGTGGATAATGTGCAGATGAAGTCAAATTTTGTACCGCGCCCTCCGCGCGAATTTCGACTGAGCTCGCGATCTTCACTAACACTACGCATTCCTGCCATTCCTTCTGGGAGAACACACTATCAGCCAGAACAACCCGCAGGAATTCAGCAGTCAGATCAACAGACCTGTCAGCGAGGAATACTCCCAGATTAACCCAGATTAACACCCATGTTTCCGACCCTAGGTAAATTACCTGTTAATCTAATTAACTGGTAAGTCAGGTCGCTGTCAATGAAGGTAACCAGATTCACCGCGCCCTAGCTGCTTGGGCTGTGAGAAAGCAGAGGCAGCACCGCTAGGTCGCTCAAAGTGCGATGCTTGCTCTCGAGTTGATCATGAACTAGATAAATGATGAACAAATGTGGTCGAAACATTTGGCGGTCCCAATTTCCCGTGGAAAAGCCCAAACGGGCCGGATTCTCACGTATTTAGCCACCCAGAGTCCGAATCTGAAGTCCGTTTTTCACCAAGAAAGCTCGTTCGGTCTAGACAAAACTTGTTGACCACATGTGTCCGCAACTGTACACTGCCAGAGCTTGGTCCCGAGTCTAACCTGAGTTCCCACGCCCCGGGGTCACCCGGAGTCCCCGGATTGGGTTTAACCCACGTCCTCTTGGCCCCTCGCCCATCCGCCCCGATCCCGACGTCAGCTCGGCATAGGGAGTCGGGGAAAACCCAAAGCCCGCAAGCATGGGGCCGGCGCTGAAACTCCCTCAGGCCATGGATAGGGGCCACCCCACCCTTGGCTTGCATCCGCCCTCGTATATATTCGCTCCTCTGCCCTCGTTTGCTCGTCGCTCTTATTCTCGTCGTCCTGCGTGTCGCTCGTCCTATGCCGCCAGTCCTGTCCACAGTTGCGGACACTGACGGCCTTGAGGTCACAGTCATGTGACCTGGGTAACACATTGTGACTGCGCATTTTCCAGCGTGAGTCGTCGTTTTTCTTCCTCAACTCCCTGCACCTGTGGCCGACTGGAGTACATGATATTGACAAGACTGACAAGACTGACATACCACTAACAATAGCGACGCACTAATCATATACTGACAATACTGACGTCCCAACTACTGACGTCCCAACTACTGATGTCCGAACTTACTGACTTACTGACATACTGACCTACTGACTACTGACCTACTGACTTACTGACCTACTGACCTACTGACATACTGACCTACTGACATACTGACCACACTTGTATATATGTAGCTAGTAGCTATTGGTTTGCGCTGCTGTCGAATATCCGTAGAGTACAGGATAATATATATATATTTTATTTGAATTATTTCATGTGAATTATGGGGTGCTCGCGGAATAGCGGCATTGTCCGGCCCGTCCACTGAACCTGGCGTGGCGCAGGTCACCGGGTGCCAGGTTTTACCCAATGCCACGCTGAATCAGAAAAGACCCGGCGGTGCCAATTCGGGGAAAAACCCGGTCCATCCTGGGTTGAACGTGCTGTTTGATGAACCCGGGTTGAACTCAATCTCAGCGCCGCCTGTGTAGTACTTGTCTGACGATCGACGATCGAGACGACGCGCCGTGCGGGCGTTGTCGCTGGCTGCGCCGGAGCAGGGCACTAATAAGGCTCTCGAGGGCCTAGATTAATGAGGCTATGACAGAGACACGTTGTTGTTTCCAACAGGCAGAGAGTTGAAAGTTTTCGAGGGAGCAAGGTGGTGCCGGGGGTCTCGCTGATGCCGCCTTGCATGGGATTTAGTTCGACGCGTCGCACAGCGTTGTTTCTTGCACCCACTCCCTTCCTTCGCCCTCATCTCCGTCTGCAAGAGGCGCTATAAGGCCCTGCTCCTCCTCTCCTTCCTTACGACCGCCTTCTTCACGCCCACCATGTCCTTCACTCTCGTTACCGCCGCGATCGCGGCCACTCTTTTCGCGACCGCTGGCGTCAATGCCGAGCAGCACATCATTCGTTTCTCGAACCAGTGAGTGCAATCTGTCTAATCTACGCGTCGCGTAGCTAATGACATTCATCAAGGTGTGGGTATGGAACTGTGAGCTCACCTCTAATATAATCAGACCTCACAGAGTAGCTCACCTTAATCGATGCGCAGCCTCAACTCATCCAAGGTGGTAATGTCCTCTCCACGGGAGAGGACTATGTCAGCAATGGCCCTTTCGAATCCGCTATCTCGTGAGTGAAATAGGTACAGCCCGGCCTGCGGTCTGCTAATGCAGTGTTCTGTCGATCAGCTACTTGCAAACTGGGCCTTGCCTGTTCAACGGCGAGGAATGTCTCTTGGTGGAGATGACCATCGGTAACCCGACGGTTCCTGGAGGTGGTCCATCTGTCGACCTCAGTCTGATTCCTCCGTAAGTTTGAGTCCGCCTCGTGGCAGATTCCGCAGCGTCCGCGCTAATACGTCGCCCCTCAGTCATGCTTATAATGTCGAGACATCCTTTGCCTTCTGGGGTGGTACTGGGGGATGCAACAACACCGGTGCTGACTGTAAGTCGCTTCCCTTGGATGTAGGGATCAACGTTGACGATATATATTAAGGTGCCGATCCAACTTGCGCTGATGCTTTCTTCACTCCTGATGAGACACAGGTTCAGGTGTCTTGCCAAGGGGACAACGTGCGTACTTTACTATGATAAACCCAGGCGGTGTTGTTTGACCGTGATCTTCCACTTGCAGGTCAACTTGCTGATCGCTTTCTGCGCTGACGCTACCAAGCTCAACCCCGACAACCTCCCCCCATCTGGCAACACCACGTCGGCCTCTGCGAGCTCTGTTCCGGCTTCGTCATCTGCTCCGGCCTCGACCCCAAGTGAGCCCGCCAGCTCTCCGTCGGCGTCCGCTTCATCTGTCGTCCCTTCCTTCAGTAACAGCGCTTCCCCGGTGCCGTCTATCTCCTCGTCATCAATCGTCAGTGCTTTCTCGAGCATTTTCTCGAGCCCTGCGGCGTCTTCCGTAGCCCCGACCGCGACGTTCTCGAGCAAGCCCGTGCTCCTGCCTGTCTCGTCCTCCGCTGTCTTCCTCCCGTCGTCGGTGCCTGTCGTGTCATCCTCGGCAATTGTCTCGTCCTCCATCATCATCACGTCTTCTGCGGTCGCTTCGTCACCAGTCGTCGTTTCGACCCCTGTAGTCGTCTCATCGTCCGCGGTTGTGTCAACGACTGCAGCTGTCACGTCGCCGAGGGCTTCTTGCCGCCCACGCCCCACCTCAAGCGGTCTGGGTGTACCCACCGCCCCGTCGGCCAGCCTCACCAGTGTTCTCAGCACCGGGTCGGTCCCCGTTGCATCGTCCAGCCTCATTGGTGTTTCCACTGGAAGCGTACCGGTTGTTTCCTCCAGCTTCGTCAGCGTGCCGAGCGCGACCGCCCCTGTCGTCTCTTCCAGTGCCATCGCCAGCGCGAGCTCTGTGTTCAGCTCTGTCGCTCCCAGCTCCACGGACGACGGCTGCTCGGATGCGCCCGAGCCTACCAGCTCCGCAGTGATTTCGTCTGCTGCGCCCGTCTCAACTGATGCCCCGACATCGACGGATGACGGCTGCTCGGATGCGCCCGAACCTACCAGCTCTGCGATCGTCACGACTGTTGCACCGGTTTCGACGGATGCGCCGACCTCGACTGATGACGGCTGCTCGGACGAGCCTGAGCCGACTAGCTCTGCCGTAGCCTCGAGTTCTGCACCAATCGTATCCGTTTCTTCCGCTCCCGTTGCTTCAAGCTCTGCACCGGTCGTATCCGCTTCTTCCATCCCCATTGCTTCGAGTTCAGCGCCCATTGTCTCGAGCTCTGCAATCGCCAGCTCGTCTGCCCCTGCAATTCCCAGCTCGTCCGCGATCGCGACTTCCAGTGCGGTCGTCTCGAGCGCGGTTCCCTCCGCCTCCGCCAGCGCGACCTCAAGCGCTGAAACTTGCGATGCGACTAGCGTCACGCGCCGTGCCGTTCGTGCTAAACGGGATGGCGCATCCGTCAACCCGCTGAACAACGTGTACGACCAGCGCCGTCGCCACCATGCGCGCTCTGCGGCCGCCCGCCGCGCCCACGGTCTCTCATACTGATCAACTCGTCATGAGTGGCTGGTCCTCGGCGCGTGGAGCGTGCCGTTTCTTTCCTTTCTTCTTCTCGCTGTTTCGTGCTCTGTCATTTTCTGATCTCTCCGGTGATTGTTGTTATTGGGCCTGGCATAGCCACGGTCCGCCGGCTTCGCGAGCGAGGCCGGATCTGCCCACTCGGCGGCGCACTGAGTTGCGTCGCGGCCGCGACGCCCTGGTACGGGGCACTGGAATACATACGAATGCATGCATGTTGTATCTTGGTGACATGATGGAAGCCCCTGGTGTCGCGCTATTGGGGAGTTGCAAGCTGTGACTTGTAAATACCTGCTGTTGTTATTGATGAGTTATTGCGTATGTGTTTGGTATGTTAGAATGTGAATAGCATTGAATGCGTGCATAATTAATTGTGAGTGACGCACGCAGCAAGGCTTGGCGTGTGCGGGTGGAGCTCGAGCGCCGGGGAGCCAAGCCAGGGCGGGCGACGGTTGCTGGCCGGTCGATCAGTCTCAGCCTTGTGCACAGTCCCCACGCCTCTCTGTCTCCCCGACGTTCATCTCATCTTTCTCTCTCTCCGCTCGTTCTCTCTCCTGCCCGCTGTCGCCGTCATGTCGTCCACTCTCCTTTCTGCTGCTCTCGCCGCCGCTCTTTTCGCGACCGCCAGCGTCCGTGCTGAAACCCACACCATAACGTTCATCAACCAGTACGTATCCCGTCCTTGATTGCGTTTGCGCGCCTCGCACGCGCCTGCGTATTTTTGTCTTTTTGCTGACGTGCGTGTCCTTCGTGTGTTGCTCTGCAGGTGCGGCTACGGAACTGTGAGTTTTCCGACGCGTTCTGGCCTTCTCGTTCGTTCTCGGCGACTGACCCCCGCTCCGCAGCCCCAACTCATCCAGGGTGCGAACATCCTGTCTACCGGAGAGCCCTACGTCTCCAATGGTCCCTTCGACTCTGCCATCTCGTGCGTCTCGCTTTGCTGCCTCCCGTTGCCGTTTCGCTGACCTGCCGCGCTGCGCTCGTGCAGTTACTTGCAGACCGGTGTGTATTTGCGGCCCTTGTCCTATATTGCGCGTGCTGAGACAGTCTGGCGCGCATAGGTGGATGCGGCTTCAATGGCGAAGACTGCACCCTCCTGGAGATGACCATCGCCAACGCCGTCGTCGCCGGCGGCGGCCCGTCCGCCGACATCAGTCTGATCTCCCCGTGCGTTCTGACTGTTTAGCGTTGTTCTCGACGGTGCTCATGGCTATTATTGCGGCAAACAGGCACTCGTTCAGTGTGTGGTCGTCCTTTGCGTGAGTGGTCCCGGGCGCCGCTTCAGCCATCATATATTGACGGGCTGTCTCAGCTACTACGGCGCATCCGGCGGCTGCGACTACACCGGTGCCAACTGTGAGTCTCCGTCGCATATTTGTGTTGCATTGCTTCAACAGATGTCTACCAGGTGCCGCGGCCAACTGTCCCCAAGCGTTTTACTACTCGGACGAGACGCAGGTTCAGGTTGCCTGCCAGGAAGACGACGTACGCCCCGTTGCACTGTTCTCTCCTGCAGTCCCACTCACATTCACCTGCCTTGTCTAGATCAACCTCCTGATTGCGTTCTGTGCCGACGCGACCACCATCGACCCGAGCAGCATCGGCTCCAGCTCGGCCCCCGTGCCCCCGTCCTCGTCGTACGTCGCCCCCACCTCGACTTACGTCGCGCCGACCACGTCCTACACGCCCACCTCGACCTACGTCCCCCCAACGTCTTCGTACGTCGCTCCCTCGTCCTCCGCGGTGCCCTCGTCCTCGTTCTCGTCCTCGAGCGCCAGTGCCAGTGCCAGCGCCAGCGCAGCGGCGCGCTGCCCTAACCGCAAGCGCTCCCTGCAGGCTAAGCGGGAGTCGAATGCCACCGGGGAGCTCGAGAAGCGGGTTGCGCTCGAGAATCACCGCCGCCACGCCCGCGCGCACGGTGGCTCGCTGTACTAAGGTGCGTGCGTGCAATGCCCCGGCTGGCCGCGCGTACGCCTGCCCAACGGACGTGATACTTCCCTGATGTTTAACGTTATTCTTCATTCTTTCACTCCTCGCCTACATCATCCGGTGTGAGCGTGACGCCTCGATTTCTGTTTGTGCACCGGGGGCCGTATACGAATATTCCCTGGTCCTCCGGCGAGTGTGTTCGTAAATGCCGCGCCGCGGCCGCTATACCGTTTTGTATATCGCTTCCCCGTCGACTCGGTCACTCTGATGATCGCTTTACGTTCTTGCCATTAGTCTCGTTTTCCGCACGGTCTACGTTACGCCCGTGTTTGCTACTACTACTACCTCATTGTGCGGAGACGCTAAACATGGACAGTCCGCTGTTGTCGAATAGCTAGCTGTGCGCGTGCGCGCTGTCGGTACGATGTAGCGCTGCCGGGACACAGCCCAAAATATACGTACGTGTTCGTGCGGTCTTTAGTGTCGAGGTGTGAGTGTGGGACGCTATGCAGTAGGTTTGGGCTCGAAGCTTCCGTACGTGCACCTCCGATGGCGCAGCCTGTGTTTTGACGAGTGGTAGGCTGTGGTGAGCTCTATTTGCACGCCCTCGTACTTTGAGCTTTTCCATCACAAGGCCGGAGTACAATTCATCAACCACCTAATCACCCCCCTTATCAGCATCGCGTCGGAATACCTCGAGAGCTACTGTGATGATGTTTGCAAGCTGCAAATGAAAGCGGAAGCAAACCGTATTCCAGCCGATCGGCCGTGGGCGATCTAGATCTGTACATTGACATATACATGGACCATCGCCAATTCCCGCGACGGGCAGCCTGCGCACATCATAACGGATAGAGCCTAGGTTCGACTGTACTGTCAGTACCCCCGCCGGGTTTGCGGGGAGTGACGCTTCTTCAGGCTTATAATAAAATTCTGCCGGTGAAACTCGCCGTGTGCGTACACTGCTTACCAGCGGAAATGACAATCCTTGTATGGAATTGGAAGACGGGGGATCTACTCTGGGTAAGCAGTCTCTACGAAATATGGAGACCCCAGACATATCTTTACATAGTTCCCTTTGCATATAGCGCTTACAGCAGGCTGACGGCAGAGGTTACGATACGTTCAGCTTTGTAGATGATCGTCTTATCCTTGCGCTGCGTGCGCAGGGTCACGAAGTGGACATCTTCGAGCTGGACCCGTCAAACGAGCGCATGTGCTTTCCTACAGTGATGTATGGCGCGCGGTGTACGTTTACGCTACCTCAGCGCGTCTATGCGGATCTGGACAGTACTGCATGGCCCTTCATCGGCACCCATTACATGAGTGGATTATCGCGCAGGGATCCGTCGCGGCCATTTTATCCGTCTGCACGGCGCGACCTCGTGGTGCACTTCAGTACATGTATGGCTTCTTCGACGACATCAGCGATGCTGGTCCCTGTGCACGCGATCCGGTCCTGGGTCCGAGAGGCGAAAAACGGCAGTATAGGGGACGACGATCAAAACATGGATAGGTACGGAAGCAATTGCCTGGGCCATACATCCGAGAACCTCACGGACAACCGTATTAGTGACGAAGATGACACCGGTGACGACGTTGAGTACAAGTACGCCGACCATGATGTCAACAATGCCGAAGCCGAAGCCGATGTTAGATGGCCTTTGTGGATCACTCGCTACCCCCGGGTACTCGGCCGTGGCCCTCCCTGCTGCGCTGAGGTGCAAGGCATGCATGCTACAATCGCAAATATTGAGAATGCGGAAGGAGACGGCTACGAACTCCGAGTCACATTCCTGGACTATACTGCCGTCGGGGGCAAGAGTTTCGACTTCACCGCCAAAAACCTCACCGCGTGGAGACACGGTGACCTAGGTGACCTCCCTTTGTACAGCGAAGGCGTCCATACGGCCCTTGTGCGGGCTGATGATATTCTCGTATACGACGCACCTAGACGTGGCGACGTCGTTGTCATTCCGGATTATGCACTTCTACAGCAGGTGCGTCGTGTACGGATCTAAGCCGGTTACCTAGATGGCGCAACTCTCATGCTTAATATACACAGTGTAAAGTAGATGGTCGCTACAGGTGGCAGATTTACTATATTACTAGTCCCGATTCCGATGAAGACGATGTCCGGTTAACTTAAAAGCGGTAAGACTACGAAACCGATCACATTGTTGTAACCTTTGCTGAGTACATTGATAGACTAACCGGAATGCTCACACCATCACTCGATAAATACATAAAAAATTGGGGCCAAACGACGAATGACAAATTGGTGTACGATGTCTGACATAACAACAAGCCAGTGAGCGTTAGGACCTGCATTGCTCGACAGTCATGAGCTGCGATTGAATCAGATGATGAACTTCATATCACTCAACCGCATTCTCTGTCGCTACCGAGTGTGATTTTCCACTACGAAACCAGATAGCAGAAATATTATCATAACAACAGGCTGATCGCTTTTAATACAATAGCAGAACCTCCGAGACTCAATCATGCACCTGCAGAATCACATCATCATCGGTCCCCGAGTCACTGTCTTCCTCCGCAACGTCTGCGTCACCATCCGCTAGGTGTTCCTCGGCACTCACGCGGTTCGTATTGCCGTCAACCTCTTCAAAAGCTCCAGAGTTTCCAGAACTGTGTCCGTTAGGTTGGGTCGTAGAGGCGCCCTCAATCTGCACTTGTCCGTCGTTTTTGGGGATTGGCCCTTCGCTAGTGTCGGGTACCGATGTGTCTTGTGGCGGGCTCGTGCTTTCGTGCCCTAGTGGCATACCAGGCGACTGGCTCTTCTTCTCCGCTACTGCGTCAGGTACAGCCTCTTCGCCTAAGAGGGATGTGCCTGCAGAGAATGTCTCGCTGAGCGAACTAACCGTCGCGACGGCCATGTCTAGCACAAGTTCAACGCGCCGCCTCAGCGCCTCGCTTGTGCTGGACACAGTCTGTGCGAGAAGGCGACTAAGTATCGCTTCGCTCAATAATGACACCAGGGGTTGCAGAACTCACCATTGTAAAAAGATCGATGACGGCGTCCGCCTCATCCAGGCGCACGAGGAGGGCTGGGGAGTGGGCATCTTCGCCTTGCTCGTGCTCGTCTGTTTCTGCAGGCATGTGCAGTTCAACCTCGCCAAAGTGCGCTTCGAGGAACATGGCAAGCCGGCGAATACGTGTTACGAGTGCACTCTCGTCATCAACATCCGCGTGCGGATGCGGGTGTTCCGGCGCGGGCGAGTGAGAGTGCGTATGTGGATGAGAGGTCACTGTTTAACAACGTTAGCACGATGCAGTATAATGAAGGAAAGTACGCACGCTTGACTGATGCAGGGCTCCTATCAATGCCAGTAATCAAGGCAAGTGTCGAGTCGGCTATCATGTCGTTGCTTGCGCTCGAGTCCCACTCTAGCGTGAGCTCATGCTCCTGCGTCTGCTTCACGTCGACGACGCCCATGACCTAGCCCAAATTTAAATTAGAGAACAAGAACATCACGTCGGAGTCTTACGTACTCGAATGGTGGGCACACCGTCCTTGTCTAAACCCTCTTCGACCTTGCCGAACATACCCTCTAGATGCCAGCGAACGAGATCCCAGCCTACGCCTAGTATCATTTTCTGCCGTTGTGTGACCACGCATGTTGAAAGACCAGCGAAGTCCCGCAGGTCGCGCGGGTCAAGGAGCGTATAAGAGTAGTCCTTGGAGACAAGGAGACCTGAAAGCGTATCTCCTGGTTGTGGAGGTTGTGACGCAAGGGTGCCAATGGCCTATGCAACATACTTGGTTCCTGATCTATGACTGCTACAGATGGCTGTGCACGCACCTTCGCTACTCGCTCTCCCCTGAACGTCAGCTCAAGAGTTTCAAGATTCCGAGGTGTATGGATTTTGACATCTTCGTCCCGGCTCTTGTAGCGATCCGTCATCGCTGCCCTTAGACGGCCCATGGCAGTTTGCTCCCCATGTACAAGGACCTCGTGAATGTCGGTTAGTCCAGGCGCACGAAACACAGGAAGAAGACCTACTATATGTTGCGCCTTGATCATCTCGATGAACTCAGAATTTTGTGAGTAGTCGACGTGGGCACTAAATGAGATTTCGTCGACGGAGATTTTGCGCGGAATGGGAACGCCCTTGAGGGATACGATCTCTTCGGGTTCACTTTGAATTTCCTAGTCATACGGGAGTTGTAAACACCATGCTCACTCAGAGAAGGGGATGACCCCAGAAAAGATATACATTGCTCCGCGAGATATTTACACAGGACGTTCCATACATGACAACGTGGAAGGAGACAGCCACTCACCCTCGCCATGGTGCCCTCAATCGAGTAACCTGTGATGATCACTCCGTTTCGAGAATCCGGTGCCCACAACTCCAGCAGTTCGCGACTGGCGCCTGATGTCATGAACCCTGGGCTAGCCAAGACAACGCAAGGAGGTCCCTCCGCGATTTTGCGTTCCCAGCCTTTACTTTGTGGCAAGTTGGAAATATGTCTATGGCGAGTTGTAAGTATAGTCAGAGGTCGCAATCAAAAAACGTACTTGAATACGAAAGGATTATCTCTCTTCGCAAATCTTGACCGCACGTTCGAGTTCATGGTATGAATGTATGTCTGGTATACAGCCATAGACTTTCGCGCAAGGCTAGATGCGTAGTAGATCGGCACGTTCTGTAGATCAGGGTGCTTTTTCCAGTACTCATCAAGAATAAGAAGCAGTTCTTGAGCACGCCCGAGCGCAAAAGTGGGAAGCAGAACATGACCACCTCGTCGAATTATTGAGTGGACTAAATTGGTAAATCTTAGTTCCTTTTCTTCCCGGCCTTCCAAAGTCTGCACGCCATAGGTACTCTCTATGATGAGTACGTCTGGCCGGATTGGTGGTACCTCAGCTTTTACAAGGTGTCTATCTTCTTCACGAGAGTAGTCGCCAGTGTACAAGATTTTGAGACCAGCTATGTCAATCAGGAACATGCAAGCCCCTAGGACATGACCAGCGTGGTACGGAGTGAAGGTGACACCTGGACAAGGTGTGATGACTTGGTGCGCGGAAACCGGAATTATGGACGACAGTGACATTTGAATGTCAAGAGGAGAGAAGAGAGCATCAGAGGTTGAGGAGCTAATGTACTCAGAGTTGACGTCGCGCGAGTCTTTTAACGGTTGCGTGTGCTCACCTCATTCGAACGAAGTCCTGCATCATGAACTTGTGCAGTGCCTTCGTTGGATGTGTCATATATACCTTCCCTTTCCCGTCCCTAAAATTTGTCTGCGCACCGGTGTTGATATACGCATCTATAGAACACCGGAAAACGCACCTTTTCGGTTATATATGTAAGGGCAGCCGCATGGTCCAGGTGAAAACTGTGGACATTGATTTAGCCCAGGTTGGAGAAGAAGAGGCAATACATACTGTGTGATAAGTAACACATCCACCGTGCTCCAGTCCAACTCGTCAACGAAGGGCAAGGACGCGATTCCACTGTACGCGGGGTGCACGCCGGCATCACAAACAATTGTTTTGCCTCGATACTGCAGCACGCAACATGATCGACCAACCTCTTGGCCAGCACCCAGCAAGGTGATCTTTAACGTTGGTGCGTCAGCCATGTCAGTTTGATGTATAGAGTGGCTAGTCTAGCAAGAGGCAAGAAGCAGTCGTCAAACAAGCGCGCAGTGCCGCCAATGTCGAGTTCACGTGACGTGTAGCACTCTAGAATCTCAAGTATTACTACTATTAGTACTTGATCACTATTACTAAGTCGTCTTTCTTTCTTCTCCAGTAGTTCGCGAATTTTTGGAGCCTAGTCTCTTAACAGCCCAGTCTCCGAACTGATGAGTAAATCATCGGGACGTCGCTCGGCGAAGTCAAAATCACCGACATGTAAACACATAGTCGCGAGGCGAGCTGTCGAGAAAAGAGTGAGGTTGCCTTCACGGCCCTCGAAAGCTCGACTGGCGGCGGTGACCGCAGAACTGGACCGTCAAGTTCTCGACGTACGAACTTTGGTAGCAGTACGTTGACTGCATCTGCATGCGACCAACTGACCACGATAGCTTATTGTTCACAACGGGCCGAGCAGGTCAAGCCAGGTTTGCCCCTTGTTCAGGGACCCACCAATGCCATGCACAGCCTAGAGGAGGTCATGCGGGGCCTGTGATTTCCAGTGTCCTTGTGGGATTTACAAGGGTAGGGTCCACACATCGACGCCTGAGAATTTGTTCTTACGAACACCTTCAGGGAGATATGTCGGACGAGACTGAGTTACTATCCGCTCCAGCTAGTATAATCTCTAGGTTAGTACTCCACGAACACGGCTATTGCCACCATATAATTCAGGTTCAGAATACCATCAATAACCATATATTCGATTCGATGTTTTGACGTAGCTACAAGGACACAACCGTTCGAGAGTACATATCTCGGAAGCTAAGACGAAGGTCTGAATGATTTACAACAACCAACCAATACGTAAGCTTTGTATTACTTGAGAGATGGTAGTTCACTAGAACGTTTGATGCTACAGGGTGCAGCAGTACATGAGGAGCGAAAATGGAGCAATAAAAAGATCACAAAACGTTTGAGATAGCCGTAGGAGAGCGAGTCATTGTACATTTGCTAGTACACACCAGCCTTCTGCGGCGGGCGGGTCGTACACGTCATCATGTCGTTAGTTCATATCCTCCCAGTTCGGTCTTTGACTACCGATGGAAAGCTTGCCCATGATCTTGCGTTGTCTAAGGTTCCTGACCTCAGTGTTGATCAGATCGCGAAGGCGCTCCAGATCGAGGCTGCGCTCAGCGCGCGACCCCATGAGAAGGTTGCGCCAGATGCCGGCAGCAGCCACCGAGTTTTGGATGCCCAGCTGCATAGGTCGGTGAAGTCTGACCATCTTCTGCATAAGATGATCCGGGCTGGGGTATATTGCATCCGGCCAGGCGATGCGAATCGCGAACCACCACCCCAGAGGCTGAAGACGAAGTGGTCAATAAAAGGGAATGCCAAAGGATTGTCGGAAGCTCTTACCCGGCCATCCGGCAAGCACCTTTCCGGATATGTATCGTAAGTGGTGAGAGAGCCGTCGGGAAGCGAAAAGCTACGAAAAGACTGCGGTCACAAATGGATACCACTTTGCATTGGACCTAACTCACCGATGAACGACCCAGTGAGAATCGTCATTGCGGTGCTTCGCAAGAACAATAAGAAGTCGAGGGATTCCCTCAAGCCCAAACGGTGCCCACAGGTCTCTCAGCATGCCGCATGCGTCGCCGTGCCGTCCGTTGTAAACCGCGGTGCTAATCGCATCCGCCATGTTCGGAGGGACGAAAAGGCGGTCGACGCGACCAGGAGGGCTATCAGTCATCTTCGCCCGGACGTAGCGCTTGTATGTTTGCGTCGACCAGATGCTGAGGGCGATCTCGTCGACTTGCATTCCGCGCGTGGTACTGTTCAGGGCGTTTTCCAGCTCACTCATGGGCCAGACGATTGCCCAGCTCAAGAGACGTTGGTGGACACGCTGCCACGGAGGGGGGCCCTGAGGTTCGTGGCCGTACGCTCCAGGCTGCCATATCTGATGGTCGGGCATGTTGTCCTGAGGAAGAGGTGGAAGAGGTGGAGACCCGCGGCGGTCCGTATATCCTCCAGTGTTGCCATCGGGTATTTCAGGCATACCAGATTCGGTCACAGCAGCTTGTGCATCACCATCATCATCGTAATCATCGCCATCGTCTCTTGCCACCTCCCAAGTCTTGTGTGTGGCCACTGATTGACTCCCTGTCGGCTTCACTCTGAGCTTGTAGAGTTCCTCTTCCAAGTATTGCTGGCCCGGGGATTCACCGCGCTCATTGGGCATGTAATCGCTGCTCCCCAGACCGCGGGTATCAGCGTCGGTGGGGGCCATGTGGCGGCCATGCAGATCGTCATCGTCGTACATGTCATCCTCGCGTATTCCACCATGGATTGAACCATCGTGATGATGCATTGACCCAGGAAGAGTGTGCAGATGTGTAGAGTCGCGGATCAGATCGGTGTCGCCTGGCTGGAACATGGAATCATCGCCCATGGTATCAGTTGCCTGCGTATGGATATTCACAGTTTGCGTCATAGGAGTCTGGCTGTATGCTCCATTCATGTCAGAGGTCGCGTACTGATGATGGTGGCCCTGGTATCCACGCCCGTCGCTCAGGTACGAACCGCCTTGGGAAGACTCGAGGCGGCTTTCAATCTTGGGCACAAGGATGTCGAGACGTTCGCGCATATTGATTACACCAGCAATGATTTCCTTGGCCCATTCAGGAGGCTCGGCAGACGAGCCAACCTGGGTGGAGCCCCGCCTTGAGCTCGACTGCGGTTGAAGAGCTGCAGCGAGATGCACGCTAGGGTCGTGGTCATGATATGACTTGCGATACTGCCTGATGGACTAAGATACACCTGTAAGCGGCGCGGCGGACGACACACTTCCACTGCACAGCATACCTCGCTATCATTTTTCATCCCTAGCTTCTTGACTCTCGCCCTGACAGCCTTCCTGACAGCCTTTTTAACAGGTTCTCCCATCGGTTGGTCAAGAGCGTGGAGCAGCTGGCACAACTCCATGTCATGGAAATGGGAGTTCTGGATCTCTGGCTCTAGCGCCGACGGCGCCATGGTGGATGCAGCATACGACGTGCGAGAGCGGGCGGGACGCGCTGTGAGTACGTTATTGACCATGCGTTGCTCATCAGCATCAAGGTCGTCCATGGGTGAGGTTGGGCGGGACTGGGTGGGAGTGGCTTGTGGATCGACATTGGAGCGTTTCGACCTCGTGGGAGATAAAGCGGCTGCGGCACGATGCAGATCTTCTTGGGTATTTCTAGTGGGGGACATCGGCATCTGGGTGGCTTGGGTACGTGGGGACATGGGTGCTTGAGATCGCGCTGAGATTATACAGGTCAGTGGATCGCTTGAAACACATTGCAGCTGCTTACCATCACGCTGAGAGGTTGCGTGGCGCGATGGCCCCCCGTTAACCTCTGTTGTACTTTTGACAGACTTCGGAGGCCTATATGAAGCCTCGTTCGCCTGCTTCGCATTGGAACGCTTCGAGCCAGCTTGCGACTGAGAATCAGAGGGGGCGATCGATGGTGACTTGTTGGTCTGACGATCAACAGGTGACGGAGCTCGCTGCGTATGTACTCTGGAGAAATTGTCCTCCGCAATAGACTCTGGGAGAGGCGGATAAACGGTACGACTCGTCTTCTGGGTTTGCCGAGACTTCGCAGACTGAGCCTGTGATACAGCGGTACGAGGCGAGAAGGGTCTTTCGACACCGGTACCCATAGCAGTATTCCCAGTTCTTGTCGGCGAAAGCGCACGAGATGCCGATTTGGGCGACATCATCTGGCCGGTTATCAGTTGAAAGTCTCGACCTCAATATGGGACTCCTTACTCCATTTCCGACACTTTCCACTGGTGGGGGCGACTTGTTCGAGGCCCGCGACGCGTTATGTCTGCTTCTTGACACGCCAGGACTAGACGGCGGCTCAATACCTACGCCCACAGAAGTTGCTGAGGCCACTGATTTAATTGACTTCGGAAGAGGAATTCCAGCAGCTGTCGCTGGAGTCATCCCCCATTGCTAGACCGGGCACATCAACAGTCGGTCAGGTGCAGATGTCAAGGGGGTGGACTACCTGGAAGGGATTGTGATGACTCTCTGTGGGTGAGCCTGGAGGGAGTGCACCATTCAAGCTAGTAGGCGATTTCTGAGAGTAATTGGATTAGTCTTTCTCGCATAGATGACTACCAAGCTACAGCAGAGCTCACCGGAGCGTGCCAACCATTTGCTCCAATAGGCACGTTATCAGGCGGTAACGGACCAAAGTTGCCAAATGACGAGCCGTACGACTCGAACTTTGGCCCCGGCGGATCATTCGGACCTGGTTCATGTTCCTGCTACGAGCATGTCAGACCGATCAAACTGCAAGGCATGCAAATATTTGCTCACGACTCCGATGGTATGTATGGCGACTGTGCGCGCCACCTCAGAACCACCCTCCTGTATGTCCGACCGGATGTCTTCGCCGCCTTCCCCTTCGCCATCCACACCCTCTTCTGTCAGCTCCTCTAGTTTGCGCGTGGTGCCAGCTGCGCTGCTGCGGGCGCGGGATCGCACATGACTGCCCGATCGAACGCTGCTGGCTCTGCTGGCACCGTCATTCTCCTCTGGAGGGTTAGACTCCAGGCTCTCTAGGTAGAGTAGAACTTCAACCGAGGATCAGTTTACGGGACGCATTTATAGTGAACAGAACACTACCTTTCTCATTTGCCGCTGCATCCACGCGTCAATGTTATGAGACACATGAGCAGGTCGTACTGCAACGTACCAGGCGTGCTGGACCGGAGCATATGAGTCTTGATATCCGGATTGGACATGTTCAACACAGTTGTTCGTAACGAATAGAGATAGCGCAGGGTTCCTTGATATGTAGAGAGGTCAGGGAAAAATAAAGCAGGTATCCGTAGGGGTCAAGAAGCTTTAGTAGAGTGAAATCAATAGGGGATGTGAGGTAATCGAGAAGAGAGATGCATGAACTGTGAACTCAACGCCTCGCGTTGTCCGCATGTTCATGGGCGCTGTTGGCGTCTATTTGTGCACCATAGACGCTGTCTCGCGTCACTGCTCGCGTCCTTCGAGCGGCTTTGTGCATGCGTCCCAGCTGTCTGTTGCACTGCCGCCTGGTATTGTCCCCAGCAGTGTTTCTGTAGGCTGGCTGGCTATCACTTCACTCAGAAAGACAATTTTGATGGAAAGGAAACAGAAACATACGTTGTACTGCCGTACCAAAATGAGCCTTCTGAAGATCGTCATGGTCTGGAAGGCCGGCGTGTGCGAAACTTCCAGAGGTCTAGGTGTATAATAATAGCATGACGAGCTCTTGCTAGGCTTGTGGTCTTCTATATGACGTCGGGTCCAGCGATACCTACCGTTGTTAGTGTTGTGACATCTAACTGAGCGGTACACGCGCACGGCATCCAGAATCTTTTGTTCCATGCATTACGACCGCTGAATGATTCATTCCGTACCCTTGACAAGTGCACGAATGTGTGAGAGGGAAAAGAACTGAAGCAGGAGCAGTCCCTTTTCTCCAAAGTATCACCAGCCCCCTATACTTATTCCGTCCACGATTCGATCGTATCGCGGGACTCCTGAGATGCACTTGTCTTAGAAGATGCAGAGTCTTCTTGCACATCGTCCGGCTCCTCCAAACTTCCGGAACGTAAGTCCTGGTCTTCCTTTTTCTCTATGGTATGTATCTGTTCTGGGCGTCCGGCTTTGAGGAAATCTCTCAAAGTACTGGCTTGACCGGCATCTGAATATCTTTGTTTGCCCCTTTGAGCTTCGTTTACGGACGTGTGGGATCCGCTCTCGGCAGCCTTTGTATTGATAGTAAGTCACACAGGACACGACTTCAGAGCAACACGTACCTCGGATGTTTTGTGCGCATCGGCTCCTGCTTCTGTTCTGTTTCCATCAAGAGTGTCCTCCGACTGGCCATCTTGTCCGCGCAGAGGAGAGAGGAAGATACCCGGCGCAGGAGCGAAGACCTGCCCAGCTGGCGAAGATATGACCCGATCGATGCTGCTTTGATCGCTAGTCTCCTGTAGGGTATTATGTACTGGCGTGCCGGTACGGACTTGAGAGCGCGGAGGCAAAATCCAGGTTGCATTTTTCCTAATAGGCTCGTCGTTGCCGTCGGTTGGAGAGAATCCCAAAGTAGAAGACGATCGCCCATTCTCCGCTTCGAGGACAGGTGTTTGAGGAAGGTCCGCCTCGTATACGGGTCCAAATTCACGCCTCACTGCGCCGTTGGTGCCTTGTTCGGCCTTGCGTATGTCCGTTGAAACTTCCTTGTCATTCACCGTGTCATTGTCGCGAGGGCCGCTGCGATCGAACTTCTCCCATTTGAAGCACAGTGAGTCAAGATCGTACGTATTTTCTCCCGCATCATAGTCAAGAGCAAGTGCGTAATCGCTCTCCTCGATTGGGTCAGATGTGCAAGGATCCTCTGCAGGGGCGTCGAAATAGACTCTGATGTCTCTTGGTCGCGGAGGTCGTGGGTGAGCAGGCCCTGGAGTAGAGAATGGCATCGGTGCAATTGGGCTAGACAAAGCAACAAGATCTTCCGTCATAGCAGTCGCCTGTGGAGATATATGGGTCGAGTGTGGTTCAAGACGAAATCTCGAGATTTCAGGTGTGCCCGGGGAAAGTAGTAGATAGTCAACCAGAGATCTCTCAGGCGACGTTTGACGAGCGTATGTGCGACGACAAGACTCGGGCTGGAAGGGTTCGCCGTTCGTGGTCGCCGAGATATCTTCTCGCGCGCCTTGAGGACGAGCCGGCGTAGCAGACCTACTGATTCTTCTATGCTTTAACAGAGCGGTCTGGACTAGAAAGGGGTCCTCTGGCAGTGTCTTGCTCGAGCCCCCACTCGAGGTCGTCCAACGGGAAGGATCAGCCTGCGAAAAGACAATGGGGTAGGCGCCTCCAGGTTGCGCAGGACAGCCAGTATCTAGTTTTTCATCGTTGTATGGTGCGAAGTCATAGTCATCAAAGGGAATCGAGACAGCACGGAGAGGCTCCACAGCACTTATAAGAGAGGCGGGACCAGGTTTTGAGAATGGAGCAGGGCCGTAAGTATCGTCGATGGGAGTTGTTAGGTCAGTACCCACAGAAAGCTCATCCAGCGTTGGGGAAATGGCAGACAGCACGTTGGTATCTTCTGCACGCCCGTTATGCAATTCGTGGGACGGCACGGGCAATGTTGGGCAATGTGGTGGTGGGCTTCGCTGTGCCTCTTGCCGAGCAGTTGATGAGACAGGACACGATAGAGCGGGCAGGTCAGTGGGAGGGGCGAAAGCAAATACAGGGTCCTCCAAGTCAGCTCGATTGTAGACGGGCGATCTTGCGACTTCTGCGGCAACATCTGGGCTTACACCATGTGAATTGCGTCCTCGGTTGTTCCCTCCAACGTTTGCAGATGTCTCTGACACCAAGCCTCGGAGAGGATGATGAGTTTCCAGGTCCGACAGTGTATTGCATAGCCAATTGGGCACCGGCGCTGGCAGCGCTCTCTTTTTTGAGCGCATATAGTTGGCTCTGCCCTCGTTTGAGTGGTCTAATAAATTGTCTTTCGCGTGAGCGCGCCGCATCTTGATCACAGAGAATCCCTCGCCGAGTCTGCCCTCATCGAATCCGCTATATGCGTCTACCGGCGTCTTCGGTGCGTCGTAGCTTGTGGCGCTAAGCGAAGAAGATGAGGCTGCGTGGCGTCGGCGTGTTCGGGAACTCGAGGAAGTAGATGGAGACGAGTGGAGTACGCTGACCGTCTCAATCATTCGGTCAAAGCGAGAGTTGAGTCCGTCAGTCTTCCTCCGTTTCATGAAGCTGTTGAGTGTCGATGTGATATCCACCCGATGAGTCTTTCGAGAATTGCATCGATAGCAAACACTCACCGCCCGTCTCCCCACGTTTTCAAGTCCATGTCGTTTCCACCAGAAGAAATTTGAGTGACCAGCCTTGAAGGCATTGAAGCTCTGGTATGAACACAATACTAGAAGTCTCCTGCTAACACAGCACTGTTCAGTAATTCTTCAGTATCTTGCAAGGAACCTGCGCACTGATATCGTTGAATTCTTCTGCAAATGTAGTACGTGATTGTTGATCTACTAGCTGATTGCACGCCGCGGTACGCCCTTGGTCTGTGGAGAGCGAGAGGAACTGCAGGCGCGTCAAAGCGCGTGCCTACGCGTTTCCCGTCACGTGGTCGCGATTGAGCACCACAAATCTCGTCAGAGTCGTCTTGCTCTCGCAACGCTCTGCTGACCACCTGCGCTGTAATGCAAGCCTCCCTAGTCGCAGGGAGAGTCTTCTCGCTGTCAACTAAGGCATATCTCTGGTTGTATATCGTCCTATCCCCTCTCGTCTTCCGATTCTGAGCGATCGCCGTCTGTCCAACTGCTATGAGCATGAGGAGAAAATCCGGATTACGTGCGAGCAGTCACACGCCCTAATTTTAACTTCACGTCAAACTCGGGAGCGCAGGAAGTACATCTTAAGAGAATTTGTCACTAGGTTTTTCACCCGATGCATCCGTCGGTGCAAACGATCGCGCAATAATGCTTGCACATGCCAACTCGCGCCATTATGGCAATTGTCGCCTCCTAAGACGCCCCTTGAGTTGGCCCTCGGTACGTGGGTCATGCTGAAATGGCGTCAGGCTTGTCATTTCTGTTCGTTTGGTAAAGCAGGAAGCGAGCTTGACCCCTATTATAAAAAGGCCTGAGGTGTTTCAGCACAGTCTAAGAGTCGCTCCCTGCAACGCGGACTTGGCTTGTCAGACTACTGTTGCTCATCGTGCTATTACCTGGAGCTCACCCAAATGGCCGCGGTTGATATCTCTCCCAGCATCTCCCAGCCTCATGTATTCCATCACCCTACGGACATCATTCATCCGGCGAACCTAGATGATGCGCCTCTGAAAGTTGACACGACCACAACCCCAGCAGAGAGCTCTGCCACACGTCGAGATCCACACATTCTACCGACGTTCCCCCCTGACGCCCCGCCAAGCAGTCCTATTCTATATCTTCCCCCCATTCTTTCTCTACTCCCTCCGGAATATGTGCAGCCACTGTCGCCTTCGCCAAGTGATGGGCTTGCACCACTGTCAACTGACTCGCATCTGCCATCCATCGACGAGGCGTCGTTAGCGTTACATCGTGCCCTGCATCATTTCCGCCCGGTCACGTCGGAGTACGCGTATGTTCCATATGCGTCCGCTTTCAACTGGCATGAGCTCGAGCTCCCGGAGTCAATTGAGTTCGAGTGGTATTGCGTCATGTTCCGCAGCAGACGCCGCGAAGGAAGTGACAGTGGACGTGAGTTACTTATTTCAAATCGACGGGGTCAAAAAGCTAACCGTTCGTCTCCGATGCTGCAGCGCTGTACGAGGCTGACCGAAAAGCTCACGAAGAAGCCGTTCAGAATGGAGGCGTAAGCGTCATTTCTCTGTTTGCCGAGAAGGACTGATATCCATCGTCATGTTGTAATAGCTTCTACTCTATTGGTACGGAACACCACATCCAGATACTCGAATGAACCTTGCCACATGCATATGGCAATCACGCGCTCATGCCCTTGCTGCCAACGGACGACCAGATCATATTCGTGCCATGCGATTGGCCGCCGCATCCTACGAACATTGGGAGCTACAACGCTATTGGCTGCGTAAAGTCAAAGGCGAGAAAGGCGTCACTATCCACTCGTATGATGGAACGAGCCGGACATGATGCACAACGAATAAATCTGACGTTCTTTCTTTGCGGGACTTTTTCGTTAGTGACCTTTACGTATATCGCTGTCGCGCTTTCAGCTTGATTTGTTTCTCTGCGTTCTGAATTTCTGTCTTCTCCTCTACATGTCAAGCTAGTTACTCAAGGGAGCACAAATAGGAGGTAATTTATGCCATAGAACGAGTAGCGCGTTCACGGCTCGAGTCCGCTGTATAAATTCGAGTCGGAGCCTCGGAAGGCTTGAAGAGTCAATGTCGGTCGAGATATTGCAGCTCCAGGTGCGGGTCAAAGTTATGCGCGGTCCCGGGTACTCACGTTATCCTGATGGAATGACGAAACCTGTGCGACTGGGGTTTGAGCTTCAGCTTCAGCTTTTGACCTGGAAGCATCGACACATCGCCACAGCGCTTATAATGTATGGTAGATCGAGATAAGCATTCTAGCTGGTGCGCTATCTGCTGTTCCAACTGCTTCATGCGTTCATGGTCCGCAGAATTCCTTCACGCGTGACGTATTACTGATGTGTGCGTTGGTCTTTACACTGCATAGGCCATTTGACTCCACTAATATAGGTGTACTTCCACTTTGTTACTCTCTCATTGGAGAGCGCGAGTGTGATACATCATGACACGGAATTGACATGGTGGCAAAGAAAAAGGTCCAGCTCTAAGAAAGCAACTTGGGGTATGACAATCAACATTCTGAGAAGTAACCTGCGATGTCGATACAACGTGGGCCGGGTCCTTTTTACAATGTCTGCGTCTGGTTTCTCAGGCTGCTGCTTCCACTGTGATGACAGCATACGCTAAGTACATTGATATAGTCCGAAATGTGTGACCCTCACACAAATGCAGTTGGTTTCCGGTTCGCATATGTTTGACGTTCTCTGATCATCCAGCACTTGGTATCATCACCTCCTGGAGCTGGCATCTTCCCTAAAAATGTATGCCGACCTGCAATGGGCTTATTTAAAATTACTGTAGCTTCCTAAGGTGTAATAGAGAAGAGCCGAACAGAGCTCTTCCTGGACGTCGCAATTTGATGAGAGCATTCGATCAGGCTATTGCGCAATCGAATTGAATATTAATGACGGACGTCAGCAGGTTTGATTCGTTCTGCCATTTATTCGTAGGTCTGACCTCCATGGTCCGCCCCCTGGACTTTGCGTATTGAGCTTCAGAGTCTCATAGTGCTGCTATGAGGCTTTGCCGTCTTGGACTGGGATGAGTTGTGTCTCTAACGATTGGCTGCATTACTAATAACATGGACTTTACGCCGGGCGGCCCGCGCCGTCAGCCAGTGCCCAAACATCTCGACTCGGAGGGGACCACAGTTTGCATTCCACTGCTAGCTATCCCTGGAGACCTTAATGGAGAAGGCAGGTCCGCGCGTTCGTCCCTCTGAGGCTCTCCCGCTGCACATACACACGAGCAAGGTGCAGCCTAAGAGACGATGGAAGCTGGTCTCTGCCCTTATCTCCCTCGCTGTCTTATTCTACTGGCGAGATTGCCTGAGTCGATGTCTCCTGAGTTTTTCTAAAGTCAGCAGTCGCAGACGTGAAACTCACTCCTACACGCGCAACAAAGCCTACATCATTGAAGCCACCAATGGAGCGGTTGCAAGCGAGAACGAGATATGCTCGAACATCGGCGTAGGCACTCTCAAAGGAGGCGGTAACGCAGTCGATGCTGTTATTAGCACGACGCTATGCATCGGAGTTGTCAACATGTTCTCGTGAGTTACTGTGCATCCATGAAGCGTCAATGATTAGACATTGCCGTAGTTCAGGAATAGGCGGCGGCGGTTTCATGACCGTTCGCATACCACCATCTTCACCGAATACTTCCTCGGAGGTCTTTAACATCGACTTCCGAGAGGTTGCACCTGCCCTTGCGAACACGACGATGTACAAGAATGATCCCGCGGCGTCATTATTCGGCGGCCTTGCCGTGGGTGTCCCGGGAGAGCTGCGTGGGCTGGAGGAGGCACACAGGCGGTGGGGCACTCTGCCGTGGAAGCAGCTCGTGCAACCGAGTGTTGAGTTGGCTCGTGGTTGGACGATGCAGACCGAATTGTCACGCCGCATACATGAAGAGGTGCGATACGCGATATTCCCTACTTCATGGTGCTCTGTCTAAACCGAATGTCAGTTCTTCGCCTCGTTAATGCTGGGGAACCCTGATTGGCGTGCAATCTTCGCTCCAAATGGCAGATTACTCCAAGCTGGAGAGACCATCCGTCGCACGAATCTCTCCCGCACTTTGGCCATGATTGCGGAGGAAGGCCCTGGAGCTCTGTATAAGGTGATCTGAAAATCCCAGGCTCGAAGCTCGCACACAATGCCTTATGCGTATTTGTAGGGTCCCATTGCCAACTCACTTGTGAAGAAAGTACACTCAACGGGAGGGATCCTGTCGCACCAGGACCTAGAGCACTACAGGGTCAAAGTAATGCCCGCTCTACAGGGGACCTACCGAGGCCGAACTGTCTACACTACACATGCGCCCACCTCTGGACCAGTGCTACTACACATGCTAAACCTAATGGAACATTATGACGCCCTGATAGAAGAAGGTAGAACACTAGAAAACATGCACCGATATATCGAAGCCATGAAATGTAAGCTTATTCTCCATTGCGCCCGGTATGCCAAGCTCACTTATCACGTTGTGCAGTCGGCTTCGCGGCACGGTGAGTCAAACATACTAACGGTTATGAAGGAAGTCTCACGTGTGATATCCATGTAGGACGAAAGTCTGTGATCCAACCTTCGCTAATGATAGTACCTCGATAGAGGAAATACCGACGAAAGCTTACAGCGACTTAGTCTTCCCAAACATCACCGATGTGAGTCCTCTCATCGATACATTGCTGCATATAGTTAGTTGTCTACATCATGCTGAGATGATTTCTTAGGATCGAACACATGCACCAGAGTACTACCATCCCATCTTCGATATGGTTGACGATCATGGAACGGTATGTACGCGCCTGGACTTCCTTTCGCGGCCTCATCGTTGATTGACATGCTTATCAGAGTCATTCCTCCGTCGTGGACAAGAACGGTATGGCAGTCGCTCTCACGTCGACAGTTAACATGGTATTCGGGTCTCAAGTCATGGATCCTGAGACCGGCATCATCCTCAATGACCAAGTACGCACATGTTTACCTCTGATTGGCTTTTCAAACTTAGACGATACCTTTCAGATGGACGATTTCTCCACCCCTGGGAAACCAAATATATTCGGGCTCTATCCCTCACCCTGTGAGTGCGCCGCGGTTTCTCCGCTATATGTCCTGGGCTCACCTCTACGCAGTCAACTACCCCGAACCTGGTAAACGTCCCTTGTCGTCGACCACTCCCACGATCATTGAGCACGAGGATGGTTCTTTCTACTTGGCCATCGGAGGATCTGGCGGATCGCGCATTTTCCCGGCAGTGTTCCAGGTCATTCTGAACATGGACTGGGGCATGGACGCCAGCGCCGCCATCGAGTATGGCCGCATACACGACCAGCTCTACCCCTTGATGGCGGATGTGGACAGTGTATATTCTGACGAAATTATCGCTGGACTACGTGAGAAGGGACACAATGTTACTGGTGTGTTGAGATCCGTTTCTGGCCAACGCGCCATGGTACTGACTCTAGCTATAATCCCAGTCTCAGACATCAATAGAATTGCTTCTGTCGTTCAAGTAGTATCCAAGAAAGGTGATAATATATACGGTAAGCGTTTGCATCACTTTTACCAGAGGTATTTCTGACCATCCCACGCAGCCGCTAGCGATTCCAGAAAGAACGGTGTTGCTGCGGGGTATTAGGTTTTCATGTGACGTACTTAATGCTAAAGAATGCGGGCCGCGATGCGAGGACTTCGACAGGTGTACTTATTGAGCTGACCCCGACGAACGGACTGCTGGAACCCGTGAGTTCGTTGTGAGGTCTTATTTTGTTCCGACTTCATGTAGCAGACGAGACCACGTGTGCATTCCAGACGTGCACCGCAGTTTCTCCGCTCCCACTGGTACCTTGCGCCTCCACTGCTTCTGTCTGCAGGCTTCTGCCAGGCTTGCCGAGGTCTGTGACCTCTCCGCCATGCGGGTGCGGTTCACACACTGCTTCAGGGCAAATCTCGGATGTTGCTATTCATCGCGAGGATCAACCGTGTCATTTTGATGGCGTCATAAAGACTGGTATAAAGCTTCATTGACGATCGAGCTGCGAAGCTTGTCCTCGGATACCTCGTTGCCGTGACTCAATGAAGATGCTCTTTACCAGAGGCATTTCGCTACTCGCAGCGATTCTGCCCCTCGTCGGCGCTGTTGCTATCAAGGAAAGGAAGGTTAGCTCCGGCGTATGTTCTCTGTCTCATGGGTATCTTGACTTCCTTCTGAGTAGCATGGAGCAAGAACAGCAGGTTTGTAGAACATTGAAAGCACGAAGTCTGCGAACATTTGCTAAAGTCTTCCCACCCCTCCAGACGCTGTTACAGGGTTTGTGAAGACCTCCGGCCAGAACTTCGAGCTTAATGGTGAAATCTTCACTGTGGTTGGGTGCATTCTGTTCGATACCAAGTCGTGAAAGACATCTATACTGAATGGTCCCCAGGGCCAATTCGTACTGGGTAGGCTTGACGGGCCTGAACACCAGCGAGATGTACCAGACCTTCTCCAACATAGCCGCGGTCGGTGCAACTGCGGTCCGAACCTGGTAAAGCGTAGCCGAAAGTTGTTTCTTCGTGGGTTTGACTGTCTACCAGGGGCTTCAATGACGTGACAAGTCCTAGTGGCGATTATTACCAGCTCTGGACTAACGGAGTAGCAACTATCAACTATGGAGCTACGGGTTTGGAGAACTTCGGCAGGTGTTCTTACTTCCCTGCTTTCCTCCACTGCTGAAGATGACCGACCAGACAACGTTGTTGCCAACGCCAAGGCGAATGGCATAAGGTTGATTGTTACCCTGTGGGTGTGACACTATCGTCAAAACAACTCACCTCACGCTGATCAACCTCTTCCAGCACTAATAACTGGGACAACTATGGTGGAATGGACGTCTACGTCAGCCAGCTGACTGGCACCGACTACCATGACTACTTCTACACCAACCCCACCGTCATCGTAAGTTGGTATGTCTTGCATGCGACATGATTCGATGTTCAACATAAACACGAGCGCAGGCCGCATACAAGACCTACTTGGATGCATTTGTGGGCCGGTATGTCGATGAGCCGGGAATCCTGGCCTGGGAGCTCGCCAATGAGCCGAGGTGTGCAGGCACTACCGGGTATGTAGCTCGACCAGGTAGAAGCGAAATGTCTCACATGTAAGGCGACACAGGACAACCTCGGGCAACTGCACCACGACTACTATCACTAACTGGATCTCGGAAATCTCAGCTTACATCCACTCCATTGACCCAAACCACCTCGTGGGTATTGGCGACGAAGGCTTCTACGCTATTCCTACCAGCACAGATTACCCGTATCAGTGCGTATTCACGGAAGAAGGATGGTGTGCTACGTGAAGCTCACGTGTACAATGTAGAGGAGGCGAAGGCATCAACTTCACGGCCAATCTCGCTGTGCCCACCGTTGACTTCGGGACCGCCCATGTACGTGGTTCATCATAATTGAAGCTCGGCTCGGACATTGATGGACATCGCCGTGACCCAGCTGTATCCTGTCAGTGTACATGTTTCGTTCACCGAGGCAACATTGACATATGTTCATGATCTAGCTGCAATGGGGCGAGACAGCAGACCCCATTGAATGGGGTGTCCAATGGATCCAGAACCACGCTGCGTCCCAGAAGGCTCAGAATAAGCCTGTGCTCGTGGAGGAGTTCGGAGTGACTGTGAACATGACTGAGACGTACGAAGCATGGTACTCGGCCGCCATCAGCTCTGGCTTGACGGGTAACCTGATCTGGTGAGTGTATTAGATCTAATTCAATGTAGCTGGGCTGACGCCGTTCTAGGCAAGCTGGGTCGTATCTGGCCTCTGGGCCTACGCCGAACGATGGCTATACGGTCTGTCATGACACCGGGCTTCGTGACTTCGTAGTCTAACGAAAAACTCCTTCAGATCTATCCCAACAACACAGTGTATCAGATGGAGGCATACTACGCTGGGCAGCTTAAAGCAAGGAATGCGGCTTGAGGGCCCAAAAAGTCATAAGCTTACCCTGGGGTGTCTTATGGCGTACCAGCCTCTTCCCTGTAGTATATCCCCCGTTCTTGTACAAACGGTAGCGGAGTGAATTATAAATGGCGACATGCCTTTACCTCAACTTCCCAGTGTTGCGAATATAACATAAGGAGGTATATACTTTCTGGTAAGACGGGATGCGCATACTGGCCGCTTTGTGTGTTGCCAGTATACAGGAACATGAAGTGACAGCCTTTCTTTCGGCGCCTGTTTGTTTGAGCCCTGTCTTTCCATGGAAACAGTTTTCAAGGTTCGATTGCTCGACATCTCTAGCTTCATTGCTTCAGGCAGCACCCTACTCCTTTTGGACCATTCGGGGTGCCCTCGGTCCCTATGTTATCGTCTGGATGTTTGAGGCGGGCTTGGAATGTCTGATGCACGCACACAAGCAATTCGGAATTGCCTGGGAGCGAGTCGAGGTCAATCCGAATTCCTCTCCGCTTTCAACGAAAGGGGATCCGCAACACTCCTGCCCCCACCCGCAGTCATCAGTGCACTATTAGCAAGCTCTGCCCTACAGTAGCAACAAACGCAATGCTTTCCCTAGCATGCAGGACTGCTCTGCCCGCTGGCCGCCTGGCGGTGTCGGCCCGACGTCAGCTACAGACCGCTGCTGCTCTCGTATCTCGTCGTCCCACTCGTTGTTCCTTCGTTTGCTCACGGCGTGCTCTGTCGACGTCCCCTGTGTACCAGAACGCTGCGGGATCTTCCTCTCCGGGCGCCCCTCGAGTGCGACCAGCAGAGCCGTGGAAGCGCCACCTAAGTCCGGACCCATCAACGCCGACTGTCTTCACCTTTTTTGAGAACGCGACGTCAACTTGGCAGTACATCGTCGTGGACCCGCACACGTCCGATGCAGTCGTCATTGATCCCGTCCTGGATTACGATGTTAATGCTGGGGCCATCTCGACCAAGACCGCGGACGGCCTGCTCTCGTTTATCCACCACGAAGGGCTGCATGTCCGCAGGATCCTGTGCGTTCTCACTGCGGATCACCATGCGTTGCCTGAACTCACCCGAACCACGCTCTAGCGAAACCCACGCGCACGCGGACCATCTCACCGCCGCACAATACTTCAAGCAGCACCTGGGCCAGGACGTCCCAGTGTGCATCGGACAGCGCATCTCGCAAGTCCAGGAGACGTTTGCACCTATCTACGGCCTCGACGATCCAGCGCTGTTCGAAAAGACGTTTGACTGCTACCTCAAGGACGACGAACAGTTCGAGCTGGGAAGGCTCTCGTGCAGAGTGATGCACCTACCAGGGCACACGCCGGACCATGTAGGATACATGATCGGCAAGGCTGTCTTCACAGGCGACTCGATCTTCAACGTAAGTTGGAAAGACGTGGTTTTTGGCTTTTGGCGCTAACAGCTGCTCAGCCTGACGTCGGTTCCGCACGGGCAGACTTCCCTGGAGGCAATGCGGAGGCCCTTTACGCCGTGCGTTCTCGCGATGCTCGCATGCAAACGCAATATTAACGGAACCTCTGCATTCTAGTCCATGCAACGCCTGTTGTCGCTCCCCGCTGACTATCGACTATTTGTTGGTCACGACTACCCGCAGGACCGCGATCAAACCTGCTGGTCCACCGTCGAGGACCAGCGCGAGCGGAACAAGCATCTGAAAGTTAGCACAGACGCGCAGACTTTCATCCAGTGGCGGAAGCAGCGTGACGCAGTGCTTGGCGCGCCGAGGCTGCTGCATCCCTCCCTGCAAGTCAATATCCGCGCGGGCAAGTTGCCGCCCAAAGATGAGAAGGGCAGAGTGTTCTTCAAAGTCCCCATTACTTCAGAAGTGGATCTCTAAAGATTGAGGCTCTCGCTCCGTTATTTCGTTCAGTATAGTGATTGTAGCGCCATTTTGTAATGACCAATTGTATGTTATTCCCATTTGAACACCATGGAGGCCCATTTAGACCTGTACTCCTATTGATCCACGACAGAACACCTCCTGTTCTATGTGTACTACCCACCTGTCTCCCATCCTCCCCAAAATATCGTCTATCTCCAGCATCCAGAAACCATTCAGCCTAGTCGTACGAGGCGAGAGTTTGGTGGAGCTCCTCAATGCATCTTCAGCACTGGGCCACTCTACCAAACTACCGCGGGACGACCCCCACCAGTGAAAACGGCTAGGTCTCCCGTTGATTCCATTGATCTCCGTACGGAACGTTTCAGTGTCGGAGACGCTCAGTGGAAGGCTCAGTTGGCGCCAATTGCGTTTGTGCAGGCGTTGAGACGACAAGAATGTATTTGCTCTCATCTCAATGCTTTAGTACGCTGCAGACCCAGAATCGGTATAGCATCTGAGGCGCCTCGGTCCCGGGAAAACATGGTGGGCTACACATGTTCTATGCGCCTGCGTGGTTCATGTGTGGTATGTAAATAGTACAATTCAACGGCTGAGCTTCCGTGCATCGGTGCATGTACGAATCATAGTCGCGCAGTTCCACGATCGCTTTCGTACAGATAGTGAACGATACTCACAGACAAGTCGAGACGAATGCTGACCCTACAAAGGAAATGCCTATCGGAGACAAGTCTGATAGAGCTTTGAGAGGATATGGTTCGAAACACTGTAAAATGTGTGATCACGGACGATCTTCACACATGTCGGTTCACTTACGGTGCTCATGTACCGCGCGGTGCAAACTTGAAGGCTCGTACTAATCATAGTATGGTACTATGAGAATCCAGGGCCGCACGCAGGCCACGAGAAGTGCATCGTAGTGGAATCAAGGATGCGTGCAGCCGTGCAATGGGCGCCATTTCAAGAGAAGTGGGCTGCGGAAGCGATGACTGCCGCTGTTCGCTATGTGGGGACAGCCGACAAGCAGAGAGAACAGAAAACAGAGCGCCGAGAGCAGCGCTGGCAGGTCTCACGCCCAAAACAAGATCGCGATCGGCTGGTGGCGCGCGTGTCGATCGCGTCCCATACTTAAGGGCGTGTGCCCTTCAGCCAGCGACATCCTCCTCTCCCTCCCACCATGGCCGGCCAGCCTGTCCTTAGGATGTTCAACTTCCGCTCGCGCTCTCCGGCGGGTGTAAAGAATCACCCAGCGTCCGAGCCAGGGAAACAGGGCACTGCCGACCATGTTGTGCCCGAACTACACGCGGATGCCCCGCATCCTGAGCCTGTAACGCAGGACGCGCCTTCCTCTGAGCCTGCAGCTGCACCGCTATCCGCAGCCCTTGCAGCAGAGAACGCCAAGAAACCCCAGAGTGCGCCGCGCCGCTTTTCATGGATGCCTCTCAGCAAGAACGGCAACGGCGACCCTAAGCCCTCTGTCAAGAAGGAAGTCAGGAAAACTAAGGTCGCACAGCTACCGGTTCGCCCTGCACCCCTTAATCGCACTCGTTCGGAGAAGCAAGCTCAGCAGTCTGCCCTGCTTCTCCGCGAGCTTATCGTTGGTCCGTCATCCAATGCATCTGCCAAGACGAAGACGCATGCGATGTCCAACGCGGAAGTCGAGAAGGTCAAGGCGCAACTTGCGCGTCCCCAGTCCGCGAACAAGGTAATTGCGCAGCTCCGGCAGCTGTCGTCGTCGGACGAGCCGGTGGTCGTGGGGACGGGGCCGAATGGGGAAACGCTGACCGCTCTACCCAAGGGACCCATCCATGCTGTCTGTCTCCCATACACCGACGCAGAGGCCCACGACCGCCACTTTGCACAGCTCACCAAGGACAAGGCGGCGGCCGCGCAGCCGGCAACAGGTACGACGGTGCAGCATGTGCATATGGAGTCCACCACGACCACCGCCGAGGTAGCCAGTGTCGCCAACGCATCAATCACGACACTCAAGACCGTCTTCTCAGAGATCAACCTTGTCAGCCTTGTGACAACACCTGACCTGGGGTTGGGCGGCGCTCCTGATGGCCCCGGCTTGTTGAGCGGTGCTCTTCCTAGTGCACAGGTAATTATCCAGGGTATCGAGCAGATCACCCCGCAGTGGCTAGCTTTAGGATATGCAACTGGGAAGGCAGTATTGCCTGATCATGCTGGTGCGCATATACCGCGTTCGTCGTGATTGCTGGCTAAGAATATGCTATATAGGCATATACCCACCTACTGACCGTATGTCAGCCGTCACATGTATGCGTTCTTTCTGCTCCTCCCGAATAGTGCACTGACATTCGTCGTAGACTGGTGGGGTTTCGAGATCATTCTTCCTCCGCCCTCATTGCAATACCTCCAGGTAAGCTACGACGTTCGTTAGCATCAAGGTAAGTCTGACGCGAGATGCTGTGATCACAAGGGCGTCCCCTCTATCACCCATGCCGTGATCAACTTCCTCACCGCACTTTCCCTCGTTGAAGGCGGCGTGCGCGAGATAATGCCCTTCGTGCGGTACATCTCGTCCTTCATCGACACAGAGTTTAGCATGATTCAGGAGCAAGATCAGGGCCAGGGCGTGGTATGTGCTGCCACTTGGTGCGTCGTTAGCTGTCTTCTCGCCTAACCATTGTCTAATAACACTGACATCGTCATAGGCTCGTGCCTGCGGCTCTTGTGCCTCGACCGTGGGACTTCGCGCAGCCTCCAAAGTCGTCAGCGCCATCCACAACGGCTCCTGAGGACAGCGTTGAGCAGGGCACTACCCCTACGCCTGCTCCTACTGCCCCCGAGCCGAACTCCGCGCCGATAGTGGTGGCGAGTGATAAGGCTCCAAGCGCGCAGACAGAGCCCACACAGAATGTCCCGAAGGTGGAGGTGACACCGCCCACGCCCCCGGCGTCTCAGACGTTAAACACGGCGGGTGTGTCTGCCAACAGCGGTGAGAATGTGACTGCTGGGGACGCCACTGCACCTGCCACTGCACCAAGCGCGTAAGCGCTTCCAGATACGCCGCGGTCTTCTACTGCCTCACATCGTCATTCGTTTGGTTCGTTATCGGACATCTCTTTCGTTCGCATCGTCTATGGTCAGAATACACATACGCACGGACCCTCTTTGATACCCTCACCTCCTCCATTAAGTCAGACTTCTCTCTCGGATAACTGTGTTTGTCGCTTCGCTATGCTTGTTCTCTCGCTCTTGTCACGACCCCTTATGACCGTCTCGGCCTGGGATTCGCCTCGGATTTGTACTATACCTTACACACGTCGTTGTGCACAGATACCCCCTCATTCGTCTGTAGAATGCAGATGTTGCCTCACGATGTACCTTGAGAGAAATCGCGAAGCGCGTGAAGAGCATGGCCGTGAATTACGGATACATTGAATTAGCAGGTATCATCCAGGAGATATCCGATCGCAAGATACTGGTACAGACTGTTGAAACTTCCGCCCGTCGCCGCCTGCATAGTAATATCTACGCTGCACGATTACTGGGTCTTCACAACACCATCGGGCTCTGGTGGCGAGCGGTGGTACGTCAGGGTCTACGAGCGCATTACGGTAATTGAGGGTTCACTGACCGATGTAACTGATTACATCATCTTGCAGGGATTGCAGCTTGGTCAAATATACGTCGGGGATGGTAGCGGAGAATCCCTGCATGATCAGCCGCATTGGGTTAAGCGCCAACAGTCTGAGAAGGATGGCACACGGACATTCAGGACAGGATCGAATCGCTGGCCCACTTGGCCGCCTGTATGCACAATTCAGTAGCTGAACTTGATCGGCGGCCGAAAGGGATGGTGTACGCACCATTGGCGTTCACATCGTTCACGTAGTCGTTGATCTGCGCCTCGGTGACGTGATCCTTAAATACGACGATGTATTCTGCAGCGAGACGCGCACATCGATGAGCCGCCCAGCGCGTTCATGAGTAGGCGGCGATCTGGGGGGCACACTCACTTCCAGACATGACGGTCGATGCTAAGCGATGATATGGGAGCAGATGGTGTGGGGGGACTGCGTGTATGGGGTACGAGTGCAAGGAGGAGCGGCTGCCTGCGGACGAGCACTTATAGCGTCGAGGTACGTGCTGCACACTGCGGATAAGCAGAGGAGCCATGATCGCGGACGCCACCGGCGCGGTCCGCGTCGACCGCGCTGCACGTGCCTCGCGGCGCGTCGCGTCGCGATGGCGCCCTCGTCCCCAATTGGACCCGTCTTCATTCAAATAACTGATGTGCGAACCCGGAGAGCGGACTCGCCCCGCCCGCTGCTGCGTGACTCAGCTGCTTTCCCGTCGCTTATAACCTCCCCATCAGCGTGGCGGACGCGGATGGATTTTGCCCCTGGTGGATGTTGAGGCTTGCCAGCGCCCCTAGAAATACCCTGCTGAAGCTCCGGCGTTTCCCACCCTGCAAGATGGCCGTGACGCGCTCTGCGACCGGCGCGTTGCCTAAGAAAGCGGCGGCAGTGGGCGATCCACCTGCCGCAGAAGTGAAGAAGACCAGCACTACGAAGAGGAAGGCGGCTGGCAAGGTCGCCACAGAGGCGACTAGTGAGGTGCCGCGCGCTAGTAACAGGAAGAAGTCAAAAGTGGAAGCGTCCAACGGCGCTGCGAACGACGTCAGTGACACAACTGCAGCCCAAAATACGAAAATTGTGCTTGCGCCTGTGCTATCTGAAGACGATTCGGATGCGCCCGTACTCGTGCCCGCTGTGCTCACGTTCTCATTTGAGGAAGCTAAACAGCATCTAATCACCATCGACCGCCGCTTTGAGGAAATGTTCTATAGGTTGAAATGCAAGCCGTTCGAGCACCTCGAGCGTCTTGATCCATTCCGGTACGTCCACAGTTCTTGGTTCGCCACTGCCCTGACCCTGCATGGGCAGGACACTAGCCAATTCTATCATGTGAGTTCAGTGACAAGACAATATAGCCGTTCTCTCATTGCATGCGAACCAGCGGACAACAAATATCGTGGAAGGCGGCCCGTGCTATTTATCACCGCTTCATCAGATTGTTCGATCCTTCCCTGCCAGAGAAACCGCAAGATTATACACAGTCAGTGGGATATGCTTTATTACCGGTCTGCGCTAGACAATTCATCGCATACAGGCCTAGTGAGTTCTTCCCGACCGCCCGTCAAGTCGTGAGCACGGATCTCGCTATCCTGAAGAGTGCTGGGCTTAGCGGTAGGAAAGCGGAATATGGTGAGATGGACGCTTTGGCGCAGAGTGAGACTTGCTTAGAGTGCTATAGTATATGATCTCGCTTCGCGGTTTGCGGACGGAAGGCTATCGACCGAGAAGCTACTGCAGGCCGATGACGAGGAACTGTATAGCATGCTGATCGAGGTCAAGGGGATTGGAAGGGTGGGGTATTTCATTCTATGCTGATGTTCGAAGACGCTCAACAGTTCCTATGCAGTGGACAGGTTCGATCCCATCGCAATCAGTGTAATATTTTGGGCTTAGCGTGATTCGCAGTTGATATGTTCGCTCTTTTCTCACTTCGTCGTCCCGATATCCTTCCAGTCGGTACGTCCCACGACTTCGTAGCACTCGGAGCGCTTACCAAATGTTGTCTCCAGGTGATCTCGGCGTCCAGCGCGGTGTCATACGCTGGTTCCTCTCTCTGCACTCCCCATCTGCATATCCAATTACTATCTCGCCCGAGAAGCTGCCCAAGAATCCCGAGGAGGACGAGGCAGCGAATGGAAACAAGAACGCAGACAAGGATGAAAGCACTTTGCCGGTTGTCGGAGAGTCCTCAGGAACTCAATCTGCACGCGCGTCTACTCCGGATGCATCTTCTATACTGCCTGCTCCGGCCACGGGGCCTACCACCCCTGCAAAGCACAAAGGCAAGAGCAAGAACTCGCGGGATACTCAGGACGATGGCGCAGTGCTTCCCACGCCGTTCACGCCATCCATCAACAAGACGCTCAACATAGCCGCGCGAGACGTCCTCCTACAGCCGCCGCCGCCATTGCCGGAAGGGCTGACACCCGCCATACTGCGCAGCCGGCTTAATGGAAAGAATAAAATCAAGTGCGTGCCCCGCCGCGTGAGCGTGGTCCTAGCTGAGACGTATATGCTATTCCAGGGGTGCTCTTCTGACACCGAAGGAGATGGAGGAGCTGACCGCCAGCTGGCGACCGTATCGAAGCTTGGGTAAGCAAATTACTGGCAACTCCTGATCATTGACTTCTGGCTGAGCCTTTCACAGCCGTGTATTACATGTGGGCCTTGGCGGAACCACCGAAGTAATATTGTGCTGCTCAGTCGAAAAGCTCTCTGCACTCTCAATGCGGATTAAGAGGATAATGAATAGCGAGAAGACTCCCTACCTCAGCCAGACTCTCGAGGCTGATTACCCTGTCACGTTTGTGCGCGTAACACATTTGTCTCGCATCAAGGTTGAGTGACGTCACGAACTGGTTCTGACATGGCTTCTCGATATATATTGGACATGCTTTCGGGGCACCTCTGGAACAAAATAGGAATTCGGAGTCCGTTTTCCTGTAAGCTGGGAAATATGCCGTCCATCGAACACAAGTAGCTGTCGCTTGTCCCCTTGCAGTGCTTCCATTTTGACATGCGGCAAGGTAGGGTACTGACACTTCTAGAATGCTCAGTTGACATCGGCATCAAAAAGCCCAGCACGCCGCCCATATAATAGTCACAGCAGCATGGCGGCTCGTATCACGCCTTATCTCTAACTCTCACTACTACCACCCTCACCGCGCCCTCAGATGAAGTACACGGCAACAATGGCAAGCACTCCCCCCGTCGATCTATCCGGCTTGATCAAGTTCAAGGCCCTCACGCGTGGTCGAAGGGAGGCCAGGCGCCAGTTCGCCCTCGTCCGCGAACAATTAGCAGAAATCCAAAGTATCGGACGTAATCACTTGTTGTATATCGAATGGCAAGGGTTCAGCGAAGTCAGCTAAACCCCCGTCTAGCTTGGTATGTACACTCACAACCTCAAACAGCGCTATGAGAAGATCGAGCGTGATATGCGGGAAAATACCAATACGTGCTTGAGCTTTTTAACAGGTTCGAGATGTCAATTTTCTCCTACAGAACAGATTGTTGACCACATATATGTAGCACATCGTGACGCCCTTGTTCCCCTAGTAAAGTCTGACATCTCTGTGAAAGATAAGACGGAGACTATCGAGCAGTTCTTGAAGGTCAGGATTAACATCAGTTACCCCAAACCCATGAGCTCCTTATCTTCAGGCCCTGCAACCTTTCGTGGAAAATGCGGAGGAGCTCCAGTATACTCTCGGGAAGCTCACGGATGACGTCGAGACGTTCCCTGATAGGGTAGCTGAAGCCGTGTGGGCGGCATGTCCCTGGTACATGAAGCTGTGGGATTCCATCAAGACGTGAGTCTAACAACAGCTTACTAAATGTGCAACTAGGCTGATGACCTACAGATGCTGCACAAATCTAGCCAAATGGCTCTGGGAGGTAAGTCAACTCAACATCAGTCGGTAGGAGATACCGCCCTGATTTGCTTTGTGTCTAGGTCGTATCACGGGTGGATTCTTGCATGGGTAAGCGGGGGATGTTCTCAGCAGTATACACGCAATTAATCGTTACCTTCCGACGTAGCTGACACCACATCCCTGAACGAAAGTAAGCATCAAGGATGCTATTACCCTTGTTGCTTATATCATATGAACCATCTCCAGAGATGCCATTGTTGCCGAAATTGTCCAGCAAACCGGAGGCGCCCATCGAATGCGTCTCCCTCCACGCTGCTTTGCAGAATCTACAAAGTGCATGGAGGAGGATTGAAATGCCTTGCAAAGCCCTCTGCACATCTCTACAGCTCGCGAAGATGGTGAGAGCATAACCCTTGGTTCATATGTCTGATTAGAACACACGTGACACTTACTTGCAGATGGAAGACCCTGAATCGTGCGCTATGTTCATTGGCAACGCCGACCACGTCTCCACCCAGCTGCAACAATACTGCCAGATTTTTGCTACTGACTGAGAAATACAATATTGCGCTTCAATCCGTGGTATCGTGCGTTGACCAAATGAACTATGTTATTGGAGAGACTTAGCACGGAGATGTTTCCGCGATGTGATGGCACCATCTTCTTGCTTCGCCCTATTGTAGGTACTACGGGTACGGTCTGGCATGCCTATGTCTTGGAATCGGTGTCGCCGTGAATATCTTCCTTCATTCTCAACGACATCGAATTGCACCGCATTCATGAATGCGGAAGTCGTGTATCCAGCACAAGAATACGTTTTAAGATGGGCGGATGTATGAAGCATATGGAAATGCATGCGCTTCAAGCATCATCTCTTCCGTCTACTGGACGACAAATGTGTGACTTAATCGCGCCTCGATGACCCCACATGACTGACAGAAGCAAGTTCGATGATAGATTTGTGCGGGTGCAGGTAGCGATACATATAATAGCTGCGCCTCCCTCGAGCACCTCTTCTCCCCCCTCTTCTCCCCCCTCTCCACACCCTCCCACGGATCGCCCCAGAGAGACTCCTCAGATGGACGAGTTCAAGAGCCTTCTCGACGGGCGGCTTGTAGCGAGGCGTCTCTTCAAGTCGATTGCCGACCAACTCGCGAACACGAGGCATATAGGACGCAAGCACTCACTGTATGCGGAATGGGAGGGACTCGAGCGGGTCTGTGTACATAACGTTTTATACATTGAGCTCAGCGTTCTTATTTGTTCTCCAGTGCTATGAAGAGCTTGAAGAGGAAGTACGAAGCAACGCTGAGGACTGCGTTAGCTGCATGACTAGTACGGAGCCTTCAACGGTCTTGATCAGATGCACTTAGGCTTATATTCGAACATTATCAGTCCATCGCGATGTCGTCATCCCTCTGACTGAATTGCCGATGCCTATCAAAGAGAAACAAGAAGGCATCAATCAGTTCCTGAAGGTGGTGTAGTAGTCAAGCCTAAGCATATAGCACCGTCTGATTTCCCCTCAGAGTTTGGGGAGACTTCGTCAAGGCAGCAAGAGTATCACAAAGAAGCTCGCCGATCTGCGGGATGAAATTGAAGCTTTCCCGCCGAAGGTCTCTAAGTCGGTCGATGCATCCCGCCCATGGTATGAGCGGTGGTTCGATGCATCTCGCCCATGGTATGAGCGGTGGTTTGATGTACTGAGATCTCTTGTGACAAGGTGGGTACATCTTGTACGTAGTATCTCGACTATTTGAACTGATACTGGCGTCTATACGTCTGACAGGCTGCTGCAGTGGTTTGCGCAGGTGAGCTCATTTTGTATACAGGGGGACCCATCTAGAGTGACCATCATATAGCTCGCGAAGAAGGCAGATCCACATCGCGGTGCGTACAGCCTCAAATACTTATGCTGAGCTCTTACAATGGATGTCTGCAGCGAATTCCGGAACCGGGAATGTCAACGAAAGTGAGCCTGTCTAGGGCTCCTCTTCACTTCCTGTCTTAGCTAATGTTGTGCGCCCAGAGGAACCGCTTTTGTGGAAACATCAGGAGAACAATAATGACTATGAGAACTTGAGCGACGCGCTTCTCCAATTGAAATTGGCCTGGTCAATGATGCGACAATCTTGCGACACGCTCCACCATACTTTAGGGCTGGCCGCTGATAACAGCCACAGAGTAAGTATATTTTCCCCATCTTTTTGTTTTGCAAGGCAACTGAAAAATATCACTGCTCAGGAGAAAAACGCAAAGTTGTGCGATGTGTTCTTGCAAGCAGCAGGATTGTATTTGAAGCAGTCGAGGGAATACGCCGAGCTATTTGCTGCTGAAGTTACTGAGTAGTTCGGTTCCCGAGAAGACATATTGGACAATGTTTACTACATATGTCATTTAGAAGACGATCCGTTTGTTTCTGTCAGTCAGAGGAATTACTGTATAGCAGTCACACGCTGCCTTACGACGCCAGCTGATAACTTGTATGTGTGGGCGTGCAGCAGGATCTCGTGCTGTGCGCCATTTGTACTAGGTAGTGACAGTTATCCAGACAAGTTAAAATTGCCGAATTCCTAAAGGGGCATCGGCGGCCAACGCACGATCGGTTCGCGGAGTGACGGTGGTGATCGCGATTGGATCTTGCATCTGACTGAGGGCGAGCATACTTATTAGGGACGTTGTCGCGCCTCATCAACAGATGGCTGCCACGCTCCATACCAACACCACGTCCCCCCTGGTATCATTCCTTCGTTGAGAGCAATGTTTTTACTGTATTGCAGGACCTCGGACTGTATGTCTGCATGCAGCAGCTCCGCCATGGACGTGACAAGAGGCCCCGGAGCGAACAGGAAGACAGAGTGACAGGCCAATAACTATTGCACGGGACATGGCCTGTGGCGGACGCCTTTGCCGCGTCGATCTTGACATGTTTGTCACAGTGACCGACTCCATGGCATCCTTCTCGGCGTTGGCCCCTCGCGGTGAGTGGTTCCAATAAATACCCCGCCCGTCCCTGCTCAAGTGTTCCCACTCCTTGGTGCGACCCCGTCGTCTGTGCTACCTCTTCTCCGCCCGCGCGTAGTCATTGCGCCCACCTCTGCGTTTCCACTCGTGCCCCGCCAACTCCATGTCCGAGTCATCTTGTTTTGGTTTCCTCTCCCCGCCTATCGACACGGGAGACGCGTCCTCCGACGACGGCGATACCCTTCACACGCCTCTCACGGACGAAAACCACCTCGCATATGATGTCTACGCACAGGAGGCCCACCAGTTCAAAGAGGAGTCGTATCCGCACTACGAGGAGAACAAACAACACTCGGGCGAGGGCGCAATACCGCTTGGCCTCGATGCATACACGCATACATTCCCTTCGTTAATGAACTCTTCTACGTCGGAGCCTCTCCAACAAACGCAACAGGATCAGTTTTTCGATTCATTGTCTCCTCCGGATGCGCTGGACTTGGCGAACGCATCACTGGAAATCTCCTTCACCGCGAACACGTTCAACACACATATCCTCGACCCTACCGCGTCCCCCTTTACTCCTTCCAAGCAATACTTTGATTTGCCTTCCGTTCATTCGACCTCTTCCGGCGAGCCCTCGTCAGTCTCAGAGTACCTCCCTCCTCTCCCATCGTTTTCTATCGACACGTTCACATCCAACGCGCACCCCAGCGAACAATCGTCCCTCTTCCTGTCTTCGCCCTGCCCTTCACCCTCTCCATCCTCGCCGCGTCCCCCACTCAAACACTCCTTCACAGCGCCCGAACTTCCAGCCCTCGGCCGCGTGTACTCACCACGCTTCCCCGCAGCGCATATACTCAACCCCTTCTTCGTGCGCACGTATGACCTCGGGGATGAGCTTGGCGCCGGCGGATACGGCTTCGTCATGACCGCGCGGCACCGTACCGAGGGACACGAGGTCGCAGTAAAGTTTATTGTGAAGGAGAAGGTTCCCGAGCATGCGTGGTGGGAAGACCCTCAGGTCGGCCGTGTGCCAACGGAGGTGATGCTGCTCAGCTTGGTAGACCATCCCGGCATTGTCAAATGTTTGGACCTCTATGAGGATGAGGTGTACTACTACATGGTAGGGCTTCCATTTCAACTGACATTTTCGATACCTCATGGGTAAATGTGTGCAGGTCCAGGAACTCCATGGGTCGCCGTGGGTCTCGAAGAGGAAGAAGAAAGTCAAACAAGTGACTGCCCCGGGCAAGCTCGTGGTACCCACTCCTTCTTCGACCCCCTTGCTCACTCCTTCGCCTTCCTTCGAGTCCACCACAGACTCTCTGCCACACACACCGCCATCGGCGTCCATCGAGAGTATAGATTCACTGCCTTCTGTGTCAGCCTCGGCACAAGAGACATGGCATACAGGGCAGGATCCCGCGCACATCACGTCCCCTATCGCTTCCTCCTCCGTTTTCACTATTCCTTCCATTGACATGAGCGCGCAGATTGAGTCAAAGGACAGACAGCAACTGGCGCTGCTGCAGCCTGGCTTGGCGATTCGCCCGCGGTTCGGGCGTCGCCCGTCACACGACCTGTTTGAATGTATAGAACAAAGCAAACACAAACGTCTATCAGAGAGCCAGGCACGATACGTCTTCGCACAGGTCGTTGAGGCCATATACTACCTCGATAGCCAAGGTATCACGCATTGCGATATCAAAGACGAGAACCTGCTTGTCGACAGCGACCTGAAAGTATGTCTCCCGCGCATACATACATCTTGATCGGGCAGGATAGTGACCATACGCACTCCTTGGATTGCAGGTTAAACTAATTGACTTTGGCAGCGCAGTCGCGGTCGACCCGTCTCTGCCACGCCCTTTCTACACGCTCTTTTTCGGCACAACCGCGTATGCGTCCTCGGAAATCCTGCGTAAGCAGCCGTACCAAGCACCGCCCGCGGAAGTGTGGACGCTCGGTGTATTGCTCTCATATCTCCTCACAGGGCACTCACCATTCCCAACGGAGCAGGACGCGATCGAAGGGCGTGTTGCACTACGCGAGCCGAGCTCTGGTCGCCTGAGCCGCGCGGCTGTCGCGCTCATGGGACGCTGTCTAGAACGCGATCCTGAGCGACGCGCAGACATTGCGGAGGTGCGCCAGCACCGTTGGCTGCAGGGTGCGCTCGAGCGTGGCGCGCGGGATTAGGTCCGTGCTCTGCTCGGACCACGGCGTTCTCTTCTCTTCCGCCGATGCTTCGACGCACTCGTTCTGCCCGCATGAAGACGTCGCAGGCGACCTCTGCTTCCCTTCGCGATCACGCTGCGCCTTCTTTTGTTGCGGAAGCGAGCCTTCCACTCGGACCCTTGAATCCTCTGCATCACGCGCACGCGGACCTTGGCTGTGGACATCCCTTTGCATCTCAACTTACCTGTTCTTGCATTTGACCGTAACATGGACGTGATCCGAACTGCATTTGCATTCCATTCGCCCCTCCACATTGTATCTGTAATCAGCATTGTATTCTGGGAATGTAGATCTACGTCATGGTTGTTTTGTGTAATGGCAGAGTACTGCAGCGCACTCTGCGCGTAATGATTAATTTCTGGCGGGTTTCGACGACGCCACCAGTAGGACGTCTGGAGGTGTATGACCTGCTGCAGTACTGCAAGTACAGCTTATTCTTTTCAGGCAAGCAAGAGCAGAAGCTCGACCCCCATCTAGATAACCTAGAGGGGTGCCAAGGTTCATCCAACGTGAACCGAGGTTCAAAGTGGCCTAGATGACTGGAGTGCAGGTGCGCTAGTTGGTCCTGTACGTCATATGAGGCCGCTTGCCGTTAGCAATCTTCCTCCTGTCTTCCGCACTATCGGAGACATAGACGCAGACATGTACCTCGCGAGCAGGCAATGCAGCCATGTGGAGCACAGCGCCATAATTTGTGCCTGTGGTACCGACGCATCACCCCGCAAAGTGGCGTGACAAGATGGCGATGTCACGAGGAGGGACTGAGGACGAGAGCAGCAGCTGAAAGACTGGGCGTGAAAAGTTTTATCCAGACATGTAATAATGTGAAAAAGAGGCGACGAGCGTGCAGACGAACTTTGACTAAACGAAACGAGAGAAAAGCTTGTTTGTTAAGGCTGGCCAGGGGCCGGCGTCATCGTCTTTGGAGCGTCGTCTTGGCCATACAAAGCCGGAGGTGCGGTCCCACTCGGTGATAAGGGCATATCGCGCGTCACTTCACGGTATTTCTGGACCCTTGTGAGTACTGTAGTATCATCTGATGTAGAGGAGAGCCTCCAGGCGTGTCTGTGTTATGAGCTCATTGCCGGCCCGACAATGCCCCAGGGACGCAGCCGCTCATTGAATGATAGCTAACGTCAGATAGCAGAGAAACTTCGACCAAAGAAATGCTGAGCAATCGGTCCTGAAGACAACAAATGCGAGCAGGATGAAGCAGGATAGCAAGTCCGAGATGGTGGCAGCCTGCAGGCGCAGCTTCGCAATCTGAAGCCCGGCGGCGTAGCATCAGACCGGCACCACCCGGGGCGCGGTAACGGCCGGCGCACCAGCCAATCAGAGGACAGGCATCTCAGACCACCCGCTCGCCGTTGACGGCGTCGAGCGGACCCCCTTTACCACCATCATCATGTCGCTCACTACCCTCAAGGCAGGAGGTGGGCAGCTCTTTAGGATAGCAGCGTTTGAGGTTGCGTTGACCGCGGTCTTGGGTGTTTAGTTGCCAGCGCAGGGCGTCGGGCTGCTCTCCGCACACCGATCGGTGTCTACGGTGCGTCACAAATATACATATTTGCTAAGGATGAAATAGTGAATGCTTTGCTGCGCAATAGCATTATCCTCGCATAGGATACACACGACGGCACCTGCCTCGTCGCCGGCGGACATCCCCACCTCTTCTACGAATCCCGCAGAGCCAATTACTCAGATTGCGAAGCGCGGGTCGAATCAGCTGAGCCTGGAGACACCTCAGAACAAAGCTGGTGCGTCGTTGCATGGTTTTTGTGGACATTGAGCTGCTATACCGAACATCATAATCTTTGCAGAATATGTCCTCTCCACCCTGGACAAGGTTGTTAATTGGGCGAGACAGGGTTCGATGTGGCCCATGACTTTCGGTGAGTGCTCCAAAAATCTTTTCGATTACTGCCAGTGGAGCCCCGCTCTCGTTTCAGTCGGTGTGGTAGTGGCAAGCTGTCAATGTGGTCGGAGGCTCCTCCTGGTCGCGAAGTTTTGGCACTTTCACTCCATCCGGAGCCTTTTACACTGCTTTGCGTTGGCGTGGATATCCACAGTGAAGGGACTTGCCGATGCTTCATTCACTCAATAGCAGCGCCAGGATAACATGATGCAGAATCGCTAATTATGCGATTCTCTAGGTCTGGCTTGCTGTGCCGTAGAAATGATGCACATGGCTGCAGCACGCTACGACCAGGACCGACTGGGTGTCGTCTTCCGTGCCAGTCCTCGGCAGTCGGATATCATGATTGTCGCTGGTACCTTGACAAACAAGATGGCACCTGCCTTGCGCAAGGTCTATGATCAAATGCCTGAGCCCCGTGAGTCGCCTTTGCCGCCCGAAATTGATGTCTTTAACCGACTCGTTTCAATCTAGGATGGGTGATCTCCATGGGCTCGTGCGCGAATGGCGGCGGGTACTACCACTACTCATATTCCGTTGTTAGGGGTTGCGATCGTGCGTATTTGTGGTCGTGGATTTGTTGCGATATACTCAGCATTTCTCACACAGGCATCGTGCCTGTCGATATATATGTTCCTGGGTGCCCACCAACGGCGGAAGCGCTGCTGTACGGCATGTTGCAGCTGCAACGCAAGATGAGGAGGAACCGGAAGAGCGTGCTCTGGTAAGTCCGCTGCACGACAAAATACCTCCGCTGTTACTAAGCTATCCTTAGGTACCGGAAGTAGCTAAGAATATCCCGCGGAGAGTGCTGCTTCTGATGTCGCAGTATCGAGCGCAGTAGACACGAACGATATGATGTTGTTCTTGTGGATATGAATGGATTGGGTTTGGAGAGCAGACATACGATAAGATAGCTAAGGAGTGAACATTGTGAGATCTGCCTCGCGGTGGCGATGAGGAACCCTCGGAATTGAGGGTGTGTGGGGAAGGCCGCGGCTAGGCGCGTGCAATCAGGCGGTCACGGTAGGCCGCGACGCCAAGGGCTGCTTGACTCCCTCCCACTTCCTCGTTTGAGCTTCACGACCACAGGCCGTATACCGTCCCGCAACTTTGCCTGCTGGCGGTCACCGTCATCGCCAGGCAGTCACCTGCCGTCTCGTCGTCCGCCCAGATCTCCGATAGGCGTCGGCCTCAGTCTCTCGCTACGGCCCATTGTTATTCTTGCCCTTTACCTCACGCTCTCTTCCTCTTCTCTCATCTACTTGCCCACGGGCGTATTATGGCTACCGCGTTGCAGCTGCCCGCACAGGACGCTGGTCCAGTCACTCTTGCATCTCCGCGCGCACACATGACCGACACCCCCGCTCGTCTCTCCGTCACCGATCTCGACCTCCGCGACACAAGGTACCCCACGCTCAACTCGTCGCGCTCTAGCTGGATCAACTATCCCGTCAACGGGTCGCCAAGGTCCTGGATGAGCGAAAAGCTCGTAGAGGACCCCGCGGAGGATCCACAGCCTGCGCAGGGTGCGTCTTCTGGCCTGGCCATGAAACAGCCGCTCCAGGCGCAGTCGTCAAACGCGGACGGCACGTTCCCGCCCTACGCACCCGGTGGCAGCTCACCCCGCCTGGTTGACCGCTTCAGCCGCGACGAGTCGCTCCAGCGCCGCCCCTCCAAAGGCTCCGAACGCAGCCGCCCCCGTGCAGACACCTCCCCAACTCAAGACATGGGCCAGCGCACATCTACTTACCGCCAGTCTCAGGATCAGTTTGGGTCACTGGCGCCACCGACATCCCGCCAGCCCTCATTGCCAGCACCGGGGATCAGCGCTGGTCCGAGCGCTTCGCCCAGCTCGCCTATGGTCGCGCTGGCTCCCGGCCCCTCGTATACTCCGTCTGCGATGCAAGTACATATCTCCCCGAAGCCTCGGGCATCCGCTCAGTATCCTACATACATCAATCCGCCCCCTGGGCGTAACCCAATGAACCCTGCATTCGCGCCTGCGCAGATGCCCAAAGAGGAGGTCTGCGTCGAGTGCGCGATGCGCGACCAGGACATGGCCGACGTCGATGTGACAAGCCCCGGCGTGTGGGAGCGCGAGAGCGACGTCTTATACGAAGAGCTTGTCCACCGGGAACAAGAGGAAGAGGCGACTGGAATTCGGTACCCAGACAGTGCGTCGCGGCCGCCAGCAGGGGGACAACCTCTGTCCGAGGAGAACATGCGCCTCTGGATAAGCATGGTAAGTGCCACTGCATTGTTTAGTGCGTAGCATTGCTGACTTGTCCTGTACAGAATCCAAAAGAGCCGTCATCGCGACAGCAAACGCTGGACCAATATGTCCGGTCACAGCGGACATTGCTGGAGGCGGAGGCATTGGCTCATGCCCGGGCTATGCAAGAGGCCAAGCAGTTGGAGGACAGAATGCGCAACACCTACTCTCAGCTGCGCCGTTCGGCGTACGAATTGGGTACCACCCTGCAGGTGACGGAGAACGATGGTGTCCGCGTCAAGCCACCACGGACAACTTCCATGCCTGCCGCTGCCGTGCTCGCTGTCAACACTGCTAAGAACGGTCATGAAGTCACACTTCTTGAGAATGGCATGATTGTCGAGCACGTTGACATGCGCAAAGAGGAGAAGGAGGAGCGTGAGCGTCGTCGTCGTGAAGAGCGGCGAGGTCGGGCACGCAAGTCGTCGCGCAGCTCCGTTGTCGATGTCGCGTCAGTGTACTCTATGCCCATCCCTGGACAGAAGCTGCACACCGACAGCGGTTATTTCTCTGGCGGTGTGAGGGGCAGCGAGTCGCGCGTGTCGCAGTCATTCTCACCGCGGCCGAGTAGTGTGCTCGCCACTGGTGCGGATCGGCCGCACATGTTGCCGCGGGCGTACTCGCAGGCGTCGTTCTCCGATATGCAGAGTATTGGCTCGTCGGTGTCTCCCAGGCGATCGCGGTTCTTTGGATTCAAAAACCTCACTGCCGGATGGCGGAGTCAGGAGAGCTTTGCGCCATCAGGCAGTATGATGGACATGCAGTACGTGTCTACAGATACTTACCCGTTACGACCTTAACTGAGGTTCCACTAGTGTTGCTCTTCAGCATGAACAACAGTATCTTCAGGAGCATCCTCCGGAAATGGCGAGCAATACTTCCACTTTGCGTGTAGGTGATGCGTATGCAAAGGAAGAAGCCCCGTCGCGCACGGAGACTCCCACCACGCAACCTGCGAAGAAGAAGAACGGGTTCAAGAAGATCTGGAAGATAGTGACTGGCTCAAAGAACGGATCAGGCCAGAAGGGCCGTGATGCGGCTCGGTCGGTCGACAAGGCTGAGGACGACACCCCTCTCGCGCCACCTCCGCCACTGTCGTACCTGGTTGACAGAGAACGCGGTCCCTCGTCCAGACGGCACGTCTCCACTCCCTCGCTTCCTTCTTCCGTTTCACCTAACGCGATGTCCCTTCACGCACCGTCACCGCCTACCGCTCCCTCCAGCCTTGCACCCTCACCAACGTCGTCACGACAACCTATCAATGATAGGGACAACGTCAGTGAGCATCGCAAGAACAGTAGCACTCTGGATGTCGATCAAGACCATCAAGGACCATCAGGCGAATGCAACTCGCCCGAGTGTGAAGCTCGTGGCCGAGCTACACAAAGCTCGTCAAAGACGCTTTCGAGCTACATGGGACCGCAAACGCCGGCTACAGCTTATTCGCTCCGTCCACAATCCATCGCCATACGACGAGACAAGTCTCTCCCGCCGCTGCCAGGAGAGTCATCCGTCGAGTTCCCCGACAATCTGCTACCCGACATGCGCCCCCAGACCATGTTCACGTACAATCACATTCCTATGTCGTTCTCTGGTGATCTATCGCCCAACAGGCTGCTCCCACCAAATGCTCCGTTCCGGACGGCTGACCAGCGGCGGCAATCATTCGGCGGCGTGGCCTCCGCACCTCATCCTGCAGCTCGTAGTCTGCCTGCTAAGGGCCTGCTCGGACTGGTCACACCGGGACCCGCCGCACCCTTCCAGGCGGAGGAGCGCTATGGGGAGTTCGGTGCTTCGCGACTGTCACTTAGCCAGTGGGACAGTGCACGAGGCTCGCAACGTTCCCGCGATGGCACCGCCAAGCCAAAGCAACGGCGCAGCAAGTTCGGTCTCGCGTCCCTGTTCTCTAAGAAGTCGCACGGAGGCGACAGTAAAGAGAGCGGGTATCCCGAGCCGGAGTACTCTGTTTCTGGGTTCAGATCGTCTGGCTCAGAGCAGGATGCCGCGCCAACGGGGAACTCGTATGAACCCGGATCCGCTCACAGTAGCCATGTTCAGAGAGCATCGATTGCATCTCGGAAGAACATCGCAGAATTGGTCGAGCAGGACCGGGAGTTCGTTGCATATCGGTATCCATCCACAGACCAGCGTTTCGATCTGGGGTCATAGTCTGCTCTCCTGCCTCCTGCCGCTTCAGCACGAGCAAAACCGTGCACACGCGGCCCCAACGCGTGCACTTGCTTGCTGCGTGATTCGTCCTCCACTCGTCTCTCACTCACCTCCCTCCATAATCGTATTTCACGCACGCTCCTTTTGCTCATCTCTTGGGTCCCACCGTCTCGTTTGTTATTCTTTTGCATCGCACCACTTACCTCATCGTACGGACTCATCTTTCAACGATTGCCCAGGCTTGATCCTACATGTTCATTGCACGGACGGTATAGTACCTATCGATAAGTCTTCTTTACCTGTATGCTAGATTATCAGAGCCAACATTTGCACATATTTTGGCAGCTAAATCCCAACGCAGTGTCGGGATGCAGGAAGTGTCTCTCTGGTAAGAGTTTTGTATTCTCCGTCTCAGTAGTCAAGCAGGCTCTGCTTATAATTAAGTTCCGCGCGAAGACAAGTTACGTTCACATGACTTTGACGCGTCCGTGGTGCATGTCGCGTCGCTGTCAGTGGCAATACTGACAGGTTCTCATAAGCGCGCCTGGCCGCCCCTACAGCTTGATTCCTTTCGTCCACAGAAACTCATAGAAATCCGAATATACAGAGATGGTAGGTGGATGCGGTCGCACTTCTAACGGTATTTTACGTCTCTTTAGGCTCCCCGAGGACTGTCCGCCGAAGAAAAGCGCGTCAAATTACTAGAGATCTTCCATGAGACAGTGAGCCCGATATTTTTATCAATTTCTCTGTCGAGTTTCGGTATTGACCTTCTGAGCTAGAAAGATTTCTTCCAGGTCACTACTATCGTTGTATGGTGTCCGTCTGATACTGAAACCCGCATATATGCACCCAGCTCAAGGAGTTGGAAAAGCTAGGCCCCAAAATGAAGGGAATTGGTACGTCGTCTTGTATCTTACTCCACTGATGACTTGCATGCTCAGCTACCTCTGTGTTCCCGACACGCAGTATCTCAGTCTGTGAAGGAAGTATTACAAGGTCTTGTGGACGACGGGCTTGTGCAAGCAGACAAAATCGGCTCATCTAACTGTGTGTATCTCCCGCGTGTCTTTGAATTCGTGCTGACAAGTTCTGATTACCCTTGTGTGCACATATATGCGGCTATCTAGTCTTCTGGAGCTTCCCTTCCCAGCGGGGTACGATGGTCTGTCGATGCCTTTAGTGTGTGGGTCGTCGAGCCCTAACAAGACGCTTGGCAAGGACAGATGCAAAACCGTGTGAATGCTGTGAGGGACAGCCAAGCTTCACACAAAGCGCAGCTCGCCGAGCTTCGCGTCGCCATTGAGGCAGGGAAAGCGGCGAGACCTGAAAGTGTGCGTATAGCGTTACTGGCCAAGAGCGATGCAATTGACTGCCGCATACTCCGCGTGTGACAGGATGAGCGCACAGCGCAACTTGCGCGCCTCATCGCCGCGAGGAAGGAGCTTTCAGAGCTGGAGACTGAGCTCGCACAGTACGGGGCCTGCGATCCTGCTAAAGTCGAAGAGAAGAAACGAGCGGTTACACTGGCCAAAGAGGCGGCGATGCGCTGGACTGGTGAGTCTCATGACTTTCGTCGACTCGGACATGTAATACGCATATTCCTGACATTATCGGCAGATAATTATCTCCTATTACTCGCCCACTTTACTAGACAGAGCTGCGTCGACCCGGCTGAGATCAAGAGATACCTTGGGGTGGATGATGAATACGAAGATATATGTTGAATCTGACGGCATATTGTTGGCGGTGTTGCTATCATTATGATTTTAATCTTGTTCACTGCGCCTGTATACGGAGTTCGTGCGTCGCCACAATATACCCGTTTGTAACGGTCGATGTGCGAAGTTGGTTGTTTGGTATGATCCCACAAGCTACGCAGGTACACGAGTTCCCGATAAGGCATCGGTGTACGGCGTCTATGGTCATGGTCCGTGCGCCCCTTCGCTTTGTATAAAACCCAATCATGGACATGGTAGCAACTCATACTTACCTTGATGGCATCCTCCCCTTCATCTACCAGGGATTGTGGGCCGCGGGGTTCTCTCATAGCACGGCGACCTTGTCTTCAGGGGAACCTCGCGGTTTGTGTGGGCTCCGGCTCATGCACCGTCTCAATATTTCCCTGTCCCATCCTGGCCCTCGGGCTGGGTGGGCATTTTTTGTTGCCTGGAAGGGGCTCTAACCCTAACCTTATTCTTGGTTCAGTAAGGCTCAGTATTCCACATGTTCAATTGATCCAAAATCTACCTTATGCGTATTGCACCAGTTGCGCTACACAAGAGCTCTGTTCAAATTGGTGTTGTGCTCCCAGGGGAACCTGTAGAGTTCACATTTAGCGGTGAATTGTGCTTTACGCACCTGATGCCCAGAAACCTCGATTATGATCGGGCGACTTGAATAAGTGACATCACCACTCCACAGGTGCTATGTAAGAGTACCTCAAGCTTGGCAACACTGCACTGGCAAGTGAGAAACTATAGATTACAAGGTCTCATAACGTTACAATGCGCTAGCATAGAAGTCGAAGTGATACAACAGTAATAATGCGCAAAGCGGGCAAAGGAGCGACACAGCTCGAGTCAGTAAACTAAATTATTACAGCAAATACAAGAGTACAGAGCAGGGTATCCACATCCAGGGCCCTTTTCATGACGCACATGTAAGGATATAAAGGCGATTAGGAATGGACAGGATACAGTAGCGCAAGAGCGCATATCGTCTCGTCTGAAACAGGAAGCGATACAAGCTCACAGCGGGTCTGCTCAATAGCGCCTTGAGCGGTATCTGCCAAATATGCCACACAAACTCGCGAAGAACGCGAAGAAGAGAGCGACAAGCGCGCCGAGCACGAGCCAGTTGGCATTAGCGTATTGCGCGTAGCCACCGCGGCCGCGAACGTGATCGCGTGCGATGCCGAACAGGGCCATCTCGACGATCCAAACAATGAGTGTGACGAGGAAGGCCAGTGCAGAGACGAGGGTCATGAAGACGGTGCCGGCGCGGTGGTAGCTGGCACCACAGAGCCCAAAGAGGAATGCGATGCCTGAGAGGCCGGCAGCTATAGAGGAGATAGTGAGACGTGCACTAGGTCGGTGGTGCGTGAGGGATCCGCACCTATAGGTATTAGGATGAGGACGATTGTGAGGTTGTGGAAGAGCCCATCGGTCAACTCGCTGTCACTGTGGTGGGGATCAGAAAAGAGGACTAAGTTCGGCGACGTAGTGCACGTACGCAACTCCAGAGGGGAAGTACCATCCAACGGATGTATGTGAGCCTGTGTACCCGAACACTCCAAAGTGTGTTGAGACGCCGTCGACATTGGTATTCAGGAATGAGACAGCGTTCCAGGTCGGTGCTGAGACTGATGCCTGCATGTACGGGTCAGAACATGACATTATATTCGAGCTGCAAACCACGCACAAATACAAGCAGCACCATTGCTGCGAAGGTCAAGAAAAGGCCTGGGATAGCGGCATCGGCAGCCATGCTTGAAAGTCGTGAAATGCGGGTCGTGAAAGTCTTGTCGTAGAGCTAGGGAGGAGAAGTGAGCAAGTAGACGGAGCAGGGCAGTGGGTGCGGACATACGGGGGAGTGGTGGGCTGACTAGGAGCGAAGAGCGGTGGGAGCAAGACGCTGCGGCTGCCTGAATATATGGGCGGCGGATTAGCATGATATTCAATTCCTCTATGACGTTCCTGCACCATATATAGTAATGCCGATTACGTCACGTATGTGTCTCTCCAAGACGTTTCTCCAGCTCTCTCCACGGCTTTACACAGCCCGGCCAGGAACGAGCCCTCTCCTGCCCCAATCCATGCCGTCGCAAGCCGCTGGTCGCCCGAGGCTGTGGCCGTGCCTGGCAGCGGCGTAGCAACCTCAACTACAGAGCGGCAGAGCCTCCTTGACCGCCGAGTAATGCAGGGAGGCGACATGCCGCGGGATGTACAATCTAGACGTTACACACTCTCAGATCGCACAATTTGGATATCCATGCAGTATGGCAGGCTGTAGCGCAGCAATCTCACGGGTTCTGGGTGTCGATTTATCCAATTTGCTATTAAGCTCGATTGCAAACATCGTGATCTTGTATCCGTGGCTAGCAGGAAAGATACGTATGGCTAAGGATGTAGAAAATACTTAAGTACCTGTAGAGGTTGCGGTAAGTCTATTCCTGATCTATCTTTGCGTCACCTCCTTCCATCAATTTTCAAAATTTGGACAGTATGGATGTTGTCCACCCTTTCGCACGTTGGGCGATGTGGACGTAGTAACATCCCATACGGGACACCACCACCTTGTGACCCATTTGCTTTAACTATGCTAAAGTCTTCTAACATCTAGTGCTGTCAAATGAACGCCCTCTTTTCCTCCCGAGTCGCATCCCTGAAATTCGAAAACGGTGGAGGAGTGTCGTCAACGTAGTGCCACTACTTTGACGACACACTCGTTGTTTGTGTCCAGGACTCGTGAGTACTCCCATGCATACCGATATCAATATATCTTCTCACCTCGCTAGCTTGCTGAATATGAACCCCGTTGCCACAATCCACGTTGCAGCGGTTTCCCGCTCGATGTCACCGGAATGACTGAGGTCTTTGCCCATCACCCCAGTTCGTAAACCGTCTATTGTATTGACCAACCTACTGGCATCGCCAAGGTTTCTGGGTTTGAATTGTCTGATGAGTGCCCCTACATCACACGATCTACAATGACTTTCGACTGCTTCGTATGACCTCGGTCGTTGTCCCTTGTGCTGAATATGTTCAACCGTGGACAGACTAGTGCATATTGGGCGTAGTACGGACAGACATCAAAGAGCGGGACTGTTGTGCGGGTATGTGGCTACAATGTGGCGGGCCACCGCTACGTGAATATAAAAGGGCATCAGAGCGTTGGCTTTGCCCTCAACATAGACCCCCATATTTCTGCTTATACCTTTGCTATTCACGCGGAAGAGTTCCTATCATCCCATTTTTCACAGCATTACTTCTCTCGACGATCTGCGCCACAGTCCACGTTCTCGGCGGATCTCCTACCAGCAAGCTCTGTGCTCTTCAAACTCGCGAATCAAACAGAGGGTACTGCATCGGAAGGCCGCAAGTTCTACAAAATGGTCGGCTTCGGAAGACTGCGGTATGTAGTTCATACTACTCTGCGGATGTTACGCCGACCAACTGTTTTCAGAGCAATGTCGTGCGGCGTGATACAAGGCAATGGAAGGGATAATGTTGACTCGGATGAAGCCGCTCCCTTGGAAGGAAACACTTGGGATTCGCCCACGCACCTGTCACTGGAAGAAGCGCGAATTAATGAGCAGAGAAAGCGAGAGGCCTGGTCCGAAGACGAGAGGCGATTTGAACTTACAAGGAAACACAGGAGATGCTCCACCTTTTCCGGTGCTATCCACGAAGCTCATTCGGCTCGAGTGACTCCTCAGGGAAGCGGTTACGGAGAAGCTGGTGGGACGACTGATTCCGGAGCGCGACTCAGTCGAGGTAGAGGGCGATCGCTGACGGCACCGTCCACGAACACGAGCATTCAGTTGCCCGTGAACACGGACCGAGTCAGCTCAACCCGTCTCAGTTCATCAGATTCCTCCCGCTTCCCCCCCGGAGCTCATAGTGCCCCCAGGACCGCTTCTCCCCTTGCTCTTGTGGGCACAAGTCGTGACCACGTTGGCTATGGAGGTCCGTCGACAGCCCAGGGCGAGCAAGCGTCCAGAAGGGAGACGTTTAGCCCAACCCTCCAGCGTGTACCCAGTCAAAGCGTCCCGGATCTGCCTTTGAGATCTGCTTCGGACATTTTAACCCATGGAGGACAAGGCAGGACACGTGCGAGTAGTGTGTCCGGCGAAGAACTCCCCAAGCAATACCTGCCAGGCCACCGCCGTGGCGGTTCCTATGATATTAACAAGTCTCTTCCTAGTCCACCATCAATACGCGCCGACCCCAAGTTGTGGCCGTTTTCAACCCCGCCTGATAAACTTTTACCGTGTCTAGCGGTGCCTATCCCTAAGCCCCTATTGCTAAGTCAGCTCTCAAATCATCCCACTGCGCAGACCAATTCCGCTGGATATCGTCGCGGGCGTGCCGCCAGGAGCATGACTGTATCCGGTAGCCACCCTTCAGAGGCACTCGTTCACCGCCCTGAATCCCGAAGTCAGGCCAGCATGCCCCCTTTTCCAAGCCGCCCTGAGCTCCAAGTGGAGCGTCTTCCTGCGCCGCTTTCCGTCGCCTTATCGTCACCTGAAACTGCGCAGACCTCATACGATCATAGTAGAGGAGCCGGTGGCGATCAGAGCTACACATCACCAGGATTAAGCAATTCCCCTGAAAACGATGAGAACAGCGGGCTTACGGCGAGTCTGTATCGGATGGCCGATGGAGGATCCGAGTACAATGCTCGGGACAGAGACAACTCGACACTGTTAAATCCAGAAGATTGGGCAGACTCGTTCTACATAAACATAGATGGTCGTGCGCCGAGTTTCGACGACGATCAGGAGCCCACACCCACAACGGCCCAAAGTGCGTAGACCTTATACAATTATATCGAAGAAACTAGTTATGACGCTCAGAGCTACACATCATCAGGATCAAGATATTCACTTGATTCTGATGGAAGCAACAGGTTTGCGGCGAATCGGTTTGCGATGTACAGCGGTGGAGGATCCGAAGGCAGTCCGACACGTCCAACTACAGGAAGTTTTGCAGACTTCCTCGACTACTACGACTACAATGATCGTATGTCGAGTGTCAACGGCGATCAGGTGCTCACACCCACAACGGCCGATCATGCAGAAAGCCCGGCACAGTCATCCGACTACTTTGCCTCTGAGTCTGGCGGCGACGACATTCAGACACGCACATCCACAACGGCCATCAGTGAAGGAAATAGGAGTTTGATAGATTCATCTCTCGACCTTTCCTACATGCTACAAGCACTTGGTGCCCTTGACGACGACGATCAGACGTCCACACCCACCACGGCCGTTCGTGAAGGTTCACCGGAAAGTTTGAGGCATGTCGCTGACTCATCAGAGCTCCCAATTCATTCCACTACTAGAATGATCGCGCCTGACCGTGGCGGAAATGCCTTCTGTGGCGTCCCCGTCTCACCAGTGACACCTCTTAACGTGAGAGGTCAACGCCCTCCTACGCCGCAGACTGGTCCACGCCAGCCTGATCTAAGAGTGATCACGGAGCTCGGGAATGCCCAGACTACCGGCGCTCAAGGGCCTCACCGCAACCGCAGAGGGGAGCGCTAGAAACGAGTCACGACATACCAATTGCATGTTTTCCTTCATTTTCAAATCCTCGATCGTGTATCACTTTCCTTGTCGCTCTGCTATTTAATACCGCTCTTGACGATGGTGTACGGCTGTATCCCTGTATCCCCGACATTCCTTACATGCTAACAATATTCTCTGCTTGGTTTATTTATACATAGTCCACATCGTGCCCCGGGCCGTCGAATTTCTGGAAAGCCCTCACCCTCATTTGAAGTTCATCGATGGACGCCCGGTACCTGTAGCATATATTGGAAGTTGTGGCGTCTTGCGATTACGCTTCGGACGTTTCCGCACGTACAACTTGTAGATCACACATTTTGATGTCGTACTAGTACACGCGCTCCGTCGTGCAGCCTGTTTATGCAGGTGGTTTCAACGACTCCGTATTTGAGTAGGAACAAACGCTCTCGCGTGCTGTGCGCAAGTTCACCTTGCTCGTCGATCGTCAACTAGCAGTGAGCACATGCCAACTAGCGACTGGCTTAGTCTGGACAGTCGCTTGGTGGCTCGAGAGTACCTGGAAGCGGCGCAGCAGCTTGGAGGGCAGAGCCTCCTTGATGGACCTCCGCGTGTTGCAGGGCCGAGAGGCGGACGTGATGCACATCCGTGACGTACAGAGCTGAAGATTGCAGAAGTGCCACTCATTAGCAATACACCGCAGCCACGATCACACGGCGAGTATACTGCTATTGAGGCACGAGAATATCCGGGATGCCAGTCCGATGTAGTCATGAAGCTTCCAGCCTTACTGATCCCTGGCAGGTGAGATGTAGGCTTTTGTTCTTTCTGCTGTTCGTTTCGTTCTGCGCGCTTCCTTCCGTCGTGTTTCCTTATTAGGCTATAGAAGTTGTCCACACTTTCGCACGTTTGGCGATGTAGACGCGGACAGAGTCCATCCCCAACACCTCCATCCCCTTCCACCCTGCCATCCACTTGCTTTTAACACGCCAACCTTACATCCTGCATGCTCTCGTGATGTCAAAAGAACTCCCCATCTCTTCGTGGGCCACGCCCTTGGACTCCGGAAGTCACGGCAGTGTGAGCCACAGTTTACAAACCACGCGACAACAGTATCCTGAATGAATAAACTTATTCTTCTTGTCCCCATTTATACTAAAGGGTGTTGCATTCACTTGCTGTTTACTAATCAGTGCTCCTCCGGTAGTCAAGTGCCGCCTCTCGGCTACTCGGTGCGGCCTAGGTCTTTTCCACTTATGTGGGCAAATATGCGAGCTAGCACATGTTTGGCGTGTTCAGGGAAAATGAAGGGACCCGGTGCCTTGTGTGTGCTTGTGGCTACGGTGTGGCCTGCCACGCAGCGCCACTGCGTGGGCCTCGTGCGTGGGGATAAAAGCTCACCAATGCATCTGCTTGATCTCCTATACACCCAACTACCACTTTAATCTTTTCCACTTGCGAGCAGGATCTCCTGTCCACTTTTACGCTTGCGGCGTTCTCTGCCGCATCCCCCCTTCGACACCAATTCGTTCTTAGCAGTCAACATACTAACATGACAGAGCATATCTCCCAATTCATACAACGCGTGCGGTCGCTCAGTGCAGACCGGGGTAGAAGGTAAGCAGAGGCGACCACTCCGCGAACGACACACTTACCAACTGACATACGGGAAGGTCGCGCGATAGAAGCCAAAGCAGGACACAGAGAACATTTCCCCTAGGCGATGTGCACTGGGATTGGGGCATACAACCGACACTCTCAGTCGAGGATGCCTTGTTTGCAGATGGACGCAGACGTGCTGAGTACTGGGCCGCAAAAGACCGTGAAAGTGCTGATAACTTGAAAGACAAGACGTCGGCGAAGCCCGATGCTTCAGACACCAGAGCCGATATGCCAACACCCCCCAAGAGAGCTTCCAGTATTGACTCAATCTTCAGCCACAATACTCCAGCAGAACCTGACATCGACCCTGTTTTCATAGAGACGGCCTTAGCCCGAATGCGGTCCATGCATGAGAGACCAAGAGGGCGATCGCGGGAGCGCAAAGACCCTCAAAGACATGGCCGTCATGATTCGCGAGGTCCTCCGCCCGCACCATCCGCGGCCACGAGAAAAACTATCACCAAGGACCGACACAAGGATGAGAAGCCCGTCACACCCTTCCTGCACCGGTCGCTCTCCAAGCCTAGAGACGGGGACATTCAGGGCGGGGAACAACCCAAGCCTGAGGCCGCACCTGCCTCAGCGCACAAGGTTCATTTCGCTGCATCAAATCCGTCAAACATCACGTGGATAAGCCCATTCCGCTCCCTCGACACCAGTTTGAGTGACCCAGGACCCCACGAAGTGCCCCGCACCGAGCCCCGACGAGTCGCATCTTCGGACAAGCTATCCCGCGGAGACCCGCATCTTCAAGGCGGCAAGCGAAGTAGTGTTGAGTCTGGTAAGCTTCACGGGCCATCAGACCGCGACCGTTTTTCTTCTTCGAGCTCGATTACCATTACACGATTGGATAAACCGCTTCCTCGTACCCCTGCTGACACTGGTGAGGCCCCAGGCGACGTGTCGAGACGGCAGAGCGGGAAGCCACAGGCTGCTGAAGCCCCTCAGCCTGCTCGCACATACAAGCCACCATCAGATTGTGCCCCCAAGGCACGTACGCAACCGAAGAGTCGTCCTACGACGTCGCCCTCAAAGGGTAGCCCTCCAAGTCGTCCTGCGGCTCAGATCCCTTCTCCCAGGAGCTCTCCCCGATCGAACACTAGAACCACTACATTTGACCGTCGCGAAAATGCCAACCGTGGCGTCGCTGCCCCCAGTGTTCCTCCGGCGACGGTGGCACCCCTTGCCGCGAAAGCTGCAGCTGACCCCAACCGTGGACTGCAGCGGAAAGCAGGTACACGCGATCTGCGTGACGCGCGGCCACACATCGGATTGCAGACCGGAGGCTTGGATGGTAGAGCTGTTCGTGAGGGTGCCACCCGCAAGTCTCCGTCGGCGGGCAAAGGCAAACCTGTCGCTAACGGGAGCGCGCGGATTCTGAGGAACCTGTCATATAACCATGGCGAGAACAGAGGCTCGGACGGTAGCTTGTCTGGCTCCCCAACGACCGTTTGGTCACAAACGTCGGCTCCCTCGTCTCCCTACCGTGAGAACATCTGCCAGTGGCGGGAGAGCATACCAGCGGCTCCCCCTATTCCTGCAAGGGTAACACTGCCGAGAGGTGACTCCAGGGTTACACAGCCTGCGGTCTTTGCTAAGTCTCAGCCTAGAGACACTGTGGTGTCCTTGATTGCCAGCATTGACGGTGGCTGGTCTGTTGCGTCTTCAGAAACTGCGTTCGAACCTATGCCTGCCGTGGTGGATTCCAAAGCTATGCGGCATGACCACAAGCCAGGGCAGCCGCGAAGTAAACCGAAGCATTGCTGAAGGGAAGATCGCACGCACGCCCCTTGCACAGCTCCGCATATCAATCAACATCATACAAGCTTGATCGTCAAGTCTCCGCTAACTGCCGCTTTGCCTGGTCCCATCCTATTTATGTTGACTGCTCTCCGAGACGATCGTGCAAAGGCTCGACCTCTCGTTTTATTTATTCATGCATCGCCCACATTCTCTATATATCCGACATTCTTTATGTAAATCTATCTATCTATTTATCTATAGCTCTCACCGTGTTGACCGCCGCTATTTGTCGCTCCCTATTATATTACTCTGATAGACTCCCTGTACTACGCTATAGCACGGGTTAGTCTTGAGGGGAATGAATCTATTTATATCCCAATGCGTGTCTCTGCAGTGAGCACAAACGTCTCATCGTGGCCAGAACAATCCTTGAATGCTGGGGTGCTGTAGCGAACACTTCATGGTGAACTCAGCTCAACCTAGCGATTCGTAACAATCGTGGCGTCCGTCCGTGTCATTACAAAAGTCCTCCACCGTACATCTACCAGATTCGCTTCACCATCGTGAACCGCGTGATCTCCTCCAGCGGTAGCCGCTTGCGCTGAGCGCCACTCTTCCCAGTGCCTTCCCCCGGCTTACGCTCCCCGACGTCTGGGACAGGCGCCGCATCATCCCGCGCATCATCCAGCAGGGTCTTCAACTCCCGATTGTACATCTGAATTAGGGATTGAGGCATGAACATGGAAATGTGAATGTGGGGGGGTGTCACGCGCACCTGCTCTTCCTTGCCCTCGCCGATCGGGTCCCTTCCAAAGTCGTTCACGACGTCGGCGGCCTCCCGCGCTTCCATGTCGGCGCGCCGGCGTGTTGCATAGCCTAGCAGCTGCACGCCAAGGATGATTTTGATCACCACGGTGCTGCTCGCGTCGGTCAGCATCATCCCGGACCCGGAGTGAGCGAGTCGTCCCCCAAAGGAGCACAGGACGATATGTGACAGCAGTGAACAGGGCAGCAGACGTACCAGCACCACACGAGTACCACGAGCGCCGCCCACTTGGCGGCGTTGACGAGCTCGCCCTCTGAGATGTCGTACAGCGGGCGCGTCCAGATCCACGGCACGCTCCCGTCCGTGTGCATCGAGATGAGCAGGTTCACCGATTGGGAGCCGATCAACACCGCAAGCACGGCGAGTGGCAGCGAGGCAAACCCGAGGCGCCGCGCGACCAGTGGCGACTGGTCGACATACGTGTGCTTTTCACGCAGACGAGCGTCAGGAGATGTCAGCAACCTCGTGTGGCACAGCACAACGAGCGTACCTTGCGCGCGCCGCGGCGCCCTACCGCGCTCCCGCTGGCAAGGTCACGGCACAGCACGTCTGTATAACGTTCATACACAGACGGGCGTATGTGGTTGAACTTGGTGATGAACGCGTGCTTGAGCCAGTCGACGCCCATCTCGGACGCCATGACTGTCAGCACGGGCTGGGCGGACGCATTCAGTCAGGTTATATATCCCACCCACGCGCTGGCCGGCGAGTGGAGGTCACGTACATAGGAAATCGTCCAGAGGGCATTATTCCCGCGGAACCAGCCGAAGCTCTTCGGGAGAGCGAAGCCGTCGGTGAAGGCGAACGCGGACCCGTTGAGCTCGATGAGGTTGCGAAACGCCACGATGCAGAGCATGAGCGCAAGCGTGAAGCGCTCAACGATATCTGTCCGATGTGAGCATGTGCGCATAAAAGGCATCGATGTGGCTACTGCCTACCTGCGCAGGTGATCTGGAAGAGGTTGTCTTTCTCGAACTTCTTGAACACACTGCCCTTGATTTCGACGAACTGGTTTGACACAAGCAGAGTCAGGAGTGCGTGGTCATATGAGTTGACGGCAACGTTCAGTGAGATCATGGAGTAAATCATGACAAGCGTGTGTGCCACTAGTGCAACGGGGGTTTCAGATCATGAGAAAGACTGGGTCATATGCGCGGGCGCACCAGTATAGACGAGAGCCAGAGCAAAGAATACCACGGGCCGGAAGATGTACGACGTAGGTCGTTTGCGATGTGAGATGACCTCCAGAGTAGAGCGAGAGAACAGGCAGTCCAGGATGTCCTGGCCAATGGATGCACACAGGCGGTCCGCAATCTACAGCACGTGCAATACACTCAGCAACCAGGGCGCGAGTATTGGAGGCAGTGTGGAGGCGTACTTCGAGCGCATTGAATATGACATACAATTTGATGGTATCCTGCCCGCGAATGGAATGGTATATCTTGCTTGCATCTGTGAGCGGCGCCAGTATTATGATAGAGACAATGATCAGAAGCGTGCGGAGGATATCGGCCTTCTGAGAGGGTGGCAGGGGCGGAGCGGGGTGCCAGAAGCAGAATGTGTTGATGAGCAGGCGATACAAGGCGAGGGTGAAGCGGATGGGGAGGATGGTGAACGTGTAAAGGAAGGAGTCAAGGCAGACTACGAATCCAAAAAAGAAGATCTATAGCAGACTGTGAGCAATATGGGTGGATTGGCACGAGGGTCAGAGATGCCCCGCAAGGCGACGGGATTCTGCCAATAACAGACAAGAATATAGCATAGCTACTGACCTTCTCGAGAGCAACAGGCATGTGAAGGAAGTTGCTGACGCGCTCCCATTTGAGCTCCTGATGCGAGTCGAAGTCTGTGGCTAGGAGCTCCTCACGCAAGTAGTCCCATATTGAGAACGGCGGCTCGTGGTAGATCTCAGCCGAGGGGAAAGTTGGAATGCCCGACGCGTACGGAGGAGTAGATGCTTGCAGAGGAGAGGGTGAAATGGGTGAGGGAGGAAGAGAGGCATAGATCTTTGGCTGGCTGGCAGATGCGAGGGGAGGATCGGAGCGAGAGAAGTGAGAGCCGTCGTCGGAGATGGGCAAGGAGGCCTCGTCCTCAATTCCAGAGTCTCTGGCATGGTCTGGCGAGAAGTCGAACCCGGTACTGGAAGCTGAGGAACTGCGGCGCCGAGTGCGTGAGGTAGCTGCGGCGTTGTTCGAGCCAGTCGCTGAGAGCGCGGAGAACTTTCCGGTAAGCCTCCTGCCTGTAGCTGCAGATGCCGAGAAGTAGCGGCGAACGCGTTTGCGACGAGGCGAGAGCGATCCTGCAGCTGCAGGCATGGTACAAAAAGGTCGATGGCAAGGCGCGTGCAGCGAGCTGAGCGCAAGCTCAGGCACACCGACCAGCGCCCACAACCGCCCCATCAGACTGATCGATCACTCGTCCTTAATAGCCGGCAATTCAATCCGACTACTCACGCCAGCATTACAACCTCATTCAAGAACCATGTCATTGTGATACATTATCGAGACTGACAGAGAGGAACAAGTAGAGATGCATATGCGAACAAAACCAGCTGATGGTCGTGCGTAATGCTACCAAGTGCGTACAAGTATTCGATACAGGGTACAATAGAAATAGTTGTGAAGTGACAAGGGTGGCTGTGGTTGGAGATAAAGAAAGGCGGGTATCTGAACGGAGCTTGAGGGGATAAGGGAGGGTCTGCAAATTGATTTTGATAGGAGGGGCATTGAAAAAAGGGAAGACGTATTGAGAGAGTAGGTCAGGCGAGACATCGGATGAATCAAAAGTGAAATGTGTGTTTGTCTCAGTCGAAGGGCAACGTGTTGGTGGGTTTTCATGTATTTGAAGTTGATCGTTGATGCGGTGAGATGTCGCCTATACGATGCTGAAGAGAGACGACGAGCATACTCCATGACTAGGGGTTATTGACTATCAAGGCATGTTCGTGAGCTGTTTGTCAAATAAAAGCAATAACAAACATACCTTGACATCCGCTCGATAAGCGGAAACGCGAAAGGGATCCAGTCCCACATACGCTTGACGTCATCGAGCTGAAGCAGCTTCAGACCAATACAATCAGCGCGAGCGTTTTTCTGGAGCTTGATACTACTGACCATAAGGCATGGGGCACACGCTGCGACATCGGAGTCGGAAGGGGGATGAGGGGCTACCGCTAGGGTTGCACGCCATGCCATCCTTCCCTCGTCTTCGTCCGTCGCATATATCGTCTCTCAGATTGCTGCATGTGGTAATGTCGAGCAAGGTGACCGCGGTTGAATCAACGCTGAAATGACCCGCTTCAGCACAGGAGTCGCGCATTAGCGGCGATCGAGCTTACATGGAACACAATAAAATTCTTGTTCTTCTTGCCTTTCCGTTTCCTCTTTTTCTTGTCGCGGCTCCAGCCGTTCACCGAGACTGGCCCGGTGAGCACATTACTGGATGGAGGGACGTCTCTGGTTGGTCCGAATACATGAGCATCGGGTATCTTCGAGCCGACAACAACGTACGTGGCATCAGGTAGGAACTCTGGCTCGTCCTTCTTCTCGCATCTCCTGGCGGGACCGGGTTCCTGTACATGAGGTGTTAACCAAGGTCATCGTGCATCATGAACAGCACTTACCCGTGTCGCCGACTTGGGGCGCTTGACACTGAAGAGGAGCACCATAGCTAATATCGACCAGCCCACTAGCAAGTCGATATGGTCGATTGGCGAGTTCGGTAAGGTCGGCGAGGTCCCGTTCATCGACGATGATGACGCGTGCCAGTTGAACACGTCCACAATGTTGATAGCGTCGATGGAGGGCGTCGTGACCGACTCCTCCTCGGGTGCCTCCGTCAGCGCGCATATTGACTGCGCCGACTGGGTGTGGTACCAGATGAGGTGGTCGAGGAGCGACGACTCGGGGAGGGCATGGCACCACTCGTCCCCGCCGTGGTAGTCGCCGCGTCCGTCTGCTTCCTGAGCAAACGGCTCCTCGTCCTCCGCCACTGGGCAGGTGAGCTCGTCCAAGCTCACCAATGATGGCAGCACGTAAGAGATGGAAAAGTTCGAGAACTGAGTCGGCACTCCAGGCACCTTCCCGTCCAGCGTGAACTCCTCGTACACCTCCCACTGCGCCGCCGAGGATGTCTTCATGTCGACACGGACCACAGGCAGCCATCGAGGTTGACGGATGGCGATGCTGCCGGCATACTTAACCTCGGCATCGACATCAATGAGTTCAACATGGCGCTTACCCAGACAGCTGCAGGTACTTCAGAGGACCGCCAAGGCTGGGGTACCCGAATGTACGAGCAGCGTGGTCGTATGCGATGAAGATGTTGGTCGTGAAGACCAAGTAAGAGATGAAGAGCGTGATGAGGATCATGGTGGTTCGAGGTCAAGTTTCTGAGAGGAGGGATGGGGGGATGGGGGGCCTTTTATACAAGTTGAACATGGAGATTGAGCTCCGACGTCACTGGCAGTCAACTAAATGTCAACGGTGATCGGTGGAAACATATTGAGCAGTGCTCAATATATATCCACCGACGCAGGGAAAGCATAGTGATGCCAGTCACTGAGAGACTACTCTGGATGGAGGGAATGCTTTCCCTCCAGAGAGGTCTCTCAGTAACTGGCAGCACTATGCTTTGTGGTACATACCTTGACCTGAGGCGGAAATGAACAAGGTTTGGATCGGTGGATCGAGATCGAGATCACCGAGGCGTGCGTGTTGAAAACGACCTTGAAAAATCCCTTCAATCGCCGCCGCCTGTTCTTCAGTATCAAGCGTAATCTTCACGTAGCAGGTTCTGGTATTTCGTCCTCACTCGCGATAGAACAGAGGGGTGGGCTAATAAATGACATCGAGGTTAAATGTCTTCATTTGGGCAATGATCGTTACGACGACACCCAAGACAGGGAAATGCCAATACGACGCGGAGTCTTCCGCGTCGCACCACTTTGTTTTGCCAAGGCGGCGAGCTTTCGCTGGCAGATACATGACTCACCTAACATCTGCACTGTCCGTCATGATATGCTGCCGTCATTAATACATGTTGCTTGCTGGGGTACCTATAGGAATTCCACTCAAGTAAACTATATGCTCGAGACACATGTAATGTCAGAAGTTCAGGTTCAGCTATAGGGAATGATCAGGACATAGCACAAGTATCGATCAGGACATAGCACAAGTATCGATCAGGACATAGCACAAGTATCGATCAGGACATAGCACAAGTATCGATCAGGACATAGCACAAGTATCGATCAGGACATAGCACAAGTATCGATCAGGACATAGCACAAGTATCGATCAGGGATGTAAACTGACCGACATACGGAGCGCAGCAGGAGAGACCTGCCAGCTTGTCTTCAATTCAAAGTCCTCACTGGGACTGCTCGCGCCTATGAGCTCGAGCACAATTCGTGACCACCAGGGGTGCTGATAATATGTATCGGCAAGATGGCGAAAAGTACGGGACGAGACTGAAAGCATGTTCAATTTGTGTGGATGCATATAGTAAAAGACTAATGCCGGCTGAAATTTATACATTGGCCATCAGCTTGCGTAGTCCTCCGTTCTTACCAGCTCATGAGACTGTCACAAGTAGTAGACCGAGCGCTGGGTCCCAGCTGATCGTCGTACTCCCAGGATGTGCCGGGGTGATCGTGCCATGGGCGCCGGTAACGTCAGTCGACGCATTCGATGAACTGCGTGCCACCTATCTGCACATCTCGTATACATGATCTCACTTGCGATGCAGCTTGAAGAGGTATACGAGAGCATACCATCTGGAGAATACGAAGAATTGAGCGTGAACGCACTTGATAAGTCGGAGGAGGGTTTGTTTGTCACGGTCTGCTGAGATGGCATCACTCGATCGGGATCATCATCACGATCAGTACATCGTTTACCGTGCCTCCTCCCGTCTCGTGAACTGGGCCTGCCACTCGTCCTCGAGCTTTTGTAAGATGATACTGGGAGATCTAGACACAAGCTGATGAAGCGGATGGCGGCGGACGCAGGTTTGATAGAGTGAGCTTTCGAGCAAGTCGAAGCAAGAGCTGTATGCACTTATGGGTTACAAAATGCGTCAAACAAACCGCATTATACAAGGACAAGAATAAGGATATCATATGCTCGGATGTATGTTACACTGCAGCGATACAGACCAAAAAATACAGCAGACAAGCGATACACAGCGCGACGAATCCCCAATGAAAGTAGGGACAGCAAAATAACCACAAAATCATTGTGCCTGAGCCTCCTGCGAATCAGAAGACCGTCAGATGACACTATGTGGAATGACGGGTATTGACTTGCCTGGTCCACAAACTGCATCGCCTCTTCGCGTTTGATGCAAGTGATGGAACTGACTTTTTGATTGTTGAACAGTACGCCGTAGAACTTGTCTGCAGTGACAAGCATCTCTGGGCGGAACGTCGTCGTGATGAACTGAGCCGTTGAGGAAAGGTCGTGGATCATCGCTGGTTCCCCGTCAGCCTGCTACTACACGCAGATTGTATGATTGCACCTACCTGCAACTGCAGTCCGATATTGGGCATCTAGATTTGCATCGATCTAGAGAGTCATGTTGAGCACACGAACGGTAGATAGAATCGAGTGAATGCACCTCATCAAAGAGATAGAATGGTGCAGGGTCGCACTTCTGAATAGCGAATACTACGCCAGACATATCAGCGATGCCCCTTAATCTGTGGAAGAAGATATACCGGTTGCAAGGGCGACCAATGACTTCTGCCCGCCTGACAATTGCTGGATCCTCAGGCCCTCATCGACCTTGGAGTTGAATGATACCTGCCAAGTTGCGTCAGGAGTAACACATATTCTCGAGACGTTAGCAACTAACCCTAATCGAGACACCGGTGTAGTTGTCAATAGTGCTCTGCTGGGTATCCTCAGCCTCTTCCACGTCCTCTTCGTCCTGCGGTGAGGGTCAATATTGATCGATCGAACGGGATGACGATCAACACACCTGATCTATCCGGCGCTGGATGATCAATCTTCCCTTTCCTGCAGGCACCAACTTCTCAAATACTTCCTCAAAGTTCTTCGCGACCTGTTTGAACGTTCTCTCGATGGCCTCATCTTTGCGCTGATCGAGTACTTCAACCAGCTCTTCGATAGATTGAGCAGAAGTGTCCAAGTCTTCGCGACGCTGCAGTAGTTGATCGCGCTGCTTCGTGAAGTTGTTGTATTGTTCGAACGCTTTCTTGTTCACGTGCGCAAACTTCTTGAGGCCTTCATTCACGGTATGCAACTTTTTCACCAGCTGAAATGACTGTCAGTCTTGCATTGCCGACGGGGAACAACGACACACACTCTATCCAGCTTCTCGTTGGTGTATTTCTCGAATGCCTCTTCGGGAAGGACACCAAGATCACGAATATTCCGATTACACTCATCTTTCCGATTAACCAGCATCTGCTTCTTGGCGAGGTAGCGTTCTGTATTCTTCTGTTGCTTAGAGATCCCTCTGCTGTCCTCGCTTTGCTGATTTTGTAGATTATCGAGTTGAGTGCGTTGCTCTTGTAGCTGCGTCGTGAGCTTCTCGATATCTTTTTCCGTATCTAGGTATAGGGTATGTCAATCAGACTGTAGTAGAAAGCAAGATTGCATTGGACCTTGTGACCGCTTCGTCAAAGTATTGATTTCTGCATCAAGGTGGCGTAGCTCCCGAGTACGAGTTTCCAAGGCTTCCTCAGAGGTGGCATCACCGGTCTCGGCCACGCCCAGGGCATCAATCTTCTCCCGCAATTCTTCTCTTCGCCGTCGAAGGGACTCGTTCAGTTCGATCTCAATAGCGTTCTTCCGACTGCCAGTCTGCCAGGAGTCAAGGTTAGCAGGTACTGGCGGATCCACTGGTTCTTACCATACCTCGTTCTTCTGCTTTCCGAGTTCTAGCAGCAGTTTCTGTCGATCATCGATATTTTTCCCGAGAGCCTCTATCTGTTCCTCTTCCTCAGCAGTGAGACCCCGAGCCATAGGGCTGCCCAATTCCGCGCGCAGGCCTTGCCATCTCGCATCGAGGCCGCTGAGTTCTGACTGAAGATCATCTATATCGCTCTCAAGCTTGGCGATGCGCGCCACCAGACGTTCCCTCTCCCTCTCCAATGCCGAAAGCTCTTCGGCAAGAGACTCGCGGGTATTCTTCGTTTGGGTTTGCTGATTGCTCAAGACCTGAAGTCTACCAGCCGCCCTCGTGATTTCTTGATCAGTCTGTATGATGGCTTTCTGAACCTCCTGCAGTCGTTGATTCTCGGTCGCGTGTTTGGCAGACCAGCTCGTGACGCTCTTGATAGCCTCGATTCGAGACCGACGCACATCATGGTAACCTCCAGTCAGAGCGCCCTTGCGATCGACTTTGTCGCCATCAAGTGTAATTGTGTTGATACCGTGACTCTTCACGTATGCTGCAGCGATAGTTAGATCACGGCATACACAGGTCTTGCCGAAGACCTGTTCGAACGCCTTGGTGTAGGTCGGATCAAATCTGAGCTTCTCGAGCAGGGGAATAGCATCCTGTGCATTTGGCGTCGGAGGGACCTTCGGTTTCAACCGGTTCAGAGGCATGAAAGTCACCCTGCCCGTTCGCTCTTTGATCATGGTGTCTACGATCCTTGAGGCTGTAGCATCAGTATCGACAACGACGTGGAACAAGCTACATGATGATATCGTCAGGATGCATTCATATCAAGAGTCGTGTATAATATTCACCTGTTGCCGGCCGTGAGTTCGACCGCAATATTGAATTTCTCGTCGATCACCTCAAACAGTCGGTATAGTGGACCATATACACCCTCCATGTTGTGTCTCTCCGCAATCTTGTCCACAGCTCGAAGCCCGCTGCCAGTATCCTACAATTTGGGAACATCAGGACAAGGATACTCGGAGTCAAAACTTGAAGCGACTGGCCTTGTCCATCATGCTTGCCAGAACCCGCTCGGCTGACCTCAGTTCATCGGCTGCATGGGCAACCATGCTGTTGAGTTTGGTGTCCTCCCTCCAGAGGTTCTTGCGTTTCTCGGTGAGCTCTGCATATTCTTCCCTGAGCTTGACAACTTGCTCTGCCAGCTCTCGCGCTCGCTCCCTTTGATCTTCGACGCTTCCTCGGCCATGCTCCATTCGCTCGTCCACTTCCCCCAAGGATTCTCTGGCTTTCTCAAGATCCGTCCTGAAAGTTTGCAGAGCGGCGGCCTGCGAGTTGCGATAGGCCTCAATCGATGCAATCTCGCGCGTAAGGTATTGGTCGCGCTCCGCCCGGGTTCTGTATTTGTTGAGGCGGCCGCGTTTGGCGTACAGCGCATCTAACCGAGCTCGAGCCTCGTCCAGTCGATGTCTTTCTTCGCTTTCACGCGCACGACGCGTCTCCCACTGAGGAAGAAGCTCAGTCAGCTCGGCCTCGCTCCCTTGTATCTGTTCTTCGACGTTGGCCAGTTCTTCCTCCAACTCTCCCTGTCTCCCTCCTGCACGCTCTGCAGCGACACGAAGATCGCTGACAGTGCACTGGAGCTCAGTGCGAGAGCGGACAAGGTCTGTGAGCTCCGATTGGTTGCCTTGCTTTGTGAGCTGGAGCGTCGTCAAGGTGCTTCTGAGTTGCGAAATGGACTGCTCTAGGTTCTAGAACGAATATACTGAGTGAATGGGAGCGACAGGAAGGAGAAAAATTCAGTACGCACCTGAGCTCGTTTTTCTCTACTGTTGAATTCTTCTCGCCGAACGTTAGTATTGTGCACTTCACCTCGACGCTCCTCTTCGATTTCTTCGAGTGCCTCGCCGACTTCTTCAAGCTCACGCTGATACAGAGCATATTCAAGACACCGGCGTTCCTTATCCTTCTCTTGAAACTCTTTGAGCTCCTCCTTCTCTTCCTCGAGCTCAGTCAATCGCGTGTCAATGTAATCGAGCAGTTCGCTGATCTTCGTTCGTTTAGCGTCAGTTTCAGCCATGATGCGCAGTGACTCGGCGCGTCTCTGCTCGTATACTTTGGTGCCGGCGACTTCTTTGAGCAAGGCGAGTCGTTCATGATCTTTTGCGTTTGTGAGCGCGGTGATCTGCAGAGTGGATTAACCGAATAATAAGCGGTTGTGGAAGCGAAGACAAAAGACCGACTACTGACCCGGCCCTGAGGAACGATGTAATATGGGTTACTCTTGCTGAAACCTGCGCTTTCCAGTAAGTTCATGACATCGGCCTTGCTGGCGCTCTTCTTGTCAAGACTATACTCGTCCTTCTTCAGACCTATTGTGCGCCGGAGAATCACTTCGTCGCGGCCAGTTGGGAATCGATTGTCCGAGTTATCGAACACAATTTCAACTAAACATTGCATACATATTGCCAATGATATCCACTCTCCGTCAGCGCACTGTAATTGATCAGAAATACAACACTGTAACGCACCATATGCGGACAAAGTTGTTGTGACAGATACCCCTTCATGCAGTAACGACTGCCGTTCCTCACGAGACATGGACGTGTACGCATCAGAAAGAACAAATCTGATCGCTACAGGCGTGTCAGACTGTCAGCCAGTTAACACAGAGACGTTCCTATGAGCGGCACACCTGCGAAAAAGTTACTCTTTCCTGACCCATTCCTTCCTACGACAACATTATGCCTTGGAGAGAACGGCTCGATCTGCGTTTGGTCTCGATCTGCAGACAGTTATTCCGGTGTTCGTGTGCAGGTAAAGAAGAAGCTTACATGACTTGAAGCCTTGTATCGTGAGTGTCTTGATATACATGACGCGTAATGAAGGTCAGCGACCAACTGTGGCAACTAGAGACAAGATGCCGCCGCAATGTCCGAAATTCTAAGCGACGCTATTGGTCCGAGATGCCTATCTTTGACAAAGCAGTTTCCAGAGCGTGGCTGGTGCAAAAAGAAAGTTGGAAGGCGCGAGACAACTGTCGGGCGAAGCCAAGCCCCAAGTCGCGACGGTGGAAGCGGATGCAAGCGTGACAGTCTACCGCGTGACAGTCGCGACTGTCACGCGTCGGGACCACGTGCAGGTCGACAAAGAGAACGGGCGAAAGTAAATGATGGCAAAGAACAAGCTGCCGCCATGCAGACTGTGCATCCCTCATGGCGTCTCGCACGATCTCTATGTCGGACTTGTCGACGATCATATTCGACACAAAATCATATCCCACCCCTGCCACCTCTGTCTGAATGGAAAACCCTCTTTGGTTCTTCAGCGACAATTGTGAGAGACAGAGTATCTGTGAAGTCCCCCGAGACAGCCAGAAGCATAGTGCAATCCTTCGTCTCGGGCCAAAGTCCCGCAGCGGGGCAGGGAAAAATAATTGTCGAGGCGTTTCCTGGTGAGTCTGCTAACATTTCATGGTTCTTTTATTCGGATTGTGTGATGTGTATTCTTAACAGGTCCGGGCGCGCTCTCGCGGGCTTTACTGGAGCTGCCAGAGTCTCATGTGAAGAAGCTCATCATCCTCGAGGACAACGAGGACTACCTGAACTACCTGAAGGTAACTTTCACATCTTCCTGTTCCCATAAAATGCTCATGTTGTTTGTCAAGCCCTTAGAAGATGCCGACTCGCGTGTCAAAGTTGTGCCTTTGTCAGGGTTCGATTGGGACACATACTCTCACATAGAAGAGGCAGGCCTGTTGAATGATGTTCAGACCGTTCCCTGGGAAAGCGGCCGTAAGTGCTTTCGTCATGCGTAATACCAGAATGCTCACGGTTCACGGGCCAGTACACCCGCAGTTACACTTCATAAGTCACTTGCAACATACAGTGAAAGGGGAACAACTGGTCGCACAGTTATATCGCTGCATACCTGATCGCTCGTGGCTCTACAAATACGGTCGCGTGCCTATGAGCTTTGTGCTTAGTGAGTGGGTATGGGATGTATGTAGCCTGATCACTCGCGTTGTCTCCGGGATATCTCACATAAGGTACATTTGCAGCGTATAGCTGGCAAACCAGGAACTACGAAACGGTGCAAGCTTTCTGTCATTGCCGAAGGCACCGCAGAGAACAAACTCTCCCTTGGCTCCGGATCCTTGTTGCCATATGATTCTCACTTCCATCCAAGCCCAGCTCGAACGGCCGCTGGCCGCCCTGTCGGCCTGCGAAAACCAGGTCATCCTATGGTCACAATGAACGTTGTACCGCATGCAGAACAGGTGCGGCTAACGTAATACACATGTCTAGGACAATCTTAATTAAGTGACACCTCAGATAATCACGAAAGGCATGCTAGACAAATGGGACTATTGTCTCCGGAGATTATTTGTGCTGAAGTCCACGCCATTGAAGAGGGCAATCAGGTGCGATACTACTGTGGTCGCCGGTAAATTGCAGGCCCTGATTACCCTTGCATTCAGTTCTCTTGCTCCCGGAGCGCAGTCACTACTCAAACCGATTTGGGACCCTAGTTTGCCTCGTGATGAGAGAGTCGATATTAACAAGCCTGTCCGCGACTTCACTTTAGCAGACTGGACAATCCTCATGCGTGCCTTCGATGAATGGCCTTTTGCGCCCGAGGTGAGCTACGTAGCCCTACGCTAACAATCGTCGAAGATTACTCATATGCTGTCCCTTAGGATTTGATGATTAGCGATGCATTCACGAGGCAAAATGCCGTCCGGGTTGTTATGTGAAACACGCGATTAGTGGTACACTGATGAATAGACTAGGGGTCGCCCACACGGGTTTGATAATCATCGTGCTGCTTTCAGCTCATCCGGTCCTATTGTCAGACACTGAACTACTGCCGAAGTAGCGTATGATAAATACATCCGACATTTATCTGCAAGGCGAAGAGCGACATGGAATCCAGAAGTTAGCTTGCGACTACTTCTATGGCACTACTGTCATGGGTAGGGGATGGCGGCCAGTCAATCGGCTCGGGGCTTCCGGGTTCCTGAAATCAATGTGAGTCAATGTGAGAGCAATCAAAGATCGTGGTCGATCTCACCTCGAACTCTTGAGTGGCCACTGCTGCCGAGTCCGCTAATTCCGTCGGCACTTGCGACGGCTCGTCTTCATGTACTTGTTCATCCTGCGTACGATCATCCATCGCGAAATCCGTAGCCTGACTCTCAGCCTCTGGATCGATGTTCTCGCTTGCCCCTTGTGACTCTTCTGCAATGTCATTTTTTCTCTTACGTCCTGAGACCTTCTTCTCTGGCTGTTCCGAAGGCGGTGCTGGAGGCAAACCGAAAAGAGTCGTTTGTCGTCCCGCAATCTTCTTTTCCTTCGCCTTGCCTTTGGTCGGCGCGAGCCCTATAAGCATCTTGACATCACAATGTGGAATCCTGCAACAACACGACCACGTACGTTTAGTCTTATCTGCTTCAGCCGCGTCAACTTTCGTGAAGAAGCTTTCGCTTTTATGAAGAGATTTGTTCGCGTCGCTCTTCGCAAATGGATTCCGTCCGTTGTCTGCTCCTGATTTTCGAGCAAACGGATTCCCCCCTTTGATGCCAGAGGGTCAGTATCCTGAGGTCAGTGGACGAACTGGAGCTTACGTGGTGCGGCTATCTTGGCAATGCTGATGGACTCGTCAACCGCTCGTCGCTTCGATGAGTAGTCTACGCCAGGTGTTCCTGACTCACGAACAAGCTCCTCGCTCGATCGCTTCCTCTTACTGCCTGGAGAATTGAACGAGTAGTCGTCCATTGTATCGTCTAAGTAAGACGATCCAAATGTTGTGTCTTCTGTCAGCTGGCTGCTCATGCCGGGTCTGGTTGAGATGCTCTCTTTCGCCGTCTCTACTACTGGTGTAGCACGTTCGAGACCTGGTCGGTGTTTTGGAGGGGGAGGTCTGAAATCTTGGAATGCCTTGGGACGTGGTGCCTCTACGTAGATAGTTTTGGCAGCGGGAACAGGTGCTAAATCCCTCGTACGCTGCCTTCTTCTATCTCGTGCATCCGTTAGGCGGTCGGTCGCTTCCCTATCCTCCTTCAGCGCCTCCATCTTCTCTTGGAGACCAATAAGATGGTAGAATCCCGCGACCTTGATGGCCATGTCGAATGAGGCAGTATGATGCAAAAGCCTTGCTAGATCCAATGCCCGTGCCAGTTTGTCATTTTTACACGCATTCTGGATCAGTTGGATCAGCTCCTTGTCAAGAGCAAGTTCTCGTCTGGCAATGTCATCGGTCGTGAGCTCGTCACCCAGACCATCCCGCAAGATGTCTAGGAACATGCTCTCACGAGCAAGGCTAATACATATCTTTTAGTGTGTGACAAAAAGAACTTAAGATAACTCTCACTGTTCTTCTAGAGGTGCTTCCTTAGGATCTGATCGATGGAATGGGAACTTCAGAGGCAGCTCCTGGATGAGAGGTCTTGGGAAGCCCGGGTGCTCTTGCCGTCCCTATGGCAATGTCAGCGACACGATAACGAGTTCATGGACTAGCATACCTTCAAAATCAGGCACATGAAGGTGTCGCCAGAGAGACCGACAGGCCAGTATGATTCTTGTTTTCCTTCTCTTCGATCCAGGAGGTTTGTATCAAGTACCCTTGTCCACGTCGCCGAGAGCGGCAGTCTGAACCTCGGCATGACATTGAGAACGCCAGCAGAATCGTAGATTGCTGGAGCCTGCGTTCACTGTCAGCAAATATCCAACTGGCTTCATATAAAGACGCAATTACTGACACCCTCTTCTGTAATGCCGACCCACCGAAGAGTATGGCGTTTAGGTATTGGCAGGGAGTCCTTTTGTAGCAAACAGACATCGTCAAACTTGATCAGTCTGCCCGTCAGATTTTGAGATCCTATGGAGATGATTCAGTGTAAGCGTCACTTTGCATTACCGTAAATGTCTCGACCATACCGTCCATAGTAGTCGCCCCATCGCGATGTACAACAAATACCCATTCCGACCCTGCGACCATAGTCACGAAATCGCCTTGCAAGCTAAGACAATGCCGCTCGATGCCCGTTCCGGTCAGAAAGATGAGCTCATTCTCGCTCGTGGCTACAACAACATTTCCGTTTCCCTGCATATCAGCATCCGACTTCTCTCGGAGCGACTTAGTCGGCGGTGCGCCTCCAGCAGCCACGCCAAGGACCTTGGTACCTTTGGGTAGTTCGTACGTCCATTCACCCTGTGTGGCCCACGTGCCATACGGCTTGTATATGATATGCGCCGGATGATCTTGTTCTGGTTGGCATGCGTATACAGCGCCACGCTCTCCTAAGACATGCCAGTCAATTCATGGTCATTATGGCTGTCATTAGGCTCTTACCAAGGGAGGCAAGGTCGTACTTCGAATGGTCTGTAAAGTGATATCCCTTGCGCGCAGATTTGTCATGAAACTCCACATTGACGATGTGGTGCGTGTCCTGGTCGGTAACTTCAATTACACCAATCATGTTGTACGCTATGACAGACCTGTTGAGGAGTGGCTTCAAATGTTCTTTAAATCTGAGAACTCACCAAGGTATCGTTTCTTGTTATCCATTGGTGTCGAACCTGGTTGGAAAGGAGGCTGAGCTTTTGTGACACTGACTGGAGACCACGGCAAGTGAGCCGGTACCCAAGAATTCTACGAAATCAGGATTACCCATTTCACGGACACCTTCCTTCGCAGCCCATCTCTTCTCCCCGTCATCGTCATTCATTCCACCTCCAAGATCGTCTAGGATCCAGTCGTCATTGTCGAGATCGACGCCCAAATCCTCGTCTAAATCGACATCCGCTCCCTTACTACCCTTAGCGGCATCTGCCTCATCGTCAAATAGTGTGGGTGTACCTCTACGTTTCAGCGGGACTGTTGTAGTGCCCATGCCGGACGAAACCTTGACAGGGTCAGGAGCAGTTGCAGGTATTGGATCTGGCCAACGGGTCAAGACACCCTCAAAGTCTGTCCACGCGAGAAGGTTCTGGGTCGGAGAGAATGCCATTTGTGTAACGGGTGCACTGAGAGCACCTTGATACCTATTGCGCTACGTCAGCCCCAATCCCAATTGTACCATGAGACTGTGTGTGCACACCGAAAGAGCAATCTACGAGTCTGGGTGGACCATATAAACACGCCAGACTTCGAGGCAGACGCAAGGTATACACCATTCTTCGATAGAGCTAGCGCGGTGATAGCACCAGACGATGCATCGTCAGAATATGTGGAAGACTTTGACCAGTCGCTCCTAGAGATAGTCACAATCTCTGGGGGAAGGCGCACGAGTGAATATAGTGTCTCATCACAGTAATCATAGCACTCTGACCATGTGCACGAGTGGCCACGAAGAAGTACTGCCCGGACGTATGCCATACTGCGGAGCAGTCATGGGAAAAGTCATCAGAGCTGTGGTAAAGATAAGCATACATGCTGATTTTAGGAGTTTGAACACATACTCCGGATTTGAGACTGCTGGAATTATCCCTTCAAGTATTTTCTCCTCCTTGGCCTCACTCTCCGTAATATCCCAAATAATGATTTTACCATCTGCTCCACACGTAGCCTACGAAAGTCAGTATGCAGGGTGTCATGACGAGAGGAACCACCTACCAGGAGAGAGCCCGAGGGATGCCATGTAGCCTTTCGCACAGCTTTCGTGTGAGTTTTCAGCACAATAACCTTTGTGGTGTCCTCCAGATCTATTATCTTGACTATAGGCTCACTTCGCGATTGTGAATATCAAGGTTAATGGGATCAAGAGCAACGCACTCTGAGGTGACTGCAATCTTCTTGCCCTGCGGGTCTACCGCCACGCAGCGGATCGGTACACCGTTGGCGCTGGTGACGAGCCCACTCATTTCAGAGATTGCATGTTCATAACGTCGTACTTCGGTATCTGTGCTTCCAGAAAACCAGCAGTCGCGCTGCGCGTGCGTTAGGCAAGCACGTCGTTTAACACGTTCAACACATACACCTGTAGCAAGACTGGTGATCGCCTCTGCAGCTTCTACGGCAACATCAGGTTCCTGATCAGCACCAAGGTCTGCCCGCCATAAGCGAACGAGCGAATCGGTTCCCCCGGTGTAGACGCGACTGGAGTTGGAGGTCTTGTCAGCTAGTGGCCGCCACAACATAGGCAGCTACTCACGAGCCATCTCTGGAGAAGGCAATGCAAGTGTTTCCAGGTTGGTGCGCAGAGTTTACAAGGGCATTGTCAGAGGACATGACCTACTGTGAACGGGCGCAAGAGAGCAGAGAGTTGGGCGACGCGAGCGTGACACTGAACGCGATGGAGGACGCGTCTTGTCACGCGTCCATCACACAACACAAGCGCCTAATGTAGAGCCGTTACCGACCAGAGGCTACGCGCTCCTGACTGCGATATGTAGTACCTTCCGAGGTGGTGTGCATTGGCCAACGCTATGCCTTCGGATTAAGTCCTTTCCATAACATTCATACTGTATTCCCATTCTTCTGGGACGATATAGCGGAATGCACCGGCAAAATTTCGGACCGTTTGCGATGGTATGACCTGGGCAAACTCTGGTCGAGCGGACCGGACTCCTCTGCTCCTGACCGTCTGCAAAGCATAAAGTAGCTCCTCGAACATGGCTAGATCTGCAGCTACATTTCACTGGTCCCGACCATGTCGTACTTTGCACACACTACGCCATTTGCTTCTAACTCGCTGGAGACGAAGGATGACTTGACAAAATACTTGGTCGGCTTGCTTGATCCTCTGGCAGCTCACACCTCCCCAGGTGGGGCCCGCATCCACCTCGGCTTCACTGGAACCCACTACGACGAGGCAGCAGCGCAACTAGAGGGTTTCTCCCGTCCCATCTGGGGTCTTGCGTCTTTACTTGCGGGCGGGGGTGCTTACGAAGGTTCGCAGAGATGGGTCAATGGTTTCGCGAATGGAACCAATCCCGACCATGAGGAATTCTGGGGAAACATGAAGGACAAGGATCAGCGAATGGTAGAATGTTCCGCCGTAGGCTTTTCTCTTGCAGTGGCGAAGGAGCATCTCTGGAATCCACTGCCGCCAGAGGGTAAGAAGAACCTCGAAGCATGGCTTGGTGGGATGAATGACAAGGAGATGCCTAACACGAACTGGCTCTGGTTCCGAGTCCGTCCCCGTTCACGCCTTCACAGCTTTGGCTGGACTGACACATGTGCTACAGGTCTTCGCCAACCTCGGCCTGTCCAAGGTTGGCTCCCCAAAATATGATGCGAAGCGCATGAAAGCGGATCTCGATCACCTGGACACGTTCTACATCGGCGACGGCTGGTCTCGAGATGGGCCAGAGGGCGTCGTCCAGCTCGACTACTATTCGTCGTCCTTCGCCATCCAATATGCACAATTAGTTTACTCGAAGCTGGCTCAAGCAGAGGACCCCGCACGGTGTGAGGAATTCAAGAACCGCGCACGAAAGTTTGCCCTTGACTTCGTGTACTACTTTGATACGGAAGGTATGTGCCAACGCATTCAGTGTACATCACAAATCTACATGAATTGACAGGACGTGCCATTCCGTTTGGGCGGAGTCTGACATATCGCTTTGCGATGTCTTCCTTTTGGGGCGCCTTGGCGTTCGCCGACGTTGAGCTACCTGCACCGTTGACTTGGGGAGTCGTGAAGGGCCTTCAGTTGCGGAATATCCGCTACTGGGCCAGGCAACCCGGCGCATACTACCCAGATCGTACGCTCACGATAGGCTACTGTTACCCGAATCATAACATGACCGAAGTCAGTGTCTGACTCTACGAATGTCTGAGACCAAGTGTCTAATGTATCCGCAACTCATAACAGAACTACAACTCTCCCGGTAGTCCATACTGGTGCTGCAAATCGTTTATTGCGCTATCACTACCTATCTCCCATCCTTTCTGGGCATCAACGGAGGAACCGTACCCTGTTTCGCTGACGAATACGACCAAACCTCTCTACAAGCCTCTCCACATTGCCACGAACCTCGGCGGGCACCACTACATCCTCTCCTCGGGGCAGCAATGCTCGTATCCTGTCAAGCAAAGCGCCGCCAAATACGGCAAGTTTGCGTACTCCTCCGCGTTCGGGTACAGCGTGCCCGTCGGGAGCCTCACGCTCGAAGAGCTCGGTGGCGACAACGCGCTCGCGCTGAGTGACGACAACGGCGAGGTGTGGAAATGCCGCCGCGACACGCGCGAGGCGCGCATCGAGGGCGGGCGCTGGCTCCGCTCGATGTGGTACCCGTGGAAGGACGTCGCTGTCGAGACGTGGCTTGTCCCGCCCACTGCGGACGCCCCGCTCTGGCACCTGCGTATCCACCGCATTCGCACCGGGCGCAACTTGATCTCGGCAGAGGGCGGGTGGGCTCTCTATGGCCAGGACAAGGACGACCGCGCGCTGCGGCCGTCCACGGGCGAGGCCTTTGGCACGCTGGAGAACAGCGGAGAGGCGCGCACGGCGTCGAAGGCGGGGGCGGCTGGTATTGTCGAGCTGGGCGGGCGACAGGGGAGGAGCGGCAAGGCGCTGCGCACAGACGCGAACACGAACCTGATGGTGCCCAGAGCGGTGATGCCGATCCTGATGGACGAGCACGAGGCGAGCGAGAAAGACATCTGGCTTGTGACGGGCGTGTTTGGCCTGCCGAGCGCGGAGGGGCAAGAAGGGGCTGCACCTGGGTGGGAGACACAGTGGTTCAAGAGACCTACCGTTCCAGAAGAGATTGCGGACCTCATGAGATAATCGTGGGATAATCATGTGTGTATGAATATTACAGCTGAGGCGTAGCGAACACACGAGTGACCCAGTGGTTCTCACAAAGTAACTCAAATTGCCTACCTCGCTGCAGAGCACTGTATTTAGGGTCATCTCATTGATTGCCACTGCGTTACAGTAATCTGGCGAGTTCAACATTCACACATCCACAGGGCCGTGTGGTCCATCGGCGGAGCACATTGGACTTTGTATGCATCGTGCCGTACGAGGAAGCGATGCCCTTCAAGTAGTTAAAATCAATTATTGTTTTCTTTCTTCGACATTCGTCTCTGGTTCTTCGTGCTGACGAAGACGGCGAGGAGAGTGATGTTGGTTGCTTTTGGCCTTGACCTGCATTGACTCGGACCCTTCCCTATGACGGTGCTTTGGCCACTCGATTTCCTAACAGCTTCTCATGTATATATAAGCACAAGGCATGACGCCCAGTGAAAAACGCGTCTGAGCAGGTCGGCGCTCCTCCGCGCTGAGCTGCGCCAAGACAGTCTAGTCTGAGTTGGTCTGCGCCAGTCTGTCGAAATGTCATCCTTCTGCTTCGTTAACTCTGCTTCACATAAGTAATTTACACATCATCTGTCGCGCATGTCTCCCTTGTACACGACGAGCATGACGGCCTACTGCCCAGTGCCTTCAGGCGGTTAGCCCCCGTCTCATCGACGTGTATCCCGCCTCACAAACCCGGAAATCCAACGAGCCGAAGCGATCGGCGTAGGCGACACTAATATCTGAGGGTAGCAAAACACGCGGAAGCAAATAGTATAGTATGGTGCGTCAAACGGGACACACCTGAGGAGCCGAGCTACTGGCACTGGCTGTGGCTGGCACTGGGGCTCCGAGATCGTGACAATTTGGAATTGTCGAGCCTAGCAGCTCGCTTTTGTCCAGCACCAGGACGAGGCGAGGCTCCCATCCCGTTTAGGAAGGCGCTTTGCCGTTTTCGGACTTGATCGGGCATTCGCGCCGCTCTGTTGTATTAATATTACTATCGTTGCACGCCGCGCCTTTTGTTTTTGTTCTCTGGAGCTTCTTATGTCATGTATGTATACGAGGTCCTGGCCTCGCGGACACCACCCGGCTCGTAAGGCGGGGAATCTAACTTCCTCCTGTTCCCTCGAACTCCGCCTCCACCTACAAGCTGGCGCGTACGAGCAGCCCAAACGTCGTACGTACCTGGCGAGTCATCCATCCATCCATTCACTCGTTCACTCATCGCATCCTCGAGTCGCTGTATGCACTGCCAGTGTGCCATAGCAAAGCACGGCGAGGACATGTCGCGTGCACGTCCGCCATCGACGCCTCCCAACTTGCGCAGGTAAAAATGGCTCTGCATTGCACCCCTGCCACATAATCCGGCATTGCCATCCCGTAAGACGTTCAACTGGCTTCGGCAGAACGGCCGCTGTCAGGAGGTTCTGTGACGTACCCCGACTAAGGCCCCTCCAGAGGAGCATCCATGAAAGACAGAACGCCCCGCTGAGCGAGCTCCGGACACCGGTCGCCGACCCACTCCTCGAGCGCGGCGCGGTCGCCCCTGCCCAGCACGCTGAGCTGCCGCACCCCGCGCGCGAGGACGCGCCCGAGCGCGGGCCAGTCGAGCGCACGCAGGTCGCGGAAGCGCACAGGCGACAGCGCGCGGACGCCGCACTCCGAGTCGAGCGCGCGGAGGTCCGCGGTGTCGACGTCGTCGACGCGCAGCGCGAGGGTGAGATCCGTGAGAAACGGTGCGGCGGGCGGGAGCGGGAGCTGCGCGAGGAGCGCGGGGATCGCGGGGAGGCTGCGGTTCGCGGGGACGCACAGCTCGCCGAGGTCGAGCTGGAGGCTGAGCGTGCGCAGGGCGGTGCAGGGCGCGAGGGAGAGCGTGGACGCGGGGTTGTCCAGGAGGCCTGTTTGGGGGTGGGGTTAGCACCGTGCGCGGAGGATGGGGATGCGGCTCACGCGAAAGCGTCGTCTCGATGTGGACACGGAGGCGCAGATGTTGCAGGTCGGCGCCGAAGGCGGACAGCAGTGCCGTGAGAGGGCCGAGGTCTTGTTCAGACGATATACCGAAGGAGAGCCGCTCGATCGGGGTGCGTCGGTCGTTGGGCTGTGTGAGCCAGTGGAAGAAGTCCGCAGGCAAGGATGCGATGTGGTCGAAGGCGACTGTGTGGAGGCGGGGCGGGCAAGGCGGATCAGCATGTTTGCTGCTTTGGGGTGTCCAGAGCGAGGACACCGCAAGACTTTCTAGGAGAGGGAAGGAGACCGCGAGCGAGACGACGTCAGAGAGATCGGCGAACGAGCAGCGGACGAGGGAAAGGTGCACGGTGGCCGGCAGCGCGGCAAGCAGCGCGACATAGAGGGTGCCGTCTACCCTGACGTTGTGCAGCTGCAGCTGTGTGACGGCGGGAAGGGCGGCGAGAAAAGAGCACGGATCGTGCTGCCAGACGTTGGACATGTGATGGGAGCTGCTGATGCGCAGCGACTGGATGCACAGTCCGAGCTGGGGTGCGCCGTGCAGCAGGTGCTTGAAGGCGTCGAGCTTCGAGTATGGGAGATGGGTGTGTCGGAAGCGGTGATAGCGAGCGGCAGGAAGCCAGGATGTGGCGGTGAGCGCGCATGCTGCGAGAGACGGATAGTCGTGGTGGAGGAGGCCGATGATTCTGTCGGTGAGCTCTGGGGGCAGTGGCATGGAAGGAGAGCGGGCGATCGAGGCGGCTTTCCTGTCGCGCACGTCCATCTCCGGACGTCTGTTGCTCCGTCTGGTTCCATTCATGGCAACATTGACACACGCACGGCCATCCAAGAGAACCCCACGGACAGATGGCGGCGCTGCCATCACACGCCGCGACACGCTTCCAACGCTCGCTCGTCCATTTCCGGCGGGGATGTCTCTGTCACCGCTCACGATGTTCCCGTCGCTCTCTCCGCGTCTGCGTCTGCGACACCCGCAGCATAAGCACCCCCACCCGGACCCGACGCCATGTTCGACGCGGGTCCCACACCTGCCTTTCTTCCTCCCCCACACCCTCCTGCACGAGGCTCCTTCATCTCCCCCAACATGCGCACGCTGCCTGCTTCAACGCCACGGCCCTTGTTCGACCATTACCCTGGCTCTTCCAATTCTCCAGCCACCAGCTCCCCGTCCGATGCCTCCCCGCTCACGCCGCCTCCAATGCGCCAACCCGCACGCCCATGCACGACGCTGTCCTACGAGGGCGTGCGCTACTCTGTCCCTATTCGCAACCGCACCGTCTCGCTGCGTTCGCCACCCGCCACCAGCCCGCCCATGCTTCCCATTGGCAAGCCCTCGCCGCCACAGCCGCTCGTGCGTTCCCGCAGGACCGTTCTTCCGGCCGGGCTCGGCCTCGTCGATCTCGACAAACTCGCCGCGGCTCCGTCGCCGCGCGCGGACGCTTCTCGCGAGGAGCGCGCACACAGACGCCGCGCCGTGCACTTCCATTCGCACGCGCACTTCTCAGAGGCCCTGCGGCTCAACCTTGCGCACCCGGACGGGACGCGCATCCCGCCAGACCGCCTCCATGCATGCGAGTGGCACGCTCCCCGCCAGGACGAGGATGAGAACGAGAACGACTTTTCGTGGGAGGCCGAGGACCCGGGTCTGTCTCCGCCCTCGGACACGACGTCGCATGAATATATGCAGGATCTGGCGGCAGAGTTCCCCAAACCGCCCAAGTCGACACCGGAATTCCCGCTGTCGCTCGCGTCAGGCTTTGCGCTGGAAGGCCCGCCGAGCATGCCCCTGCCGCCGACGCCGCCGTTCGTGGACTCGCCGCACATCTTTGCCAGCGTGACGTACTCTGACGACCCCGACGCGAATCGCCTGACGGTGATCGACCCAGACACGAGCATGGCGCGGCTGGAGATGAGCATGGCGAAGCTGGAGGTGTACAACCCCAGCGCGCAGAGCGGGTGCTTCTTTGATGACGACGACGACGACGAGAGCGAGCTCGATATGCAAGACTCGGAGGCAGAAGAACAACCTCGGCCCCAGGCGGACACGAGCACACCCTCTGACAACGACGCAAAGCACGTTGTCTTGGAGGAGCAGCTCGACGAGGCGGCCCAGAGGCGCAGCTACTGCATCACGCCCGACACATTCGCTCGCGTTGGGTTTACGGCACATCCCTCATCCTCCAGCGTCGCCACGCAGAGCACGGCTGCCGAGGACTCGGCCGAAGGAAAGCCCCCCGTCGACCTGCTGCCGCATTTCGATTTTGAGGCGCTGCGGCAGACATACCACCAGCCGGACCAAGGCCAGCGGCGCCGCTCGTCGTCGCTCGCGGACATGCGCCGCAAGCTGCATGTCCACTGGGAGGACGAGCCGGATGTGCCGAGCCGCCCGTCGGACTCGTCTGCGTCGTCGTACTCGCGCCCCACGACCGCCGACTCGGACGCCCCCCGCACAGAGGCAGAGCCGGCTACGCACTCGCGCGAGTCGTCTACGTCGTCGGGGGAGTATCGCTCGCGCGGGACGCAGGCGGGCGACGGGCGCGTGCACGCGCGCCCCGACTCGCCGCTCCGGAAGGCGAAGAGCGTGCCCTTCATCCGTCGGTCGATGCGCCGCGAGGAGCCCCCGCCTGTCCCCGTGCCACCGCCGCACACACCGGCCCCGGCCCCCGCCTCCGCGTTGCAGCACACGCAACACAAACACCGGCCGCACGCGCCCCCACTGCCCACGTCGCTCTCGCTTGCCGGGGCGCAGTGCAACGCGCCCTCGCGGCCGCAAAGGCAAAGCAAGGGCCTCGTACGTGCGCACTCCCACTCACACGTGCGGGGGGAGTCGCAGGCGGGCTCTCCGCCGCGGACGCCGCCGAGCGGGGATGCGGGGATGCAATCGTTCATGCATATCACGCCGGAGCAGCCGCCGTCGCGGATGAGCCGGCTGTGGAACCGTGCGCGGGCGGGGATAAGCATGGGCGGCGGGAGGGCGGAGGGTGGGCCGCTGAAGAGCCAGAGGAGCATGCGCTGGCTCCGGGGCAGTGTTTCTCAGTCTCGGAGCGAGAAGTGAGGTGACGGCGTAGGGGCAGTGCAGTGTCGTGTTGAGCTTGGTTTGCGTCGCAGTGATTCGTTGCATCGGCTTCATGTTGTTGTACATTACCTGGAACCTTTTTATTCTTTGCACATCCGGATTTGAGCCGCTTTCGCAACATACAGCACCTACTACTATGTCTACACTATATCGGATAAACGTGTACATTAGCTCTGGGAACTCTTCTCTGCGTGAAATGACGCGCAAGCTCGTATATGTCGGGTCCGACCGGGACGCTTGACGTCAGCGGTCGCGACCCACGCTCCCTACGTCAATGCGATAGCTTAGCTCTGTCTCTGTTTCGCTACCCGTGATACCTACGCTCCCTACATATACTTCGCTCCCCCGCTCCTCACTTCTCTCCTCAGTCGTTGTACGACCACGGCTGAGGTATGTTTGCTCCGTCCTATTTTCCCGTACCAGTACTGATTCGATGTATAGTCGTAGACTTACGAGATTCGGCACAGGTTCCTAAATTGAACACATGCAGTACCGCTAACCGTGAACTTGAACACCTGCCGTATTTGGAAGCGCCTCGATCGATCAGCGGGTGGCTGCTCCGAGCCCCAGTCATTTGTGGTGCATTTGTCAGACCCGGGGAAATGTCGTCCCTGCAAACCGCACCCACTCAAGCTCTTGTTCTTGTTCTTCCTCGTCCACCAGCTTGTTGCATACGGCAAGATGGCCTTCTCTGGTGCTCTGGTGCGTTGATCGTGCGTGCTCGAGCGCGGCCCTGCTCATTGACACGGGCGGCAGACGTTGACCGATCTGAACGACTTCATTACTCCTGCGCAAGCGTGCATTAAGCCGGTCGAGCAGACGAACAAGGCGGAACCCAAGGACCCGGGAGCAGCGTCTGTGCGTCTTACTACTCAAGTGGAAATCTGTGTGTGCTGATCATAAGGCCCCCTCTTTTCCCACTTGTAGACACAAATTCAGGTGGACTCGAGCGGGTCGTACTATGAGATATCTGCGAGCGGCGCAGGCTCGCAGCCGGCGGGGAAGAAGCTCGAGACGGCCCAGATCAGCCTGAACGACTGTCTCGCCTGCAGGTGCGTCGGTCCCGGGTGTGTGCCCCTCACTCATACTCATCTGCCTCTCGTATGGTAGCGGCTGCATCACCTCCGCCGAGTCCGTCCTGATCACCATGCAGTCGCACACAGAGGTGCTGAACGCCCTGCGCGGCAACCCGGAGAAGGGCGCGCCGGCGCACCGCACCCCGGTGCTGTCCATCGCCCCACAGAGCCTCGCGTCCCTCGCGGCCGCCGTGTCCTCCTCCAGCGCGCGCCCGGCCGACCCCGCGCGCGTGCTCCGGCGCGTGGCGGCGTTCTGCAGGGACGCGCTGGGGTTCGAGCACGTCTTTGACACGACCTTCGCGCGGCACCTCGCGCTGTTGGAGCACGCGCGGGAGTTCGCGGAGCGCAGGCGTGGGGAGGGCGAGGGGAAGCTGCCGATGCTCGCGAGCGCATGTCCCGGCTGGATATGCTACGCGGAGAAAACGCACGCGGAGATGCTGCCGTTCATCAGCACGACGAAGAGTCCGCAGCAGGTGATGGGCACCCTGGTCAAGGAGTGGATGGGCGCGAAGTGGGGCAGACGGTGCGTCGACCTCACGCTGTATCCTGCTCCTGCCCGTTACTGATAGATGGCCTCACAGTCCTGATCAGATATACCACGTCACGGTCATGCCGTGCTACGACAAGAAGCTGGAGGCGTCGCGGCAGGACTTTTACAACGAGATGTACGCGACACGCGACGTCGACTGCGTGATCACGACCGGCGAGCTGGAGCTGCTCATGCGCGAGAAGCAGTGGGATCTATCGATGCCCGTCCCCGGCGAAGCCGAAGCCGCGCCCGCGCGCGGAGATGGCGACGAGATTGAGTTACCCGAGCTGATAGTGCACCCAGGCACGAGCTCGGGATCTTATCTGCAGTCGCTGATCGCGCTGCTGCTCGCCGACGCGCGCGAGCTCGAGCTTGCGGTGCGCACCGTGCGCGGCGCGGACTACGAGGAGTACACGCTCGCGGACCGCGCGACGGGCGCGGTCGTGTTCAAGGGCGCCAAGTGCTACGGCTTCCGCAACCTGCAGAACGTCGTGCGAAAGGTCGGGCGCGAGGCGGGCGTGCAGATCGGGCGCGGGGCGGCCGGGCGGATGGCGGCGCTCCGTGGGCGCGGGCGCGGGCGGAAGGGCGACGCGGGGGACGTGGAGAAAGGATACGACTACGTCGAGGTGATGGCGTGCCCGGGCGGCTGCGTGAACGGCGGTGGGCAGTTGCGTCCGCAGGCGGTGCAGCCGCAGACGGACGCCGAGGGGTATCAGCGCGACTGGGCGGTGGGCGGCGTTAAGGTGGACGGAGATGGGGTGCCGCCTGGTTCTGATGCGCGGTGGGGAACGAGGGAGTGGACGCGGAAGGTCGAAGAGGCGTATTGGCATGCGCCGCCAACCCCTCCACCGTCACCCGGGCATGAAGACGACCGCGTCCGTGCACCAGACAGGGAGCAGCATGTCACACAAAATGCCGAGCGCCTCGCCGCTGAGATCCTGGTGGACCTGTGTCGGCCGCAGACACCCGCCATGTCGGAGATGAGATGGAACGCAACGATGGACGCAGAAGCCGAAGAACGTCGGCGGCGCTTGTTCCGGACCCAGTATAAAGCAGTAGAAAGTGAGGTGGTTGGACTCGCAGTCAAGTGGTAGCAGGCGCGAGAGAACGCACGACAGATTCATTTAATATGTAGGGGCGGATGTACGTATAATTATATTGATACAATTGGGATTTGACGAGATGTCGAGAGCGATGACGGATCGAGAGCGACGATGCAGCATCTGCAGGGACGATATAACAAGTGTAGGATGTAAATAGAGAGGGATAGAATATAAATATGCTGATGTAAGGGGGGGGGGCGCCGCTAGCCACGCGTACTACCGACCGTCACGTCTGTACCACGGCTTGCACTCGGGGCAGAAGTCTTTGCGGACGCCGAGGACGGTCTCAGACGCATCGGGCCCGTAGAACTGATGGAAGGACATGGGTTTCTCATACAGCAGTAAGACATTGGTTCCGGAAGCTTACCCTATCACAGGAGCAGTTCAGGCAGGGGTTGCGATGCTGCTTCGAGTAGATGCAGTACTGGTTGTTGCAGTCTATTTTGCTCAGCTTGTGTTCCTGGGCGACGGAGTTAGCATGGGAAGCGCCAGATCAAAAGAGCGGCACACACAATAATGTAGTGCTGTGGGACATTTACGTGACGTCAGGGTCAGGAGCAAGGACCGAACTAGCGCGCATGCCTACCCCGCACGAATACTTGTAGCCATCGCTGCAACGGAGACGCGTGAGCGGAAAGGCCTTATGAGGAAACGTCGAGGCACGTACGTGATGAGGTTGCACATCGTGGCGGAAGGGAACGGTGGACTGGGTCGAAAGTCTATCAAGGGTGGTTCGTGGAAGAAGGGTCAGGGACGGCTTACGAAAAGGGGACGGAGTAGGGTAGAGGATACACGGAAGGAACAGGGGGTCGTTCAAGTGCAGGACCACGGGAGAAGAGCGGGCGGGAGATGGTTCATTAAGACCGAGGGGAGCGGGACTTTATACCGGTTGAGCAGTAGAGTAGCGGGCAGCCAGTCACAGGACGGAGAAAGGGCAAACTGGTGATCCGGGGGCAGATCGATAAGAATCAATTGCTGGCGGGGCAGACGGAGGAAAGGAAGGCGTGCGTGGACCAGCGCAAGATGGCAAGCGTCGATGGAAAGCGATAAAGCCTGCGCGGCGGACAAAGAACGAGATGAAGATGATGACAACGGCGTGTCGTTCAAATAGGTTCTGCCACTCGGCCTCATGCACATGACGGGCGGCGTCGTCAGTCCTGTCACAGGGGCGCGGAGGTGACACTGTCCAGCGGCACACTGCTCCTCCGCCGACTGTTCGGGCGGGTTCTCACCCACCTGCGTCCGACAGCACACGCGGTTATGGTAGCCACTCTGGCGCAAGAAGCACGGCGAGTACGTACACAGGCGACCCGCGGCACATCAGCAGGCCCTGTGCCCGCATCCACATTAGCGTGCAGCGGCCTGCAATGGGCAGGTGCGTCCTCCGACGACGAGCAAGAACCAGCCGCAGGCGCCGGCACAAACGCCGGTGGCACAGGCGCTAACCGCGCAATTCGGGCCGATGTGCGCCTGCTCGCGTGGCCATGCAGTGCCGCTGCCGGCTCCGGCCGTCGGCGCGCCCGCACAATTTGACTTTGTGAGATCCCGCAATACTTAGATTTATCACGGCGCCGGCGAAACAACAAACAGCGGCAAAACAACGGCATGACGACCGCGTGCGCACACCGCAGCCGTGGGCAGACGCCATGTCTTCAGGTTCCTCCTCGTCGACCCCGACAACCCGCTCGCGCACCCTTCTATTCATCTCATACCGTGACTCCCGTGCCAGCTCTTCGCGCTTTCGCCGCTCCCGTGTTATTGCAAACTACGATGACGGCCTCAATGACGGCGACGAGCAGGAGCACCTCATCAGCCATGACGCGGGACACGTATCCATAGACGCACAGCTGCCGCCCAAGTGGTGAGTCTTCCCCGGCAATTCACAACCTGTATGCGCATTGGGACGGGTCAGTTGATTGTTCACCGCCAGGGTCGACATCGCGGACCAGGTGGAAGAGATACTCGCGACCACACAGGCTAAAAGTATGTCTGCGGCCTTTCCCAGCTGTTCCCGTAAAAGCCGTCGGCTCACGCTGTTATTGTTGCCAGTCACCGCGCTCGACAGACTCCATGCAAAACATGTTTTACCCGGGTTCTCGGACCGGTCTGCAGAGGAGAGAGAGATTGAAGCCGCGACAACCGAAATTACCAAAGTATAGCATTTTGTTCGTCCGCTGCTTCATGGACGCGCGTTGATCATCCTCGCTATCGACAGGACTTTCGCCGATGCCATGTTCTTATTCAGCGCGTAGGTGCTGAACCAGAGCACGCATTCCCTCCTGCCGCATCCGGGCGGTCACACCATCAAGCGTTGGCAGCGAAGAACGTGCAGCGCGGCCTTGCGGCGAAGGTGCAGGAGCTAAGTGCGACCTTCCGGAAGAAACAGAGGGTGTACATGGAAAGTGCGTGCCTGTGTACCTTGCGTGCAGGATGTGCGCGGTGCTCAAACCAGCTACCACCTTGCAGAGCTACAAGGTCATGCGATAAAGAACCAGGATCTGCTCATCGCATCGGGCACAATGTCATCGAAGGGCTGGGATGGCCTGTCTGCAGTCGACGAGGACGTTGAAGCCGCCGCTGCCGTGCGTAGTCAAGTGGTGATTCATCGGCTTCGTGGACGACCCGCTGATCATCCTGCATGTCTTCTAGTCGCGCAATCGCGCCGCCCTGGCGCAGGACATGATGATAGCCGATGTGGATCTGCGACAACGCAACCACGAGCTGACGCAGATCGCGCAGTCGATCGCGTCGCTGGCAGAGCTATTTAAGGACCTGTCTGTGATGGTGATTGACCAGGGCACGCTGCTGGACAGCGTCGAGTACAACATTGAGCAGACGGCCGTGCAGATGGAGGAGGCCGTCCGGGAGTTGAACACCGCCACGAGGCGCGTCACGGTGTTGCACCTGATCGGCACGCGTGTGGGACTGACTGAATTGTGTTTTCGTGCAGGTACCAGAAGAGCACCGGGCGAAGGAAGTGCATCTTCCTGCTTGTGCTCATCATCTTCGGGCTTATCATCACGCTCATCTTCAAGCCGCGACGGCATGCCTCATCGGTGCCATCGCCTGCACCATCAGCACATCCAGACGGGGCGGCCGTCACGAGCATCCTTATACCGACCGCCGGTGCGGAGATGGGGAGGACGGCGCGGCGGCTGTTCAGGCGGCGTCCCGACCGATGATGATACCCGGAGGATCTGCGCGCCCTTACTTCACTATTACCTGGTCTAATCTGGCAGCGTCGTGCCTTGCTTACCTACTCGGAAACCTACTTGTCATCTTTGGATTCTAATGCAGACTTGGAAAGCACGGGCGACCGTGTGCTTAATCGTGTACCCCTACTAGCTGTTGGATACTCGACAAGCACCCCAATCTGGTGGAGCAATTGCGCAGCACGAGGCCTGTTCATCATTTGAATGACTGTGTCCACAAGTGCGCGAGACTTACTGGTATGCTTGCTGACATGCAGGTTGTGAGCACCCGCCGGATGCCAGACGCGGTACCGGGAGGGTGGTAACCGTCGGGATCACTGTGATGGCGGGATGCTGGCCAATGGCAGGCGGGGTCGACCACGGCTGTAGTATTCAGCCTTGGGCGGAATGACGCAGGCCAAGCATTCCTATCGCATCGCATAAACATACGATCACGTGGGCAGTCAAAATGAAGCAGACCCTCGAAATTCATGTCCTGAGACTCACATCAAGGGCGCTGGGGCTTCCCTTCCTCTGTACAACCCGGTCTCCCCTCATAACCTATCTCGCAGCCAGGCAGGCCTGGTAGTCGTCCTATCTCACCGACAGTTATCGTTCCAGTCGCTATCAGCAGAGCCTTCGCATCTATCAGCTTTGTATATACCGCGCATATCACTGGCGGCCTGCTCTCTTTACTACCATGCCTCATACCTCCCAGATGTCCGTGGACGACCACGGCGGCACGCGCTCCTCGTCGCCCTCCCCGAACAGCTCCTATCCGGTGACACCATCCTACCCCCTCCTCCCTTCGCAGCGCCCTCGCAACCCCGAGGACCGCTCCAGGAGCGCTTCGGAGCCCATGATGCCCGAGCCCAAGCCGCGGGACTATGTCACCTTCGACTCGCGGCAGAACAGCGCGCACCAGCGCACCGAGACTGCAGAAGACGGCCGCCCGCACCATAGCCGCAGCAGTGGCAGCTGGGACCTGCTCGGCGGCATCAGGCATTCATATGTTGACTACGATCCGCGCCGTGCAAGCCAGGCGCATCTCGCCTTTGCGGAGGGCGACATCCCGAATAACGCGGTCGGTGCACCGCGTGCTAGCAGGAGTGGATTAGTATCTGACTGAAACGCCTCCGGTGCAGTTCGCAAAAGTGTACAACTATCTCTTGGACGTCTCGATCATCACACGGTGGATCATCTTCATTATTCCCGTGCTTGGTTTATTGTGGATCCCGGGAATCCTGGGATTCACCGCATATCCCGATACTACGGTATGTTATATGGCGCTCTCATGAAACGCCACAGCTCATGTGGCTGCAGATATGGGGTGTTAAGCTCGTGTGGTGGAGTATCTGGCTCACCGTTGTCTGGTGCGGTAAGCGATGTTTTCTGCGGTCAATTATATGGGCACTTATGGGGTGTCAAAGGATGGTGGGGAGCGCTTGCGTCTTCGTAAGTCTTTCTCTAGCCTCAATATACGGGTGCACACAATAAACTACTGTTCGCAGAATGGTTCTACCCCACATCGCTCGTCACACAGTCGGCGTTGTGTCTGTGTGGTCCCGCAAGTACATCGATTGGCTCCAGGCATTGCATAGGCAAATCCTCATTTATGGTCGGCATTAAGCTCAGCGTTAACAGTGATGATTTCAGGTACATCGCATTCTTCGGTTGGACGCTCGCAATTTGGATATCGTTTCAGCCGCTCGTCAACACGCGGCGTGTACCTGACACTTCTTCTGGAGATGCCGAAGCGCTTTCTACCTTGGCTAAGCTTCTTTTTGCGCTTTTCGAGTGTGCTCTTATCCTGCTTGCGGAGAAGCTATGCATACAGTGGATCGCAACACAGTTCCATCAGCGGTCCTACGCTGGTGTGTACCGATCATATTGATATCAATCCTGCCCGACTGACACTCTGAACGTGCAGAGCGTGTTGCAAATCAGAAGTTCGCTATTCGGATGCTCGTTAGTCTCTACCGCCGCTCAAGTGACATTCCATGGCGATCAGATACGTTGCGTGAGGGACATGTCGAGGTGAAAAGGCCGAGGCGACTTCTGAAAAAGGCGCTACATGGCGTCAAGTTTGCGGCCACGACGACTACCACGGCTCTTGGTAATGTCGCGTCGGAGATGATGGGAACGTGAGTGTATGCACTCAGCCTAAGGCGCCAAGGCTCACGCACTGAAATAGGTCGGTGCTGCAACCGAACTCCCCTCCGGCAATGGTCAAGACGGCAATTGAGTCGCCGAATAAGTCCCGAATGGTGCGCTGTACAGCATGGTCCACATCTATAGATCTAACCTGCTATTAGCTCGCCCGGCGACTGTTCTACTCGTTCGTGAAACCTGGTGCGAATGCGCTGACGGTGGACGATATCATGCCATTCTTTCCCACGCCCGAGGACGCGGAAGCGGCATTTATCCTGTTCGACAAGGACATGAACGGCGATGTGACGCGCGATGAGATCGAGATCGCTTGCATGTGCGTCCCCGGCGCTCCGTCAACCGAATGATGACTGATTGGCGGCCATAGGGAGGTGCACCGCGAGCAGCTCTCGATCGAGCACTCGATGCGTGATCTTGACAGTGCGGTCGGACGGCTGGATAACATTTTTATGACGATCTACTTCTTTGTCGTTTTGCTGATATTCGCGGTCGCGCTGGTATGGTTCGCCGTGTTATTCACACGAGCTGCGCCGCTCACACTCTTCTTCACATCCCAGGAAGCACAACTGCTCACTCTCGTTACGAGCGCAGGGACCTTCGTGCTAGGTACGGTGCAAAGTAGCATGGGCGATGCGTTATGGGATGCTGAATTCACTTCCATGTAGGCCTTAGTTGGCTGATTGGTACAAGCCTCGGCGAGGTGCTCACGAGCATCATCTTCCTCTTCGTGAAGCACCCGTACGATGTTGGGGACCGACTCTCAATTGACCAACTGGACTATACCGTGAAGGAGATTCGTCTCTTGAGCACAGTCTTCCTGGACTCGAACGCGTGCTCAGTGCAGGCACCGCATTCGCTGTTGAACACGAAGGTGTGACTCGCATATGCATCAATGCTGTTAGAGTGCGCTGACGCGGGACCGTATACAGTTCATACAAAATATGCGACGCAGCCCGCAGATGTCCGAGACGTTTACGTTCGACGTGGTGAGTGTGCTCCTTTTTGTGCTCGGGATTGGCGCGCCACAGTGATCTGACGGAGACCGCTCTAGAACTTTGGAACCACCTTCGAACAGATCGAGCAGTTGCGCGAGCTCATGCTCACGTTCCTAAAGACGGAGAGACGCGACTTCCAGCCTATCTTCGACGTGTCAATTCTTGGTATGCTTCTTGCCCTTGGTATGGCGCCTCGTCATTTCCTGACGTTCGTGCCCGCGCAGATATCCCTGCGCAGGAGAAGATGATGCTTACCGCGGACATCCGCTACAAGGGAAACTGGCAGCAGGGCACGCTCAAAAGTCAACATTTTCCACTGTGCCTTATGACATATGTACTGAACATCCGCATCACAGCTACGCGCAGGAATAAGTGGATTAGCGCGCTGAAAACCGCAATGCAGAAGGCAAAGGTATTCGGACCCGCCGGCGACCCGGGCGCGATCCCCGCGCCCGACAGGTTGACGCTTGTGCCCTGGGAGCAAATCGAGGCGGCGGATAAGAAAAAGCTGCAGAAGGAAGAGCAGGAGAAGAAGCGCGGTGGTGTGCGGGAGATGTCGGCGCCCACGGCCGACTGGAACCTGACTGACAAACAGGCCATCATGAGTGCGTTTGATTTGGTGCGGGTCAGACGGCTGGCTGATATGTGCCCGCAGTGGATGATACGCAAGATGTGTTTGGCGAGGCGAATTCCGTGACGGTGAGCTCGGAGGCTCTGGACGTTCACGGTGCATGTCGCTGATGTAATACTGTAGTCATTCTCGACGGACCCCAGCAGACCGGTGACTAGGCCGCCGTCGGTCGAGGGAGGGGCGCGCCGTCGATATCCGTCTGGACCCACACAGCCTGTGCCTATGACATCGGTCACGACGCACTCGCCACTAGTGCGGCAGACACAGGGCGACGAAGAGATTGAGATGAGAACATCGCCCAGACGAAGCCCTGGTTCCCCGGCTGCGGAGCAGGAATGAAGGGGAAGGCGACAGAGTGTGATTTAAATAAATGTACGAAGCTGTACGAAGTAGTTGCAAGGGACCCTTGTAAGTGTCTGCCGTTTCCTCGAGCTCTAATCGGGTTGTTTGTTGACGTAGCACGGTTGTATAGGAATGCTGCGCTTGTAAATCAAGACCACCGGCGTGTTGCCGATGCTGGCATACCGTCAGGGTGATTTCAGAGGACCTTAAATTCGGTGCCTCAGCGTCGTGGCTGGGACATGTATCGTTACTCGGGCAATGCTGCTTGGATATAGATCTTGATCACGCATAACTAACAGCTGGTCTGCTAAATCAACTACTTGTTCAGCTACTTGAAGGACATTGCTTCCTCGTATTGCACAATGGATACCAAGTACAATGTGCTCCGCCGACGGACCACACAGTCCCGTGGGTTTGTAAACGGTGAACTCGCCAGATCAATGCAATGGCAATCAGTGAAATGCACATAAATACAGTGCTCTGCAGCGAGGTTGGGAGGTGTCAGTGGCGGACGTGCACGCGACATTTCCTCGCCGCGCTTTGCTATGGCATAGCGACTCGAGAATGTGATGAGTGAGTGAGTGAGTGAATAAGTGAATGACTCGCCAGAGACGTACAACGTTTGGGCTGCTTGTACGCACCAGCCTGCAGGTGGAGGCGTGGGTTCGAGGGAACAGGAGGAAGCTAGACGCCCCGCCTTACGAGCCTGGTGGTTTCCGCGAGGCCAGGACCTCGCATACATAAATGACATAAGAAGCTCCAGAGAACAAAAAAAGAAATAGCATGGCGTGCGATGATAGTCATACAACAGATTGGCGCAACTGCCCGATCAAGTCCGAAAACGGCAAAGCGCCTTCCTAAACGGGATGGAAGTCTTAGCGACAAGTCACAGCCTGGAACCAGTGCTGGCAGCTCCGCTTCGCAGGAGTGTCCCGTTTGACGCACCATACTTACACTATTTGCATCCGGGCGTTTTGCCACTCTCAGGAGGGTACTATTTGTATCGCCGACACTCCCTGACTCCGACGAGCCCCCACGCCGACCCGTACTTCGTCTCACTTAGTTGGATTTCTGGTTTTGTGAGCCGGGACACGTGCCGATGAGACGGGGAACAACCACGTGGATGCAGTAGGCCGTCATGGTGACTTGTGCTTATCGGAAGACAATATGAAATCGAGTGGCCAAGTCACCAAAGCACCGTAATAGCGTAGGGTCTGAATCAAAGCGAATCGAAACCAAAACAACCAATGTCACTCTCCTTGCCGTCTTCGTAAGCACGAAGAGCCAGGGAGGAATGACAAAAAGAGAAAACAGGTCCCGTACAATACATCTATATCTTGTCCATTAAAGGACACCGGAGAAAACGCATAAATGAAAGAAATAATAGGAATATGCCAGCAACGCACATATGTATGAACCCAGCGGACGAGGAAATTATCATACCTACGTGACTTACTTAAACTCCATCGCCTACCCTACCCGGACGCAGGGTTGGATATGGAGGACGATGAGACACGGCGTTGCTCGAGGCTCGGATATACAGAGACTTCCTGCATGCGAACGGAACCTCGACTGGCAGACCTTGACCCAGGACGACTCGCCCCCTTCTTACTTTGACGTACGGGGCGCGACATACGAACTTCACGCCGTGATGGGCACGGACGCTTAACGCTACAAAGTCGTCGACTTATCGTACTATATAGTGAACATGGTCCATCGTGTGGTTCTAGTTCTATCGTCGTGGATCATAGCTGGAACTTCCACGACGGGTGTTCGTCGCCTAGGCGCAGCCGACTCTCCTTGTCGTCTGCGTCGGCCAAGGAATATTGGGCCGACTGCGGTTCCTTCTCCTTCGCGGCGTTCCGCTTGCTAAGTACGTACCAGTTCAGCGAGGACGCAGCAATGGCCAGGCAGAGATATCCGATGGAGAAGCCGTGCCCGAGATAGAAGCGTGGCCCGTAGCGGTAAAGCTGCGTCCCAACGATTGCTCCGAGGCCCTAGGAAACAGTGTGTGCGCGTAAGTGACCGGCATACACAATGTTAACGGTAAAACCGCGTACGTTTCCGACACTGATCTGCAGCGCACACGCCACGGCACGCTTGAGCTGGCCCGAGACGTTATTCGCGGGCCACGAGAGTGTGATAGCAGTGGCAGGGTATATCCCCCCAGCACAGAGGAAGGTGGCGAAATATTGCACGCCCGTCGTTGCGGAGGTTATGAGTATAATGTACCCGATAATGGCAAGGATCGCGCCCGCGATGATGAAGACAGCGCGCCGGTTGATGTAGTAAGAGCCGTACGCAGTCAGGAAGGTAAGCACGGTCGCGACGAAGTAGGGCGGAACGGTGAGTAGCTGGGCTTCTGCTGCTGCGTACCCGAGATCGTTGATGATGGTGGGCTGCAAAGTGTGCGTTAGCTCGCAGTGTAGCGGGGTATAATAGGTATACACACCAAGAATAGGGAGAGCGTATATAGCGGCAGCGAGCAGCCGACGAAGCAGAAGCCGTACAGCCACACAGTGACATCCTGGAACGCTCTCTTGACGTAGTGCCATTGGAACGTCTCGCCGCTCAGGGCATCGTTGTCATCAACCAATCGCTCGTGAAGGAGTTGCTTCTCTTCTGCGTTCAGAAATGTTGCCGTGTCCGGGTAGTTATAGACAAGAGGGTAGGAAGCAGAGGCGAGCACGATGGTAGCCAAACCCTGTACTGCAACTATCAGAGAGGGATGTGGGAATGGGCTCGTAGGCACAGAGACGTACCTCGATAATAAAAATCCATGACCAACCGGACTTGTGCCCGACTCCTGTCATCTTACCGATACCATACGCAAGGACACCACCAAAAGCCCCTGCAAATGCGTGAAGTCATGGTTCGGCCCGAACAAGAAAGGTCCTTACCAGCAAGACTGGCTGCGCTGAAAAATATTGAGATACGGAAATGCTGCTCCTTCCTCTTATACCAGCACGACAAATAATAGACGACGCCGGGGAAGAGTCCGGCTTCTGTAGCACCGAGGAAGAAGCGCTGTGGAAAGCTGCTCAGCTATGGTCGTTTGTGCGTAACAGATTATACATACCACAGCCATCAAGCCGCTGTAATTGTGGACGAGTCCCATGAGTGTGGAGACAATGCCCCAGACTACCATCAATGTCGGCAGCCACAGCCGGGGCGTGAGGCGCTTAAGGACGATGTTGCTCGGGATCTCAAACAACACATAGCCGAGGAAGTACTGAAGTGATCAGAACGCCGGTCAGATCCAGATGCCCGAGGTCGCAGATTGATGCGTGCATACCATAGTCAATGCATTAAGATAATCGGCTTGCGTCATTTTGAGGTCGGCAGTCAAGCCGTCAAGCTTTGCATTGCCAATGTTGGAGCGATCGAGGAAGGAGAGCAGGTAGAGCATCGTCAGTACTGGCAGCAGCCGTGCGTCGAGCTTGTGGACGAGCTTCCGCTCAGCCACCGCCCGGCTTTCGTCCGTCGGTCGTCCTGGCTGCGACTCCTTCTCGGACACGATGGAGTCCTTCCTGGATAACGTCTCCTTCGCAGACCCTGCTTGGCTACCGGTCGCCATGCTGTGTCGCCTTCAGTGCGCGCTTCGCTGGGGTTTGACAAACGAATGGTCGCTTCTTCTAGCGGACAGCACGAGGGACTAGACGAAGATGTGAATTCTGAGAAGCTATGTGAGTCTCCTTATAGCGGAGCCCCATGGGAGCCGATTTGCGAACACGCATGGCGGTAGCCACCTGTACGTAACTCGAAGATGAGTATGTCGATGTCTACGCAGAAGAAATGAGCACGGCAGAGCATTCGGCGATGGCGTGATTGATAGCTGAACTGGGAAGATGTTTAAAACCTATCTACCCCGCATTAGCAGCGTACCTGAACATGACTAGTTTCTTGTACGACTTACAGTACTATACGGTGCCTTGGGTTTCATTGCTCATCACCGAGGCGAGCACGAAACTGCTATAAAAGGTATTTGTCTTGCGCCATCAGGTCAACAGCTCATCACGCAATTCGCGCAGGTGCGTGCATCACAGGAACCAGAGAAACTATACAAAGGATGTCTTCGCCCTTACTGTAGATACTTTTCCCTATGCTAAACAATCAAGCCCCGTGTCTGAGTGAAGTGTCAATAATAAAGTTCGATCCTGCCCGGAGCTCTTCATAGCATTTGGCATGTCTTGCAATGTATTCAATATCACATTGCATAAATCGCCAGGTTATAAGGCTGTGAGGCATCTCTGTCCTGGTCAAAACATTTTTGAGGAATGGGGGACGGTGCTCACCCGGGATCTGCGAACACGGTGCACCAATGGACGCCCATAACCCAGGAATGCGTGACCATGAGCGCCTATTCTCGTGCATTCTCCGTGTTTGTGGGCTCAACGGCTCACCGCATACAACTGTGAATTTCTGTCCTAAAAACGCACTTCCAAATTCTGGACATTGGACGGCGTGCGCCCGTCGGATCACTTGACTGAGGTTGCTCTTGTCTACAGCCTTTGGGAAGTGTCGATTCTGAAACTGCCAGCCACCAGTTCGTAACCAATTCGGAGCACCTGCCTGAGTCTCTGTTCTCAGTACGACCAGGACGCGTCACTGAAGTCGAAGTAGTGCAACCTTGAAAGGTATGTTCTGTGCCTTCGCAGGTATCCCGAACGGTGCTGCGAGGCAACATCTAAGCTCATCATCGCTAGGCGTCACTTCTTCCGTCCCACGTTTCGACCTTCAGCGCCCTAGCTCCGTTGTCACCTTCACCGCGTCTACCGCAGACGATGTTGGGTCGCAGCAGGCAGCGAGAGAGCAATCAAGAGGACTCCGCATCACAACCACTACTCAACCGCTCCGAAGAAGACCTTCTGTCGGACGATGTGCTCTTTGCTTTGGACGATGACGAACCAGAAATCTCTTCGCTGAACAGCAGCGCTGATTCACCGGCACACAAGCCGGGGCATGTCCGCTTCCAAGAGGACGTCCAGGTGATTGGGCCTCCCCTCCGGTCTACGTTCGACAGTCGCGAAGCCGGTGCGTGAGTCGCGTTCATTTGCATGTTGTGTGGGCTTGGCGCTAAGGGGACGCGCGGGTATCTCAGAATACGAATTAGACACAGACGACCTTGACGGTGCGGCCCTTGCCCAGCTAGAATCTGCAAGTCACCCGAGATCACCTCGGTCACCTCGAGACCAGACTGTCCCGCTCCTCGTTGGGCTCCTGGACTCTGCATCAGCACGTCGGAGTCCAGATGGCACGCTACAGCTACAACAGAGAGGTGCTAGTAGAGACTCCGACCTAGATGATGTAGATGTGGAAGCTATTGCTGCGAAACGGCTCGCCGGCGGCAACATGCTCGACTCGGTTGCAAACATGGCCAATTCAATCCTGGGCGCAGGTAAATATTTGATGTACTTGGGGTTCTTGAACTGACACAAGGCTTCATAGGTATCATTGGTGCATAGCTTCATGCCTTTGCGCCGACAATTGCTAATCTCCTTCGATATCGCTAGGCCTGCCATACGCTATACGGCAAGCCGGGTTTGTCACTGGCATCATACTGCTCGTCGTGCTTTGCGCCGTTACAGACTGGACCATCCGTCTCATCGTGATTAATGCCAAGCTGAGCGGGCGGAACTCGTACATTGAGATCATGAACCACTGCTTCGGCTCGAGTGGCCGTGCAGCTGTTTCGTTCTTCCAGTTCGCATTCGCATTTGGAGGTGAGGCCTGTCCACTCTCGCCATCGAGACACCAATTAAGCCCACGTAGGGATGTGTGCATTTGGGATCATCATTGGTAAGTCCATCTCGTGTTCTCAAATATACTCCAACCAAGGCCATCCCTACAGGCGATACTATCCCACACGTCATCCGCTCGATCTTTCCCACCCTCAACACTGTCCCTGTCCTCTCGCTCCTAACGAGGCGCCAATTCGTCATCGCGCTCTGTACTGTCTGTGTGTCGTACCCGCTCTCGCTGCATCGTTCGATCGACAAGCTTGCACGCGCTTCGCTTCTCGCTCTCTTCGGCATGATCACAATTGTCGCCTCCGTGCTTATCGAGAGTCCGCGCGTACCACCCGAGCTCAAGGGTGATCCCACTCAGCGGTTCACGGTGCTCGGACCCGGCGTGTTCCAGGCGATCGGCGTGATCAGCTTCGCATTCGTGTGCCACCACAACTCGCTCCTGATATACGGCAGCCTGCGCACGCCGACGCTTGACCGCTTCGCGAAGGTGACGCACATCTCGACGGCGATGTCGCTCGTTGCATGTTGCACGTTGGCCATCTCAGCGTACTTGGTGTTCACGAACAAGACGCAGGGAAATATTTTGAACAACTTTGCAGGCGTGCGTACGTCTACTCTTCTTGGAAAACAACATATTGAAAACGGATGCGCCCAATAGAACGACACAGTGATCAACGTAGCCCGCTTTTGTTTTGGGCTGAATATGTTCACTACCCTGCCCCTTGAGCTCTTCGTCTGCAGAGAAGTAGGCACTGCTCGTCAGTCTTTCGCCAACCCAGCTGACAAGAATTATACAGGTCATCGAGCAATTCTTTTTTCCACACGAGCCGTTTAACATACAGCGACATGTCTTCTTCACGACAGCCATCCTCTGCTCCTCCATGATCAGTAAGCGCATGTCTATTCCTGTCATTCATGACCTTATTTTTGTGTCCATACCTAGTCGCGCTCATCACCTGTGACCTCGGTGTGATGCTAGAGATTACTGGCGGCGCGTCAGCCACCGCTCTCGCCTTCATATTCCCTGCAGCATGCTATCTGCGTCTTGCAGACCTTGGTCCAAAATGGTACTCCCGAGGCAGATGGCCCGCCCTCGTGTGTGCCTCTTTTGGTGTGATTGTGATGGTTATCTCGCTGTGGCTCGCCCTTGGGAAAGTGTGGACGCCTGAGGGCGGTGCACGCATTTGTGCATGACACGCCGTCGCCGTCGGTTTTATCGACACATATCTTCATTCGGACTCTGAAGTTAGTTAAATCACACATGGACAGCATATTTACCCTGGGACTACAACACTTTGCATGCATGGTATATATCTATGTACATCATCTAATTGTTTTCTCTTGCTTCTTCACCATGGTGCATCGAGGAGTTGTCTCAGCCCATTGACTTGGTCGACAGTCTCAAGTCGCACACCCTTGGCAACGCTCTCGGATGCAGACAGCGGGGAGACATCAAGCCCTTTCCAGCTGGCCCACACACCTTCGATGCGGCTTGAGGGTAGTTCCTGCGGCGGACAATTTGTCGGGTCGAGTACAAGAAGCCAGATCGCGTCGTAGCCGCCAGCTGCCAGTTAGAGAATGTCAGTCGGAGTTGCACGTCACCGAGTGGTCTGCAGGAACGGAATGGAGAGGGCTGACCTCCAGGGACACCGCCACCGATAACACCAGCACCCGACATGCACGCATCGAGTAGCTCAGTTTGCTCCGGTGGCTCTATCGGGACGCCAGACAGCTTGCCCATTTCGCGCATCTTGGCTCGCACGTCCTGTAGGCAGGCGTCATGGAAGATGGTCAGTGTCACAGGACATCCACATGTCGCGTACACGTACTTCGGACAGGCGATGTGCCTCCGCGAAGATGTCTATCATTTCTTGCGTCGCGGGTGGTATGTTCGGGTTGATCGCCAGCCACTGATCAAGATGCTAGGCATGAAAAGGGCGCCAAAGGCGGTGCGCATGGGTAGATCACGCACCTGTACGCTCTGCAGGGTCGAGAGATACTTGACGGCCTTGGCATACGCTGTGGCGTCTCGCGCATGCATTTCTGATAGCTTGAGGAGCGTCTCGCTAAGCGCGTGGTTCACCTTATCCAACGCGTCCCAATGCGCGTTTGCTGGTCATCGGGAATCAAATTTACTACCGAGGGCGAAGCGGCGGCGAACACGCACCTGCTGTGGCGGCCTCTTTGCGCCATTTCAGCACCTTCCCCACTAGTGACGGCGTGTCGCTGCCCGCGTCCACATCCGCAAGCATCAGCCGTGTCAACGGGGGTAGCTTGAACGGCTCTACGCGATAGTTCCATGCTGTGTTCGACGGCGAGATGACGGGCAGGAGCGCCTCGTTTGTCTAAGCGACGCGCGATTGGCCACTAGAAGCATCGCGGAACAATTTGTGTCTGAACTCACCGACTCATCCTTCATCAATGATCCCAACACAACGGGGTCGAAGCGCGTGTACAGTTGACTGCCAAAGACTGCTGCGGAGACGTCGAAGCCGCTGCCGACCTTGCCCTGTGCGAGACAGTGTACGTACTGCGCGAGGTTGTGCGCAAGCCGGCGTCCTTCGCTTGCAGAAGCGGTACCGCCTTCTGCGTCGTTGTCGAATGAATCGCGTGCGACAACGCCGAGGTGCACGAGCAGGCTGGACACGAGGGAGGTTATGAGAGCTGCGGAGGAGCCGAGGCCTGTTTTGTGCACTTCCGGGAGGCGCACGCCGGTGTGGTTGAAGGGGGGTAGCTGGGAGAGTGAAGCAAGCGTCGGCGGAAGGTTCCTTGAGGTCAGCTAGAATGTGTAACGGCGGTCATGAGCAGCTGCACGCGCGATTGTGGAATGTAGCGACCTGTGCTCTCTGAGAGTAGAAGTCATTGTCTCCAACAATGGTGATGTCTAGGCCGTAACCCAGTCTGTTCTGCAAAGTCCCCGCCCCTCTTGCCTCTATGGCGAGTGCGATCGTACGCTGCAGCGCGAGATGTACGAACTTGTTCTTCGTGAACGACGCGGACGCGCTGCAGGACGTCAGTTAAAGCCGGACACTGAACAATGACCCTCACCTATCTGCAACCTGCTCTACGTGCACCCCGTCGACGTCGAAGGACACCAAGTAGGTGTATGCCGCATTAACGAACTGAGGCGATCGCACGCGAATCTCAATCGGGCGGTCCGCCTTTGCGCGTGCGACCGTCGTCGCTTCGTCGAGATCTTGGACAACCGTGTAGAATCGCGCACTCGTCGACACCACTACGCCCGAGTATGCGGGGTCTAGCACGAGATATCCACCAGCGAGGAGCACTTTCCCCGGCGAAGAGATTGCAGTAGTAGCCATTGTGGAACAAGAGGAACAGAGCAGTCTGACAGTGAGCTACGGAATTCTGCGATCAAACTCAGGACGACCGTATCTGCAGGATTGGCCGAGGCAGGGAAGAAAGTGGGTCGCGCATATAGAGCGCGGTGTCCTTATAGCGGTGTAGCTGCTGCCGAAAGCAGGATGGCACTGCAAAGTCTCTGCAACCCATTGGAGATGGAAGTCCTGATCCAAAAGCTGGCGTGACATCGTCGGACGATACGATAATTGCGGCACGCTAATCCCGCGACGCGCTCGGGCCAGAATCAGGACACTCGCAGCCGCGCAAGGCTGGTCTCCTGAATCCGCAGAGCCACCCCCTGTCTGTTCTCGTTCACACCGTCTCACAGCATGTATTGTGCCCGCCCAGATTAGCCCATGTCCGTGACCATGCTTCCAAGCTTGCACGACGTACATCGAAACTCAAACCTCACCCAGACTACCACAATTCCATACTCTGTCACAGCAGCGTTTATGTCGTATAGCCCATCGATGCCCGCCCTAGCGCCCCCCACGCGCGAACCAGGCCTTTTGTTGGCCGCACGTCGCGTTCGTGCAGCCCGGACACCGCAGACCCAACTGTACGCTTGTGTGCCCCGCCGACCCCGCCAGCCCGTCCCGCAAATGTGCTGCCGCCATGTCCGCCAGCGCCCGAATGAACACCGGCGAGTCGTTCAGCGACTCTGCTCGATGTATCTCCATCCCGTGCTGTGCGCGCCAATCGCTATCAGCCCACGACGACGTCAGACATGGAGCATGCCGCGTACCTCTTTTGCCTCTTTCATGTATTCCAGGTCTAGCTCGTACAGCGTCTCGATATGGTCGCTCGTGAATGCAATAGGCACCAGCACCACCTGCTTCCGTCCTAACCGCGCGAGCCCCTTGAGCGCCTCGTTCGTCTGCATGCCCATCCACGCGGACGGCCCAACTTGTGATTGCCACACAAGCCGGTACGGATTCGCATGCTTGAGGCGCTCCATTACCTTCGCGACCGATGCCGAGACCTCGAGGACGTATGGGTCTCCGCGGTTCACGACGGACATCGGCAGCGAATGTGCAGAAAACAGCAGCACCGTCTCGGCGCGCGTCGACTCGGAGAACTGGGCCAGTGCGCGTTCAATATTTTGGGCGACAGCCTGTGAACCGATTGAATGAGGAACTTCGCCAAAGACAGTCGCACACATACCTCAACGAATCCAGGGTGCGTCCCCCACCGGTCGATCACGCTCCACTCGACGTCACCCATCTCGCCCGCCTTGCCTCGCCTGTACAGTTCGTTCAGGCTGCTACCCGTGGTGCTACAACTGTACTGCGGGTACTGTGTGAACGCAACAGCACGCTGAACGCCGTCCGCTTTCATCTGCCGCGCAGTCTCGTCTGTCAGCGGCCGCGCGTACCGGAATGCAACGTAGTGCTTGTGTGGTGCGGTTGCCGGGTGCAGTTCGTCCAGTAGCGCAGCCATGCGCTCACCCTGCAGGTTCGTGTAACGCAGAATGGGAGAGCCACCGCCAATGTCGGTGTACTGCTGCTCGATCTGGGGTGTCCGTCTACGCGCGATCAGGGGCGCGAGGATGGACTGGAAGGGCAGAGGTATGAGGTCACTGTCGGAGAAAAGGTTTTTGAGGAAGTCGTGCGTCTCTGGGACCTAAAACACGTTTGCGAACGTTGTAGAAATACTTTCAGAATAGGGGGGCGTACCGTAGATGGCCCGCCCATATTGAGCATGACGATCGCTGCACGACCACATCACCTTCGGAACGGAATGCCTCTAATGCACCCACATACCTGTTGGACTAGCGCAAGGCGAGGAGCTCAGTTTCGGGGTTGCAGAAAATGACATTCTACCCAAACGCACCTTTTCCCGGCTGGCGGGGCATGGTTGAGCGACGCGAGCGAACGGGTCAGCGACCGCGTGAGGGCGGTTGTCCGGTGGATTTGAGCCATTTTGAGCATACGAGATCAGCCACCGCGTGTAATTATTGCAAGGAGTAGGTCTGACAAGAGAGCAAGAGCTTGCGGCGCACAGAGCGTCGCGGAGAGAAAGAAAGCTTTGCCAGCTTATGCATTTCCTGGAGTGGTCGTCCGTCGTATCACGTTCGGCAAAGGACGCGTCGACAGGAACGCTTACGAGACGCGCATGACTGCCGGCTACATGACTTTCCCAGATCCCCTCATTGGATCATACCTGCCACAACGCCTATCCTGTACTTTGTCGTGGTTTGATCCTAGAAATCGCAGGGCCAACCATTCTACTTTACCCGGACGATATTTCGATCGAGCTAATTGCAGGTGGCTGAAAACACCGAGTCGGAGGGTGTTGAGTTGACAAAGAGAGAAGTACAATGCGGCGCCCGCACACGCCGTTTACACACGCCCGGACCGCCATGAATGAGAACGAATGACGTTACTATTCGATGTACAGTACATGGCATCACGGTCACGAAGCAAACTCGGATCAGATCGAATAGACAACATACTAGTGATGGATAGCAGAGTATAGGTGCATACCATATACCACATAAGTTATAGCAAAGAAAAAAAACAGCACCCTAAAGGCTGTTCCTTGCACTTCCCCTCGTGCCTAATACGGCGAGGTGACCAGAATACCAGGAAGCGGACACAGCGCATTGCAGTCTGTTAGTGCCAGCTTAGGCGGCCTCTGTGCTAGCCCACATCTGGACGTTGCGGAAATACGTGTGTACTTCATTAGGCGTCGCCCAAGACGAGTCGCTCCCTGCAGAACGAAGATCTCATGAGTATCTCGGTCAAACTGACCTCTGAAGCTTTTGGCAACTGACCTCCGAAGAACGTCCTGATGGGTGATAATGGCAAAGCAGTCAAACGATGTTTGGGATGGTTAATAGGCATATGGGAGCGTACGAGAAGTAGAAGCCGCTGATGTAGACTTTGGAGCTATTGCGATACTGCAGAATACTCTGGTCGATGGCCTCCACGTTATTGTAGCTGTGATTCTTTAGATGCTGGCTCGACATTGTCATTTATGAGTACACTCACTAAAGTTGCACTTGACCATTGGCAGTGTCAACAGGATCGTTCAAGCGAACAAGCATTGTGACGCGGTTCCACCTGAGACAAAATGCTTCTTTAAACTCTAGCAATAAGGATCAGCGAGAGGAGACGCACTGTCCAGTCACAAAGCTGAAGGAACCACGGTCAATGCTTGTGCCGTAATTGTCCTGGTTACAGATGTAGTTACTGTTGTCACACAAGCCGTCGGGCAGCAGGAAGTATGAGTACACTGTATTTACAACAAGCGTCAGGCTCGACTATGGGGAGTAGTCAGGACGAATGCTAACCTTCGCCCTCTCCGTCCGTTCTCCACATCACCCTACTGCTAAAGCAGTTAGAACCATTCGCGACATTACCACCGGAACACCAATTCTCTTCCGGGCCACCTCTGATGCCGGGCAGCTTGCCGCCCTTGACGAAGTCGAAGTCGGTGTCAAACGCGAGCTCGTAGGTCAGGAGCATCGATTTGAACTGCATAAGATTTTGAGTATGCCACCGACTGTTTCGACTAGACTGTGGCAACTAACCTTGTCGCCACTTGAAGGATTCCAAAGTGCCGTAAACTGGGCACCACCTGTGCCATGAGAGTAGCTGCCTGCAGGGTAGGTGACTTGCAGGACAGGCGAATTCGAGTCCGAGGAGCTGTCCGGGAAAGGATCGGACACAAAGGAGAGGTCGTCAGCACCGAAATCTATCTTGTCGTCATTGAGAGGCCACGAGGACTTCATGTACGACTCGGCAGAGGAAGAGGATAGCGTAGCAGTCGGGAACGGCAGAGAGGTACTGGTCGTTAGCGAGTAACTGGATGCAATCGCGGAGGGGGAAGCAGTCGTAGCAGCATTACACGAGATAGCAAAGGCCAAAAGGCTCATGAAGACGAGGGACTCGAACGCCATCTCTGAGGTGACGAAACCGGAAGGGTGTAGAAAGAATGGGTACGCACATGGCACTTGTACAATACTGCCCTTTTGTCCTTGCGTGAAGCCGCAGAATACACTGCCCTCGCGGTCAGATCAAAGTTATTGTCTTGGCACTTCGCCCGGCCCTTGCGGCTCTGAGTTCTAGCCGCATTGTACTAGATCATAGCATCGTAGGGAGCCTTATGATGGCGATGTAACGCATCGCAAGTCCATTGAGTCGTCAGTCGGTCTGGAGGAGTAAGATGGTCCATGCATTCCTGGGCAATCTGACAACAAACTCAAATGCAGACTGTACTCACAAAGGGCACGAACGTTCAAGTTGAAATGAATCTGAGATCCTCATTCTTGTGGGGGCGCAACGTTGGGTCCATGACGGGCGTCTATGATCACCCTAGCCGTTCATTATTGAGAGTCTCAGCCTGATCCCCTGGGAAACATCCTCATCTGATCCGATCTAGTCCCGCAAACATGACACAGGAGTACCGCGGCACAAGAGAGGGACAAACGACATTGCTTACTCGCACATGCACCACACAAACAAGCTCAGCCCGAGCCGAGCCCCGACCCGGCCTCGGGAGCGGCTCGACTTTGAAGCCCGGCCGAACCGCCAAAAGCCCGGCCCAAACTAGGGCTCTGGGCCCTGAACAACACTACGCGTAACGCCTCCCATCAAAGAGCCTTGTGCACCAATGCTCTGCGGCGCTGAAGCTGTGGCTTGCTCCATAAGGATGCGTGTGACGAGCAACGCACATGATAAGCGCGAAGCAAAGCAAATACACATGGTCGGTTTGCCAACGATAACCTCCACATCTAGCAAGCGTATGGCTGTCTGCTAACACGTAGATGGATGGTCACACAAGGATGGCCGACGGAGCGGTCCAATCACCGGGGCGCGCATAAGATAGTACCACAAACACCCATACATGCATTCTTCGTGTCAAAGCTCGACGTAGTGCGCAAGCTTACCAAGTATTCCGAGGACCGCCCAAAACGACACAATCACAATGGGCCATATGTTCACACGCATACACCGCGCGCCCGACGTTGCTGCCGTGATGTTTGAGGGAGCGGTGCTGGCCCAGATCTGGAAATTACGGAAGTATGTGTGCACGGTTTCCGGTGTAGCCCATGAGGTGTTACTTCCTGCACATCAAACATATATTGTCAATAGGATGGTTTGTGGAGCAACTTAGGGGCTGAAGCGCTAACCTCCGAAGAATGTTCTGGGGAACGTCCAGACTCAGGATTCAAGTGCAGAGTAAGGGAAGCAGATGAACAATGAATACGTACGAGAAGTAGAGGCCACCAATGTTAACGTCAGGATTACTACGATATTGCAGGTTTCGCTGATCGACAGCCTTTACGTTGTTATAGCTGTTGGGCTCGTGTCATATCCGATGCCGTTATAATGGATGTACTCACTAGAGTGCGACTTGCCCATTGGCGGCTTCCGGAGGGTCGTTTAGGCGTACGAGCATTGTAATTTGGCTCCATCTAATCGGAATCATTGCGATAAATCGAGGCCATTCGAATCTTGATGAGTTGCTTACTGTCCAGCCTGGAAAGTGAAGGAACCACGGTCTATGCTTGTCCCATAGTCCTCCGAGTTACAGCGGAAGTTCGAGTTGGTACACAAGTTTTGAGGTTCAAGGAAGTACGCGTATACTGATGGTCAATATACTGCGTCAGTCCAGGTTGCGGAAGCCGGTGAAGTTGGCTGACCTTCGCCTTCTCCTTGTTTTCTCCACATTGGCCTGGTGCTGAAGCAGTTAGACCCATTTGCGGGTGAGCCACCAGAGCATCCGTCGGGGTCGGGCCCTCCTCTGAGACCAGGTAATTTTCCACCCTTGACCCAGTCAAAGTCAGATTCAAATGCAATCTCGTATGTCACAAGCATCGACTGAAACTGGGCGCTGGCTGAAGCATTCCAGAGTGCGTAGAGCTGTGCGCCGCCAGTGTCGTGTGAATAGCTGCCTGCAGGGTAGGTGACTTGGAGAACTGGGGTGCTAGAGGCCGCAGAGACCGCTGTAGTCGTGCTTGAACTTGAACCATTTGCATACGGATCAGAAACAAAAGAGAGGTCCTCAGCGCCGTCCTGCACACGGCCCTTGCTGAGGGACCACGAGGAGACTAAGAAAGACTGAGCATCTTCAGATGAGAGCGTTGATGTCGGAAATGGCAGAGAGGTACTAGTAGTCAACGAGTATTCCGATGCAAGCGCGGCAGGGAGAACAATCTGGGACGCTGCACTGCAAGGTCGAACTGAAGACCCCAAGACGCTGGCTAATGCAAGCAGTGTAAGATGCATCTCAAGGGTAAGCGGTTGACGAAATTTGAAGCAGGAGGAATAGCCTTAAAATGAACGAACAAGGTTACAGAGCAGGCTGCTGGTGCAGATCATAAGTTGCAGTTCTGCCTGGCGTCGGCGGCGACTGCCTAGGTTTCAAGTTGCCTCCTTGGTATGGGATCCAGCAATAATGTAGCCCTAAAGTTTGTCAACGTGCCAGAGCATATCAAGGACAAACCAGTATGTAACAGGTGGAAACAAAGCTGCTTTGAGCAAAGGGCGTTGAGTTGAAATTGAATCTGAGATGCTGATGTAAGTAGCATCCAAACGAGCAGCCCTGTGGCTGCTCTTCCTCCTGAAGTCTCATAACTGGTCGACAACTTATTCCGCCATGGCACAAGAGCCTGAGCCCATTGTTCGCATTCGCGAACTACAGAAGGACCATGTAAACTTTGTCGTTGAAAATGTCGACCTCGCGTACGTCCGACTCCCCTTGTGCTCTCCAGCTTCCGTACACAACCATCCTCCCATTCAGCCTCGCTAACTCTCTGCGCCGAGTCATGATGGCAGACATACCCACTGTTGGTGCGTATAGACTCACGACCCTTTTGTAGCCCCTCTAAGGGAGGTAAACTCAATCACTTGCAGCCATTGACATGGTAGAGATCGAGACGAACACAACCGTATTGCCCGACGAGTTCATAGCCCATCGGCTAGGTATGATCCCACTCGTGAGCAGTAACTGCGACGAGGGAATGCGATACACTCGAGTACGCTTTCTTTGACTTGCTAAATTGGCTCACTAGCCGACATCCCTCCTTGCAGGATTGCACATGCTTGTCATGGTGCCAGTTCTGTGCTGTCGAGTTGACCCTTCATGTAGCCTGCCACGACGGTGTGGCTATGGATGTGACAAGTATGCATCTTGATGTCAGCGGTCCACGGCCAGGAGACAACAATTGGAATGATGAAGTAGAGGGAGGAGACGAGCTAGCGAAGCGGCCAGAGAACTTTGGGCACCCAGTCGGAAAATGTACGTGATTTTCATCGCTTCAAGCTTCTCACTGTCATGCTCAACCCTTCAAGTTGACCCCAGCGTCTCTCCTGTCCTTATTGCCAAGATCCGCAAAGGACAAGAGCTGCGACTACGGTGTATAGCGAAGAAGGTTGGTCCAACGCAGACACTGGGCTACATTACAAGCTCACTGATAGCTCCAGGGCGTTGCAAAAGAACACGCGAAATGGTCACCATGCTCGGCAGTTGCATTCGAGTACGACCCACACAACAAACTTCGGCATACATCGTACTGGTTCGAATCAGACGAGAAGGCCGAATGGCCCCTCAGCGAGAATGCCAAAGAAGAAGAAGCGCCTCGGGATGATCAACCCTTTGACTACAACGCAAGACCAAACCGGTTCTATATGGACGTCGAGACAGACGGCAGTCTCGGACCACAGGAGGTGGTCATGAAGGTACGCTTGTGCACTCGTTCCACAATTGTGGCGCTCACAACCCCTTTATCCTCAGGGTCTTCAAGAACTACAAACAAAATTGGCCAACCTCATACTCGGCCTCAAACCCGAGCCCGAGCTCGACATCCTCCCCCAATCGAGCGAGTCTCAGCAAAACGGTGGGCGACCAGGCGGCGGAGGAGGCGCGAGCTCGTGGGGGGCGGCAGCTGCAGGCGGGTGGAACAGCCCAAATGCCAATGGTGGGGGAGCGAACTGGAGCTCAAGCCCCGGAAACAACGCGCAGGCCGTGGGGTGGCAGACGCCGGCAGCCCCCGCCGCGGGTGGGTGGGCTAACGGTAGCCCTGCGCGCGCTGCGGGAGGTGCTAATTGGGGTAGCCCATCGGGCACAGGAGGCAGTGGTGGTGGTGGTGGTGGTGGTGGTGGCGGTGGCTGGGGCTCGGGGAGTCCCCCAGCGGGCGGCGCTGGTTGGGGCGGTCCGAGCGCAGGCCAGGGCAGCAGTGGGCCAGGCTGGGGCAGCCCGAACCAGACAGCGCATGGGTGGAACACATAAGTGTGTTAGTATTCACATCGGGGTACTGCCAGCTCGACGTCACATTTGCGGCTTTATATCGCTGCCGCTAATACTGGTGCTTGCCACCCAGATGTATATCACTGTTGTTGGATTTATAGGTTACAACGAGTGATGCGAGAGCTATTTTCATGGCAACAGTACAAGAATAGGACAGCGTATTTGTACACCTAAGGAGCGGAGGTGGCAATTCATGACAGTACAGCAAAAGCGGGCGAGTATCGGGAGACGCGGATCGGGATACACTTGAATCAAATAAATAACGAACGACAGGCAGGTTAGTGACAAAGAGCAAGACGATGGAACAAAAAAGTCCAGTGAAACTATGTCCGTGGCCCTCGTTGGCCTTTCTTACCCTGTCCATTCGGCAATTCCACCGGACGTTGGCACGTCGGGCATCGCCCCGATACGTCGATCAACCATGGGTCCACGCATGTTTGCTACAAACGAGATCAGCACCAACACACCCGTATCAGTGGCTGCCAGAACTTACATGGAAGACATGTCCGCAGGGCAGTAGCCGCAACGGCTGCGCACCTTCCCCTGCGTCGTCTAGATGTAGGCGATTTCTGTCCTCCTGCGTCACCTCGTCCACTCGCACTTCTTGTACCGCCTGAGCAGGGGCACTGTCGGGTCCCGCCGCAAAACTTTCCGATTTCTTCTCGGCCTCAGTCGACTCGCCCGTCCTCTGCGGCTCCTCAAAATCCAGCAAGCAGATCGCGCACACGGCACGGTTCCCTTCGAGCCGCACGAATGGATACTCACCCGGCTCCCAGTTGTCCTCCCATGTCAACTTTTCCGGGTTCGCAGCCGCGCGCTTGTGCTTATCGTGCGGTTTCGCATCCTTCTCGCTGGACCCGGATACACCGGTGCTGCCCTTGGTCTTGTCCTTCCGGCCTTTCATTTTCCGAAGGAACGCGAATCGGCGTTTAGGCGGCGCGGCTGTGCTGGAGCGTTTCGGTGGGTACGAGTAGGACGGCGACGGAACAGGGATCGGGGACTTGGGATTGTCAGCATCCTCTGGTGGTGTAGGGATGTAGAGCACAAGGGGAATCTGGTCGACGATAGACTTAGGCAGCTTGCCGATCTCGGGCTTGATGTAATGTGGGTTTTGGAGAGGGTGTCTGCCCAGGCACAGCAGGATGACAGTCCACAGCAACTGGTATGGGAATGTGCGCGATTAGGGTCAGAGGCAACCAGTTGAGAATGGAGACATACGTAAATGACAGGTCCGAAGACAAAGACAAGCAGTCCAAGCAGGAAGATCTCCAGGATCATCAGGTACAGAATGCAAAGGATACCGAACGTGAGCCACCACAGATGGGGCGAAGAGTACCGGCAGCTGTTGACAGAGGTGTACTCGAGAATGTGAGCAGTCAGGAACCACGCGAGGGACATGAACGTGGCCAGCAGAGACAGTCTGAACACAGTCAGCTCCACGATCGTAGATAGAGCCGTACAAGACATACCGAGAGTAAGCATTTGAATGTGGGAGAGGTGGAGGCTGGATTGTCGGGGGACTAGCATCGTGAGTATGCCCAGGAGAGCCACCAGGCCTCATAGGACGCGGGGGAGGTCTGTGTGGCGGCGCTGGTCTCCCGTTCATTCCAACCGTATGATGGATGGGGGACTCAATATCGCCAGTCCTCTCCCGCTGCTCTTGGCTTTTGACGGCGGTATGTCAACAGCATTCTAGATAAGAGTTTGCATGTACTCACAGTGCTCGTGCTCGTCGGTCCCTTTTGTAGCCCCAGTATGACAGCCAAGTACCCAATGCCACTCGGATCAACCAGATCGAGTCCCATACACCTAGTGGTCTCTCACAAGCACGCCACTCAGACAATCCGGGCTTCGTGGGACTTTCATGGTGGGATGAGTAGGCTAGCAGGGTTACAATAATGACAAACTGGATATTGATATGTGGTTCAGTACTGGGGGAGGCAATGATGGACGAAACACACCTGCGCCAGATTGAACGCCAAATTCCATATCAGCGACAACGTCTCCCTGCGTGCCTTTGCGTTTGCACCTGAGTACCCTATCAGCTCCAAGACTGTGTAGAGCATGGATCGTGGCTCGCTGTCTGGGCCACCGGCCTCTGGTCGCGCATCAATCGGGGCTGCAGTGTTCACACGAGACAGATCCCATGGTAGCGGAGGACTCTGGGGACGAGCACGGGCAGGCTCAGGCATAGCAATGGGGGAAGACGACATGGATCCAGGGCTCAGTGGCATGCGAAGCCGCTCAGATTGCGCACCCCGGATGCCGCTTGACGCCCGGCCAGTTGGATTGTTCATGGTGGGACTGCCGTGGAGGCTTGAGCGAGCTGGTCGAGCTGGTGGCTCGGTTTGGGGGAGATCGCCTGAGGACTGGACCTGTCTGAGAGCGTGTTCGTGAAGGTTGGACACGGTGCGCTCAGACATGACGATATGCTCCGGTCCACGTTATCCAGTGACAGAGTTCAATCGATGCGCCCACTGAAACTGTGTGGCCCAACCCTACTATTGGGAAACAACCTATACTTGGTCCTACGGATGATTAGGAAAGGAGTCAGCAGCACAATACGACAAAGAGGCCGATCCTAATATCCTCCTGAGTGAGAATAAGGCGGTGCTTTGAGATGACGCGCAGCATACCTCTGTCACGCTCCGGACGCTTTCTCAGAATCCCATGATATCCCACTACCTAACGTAGTGGCGGCTTTGTTCAGAAATGTGGAAGAAATTGTGGCGGGGGACGCAGAGGTGGGAGCATCAGGGAGACCCGACTCCGCGGCCGGTGGCCTGAGACTGCCGCGTCCCCGGACTTGGCCTTACTCGGGTACAGCTCGGTTCTCAAGTTGAAAATTAAAATTAGAACTGAAGACAGCATAACTTGACCACGATCCACAATCCCGTGGTTCAGTGCGTCAACGAGATCAGAGGAAAGCGGCAGTGTATCTCGATGTATGACCATATGCAGATTGAACATCCTCAAACTGAATATCTGAACGAATGGCGACTACAAGACCGGGCATTTTGGAAACAGCAGTAGGATCATGCAGAATTGTAGATGCTGCCATGCGGTAAAGAGTGGGCGCAAGCAGCGGTTAAGACTGCGAAAGTGTGAGCTGAGTATCTCAGTAGACCGATGGGTCCGCTCAAAAGACATATCCAGATGATAAGGGAGTGCATGAGTTCACTTGGCATGTTCGTTGAATTGCAATGAGGTGATCAATGACACTAGTCAAGTGAACTAGTAGAAGATCCCCCCAATATCGTACAATACACTAATCACAGATGTGCCACGATAGGCACACCGTGACAATCCACCGCCTCCGAATACAACATATTAGAGTTTCATCCTAGGTTCATAGTAACTTCGTAATGACGCCGAGCCCCTAGACATCATGTCAGCCATTCAGAGATGGGCGGTGAATGATAGATTGCGTTATGCGCACCTTCGTCTTCCCCTCTCTAAATAACAGCTTCATACCTTCCTTTATGAATTCAGGATGCGCAATGAACTCAAAAGTGACAGTTGCCCTGTCTCCTGTACGCAGGATGCCCTGCGGATGGTCCATCTCGAGGATGCGAACAGTCTGGCGGACAGCCTGTAGATCGGCAATCAAGAATAACAGGGTCAGCGAGGGGTCGTGCAAAGGATATTTGATTACATACGCCGCAGTGAAGCATCGCCTTGACGATTAGGTTCGATATTAACGAGGAACGGATATGAGTTGCGCAGCAGGGAGCATACCTGATAGTTCTTCTGTAGTGTTGTATTATGACTACGACTGATATCAGCGACAGTCCAACGTTGAGAACTTTCGAGGTGCTCACTACAGAATGAGGACCTGACCCTGGAATTTCCGGATAGCTAGATGCAAAAGCATTATGATATATCAAAACGAGTGACAGCAGGATAGTTCCTTGCCTCTTGGCGGCGTCTCCGACTTGTGTACGAGCACCATGCCTTTACGAACTGCAGCTTTTCGCACGCGCTTCAAGGCGAGGGACACGCACTGTCCTGCTTCTGCGCTGTTTACTGGAGCCCTAGTAGACCAACAGCGAGCACAGTGAGCATTCTCGCGTAGGTTTCGTCTGGTACTGAATTTCATCCTGACCGCTTTCGCTGGATGCTCTTGACGACAGTGGTCTGATAGTTGCCATTGGCATCGGGGCCGAGTAAGACGGCGTCACCGGTCTTCAGGGACCCACTATTGAGGATGCCATCGACCACCGTGCCCACGTATGGAACAGACCTTCAAAACCAACGGAATACACCGAGATGAGGAACACACGCCCTGCTAGATAATCAACTGAATAACAACTGACCACACTTCAGTGACGGAATACTGATGATATCACAACCCCAGCTGTCAGCGCGTTTCTATAGAGTAAGGGATGAACACTGTTACCTCTAATGGCTGATCGACGGCGAACTTCTCGCTATCGTTCTCGCTGGCAGGCAAGAGGTTCAGGAACGTTCGCAACTGAATGCCGGTCAACGATGCTCCATGCTTCGCCGGCTGTATGCGCTCACATAGTCGAGGCCCTCTCCTGTAACATTAGATAGCTGGAACACAGGGCATAATCTGGCAGCGTATTGTGTCAAATTTCATCTTCTCATGCGACAACTATACCCTGACAACCCACCGTTCCATAGCGAACACCTGTGACACTTCTACTGCAGTCTCCACTGACTTGACGAATACAGGTGTTTTACTTTCAGATTTGACGATAAATTCGGGAATCAGAAATGCAGGCTGGGAATATAACCGCACGTACCGACAACCCGGGCTCCTCATAATCTTCGAAACCTGCTCAATCGTCTTCGCGAGAACATTCGGGGGTGTCATGTCGACCTAATCGTCGCTCTGTCAAACATAGTGTATCCACTCAATGCCAAGATATGTCACCTTCGTGACGCACACAACGACAGGAACGCTCAAGGCTAATGCTATCGCAAGATGCTCCTTCGACATACCAATCAAGCCGGCATTAGCACCAACAATGAGAATGACGCATGAAGGCGAGCCGGATGTCAGGCCGTATAATGTTGTCTTCAGATATCGTTCGTGACCTGCAAGGTCTGTAATTTGTTAGAGAAGGGAAGGGGGGTTCATGCTGATATCAACGGGCATCGAACGACTGGGCATACCAATGAAGGAAACAATCTTCGATGCTTGTGCAGTAATCTCGTCCCAGCCCATCTTTTCGCGCCTGATTACATCGGGCTCGTTTGAATGCGCTGTTGCCGGGAGTATAGGTGTGCCTGATGGCCCGAAGCCCAAAATCTGGTCTCGTGTCTCGATGCGGGGCAGGACACACTAGCGTAATAGATAAACACACCTCCATTCCTACACTTGACGTTCGTCCACTTTCAATCTCATGCTTATGCCGGAACAAGCTAACGCGAGCACGACCTCGACCATCGTCCAAGGTGCCTACTGAAGTCAAACGTCGGATCTAATGACATATAAGGAGCGTACCTCGTGTCAGAACGCCCAATGTTGTCGACTTTCCACTATCCACATTCCCCACGACAGCACAGCGGACCTCCGGCGTTGAAGAGACGTCTGCTGGAGGTAATCGTAGTAGAAGGATTGCTCGTGGATAGTCCTTTAGCGACTCGACTAGTATTGTAGTCTTGCGAAATAGTGAGTGAAAGTGGCACTACAACCGTAGCCGTCAAGACACAGACCTTCCCGCCGACCTCTTCAACGATTTGGCTAATGGCTTGCTTGAGCATCGCTACCTCGTCCTCTGTGCGTGAAGTCCCACGCCAGCCTTTGTTATCTGAAGCGGGTTCGCCTGAGAACAGTTTCGTGTGTGGCGGATGTGCACCTATTCGAAGGATATATTCCCCTCGATTTCGAGTCAACACCGAGGCGATAATATCGTGTGCTCGCTCATGATTTGAAGTGTTACTAGACAGAAGCAAGTCCTGGTCATAATGAGCGCTATGTTATGTAGAGAAAGCAGCTAGAATTCACTTGTATTCGTTCGTCGACGTCTGAAAGCTCAGCCGAGCTCAGGCTTGTCTGCGTGTCTGTGACTTTGTCTGCAGCTTGTTGTATGACCTTGGCGCCGGTCCTCTTGACATCTTTGTCCTTCACTTTCTCGACAGGGACGTGTGTTCTCTGGCGGGCAATCTCGCGATGCTGTATCTCGTCGATCTCGGTCTGAAAGGTCCGAAGTGTGGTCATGGTGACCGTGGGCAGTATAGGAGAGGGTACTACGAAGCGTGCTCAGCCTCAAAGCGTCCCGTCGTCGACTTTGGTATTTCAATGCGTTGGAATGAGTCAACCTCGGCTGTCAACCTGAATCAATCTAACTGACTCGGCGTTGCTCTGACACAGGTTGTCGCAGGTTGTTTAGAATAGCATGCAGAATGTTGGGCACAATGGACACCCTTGACATGGGGTGAGTCCACAGAATTGCGATACTAAATGTCACAAGCGATCGAGTAATTAAACCACAAGATGCAGCATTACAGTAGAGTTGTAGTCCTGATGCCAAATGCAGTAACACCCTCCGTCACAGGCTGAAGACAACATGTGAGAGTCATTTCTTAGGGATCTGGTCCTTCAACACTACTCATGATGCGGTCCACATAGAATCGACACATTTGACACAGTCTGACAGACGTGAAATACCACAAAGCATCGGAAATGATTGAATGCTGCGCTTCATACCGCAAAGCGTAGATCTGAGATTGTTACCCTCGGTCACGTGACGGTGCAGGAGGTACAACTTGTGGCTGCCCCGCGTCTGCGTTGGCTTCAACCCCCAGGACTTTCACCACATCGCCTGCCGTGCAGGTTGCCATCCAGGCTTCGGCCATGCAAGATTACGCTGAACCACCGCACCTTCGCTTGATTACAGGAACGACAACAGGTTTGCTGGATCCCACTCAATCGCGACGCTTACACCAGGTACCCGGATCGCGTCTCTCTTTCGCGTCTTTCGATCCCCTCACCGCGTCTTCACGCGATGATATAACAAGAGTCGGCAACTCATCCCTCAACAACGAGCTATATCGCCCGAAACGCGTCGTGATTGAGACGCCGCCCGATCGAGACAGCACCAGCTTTTGGCGGTTCGTGCCGCGTGCGCGGCGCGAATGGGGTGTGGAAGATGAGGGCACCTGGCCAAGAGTCATTGACATCTGCGGGTGAGTACTCCTCTATCAGTTCCTCAATTATGAAATAGTCTTGGAGGCTGGCTTCTATACTCCGAGGCAGCGTGGCGGTCGCCATCTTGAGCGAGGTGTGGCGGTTTCTTCCGCGAGTTTTCCGTTGACGAGAGCAGAAGCCGTAGCGCTACGCGTTTCAGGGTACCCTGACAGATGTATATACATCTATATACCACCCCGCGATGTGTTCTCGTTGGGTTTGTAGAGTCTGTGCAGAGTGTACATCTGGGGTTCAGCCAGTACATGTGGTATTTGAGGGGGCTAGCAGCGTCACGTCTATGACAAAATTCAACTTTTAAGACCCTTTATATCTCTTCGGAATGTACACTGTTGAAATGGCCACAGTACCGTCGTTGTCGCACTTTTGACTGTTTTGGCTGCCCAAAACGTGCTGTCATGCCACCATTCAATGTACAGATCATAAAGCGGCCTGACCGCGACACTATCCTCGAGCTTGTGTAGTACTATCGAGGAGGTCGTAACGAATCCTATAGCAATAGCTAGCAGGAGAGTCTGACAGCGCCGGCGCTCTCTACCGTGAATGCTAGCTCTTGAGTCTTAGGGAAGCTATTTGTACTGATTCACGTACAGACAGTTGATCTACTGTTCTCAAGACCAGTGGGACATATACAAGCTCGACCCAGAGTACGATTGTCTAGTCCGCGCTTTACCTAGCCTCACCGCTATAACAAGAAAGAAGGGGAAAGGACGAGTTAACTCTCCTAGTAATGTTGCGTCAGAGTCCCCTTCTCCACCACCGTACTCGAAACGGCGACCCCCAACACCGGATTCGAACGAGAGGCCATCGGCGGAACCGCGAAAGAGGTATAGGACCTACATTTCTGTTTCTGATTCCAGTAGCGGAGATGAGTCGGATGAACTGCTGTCCGCGGATATGGAGTCGTCGGATGACGAAGAAGACGAGGTAGAAGACCTTGTGGCGGAAAAGTACTGTTCGCCGAAGAAACCAAGTGCGGCCGACCGTGCTCGAAAATACCAAGAACTGGAACAGAATCGTCAACACAGGCGAGAAAGGCTTGCCAACAAGATGAAGATGAAGGCACCGGTCGCCGAGGAACAATATGAAATCCAAGATATCGAGATGAAGGATTATGTGAGCGACGCGGCAGACGCTTCCTTCGTTCCTGCCTTTACGTTTGCTTCTGCCTCTACCTCTGCCACTGGCTCTACTTCGGCCGACACTCCGAAACGGAAGGGTATGTTATGTCCTTGATGATTGAATGTCTGGCATGCTGACGTTAATGTAGTCTCACCACGGGACGAACCTCGCATACGGCGCCGCCGAAACGAGACTTCTGCGTCACCCACTTCTAATTTTTCCGACTCCGAATCGGAGCAGAGAGTTAAACGCGCACGCACGCGGTCGCCAGGCATCCCCAACCTCGAAGCCAAGCGGGCACAGCGCGCGAAGCGGAGATTAGACAGGTTCAGGAATCGCAAGAAGGCGTGGAACGATGCGATGCACGAGAAATTCATGGAGAGTGTCATGGCCGATGTGCCGCCGCGTCCGCCTCCTCCACCAGAAGAAACCGCTCAGCCATATGGTAAGCAGCACAGACTCCACACTACACCCACGATGAATGAAGCCGCTAATCTCCGCTGCAATAGAAGGTGGACCTCAATCACGGCCGCAGCGAATGGAAAGCCCACCGGCTACAGACAACGCTGCCATGGACGAAGACGCCGCGCGTCTCGCGGCCATTGAGGAGTCCCGACGGAAGCTTGCTGAGCTAGAGAAGGACCGCCCTATTTGGGAGGAAGCTGCACGGAAGCGTAGAGCCGCTGAGGAGGCGGAGGAAGCGGCACGGCGTGCACGAAAAGAGGCAGAAAGACAGGCTGCCGAAGCGGAGGCGCGAAGGCGTCGCGAAGAGGCACGGGCCGAGGCGGAACGCAAGGAGCGAGAGACGAAGGAGAGGGCTGGGCGGGACAGACACGAGCAACAGCGCAAGCTGGACAATGTGTGGCGATCACATAAACGCTGGACGGCAGAACGCGCATACGACCGGTACAGGCTTCTCTCCGATTGGTTCGACGACGCCAAGTTTACAGCCAATGCGCCGCTAACGTTCGACCTCGTTCCGTGGCCGGTATTGCAGCATCCTTCCAGCATTACCGTGGAAGACATCGATTGGAACACAGTGGAAGCCTTCTTCAAAGCGATGAGGGCATTCGTCCGGCCTCAAGAATATGTATCGTTCGTAGAAAAGAGCCACAAACGATTCCATCCAGACCGCTGGAGGGCGCGGGGTCTCCTTCGCAGCATCGATGAAGAAGAATTGCGGAACTGTTTGGAGGTTGCCGCTAATACAGTTGCACAGGCGGTGACCCCGCTGTGGAGGAGTCTGAAATCGAATGAATGAAAACTGACAGGTAGGTTTTCTATATGATAGGTATGTTCTCTATGTAGCATGATGCGATGTCAGTCGACGTTAGTGTATCCTAGAATCTCGGAAAACTATTTCCGTGTACATTCTTTTGACTTATGGAACCCATTATTTTCTCAGTTTGAGCGTGGTATTGCGCACTTTCATTGTGAGAGCATTGGATACCTCAAGGTTCATTAAGGGGGGTCTAATTTCGCTGTTTAGAAGTCCCGGTGCGTCCGTCGAGTAGTCTGCTGTCCTCGTCGCCGAGGCATCGTTCACCGTGAGTTTTATCATGCATAGACTGAACAGCATGTGTCCAGCATCGACCTTCCTGTCAGTTGGGGTGGGAATGTGCGCCTGTCGCAAAACGATGAACAACACGAGGGCCGGATATTGTTGCATTCTGTCTTCCGCACTGCCAGATCGTCAGCCTTCGAAACAAGGTCCCCATGCCTTGGAGCGCTCCCTGCGATCGTTGCCTGCTCGCACTGGTAACACTGCCCCAATGACGCTACCTCTGCGCGACTATCGTCGTGGTTCGTGTAAGGTTGGAACACGCAGCGAGGAGTGCAGCACTGATGCGTCAGGTAGTCTAGGCTTCATCCAATGAGGAAGGGAGAATTATGCCTTGCAGTAGGATGTACATAGCCCTCAGGCAGCTGCAAGGCATCTTGCATTCACCGACGAACATGCCTGGTGGCACTACACCGACTGTTGCAGTAATACGACTTTCCAAGTCTACGAATAACATAATGACTATGATAGCAGCGAGTCTATACTGCAGCACGCTGAGACACCATGATGGATAAGATGGCACGTCGCATGATACCGATGCTTCAACTTGACATCGGACGGAGCATGCCCTGGCGAATCAAGCACTCTTTTTGAGTTTGATGCACATGTTGCCAGCGACATCCGTCACTGAGAATGAGGTGTGAGCAAGACAGGTGTGTCAGTGAAACGAACCGCAGCAAGTCGGCCCTGCATATCAAATTGTAACAGGATGTCTGGGTCAGAAACTTTCGAAATTGTGACAAGTCAGCATCGCGACACAAACGGATCCAAATCAAGGTAGCACTATAGCAGGAAATGCAATAGCTTACTGCTTCGTACCTATTGCCTCGCTGGCCGTCGGGTTTCCGCCCGTTACTACTTGGTACGTTAATACGCGTTTTAACTTTTCGATCAGATTGATTCCAGTCGCGATCGCCGACGCGTATATCAATCACGTGCTGGGAAAGCACGGTGGCTCCGCAACCGCACGTATGTAGGCTGGAATGTAACCGTCGAGTAAGGGCAACTTGAATCCAACAGCCGACGCGAGGATTGGAAAGGTCCAGTCTGAACTCTGATTACTCAGAAATTTACTAGCATCACTGTTTAATTCCAATCTCTGAACCGGCGTTTGCATCGAAAACCGTACTTGGACTTACTGCATTTGGCATCGCGTCTGTTATGCCGGAGCCTTCGGCGTCATACGAACCCGTACCAAACGAACCCGACACTCAGACACCGAGCTTTAAAGGCAGATCGTGTTTTCGCCTTCGCACGTTGGGCAGATTCCTTCTCTTTGCAACTGCAACTGCTTTCGTCGTATTAGCTATCTACAAGGCCGAACTTTGGACTACGAAGCAGGCAATTAACTCAGCCCCAACCCATACTGCGGATCCTGAAGAAGTGGAGACTACTCCGTCCGATGTTGCCGTGAACATGTCTTCAAGCGGAAAGTATAGTGTTGGATAGTGCGTTGTCTACCATGGGTGAGAACTCCGAAGACTGAATTATTGTGTTTTGATCAGCTTCGTCAACTGGTGAAATTCAGATGTAACTCTCTCATTGTTACCGTCGCTAAATATATGCAGGGGAATATACGGCAGAAAATACCCTCCGTCTTTGATCCCGGTGCAGGATCTGACGTAAGTCACCATCGATCTTTTCTGATCCGTTCTCATTGTCATTAGCCACATCCTCTACGCGTTCGCAGATATCAGGGGAGATACTGGTGAAGTATTCCTCTCCGACACCTGGGCGGACCAACAAATCCACTATCCGGGCGACTCTTGGAATGACGTTGGCAACAATCTCTACGGCAATTTCAAAGCATTGTATAAACTCAAGAAAGATAATCGGCATCTGAAAGTCATCCTATCTATCGGTGGATGGACATATTCACCGAAGTTCCATCCTGTTGTCATCTCACCCGTCTTGAGATCGAAGTTTGTGGCGTCGGCGATCCGCCTGTTGGAAGACAATGGACTAGATGGACTGGACGTCGATTATGAATATCCCCAGAATGACGAACAAGCCAGGGGGTATGTCGCGCTGCTGAAAGAAATGAGGGAAGGCCTGGATGCACATGCAACACGCAAGCGTATCAACTATAAATATCTGCTCACGGTGAGCCACAAACCCCGCACGGGATGCAGCTTATTCATGGAAAGTCTCAGATTGCAGCGCCTTGCGGACCCGACAACTATCAGAAGCTACACGTTCAGGAGATGGACCGTTATCTTGACTTCTGGAACATGATGGCTTACGACTTCTGTGTGTGGCCACTACTCAGCAGCTGTACTGTCATTCTGAACTTCCTAATGCACAGCTGGTTCCTGGGACACAGTCGCAAACCATCAAGCCAACCTCTTCGGAGGCCCCATCAGCGCTTCTCAAGCAATTCAGTGGTACATATCGCAAGGCGTACCGAGGGGGAAGATTATCCTGGGAATACCCCTCTATGGTCGAAGCTTCATGAATACTCAAGGTGTAGGACAGCCTTTCCAGGGAATAGGACAGGGCAGCTGGGAGCAAGGCGTATACGACTATCGCGCATTACCATTGCCAGGGTCCTATCTGTTACGTGACGAACATGCTGCGGCCAGCTGGTCATACAACTACGAGACTAAAGAACTCGTCAGCTTCGACTCGGAGCAAGTGGGGAGATGGAAGGGGGAGTGGATTGCGAAAGAAGGGCTCGGAGGCAGTATGTTCTGGGAACTCAGTGGAGATAAGGGCACCGCACGAGACGGCATGGAAAGTGGTCCAGGTAAAGACCCACAAGCAGGGCAAAGCCTCGTTGCCACGGTCAAGGACGCTATGGGACAGCTGGACCGCACTCCCAATTGCCTGCGCTACGAAGGCAGTCAGTTTGATAACTTACGCAATGGAACTCTATAACCGGCACTATAATCGTACCTCATGCGGACAAATACGCATGCGATGATCTTTGTGTGGCTCGAGTGGTCACAGTGACCATGCGGGGTTATCAGAAATCTTTCCTGTCGTGTTGGGTGTTGACAGATCTGCGCTGCGGGATGCGCTCGTGATTTTATAACTTTAGGTTATGCAACGGCCGTATGCGTCAAGTCTACTCGCGCATGGAAACGAAAGGGGCAAAAACAATGAAATCGAGACGGCCAGACTTGCGATTCAGGTAAGTATGAGGAGCTTAATCTTGCTATTTCTTCTTGAATTCCTGTTGTTCTAGGATTGGGTGTGGCGGCAATGTCCGAACATTGGGATTTTCGCCTTCAGTCCTGAATGTTCTCCTTATAGCCTCTTCTGATACGACCGTAAGTAGCTAACAATCGTGCAACAAGGAAGCAACCCTGGCCGAGCGAACATCTCGCCATCCGCGAGCATAATACCATCCCGCTCTCGCAGACAAGCTCGCGGGAGCAAATAGAAACACGGGCCGTAGCAGTGAACGAATCTATCTAGGACACGTGCATCTCGTGCTGCTTGCCGGCCTTGCTCATCATTCCTTGGCCGGTCAGGTTCTCTCATACTTGAATTCGATACTCGACAACAATGGTGAGCGGCCTCTCTTGTTAATTCGCCGCCAGCGATGATGAGCCAAAGACCTGACACTTCGAGATAGCGGCGCCGCGAGGCTCAACAACACTGGTCCTGCTCACGCGCCAGCCTGAGTCTCAAATCTGAGACCTATGGATTTAGTAGCAAGCTGTAATGATCGGAGTAATACGATCGACGAATCGCATCTCATCATCCATGCACACAGTCCGCATGCGTAGTCAACTCACAGCCAAAGCCTCCTTATATAGTTATCGCGGACCATGAGATATACATCGATTACTCGATCCAGACCTCAATATTGTATGAAGAACAACGATTAAGCTTTAGACTCTGATATGAAATCGGTAAGTTCTCCGTAATACGAAGGCAACAAACAACTCAGGCGCTGCGCGCTGAGCGCGACGCACGGTCGTGGGGTGTATGACTTACATCCTGCAGCTCACCAAATTGAATTTCAGCTTGTCCATGCCATGACCAGCAGGCTCCAACAGCATCCTTACTTTGCATGTCCGCATACCTTCTTCCGTCGTACGTGAGAACGATAGGGAGGGTCACCTCTGGCTGTTCAGTGGCCACCAACGTTAACGACTCAGGGAGGCTTTGCAGGCCCTCTCATTCGGGCACAAATAGCCATTTTCGTAAAAGTGACGGCTTCAATGCTCTTTAAGGGATGGCTCACAGACTGCTGCCGATCACCGGGTCCATGCACACGCGTTGTACATGAGTTGTAAAAGCCTGTCGCGAAGCGCAACTCCGGAGGCTCTTCCTGAGAATCCGGTCTCATGATCTTCCCGTTCTGCTCATGCAATTAGCTACGCGGTAGAGACGGCAGAAGTCCGATCTTGAAATTGTAGATTCAGCGATTATAGACGTGTTGTGGGTCCTTCGCCACCCTCGCGTGCCAGTAGTCAAACTCGTCAATGATACAGGAGAAAACCGATGTTCACGAATGTACTATTATGATACTAGACCTTGACATATCTGCGTATCTCTTCTGGACTAGCGCACCTCAGGGGCGAGCTGCGTGCCCGCCGCGAGTTGATCTCCCGAGAACACAGGCAGCTTCTTCTCCCCATACACGTCCCGAACGACAGAATTGTATACTCGTTAAAACAAGAGCGGTATATTTGTAACAGATACGTACATACATCGCAGCAGATTGATGTCGACGACCTAAGACGGTCGAATACACAACGTTGAGCAGGTGAGGTATCATTCAAAGATGCAGCATAGGGGTGATCCGATTCACATTGAGATGGCTCTTCCTCTGCCAATCTCTTGCGACTGGCGAATAGTGGAGCGGCCTCTTTCTTCTTCACCTTTACCGTACGTATCCGGCTCGGGGTCAAAGGCCTTGTCGGCCCGGACGTAGCTGATGACCCGCGGGCTCTTGTGGGTGAAACCCGCGAACGCCAGCGCCTTGCGCACTTCAAGAATTTCTTGACCGTGTACCTTATCGCGCAGGAGCGGATCGCGAGTGGCGTCCGCAGCGGCGCCATTGGCAGGCGCGAGAGGCTGTGAGGTGTGATAAATTAGCGGCACATCACTGCCACAGCAAAATGCCGACCTCGGGCGGTATGTCGTCGTCGAAATGACGTGTATCTGCGGGGTTGCGCAGCTCAGGTCGGTAGGGAGCCGGGTACCTGTGAATATTATCCCAATCAATGCCACGGAACCACGGATGAGCCTGGTCAGACGTAATAGTGAGTCATCTATCACAATATCCTGCGACGACAATCAGACCTTTATCAGGTGGGCGCCGTCGACGCTGCCCGATACACCAGTCGTGGTGATGAAACCGCTTCGCCTGGCTTGCACGATCATCGAGTTCGGCCTGCTGACAGATGACGATGCTTGGGAACCAAGGCGGTCCTCGGGTTCGCAAAGCAACAACTCCATGAGATTTACTCCTTCGTGCGAAACACGAGGGCGAGACGGGAATCGTAACGACTGTCGCCAGTTGAGAATTTTCTGGCGGGTAACATGTCTCTATTGGTTAAATAATGATGAATTAATTAATCGGAGAATGAATCGATATGCCATGAAGAAATGGTGGTCAACAAATAATACTGGTGCAAAGGCGCCGTCAATCACGCACCGAGTTACTGACGAAGGGAGGGAACCTGTTTGCCATGCGCGCATGAAAACGCGTGCTAGATAGATATCGGAGAAACCCCAACGTACCCATACAGGCATTCAAACATGATGACGCCAAGGCTCCACCAGTCGCAAGAATACGTGTAGCCATGTCCTCGTATTACTTCGGGGGACACTGTTTTCCGCAACGAACGTACATCAACAAGTGATGCAGGATGTGTTCAACACCGACTCACTGTACGAGTTAGTCCCACAGCTTCACGGATCGAGTTCTCAGCGTGGGTTGACGAAATACGGCGTATAACGTGCACTTACACCGAGTATGCAAGCTTGTGGACAGATATGGGATCATCGTTTGGAACAAACTGCGGCGACAATGTAGCTTACCTTCCTGCGGTTCCGCTCGCGCCAAGTGAAAATACCGCCTTGACCGTCGCCGCCTCCCATCAGCCTTTCTACCTCCTTGCGATCCAGGCGCTTGGTCCGCACGCCGTCCTGCAGGCCGGCGCCGTGGTTGTCCTCAAGGTCGATGCCATGCTTGTGCAAAAGGTGCAGGCGCTGCTGTTCGTAGTCTGTGGGAGTCCTTCAGAAAGAGGGCTTGGGGCGTGAAAAGAGACCGCTGCACTAACAGGACGTGTCATGCGCCCAGTGGAGATCCGTGCTATGAGACAATGCGTGTGCAAATTCGCAACACGTGGGTCGTCAACTCGGCAGCCCTAAATTAAGGGTACGCACGCGAGACCAAAGTCACTCAGTTTGATGTGACCTTCAGGGTCGAACAGGAAGTTCTGTCGAGCCGCGAGGTGCAAACGATAAAAAATAAGCCCTAAAGTGAGTGGAAATGGCCGCCGGCGGACGTACATCTGGCTTGATGTCCCGGTGAATAAAACCATGTTTGTGGCATGACTCAATCGCCAATACCATCTTTGCAACGTGTTCATTGGACAGAGGTAGATATGCGCCACCAGATGAAGAGAGTAGTCAAAATGATAATCTGAGTACAAAGGTACGACGAATGAAGACGAACCTCAGCGACATAGAACCTTGTGAAGTCTTCTTCGAAAACGTCCCGTTCTATCAGGAGGTTGAGAAGGTCGCCCCCTCCCATGTACTCGAGGACCTATCAGATATGAAATCGAAATTAAATCAGTCACACCCGTGAGTGGCAGGAAGTTTTATCATTGATCATGGACATGTGTCACTCACCAGATAGAGGTGATCACGATCTTGAAAGCTATAGTATAATCGCACGATCCACTCGGCCGACGTCGGTGTGCTGACGAGAGAAGCCGACTTCAAGATGTCCCGTTCAGCGCGGACGTGCCCCTCTTGGCCTTTGCGCAGCATGTCTGTCTTCCTGAGCTATGGAGGAAGCGAAGTACCAAGGTAAGCACTACAGTGTGGACTTGAAGATGATCAGAAGCGAGAAACGATTTCAATTACCTGCTTCATGGCAAAAAGCTGGTCCGTTGACCGCTCGCGAACGAGCGAAACTACCCCGAAAGCACCTAGAACAGCGAATTTCACACCGCCACATGAGCATATTTAGTATGCAGCGTGGTATAAGCGGCGACCTACCGTGTCCAATTGTCTTTAATTTGACAAATGCGCTAACGTCTACCTTTCGCCTGCGGTCCCGGAGATAGTCTGTCTCGTTCTGACGCCATCGGCCCCGGAGGTATTCCTTCTGGGCCTCACTCAATTGTAGGTTCATCATATCCTTCTCCATCGCAAGCCTTCTCTGTTCACGGGACGGTGGATGCCGCAGCAAGGGAAAATAAAGGTTCTCGAAATAGATCTTCGCCGATACCGCTTTCTCCAACGTCGCCAGGGACGGGGTAATCGGCTTCCTGGGACGGGGCGGAGGCAAAGCTAGTAGTTCCTTGTCCGGGTCGAGACCCTCCATATCTTCGTGTTCATGTTCCGGATGCGCAGCCAGGCCAGTAGTCCATCGCAGCGTGTTCCCAGTTTGTCCGTTGACGAAGTTAGGTGTACTGGATGCAGGCAGACCGGTCGGCGTCACCGGAGATAAGGAGACATTCTCGCGTGCAGCGGTGGTAATTGTAGATGATGTTGTAGCGCTCATCCCGTTGACAACGTGAAGAGGACCCAATTGACCTGCGTCGATCCGGTATGACTGGCTGATAGAAGGTTTCAGTGCGTTCACCACCTCGTTGATAGCTTTAGCCTGATTCATCTGTCGAATGCGATCCTTTATGGGGTCAGCCCAACGGGGATCTGAAGGAGCCGCTTGAGCCAATCCGTTGAGAAATTGTAAGTTGGTCCTGACCTCCTAATTTGCCTTGACCCTCGGGACCCCACCTCGTAAGTAGGGCCTCAGCCTGGTCGGCATCAGAAGCGTGAACCAAGTGACTGATTTGAACAACAAATCAATTCACAATCTATGTGGTACTTTACACGGACATACACGAAGCCGGTAGGCTTGGAAACCATGTCCTTGCTGATTCTGCGGCCCCGTAGATTCCTGTTCGGTGACACTGGCATAAGAGAAGCAGCTGTCTGAGTAGATGTAGCAATTGGAGCGTCGAGCGTCGACGTCAGCTCCTCGTATCTTGGCCCAGCAATTGGCTCGGAATCGTCGCGCCAAAATAATCTCGACGGAGACGGGGTTGAAGGAATGAGGGACAGGAGGTCATAGAAGCCCTTATGAAGTAGTGTTCCACCGCGTAAAGCCGATGGTTGCTCTTCATAGATGGGTGTGTGAGGGACGAATGGAGGGTAGGGATAAGGTGAATTGTAAGGGTTACCGTAAGCATAGGTTTCTGGGAATGCCCCAGGAGTTCCCTCGCGGTCCATGTAGTCATTCAGATATCCCCTCGGAGGGGGACCCGGGGGGGTTGGCAAGGCGCGACGAGGCGGATTAGCCATCGAGGCTGGCTGCCGATCCGGTGGAAGATACACCGCGTACTTAGAGTACAAGTACCGCGGCGCTGCTATCCATATTAAGCTACCGACCATTCGCGATCACGTGTATTGCCCGTCGGTCACATTATGTTTGTGGACCAACGCCCGCCCGTCGTGGCCATGGCACTCTCGCAACCCCAGACTCATTGATGTTGAGTTGGTCCCCGCGTCTGTGTAGCTCCGCGATAATTGCCTAGACGTTTTGGCCGACGTCAGCACAGGAGAGCATGTGTTTACTATCATATCTCCTCGATCTGGGCAATTCATGACTTGCAACGTGTTTTATATTGCAGAACCTCGAATGCGTCAAAAAGCCAATCGAATGTATCACGGACAGTTGCCAGGCGTATGCCGCATCGCGCTTGTTTATCTCCTGCACGGCGACTTGTATTCAAAGCTAAAATATCACTACGGACGCTCCTGGATCAGATGTTACTTCGGCTTCTGGTCAGCATGCCAATCTTGGGACTACCTTGTCATGTCTCCGGACGTGGTGCCATACGTTCCACCCGGATTCTCAATTGTTTTCCAGTGCCAATGCGATCAGCGCCAGATTAGGTTTGCAGGTCTTCTCTTAATTTCGGTTATACCTGGTGCCGTAATCTGAACCAATCCATCGTCCCTTGTTCATCTGTGGTTGTAGGAGGTCGACATCGGAGAAGAACCCAAGGAGGCTCTCCGTGCCGCGCTGAGAAATCACAGGAAAGGAACATGACCCAACGGCATGGAGCCACGAGGCGGCGGTGTGGGCTCTCGGGGAGTCCCTCGCATGCATGTAAAGCACCATAAGAACATGCTCAACGTTACACGGCGTTTCCTGCCTAACTGTGATGTCCCGATTCTCTGTCATCATCAAGCCGAGCAAAGCGTGGCCAACCCTGCTTGTCTATTTGTCTCCCATACGTGATCGATCCAACACAGCCCCAGTCAGGTCGTGTTGTCCAGTTGAACTTCCCATCGAGGCTCGTGTCCTACACCCCTCGCCTTATGCCCATTGCCCAAGGACCCATTGCGCTAAGCCTCGTGTTTCAACTCGCTGCAGAACTCAATCCCACCTAGCCGTGTCATCGTTGGTTGAGACCGCTGTTGGACATCGCACAGGCGTTGCGCATCCCTCGGGGTCAATCAAGGGTGTCTGCTTCGCACCGTTCCGCGCTCGCGGTATGACACGAGGGCCTCGAAGGAGTACTTAATCGCGGAGAATTGTACGCGAAAATTTGGCTCTAATTACCCATTTCTTCCTTAGTGTCGATGGCGAACCAGCCAGACGATCACTTCTCTTACGGCTGCTTTTCTCGAACCCCGCGCCGAAGTCCTGCTGGCGGGAACCAGAACAATAATAACGCGCGTCGCGGACTATTTCATATGGGACACGGTGGGCGAACTGTGCTCCCTCCTCTTCATCTACCGTTTCGAGCCTCACGTTCTCCAGGTCCGTCTCTCTTCAACATACCTTTGCTGTATGAATGAACGCTCAACTGTTGGTCTCCAATCTAGCTCCTGATCCTTCCTTAACTTCCGCTCAATATCCTCAGCAAGATCCTCAGGCAAGAGGCGACTATAATATCCAAGGCTACAACCAATCGGGCTGGCCCGTTAATCCGAGTGCGCCCCTATTGTCATCCGCCCTTAATGATTGGCTCACTAGCGCTACGACGCTTGAAGCACACCAACAGCAGAATACGTTCCAAGATCCTAGGTTCGCGGGTATGCAAGCACAATACGGGATGAATCCCACCCGAGCCCAGTCTGCAATGATCCCAGATCCGCACGACTCCCGCATACTGCCACCACCTAATGCGCATGGACAACCTAATCAGGCCATGATGGGCGGGGCCCAGATCCGCTCTCCTACTGCCGGATATCCCGCTGCATTCGTCCCGTATCCGGAACATCCGCAGCAACCCTTCTTCTCACCTCCCGACCCGAGAAACCTTCCCCCACCCGTCCCTTCGATGGGTCACGATCCGTCATCCGGCATGATGCACAGACGCTCATCTATGTCTGTCGACCGTACTATCCCATCTCGCATGACCGCGCATGGTCCATCACCCTACCCACGCAACCCCTCCATAGCATCGACGTCTACATACGCACCGGAGCAGCCTGTGTCAGAGCCCTCCATCAAGAAGAAACGCAAGCGGGCAGATGCGGAGCAACTCAAGGTTCTGAATGAAACGTACAACCGGACCGCTTTCCCCACCACCGAGGAGCGGGCCGAGTTGGCGAAGCGGCTCAGTATGTCTGCTCGCAGCGTCCAGATCTGGTATGAGCCATGTTTAGCCTCGTATACATACACACCGAGCTCATGATCGATGTCTTTCAGGTTCCAAAATAAGCGACAGGCGATGCGCCAGAGCTCTCGCCAGGCATCGACGTCCATCCCCCCCACAACCAATGAACCGTATGGCGCCACGCCTCATCAGGGAGCTGGCATTCCCGCTACAAATCCTTATGGGGTACATCCTTCCGCTTCCGCTAGCGCAGGTCCGGCCTATGGCGGTCCCATGCCGCATCGCACGGCGAGCCGATTGATCCCGTCGCCTGCGCCAGCTGGTCGACCCCGGAGCCGCGAAGAGGAGGAAAGGGACCCTCGGCGATTCACCGGACGCCAGTATTGATTTACGCTCCCAGCTATACCCATCGGGTTCCAAAACGACAAATATGTCCGCCCACTCTTTAGGTATCACTCGTTTGCATGGCGCCACTCATTTATTATGTTATCACGTATTCAGACATTGACACTGCGGTGCTGGCCTTGTTTATCGGTCCTTTATTTTATTTATACATAACATCGCTGCATACCACATTACTAATACCACATCAAAAGCTCTCATCGGACCCTCCGCAGTATCGCATTCACGGACTTGTCATTATTACTCATTTACTCGCTTTGCTTGCTTGCACGTCATACTACCGCATAGTCACTTACTTAGCATGCCACGGTTACCTGATACCCGCATTTTCTTATGCTTATGTAGCCTTTACCTCATGTGCATGCCCATGTTATTGATCCTTAGCTGACTCATAATTATCATGTCTCTCGAGTTTGGTGCCGAAGTGGAACCTTGAAGACATCCGGCTTGAGGCTCACGCTTCATTTGTTGACAGTCATCATACAGAGCGCAAAAGAGAGCCCTGCTCGAAATCATGAGACATAAATGAATAGAAGACGATCGATGGGTAGAGATACTGTCAGAGATGAGTGTATCTCACTCGCCTGCAGTAGGCAATTGACAGTCTCCATATCAGGGGCTCATGCTGTTGTCCTCATTGCCTCAATGGATGATATCGGTGCGTTCGAGCTTGAGCAAGGTTCACGAGATACCCGGGCCGGGGACAGCTATACAGATCCGACGTTACACAATATGCTCACAGCTGTAACCTTCATTGACGAAGAGGCACAGTTCTCAATGCCAAGCATCAGGAAAGCTCAAACAGACCTGACAATTCGTTGTTGTCGAAAGAGTGCCACCTGACAGCCAAGCTGTAGATCGGGCAAGTGTGTATATAGACGATAGCGATGGGCTAGAAGGACGCTGATCATGCGGTGAAGCTCGGAGACCGCGATTGCAATTGCAGAGGCCCTCCGCCGCACTAATGAAGCAGGTGTTCGGGCTTCACGTTGCCTAGGACACAGAACACAAACAGATACAGACAACAATGTCACAACATAATCTTACACAACATGTGACGCCAGACTGGACACAACAGCTAACATTTGACCCACACATGCGTATCCAAATCGGTGCGCGTCAACGCGCGGGCCTGGATCGCAGGGCGATCACACCTGCCACATTCGTCAAGAGGTCTTCCATACCACAGTGGATGGTCGCGAGGTGCGATCGAATCGAAGTCCGGAAGCCTCGCTCGGGGACTGCGGCGGCGGAGGGCGTGCAGCGATCCGATCAGACGCGATCATTGGTATAATAGCTTGTTTGTTTCGCGGACGGGTGTCGAGGGGCGCTGTGGAAGCGAAGCCCGGCTGCCCACAGGATAGAGCAGACTGGTTTGCCATGGCACCTAACGGGGGTGAAGACGGCAGTGGTCGCGGAGCCGCCGCAATAGCTGCTGTGATACGGACATGGGCCTCTGGCGGAACCTGCAGGGGGACGCGAGTCGATGAAGCACGATCGACGGACCGAGGGTCGGCTATCCGTGGCCTGAGGCAGGACCGGGCTCTGTCGTCGGCACCTGGCAGCGGTGCAGCGGTCACCGATGCAACAGTGCTGGCCAGCTTTGTATCGGCGGTGATCCCCATGTGTGGAAGGCATGAGGGCTGTGGACTGCTACATCGTGTTGAGCGCGCGGATGCCCGTTCGTTCAGTACGAAGGGTTGTGTACGAAACAGGCGGTCGTGGAGCTCGAGAGGTGCAGAAGCTGAGGTGTAGATGCTGGCAGTCTCGGCATCTATAGAACGATGGCGTGGTAGTTTTAGGAGAGCTGCCGCGTCAACTTCGCAAGACACTCCCACTTTGGACGATTGCGTCTCGATCGGCTGTAGATGAGAATGCGGGAGAACAGGTCGGCTCGGGGAAAGTCTCGGACGCTGAGACCTCGGCGTAGTGAACGGAACACCCGTTGATTGAATGAGCTGGTAATAGGACTGCTTCTCTTTAGAGGATGGGGTGTCTTGGATAATCGTTGTAACCACTGGATCCTTCTCATGCCGTGTAACCTCTGGCTTATCATACTTCCGAGAAGAATGGACTCGTCGGGATTTCCTTCGTGAGCACCATACCACAAGAAGCACCGCGTTGAGGCAGAAAACACAGACGACAATCGCTATGATGGCGGAAAACACCCCTGAGGTAATCCTGCATTATCGTGAACATCCACGAATACATGTTCATCGTACGAATACTCACATTGACCAGAATGTGACTCTGCCTCAATCAAGAGGAGATCCTGCACAGGCTGATAGGAATCGCGGCGTCTTCTGTTCTCTGCGATAGCTCTTTATATTATATGTGTGTCAACTACGAGACGGTATGAGCTATTTCAGGCTGGAGTTGCGCACGGCATTGCAAGGCAGTGCGCATGACGAACAGACACTGCTGGGAAAGAAGAGGAACGGCAATCGAGGTGGTCGGATTGTTGCCTCCATTGAGCAACATAGCCGAATACCGAATCACGCGGCTACGCGATGATTGGGGAGAATGCAACCACCGCATGCACTATCTGCGCTGCCTGTCAGTAAAGGAAATTATGTCTATATATAAGACGCACCGGTCGGACATTCATGGGGAGATCGTGTCTCGTTCTCGATTCTGACATATGATCTCCAGTGGCATCAGCCTCTATACAATAGTGTCAGCTGCCTTACTTTCAAGAAGGCCTGCTGCATGCCCGAGAGTTGCACCCGCTTGTTGTCATGAGCCGTGCATACTCTATGTGAGGCGAAGTAAGTAATGTCTGTATGCTGCTGTAATGTCAACCATTTAGGGCAAAGGCTTTGATCAACCGGTAATGTAATTCGATCGAAATTATCAGCTACAACCCTAATAAGGTGTTACATATCCTGTATAAGGATTATATTTTTATCGATCGGAACACAGCCCAAAAATTTGGGTCATTTGCTCAGATTTGCTCCTGCTGCCTACCACAACCATCTCGGCCGCGGGCATTCTTCTTACTCTCATTCTGTGCGGCGACTTTTCCCAAAAAGGGATTCTCTAGACGTCTAGCGGTTACCTCGCTCTGTATCAGTATACCCCATTTTATAGATTGCTCTGTATCGCTCGATGTCTCCTGTCGCAATGCCTGTAGCCTCGGATTCTCAGTTTGCACCTCTTATAGATGGCCTTCGCACAGCACCCACAGCCCCTGGTATGCTCTAAATCAATTCCGACCGCCTGCATGTTGACCAATGTGCTCGTTCAGATGCGAAGGCTGCCGCAGACCGCCTTGCTCGAGAGATTTCCAAGACCGGTCTTCAATCACTCAGGTACTACATTTTCTTTGACTTTGTGCTGACGGTTGCTAATCCTTTTCTTCAGTGATGCGGACATTATCGCAACTCTGCATGGTTTCGCAACCAACAAAAAGTCGGGCTATGAGCGCGAGTCCGCCGCTGTTGCCTTCCAATCAATGTGTACCATCCTTGGACAACCCGTAGCCCCACTTCTTCTCCCTACCTTACCTGTGCTCTTCGAGCTGTATATGGACAAGGGCGATGTTGTCCGCTCTGCGGCTGCTACAGCCGTCAAATCTGTCTTGAAGCTGTTCCCTCCGGAATCAACCCGCGTCGTGTTCCGGGCGCTGGAGGACATCCTTGATGGTGGCAAATGGCGAACGAAAGTGGGCGTTTTGGACGCCATTCGGAGTTTCGCCAGTTCTGCCCGAGATGCAGTTGCAAACGAGCTTGGGACGACAATCCCGAAAGTAGAAGCTGCTATGCATGATACGAAATCAGAGGTCGGTAAACCTGCACATACCCTGTGATTGCTCCTCAACTTGTCACAGGTTTCCTCAGCCGCTATGAAGTGCGCAACGGCACTCTGCAATACCCTGGCGAATCCTGATCTCAGTCCACACATCCCGACTTTGGTCAAGTGTATGGCCAACCCAGACTCCGTGCCTGCATGTATCAAGGCACTGTCATCCACTACGTTTGTTGCCGAAGTCACCGCACCCGCATTGGCGGTCCTCGTCCCACTTTTGAATCGTGCGCTGAATGATCGATCCATGGAAGTCCAACGCAGGACTGTAGTTGTGGTTGAAAACCTGGTTAAACTCGTTCGCGACCCGAATGTTGCGGCGCAATACTTGAGCCCTCTTGTTGACGGCGTAGAGAAGATCGCTAAAGGCGCTGCGTTTCCGGAGGTATGTGCGCCGGCTTGCATAGTGGTCGCTGCTGATGGGATCGTCCATGATAGGTGCGCGCATTCGCTGAGACCGCGCTCAATACGCTGCTCAAGTCAGGCGCGTCCAAGGACGGCCCGCCCACCGTCCACCGTGACCTCGAGGGTGAAATGGCTGTGGCGCTCTCGGCGCTGCTGACTCTTTTGCCCGTGGAACTCACGGACACCTCAGCTAAGAGGCCGAATGGCCCTCACGTCCCACGTCATCCAGCGCTCGCCCAGGTACTACAATTCGAAGCATCGCTTGTGGCTGATCTAGCGCACGGCCGTCAATTTTCGAATGCGGAGCCGTGGAACCGCTGTGTCGGCGGTTTCCTCAGTCTGTGGTTCGGCGGCGACAAGGGTGCTGCAGCAAAGTTCTCTGAGACCGTTCGCACACACTTCCAAGCCATTGACAGGGTGCGCGCCTCAGGTCGGAGCATCGCACATTTAAAGCTGAATGTTACAATTAGGCAAAGCACGCACCTGCGGATGACGGGGCAAGCGAAGAAGGCGAACTGCTTTGCGATACGCAGTTCTCACTTGCATATGGGGCGCTCCTTCTCTTGTCGCACACGCGTTTGCGGCTCTTCCGCGGTCGTCGGTATGGTATTCTCGGCACCAATGGTTCGGGTAAATCTACCCTTATGCGCCAACTGCATGACGGAAAGGTCGAGAACTTCCCACCTCAGGACCAGCTGCGATGTGTCATGGTCGAACACTCGCTTCAGGGCGAGGACACGTCGCTTTCAGTGATTGACTTCGTGGCATCAGGTGCGTCTACCCCTCGGTTCATCCTTCATCTCTGCCTAATACGAAATTTGCTCTCGTAGACAAGACCCTGGCTCACATTCCCCGGGCCAAAATCAGAGATCAATTGTTGGAGGTGGGCTTCGATGACAGCAGACAAGCTGAGGTTGTCGGGGGTCTTTCGGGCGGATGGAAGATGAAACTTGAATTGGCAAGAGCTATGCTGTCTAACGCAGATCTGCTTCTACTTGACGAGGTAAGCCCTCAAACGAGGCCACAGATCTAGAATGTCGCTGAGCCTGCCCGCTTTACAGCCTACCAATCATGTAAGTCCTCCTGCGATATCTCCGATGCGACCCCTGAATGCCGTGTACAGTTGGACCGGGCTTCTGTTAAATGGCTTGAACAATACCTCATGTCCCAAACGAACATTACATGTCTCATTATCAGTCACGATTCTGGGTGTGTTTGCCTATTTCACGTCACCCGAAAGGTGCACCAACTGATTTCGGGGTAGATTCCTCGATACCGTAACGACCGATATAATTCATTACGAGACCAAGAAGGTAGGTCCAGCCAGTGGTGCCTTTTACCTCGGCCCTCATCGATATTTCTAGCTTGTGTATTACCGTGGAAACCTGTCGACATTTGTAGAGAAGCACCCAGAAGCCAAGTCCTACTACACGCTTGCCGCAACCTCGGTCAAGTTCGCTTTCCCTCCACCCGGGTCTCTTATGGGCGTCCGGAGCAACACTCGCGCGATACTGAAGATGAATAATTGCACATTCACCTATCCAGGTCGCTCGACACCAAGTCTGCACAATGTTAGCTGCGCAATGTCGCTGTCAAGGTGAAACTGATAATTTTGTACTGAAAGGTATATTGATGCAGTATTAATCAGCCGTGTCGGCATTATTGGTCCCAATGGCGCGGGAAAATCCACCCTTGTCAAGCTTTTGACGGTAGGTCGCCTATCAATGCCCATCTGTTCCGTGCTGACGTATCGCAGGGTGAGACGGAGCCACAGGAAGGCACTGTCTACAAGCACCCAGCGCTCCGTATTGGTTACGTCTCACAGCATGCTACCCATCATATTGGTATGGTGTCGCACTGCGTTTCGGTGGCCCCTCATTAATCATATGTCCAGAACGCCATCTCGAGAAAACGCCGGTTCAGTACATCCAGTGGCGCTTCCAGGACGGCCATGATCGTGCGTGTTGATGTACTTTCAGTATGCCATATTCACATGCGACTAACAGGCGAAATCCTGGAAAAGGCGACACGCGTTCTCACGGACGAGGAGAAGGCACTGTTAGAAACGGAATTTGTCGGAAAGAACGGACAAAGACGGAAACTTGAGGTCTGTTACATATGCGCGCATCCTGATGGTTACTGACCCTTCGACATAGTTGATTATGGGTCGTCAAAAGTTGAAGAAGTCTCTTCAATATGAGATAAAGTGGCGTGGTGAGTCTCAATTTATTTGCTTAACAAGCAAACGTAGTTAATTGATTATTGCCCAGGCCTCGACCATAGATTCAACACATGGATTCCAAGAGAAGAGCTGCTCGAAAAGGGCTTTGGCAAGCTTGTCCACCAATTTGATGATCTCGAGTCGTCGAGAGAAGGTGCGGGACAGCGGGACACGTCTGCGCACATTGTGCGGAAGCATCTGGAAGACATTGGATTGGATGGAGACATAGCACAATACAACGAGATCTCGGGCCTGTCTGGAGGTGATTCAGTCCCCAGATGAGACGTCGTGGTGATACTGACTAGCAAAACAGGACAGAAAATCAAGCTAGTCATTGCAGCTTGCCTATGGAATAATCCTCAGGTGTGCTATCTGCGCTTATGTCCTTGTTACAACTTGTTCACGTGTACTACGACCTAGATATGTGTTCTCGACGAACCAAGCAACTTCTTGGATCGTGAGGCATTGGGCGGCTTGGCTGTTGCCATTCGTGACTGGGCAGGAGCTGTGGTATGCTGAACTTCTATTTTAAAACTGACTGCATGCTCAGCGATCTGATTTGTAGGTCATCATCTCCCACAACGAGGAGTTTGTTACTGCACTATGTAAGTTCCCCGCTGTCTTCAGCAGTACTTCAGCTCACATTTGCCTCCAGGCCCTGAAATCTGGCATGTGGATGCTGGTCGGATGACACACAAGGGCAAGGCCGCAATTGTCGAAGACGCTTTCGCCGTGAAGTCTCCTAAGGGTAGCGGTGCGAACACACCTGCACGATCACGGTTGCAGTCACCGGCTGCCTCGGCTCAGGCGACGCCTGCTGGGAGCGGTACAGAAGACAAGGCTGGCACTACAACACCCCCCGTCAAAAAGAAGAAGAAATTGACGCGTAACCAGCAGAAGGCGCAGGAGGAGCGCAGGAGACTTAGAAAGCTGGCTTGGTTGACTCATGGTGGGGCCAAGCCTGAGGACACTGATAGTGATGCCTAAGCTGAAGTGTGTTCGATGTTCCTATCCCTTTCCAATCGCTTGCCTCGTTGCTGTCATAGAGTCATATTATTTTCTCATAATGCTCAAAGGATGGCCAAGGCTATTATTATGGCGACCTCGGACCTGCTTCAGGTCGTGCTACAACCTTGATGCTGTGTACAAGTTCTCGTGTTATCCGGCAACATCGGTGGTATGAAGCGGCTTTATGCATGCTGTATATGAGAACCAGCAATCTCACGTCAAAGTACGTAGCGACCTCGTGGACGTGTCTTCAGGGGTCGACACCGTCAGTCCGAATGTCGATTTGAGCATCAAGATCAGTCGGCAAGAATATCCTCGTCTATCGGCACTGGTACAAGGGTAAGTATCATATAACTTACAGCTGCGATGAGTGCATGTTTGTATAGCATTTCTATAGAGACGTCCAATAAATATACGATGCGAGTGTAAAGTCCGTGCAATAAATAGGGCGATGCGGTGTAGTGTTGCAGACTAGATACATATATAGTGATATAGTAGTGGACCAGTGGGGATGCGAGTGTACACTTGATGTTTGTCGTCATGTTGCGTTCGGGTCCGTGAAAGATCACAATGGATTTATCGAGGTTGATTGGCATTGCCCGCGGCTTTGTCGGTGTTGGAGGTGGGCTGTTCGTCGCCCTCCTCGGGGCTGTCGTCATCTGCCTCGGGCTGAGAGCCACTGCTTCGTTCGTGTACCCGTGCGTGCCGACGCATATTGCTCTGGACGCTGAAACTTCGGCCACAACCTTCGTAGGGGCATGTGAAGGCTGCACAGAACTTGTTTGATTAACTCATCACCGTACTAGGCGCGTCGCAAACTCACGTTTCTCTCCGGTGTGTGTGTTAGTGTGTATCTACGACTCTCAGCAGCGGACATCATGGCGTTGACAGGCCCACGCACCTTGAGGCTGCTGGGTCGGGTGAACCCCTTTCCGCAGTAGTTGCATTCATATCTGGAGGAAGACGACCGCCCGGCGGCGGCGTCACCCGCTGAGCTTGTGCTCGCTATAGGCATGGATGGGTAGGCCTGCTGAGACGCAGCGTAGGGATATGTCCCGCTCGCGGGAATGATCCGATCGGTACCCTGTGGTACGCGAGGCTGGAACCCGGGATGACCGGCATTGGCATACTGAGACGGGTGCGGGTGTGCACCGTAGATGGCGCGCTGCGCAGGATCGGAAGCATTTCTCAAATGGCCTGGAGTGGATGGTCTCGGACCACCTTGGTACGACGGATAGGTCTGCGAGGACGAAGCATTTCCCCTAAGACCAGCTGCGGGAGATTGCGGTCGGCTCCGCCGGTCCTCGTCTGCAATTGCGAGACGATGAAACGGGATCTGGGGTGAAGTAGAATGTTGTCGCGATTGCTGGGGCGGAACCGCTTGCGAAAGCTCCGCTATAGGAAAATAGCATCAGTTTAGCACTTTATATTCATGCTTGTACAAGGCACTTACAACCAAACAACTGGCGGATAGGAGGAAGAGTAGGCCGCTGCTCGTCCCGCCTGGGGTCGGGCGGAGGCTGACGGTTGGGCATCGTATAAACTAGCGAAGTGGAAGAGGGGAGAACGGAGACACCGAGTCAATGAGACCTGACGGTGCGTCATATTTATCTACACCGCGAGCGCAGGTAGATGCCACACTGTTTACGCTGCTCGCCTAGCACAAAGTGACATATCACATAATGGCGATCCATTGACGCGCAGATGTCGTTCCCGCCCAAGCAGACGCACCGCTTACAGCGCGGACGCGGTCTCCAAGACGCGTGAGGCCGTCGACAACTAAGGTGATGATAGTCGTGAACGCACGGATTTGTCAAGGCCGTCAGGTAGAAACTCCGGTGATCACACAGGAACATGAGAACATGGCCGTGGCCGGGTAAGACCATGGCGCAGTCGACCTGCTGCTCTCGGGGACGTGTCAATCAACGGACAGCAGAGTGATTGTGACAAGGAAAGAACAAATACACCTGTGCAGCGCAATTGCCATCCAGACATGTCTGGTATCGAGATCGATATACCTCGAGCAGGCGTTGCGTGTATGTGCTATGTGCGTTCGGCTGTGCAAGCTGCAATGGTCTCGACGTACACAGATCAGATCAGATCAACAGTTTAACTCCCATCAGGGACATCATACTAGCAGCAATCACTATTTCCCCTTTTCATTAAACAATGCGGCTTGTCTCTGGGAACCTACGATCAGACTCACATCTGAGAATCCCGAGCGGCTTCAAACGATAAGCTGGCGCGGACTGGGTTACCGCTCTTTACCAATTTGTTGCCTATGAGAAATTGCTCAGACGGCTCTTGGGAAATGGTTGACAGCGTGATCGCAGCATTACCTCCCAAGTGAGGATAAATGGCAATCGAGATGTCGGGTCAACGAATGGGGACACGTACCCCTGTAGATCAGCTTCAGAACAGAGAGCCGCGGACCGCATACGGTTCCGGGACACCCTGTGAACGGACCAGTGTATGTATCGTCACTGGGCTCAAAATAGTTTGCAAGCTTTCGCGGATCAGTGTACATACAGCTTTCAGTCGGAGGCATCTGCCAGTGTCATACATCACCAGTGATATGAACGGCCTCACCACGACAGAGACATGCACACCCACATTTCACAAGTTGACGTATGTTTTACACACAAGAACACAACGCGTTAAAATGCGAGAGACAGTCAGCGGGTCGTCGTCATGACTGAGTCCTGCCTTCCTCTGCCTTTCGCAATTCCTCTGACGTCTTTGTTTTCAATGATAGTGCATGTAAACCAGCTGACATTTCGTCGGAGAGAGCGGAGTATATCATGCGATGCCGTTGCATTGTTGTCTATGTCATTGACTGATTTGCAATTGAACGTGAGCGGAAGCATGCGAAGACCGACCTTGCCTTTGAACTCTTCGGAGACGACTTGAACAGTGAAATCTACAGTCATAGCCAATCAGTATCTCGCAGCATTCAAAGAGGCTGCGATTCCTCCGCGCTGTCAAATCTGAAACGAGGAATACGTACGCGTCTCCCCATTCCCACCTCCTTGAGCCCTCATGGCGGCGTGATGCCTGTGCTGCCATGAATCATTCGTAACAGTCAGCTCCGACGGGCGCAGGAGCGATGTCAACTGTAAAAATAGAGATGAGCTCCGGCGGTCAACCGTGCAGATTCGAGACGCAATTGACTAGATGTTTACCTTCTCCTTAATTGATTTCGCAACTGGTCCTTCAGAACTGCTAGATGTTGGTGGACTTTGTGCGGACATGGTGGCCATGTGTACCCGAGGGAAATGATAGCGAGCGAGTGAGGCAGACCAGCTCCTGAAAGCCAACATCAACTTGGAGTCAACTGAGGCGGGCAGCTGGGAGAAGTCAAGCGCAGAGGCACGCAGTTGTTCCCATCGGCAGTGCCCGAGTACCCCAAGTAAACACAACTGTAACTCTCGCTTCGGCTGGGTGCTACCCAAGACATATACTCTACTTTGTCGATATTTAGCGGGAAAAAATGCGATTCTACGGCCATCTTGCCTGCTGGAATCCGAGAAGCCCGTAATCCCTTTAGGACAACAAGCAATAAGGATCTCCACACAGATCTGCTTACGTTATGACTTACGTTCTGCTCTGTTCTGCTCCCTTCGCAAATCGCTGATGGCTGCACATGGTCGAACATTGCCCCTTTCTCTCCACACACGACTTTCTCAATAGCAACCATAGACGGACTCCTCGTAGAGTCAAATCTCATGCCTTTATCGCCAAGTCAGCAGATCATCCATACACCTTACTACTCGGCATGGCGCCGCGACGGCGGTCCTGTGGACATTACATTTGCTCCGTCCGCGACCGATGCCGAGTCTGATATGAGGCCGCCGAACACTACTCGCCAGATCGACGAACACGGGGAAGTTAATTACTATGCAGCGGCAGACAACAGTATATTGGAAGACAGGAAGCTATTGGCCAATTGGAAGGAGAAGTTAGGGGAAGCACTGACGAGGGATGTGGTGAAGGCGGCCGTTTTCCAACAAAAAGATACATGTACGTGTCGCTCATATACTGATTCTTGCTTATGTGTCAACCGATCTCACCGACGGACAGGGACCGGAAAAATCGAGAATTCCACAATCAGAGACTTTCCCGCGGGCTACGAGTTGTTCATCCATCGCAAGGGCGATCACTATAGCCCTAGGATCGATGCCTATCTATATGGTGAGTAAACAGATGATGTAGTGAATTTACAGTTACCAATTGACCACCCAGGTTCTCGCCACGTGAAATGCTTTCGCTCTCCAGCGGAATTCGTCAACCACGCAAAGTGGTTGATGCAGGGCAGTCCGCTGAAGTCTAATGACAAGCCTGACTGCAAATGCAAGTACTGTGATCAGTCTCAAACACAGGAAGAGATTTCCATTCAACTCCGCTTGAGGAATGCACCGAGCCGAGATCGGAAGAGGGATCGTGACAACGATGGCCGTCCGAGGCGTCCCAGGACGGCCCATGGTTCTGGGTTCGTTCCCGCGAAGGATTACACAAAGCTCAACCCGGCTCCTTGAGTTACTATTTCCCCTTGTTTTCAACACTCCCCCTTTTTATCGCTATTCTCCCTTATCATCCGTGCTCCCAGTGTACATCACTCACTCTTTGCCTTCGCTCTGCTGCCAGCTATCTGCTTTTCACATTAGTGCACATTTACATTCGCGGTGTTCGCTTAGTCTGTCTCATAGGATTTGACCGTGAATGGTGTCTCGTAAAGCCTGCCTTGTAACCTGTTATGATGTATACTATCGGTCCGCTCCAGAATAGTAGTGGTGCTTCGAAGACTTGTCAATGTGACGCACCCTCGAAACGCGTCGCGTTGCGCATCGTGACCTAACGCGTTTGTGACACTCGCACTATACGCGCTGGTCACCCATCCTTGAGCACCACTTGCATGAGGCGGTGGTTGCATCTGACGTCGTAATGTCTTCAACAGGAACGAGCAATGGCCTAGTACAAGTTGAACGAGAAATGACCATCCATCAACGAGGTCTTGTGGATAATTGCTTTGAGGAGGGGCAATATGAAGCGGGTATATTGGTCCTAGACCAACTACGGTCCCCAAAGTACAAGCCATCACAGTGAGTGTATCCACTGATAATCCGGTGGTGTGCAAGCTCATTGGAGGTTCAGGGCGCATGTCCGTCAGCTGGTATACATGGCTCTCTATCCTCCGCCACCAGATGCGCAGATGCAAGACACGGAGAGATTTGTCCCCGAGAATGGGTCACCAAGTAAACTACTCTCAAAACAGCAGAGATCCTCTTTGTTTCCGTCCCCGGCAGCGACTGAAGCCGCATTGAATCTCTTGTCTGCCTTTGCTGTCACGAACACTCCAGGGTCCCTCATGCGCGCGTTCCCAACTTACCCACATACGGACAATGCGAGCAATTCTTTGCCACACGATGCGGACGAGGAAAACGAGGACTCGTTCGTCGCACGAGAATCTCAACGTATCAAGAATGCTAGGGATTGCTGGGCAGTGTTGCGGGAAGACTTCGCGCAGCGTAAATCTAACATTTTTGCATCACCGAGGAAGAGGCGGAGTGCACGAATAGAAGCCCACGAGGATAAGGATGACAACGAGGAGCCACCAAGTGCCGTCGGGCAGCACGCCTGGCCCGTTCTGAGCTGGATCGTGAATGTGCTAGAGAAGGACGAGGCGCTTACAGTCGAAAGTGGCCAACGTAAGGATCACCGCTTCTTCGCTATGTCTGCTGCTACTAATCATCTCTGCAGCACAACATTCTACTCTCCTGTTGTCCCAGATACCACCTCCGCGGACAGGAAGTGGGGCTCGGTGGGACTTGAACGCTCCGCTAGACGCGGCGTTTTGTGCCATCCAGCAAGTGAACCCGAAGTACAGGTCACTCGGTGCCCGCCTGCTGACCTTGGTGAGTCCGCACTGATCGTGGGTCCTTGTTGGCATGCCACTCAACTCTGCGCAGCTCCTCAACCTCGCGGCGACCACGCACATTGATCTGCCAATCTTCTTGAACTCTGTTGGCTCTCGTGTTTTCTCCTTACCGCCCGGCGACGTCACCCTGCTCCTCGGGGCATTACCCTCCTCGAGGGAAGTACTCCAGTTAAAGCTAGCGCTCTACAAAAGCTATCTCACAGACTTCGGTTCTGGTGCCAACGATGACAGCTCCAGGCCAAAGCCGCACGCTAGGGCACAGCCCCGTCCTGTTGCCGCACGTCGGCGACAAGATAGTCTTGCTGACGAGGGCCCAGTGACGAGATCTCCCGCACTAGAAGCCCATTCACGGTCCATTGTGCGGAAGTATCCTCGGACGTCTCCCTCAGAAGTCGTCGAACTCATCAGGAAGTCGCCCTCAGACGTCTCCATCAGGGTAGTATCCCTGAGGGTTAAGGCCGACCTGGCCATCACGTATTGGACGCTACAAAAGCAAACAGCGGATGCTGCGGATGTGGAGTGGCTCAGTATATTCAAAACCGGCCAAGTTAAGGACGCAATTGAAGCCGCGTTCGCTGCTGTGTCACAAAGTTCAGGGTGCGAAGATGACCTGACTATCCGCGAAACGAGGCTTATGGTGGCCCTTGTCTCGGCCCTGTAATGCTAGTACTGGATTCGACATTACCAATAACCTGACATGCCCGAAGGGCGGGTCCATGTCGCCGCACCTGCGCATCCACTGCAGCCTGCAAGTATGTTGACGTCTTCGTGTAGTCCTGTGACAACGAGGATACAGACCGCGTCAAAGATTTCTCCGCCCATCACGTCGGACAGCCTCCTTGACATTCATATGCGGTGATCACCATGTTGTTTGACATATAGACCACAGCTTGTCAGATATCTCCTTCGCATCAGCGCTCATAAGGCTTCTTGTTGCACGATGCCAGGTGTCCGAAACCATCGGAGACTTGTCGCCCCCGACATCGGAGTTGTTCCTATGCGCGGAGAAAACCTAGTGACTAGCACCGTTTACGACATGTCTTACGGTGTACCCCGAGAGCTAAATTACAAGATACGAATCTGCTCATGCAGTCTACCACTACCGATATTTTTCGCGGTCTGGTCATACTGCACAGACCCTGCAGTTTGATATGCCTCCAAGGGGATGTAGCCAATGTAGTGCTCGCTGCCAAATCCTCCGACGTAATATATCGTCTATCAAAACCAATATCAACGATTGACGGACGAACAAGATGTGGGAGGCGTACATGGGGGTCGAATCGCGCCCAGTATGCCTTAACAGATGACGTGAGTATCCAGACGTGCACCCCTGTCAATTTCAAAAGACCGACTATGTGGGGCTCTCTTGGGCCTGGAAGCCAGTGACGGGCATCTGGGTGTTGCTTCAGATAGCATTTCTGTATCGCCGCGACGTCAGGGGCCGTGCTAAGATCTTTGAATATGGTGACGGTGCCAATCAAGGCTACCCGGGCACGGCTGGCATCGGGATGATCATCCGCCACTGAGATCGTAGCTGAACGATTGGACGAGGCCAAGACGTTCTGGCTGTGTCGAGAGATCGGCATGAAGAGCAACGCCAGAGAGCCATTACTATGGCAGCTACGAAAGGGGTCGCACAATAATTCAGAGACATCAAAGGACGGTGCGTGCCTAGCATAGTATTCTTGCAGGGAGAAGGGTTCACCTAGTTGAGATCATGCTGAGGTTGTGATCGTTTGCAAGTCTCACATTGACAGCATACCTGCGAGCGTTGGATGATCGGCCGGATACACGGTCGCCATATTGCCTAAGCTCAAGGACGAGTAGTCAACGAGCTTCCGCGCCAATATGGCTGACATTACATAGTCAGTGAATAGGCATAACGCAGTCGTGCTCGAGAATCAAGACCTGCATCATAAACAGTTTCGCCTGCGCCCACGAGGTGAATGAGACAGACTGCAGCCAGAAACAGACGTAGTAAGAACATCGTTGCGACTCAGTACGCAGCAGTCTCTCTGTCGTGAATAGCCAAGCTCGAACTCAGGGTGTAGGTGTTAAAGGCGGAGATACGCTGGATAGCTGCTCAGAGCAGACATGATCGACTCGAAGGAGGCATGCACAGCCGCCCAGATTAGGAAGGTGTTGTTGATGGTGGCGTCGTGCCGCCCGGGTGCTGAGCTCGAAGAAAATCCATCTCCGGCGGCTCCCCGTTCACTAAACAACAAGAGGCACGATTCTATGTTCTCATTCCTCCTCTTCGCTCTGGGCTACATCGTCTTCTTCAAGGTCCACGTCCACCAGCTCACCGTCATCCGCACCTGGCACCTGGTCCTTGCCGGTCGCTTGCTGGGTGCGCCACATGTTGGCCAAAAACTCCGGAGTGCTGGCGTCTTCAATGTGCTTGTCCTCTCGCATCTTCATGAAGCGCGGAAACCGAAGGCTCAAGCCCCGATTCTGGTTCACCAGCCCTATGGCCGCCACGGACACCGGGCTGATGGTAATGCTTTGCGAACATCAGCGATACGGGAGCACAAGATAGAGCATGTCCATGTACGCACTCGGCTCCACGTATCTCCCATACCTCTTGTGGTTTAAAGAAGACCTCAGGTCTTAGACCTAGACTCTATCAGCACAGTGCGCTCCGCAATAGGCGGCTAAACATACCCCCAGTCTCGCACTCAGGGTCCCATAGCGGTTGTGGCGAACATGTATCAGAATTCTCGGGATACCGCTCTCCCAGGCTCTGCAGACGCGCTGCGTGAATTCCAACCGTACGCGCTCACCGTGCGGAATATCACACCTTGTAGAATGCATCTGAGAACCCTGTGAATAGTGCGCTCGTTACTCATCTAGATTGCCATCAATAGATTTGATCTCTTACCTGACATGCACTTGCAAACAGCTACTAACTTTCCTGTGTCTGAGTCCCGCACCGCAAGCAGTATCGGGCTCCACCACCGTGCTTTCCTCCCATTACCATGCCATGCACCGATAGGAACAAGATCAAGACTATCTCCAAGCCCGGTGACGTAATCCTTTTTGAGCTTCAGCCATGCGGATGTACGTTTGTCTAGAAGAATCATATCTATGATGAGCAGCGCCCTAAGGGAAACAACAGATGAGTGACCAGGTTCATATGTTGCGGGCAACGGCTTCCTCCTTGGCTTTTCTTTCTGATTGAGTTCCTCTACCACCTCACCATGATCAAGAAGCTAAGTCTCTAACGAGTTAGTCACCGCACCGACTTGTCGGTCTGATAATCGCGCACTGACCTTGATCATGAGACCCTCGCAAGAACTGTTCAGAGCGGTCTGCCAGAATTCCTCGATGGCCTCTCGGCCATCTTCGCTCTCGCAGCTCTGTACGTGATCAAAACGAGCAGCATCTTTCCGTTCAGGGTGCAAGGGAGGGAAGCGCTCGCGCAGAAGTGCCCGTCTTTGTCTGAATGATCTCTCTAGCAGAATCTGATAGCGATGTCTGACGAAGGATGGAACTCAATATACAGAAAATTCTCACCTCTCCGTCCAGGCACATCAAGTCAAAGGCAAAAACACAAACGGGCACCTTGATCTCATCGACCTTGACATCCTTGCGTGCCCTGTTTGAGAGTTCTTGGAATGTCTTTATGGACCCGTCAACGGGGTTAATGGCGACTATCTCAGCGTCAATGATGAAAGATTGAACTTCTGGGCGCGAGCGAAATATGCCCTGCACTAGCAAAACGATGTCCGGATACTGGCTCGTTCCGCGTGTCAGAAAAGTCACAAACAGCACGGCAGACGAACCTTGTCAGTCATGTCTTCAAGGTGGCGCGAAAATATTTTGACGTTGACCCGCAGATCCCCATCTTTGGAAGCGTGTATCTGCGCCCGCTGCCCGTCATACTTGAACTCCGCAGTAAACGCAAGAAGGCCAAGCCTATCGTATATTTCATCCAAGGATCGCGTGGGAGATCCAAGTGTGGGCAGTAACGGAATTCCTAAATGTTTCAGCTTGCCCATGAATATAAAAAGCTTAACAAGACTTTTGACTGCGTACCAACAGTCAACGGCAGACGCTCGGCGAGGCCATCCAAGCCGGCTTCAAGTAACGCCTGCGTGATGTGGTCGTAGTTGGGATGCTGGACATACACTTTCTTCAGCAAGGCTTCAGCGCCCGCGAAGATCGTATTCAGCTCATCTCTCGCCGGGTCCACAATCTTCTTCTTGGACTGCTCCGGCACGAGAGTAATCCGCGATAGAAGTTCATCGCTGGCATGATATAGCGAACCAGACGGCACCGGCACGGGGAGATTGGACGGCGGCGTCAAAACCACTGCCCGAGAGAGCGCCGTCAGTAGGGAAGTCCTGACAGCGCCAACCCGCAGATTCAGGCATAGTGTGCGCACAAGAAACCGCACTTCTTCCCCTTTGGCCGCTACGAGCAGTTTTTCGACGATATTCTGCTTCTGGTTAGCAGCGCCCTGTCCCTTTGCATGTGCGATCTTCACAAGTGACTCATACACTCCGATGATGAGCAATGGCGGATGTGGAATGAGCGTCCGCACATTGGACTTCGCCTCAAAGGCAACGTCACCTAAGAAGGGACCATACATACTTGATATGAAATGTATGTGCGGAGCGTACGTACCTGGGTCTCCGGTAGTATTGTATAAACGGCGCAGGGCGGCCGGAGTTAGTCCCGATACGTGCTGTATCGCCTTGGTGATCGTGGACGGTCCTAATCCCAATTCAATGGGCGAGTATGGAGGGGAGAGGGAATTTGAAAGAAGATACAGCGCGGGAAGAAGAGAAAGTGGATGTTGCTTGGTGATAGTCCGCAGCGAATTTGTCAGAGTATTGATGATTACTATACGGGAACGGGTCCCTGAGAGCGTAGACAGAGTATGGGCGAGAAACGAATATGGGACCGGAGTATTCGGTCGCCAGGTATCATCGTCAAAGACATAAGACACCGGATCCACCGCAAGAGAGCTATATGCTATGTCAGACACGGAGCCGGCGAAAGTACTCCCGAAGGCAGAACGTGCAGCTACCGCAGCCGTTGCGTCTGATGCCTTGTGGCTTCCGGTAGGCTTTGTAGAATGATCTACGGAGCTCGAAGTGGCAATGTCGCGAATGTCCGAGAGACCTTGGTGCTGAGAATGCTCTCCTGTGTCATCTAGCAAGTCAACATCAATGACTCTGTGTTGATTTCGGCTGGTTTTCGGCTCAGAGGTCGCCTTGTTGGATGCTGCATTCTCCAGCCTTCGAAGTGCCTCTACGTCAAGTCCGTCTTGCTCGGCCAGTTTCCATGCAAGGGCTTCATCATCAGCGATCGCGGAGTCGGTGCCAACCGTGTCGCGAGTGGATTTGAATCTGTGTGGTTCGGCTTTCACCTTGTCTTTGGCTGGACTCTGGGGCGCGCTGCGGACCTGCTCAGACACTTTCGCGCCAAAATATCGGTCAAGGCTATGTTGGTCTGCGACAGTTTTGGATCTCTTCTTTGACGGGCTCGGTGTACTGGAACCCGCGCTGGAATTGCGTTTGGGCATGGCGGCGTTCCGGCGTAGGTTTGTTTTACAAGAAGCCAAGATCATCAATTGTTGTCCCACTTGTCCGTGAATGGTCGGCAATTCTCAGACATATACTGTGGTCAGTACTAGCCCGAGTGCGCTCATACGCCGGAGGAACGAAGGGGCAGTTTATAGAGATTGGTATGGTTACGTAGTTGGCGCTCCGCGAACCATGGTAATCGGCAGTCTGCGAAGTCTCAGATCAAGGTTATTCTATCCCCTCGGTTTCACTCGTCGACCCCCATTCTCTATGGCCGGCATAGAGCCCACTAATGACATTCTTACTGGTATTATTCTCGGAGCGTGTGACCCCCAATGGGCTGTGGACTCAGGTGTGCCGCTTATGGCATCGACATACCGACATACTGATCCCATGGAGATCGACAGAAGCATACTGAGGATCGAGAAGATAGCGTAGAAGGTCCGCGGTGCCCTACTGCGGTCCCTCGACTGTTTCAGCTGTTGCGAGCTCCGAATGAATGTTAAATCTAGACACGGTGCGTAGTGCATCAGTGTAATTCTAGGTGGCTGCCATGACACCACCAAGTACGTCTAGCTAAGGCTCGAGCGCAGAAGCCAAACCCAATGCTGCACGAGACCAACTGTTTGGGCTGCATCAATCATGCCTAGAAGCCGAAGAATGGACCCCTATGGCAATGCCCCGGCCCCTAGTATGATGTACCTCGGCGAGATTGCCCCCGAGGCCATCAAGGTCACGCTGACTAAGTAGCTAGCAGCCAAGTAGTTATGCGCGTAACATCGCCGATCCACGGACAACAGTGGAAGGACCAACTTGCTTCCGCTTAATAGCTTCACGCGAGTGGGTGCGGCCAAGCGACACAATGATCAAGGGCTTGGTGCCGCAACCACGGCGCTCTCCCAGCTCCTGAGCGAAACCATATTTGTCCTGGGAAGTCATGATGTCAACCTGCCACTTTCAAAATGGAGGGGCTAACCTTTTGCGTCTACCATGCCTCAATCAACGGCCATTGGGCGGATAGCGTTGAGTGCTATAAGTTCCATCATTCAACCCGCAAGTACTAAGGGCACGGCGGATATTCAAGTGAAAGGCCAAGCACAGAACGAGGCATCGGATACTTGAGATCGAATCGTGAAGCGACAGGTACGCATATGTCAGTTCCGGGTAGCCTCGCCCTTTGTGGCAAAGTAGATGTGTGGGACCCCTATGGTCCAAGATATTCTTGGCGACGCCGTCTGTTCAGTGATTTCTGTTGCCTTTGCAATTGAGTTCGTGAGGACGACAGTTTATGCACTCCAGCTGGGGCCGGGAAGCCTTATAGTGGCATCAGTCTTGCCGGATCATCATTGGCGTGTTCCTGGGCTATTGCTGAGTATGCCGACTGATGTCACGAGTAAACGGACACTCCGGCGTCCTATATAGCTAGATTGAGGTTTTGTGCGGGGGATTGCATCTCCAGTCAGCGTCAGGGACTACAGCCACCAAGCTCCTTATGGACCCCGCCGACCCGCAGAGCGCCATCATACAACAGTTGACATATCATTGCACTCGCTACTATACTAAATCTGTTTCCGTTATGAATTTTGGAGCGTCTGCCGGGGGCTTCATGATGACACCGTTAGGTTAGAGGTCAGCACCCGTCACTCCTGCTTGCTTTGTGGCAGTGAGATTGTGCCTGGAAGGCGCGCCCAACGGATCCAGCGGCTCCGGGGGTACATATGAGACACATTCGTGCAGCTCGTACTCATCACCACCCCCCTCTGGCGTCTGATGTCGGACAGACGCACTCACCAAATCCCGCCACCCACGAACGACGCGTACATGTCTTCTCATTGGAACAACGGCGGCGGCCAGTACGCGCAGTATGCCACTTCCGCCACTCATTATCCCGCCTCTTCCCACGATACGCATCCCTCGTTGAGGACAAACAGCGTCGCCCCGCAGACATACCGCTCCAGCGCTAGCCAACCATACGCAGTGGCCCAGCCTGGCTACACAATGGCTGAGCAGCCACAGTATGCTTACGCGTCACGGAGTGACCGACCACCATCAATGTCTTCACAGTCTGCATATAACACAAGCCAAGGCGTACCGATCCCCCAGGCACAGACCGCCAATATGCGCAGGAATTCGCTTCCCTATCCTTCATCGCAGTCGTACGCCACCTCGTCTTCACCTTCGCAGTACCAAATGTCGACCCTCGCCGAGCAGCAATACGCATCGCAGGCCGGATACGGGCAGCAAGCGGCCACCCAGTATCCCGCCTCGCCCCAGAGGCCATTCTCGTGCGACATGTGCGCACTTTCATTCAACCGCCAGCACGATCTGAAGAGGCATCGCGATACGCATACTGGCGAGAAGCCGTTTCAGTGTAACGGAGGCTGTGGAAAAACGTTCACGAGGAAGGACGCACTAAAGCGGCATCAGGTTCGTGGCTGTGCGTCGGTGTAACGGCTGGGCTGACAAAACGTGTCACAGCTTGTAAAGCGGTGTGGAATCGCCGACGAAACTTAATCACTTGACTGTCAACCCTAATCGTTACCAGGTGCGTGCGTCAAGTGGGGTACCTTGTGTAAGCAAGGGCGTGACGCTAACCTGCTATCCTAATGCAGCCAGTAATGCGCACCTTACACATAAACCGCGATAATGGCACACCTCGTCTGTATTATTCCGCTATTTATCCCAAGAATCTGTGTGTACCATATACAGCACTGTATCGTAGTACTCGATGTGCGGAGCTACGGAGAGTTCGCATTAAGTCGTTGAACGTAGCTGCGCCGCATCTTAGATAGCACTTACCCTATGTACGCACGACGAACGCGAATCACTTCGTACTCTCTGATGAACGCTCGATCTTCCTTTCAAGAATCCAGGCATCCTGAGGAACAATCTTCTTGTAGTAGTGTTCATAAACCCCTATTTCCTTGAATCCATGACGTTCGTAGAAAGCCTTTGCGGAGTCATTTGAGACCTGCACATGCAGGTAGATCACGTCGATCTTGGGCTTTGCATGCGCTGTGGCGGCGTCAATGATCTTTTGCAGACTATACGAGCCCACGCCTCTGTGACGATAAGGCTGCATCGCACGGTTCATGAAAGAGTGCGACTGCGTTGGAAAAGGCTGCACTCACCGCGAGAATACCCATTGTCATGAGATAAAGTTTCGTCTGTCCATCCACAGTCTCCATCCTGCAGCATGCCGTACCGACAGGGACGTCATTGTAGTAAACTTCTCAAAGGCCACGTTAATCGGATTGACTGTAACACATGAAGTACTGACGCACCAAGCTTGCAGAAATCCTCCGCCTCAGGTAGTAGGATGTCTTGATAGAATTTCTCGCTATATTTGATCGGGAACAGCACTGAATTGAGCTTGCGCACAGTCCCTGGAGAACAATGAAGACATGATTGCGGCCGGAACACCGAGAAAGGTACCTAGGTTGTTGGGAGTAAGGGACGAAAGGGAGACCCGTTGAGAGCGTTGTGCTGCTGCAGGCGAAGACATAGAAACCGTGAGAAAGGTTCATGCGCAGGCTGCCCCTTGCGACCTCGAGCCAAAGTCGGGCCGGTTCCCTCATCTCGCTTGCAATCGAATCTGTAAAGTCTATCGCCTCGATAGTGATTCTACCTAAGATCTCATCATCCGAAGAATCTACGAAAAGGAATGCTGTAGTTGTGTCGAGCTCGAAGCCCACGATCAGTGTGGCTTTGTGCACCATTTTGTCAGGTGTACTACCGTCTCAAGAGCACATTCAATCAGAATTCATGTTCCAGACATGTGAGTGCGGTATCGTGATGTACTTGCCCTTGCAAGCATTTCCCATTGATGTTCTGTAGTGTGTTTCCGGGAATGTAGGCTCACTAGTGCCGGCAAATTACAGAGAGCCCACAAGGCTGGTCAGACTTCATATTGAACGGCTGAAATGAGTCAGCGAGCGTTACACCTTTTTCAGATAATGACTATAATAATAATATCGGACGCTATGAGAAAGTATCACCAGTATTTCATGTCTCACCATCACGAGTGCTGAATTCAGTTCCACAGGCAGCATCAACATTTGATCTTTTCAAGCTTGTGACTAGAGTCTCTGTAGTCCCATTACCTATCGACAGTCGCCTATCATATATTGCGTTTGACGCATTACGTTCTAGCGTGATCAGCGGGCACTATCCACGGGTCAGGGTGGCATATTTGGAATTAGGGCGAGTTTCTCACATACCCTGCAGGTATATCCCATGTTGAGATCTCACCCTGGGAGCTGTAACGGTGCCGTCTCTATACCATCCTACTTGGAAATTCGCACGCCAACGTATAACCGAATCCTTCGGACTTCTACCTTTCGCAGATCATTCGCAAAAGGTATTAGAAGAGGGCGGTTCGCTTTTGTCCACGTTCCCAAGGAATTACAACATCCTATCTCGTTCAGCGCCTCTGCAATCCATACAGTGGGGAAAGAATTACCCTCGCTCAACATGGTCTCACTTATACGATGTCCGATCCCACAGCATCAGGTCACAGCAGTATTGTATTATTATGGACGGAGCATCGATGGCGTGGTCTAGCATTCCAGTGCGTGGCGCCTTTCTCGTTGAAACTCGAACAATAACTTGTCACCGGCGCCGTCTCTGTTGACGTTGTAGTTTCAAAACGATGCTGGACATGCCAGGCCCGAATTAGGCTAACCGACCCTGACCTTCGAGCCGCGAAAGGCGGAGCTCGTGTCAGCATCCTGAAAGGTACTCTGTGGTCATGTGGCGAAGGGGCCGTTGCTGGCGGCTGCGGGAAGATGTTCGGAGGGGTTCGTGACATATCAGCGAAGCTTCACCACACATGTCCACAGGAGGCGTAGGATGTCCGCCCGATCCAACAACGCCGAAGGCTATCTACCTACCTATTGATCCCGAGAACTGGCAGCTGTCGGTTCAGTCGGGCTGTCAGGTGCGAGCAATGTTCCAGGCTCGAGCGGCGAGGCCATGCCGGTGGTGCTGCAATGTGGCGTATTCAACAGTTCCTGATGCGTAGCCGGCCGTAGCATCCTGCGATCTCTGACGAGCCTACAGAGACCGATGTCCCAAACCTGCCTGATACGATTGTGTCAGTTGGACCGCCAGTGCCTCGTCGCGACTTCGCCATTGGTCAAGCGATGGGGCTGTCACGAACAGGCGCGTCTATCTCAACAACCCACAGCGTAATCACACTTGGACTCACCAACACATTCTCGAACAATAGGATTCTGTCTCAGTTCCCCATCCGGCTTCAATGTCGTCTTCGTGCTCTGCCCCAGCTTGACACCGAGTCTCACAGCTGTCGTCTGCGAGCTGATAATATCTCATGTTCTTCACTTTCGCGTCTAAATGACGCGGTGGTGATTGGATCCGACGTGTTCGCTGAAGAGATGAACGAGACAAGCGGTAGATACAGAATTGGGGGCGAACACTGCGATGGGGGTTGCATTAATCATCTTAATGCCACATGCTTCTAACCACCGACCTCGAAATCAAACATCTCTCCGAGTCGGGCTAGATTTAGCATGAGTTTGGAGGATTCCTCTGGACGTGATGTTCGAGCAATGATTCCAATCTCGAAAGGATGGAGCATGCTGCCTGTTTGTATAATGCATGTGAAGGTCGATGCACGGGATTGACGCAGCATGATTTAATTTTGTGGTGTGAACAAGACCGGCTACACCCTTGCGACAAAGTTTGTGGCGTCGGGCATCGAACTCAAAATAGTCAATCGAAATCACCGCAAACGTAACTGTACAATTTTATATATCAACCTGTACGTAGATATGTCCGTCGTCTGGCAACTAAATAGTACAATCAGTACAAGTACAAGTACATTTGTTCCCCGTCCCAGATATCTGTCGTGATAATGATAATCTAATACACACATCTGTGATAACAATGTAAGTCGCGTGTGTGCTTGGCACAGTTAAGATTACGTACGACGTGTGCTATTCATCACTTTTTGTTGAAGTCTTGAGTTTTGTTGGGTGGCCGTCGTTTTCCCCGACCCGGAAGAGGGGCGAGGGCGGCAAGGTAGACGTCGTGGTAACTGCGGAAGATGCAGTTCATTTGTCCGTGGTGCTCGTACTCCGCGAGCATCGCCCAGATGCAATGCCAGCGACCGTCTTCCTTGAATTTCAAGGCAATGCCGCAGTGAGTCTGGTCCCATCGGCTGCCACGCCCGTTGAGGTCGAACGCTTTGTCCGCGAGCGTGATTCGCGCGGCATTACATATGGTGAGCGGGCCATCGCGCAGGTCATCGGGGTGGTTGAAAATAGGCTCGAGGTCGGGGTCCGTCTCGATATACTTGGGGACGCCGCGGTGGCGCGGGTCATACCCGTCGACGAGGATCTGGAACGCGGTGTTGTCGGTGAACTGAAGGGTGACATTTGGGTGATTGTGCGAGCGGCGCACGCCCTTGAGGGCCTTCCCAATGAGCTGTGCTGGGTCGACACCTACGGGAGTTGGGGGGCAGGGCTCTTTCGTTGTATGCCGAGGTTGCGGCCGAGCAGGCGCTGAGTGCTGAGCGGCACGGGACGACGAATGAGATCGCGAGGGATTATCTGAATGCATCATGGATAAGATGGCGGGGCGCCAGTTGGGATAATTCGACGATGGGTTTGTGGCCGTCGTAATGGACGAGTGCAGTTATGCGAGAAAAGGAACAATGAAGTGCTTGATGCGCTGTTTTAATTCGCCACATACACAAAGGCGTGGCCCGCTTTGGAAACAACCACACGTCAATGCGCCCACACGAACAAACACTTGTAAATACAGTTTCTCCATTGTCCCTCCTCGACGCTTACCAGTGGAGACACTCTCTCGTTCTCAATCAATGTGAATCCAGTTTCATGGGCATAGTATCTCATGTTGCGGCGCTTTCAACAGGATGAGAAGAAGCAGAAATATCAAGAAAACACTCACCTGCGCAGACAAGCGCTGGAGGCGCTATACTACTTGGCCACTCAGCGAGCGGAGACGCGGTCGGAGACTCGGAGTGAGCATCTTGCTACGGAGAGCATCGTTTCCTTGCCGCTGTGGCTCTAGGGGAGGTATTCCTTGCCCTATGGCCAATGGGTCTTATGCTGCTTGCCGGGAAGACAAAGGCCTTCGCAGCAAGTTTGACCTGGATACCACCGAGTCTGAGAGGGTCTGAGCGCAGCAAACGAGGATCTGTCGTGACGTGAGATGTGGTCTTGAGATCGATTGGATCACCGTGGCGCTTCTGTGGCCGCCACAGAAGCACCCGCGATCGGATTGTCCGTCCGATCGCGAGACCTCAGTCCCTAGCCACACGTGTTAGTCAATGACCCACATATGCCTTCATGAGATGGTATGCGAGTCGAGGCATTCACCAATTCCTCACAGGGGGGCCTACGCATGCAGGACCTACGCATGCAGATTTGCCTGAAATCGACTACCAGGCTATGTTCAAGCAGGGCAAGTTTTCGCTACTCGCTGTGAGTGAAGCAGACCGACCGTAACATTCTTTGTTTGTATTGACGAAGCGAGTGAAACAACAAAATGATTGTGAGACAGAAGAATGAATGACTGGAAAGAAAGTTTGGATCTGATGCGGAGTATTTTCGCAAAGGTCGAATACATAGCCGAAGCATAGTCGCAGGATGTCCCGTTCTGAAGCGTCCGCGCATAAATACTTATAATGTATCACGTCAAAGCCATTGTGGCACGCCTGGACAATACCCCTCAGTACTACATTCAACATAAGAAAGGTATACCACGCACCATTCCATGCAAAGCCCATGCGCTGGTTCGACAGATCCCACACACTGTAATAGTGCTTAAGCAGGCTGCCGCCAACCAGCTCGAGGCCATCGAACGCGTTGATCAGCGTCTGACATGTCGAGGGGTCGTCCGAGAACGGCCCAACGTTCAGCTCGCTGCTCGGGATCGTGAGGTTGAACGGCTCGCCCGTGATCGTCGTGAACGTGAGGTCCAGCGTCGCGGGAAGCGTGCCGATCTCGCTGCAGGCAATCCCGTATGCGCCGGGTTCAGACGCATAGGGCTTGATGTTCGGAGAGATCATGGCGTAGATCGCCTAGCACCCGGCGGCATGTCAGTTTGGGGCCAACGTGTCGGCGCGTCGCGCACTCACCTCCGTGGTGTTGGTGTCAAAGTAGGCGTTGCTCGTGCCGCTGTCAAAGATGACCGTCCGGTTGCTCGCAAGCAGGGGCGTGGTGTACCCGTTGACAGAGATCTGCGATGAGTTGAGCTGCCACGTCCCGTCAGACCCTGCTGGGACCTCCGACCACAAGATGTCGCCTTGGAGGGGGTCAGGATTACACAAATAGTAAAGATGCCAAGGGGCGCAAACTCACTGAAGATCTTTGACTCGTCCACCCCACCCAGTGTTAGCTCCGCATTGCCGATGATCTTCGGCGTGAGGTACATGCCAAACATAGCTTGTAAAGAACTGTACTTAGCGAGTGACACTCATCGGATAGCGGGCGTCTCACCAGGCAAGCCCTGCTGAACCAGCCCTGCGAAGAACCCTTGGGCCTGCGTTGACATCCCTGACTGTGCATGAGCGAGCATGACCAGACGCGCTAAGTGGAGCGCTACCTTGAATGCCACTGTACGGGTCTGAAGCGAATGCCTCTGTCTGGTTGATGACGGTGTACAGCGAGACGTTGGGTGTCGCGATGCCCCCAACAGTAATGGTGTCCTCGCCGGCAAGCATTGTGAGGACGTATTCATCGGCCGAGATCACAGGGTTGACCCCGCCACCCGTCGCGAACGCGATCGAGAAGGTCTGGTTGTAGCTGATATAGGTCGAGCTCTTCTCCGTGTCGAACATGATCTGGTTAGCGCACGGAGCGCCACATTGAGTGCCTATGTAGATAATGAGCGCATTTGAACGACAAGTACCACGGCTTCACGTACTCGTGAACTCCAAAGTCTCGCTTCCGGTGTCGAACACGACAGGGATTGTTTGCGGGGGTGTCCCGACTATATGAGGCTCATCGTGAGTTGTCTTCCCTTATGCACTGTAACAGCCTGAGACTCACCCGAAATGTTTCCGAACCATCTGAGGGCAGGTGTTATATAAAAGCGAAATACGCCACATGGTTCTCAAACTTACTGTAAATCGGTCCCATCGAACTGGTCATCTAATGGGATACTGAATGCTGTCATCCCCCTCCTGCGTAAGGCCGCTGCATGGCCTTTGGGAATCTTGCGGGAGGCCAGGCTAATCTTGTACGGGCTGCCAGTGGTGGCAACCGCGTCTGTGCCCGCCACAGACAGCGCACACGCGACAAGACCAACGACGGCAGAGGTCAACATCTCAGGCAGTAAGGGGGTCGGAGCGACACGACGGTAGCGGCCAATGTACACCTGGGAGGCGGCCGAGGGCCTCCGTCGCGGAGGGACTACTTATATGTTTAGGTCCAACGTGAGAAGGGAAGAGCATGGATATGGGCACATTCGCATGTGGTACCGTGCATCTTGGTGGCTGACGCATCCCGTATAGTCGCTGATATCACGCGGCGTCAGCGTTCGAAATTGCCGAGAAGGCTCACCGGGAAGGAGTATCAATCTCCCCATGCAGATCTCTGTGGCGAGCTTGCTAGAATTACTAGGCACGACGCCGAGCGATAGCAGTGGTGTGGCCTACTTAGGCGTGAAACATCGCTTGCCGAAGGTCAATGGCTATTCTGCCCGGCTTTGCTGTGAGTGCAGGATCGCATTTCTACTAGAGTATGCATATGGTACCACACTTCGTTGGTCGGATGAAATCTTATTCTGATGACCACTTGCATGGAAGACGAAGTCTTGATGATCGCGTTGATCGACGGCGGAACTGCAGGGACCGAGCTAGGCCCACAGGAGTCATAGCATGTGACCAGCCAGTAGATAGTGCGTCTGCGATGTTGTAGACACCCAGCAAAGTCCATTCACCGTGTCTTCAGCCGAGGCTTACGTGCAGGAAACCGCCGTCGACAGCCATCGGTACAGCAGTCCTAGACGGTAATCTCGATCGAGCCGGGCAAGCAAGAGCGTCGTCCACAAGACAAACAGCAAACATGAGGTAGACACAAGCGATACGCATGCGCGCATAGAGCATACAGACATACACGACGAACCGCACACAAGAAAAGGAACAAGATCGACCACCAACAGGCGGCGAACGAGACGATCACGATGCGATAATATGTACAGAGGAGGCGCAGCAGATTAGGGGAGGAATCAATCCGTGTCTGAATAATGGAAATGTTCGAGCGCCGCTCTCTTCCCTTTCGCGCAGCGCGACTAGAAAGACAGGGAACCCTGACGTTGAGGAGCAATAGTAATACAGCGGTCAGCTACATGCCACCCTGAGAAAGTGCAACTGAAAGAGGAGGAAGAGCGTAATGCGAGCAATTGGAAGAGGCAGGGTTGAGGGCAGCCAGAGTAAGTCCATCGGAGATATTCGGAATGCGACTGCAGGCCGGGATCGACAGCTGAAACTTGTCCTCCCAATCGGCGCTGAATGCCGGAAGGTAGGACGGCGCGTAGGAAGTCGATGACGGCGTTGGCAGTCCTCGGTATGTCGGCGGAGCGATCCCTTCGTCGACACCATCGGAGGAGGTGGACGACGTCGAGAATGGTGAATACGTCAGCGCCGGCGTCGGAATGTATGTGGCGGCTTCCACTCTTGCATCACACATTCCTTCAGGTTCGGCGTAAAATTGATCCACCCCGGTGATATTCGACTCAGAGCCTAGGACGACCGGATCCCGGAGCCAGGTCGGAGTGTTGCCACACACAGCGTGCACGGGTCCACCCTGCATGTCTGAAACAGTGGCGTAGCGGCGAAGCCCTACTTGCGGTGGCGGTCTTGGTGTCACAATCGTAGCATTCGGGGCAAAATTTGACGTCGCCGCGGACATACCCATGCAGGGCCAGCTCCTGACCGGAGGGACCACAGGGGGATAGAACGCGGTTCTGCGCATCAGGTTGCCATCGCTCTTGCTTCTTGCAACAGTCCGTCCGCTCCGGTTCTCCGAGACATGGATGTCCTTTCCGACCCAGAGGCGCCACTCGAGAGCATCTCCGAGCGCACGTTCGCAGCGCCCAATTTCACGCGGGGCAAGGCCAGCAAGCTTCGCCCACGCCCGATTGGAGTAGGACCGGTCTTGCAAAAATTTCGATGCGAGGATGAGACAGGCGAGGAAGGTGCGACGGGGGCATAGAAGAGGCGACGGGAGAGGGGGGAGCGGAGACAGGGAGGAGATAGATTGTGGCCGAGAGGTGAGAGGGCGGCCCGCCTGCGCGTCGGAGATATCTTCCTGAGCCAACGATTGGGGGGTAGCCAGCATCTCGATGTCATCACACACACGAACTGTGTCTGACTCTGAGAGACCAGTGGCGTCTACCAAATCGTCGTAAGAAATAATAATCCGTTCCTCAGCAACTTCGGCATCGGTAACATCGCCGTTCGCGGTTTTCTCTTTCTCCTTCCGAAGGACTTCGGGCACCTTCCTGCGAACAGCTTCCAGATAGCACAACGCTGTCTGCAAGACGCCAGTGGAGGTGCGAGAACGACGCAATACTTCGTGCACGAAAGTCTTGATGGGCAGGAGCTGACTCTTGTTAGCGGAGCTTATCGGGAATTGTCGAGACGTTTCGAAGTCGGGAACGGTTGGTAGCGGAGAGGTCCGAGTTGAGGGCGAAATTGGGGAGGGTAATTGAACATTCCGACCGGAAACGAGAACGTGTTGGGTGTGAAGCGCCTGCCCGTCCCGCTCTACAGTGGCCAGGGAAGGTCCATGCGACGGTATACTGAAGACAGCCGGGATGTCATCCGGATGCCACGAATCACACAAGGACCGGACAGCCTGATCTGTGGGCGAAACATATGTGAGACACCTCTGCAAACGCAGTAAAGGATTGTCCTGGCAATTTATATTGATGCAGTGACAGGACAGCGGCGCGACACAGCGTAGGTCTGACGCTGTCAAAGGACCATCCGCTGTGTACAAAACGCCGAAAACCACGCGTGATCATCGCGGAGATTGGACAAAGTAAGGACTAACCGACTAGGCTGGTGGCATATCGGTGCTTGGATGTTTCGCGAGATGGTGTGGCGCAAGGAGGTGGTAAGGAGGCAGTTTTTGTTCTATCGGTTTCGGAGGCTGGGAGGGCGAAAGTAGTCGATGGGGAGGCGGAAATAGACGAAGCGGGCGTATAGAGATAAGAGATGGGAGACGCGCGAGAAGGTGCAGAGACATTGGATGATAACGTGACCGAGGAGTAAGGTTGCCAGCGGGCCCTAGCGCGCGATGCGCTAGGGCCGCGATGAGCCAAAGTATGCGACACAGCTTGCATGTTGAGGAGAGCGATTTGCAGATTGAGTGGGGGTCGAGACCAGAGACACGAGTTAGAGAGCAGAAAAATTAAAACAACGAAGCATTAGTGGTGGAAGAGGCTACTTGTTGATAAAGATACGAGAACTGGGAAGCAGAAAGGACCGGAAGGCTTGAAGGGCGGACGAGGGACGGTTTCGGGTATCGTTTTACGCACTGAGCGTACATTGCGATGGCGAGGGTTTGAGTGGATGTCCGAAGTCACTGACTTTGGACGATCCGGCTTTGTGTCGAGTTCTGCGCCTGTGAGAGCAAGAACCCGCGAGAAACTTGAGGGTTTGGCAGAAAGCTGAGCGGCGATGTGTACGTCGGGGCTTTCAAGGAGGGCGAGGGGACGAGAGGCGCTATAAGAGGGCGAGGAGTCAGAGGAGAGTCAATACCGATGAGGAGATCACGCTCTCATCGACAGCCACCGAACAAACAACGCCCAAACAGCGATGGGAGTCACTGCTCGGCGTCCCTTCGGTCTCTCACAGTGCCGCAAGTCTGCACCGCAATCCTCGCCGCAAATATCATCCCTGCGCTCGCGAGGGTGTATGCGCTCCCGACGGCCTCACGACGTCTTACTCGTTTCGTCGGTCTTACTCATTGACTCCCCGAACTGCAAGGAGGAACCTACAAGGCGTGCTATGTCTCGTTTCCGTATCTCCGCACGTTTATCCGGCGTCAAGAGGATGGCTGTAGCCAGCCTGAGAGCGCTGATCCCACCTGGCTAAATGCGTCGGAAGTGAGTCATGTATGTGCGGGACCTTCAATCTGTGTCTTGTGATCTTATGATCTAACTATCATACTGTGCGGACCTGTGTTCAGTTCTACTATGTCGATTTGGCACCGATTTGAGGTGGTCCATATGAGGTTTCTTAGCCAAACCTGCGAGTGATATGCTCGCGATTGGAACAGCACAATATTGCTATCGCGCCTTGTGTGTCCGGTTTCTGTCCGCAAAGCAGATCGCATCTGTCAAGGCAATGACGCTGCAGAGCGACCATTACACCCGAGCCTGGAGTGCGACTATAATGCTGGTTCTATCTTATCATTGCAAGCGCAGACGTCCCATCTCTGTCGTTGTGTTGCAGCATGTAGCTGTACCTTCGAATTGGCAATGATAGCCACCATGTCGTCCTCCAGGCTGCTCGCGGTCAAAAATTTAATGATGTGACTCGTTTGTTCACCGTAGTATGGACCCACTGGCCTCGTCATGATAGATGGCGCACAACCACATCTATCTTCGTGGCCTTCAGACCCGCAAGCACGGGTTTCCATGTACCATACTGGCATCTTCGCTTCCATACTTATTACCATCTTCCACAGAATGGTCAGCGGCGTTCGTAAAGAGGACATTGTGGACGGTGAGTGGTCACGGACAATGATCATGACTCGCTCGAACTTTCCGGAAGCGCGCTCTAGTTCATCATGAGCGCTGCTGAAGAAAGCGCCTCGCGCACAATTCGCGTTAGACGTATGGCGGGATCACAGTCAGGTCCTCACTTTTTGTCTCTCACACCCCTGTGAAACCTCCGACATCAGGATGAACTGGCGTCGGAGCGGGTGTCGGGTTCTGATGTCCTCAGGCGCAGTGGTCTGATATGACATTGTCGTTTTCCTAAAATACAAAACATGGCGGTGCCGTGAGCATGACGTTCATACATGGTTACGCCCGAGGTGCCAGGTGCTCTGAGACTGCACTCGTCCGTGTGTTGTGGATATTCAGACCGCTCACATGTCACATGTGAAAACGCCTGGATGTATTCGTTGGCACTTCAACGTTGGGTTGACATTGTGTCTAGTTGATTCATCATGCCAATAACTCATGACTTCAATCTTCGGAGCTGCTCTCGGAAAGGTACCGTTGAGGTCGATGCATCATCTCCGCATCCCACTGTGATGGTGGTCAGGTGAGTCTGCATCTCAGCAGGTGTACCTCCGTAGCGCTCTTGACTGGCTCGACGCGCTCTTGACTGGCTCGACGCGCTCTTGACTGGCTCGACGCGCTCTTGACTGGCTCGACGTGCTCGCATGGGACGTTGGGCGACGCGCCGAGGTATCATGTTCCGAGTCTCCAACGGTGAGGGCATGTCATGTCATAATGTATTAGATTACTGCAATATCATAGCGCGTTAATATCTATACTACAAGCGTAGGTGGTATATCTTCGTTATGCATATCGAAAGCTGCTGCGTGGACATCGACGTATAAACAACATGAAATTAAAGAATGAGAACATCAAGTTTAAGGTCATGCATGACGGACCGCCAGTCGGCCCCTGGGAGCTCCTCATCTAGCCGCTTCCAGACTTGTAGGACAATGTGCTCGGACGTCTCGACCTCGTAACAGCCTGTATAAAGAAGTGAGCATATTATTGGGACCTGCAACGTGTTTTTCCACGTACACTGGAGCCTGTGAATATACATCTGGTCAGATGCATCCGTGTTCTGGGGTATCAGCAGGAACATACCTGAACTGATCGAAGATGTTCAAAACACGAGGGCGGTCAGCACCGAACATCTGACATCCAGCGATGATCAAGGGCCAGTTCAGGCTGCGAGAATTAGGTAACGAGTAGTGTGAGCGATGTAGTAAGACTCACTCGACGCCCATGGTGCTTTGCCCGCAGTCCGCACAGCCGTTCAAGATCGTGTTCGCGTGTTGCTGAACGAGCGGGTCGTCAGGAGCCAGGCCGAGCACATCGCGTAATAAGATGACCTTGAAAGGGATGAGTGACCGTTCTACAGGGAAGAAATGAACTTGATACCTGTGCGAGGTTGGTATAGATGTTGTCGCCCATTCTCACTCTTGACGGGACGACATCCGTTGGAGCACGCGTCCAGTTCTCGAGGAGACTGTACAACATCCGGGCACGCTCCACGTCCTCCGACTCGACGGCAGACTCGTCAGGAGAGTATTCACGAACTTTTGACCGGTTCCTCAACGCCTGAGAGACAAATGACGTGATCTTTGGCCTTGAGTTAGTAGGAGTATGGCACTACCAGAGAGTGCACCAACCCGTGCCAGGAGCGGAACAAGTTGACGCGACATTCCGAACACCTTTTCGACATGCGAGGTCACATCTTCAGCATTCGCGTGGTCTAGCCTGAAACCGACGTAATTAGAGCGCGAGGGGTTGCGGTGAGCATCATGAACCTACCACCAACTACTAGTATGAGGAGACAGAAGTGTTGGCTCTTGTCCCGTTGACAAGCATCCTACAATCAGTGTCAATCGGGTCTCACTGCGTGGTCGTCAATAAATATTTACCAAAAAGTTCATATACTGCCACAGTTTCCAGTAGTAGTCGCGCACGCGAGACTCCCGTCACAGTGTTGTGCTTAGACTGTAGACTGCGAGCTAGCAGGACCGCCGGGCCACCGCGCATGTTCACCAATGTTTTCGCTAGTGTCAATGTTTTGCCCCAACCCTGCCCACCAGAGAAGATCTGACAGCGGTTGAGCCAAGCACACGGTGACTCGCCGAAGCACGTCACTCACGTCAATGAGAATAATGCCAGTCGCAGCGGCAAGTGTGGCGTCGTCCCTTGCACCATCCACGGTGTTACAGGCCGCATAGAGCGAATGTTTGGCTTTTGTTCGGAAGCTGTAGGCCAGCTGCATGCAGTCGTCGGCACCGCCCTCCCCGTTACATACTCCCTGGCGCGACAAGAGGAAAGACTGGTGTACCGCAGCAATCCCCAACAATGCCATACGCAGGGATTCAACAGCCATTTCGGACCCGCGATTGCGATGGAGGATAAATTGAAGATTTGCCGCGAGGACCGGGTTCTCAGACGGGTAGGCCATTATAATGCTCAATGCGTTGTCGCAGTAATGACGGATCTTCAGAGAAAAAGAACAAATAGATTCATTGATATCTAATGTTGTGAACAGTAGGCGAAGAATGCCCCACCAGGTTTCTCTCCTGTACCGAAGGGAACTGAATTGCCACAATAAGATCTCTCATTAGCGAAAGAAAGAAATAGAATGAACGCTGTGACTTACGAAGGGCTCGAGAGGGTCCACAGGAGTCAGCAGCGATGGAGATGACCAGTGTCCAGACATGAGATGAGCATCAACAGAACGTAGATGATCATGCTGTGAAGTAATGCGAGGCAATGCGAGAGAGGCAGCCTGGGGGTATTGATGAGACGCAGAGGAGTACGATGAGTTGTGGTAATGCTGGTGTGCTGAGTACGGTGAAGACATCTCGGGTATTACAGGCAACATCTGGGTATGAGAGGCGTGAGAACTATGAGAATTGGGATGCATGGGGTATCCTTGGCCTGCGGCGGCCACGCTAATCAAGTTGTGAGTGGGCTATCAATCAAACGAAATGAAACAAGTCACCTCTGTCGCCGGACTGCGGCCAAGTCGCCTGCCATTGGTACTTGTATTACCGGCTCACTACAGAGGTTGGTCAACTGCAGGGTAGCTTGGCGGGCCGTACGTACCTATGACGACGAGAGACGAGTGGTGGCAACCCAGCATCAACTGGTTCACGTTTCGGAGGTGTTATGTCTCGAGTGGGCGGTGTGGATGCGTCCGAGACTCCCGATGAACCAGCCGTTGACGGGCGAGTGTCGTATCCTCCATCCACAGTATGCTCCTTCCTCGGTGTAGGCTTCTTACGAGCAGGAACACCCTCCGGCCATGTACACTTATGGCCACGTCTTAGGTACGATAGATAGCATGCGGGAGCATACTCACCTCTCGTTGCCCATGAGTGCAACGTAAGCAGTTTGGCTTCGACTCGTCGCACTGCGGAGGTTGTTTAGGGACTCGTCAACGTGTGGCGAGCAACATGATTACCTTGATCTTCTTGGCTCTGCAGGTAAGGCAACCGGTCTTGCTGCGGGTATACTTCGGACGCTTTCTCTGGGTTGTCGTATCCTGTCGCGGCGTCGGGACCGTGACTTGCAAATGACCCGAGGCGTGCGACTGGGAAAAGTATGACGGAGGGACATAATGAGTAGCGGGGGGGCTATAGCAACAGCACACCTATCAGAGCCCGGTCGAGTGAAAGGGGAAGAGAATAGAGACACGCACTAATGCAAACTGTCGGCCATGACACTGTAGGAGAGACTTTCGTATGGGAGGGGACTGGATGTGAGATCCATCCCTTAAAAGCGAGTGTAGACGAAGCAACAGGCAGGCGTGGACATGAGTGATTGTTGTTGCGGATCATAGCGAATCGGGAGAATCCTAGATCTGTGGATTGGGCCAAACACCAAATATCCAGGAATTTCTGGAACCTTACGATGAACAAAAGGGGAATTCTTTTCTTCTTTATTTTCCGGGAATTCCTGAAGCACGGGCACGCCGTTGTGACGGCATTAGCTTCCCTCCGCCTTGTCTCGGGACATCCACATCTGGCTACTTTATCTCCTGCACATCGCCCTGCTGACTGCTGGTGAGCTGAGACGTACTAGGGACGTAATCACAATGCTGAAAGTCTAACAGCAGCAAGAGCCACAGAGAAGATCAACAGGCAGCCATTAGCACAAATATGGCAGGCGTTCGCACACTAATGGTCAGGGCCGCCTCCTGATGGACACAATCACGCCGAAGTGGTCCGATGCCGCACAACGTGGATACCACAATCCCCCATGACGATGGCCGGAATGAAATAATGCACGGGAATTATATTGTCGCATATTCGTCCCGATAAACGGCTGTCCGCTGGACAACTGCGGTCGTAAAATGGCGTGTAGCTTGCATTCTTCGATCACAAAGTGCCATCCACCTGGAGCGCAATGATTTATCCCCCGGAAGGGATGGTCGAGGGAACCATGCATCAGACACGCGACATAGACGTGGGCCCGACCGTGTGTGTTCGCAATGTCTTTGCAGCGAGCGCCGTGCCTTTCTCGTAAACATTTTCGTATTCACCGAGATCTATGAACGTCATATCTACGCCCGCGGACATCACAATCACCGGTATCTTCCTCGGAAACTCCCAGGAATATGAGAAGGCGCAGATGATACAGGATTCAAGAGCGGTTCACGTATCTCCACCGCCCGCGATCTAATGGGAATATAAGCAGGCGCTATATCGTCGTGACGACATGGCAGGATCGTATGGAGAGCATATGAGAAATTTCAGCCATCCAGGACTCTGCGCTAGAGGCGATCTGGGGTGTGTGAGCCAACATAGCAGACAAAGTGCCGAAATATGAAAGAACGTGTGGGTCCCTGAGTGCCGGATACAGGACCCTGTGCGCTGATCGAATCCGAACCTCATGGATCACTGTTGCATGGCATATGACTGAGAATTCTCGGAATATAGCGAATGAAATTACGTGAACGGGCGGCACAAAAGCCTTGATCTGAACTTTGAAGACGTCTGAAAGGGTTGTAAATTTCCTATCAGAGCATTAGAGGGCTTGCCTTACCTCACTGGTGATAACTGACAACTGACGGACGGCAACAGCATAAGACAACTGGAGCGTCAAGCATTGCAACCTTGTTAGAGCTACTCTTAACTAAGTAAACTTACGTATGGGGCCCCAGGTCCCAGGGACTTGAAACCCATGGGTGCCACGACGATGCAGTATTACCCCATTCAGAATGGTATGGCTGCTGACGAAAAGAGCGATTATTTTAGATGTTACTTGTCTCTAACGCCGACCGTTTCGTAATGTGGCGGCAGCCCGTGAGAGGGTATCTGATATAGGTGTCGCGGGAATGATGCACGACGCAGTGGCCGCACAATACCGGGTGTATTCGATTGCATCGGGCAATAGGCAGGAGTGCCTGGATTGCTTCCGTGTTTATATCGATATCGAAGTCCACCATGCTTTACCAACTGGGCTATTTGCTAGCGATCGAGACTGCTTATTGAAGACCTCCGCAGCTCTGGACTGGAGCTTAAATTAGCATTGGAAAAAACGCGGCACCATACTGGCCAAACTTGATCCAACAGGGATTCTCTGTCAGAGCGCGGGAAAGCCCCTGGAATCCGTCAAATTTGTGGCAGCATATCAATCTGGGCGTTTATTCACCTTAACAGAATGAGATAGTCCGCCGGCGGCGAAGGAGGGCTGTCCAATTCGCGAAACAAATTGTCGCAAGGGTGCGAAGGACCTGCGCTGGCAGGCGTACAGCCAGATCTGCAGAGGGCTTCTGCGATGGATGTGTCTCGAAAGGCTGAGTACCATGCACGTGTTGACAGAAAAGACTTGAGGACTCGGGCAAGTTGCGAAATGAATTTTAGTAGTCGTTCGTGCAACCAGCTATCGCGAGAGTGAGGAATGAGCTTCGCGGGAGGCATTACTCACGGCCTATCATAATCATGCCAAGTGTTAGAGCGCATTCGCTGAGTGCCGACAGACAGTGCTAGAGGTAAGCGGCGGAAGCGAAGCACGAAGATCCCGGACTTCAACGCAGCTGCAAGCGCTCGTGTCGGTGATCCGCGCTCCATAAATGGCTATCACTGATTAGCTCATCGTCAAGAGCATCCTCGAGCAGCTCCTGGTCAATGGCGAGCGACGTAGCAAGATATTGCGTTCTTGATCATACAATCCTGCTCACCCATTGAGGTAGGTTTCGTGTCGCCGAAGTAAGCGTTGTATCGCCGGCTTCCAGGGTCTAGTCTTCATCAAGAAGGCTTGTTGGCCTTTGGTAACGAATGCTGTCCAGCATTTCGACACTGCCGAAGGCGACAGAGCCGGATGATTACTAACACGTCAACTGACACTGCGTTCTTGGAGTGATCCAACCCGTTGTCAACTGTGCAAACGCGGACGCGGCGGCGACGCGAGAAATTCTAGCCTCGTCACTCAATAAAGCGGGCGACAAGCCCGGTCACGAAATGCACGATTGACGCGGTGAGCATACTAAGGCTATCACCGGTGAATTGACCCATACCTTATATGCAAAAAAACGCTGAGAACGCCGGTTTGGCAGCGCGGATACTGCGTGGCCGATGTCTACGCGTTTATGTGCCGTACGAAGACCGTGACAATGCAGACTGCTTGGTCACCGGTGTGGCAATGTTGCAATGTCTTCGACGCCGATAGTGAGCGTACAACTGCACCCTGCGGGTACTCACGATTGTAGGTCCCACGCTGCAAGTTGCGGGAACGCAGAGCGTTGAGCTTCGAGTACGACAGAGAGGCCATTCTCGTAATGCCGCAACTGGACCCTAAGGGTCCCAATTTCTCTGAGAGCCATCACTGAAAAATTGCCAATGCCATTACCCCTTACCCCCGATGTTCTACATTCCGGCAGCACTCACGGATACAGTCCCCCAGAATCCCACTCACAATTCGATAGTACTTCACAAGATCTCGGTGCAGTGAAGCGAACCGCGACGGCCTGGCCGACGATAAGATTAATTACCGGAACGCAAATGAGGACACCTTGATGGTGGGTTTTGTGGCGTGCAGCCAACCTACACGACTTCCTATCAGTATGCCGAGGTAGCACCAGTTTTCGCATTCGAGCTTTTGCAACTTGAAACAATGTCCGCACACTGATAGTGCTCCACTGCCGTATACATGCCCATTAAACTCTCTTCCGCCAGACCTTGTATCCGAGCGCCCATTCCTTAACGCCCACTTCACGGTCTCCGACAAGCAGGGTGTAAGCCCCTGTAAACTCTCGGAGAATTCCATCGGAACTAGTCATTTGACGCAGGGAAGCCCGACGACCCCAGCGCGCGCTGTCGGTGGTTCATTCCTACTCGCTTCGCAGACCAAATTGCGCTTGATCCCGGACATGGCAAAACAATACCGCGGGCCGTTTCTCAGGACCACGAGGAGACACGGCGTTTCTTTGCTCTGGAATGTACACCACCAGGACAAGTGCGCCCACAATAGCTACCTACGCCGTCGGCATCGGGCTCCCGGCCCTTCTAGCACACCATCCTTGTTTGTTGTTCGTAGCCATATGATGGGAGATGTCTGGAACGGTTCGTTCGGCCCTCCACGCGCGCTCGTTGTTCCGTGATTCGGACACGAGGTCGTCCGTTGTGCGTTATTGCTCGCTGATGCGCCATCAGGTAGTCGCACAATGTCAATCAACGAATATTGGCCCTCGTTTTTGCGGCTTGCGATAGCAAATAGTAGACGCAGGTCACAAGATTGCTATTTTGACGATACCGGAATCAATTCTCTTCATGGCAGCACCAACGACATCCAGGAATCACGTAGCCAAGTAGGATGATTTGCAATCAAGTACAATACCAACTGCAAGGTATCTGATGTCTCTTGTCAACACAACACAGGTGTGACTACTGCGGTTGACGGATGATCAAGCAGGACACTGACATCGCCCTGTTTCATCTCGTAAGGCCGGAAAACTTATTGCTTGACGAAGAGATCAGTGAATTTATCGACTGGCACACTCATCAGGGTCGATGCATCGCTGACAGTCTCCAGGATTCTAAAGCAGACGATAGTGAGTACAGCTCAGCAAATATGGCATGGGCGAAGGCACCGCACTTCTTCTGATGAGCCTGATCATAGTGAGGCCCAATATGGTTCTTGAACTTCTGCATCAACAGGGGGGTTCCTTCCGCCCTCCGCCGCTTGTGACCCACGGGGTACTCCACCTCGACCTCGTCAAGCACGGTGCCGTCGTTGAGCTCGACGAGTAGGGCGTTCGAAATAGAACGCTTAGCCGGATCGTGATAGTCTACACTGTATCTCTTCTCTTCCACACAGGTGATCTTCGCACGGAGAGCGTCGATCCGGGTATCCGCGGCCGCGGTGTCGACGTAAGACTCAGAGGTGAGCTTACCGAAAATAAGCGGGAATGCGACCATGTAGTTGATGTCGTGGCTGGCGAACGGATCGTCAGTCTGCTGCGGCCAAGCATGTCGGTGACAGCTTACTCTCGATCAGCGAAGTTGTCCAACGGACCACGCTTGTTGATGATCCGCATCGCGGCTTCCTGAGTGCGGATTCGGATGCTCTTGATGTCGTCACTAGTCCTACCGATGGCCTTCAGCTTGTCGTGGAGAATGTGGGCAGCCTCAACTGCGGTCTGTGCGTGGAACTCAGCGGGGTATGAAATCTTGAACAGGACGTTTTCCATGATGTAAGACTGGTAAGACATCTGGAACTCGAATGGCTTCCCCTGGATCAGCAAAACGCTGTCAGCATGAAGATTGAGGATGAAAACACAGGGGCGATCAAGGGGACATACCTTAAACAAGACATCGTAGAAACCCCACGTCTTAGCAGTGAGAACCGAGGGCATGCCCTTCTCACCCTGCTTGACAAGGTACGCTATGTTGACAGCACGCGCGCAAGCATCACCAGCCGCCCAGGACTTGCGGGACTGCGTGTTTGGGGCATGCCTGTAGGTGCGCAATGACTGGCCGTCCGCCCAAGCCTGCGAGATCGCGTCGATAGTCTGTGCGCGGTCGAGGCCACTGTCTCAATATAGATCAGGCTAAAGTCACAACGTGGGATACTAGATAGCGGCTTACAGTAGCTTGGACACTACCGCGGTGCTAGCTACCTTTACCAGAACAACGTGGTCAAGGCCGACTCGGTTGAACGAATTCAAAAGGGCAAGTCCACCCTGGATTTCATGTGCCTTGATCATAGACTCGAGGATGTCCCTCACGACGAGGGGCTGCCCCTTGCGAGCCAAATGGTCCGCTACGGCGAGGATAGCGCCGAGGTTATCGGATGGATGACCCCATTCTGCAGCCAGGAAACAGTCATTGAAGTCAAGCCAGCGAATCTGGGTGCCGATATTGAAGGCACCGCGGATAGGGTCGAGTTGGTAATTTGTTCCCGGTACCCTCGTGCCTATGATATGATCGATGAGCGAATCTATTTACTCAGAGACTATTCAATACGGGCTTGACATACCATTCGGGACAACGGTACCCTCCACGACAGGGCCGAGCAGTCGAGCGCAGGCCTCAAATCTGAGGCCCTCCAGTCCACAACCAATTGTGTCAATTAGGCAGAGCCTAGCCGTCTCCCATGCAACTTCCGAGTCTATTTGATAATTGTGCACGTAATCTGCAATGTCCTGCAGAACCTGGTCGGGTTCAGGACGCACGGCGGATTCCGCGTGGCTCGACATGCTGCGAGATATGACTTGGTTCGAGCCGATAACGACCGCTGGACGACGTAGATGTGGAGGTGATGGCGGTGATCGGGATCCGGCGAGTCGAGAGAACGAAGAGGCGTAGACACGAGGCGTGCTATTACGAGCGGTGCCAGGGATTAAGACGCGAATCCGAGTGGACAACATCAGGTCGATTGCAGCTCACGGTCGATAATTTACTTGCTCTCAGCCAGATTTAGCTTAAATAGACCTATGGATCGGTTATCGGTAAAGGTAGATACCGATGTGTCGTCTGAGCAAGGTCTGCGCTAGCAAATTGCTGAATAGTACTGTACTATGCCAGGGAGCAGGAGTAGCTGCGACCGTGCAACGGTGCAAGTGCCTGGGGCCCCAGGCGCACGTGATGCGGGGATAGCGGTCTCGTGGGCGTTCGCGGTCCGAAGCAGCCATCGGTGCTTTCCAGCCACTGCCGCTTTCCGACCCGGATAATGGTCTGAAGAGCTAGCTACGTCGACACGGCCAGTCCCCTGAGACATATTGCCAGTCCTGCTGGTCCTATTCGCACCGCATCAAACACGTCGTAGCATCTGCGCCCTGTTTCACAGCAAAATGAGTCTCGGTCAAGGTCAAGCTCACGAGTCTCACCTTGGACCTACGTCGGAGGCTATTAGTATAGCCGCGTTTCTTGCTGCTGCCGCTGAGCTTCCTGCGGATGTATCCACAACACGGGCTCAACAATTCAGCGCAGGGCTCGACACGACCTCACCGCCTGATGTTCCTCATGCAAGTACGTCAACAAACGTACATGCGGCAATTAGTACCGAATGTTGGTGCGTTACAGTCTCCCCTTATCCAAACGCTTGCTTCTCCTTCTCGTGCTTCGGGTACTCTTGTTGACGTTTGCGGCCTGATCAGTAACGTCTCATGTAGTCCTTGGACGGCTGTTAATTTATCGTGGATATTCAACGGGGACTGTCATTTGTGGCTCGGCCTTTCGAACCTGTCATGCTAAAGAGCCATTGTTAGTGCAGTGTGAACGATCTCAAAAGTTCACTACATCAAGTCCTTGCTGATCCCAGACTGATCACTCATGTTACAAAAAGTCATGAAGCGGTGGTCCATTCCATATATGAAACCGCGGATCCATCTATCCGGAGAAAAAGACGCAGGACCACTCTTCCTGAACCTGCTCAGGAGCACGCTGATGTCTCAGCCCTGAGGCAGGAGCTAGACGCAGTCAAGCTCAATAGTTGGCTGTGAGTGTGAGATCGATATGTCATATACTTCCACTAAAGTCAAGTTGCGACCACAGTTTGACCATGCACTCCGCATCGTTCATCCGACCTCCGAAACATTCTGATCGCAATACATTGACACACGCTGTTAGTTGGTTATCTGTATGTAATACGGCGTGCTACATCACTAATAACATGCTCTTCCCTTGCAGAAAAGATTTAAGACGTCTTCTTGGACACAGAACACCCACGAGGTCCTGCTTTTTGTTTCAATTTACAATCATCTCTCATGGGGCCATCGCCAGCTCTTCCGCTCGTCACAACACGTTCTGTCGTCTTCTCAAACTCTCGGAGATCTCTTTGAGGTGATCCCTTGCCATTCGAACGAAATTCCCAAAGAGATCCAAAATGACTCGGGCGAGCGGATTGGTTATGAGATGCCAACTGCCCGCACCGTGCGAGAAGCATGCTCAGGCTGTGTCATCTGTATCGAGGGGGTAGCTTACGGTGATGGGCAAAATATGGTCGACTATGCCGAGTTTGTTCCGCTTTATGTCTTATGTCGGCGCATGCTGATCGACATCTTCCGTAGAAAACTCCTTGAACTGCGCAACACCCCGAACGACAAAGCCGGACAGCTCGGTCTTGAAAAAGGCGTATCTATGCATGATACAACACTGGCCTCGCTCACCGTTCATCTGCACAAGCCGTACTGGCTGCTCCATGCCGGGAGCTGCGAGCATTTTATCGTCATCGATCAAATCCGGTAAATTCTGATTATCCACCGTCGCCTTCCCACTCGTGTTGACGCCGTGTCCTGTCCGCAGCCTATGGCATCCAACGGACCCTCCTCTGATTGATTACCCGCTCACCACACACATCACGCCACCGCTGCTAGACTTGTGCCGTGCATGCAACAAAGTGCCTGCTGTCTATGCTGTCCTCGGCGATATGAGGCTCGGGGAGAGCCCATTTGTCATATGTGGCCCATGCTGGCGGTGGATGGGTATGCCGGACGATTCCAGTGCGGACGAAGTAATGATCGTACCTCTGCTCAAGCATGAGCATGGTTGGGGAGGGACTGGCGGGTGACAGTATCGGAATCACACACCAACCTGTCCGTCATGGCGTGCTTCTGCAATTTTAATACCCGTATATGAATACGGATGCATGTTCAGTTTACAAATTCCATCCGTGAATGTGCGCAAGAAGTATCCGTGCTCGTAGGTTGGCCGTGAATATGCAGAACTTGCGTTGAAAGTACTGAGCTTGATGTATTAGCGCCCGTGACACGTGTTCCTGTCATCATTTGTCCGAGCCACAGCGTGGTAGCCAAGACGCGAACTTGACTTTTGCGCCGTTATGGTCGCAGCGGCATAGAGCCTCCTATCCAACGTTGGTTTATGAGTGGAGGCGTCGCATGGTACAAATCATCCAAGGTTCAACACTTTGCTAATGGACACAGCTTCACACCTGAGTGTGGTCATAGATCTGTCTCCGACGCAATGGCATCTCTCCTCGGAGGCCGCGAAAGGAGATTCTCGGCCACTGTCGCTGGAATTCTTCTTCTCACAGTTGCTGGTGTTCTTGAATTCCCACATTGCGTGCAAAGATGAAAACACCCTTGCAGTATTCGGTGCTTTACCCGGGCGCAGGTGAGTGTTACTCTGGGCAGGCAGTAATGCAACTATTCGCCTCAAAGCATGCTCAACGTCGACTTGCAGCGTGCTCCTGTTCTCATCTGCCAACGAGGCGAAAGAACACCGCGAGGACCTTGCAGATGCGAACGCGTATCTTCCCTTCAAGACTCTCGACTCTACCGTCATGAAATCCATCTCGGACCATATCGACAGCTTAGGTGTTTCAGACGTGGAAGGTTGCTTCTATTCGTTCAACGCTCCTGGAGACGCCTCATGTTTTGCCCCTTAGCACCGACCGGCCTCGTGGGTGCCCTAACGAAGGCACTGTGTCGTAAGTAATAGAAGTGGTGCCAATCGCTTGGTTTGTTAATACCGGGTTCAGATATCAACTGTTCAACCGCGACGGCATCCACACAGCCTAACGCGCAAGCAACATCACTGGACCCACGGATATTGATTCTGTCGGTGTCCCCGGACCAATCCTCCTCGTATATACCGGTCATGAACTCCATTTTCTCCGCACAGAAGCTGGTAAACCGGTTTTCTCCTGTTGCCTCGCTTTCTATCTCACCTGTGATGACAGAAAGTGACCATAGATGTTTGCAAATTGTTTGGTTCCGAAAGCGTGTTCTTACAGCAGGCGGCACATTTGACCGGCGGATCCTATATTTACCTTGATCGGCCGGATGCTTTACTTCAGTATCTGACAGTAAGTCCAATTGGTCACTGCGGAGATTTTCATCCCAATTTGATCGCCTATAGATGTCATTCCTACCCCCACCGGCCATCCGCCAGCTGCTCTCCGTACCCACTCAAGACAAAATCGATTTCAGGGCAGCCTGTTTTTGCCACAAGAGAATCATCGACATTGGCTTTGTCTGCTCCGTCTGCCTATCAAGTTAGTTCTGATTAACTTCAAACTTTGTATCGTTTTATAGAACTTCCGCAGTATTTTGTCAGCCCGTCCCCGTTTGCTCCACATGCCGGTAAGTCATCTCTTTCGTGTTTGGCTTCGAATTCCGACCCTGTATTCTCACCTTATCGTCCCTCGTTCCCCGGCCATGCCTTCACCACGCGGGCCGTCGAAGTTCACTCGCGACATGATGCTCATTTTTATTATTATCTAGCACAAAATTCCCCATAAAGACCCTCCAGCGCCTGAACGCCGCCCGTCCCCCGGCGAACGTCCCAAAGTCTGCCGCTCCAACCCGGACACTTCCTTCGACGAATAACATCAGGGCACCTGCCACCAACGGAAGCGGGACGGTACCAGTGCCACCACGATGACGGATGTCTATCGTCCTGATACGTGTAGTCAGCGCTCCTTCACCTAACTCACAAGACATTGCATTACGAACTGGACGGTGAGGACTTTTTCACTTTTCTTCAACGCAGAGTTGGTGCGGTCGCATGTACGATCAGATGTTAGCTGTCCCATCAAGAAGCATGTAATATATGATCAGGCGCGAAGCCCTCTGGGGAGACGTAGCATATCATCACATTCCGATCGGAAGCTTCTCAACTTCTCAATCTGATGATCAAAATGCACGGTGTATCCTCGCGTTGTGACTTTTAGTCTACAGGGAGTACTACTATGCATACTTGTGCATGCCCGTCCCGTAGTTGCGAAGTCCTGCGGACGATATGTGCCTTCAGCGTGATGGTTAGCGGCCACATGTTGAGGAGGAAACGTCATGATACACCTTGGGCTCCGGATGTAGTGACGATGCATATGCGACAGCCATGCTATTTGTGGTAAATGCGCACCAGAGACGACCTGATTTATGTTCGAGCGGGAGACGACTCGATTTTCGCGTCAAATGGGAAACGATCAATTAATCACTCACACTTGAAAGAATCTTGTTCAAGTTTTTCTCTGACTAGTAACAATACACCTGCATGTAATGCACCCGTATCACCCTGTCTGATGACTGTCGGCGAGTTGACCTTCAGTGACGCGGACGCTTTACGGATAAGAGTAGAATGTACCGTCCAATGCTTTTGTCAACGAATTCTGGAGGATCTCGTGGATATCAGGGTCGTCTGACCGGTCCATGGCATCTCCAATGCTTCTCGCCAACATACCACGTATGATATCCTCTCCTGCACCTGTTCATAGTCAAGACACGGTCGCGCATGACGTGTGAATACTGACCGGACACACTACAAGCCATACTGTCTACGGATCCAGCCGACAGTGTCTTTGCCCAACAGCCTGCACCATATACTGCCGCCTATTTCGTAATATACGGCGTTCGGTCCGCTTTTATACAGCAAGTCAGTGGAGAAGTAGCACCTACCTCGCCAATGCGGCCTGGAGGCTTGAGCAACAATCCACCACTAAAACGAAGGCGGAATCAATCACATACACGTTGTGAGCCACGGATGTTTGTCCTGTACGTCACCTAGAGACACCGGCAGAGAGCCTTCCAGATATATCCCACGCAACCGCGCCTACAGTGTCCTGCATAGCGTGCAGATCAGCTGGCTCACTAATGAAGCGCTCGGGTACAGGGCTGCTTGAAGAAGTCTGGCCGCTACTGGAGCCATTGGTCGCAGATTCAAGCACAGACCGCCAGTAATCCCACTCTGCACTCGCGCGAGGAGTAATAAGGGCCTTGGGGTGAACTAGCTCCAAGCCATGTGCCTTAGCAAAATTGACTGCACCGCTCGACACTAGCAGGCTATAAGCAGAGTGTAGACAGCCTCTGAGTCAGGTTTGCGGCGCTCGAGACGACGATAAAAATCGCACATAGGAGGTATCCGGCCAAGAGAATCCGGCTTGCTCGAGTGCTCAAGAACAGCCCGTGCGGCTTTAATTGGATTCCGGATCCCTTGACATATGAATAAGGTTCACTGCTGGAATATGGCCTCTGGAAGGCCACGAAATAGTAACAAACCTGATGCGGCACCAATAGCCCCGAAGGCTGATGTGCTGCCGTCCATTATTGAGGCGTCACATTCCACCGCGCCATCCAATGTCAGGTTAGATCCGTAGCCTGGGGCAGCCATGTTCCTGAGTTGGACTGAAAGTCAATGACAGCAGTCCTGACCTGCATTTAGACACTCGTCATGTTCCAAGAATACAATAGCTTGTTCAACGGCATCGACGGAAGAACGCTCTGTTTCGAGAATTCTCAGAGACTGTCGACATGCTCTGTTTTGTGTGTAACCTCAAGGCGAAGTAGGTTAGAAAGAAATGCATACAGTTTCAAGGCGGCCTTGACTGCGCCGTCCCCACTCTTGTGATGATTCCCAGCGCCACCATGTACGGCGACGAAGTAGAATGGCTGAGCCATATCGTTCACCGCCCGGATGGATCGAGAATCAACTTGGCTTGCGGGCTCGTTCACCTTTGCGCTGCGGTTCAATACAAGCAGGCCATGTTCTTGTAAACAAAGAGATAGAGACGGCTGTGAATTGTTCAAATGCAGCAAGTTTTCAGTATTTTACAAAAAGGCACTGCGGTCAAGTTCAAGCTTGAGAGACAAGGGAAGATGTTGAGCTGCTCTACATACTGGGTACACTTAGCGCCCTGTGCCACACAAAGCAAACATATCCAAAGAACGCGATCGCCACAAGCGCGTCGGGCCTTCATTCCATTCTCCGAGCACTGCAACATAGCGCGATGGCGCCACACGTCGTAATTCTTCCTGATGGCGAGTAACAACAATGATATGGCTTATACTGAATATTGAATCCCATATAGGTGTTCTTCATGCGGTGCAAGCCAAGTTGGATGAAGACTGTGATGCCTCCCTACACGGTGACAGTCTCCGATTCCTGAGGCTGCCCCACCCACGCTCAGGTTTGTACCATTGTCGTGAGATATAGAAGGGAACTCTGAGTTTCCGACACCGCGTTCTATGTAGGTATTCCTGCCCTATTTCTGCCAAGTCGCGACCCCACCTATGGAACGACATCTATACTCGAAGTACAAGCAATTGCTCCCCCAAATCGTCGATCATGGCTCTTGCCTGCAGGGGAGGTGCTTAGCGGTGCGTTAATGACGATGATTGCATGGATTAGGAGGCATGAACTCTGAATGCAGACGGCCAACTACTCCTTATGACACCAGTCGATCCGGCCTTCTTGCTCATTCCACTGCTCAGGCATATTGTTGCAGTACGTATAAATTCGTGTATAAAACGCTTGAAGCTCATGGTCTACGCTCAGGTAGACGGGTCCTCTGGGTCCTTCAGACCAATGGATGATCTGTTTGAAGAAGCTATTGCTAAGTTGGCTCAAGCAAGCAACTCGAGTGACGTATTAGAAGGTGTCGGGATACCACGCCTGGAAGATGTCAACTACCTCGCTTCGTTCGATTGTGTTCAGAACTCTATGAAACGAATTTGCGAAGTGAAAGGTATGTCTTATGCTATTAATCATGACATTCGTCTCATTTGGCATAGAAATTGGCTCCGACATGACAGTGTATCGTTACGCCCCCGATAAAGTTCTACGATATCTCAGGGCGAAGGCCACGCGCCTTTCAACTCAGCAGGTGTGCGATATTTCGCAGACTTTGACTCGAAAGATGGCCAGAGATGGCTTGATGGAAGATGGCAAGGAAAACTTACTCAAACGTAAGCTTTCTCGAAGGCCATCAAGTGTACTTCAAAAACTGAGTCTTGTGTAGTCGCACGCATGCGAGCAGCTTGCGACATAGTTTCTCAGTACGCTTCGCAAGAACTGTATAACAAATTGCTTGCTACATACGAGTAAGTTCTCTATGGGAATATGTGGTGTACCGCTCTGATACTTTCTGCCCATGCCCAGTTTCACACCACTTGACGTGTATCTAAAGGCCTTCGAAAAAGAGAATGCACCATCCGTGCCTGAAATCGTCAAAGAAACTAGAGCGAAGGCAAAAAGCAAGATATCTGAGACGTCTGGTACAAAGCGTAAAGCTTCTGCCAACGCTGGCGTCGAGAAACTCAAAAAGGCAAACGTCAAGGGCATGGCCAACATTTCAAGCTTCTTTCAGAAGCCGACCAAGTGATGAGATCGGGACACCCAGAAGTTGGGACCGGCTTGAGCACGCTGCATGCTTTCTTTGTTGTCGAGGGATACTCCGAATAGACCAGGTTATCCACGCATAGGCTGCCACGTGATCGTGAAGTGTAGTGCGCGTGACGTCACGCAACATGTCAAGGGATTGAAACTCCGTCTCCTCGCTCTCGTTCTGTCGCAAACCTTCGTAAGTTGAACTTCGCTTCCTTCTCCTCCTTGCATCTCGCGAACGACACTCTGCGCAGGCCGAGTGTAAGCCATGGCGTCCGAAAAACGTTATGTTGAGTGCGGCATTCAGACTGACTCTGACCTGCTTGCCTCGGCGATGCAACTCTCGCTTTCAATATCGGGTCAGTCGCACAATGGCGATGCATCCGTTTCTCTGGAAACCGCGCGGTCGTCTCTGCGTGATCACTCTAGGTCCTCCACTCAGTTTGACAGCGCATATAGCCACTCGACGGATCAGTCAGACATCTCGCATTCCTCGAGCTCTGCACCATCCCTCTCTGGCCCTGTACGTGCATACAGTGACCAACTCTCACTAGGAAGACCCTCTGGGTCAAATTCGAAGAAGTTTCCTAGCTCTAGGGTGATATCTCTTCCAGAGACGGTCTCCGCCTACTCTGCCAAAGCGGTCTTAGAAAGGGCGAGTATTCGCGTTGTATCTATGCCATTAATCGGCGTTACAGACTCAGAGAACATTACGCTGGACGACGCGGACGTAGAGAAGGGGACCACTACTGCAGAAGAAGGCTACTTGCGAACTCGCTCCCAATCACACGTGTCAGATATGCCGTACACGCCTTCGCCCCCTTCGTCCCCCGAGTCGGTTCTCATAATCGCGAATAAAAATCAGCTGGCGGAAGGTTTCTTACGCGGCTCTTACAATGGGGCTCGCACTCCAGCTCCTATTGAAGACGAAGGTCAGACCTGCGTCAACTCTACTCACCAGCAATTGATCTAGACGATATAACGACAGGGTGGATCACTTGGGCTAAATCGCCTCCGCGGCCAATCCCAGCCCTCCACGGTCCCTTGTCCTTGCCGTATGCTCGTTGTCCTTCGTACGTGAGCGAATGTTGATTTCATGCGTGCATGCTGATTTGTCCTATTGTCAAGGGGAGCTGAAGGCACCATTATCGAGGAGCAAGACAATTTACCTCGCATGATATGGGGCCTCGAAGGAGAAGATCTCTCGTCTGCCCGTCCTCGCGGTAATTCCACCTCCCATGCTGTGCAGCCAGAGATGGCGCAACGCGTAACGCCTACCACGAATCACACGAATGTTCCTCCAAGAATGCAAAAAACTAAATCGGACGTTCTACAACATGCGTCATTCAGGACTGGGAAGCTCAACCCGTCTTCGCAACACGCCATCCCTTTGGAGCGCAAAGTTCCCGTACCGATAATACAGTCCCAGCAAGAGGTATCACGGTACCCTATTACTGGTCTGGAGCCTATAGATCTGAGCGACATTGTGCGCAAACATATGAGCGACTCTGGTGGGAGGAACCAAGAATATCGTGTGTATAATAACTCAGCTTCTAAGTCGTTTAACGACTTGCGGACTCATGGGCCAAGGGACGAGCTCGGCTTTGACTGGCAAACGACGCTTTCCACGGAGGGGCTGAGAGCGTCTAGTATGTTGTCTCCTTCAGTGGCTGGGGCTGGTCTTGGCGTCCCAGTTTCTTTCTCTAGCCAGCCTTTGCACTCTCTGGGCTACTCTGGGTCGTCTCAGTCACCTATCACCCTGGAACCTCATAGGCAAACCAGTCAGACTGCTCGGCCCCGTCGCATGTCTGCTCTGGAGATCGCTCAGCAGTATCGGCAGCAACAGTTACTCCAACAACAGCAACAGAACTTTCTGCCTACACCTCCGAACTCCTCGTCACCTATTTGGACATCTGCCTTCTCTCCGCATCAAGCTCCCGCGCTTTCTCCTGAGTTGCTTTCTGCATTTGGATTGTCTAAGCTCTCGCCCAGTCTCTTACAGGCCTCATCTGCTCTTGTTCATTCAGATAGTATTCAGCGTACACAAACTCTACCGCTTCGTCGACTAGATCTAGACGCCCTCGGTGGCATTGTCGATGTCTCTTCACTATCGCCTTCTGCGCAGATCCACACCAATTCGGCTAGTCATGATATCGCTCTTCTGTCGCAATACTTACAAGCTCAGACCCGCCAAGGCCATAACCCTGTCTCTCACACGCAGAAGAACAGAGCAGAACATTCTCCACTCCAGCCCAGGCCTCCTCCAAACACGCCGCTGTCCTCTCTGGCCGCTCGCGAAAATGTACACCATGGCGCTCGTCAACCTCAAAGTCTGGTTGGACCTCCTTCCCCGACGTCTCCTCAAACGCGTTCGCGTAGTATCTCTCACCAACAGGCTCGTTCGATCCCTCTTGCACGTCTCATACAGCGAAGATTGTCTTCTGTTCCTGAAGAAGACTTTAGCTCCTGTCAAAGCCAGGCACAATCTCCCGGGTCCTCTGAACGGCCTCGCACGAGGAGTTACACTCCGGGAGTGACATCTGGTACTACTGTAACTTCGCCTCATCTTCAGTTCCTTCTCTCACCTCCAAGCCCCCTCCCCCGTAACCCGCGGACTCCCAGCCCACTGCACGGCTCAGTTCAGTCTCGGCCCACGACGATCGACGAGGAGCCGGACGCACAACATGAAGTCACCGTGAGACTCCCTGGTTCCAGGCCCAAGGATCCAGTTGGAAGCGGTGGGGATATAGAACCGAAGAAGGGTGGGCCGAGTCGCGGACAGCAGGGCGTCAAGGAAAAATCTACGAGAAGCCACGATAGCACGCGAGGCAGGGGCCAGAAACGAGGCGCTAGAGGTCGCAGAGGCAGGGGTATGGATACACCTTTCCGTGCTACCAACGGTCCAGAACGCATCGACGGTGGATTGGTGGTCAAATCTTGAGATGGACCCATGATACGTGGGTGAGTCGCGCTAGAACCTCCCCTGTGTGCCTTGTATATGTATGTCGTTAGCCTGTGTGTTTTTGTTGTCCGATCGCTGTCTCCGAAGAAGTCTTGTATGATATAGGTTCCGCGTCCGGATGTAATTGTACTATTCTAGTCAGGTCGCAATTGAAGCAAGGTCATGCAGATCCGGACCACTTGTGTCCAGGCAGTAGTAATTCCATCCTGAATAATCCAGATATATCCCCTACACGAGTGATTACAAGCACATGGTACACGTAGATACTGAGGAAACAGCGTCCGCCATCCCGAACCGCCTATGACCCAGCATCCGGTCGTGGTAAAAGCAAGCGGTGTCCAGCCCGTCCAATGCTCCCGCATACTGGCGCTCAAATCTATCTACAGTACAGAAGGCGAAACAAGAGATGCTGACATGAGTAAACTTGCGTGTGTTGCATGTGTGATTAGGTTTTGGGCGAGCGTGCGTGCGGAAACGAGAGGAATAGATTAGAGACAAGACAAGACAGGTGAGCAGCGAGGAGACGGGATGACCGATGGCGCCGAGCGGCGGACGAGACTTGTCAGGGAGATCAGGATGCGTGATGAGTCGTGCGGCGGGCGGGAGAGCGATGCGCGGAGGTGGTACAGGCGGCCTGCGAGGTATCGGAGCCTGCGTGTTCACGCTTACGCCGCGGACGCGGAGTCCAGGTCCCCACCGAGGGAGAGGTGGGCCATGGTGGCGTCGAGCGACGACGCCGCGTCGCTGCGGCTGGAGCCTGGCCGCGAGGATCTGCGGAAAGGGCACATCGATAAGGTCAGCCATGGAGTCGCGAAGCACGATAACGACGGCGGCACGGCGCAGGGAAGTCGAGAAGACCCGTGCTTACGTCTCGCCTGCCTTTCTGCTTTTGCGCCAGCCCCAGACCTGGCGCATCCAGGACGCCATGTTGACCTCGTGCAGCATGATGTTGACTATCCATGGGTGCGCCAGCATGTCCTTTGGCGTCGGACGTACCAGGGGGTCCCGCGTGAGCCTATGATTGCCAAGGATGTGAGCGAGCCATACGGGCGGATATGCGCGGCCCAGAACGTACGCCTTCTTAATGAAATCCTTCATTTCGGGGCTCCAGGTTATGTCCTCCTCGTCTTCGAGTTCTGGCGGCTGGATCGTGGGAAGCCAGAGCGTCAGAAGACGGAGAAGGCGGAGCAGGCGCGAGCTCTGGGAGAGACAGACGCACCTCATTTTGCGTAATGTGGAACATCAGCTCGATCGCGGCCAGATCGCTGGGGAATGGGAAACGGTTTTGGACCAGCTCGAGTAGGGAGATGCCCGTGGACCAGACGTCCGATCTGATAGTGTACTCCAGACCGGACAGACGCTCCGGCTGGGCAGGGGATCAGCAAAATGCACCGCGCACCGCATCGCATCTGGCAGCTGCGTCGCGGGAAAGGCTGGCACTCACCGCCATGTAGAGGCTGGTGCCTGTGAAGGTGCCAGCCAAGGAGTTGACAAGCTCGCCCGAGACGCCAAAGTCGCAGAGCTTGACGACACCCTCGCGCGTGAGGAGGATGTTCGGGGGCTTTATATCGCGGTGGATCGTCTTCAGTTTGTGGAGGTATGCGAGACCCTGCAGGATCTGCGGCGCGGGATCAGTATCAGCGTGTGTTGCCATGCGATGAGAGAGGCCGCGCTCACGCCCTCTGCGAGCCGCCCGGCGACCTTCTCGCCAACGCGCCCGCCGATCTCCTTCATACGCTTCCCGACCGATTCGAGACTGCCGCCCTCGCAGAACTCCATGAGGACCTTGACCTCGCTGGAGGACGGCGAGATGTACGCGCCGAAGAAGTGGATGATGTTGCCGTGCGACGTCGAGGATGTAATCTTGATCTCGCGCATGAGCTGCTTCATGGGAGCCTCGAGGGTCGTGATCGTCTTGCGTGCCATGACCCTGCCCGTGCGCCTGTCCCTGACCCTGTCGACCGCGCCGCCGGCACCCTCGCCGAGGCGATTGATGACGTCGAGGTAGTCATCGGACCACTCGTCGAACTCTTCCACCGTCTGGCGGATGTTCTCCATGGAGACTACTGCGGCGGACAGGCGTGGGTGAGGCGAGACTGTCTGGTCAGGGCGGACGGTGAGGTCGCCCGGGCTGTCGCTGTGAGAGTGCGAGGTGTACGAGGGGGGCGCGCCGTCGGCATGGGCTCCCGCGAAGGCGCCGCCGTCGACTTTGTCGAAGTCGATCTGGGGCAGCTTGAGGGCGGGCTTGCGGGGCGCCGTGCCACTGACTTTGCGGATGTTGAGGGGAGCGACTTCGGGGAGGCCGTAGGGGGACGGTGAGGACGCCCTGAGACCCCTGGGGCCGAGAGGGCGGGGGATGGAGTGCATGGTGGGGATGAGGAAGTGCAGACAGGGCGCAGAGCGCACAATCCTCCGCACACGCGTAAATTTGGCCACTGCATTATGGGCGCTCCTCTCATCCCACGTGGCCATCCCGTCTCACATCACCGCCCAGCCCGCACATCATTCCCTCGACTCGGTCTTTGACACGGCCTTACCACCACCGTGCCCGTAGCAACGACAAACGCGCATACTCACACACGCCCTATTACTTTCTATCCACAATGTATTGTATATATTCTTTTGCTCTAAATGATTCATGTCGGCAGTGTAGCCAAGTGGTTACGGCGTCACGTTTAGGTACCTTTGCGTTTCCGATCCGTGATGGGTTTCCCGCGCGAGTTCGAATCTCGTCACTGTCAAGACCGCATCGCTGAAGGAGCGTTTTTTGTTTTGTCGAATGAAGTACACCATCGCCGTTAATGGTGCTCATATATATTGTTTTGTCGTATAGCTTATGCAGGACGTTACTGCCAGCGCTTACTAAGGAGCGGAGGGAGTGGCGCCAATGATCGAAATACCTTCTTTGGCTCAATCCACCATGGCTTCAGCTTCAGGTATGTCCTGTGCCCACCTTTCCCATTCATCAGCTAACTGTTTGCAGCAACTGGAAAGCTCTCTCGCGAAGAGTTTCGCCGCCAGAAGGACCTTGATGCTGCCCGCAAAGCCGGTACAGCGCCAGCTGCTCTAGACGAGGAGGGCAAGCCCATCAACCCTCACATTCCTCGTGCGTGGTTTTTTGCCTTACAAATCTCTATGTTGCTGATGTCTGCCGCTCAGAATACATCGCGCAGGCTCCATGGTACCTCGACACCGGTGCCCCGACCCTCAGCCATCAACGTATCCCTGATTATGACCGCGGCGCCGACAAGCTCGACAACTGGTACGACCGCGGCGCCAAGGCAGGTCCCGCCGCGAAAAAGTACCGCAAAGGCGCATGCGAGAACTGCGGCGCGATTACGCACAAGAAGCGGGACTGCCTCGAGCGGCCGCGCCGGCGCGGGGCCAAGTTCACGAACAAGGATATCGTGCCGGATGAGGTCATTCACGAGGTCGCGGCTGGGTACGACGCGAAGCGCGACCGGTGGAACGGCTACGACCCTGCGGAGCATAAGAGGGTGTACGAGGAGTATGCGGCGGTGGAGGCCGCGCGGCAGAAGCTGCGCGAGGACGAGATTGACAAGCAGACGACGACGGACCTCGCGGCCGTGCGCAAGGTCGCGAAGGCGGGAAAGGAGAAGGCAGAGAGGCGTGACGATGATTTCGGGAGCAGCGACGAGGAGGACGAGGACACGGACAAGTACGCGGAGGCGGCGGATGCGGTGGGGCAGAAGCTCGACACCAAGACCCGTATCACCGTGCGGAATCTGCGCATTCGAGAGGACACGGCGAAGTACCTCATCAACCTGGACCCGTCAAGTGCCTACTACGACCCTAAGACCCGTTCGATGCGAGACAACCCGTTGAAGGGGATTGCCCCAGAGGAGGTGGGGCTCGTCGACATTCTCCATCTCACATTCCGCTAATGCTATCCTTCGCAGGCGCTCTTTGCAGGCGACAACTTCCTCCGCCACTCGGGCGAGGCCCCAGAGGTGCAGAAGCTGCAGCTCTTCGCCTGGAATGCCGCCGCGCGGGGGAACGACGTGCACATGAACGCCAACCCCACACAAGGCCAGCTTCTCCACTCGGAGTTCCAGAACAAGACGGAGACGCTGAAGGACATGACGAAGGTCAGCATCCTCGCGAAGTACGGCGGCGAGGAGTACCTGCAGAAGGCGCCGAAAGAGCTCCTGCAGGGCCAGACGGAGGAGTACGTCGAGTTCTCGCGGACGGGGCAGGTCATCAAGGGCAAAGAGCGCGCGGTGGCCCGCTCGAAGTACCCCGAGGACGGTACGTAGACATCGGCCCTGCCGCAAAGATCTGCGCTGACGCGGATTGACCGCAGTGTACGTCAACAACCACACCGGGGTGTGGGGCTCGTGGTACGACCCCGCGTCCGGCGAGTGGGGCTACGCCTGCTGCCACTCGATAGTCCACCTCTCCTACTGCACGGGCGAGGCGGGCAAGGAGGCGGCGCAGGCGTCCAGCGCCCGCGCGCTGCTGGCGTCCTCAGCATCTGCGCCCGCGCCCGAGCGCCCTGCCGCGCCGGCAGAGGCCACGGACGACCGCAAGAAGAAGGCGGAGGAGCTCTTCTCGAAAAAGCGCCTCGGCGAGGGCGAGCTCTCGCTCGACAGGGAGCGGCTCGCCGACGCGATCGCGGAAGAGCGCAAGCGGAAGGCGCGGGGCGAGGACGGGGACGACCGGCTGGGCAAGCGGCAGAAGGGCGTGTCGGGGGCGAGCGCGGAGGTCACACAGGAGGAGCTAGGTGCGTTTTTCTCGACGTTCACGCTGTATGGATACGGCATGCTAATGTCACTCTTTGATTCCAGAGGCGTACCGAATGAACCGCCGGATGACCGAGGACCCGATGGCCAACTACGTCGACACGGAGCTGTAACGGATATTTTACTGTACTTTTGCGCTAATATTATGTCTTGCTTTGTCCGTGTGTCCTACATACGTCTTTTCGTCATGGGATACTTTTTGGACTTGATTGACTGTCGCTACGAACCAACAAGATAATGCCTTCCCGTACCACCGACAACCAACGGGTTATTATATGCAGCAAGCACACCACGAAGAGCACAAAACAGTCGTGACATGCAATCGTACAGTAGTAATACACAGGCGCTACTGGTGGCGCACATCCCATGAACTATACAACTATGTTACTTCCAGAGCGAGCGAGCATCTCCAAATATAAATATGACCATCCAAGCTGTCTTCCTGCGTCCGTACCAAAGCATACACTACCAGTGTTTTGGCACAAGTACGGCGGGAATTTTCCGTGCGGGGTGGGGCCTGCACGCCTCTAGACAACATCCACGAAACCCGCGCAGATGAACTCCGCCAAGATGCACGCCGTTCTGCAACACATCCCATAGTGGCGGGAGGCAAGCCTTACCGAGTCACATTGATCCTACACAAAAAAACTGCAATCAGTACCTTGATGTAAAGAGAAGCCCTGCCATTCTCAAAGCGAGCGACGTACTCTCGACCCTGGACGTGTATCGCAGGCCGCATCGTGCCCGAGCTCCGCTTGCGGTTTCGCGGCGTGGTCCCTACCGTCACGCTAACCAGAGGCTGCTGACGTTCGGGTGGTGCCGACGTTGACGTCGCGCCAGGGAAAGCGACTGACGACTGGGCAACTTTGCTCCGCTTCGACTCCGACGTCCGGCGAGTGCGCGCAGGTACTGGCGCGGATGGCACAGTGTCCACTGCCCGCGCAGCTGCCGACACCAATCCAGCCCCAAGGTCAGCTGCCGCTCAGCACCGAAACGGCGGGCACGCACCTTCGACGACCTTAGCGTCCGCCTCGCGGTGGAAGCTCTCCATGAGCGCGGTGAAGCGGCGCACCTGCCACGCGAGCTGGCTCGCGCGGGCGTAGTTGCCCTGGCTGAGCGCCCACTTGCGCTCCTCCTTGAAGCGGCGCCGCTCCGAGTCCGCGAGGCTCGCCCGTGCGCGCAGGACTGCGACCGCGCGCTCGTGCGGCGTCATGCGCCCGTCGGGATCGATCGAGGACGGCACAGAGTCGAGCGAGATCGACGGCGCAGTGCTCGCGTACGTGAGCGTGGGCGTGATCGGACGCACCTCGAGCCGCCGCGGGTTGCGCTCGTGCTCGCGGTCGCGGTCACGGTCACGGTCGTCGCGGCGATGAGTGTTCCCGGTGTCGCGACGGTGCCGTGTGCGGTCCTGACCACTGCGGCCGAAGGAGACCAGGCGGAGCCGTTTCCCGGGCTCAGCTTCGCGTGTTTCGCGTACGTGAGTTGTGGTGCTGACCGTGCGCTCGCGCTCCTTGAGCGTGGTGCTGTCCTCGAAGACACGGGAGAGGGCATCCGTGAACACGACACCGAGCGCGACCCCTAGCAGTGTGCAGACGACCTGGGTGGTGTCAAAGGTGCGGGAGTAGTCGAGGAGGAGCTTGGCAGCGATGCCAAAGCCGACAGGGATCACGAGGAGGAAGAGCTGGTTGAGGGTAGTGTAGAGGAGGACGCCCTGGAAGAGGCCGTTAAGGAGAAAGTCTTGGGTGGATGGAGGCTCGTTGGGGTGGAAGTACAGTGAGTTCAATGCGATGCGTGCACCGAGCGCGAGAAGGAGAGGAGGACCGGTCGTGATTTCCATGAAACAGGCGGGCGTTCATATGAGCATGGAAGGGATATCGCGGGTGTGAGGAGGTAGAGCAGCCAGCAACTGACCCACTGCTGCCAGCGCAAGAGTCAACGAGCGAAAGACTCGATGTTCACTCACCTGCACATATCCCTCCATGAGGCTCTACACGTGATCCCCCTCAAATTCAAGTTCAAGTCGCGAGATAATGGATTGATCTGATACACAGCGATGACTACTACGCGTATAGAGACGAGATAATACGATATGAACACATTGGCCATCGCAGAGACCAAGAGAGCACAGAAGATCAGAACAGCGGAATGCAGAGATACAGAGCTTGATGCGTAGCGTAGTGAGAATGCACGACTAGGCGTCCTTCATCAGCAGACTCGGACCGCAAGACGGCCGAAAACCAAAAAAAGACCAATGATACAGTACCAGGGTATGCGAGCAGATTATCCAAGAGTCAGGTAAAGCAGAACAAATAACCACGCGCGCCACGAGCCATATCACCGATACTTGCCGTTGGCGTGCGACGAACTTGTCGTTGCGGAAGGCAGTGACGAGCCAGTGCTACGCGACGGGGCCACGCTCGTCGCGCTGGTGCTCAGGCGCGGCTTCTTGGGTGCGCTCGGGCCGTCGCTCGACGACGCACGGGGTGCTGCGCCCTCCTTCATGACCATCTTGGCATGAATCTCCTCGAGCTTGCCTGCCTTGACCTTCTTGGGCCAGAACAGTGTGACGAACCTAGCCATGGGGGTGAGACACAGACGAGACCAGCCTCGCTCTAATGGACCACTTACGTCCAGAGATGACGTCGCCATCTATCTCTATCCTCCCCGGCGGCTTGTTTCTGAATGAGTACCAGCTCGATTCGTTTGCCAATAGCAGCCAGAGACTCTTTCAGGATCGCAACCTTGTCGTCCCGCGGCATGTCGCCTCCTGAGAGTTTGAGGTTCTTCTATATGATGTAGTATTCAGTGAGTGCTGTTCTCAGTCGCCAGATGAGCAGACGTACCAACTGCTTTTTGACCGGCCGCAGTTCCTCCTTCGTGGTTGCCTCGTCCATGGATGGGCTGCATAGAAGAATAAGCGGCAGCCAACAAGCAGACCAGGGTTAAATACGTACCACTCGTCCGATGACGACGAGTCCGTGAAGGTAGGCGTTGGTCTCCGCTTCCGCCTCTTCGTGCTCCCTTCATCAACCGAAGCGACTGCCTCGCTCTCGGCGCGCCTCTTCATGCTCCCGTTGTACGACGTCGACGCGACGGGTGGAGGCGGTGACGCAGACATGCCCATCGTCTGCCCCTTCCTCAAATTCGTCGTGATAGCACGGAGCTTCTCGTCGTGTTCGCGGATAATGCTCAAGAGGAAGTCCCCCCGTCGGACAAGGTGGATGGCATTCGGTATTGGTTTGCTCGCGGCGTCCTCGCCCTTCTTGCCCTCCTCGAGGAAGAATTTGCCCTCGAGCCCCAGCCGAGCGTCCTTCGCCATCGCCTCCCAGTTGCCGAAGCCGTAGAGGTACGCTCCTACGAGCAGCATCGAGTCCTCTTGCGGCCCCCACCGCCCTGACCAGTTGAGCGTCGGCCGGATGTTGTCAATCGGGATCTGCCAGGTGTAGACGTCGGGAAGGGCGTGAAGGTATTCATGCAAAATGCGCAAGTCTCGATGCCGCGAGAGCACCGTCTCTGCGTTGATGTTGCCGACATTCCGGTACGTCACAAGCACCGCCTTGCTCTTCTGAGCGTTGGTGAGGGTCTCGCCGGCTGCTATCCGAGCACGCTTTTCAGCATTGGATTCATCGACAGCGCGAGTGCAAAGCTCGATGATGTCGTCCGCAGTGTCGACGATCATAGCCCGATTCTTGTCTTGGAGCTTGGCCTCGGCAACCTGTACGACGCCGTCCATGAGACACCAACAATGTGAAGCAGACGGACCACTCACAATAATGTCATACCGCTGCCGGATGTCTCCCCAGCGTTGCAGACTCCGGATGAGGACTCGGACGTCACGCTCCTTGAGCTCCATGGCCTTCTGACTGGCGGTCTTGCGCTGGGGGGCAGGATGCCTTGGTTTCTTGGCAGGTGGAAGTGGAGCGGTATGGTCAACGTCCATGCCTTCATACGAGACTTGAGCATGCGAGCGCTTGCGGTTGTTAGTTTCCTCCGCCGCAAGTTCTTCTGCCCTTCGCTGGTCCTCCTCGCGTTCGAATTCCTGCCGTGCCTCGAGGGGGATGATCTCATCCCAGCTCATGTCGTTCTTGACATCGCTAACATTCGCGAACTGGGCCAGGAAGCCTTCGCCACCCAAGGACGCGCCTTCGCCTTGAGCAGCCATCGTCTCGTGGTGTTCTGCACGATTTAGGATGTCATCGAGGTCCATCTCGTCTAGCTTCTTGCTCTGCTGGCTGTCATCCTTGTCGAAGCTTAAAGGCGACGCATATAGTCAGCACATGTGGATCCTCGCATGCAATAGATTTCTCACATCCTCTGCGCACCGTACTTGAGAACAGCGTGCAACTCGTCCTTGCTCAGCTCGTTAGGTTTGGAAGGGTCCTTTGTCGACGAGGCTGCCTTAGAGCTAAGGTGTGCTTGGGAAGTGTCCATCTGGTTGATGACTGTTTACAAATGTCGTCACCAGCCAGGCGGAAACCTCGTTGCAAGAAGACTCACTTGCGTATTCCAGGACCATCTTCTTCTTGGCGCGCTCGAGGACGTCCTCCTCCATGGTATCCTTACTGACAAAGCGATACACGCTGACATGCGACTTCTGGCCTATGCGATGTGCGCGCGCCATCGCCTGCAGGTCGTTCTGTGGGTTCCAGTCGCTCTGCAAAATGGCCTCAGCAACGTGTTTACACGTCCCCAGCACGACGACAAGCACGCTCACATCGAAAATAATGACAGTGTCGGCTGTCTCGAGATTGATCCCTAGACCACCGGCGCGTGTTGAGAGAAGGAATGCAAAGTCGGTAGAGCCCGGGGAGTTGAAGTGCGCAATTGCCTTTTTACGCAGCTCCGACGAGACCATACCGTCTAGACGCTGATGCTGGTAGCCTCGCATAACCATGTAGTCGGTCAGGATGTCGAGCATCCGGACCATCTGGCTGAAGATCAACACGCGATGCCCGTCCTGTCGTAGCCGCGCCAAGAGCTTATCCAGAAGCACCATCTTGCCGCTGCTCATGACAAGACCCTTGAGGGTCTCCTCTTCGTTGTCCGTCTTTGCTTCAGCGCCGTCGAACAAATATGGGTGATTCGCGGCCTTCTTCAACTCCATGGCTGTGCGGGATTTGAGTTATGTCTAACGAAAACCGCGAAGAGAACTCACCGATATTAAGAAGGCTGATGTTGTTGTTGCCGTTCGCGCTTTTGATCAAGCCTTGAAAGTTCTAGCAGCGGTCGGAACATAAAACTCGCTGCGTATGCTAAAAGGAACAGAAGCTCTCACCTTCGTCAGGATGTTCTTGTAGAAATGAGTCTGCAGTCCACTCATTTCAACACGAAGAATGCGCTCCGACTTGGTAGGCAGAGACGTCAAGACATCACGTTTCAGTCGTCTAAGCATGAGAGACTCGAGCTGCTTGTGCAACTCCTTGATCTTCTCCTCATGATCTGCATCAGCAAGGTCGAACTCGTTGGTGAGCTGGACTAGAACAAAGTGTGAGACTATATAGCCAGATTGAAAGAAAACATACTTACACTTCTCCGGCATGAGGAAATGCATGAGAGAAAGAAGCTCTAGAATAAACGGCATCAGTCAAGACGTCACCTCACGAATGCTATATCGTCTACGAACCCTTCACGTTGTTTTGTAGAGGTGTGCCTGTAATGAGGAGCTTTGACGCTGCCGGAAACGAGGTCAACGCCTCATACAGCTGAGACTCTGAGTTCTTCAACCGGTGTGCCTAGACCACCACACCTGTCAACGTCATTATCTCGGCGGAGATTGTGAGACGCCACAAACCTCGTCAACCGAGAGTACCTGCCATTTAATGTCGCCCAACTCCTTAGCATCTCGCAGGGTTATCTCATACGTCGTCAAGAGCACGTTCATCTTGAGCTTCTTGTTGGAAGGCCCGAACTCATAGTTGCGGATGACGTCCCGCGCTGCGGCAGTGCCGATATACGTGATTACGTTGATGTCCGGGGCCCATGTCGCGAACTGTGACTGCCACGCCGTGATCGTGGAAAGCGGTACGATCACTAGGAACGGGCCATACTGCCGCATTTCATGGAAGAGATATGAGAGGAATGACACCGTCTGCACGGTCTGTGACGCGATGCAAAATCAGAATAGGTCGCTAAGTGCGCATACACGAGGAGCACACCTTTCCTAGGCCCATCTCATCCGCGAGGATACCGTTCTCACCCTTGCTCCACAAGTAAGCCAGCCAATTGAGACCAGTCAGTTGGAAGTCTTTCAGTTGTCCGCCGGTTACCGTCAAATACGGCGGGTCCTCTGTAATCTTCATGAATGTTGGTCGTTGATTCTTGGGATAGCTGATACTCTTGAACGGGAACTTTGCCTCTGCCTCTCGTGATCTAAAGGCTCCCAATTGGTCTTTAGCAATGGGTCGGATTTCCTCCTGCGTTTCCCATGTACAGTGTTCGTAGTTCAGCCCGTTCCACTTGCAAAAGTACTCGACCTGGCCTGACTCGTTTTCGCGTTGTGAAATGACACGCTCTACCGTCTTGAAGGTCTCGAGCTCCTCCTTCTCGCGCTCTTTGTCCAATAAGAGAACTTCCTTATCCTCGCGCGAGAGCTCAGGCGAAGCCAAGCGTTCCTGGTAGATCTTGTACGCCTTGATGTAGTTGTCTACCCGCTTCAGACCTTTGTAACGCTTGAGGAATTCGTAGACCTCATCCGTGTTGTGCAGGTGCGAGTAGCCTTTCCACTTGATGTGGAAGCGCTGCCGTTATAATTCAAATCAGGCACCATGTAAAGGAGCAGCATCTCATGACGTACAATGTTGTGGTACCAGTCGTCTTCCGAGTCGCTAGCATGACCCTCATCTCGACTATGTCCGAGGACGGCTTCAATCTCTTCTATTGGGGCCTGAGGATCCACATACGAATTCTTCATCATCTCCTCTTCGTCAAACTGCTCGAAGTCCTGCACATCGTCGACGTAATTTGGTATGCGTCCACCCCTGCTAGACACCCGTAGCTCATCCCGAGGAACTTTGGGTTTCTTCTTTTTCTTCGAGCGAGAACCATAGTCTGAATCTGAATCTGACCCTGAGTGACGCGTTGAAACTAATCCAGAGGTTGCATTTAGAGAACCTCCATGACACGGCCATGCTAGCCACACACCTCGGGGCCTCAAAGGAGCCTTCTTCTTCTTCGACGCTTTCTTCTTCTGAGCACCGTACTCCTCATCGGCATACGACGCGTCCTCCTCTTCGTTGTCGTTGTCGTTCTCGTCGTCTTCAGGATCATCTTCGTACCCCTGGGTTATCCGAGCTGAGTATGAATTGATGACAAAAGAGGACCGACATACCGAGTCCTCCTCATCTTTTATCTAGAAGAAAGCAGATCCTTCAGCACATCCCCGTCGATCCTCAGACTCGATCACATACCGCCCGGTTCTTCATATAGGACGAAGCGTGACCGTTTGGTTTCGGACTTAGCTGCACCTCATCCTCATCAACTTCCTCGCCCTCGGCGTCAACGTCTGTGTTCCTCTTCATGTCTACATCCGAGTCAAGCTGCATAGAATTGTCACTGTCATCGCTCATGTCGGCGGGAGAATGGGAGGTGGACGCCATGGGCTCGTCGCGATCGCCGGCGGGCGACATGGAAGAGTAGTCGCGGAGGATAGACTGCGTGATGGGGGACGGCGGCGGGGGCGGGGGAGGGGCTGGTGAGGGTTGTGGGAAGGGGGCGTTGACAAGGGGTTTTGTGAGCGCCAGAGCCGCCAGCCCAGCTCGGACTTGGTTCGCACGCGTGCGCCGGACCAGGCAGGCCACATCGCAGGAGCTCGTCACTGGCCATGGCGAACTCCGACCCAACCGTGCCTCTCTCCCATCTCCTTATCTCTCCTTCCTTACACGGCCTCGCTGCCATCCAGAACCCCGTCCTCGCGCTCGGCCTCCCGCAGCCCCACAGAATGTTTCGTATTTGCGCTAACGGCCTCGGGCATCGCGCGCGGTCTCTGCCGCCGACCGCCACCCTCGACACCCACCACGCCGCGTGTTCCTGCCGTTCACCGTGGGACTTGTCTGATGCATCACCTGAGGCGCTTCCGCCGGCGCGGCCCGCGGGCTGCGTGGAACGCGGGAGAGCGTTCTCGAGCGGTCGCCATCGTCGACCCCGGCGGCCAGCCAGGCGAGACCGACTCACTCCACGGTTGTCACAGATGTCACAAATGTCACGGCGCGCCTGGCGAAAATGCCCGCGCGTGACGGCGCGTGTCCTCGCCGTCACAAAGGACGATGGTCGGTGGCATGCCGGGGGCTGCGACCGCGCCTGCCTCCGGGGCCAAGGCGCTGCGGCGGCGAAGACCCTGTACAGCATCCGTGACAGCGGGCGTCCTCGCCCCGCAGTGCACGGCCCTACTCGTATCCGGCTCCCTGTGCGCACATCATCCCCATCGACGCTGACCACAACATCTTATGTTTCAGAAGCCCCCACGCATCTTGCTCGCGCTTCGTGAACCGCACTTGCCCACACACGTCCCGTCACAGCGATGGCAGAGATAAGGCAGCTCCATTAACGGCCCTAAATGGTGAGACAATGCGCAATGCTACAATATTTTATGTGTGTTCGTGAGTGTCCCATGACGAGTGCATGTGAACGACAGTAATTAGCAGAAAGCAGCAGTAAAACACAATCAGCAGACAATGTCACAATGTCCATGGCGTGATCAGTAGCGACGGTGTGGGCGTTCGTAACGCGGGAACGGAGGCTGCTCGTGGTGCAGTCCGACAGGGGCAGGCTCGTGCAGACGCTGGTATGGTCTCCGCCGCCTGTTCGACAGGCAGTATGCAAACGCGACGATCAGGAGGATGCCGACCGTCACGGAGCCAGCAATGATGTACGGCACATACGGCTTCACCTTATCCGCAAACGACTCGCTGCTGGTACCTGCGTTGTTAGTATTGGGAACTGCAGGCAGCAAGTGGAACGCGGACGTGTTGTCGACGCCACCGAGACGTTCGCGGACGAAGTCCGCGTGTCCTTCTGCTTGCGTAGTGAGCGGGAGTAGTTGTACGTAAGGAGCAGCCGTCTGTGAGGTCGAGCCGTCGACAAAGTCGCCGAGATCCACCAGCATGTATGCGTTACGCACTGCGAATTGGGAGCGATGTCAGAATTGCGGACCCTGAGACACCATTTGCGGTCAAAACGCACAGAATGCCATGCCCAAGATCATGTCGTAATCGGGAGACGCTGCACTCGTGATAGGTTGGAATGCGCCAGCACAAACCGTATCACCATTCGCGTCTTTTGTCGTTAGCGTTCCCAGGTTCGTGTCCAAAGGGTTGATCGGGAAAGACACGCCCTCAAACTTGAAGGTTACGTTGAGTTCCACGTCGCAGGGGAGTGTCCACACATTTCCGACATTCTTCATGTTCGTAAAGTTCGCGCCCGGGACGCGCGAGTAGATAGCGTTCGAGACTGCACTGCAATTCGAACCGTCAGATCTGGTATCTATCGCAGTACGTGAAGAGGCGACGCACGCAGGAACTTGAGGTAATGAGAAGCCTGAGTCGAGTACGGCGATCAACTGGTCCAAGCCTTGCACCACGGACTGTGCCTGGATGGGATTGCCGTCCGGTCCAATGATGCCATTTTTGTCAACCAGAACCTGGTAGTGCTGATTGTCTGAGTCTTGATCCCTTGCGACAGACAGCTTTGGCTGCGAGGTGATATTTTGATACTGTGATACTACGTGTCCCACTGTGATCTCCCCAGGAAATGTGACATCGGTGTCAAAAGTACGACCGAGAAGGATAGTGATGTAGTTGGGTGTGGAAGTATTCTGGCGGAAGATCCTGTCCAGCGTAGCATCCCCTGCCTCGCTATTGAATTGTTGAAAAACTTCGGATCCGCTGTTGGGACCGAGACCTAGAATACCCTGGCCTGCCGGGTGTGCCGCATCTGTTGATACACTGACTTTGTGAATGGTGTTCAGTGCCGCGCCATATGGTGTCGACACGACAAGCGTGCTCACTGAATGCCTGGTTGTCGACCGTATATCCATCGAAATCTAGATTGGCAGTCATAACAGCTCCTGCGTGCGAAGTATCAACAGTGAATAGACTTCCAAAGTATCGCATGCGTAAAGATGTACCGTTGGCTGCTCCAATGGCGTAATTGATGGAAGCAGTCTTGCCCGTGCCCTGCGCCCCGGGGACATTGCCTGCTACCCACAAATCCGAGCTAAGAGTGCGAGTTAGCCCACGAGAACCGTTCTCAATAGGGACACATAACTCACCTGCCCGTGTCAATGAGCACTTTGAATGACTGGCCTCCCAGCGTGATGTTCGTGTAGTACTCAATGTCCGACGAATCGCTCAGCGTCGATCCCGTCATGCTAGCCCTGCGGCCTAGGCGCTCCAATCCCGTCCGTGTTCGTCCATGAGGCACTCGATGGCCCGTGAATGGGATCCTGATCGCGCTTACTGCCAGATCATCGAGCAAGAGAGAGAGGTACAGCAAGAGAGATGACGCCAGGAACTTCATGAGCGTAAGAGAACGATGCACACAATACAGTCCACGCCCGTGAGGACGACTGTGCCCTTAAAATAAGAAGAACGGAAGAACGGAACGAGGTGAGGAGGACAACAAAGGGCTATGCGGACGCCGGACATGATGGGTGTTTGGTGTTGCCAAGGAGGGTGTTGCTGCCGAGGCGCCCTGAGCGTCCTGCTTCACAACAGCCACGGGACAACCGCTGATGAATACACGGAGACTGAACTATCTCCCTATGACGGAGATTGAAGTGTCTCCGGCATGGGGGGATATCTCTGGCGTGTGGAGACACCTCCATCAATTTTCGGGCGCAAGGCGCTTGTTTCAAATTATTTGTGTCCCCTTTGGGAGATCATGTGACTGGGTCACCATCACCCGATCTCTTCATCAGCTTTCGGTAAAGTCCGGTCTCTTATCGTTATCTAATCTGAGGGGCTGCCAAATCAGGATAACTCAGATTAAGGTTAAAAGCTTGCGTTTTACACGCTTTTAACATATTTTCCCGCGCTCTCGCGCCTTCCCCAGCGCTGGCTGTAAATAATATATTTCCGTGAGAGGCCGAAAACCGGCCATAATGAGATTCCCTGATACTATACGAGACAATTTCTTAGTTATTACCCAAAGCGGAGAATACACGTGACTAGGGTATTTTCCTCGCACCGCACGTGATAGAGTTCCCGTTCAGGGAGATAAGCGCCCCCTCAGAGAAATATCTCTAGACGCCAGAGATATCTCCCCATGCCGGAGACACTTCAATCTCCGTCATAGGGAGATAGTTCAGTCTCCGTGTATTCATCAGCGGTTGTCCCACAGCCACTGAGCGCGAATACGAGTTGATCGCCCCCACATCCTTATTCAATTATGTGTGCGCCACCGCTTACACCCTCTTCACGATGAACTTCTGCAACGTTTCAAGCCTCTAATGCCGTCTATGCACTGGTACAGAAATAAACCAAGAATCGACCACACCGCATGCGTGGACTGTTGATGCACACCGTTAGCGGACATGTCCATCATTTCTGTCAATGTCCCGCGAATCTTTACAACAGCGAGTTGGTCTCCAGGAGTAGCACGATGCCTGGGTCACATTCTTCAGCTTCGCACTTTCCAAACTTCAGAATACACTCACTGTGAACGATCTCCGGTACGCTCTGCGTCTTGATATCAACGGTCAAATCAGGTCGTTCGGGGGTCTCATACGGCTCATCAACACCTGCGACACCGGAAAATTCCCCCTTGCGCGCGCGCGCGTAGACACCGCGGCGGTCATTCGCTTCACAGTGCTCCAGGGGAGTGGCCACATGGATCGTGAAGAAGTTCGCGCCAGCACCGGCTGAATGGACGACAGTGTCCTTGAACGCGCCGCGCAACGACTGCTTCGGCGCGATGGGCGATGCGATGACCGCTGCTCCTGCCCGCGCGAGCTCAGTCGCCACAAACGCAACGCGCTGGAGATTCTTTGACCGCTCCTCTGTCGAGTAGCTGAAGGCTGTGGAGATCGGTAAATAATCACGATCGCCGGGCTGTGACGGGAGGCAACTAACGAGCATCAAGATCTTGACGAATGTTATCCCCAGAAAGGACGGAGACGCTGCGACCGCCTTGCTCGTTGAGCACGACCTGCAAAGCTTTGGCGATTGTATCCTTGCCGGAGTTGTGCAGACCTGTTAGGAAGATCACGAAGCCTTGCTTGAGACGTGGGGGATAGCTTTCACGTAGAGTCTTTACAACGCCCCTGTAAATGCGCTAGGTAAACATGGACTTCGATCGAGATACGCTCCTGTTGGACTTACTCGTAGCTGAACCAGTCAGGGATGGGCGTGCCCGTCTTCAAGCGTCTCCGGAGCTCGGTACCCGAAATGTCAAGGGTCTGCTCACCCTGTGGTACCTCGTCGATCGGGACGTACTCGTCCGTCGACGGCATGTAGGTCATCTGCTGGAACGGCACCATCTCGATCGATAGCTCGTCATGGAATTTTGTGACAAGTTCCTGCGCGTCATAGGGACCGTAGAAATCCTTGCCTTGCGAGTTCTTGCCAGGACCCGCGTGATCGCGTCCAACGATGAAGTGGGTCGCGCCGTAGTTCTTGCGGATGATCGCGTGCCAGACGGCTTCGCGGGGGCCAGCCATGCGCATTGCGAGGGGAAGCAACGCGAGGTGCCCCATGCCGTTGGGATACTTGGCCATGATGGCCTCGTAAACACGCACGCGGGTATAGTGGTCAACATCGCCAGGCTTTGTCAGGCCAACGACGGGGTGGATAAGGACGTTCGCTTGTCGTTGGCGGGCGGCGCGGACGGTCAGTTCTCGGTGCGCACGGTGCATGGGATTGCGCGTCTGGAAGGCAACGACCTTCCTCCATGCCAGCTTTTTGAAGTGCGCACGTAGCTCGGATGGGGTGTCTGTTGGCGTCATATGAAATATGTTCAACGATGTGGACGAGACAGTATACGCACATCTGAGAGCAACGTAGTCGAAATGGACGGGCAGTTGGATTCCCTGGACCTTTCCACCAACATAGAATTTCTTCACTTTGTTACGGAGGTATGCGACGGACGGGTGTGCTGGGTCATCTGCGCCGAAGACTTGTACGGCCTCCTTGACTAGGTCTGGTCGGTAGATATCCTCGACTGAACGTGCAGAGTGAGTTTATCGTAAAATGGCCGTTATGAGTGACCGTACCGGTGATGATCGCAAGTGCTTGGTCGTCACGAGGATCCCGGAGGGCTATGCGAGACCCTGGGCCGATGGAGAGGTGGACGATATCCTCTTCAGAGACATCAAGAGAAATGGGCATGGGGAAGAGCGTGCCATCGGCAAGGCGGAAATTGTCTACGACACTGTACGGAAATTCTCAGTCGCCGTGCAAGTCGCAAATCGTGGCATCTGCAACTCACTTAGTGTAGTCGGCCTCGTTCATGAAGCCCTCGAGGGGGCTGAAGCCACCATTGAGAATAAGCTCGAGGTCACACAGTTGACGCTGATGGCACACGAGGATAAATAACCGAGCGACGGAAGTTGGCATCAGCGAGCATACCTCGGTCAGAGTGATGTCAGGCAACGTTTCAGCTTCAGCCTTCAAGTTCTCTTGCAGATGCCCGTCCCGTGCAATGAGATCCTGACAGTATACTGATCAGGATTGCGTGATGTAAGGACGTGCATATATTCGCACCTTCAGAATGCCTCCGTGAGGAATGTTGGCCATAGTGATTGATGGCGAAAGGGCAGATGGTACAGTGCAGTAAGAGCTTGTCTACAAAGTGCGAGACTAGACCAGGTTCACGATGATACTACATAGCAGCTATGGTTGTTGATATAAAAATTGACTGCAGTTCGATGGTGAGGAAATCACGCAATCGAGCAAATGACTCATTTTTACCTCAACGTTAGAATTGTTGAAAGCCGCTCTATATCCCGTAGAAACAGCGTCTAACGTTAGCGGTTGCGACGGGGGGTTGCAAGAGAAGCTCAAGCGGGAGAAGTCCAGCATACATAATGGACGTCTGTGAGCACCGACTGGACACAGCGAAGATCTGAATCTCTTCCAGCAATCACAATAATGACCCTAACCCAGGACTCTGACGTCTTCTCGCTCTAAGCCTGACTTCTTGAATGTACTAATAACAATATTATGATGAGCAGGCACGAGAAATGAGTCTGTTGAACTAAGCCATAAGAAAGCGAAACGTAGTATGTATGCAAGGTGCATGCCCATAGCAACGAGATATCGTAAGATGCGCAGAGGAAGCCCGTCCATGCCCTCCACCTCTGACTAGGAATACACTGATTTACATGCCAGACACTCCGTCCTACGACAAGACCACGCCCACCTGATATCACTCAGGACACACACCATCCAAGACACGAGCATAGTATCGCTCACACCATGGAGTATGTGTCAGATGGCTATGACTCAAGAAGTAGGGCGACCGGACTGAGCGTCGACATCACCTCTATGCGGCCCTGCGAATTAAACCGACTCGTAGGAGGCGGTGGTCGCTCACCCGTGCCCACCCAACCCGTCATTCTTGACGTTTTGACCGTGTCCAGCTCTACAGTCCGCTCAACTGTAGTCCCGACAGTTGCCGCTGATGATGTCGGCCTGTACACACCCAAGTCGAGCTGCACAAGACCTTTGAGATCGTCAACTGTTGAGCTGTAGACATCCGCATCCGCGAAGGTCGTGCTGACATCAAAGGTGCCGCTGTACTTGTTGTCGAGGCTGACGAACGCTGCTCCCATGCTGTTGTCAACTCGCGCTTGGAGCGTAGAAACTGCAGAGTCGGGCATGTGTTCCATCGCCACAACCATAGGTGCGTTGAAAGTTTCGAATTTGGTCATGAAATTAGGGAACGTGGTGGAGGCAGAAGATGAGGACGGGGGGATATAGAGCTGGACGCTCGCATTGAGCTCGCTGAGAAGGTTCATGAGGATCAGAAACATATATGAATGGGCGAGATGCGTACGCATTGCCTGTGCTAACATCCAAAAATGTCGGTTGCTGACACGAATTGTCATTGTAAAGGGAGACATTCACGTTGATAGGACTGATCCAATTGTTAGATGCAAAAAGGGGGACCACGAAACAATGACATACGCAGACACGGTCTCCAACACAAGGGACTCTGAGATATTGAAGGTCCCCTCGATCTCCGCGAGTGCAGTCTTGACTGAAAGCGAGGTCGCTTCGATTGACTGGCCGGATATAAGCCCCTTATCGCAACTCAAAAGCATGCAATACTCACCCCAACAGATACCGCCGACCTCGCACCGCCGAGGCTCACCTTGTCGAATGTGACATATGGAGACAGGTTTGTGTAGAATTGGTAGAAGTGGGGAAGCATTGTCATGAACTCCGTGATGTGCAGGGATGGTATTTGGGGGAAGAGGAAGGTGATGTTGAACACGAGGGAAGCCTCTTGCGGGAGGCTTGATGGGACGTAGAGGTAGATGCCATTGCTGCCAGATATGTTCATCAGGCAGACATGTGTGCGCTCCATCAGGGAAAGGTCGGAGTAATGCATAGTTACGGACACGATCCCGTCGCTTACGGTGGGGTCGCTGTTGACCCCTACCAGAAGGGTTCCCGATATGTCGTCTACTACCTGAGCATCTGAGGAATATGAGACGTTTGAGTGGACGAAGACGAGCCCATCTAATGGGACGGTGTATTGAAGGCTATCGCTAGGGTGAGCAGCCAGAAGGCTACAGATACGAATCTGAGACTCACAACGAGGCGGTTGCAGTCTGGTCTACCCATGCATTGCACCCCACAGCAGAGCTCATTAGAAGCGGTGCATCGCTGCCATCTGCGATCAGGCTTGGAGTGTCGGCATTTGAGGGGGCTAAATATGACGCTTGCCGGTCGGAGTTGCGATGTGTCAATTTCTGTGAACAGTTACTTTATGCGAAGTAGCACACAACCAGAGGGCCACCTACTACTATGATCACAGGCACGCCGACCGCTACCGTTATGACAAAGTAGACCACGAGGGCATACACGATCACCCGGCGTAGACGCGTCTTGCCGCGCAATGGCCACCATGATTTCGATTTCTGCTCCTGCTCCTGCTCCTCGTCTGGAGAAGAAGGGTTGAGATGGACTTGGCTTTCCTGGCTGGTAGAGCGCCGCGGATGCTGCAAGGCCTGCGAGGACTCGTAGCTCGGGAGGGAGGGGGTAGGAGTGCATGGGCGGACCACAGAACGGGCGTCGTTGAAGAGCTTGTCGGGATTCTGTAGGTCGTCGGGGTCGTCGAGAATGATCATGGTCACCGCATGGAGCACTTCTGATGGCGGCGAGGGGGGGGGAGCAAGAGAACGGGAGAGTGGACGTTGAGCGCTGAACAGGAGAGTGAGAGCGCTGATCGACGAGGAGGTATCGTGCAGCCCGTCGCTCCCTCCGTCGCTACCGTGAGGTCACACGCGTGCTATTTTAGGCCACAAGTGTCACACGTCCGTCACACAGTGACTGCCTCATGGGGACAAGAAAACGAACAGAGTCAACAGCGTCATGGCAATTGGGAGTCTATGCAAGAATGTGCGGTAAATATACGTGCATAAGCTATAGGTCGAAATAGTACAGAGCCTCCTGAGTCCGTGTGTTATAGCTCACTTCGTGACGGCACCTGGTCTTTACCTGACATCCTGAAGATGCTGCCTACAGTGCTGAACACGGTTTGCAGGCCATCCAACAGCCCAAGGAAGCAACCCATAGTCTCGTCCCTGCAGGCACGCACCCACTCTAGGACACCATGGAGTAGGTTACCAGGAACGAAGTCAGTGCCCGCCGTGGGTGAATGCCGTGACTGCAGATAGACAATCATGAATAACAGACAGGTGGAGTAAGAAGCCGAGCCGCGCTCACCTTCGGTGCCCCTGTTGCCGCGAACGCTGCCCCTTCGAGCAGCCGTGCCTCTTCCAGCGCATCTGCCTCCGCCCACATTTTGCGAAAGTCGTCCACCGCAGCAAGGCTCTCCGAAAAGCGGTGCAGAGTGTTTACTAATGCAACGACCTCGGAGCGCTGTAGCAAGTTCTGGTTCGCTTGGGGGCTGGGAGTTTCAAATACGAACCACTGTCAGGCACACTGGACGGAACGAATATGATATCACACTCACTCTAGAGCCTTCTCATCCAACTCAAATATCACCTTGAGCGCCGTCGCCAGACCTGTTGTCTGGACCTTGCCCCAGAGGCGACACTTGTCACAGCCAACGCAATCCATGATGCGGCTGACGTTCCGAAAATGCTCCTTGAACTCCTCTCGGAGGATCTGCAGACCACACTGCATCAGGGCCCGTGCGAACACTAGTCTGTTCGGGCACTCACGTTGGCGTTCTCCCCCCGGAAAAGCACCGTCTCATCGAATTTGCCAACTGCCTGCGCGATGCCGATGACTTTCTTGAGCCGCTCCAAGGTTTCGGCTTCACCCTCGTGAGCGTCCGTGCCACAGTAGTCATACGCGGACAGGTATGGCCCGAGCCGGGCTACGGCACGCAGCAGCAGGACCGTATCGAAATAGATGTACTGCAGGCGTTCAGGATAGGATGCAACGCGATTGATGAAGCATTGCAGGTCGGGTCCCTGAGCAGATTTGGCATCACAATATTTAGAGCTAATTGCACGGAACAAACTGGGACACATACCCATTCACCCGTGGTCTGATTCATTGTCTCGCGACAAACGTGAGTCGAAATGCTGGCATGCAAACCTGTGTTCATCATGAGCCCCCTTTACGCGCGAACACTGTAGAGAACCTTACCTGATATGATCTTATAATACACCCTCTGCTCCAAACAGTCTTTCGGACTTTCCGCTTCGTCTTCACTGAGGACCTCAGTCATGCTTCCTGGCATAGAGACTGGCGCGGGGTCTGAAGATTTGCCGGAAAGGAGATTCATCTCAGACAGCCCGAAACAGTTTTCTGAGTAGATGGACGACCAGACTCTGTGGGCAGAGGGCCCGACGTAACCCGTGAAGCGTTCAGGATTGAGAGCCAAGTCAATGTAATCGCCCTCTAATAGCGTCATGATGGACATGAGCTCCAGGTGACATGAACAGACGAAGTACGAACCTGTCATGTCGTCGAGGAAACAATAATCTGAATCACGGTAGTAACATCCAGGTAGGCGTGTTCGCTGTCGGCAAATCAGTCATTTTCAAGGAAGAAATGCAGCACGAACGGACCTCGTCTTCTGGGGGCATCTCCACCTTGCTCAATTCAGCAGCTCGCCATTTCGCCGGTATTTCACTCTTCACTTCGTCAACTTACTATACATACAATGATAGGAGAGGACTAACCTCATCGACGGTGGTTATACCGCACTCGCGATTCATGCAAAACGCATTCTCTTGCCAGAAGGGACAATCACGGTACAAGTCGGCCTAAGCAAGGCATGCGTTCAGTTCAGACTGACAGACACTGGGAAATGGCGTACCCTGAAGTATCTGAAGAATGGTGTCTCCACGAGCGAGTGTAGCTGATCGTAAAGTTCATCGTTGACGCTCTCTACGGTCTCATAATCGCAGAGTGTAGTCTCTATGGGGCCTGTTAGCTAAGAATTGGTTAGAGTTAGCAGCGTGCAACCGAACCATGGCGCTGCGCACATATTGCTTGCAAGTAGAATCCTTAGCCGGCTGGTGCTGCAAGACGTTTTGCACTTGCTCCGTCCTGGCTACAGTGTTGGACAGGAAGGACGGTAATTGTGTAGCTCGTACATATGCGCGGGCGCTAGCGAGTGGATCGACGAGGAAGCCCAGAAATACGGCATATAAGTGCTGTGGCAACATTAGAGCATTGACGAGTTGTATGGAGAGTCTATGTGATTTGTCGAGGGACTGGAAAACAGAGCGAATGGAAGTAGTGTAGCCGAGTATTAGTAGTAGTCAGAAATGATGTCGACGACTGAACACGTATGCAAGCGCTCCCCGAGGCTCGCCCGAGGCCCGTCTGGGACTTAACGCCAAGTCTCGTTCACCACCCTAGAAGCCTCTAGTCGATGTAATGTACTTGTTACACGCATCGAATGGCTGCAAATATGTCGCTCTGGACTAAGAACACTTTGAATCAGACGATTGCAGCAAGAAATCGAATCAGGAAATCATTCGAACAAAAGTACTGTTGCTTCATAAGTGTCCTGCGGATGAGATCGGCATGGTGGTATCAGAGTGAGAAGTTAGCCCCCATTAGCCCTGATAAATGAACACTCAATCAGGCCTGATTGAGTGTGTATTTATGTTCTAGTGAAGCCTCGTGTTGTATTTGTATCTCAGCATCGAAGGACAATCCGGGCTGATCTTCGCTGTGATAAATTGGGAGATGCATGAACAATCCCTACAGCACATCTTGAATACTTTCTTGCAACTCGATGCTGCTCAGAGTGTCTCATTTGGTGTGCGAAATGACGAGCAAGTACCGCCACCAGGCTGATGAGCGAGCGAATATGGAAGTTGTATCCCACCCTCGGCCAGCGAACATTGGGGACCGCCCACGTATCCGCTGTCCAGCATACCTCTACTCCACCACTCGTCGCGATACCGGTTCGTTACTCGGCCGTATCGCCAGGTTTCTCCCGTCACAGGCTTCGCGTTCTCCGGACACCCGTAACATCTTTCAACTATGTCTGAATCCCTCACTGCTGCCGAACTCCAGGTTAGTGCCATGGTCTACCGCATATAACCGCTGGCTTGACGCGACCAGCAGAAGAAACATGGGATTGAGGATGCCCAGGAATTCAATGGCACTCCTCTGGCTGCGGTGAGCCCGGCTCCAGCCAACGGTCACCTCGACACTGGTTCCCAGGAGGCTTTCCCGTCTCTTGCGCCGTCTCCGGTTTCTCAGTCTGCCAACAAGCCTGCAGGCTCGGCCTGGGGCTCCTCAGCTGGTCCTCGCATTCGCCCTGCGGTCACGAAGCAGATTATGTTCTCGGACTCCTTCATTCTGAGCTCTTCGGACATTGCAACCGCTGGCAGGGATGGCAAGCCCATATCTCTCGGTCAGGTTATGAAACAGGTCATGGTGCAACATAAAGTCAAAATCGAGGCCTCTACGAACCAGAAGTCGCGTCAAACCACGTTCTTCCTCAAGGCCGAGTACCAGAAGGATCTTGACAAGGCCAAGCGCAGTCTGCTAGCACTTTTGAGCCCTGTTGTACGTATCCCTATATCTAAACTGAAGGTCATGAACAGTCACTCTGCTTCGAACACGCGAAGAACTATCCAAAGCGATGTACGCATACTCATGAGCGGTACGGGCTCTGCCTGCCGGTGCTTAGCATAGTATGCTTTGGTCGATGTTCTGCGCGTGCTCGGGACAGCATGATGGCTTCACTGCACGCAAGCACGATCCAAGCTTATGTGGACTCTAGGTCTCTTTGGTTTTGCAAGCTCCAGTGTCTACTATCCCGAGCCTTGTTGGTGCCAAAGGTGCAAACCTCATCAGGGTGCGAGAGCAGACCGGTGTGAGGATCGACATTCCGCGGCGCGACACTCTGCCTGCTGTCAACGGGAATGGTCAGGCACACACCGTCAGCGAGGACGAAGAAGAGGAGCCCACGGTCCCGGTAACTATTACTGGCCCCCAGCCACTAGCGTACGAAGCACAGGCCATGCTGAAAGAAACCATCGCGGAGAGGCGTTCCAGCTCCACGCAGCGTGTCCGCGATATCCCCGCACACATCCTGCCGTTCTTGATCCCGCTCCGTGCCTCGTTCATGGCAGCGGACGGTAATGATGTGCAGCTCGTGCTTAACAAGGACACGGGGGAGATTGCGGTCACCGGAGAACACGACGCGGTTGGTCGCGTTGCGGAAAAGATACGTTCTGCCATGGCGTACTTCACGGGTGAAGTCTCTCAGCTCAAGCTGACGCTGCCCAAGCGCCAGCACCGGCTGCTGACCGGCAGCGGTGCGGACGAGGTGATGGCAAAAAGCAAGTGTGCGGTGCTCATTCCAAAGCCCGAGGAAGCGAGCGAGGAGATCGTTGTATGGGGGAAGCAGGGGGAGCTGGCGGGAGGTGTGCAGGCGGTCATGGAGAAGGCAAACTCGGCGTACATTCACGAGTTCCCTCTCCCCGGTCCCATCGCGACCTCACGCCAGCTGCTCACATACATCACGCGCGTTGATTTCGCCCAGACCCTCAGTGATGCGAACCCTGGCGTCTCGGTGTACACCCCGCCGCTATCTGCCATGGACAAGGCCACGGTTCTGAACGTGGACATGGTCGGCGACAAGCCTGCGGTGGATGCAGCTGTTAGCCAGTTCTCAGCGCTCATCGGAAAGCTCATCGGGGCCACGAAGGACGTTCAGATCGACTGGCTGGTACAGCCGATCATCAACTCGCACAAGAATGCTGAGAAGTACGTTGGTTCTCTATTGATGAGTTCTGTAGGCTGATGTCCGTATGCGAGCGAAGGATCAAGGCATTCCATGAGGTGCACAATGTCCTGGTGTTCTTCCCGCCCGAATCTGCAGAGCTATCTTCAGTGCTCCTGGTTTATGACCCCACCTCCCCCTCTGCGTCCCCTTCTCCAGTGGATAAGGCGAAGAGCCTTGAGGATGTAGAGCAGGATCTGCTAAAGCTGGCTCGTGACGCCGCCGATGTCAAGACAGAGACCATCACGGTGGAGAAGAAGTGGCATGAGGCTGTCATTGGCAGAGGCGGGACTACCCTGAACGCGTAAGTCAGATTCTCACGTATACTTCATTGACCGACATATACTCGATCAGGATCATCGGCGAGGACAAGACGCTCTCGATCAAGTTCGGAGCCGAGGTAAGCGATGCGTCGACAGAGGATGTCATCCGCGTTCGCGGCATACGTGGGGATGTGGATCGTGCTGTCAAGGCAATCCTCAAGATCGTCGAGGATGCCAAGAACGATGAGATTGAGAGCAGCTATGTGCGTATAGGCGTCTCTAGTCGAGTTGATCTTTGCTCATTCTCCGACTGCATATATCGCAGTCAACCGAGTTTGCTATCGACAAGGAGTTCGTTGGTCGAATTGTTGGAGCGGGCGGCGCTGGCGTCAACAAAATACGGGACTTACTTGGGGTCAAGATCGACTTTGCGGACGACGTGGACGATAAGGAGAAGGAAGTCAGTAAGAAAAAAAAGGCTGTCCACGCGAAATCCCGCGTCACGGTACGTTGATTTTGAACCGGAATTGCGTGATACTAAGCGTTGTGAAGATCGTCGGTCGCAAGGAAAATGTCGAAGAAGCCAAGAGACGTATCACCAATACCGCCGACCGGCTTGTGAGATAATTTGCAGTCATATTATGGGACCCAACAACTAATATGCTCACAGGCCGACGAAACCTCTGAAGTACTTAAGATTCCGCACAAGTACCATGCAGGCCTGATTGGTCCCAGTGGCAAGTATGTGATCCGCCTCGAAGAGAAGTATGATGTCAAGATCACCTTCCCTCGAGAATCCCCCGACAATGGTGATGGCCGGACTAGAGAGCCTTTGAAACCCGATGAAGTCCTAGTCAAGGGCGGCAAGAAGGGTGTTGCAAATGCTAAGTCTGAGCTGGCTGATGTAAGTCTTGTCAAATTCTTGCACACATGGCAGCTACTGGAATGATAGTACAGGCCGTCGAATTCGAGAAGGAATCGAACCATGAAATCAAATTCACGGTTCCTTCACGAGCTGTCGCACGCATCCTGGGCAAGTCCGGTGCGACCATCAATGAAATTAAGGACCGGACGGGCGTACAGATCGATGTCGACAGGGTGATAGATGACAAAGAGACCAACATCACCGTCCGTGGGACAAAAACAGCCATTGCGGACGCGAAGGAGGCGATCTTGGAAATCTCTGACCAGGTCGGCGAGGAGACAACTGATTCTCTCAACATTGAGAGCCGATTCCACCGTACGATCATTGGTGCCGGTGGTCAAGGTCTGAAGGAGCTCATCATTCGTTGCGGCGGTCCTACCGACTCCAAAACCCAGGCGGGCCTAGTCAGATTGTGAGCTTCAGTGTCACTGCCATCCTGGATCTGTTACTGACAGGCCGTGCAGCCCTCGTCAAGGCGAGCCATCTGACGAGGTCCGCCTACGCGGTGAGCCTAAGTTAGTCGCGAAGCTCAAGGCCGAACTTGAGACGACAGTCGCCGCTCTCCGCGACCGCGTCGTGCTAGCTGTCGAGGTTCCTGCTGCCCAGCACCGTACGCTCATCGGCAGGGGCGGACAGCATTTGAACGAACTTCAGAATCGCACGGGTGCACAGGTGCAGTTCCCCGGCTCTCGGTCATATCACCCAATTGGCGAGGCCGCGAACGCGTCAGATCTGGAAGGTGTTGATCCTGCTGACATCGTGAAAGTGGTTGGACCACGGGCAGCGTGCCTGAAAGCTGTAGAGGAGCTCAAGGTAACGAATTCAAGATACCTGCAATACTTTTGGCTTACATCTGTTATAGACTCAGATCAAGCCACCGGCACCAGAGGCTGTGACCGGTACAATGACTGTGCCTCTCAAGTATCACCATGCTGTAACTCAGCAGGGCAACCTCTTCAGGACGCTGCGTTTCATGGGCACACAGACCGAGCTATCGAGGATGCCCTCGAAGCCTGCTGTGCCGCCTCATCCTCAGGCCGGACCCACGGAAGCTCGTATTGATGACGCGGATGATGCTGCCGGTCATCCTGAGGTGCAGTGGCAGGTCGTTCCTAACTATCAGGATGCCGAGGAAGGGGAGGCAGAGTGGACCTTCAAGGCTCGTGACCAGGAGAGTCTGGACAAGGCTCTCAAGCTAACGCAGGACGCCATCGAGCACGCAGAAACGATGTCGCACGTGGGCTTCTTGACGCTCCCCGATCGTTCGTCTTTCCCAAGAATCGTTGGAGGAAAGGGTTCCAATGTTGCTCGACTGCGCAACGAGACGGGAGCTGATATCACTGTGAGCCGCGAAGATACCACGATCACGATCATAGGTACGTCTGTTTGGGCTGTGGTCGACCATTCTCCTGACATTGCTTGTCTTCAGGATCTGAGAGTGCTATTGAAGCGGCTAAGGAGGCTATCCTCAAAACCGCAACGAATAACCGCCCTCGAGGTCGTCGCGATGCTTAAAAACATTATATGCTCGTCTCCTTGAGCTCTCATAGGTCTATGTTGGAGGTCATCTCACACGCTAGCTTTCGGATATACCACAGTCGTCGCGCATCGCTATATAGCACAAGTAATCGTAATTGAAGCAAATGCAAATATACAGCATGTATCACAGCAATGCATGTTGAGTCCCATGAAGCTAGATGTCAGCAGGTACCCCATCGATGTCGTCCATTGGTTCGCCATCTGCATAGGCCTTCTCCATAGGTTCGCCATCAACGTCGTCATCTACCATTGGAACACCATCCATGCTGTCGATAGGTTCGCCATCGATATCGTCAATGGGCTCGCCATCTATATCAGCATCAATGGGCTCTCCATCGACGTCGTCGATCGGAGCGGCCGATGCGGCATCATCGTCGCTCCCGACATCCATGGGTTCTCCATCGTCGGAATCAGGTACTGGCAGTACGGCAGCTACTTCTTCAGCCGGCTTGAACGCACTCGTTTTGAATTTGGCTGTGAACGCGGGGGTAGTCTCTTTCACCTCGCTTACAACTTGTTCCTCCTCTTTTGTGGGTTCCTGGATAGTCGAGCCCTCCAGCCGTGCGCGTAGCTCGGCAGTGAAGTCAGGCGGGAACACTATCCAATCCTCCCAGATGTCTACGACGCTAGTGATCTGCTTCTTAAACGTCTCCGCCGTTATACGTCCGGGGAATGAATGGTAGATCGTGGAGAGATGGTCGAACACAAGACCAAGCCGTGACTGGAACTCCTGGCGGAACTTCCAGGCCATAGGGAGAGGGGCAGCGGAATTGTGCAAGATATCGCAGATCAGATGTAGGCGTGCTACCTTGCGTGGCACCGGTGTGACGTCCACAACGAGAGATGATATGATGATGTCCGCAACCTAGGGCATACTCAGTCCATAGAACATTACTGCTGATGTCTCAACCTACCTCTCCAGCTGCCTCAGCATGTTCGAGACTGAAGGCCATGCAGCGGGCAATCTCTCCGCGTCTTCCGGTCAGAGCACGAAGCATAGCTTCGAATCTTCGCCGTGCCAATTTGCCAAGTTCGTTCTTACGGCCACGCTCTCGCTCAGACTCCTCTCCAGAATCAGTCGAATAGACAGAGTTATATCCCTGCAGCGACCCATGTGAGCTGACATTTTTGAGAAGCGATGAGACAACATACGTCGTCCTCAAACTGAGGCTCAATGGGATCCCGTCTTTCCACTAGTGACCGATAAAATCTGTTCCTTCGACTCTGCAGAGCAGATGAAGGCATCAGCCTACTGACTCTGGGACTAGCAGAAATATCCTTGCCTCGCTTTTCAAGAAACTGTATATTGGATTTGACTTCTCGCGTTCGCGCAAAGAGTCTTCATATTCCATGTCATGACCCTTGACTTCTGCAGCGACGAGCCGAATGAATTGATCCGATGTCTCATCTGCTTCAATGGCAAGCTGCGCGCGAGGGCTCCGTGAACGCCGTAGCGGCGAACGACCGTCGAACCGGCGGTCGCGGCTGTATGACCGATGGCGGGAGTCGCGGTGACGCGAATAGGACCTTGGACGGTCATGGTCCCTGGAGCGCGAACGCCGCCCAGACCGGAAGCCGCCAAATGGCTCGTATTCACGAGAGCGTGATCGAGAGCGGGAGTATGAACGATGTTCAGCTCGGTCACGTCCACGAGAGTGGCTTCTACTTCTTGACCTCGACCTCGATCGTGACCTTGTTCTCGAAGGCGAGCGTGACCTTGACCTTGAACCTGACTTCTTCACGACTGAAGAATGATCATCTTGAGCACTAGACAAGACATACAACTCAAGGAAACGCCCACCATAGAGTGGCTTCGCGGCCATGGGCACGGCTTTACTCCATCCCACACGGAGGATGGACCCGCCCCAATCAAAACCATCTAGTTCACGCAACGCAGCCTCAGCATCTTTGCGCTTCATGAATGATACAAAGCCGCTGAGTCCAGCGTTCTTCGTTCGCCGAGTTGTGGTCATGTCAGCGCCAGGCCCAACCGTAGCATCTCCTCGGGGCCACATAATCTTAACCTTACGCAATCATGAGACAAGGGCAATCAATACTGGGACAACTACGTACGGATCCCACCGGGCCCACGCGAGCAAAGAATATGCCCAGACTTTGTTCAGTGACATGAGGAGGGAGATTTGCTACGAAAACGTTTGAAGTCTGGACTTGCTTCAATACGGTTGTACGGGAAATACAGGACGAGCAATTACCTCAGGGTCACCGCGATCTTTGCTGCCGCTCTGGCCTTCGTACGCTGGAGAGATATGGTGAAGCGATTACTGAGTTTACTACCATAGCCACTCACCTGCAATGGACGTGACGGATCTCCCATGCGTTACTGTTTACCATACCTTAATTTCACTAAGCTGAGACAGCGTACTCCAGAACCACTTACCATGTCTTGAGAGTCTCGCTTCCCGGTCTGCCTGCTCTCTGCGATCAGGTAAGCCACAGGAATTTGACTGACAGCCCAAAGCGCACGTACCTCTTGATCTCCTCAAGGAACGAGTCCATAGCACGCTTGCCTTTCGGCTTCGGCGCCGGTGCCGGCGGCGAAGGGGGCAACTGGCTCAGGAGAAACGGTCAAGTTTAGATGCAGATGCACGGCAGAGCAACTTCGCCTACATACCGATGACTCTCGCTCGAATCCCCGGAGTGGCTGCGAGCTCGTCGCTCGGCCCTTTGCAGCGGGCGCATACGTGCCCTCCTGGCCCGCCTTCACAAACGCTGCCCCGCTCTTTTTCCTGTCGACGCGCTCGCCCTGGAACTCGTCGAGGAACTCCGCGTACGCCCGCGCAGCATTCTCTTCTTCCTCTTTGCGCTTGGCCTCCGCGGCCTCTTTCTCCTTCTCTCTCTTAGACTTGCGGGCGGCGCCCTGCGTATACAAGGAGCGCTTCTGATCGTCAACCTCCTTTTGCTAACATAGAGAGCAGTGGGTGAGTGCGGAAGGACATAAAAGAAGGTCGTATCCGTCGCACTGGGAACGAAGAGTCTTCGTCGTCGTCATTAAAGAAAGCAGCCAGCTTGGACTTCGTTTTATCCATGGCGTAGCTGTACCGCGGTGGTACAAGTTTCAGCTGTTATACGATGTTCTGCTATCTCGTTAGAGAAGCTTCGCTACGAGAGACAGCATGGGTCAATGTGTAAGCGCCCGTATGTTCACGTTATTACAGGCGCTTGTCGGGCATTTGCCCAGGCCAGATCTATCTGAGGGACAATTCGTTGTACATCTGCGGGCATTGCGCATTCTCTGCAATTTACTAGCTACTAGATACATTTGCATGAGAACACATATGTATACATTTGCTCGGCCCTAGAATGCACCGTCATGTATGAGGGTAATTGATACGAGAATGAACAACGTCCGACTCCAGTGTCAAACACCGAATACAACGAACAACATAATGCTTCGCATTCAAGGCACGGACAGTCTTTGCCGGTGGTTTCACATGAGTAGATTCGCAAGTCCACCGGATACATATGCCATCGGCTTCATTGGTGGATGCGGTTTCGCGTCAAACTGCGTGTACTCTTGCGAGCCGGCCGCGTCAATGCGAATCTGGATTCACGATTGATGTCACATTCGCTGTCTCAAGGAGAGCAAAAGAATACTCACGAAGGCACCCTTGTTGCCTGCTTGGTCGACGTAGTTTGGCGCAGAGAAGACCTATAGGCGAGTTGTCAAGATCACCACTATAGAGATCGCAGAGGGCAGACTTACGGTGGTGCACAGTCCATCGTGCTCGATCGCATATCCGTCTATATACAGTGTCGATGGGTGTGCTCTTATAGAGAAAGCCTGACGCCTACCTTGCCGTACTTCATGACTGCGAATGACGCCAGTGACGCCGTTAGCTTCACACCAACGCTTCGTCACGTCTGGGCCGAATGCAATTCCAACACCCTGAAATAAGATATGTTCAATACTAGTCCCAGCGGAATCGGACCGTGTTACATACCCGCTTGCTAGGCCCTCTTCCAGGCGTGTCTTGTGGGTCCGTCCACAGTAACTTTGCAGCATATTTGAGGACAAGATCAGAGAAGCAACGGCATCAACGCACCTCGCCTGCAAACAGATGTCAGCTTGGGCGAACGAAAAGGAGGATTTTGTCACATACACATGAGTCCTTCCTGGCCCGGCTGACGACCTATCCGCTCAATCTTACGGATATCGTCGAGTGTAACTCCGTCTTTACTGAACAGACCGCCGTGTACGACGAAGTAGCGCTTTTTGCCTTCTGGCGATAGTATCGCGTTCCCAACAAATCCTGATGGAGGCTTCGTCGCGCATATCAACGTCGCAAGGGGCACTGGAGACAAGGTGAGCCTTCGGACAACGTGGGGTGCGGCATCCACTGACTGGTCGTGAAGACATGCGCGAAAAGCTACGCAAAATGTGAGGGGCCGGCAAAAAGGGAACAAGATTGGCGTGCATACCTTGTATGTTTGCTCGCCGTGCTTGTGCTTTGCCTCGCCTTCGAAGCCGTATGTTCGGTTCATTTCCTTAGTCTCGTGGTTTCCACGGTTAATGTACATGGTCTTCGGGTATAGCCCTGGCAAAGTGGTCATTTGGGTGAGATCATAGTCAGATTAACGGGGTTGGGACCATAGGCATTCATACATTTATAGGCCAAGGCCGTGAGGATAACCTCGATTGACCATGAACCACGATCCACAAGATCCCCGTTCATCAGAACACAGTGCTTCTCCGTCGGTTGTCCCGTTAGTGAGTAGAGATGGAGCATATCGTAGAATTGACCTGGGAAACATTATCAGTCTGATGTAGTCAGCGCACGTAAGACTAGCCTACCATGTACGTCGCCGATGACATCGCAGGTCATCCCATCCTCTAGGTTCAACTTCACAAGACTTTCTTCTTGTACGAAGTGCGAATGTGCGCCGAGGACAATCTCCCATACATATCTTCAGGCATGTCAGGCGGAGCGTTTATTCCTCAAGGTCTGCGACTCACCTACGCGGAAGCGCCTTGCCTTCCTTGAACCATTCAAGCATCTGGTTCACAAATTCGAGGCTGATCGTGAATTTTCCGTCCTCAGTCGTAGGCAGCTTGGGGCCTTTGTAATCCCTATCTACATCACAACCCCCTACGACGCTGTGAGGACAATTCGGGCAGAGACAAAGCTTCAAAATTACCTTCGGCTATAATTTGGTAACATCTAACAGCAGCGCTGGATTCATCTTCCACCTCAATAGCCTATGAACCTCGTGAGTACGTTGCGTTTTGCAAGGCGCATGATGCCCTGCACGGACCTTCTCGAACTCGGCTTTGCGCAGGATCTTCTGAGTGCTGTCGAGCTGCGTGCGCACAAGCTGATTTTGTGGCTCAAGTGCCAGCAGGCGGCGGAAGTCAGCGATTGCTTGCTTATATTGCAATGTCTGGAGATAACATGTAGCTCGTCTGCAGGGACATTCAGTACCGAGGCACAACACCTGCTCTGCACATACCGGTAGTATGCCTTGGCATACTTCGGATCAAGCTCGATTGCCATAGCTATTCAAGAATGGGCAGTCAGATAGTTACTTCGACCAAGGGATGAGGGAAGGCGTACTGGCGTCGCTCAAACCGTAGCCGTGCTCTTCGAGCTTGATACGCGTGTAAGCACGGTTGCACCACAGCGTTGCATCGCGCGGGTTGAGTTCAATTGCTTTTGTGTAGAGCTCTGCAGCGTTGTTGAAGTGATGACCTACGGTTCAGGCATATTCCATGAGCTTCTCTGATCCAAGACCAGTCAGCGAGGGCATGCGCCTCAAGAGCTTACATACTCGTGAATGCTTTGTTGGCTTCTGCCTTCACCCTTGCTGCTTCTGCCTTGGCCTCTTCAGAAGCATCTTGAAGCGACAGTTGTGCTAGGGCGGGTGAGGGCGGAGGGGATGTTGCTGGTGTGGACACGGTAGGGGTCGAGGGCACGGACCGTGTGTCGCTCATTGATACCTCGAGATAGAAGCGTGTATTGATTTGTAGTGATGGAATAATATGTCGAGACGGCACTTAAACCCGATTGTAGATAAACCGTGAAGGATGGTCGCGTGTGTAAGTAAAGAGCGCGTGCGCGCGAAAGTCGATCCCAGTCGATCATGACGCTTACGTCAGCACCGGCGCCACAGTTGATGGCAATAGAACGCATGTACTTATTACTGCCAGCGCCTATGACCAAGTTCAATCCACTAAGTTAGATCCATGGTTTGTTACGCCGAGCGATCCCATGCCGCAAGAATACGTATTGCATCATGCGTAACGCAGACCATGATCGGTAATGGTGACTGATGCCATGCATTGTATTATGCTTATGACCGGGGAGCATTGCATAAGCATAAGGTTTGCTCTACACTCTTATATCCTGGTTCCTCACTTAACAGAAATTTCTCCCCAGGTACTTGCATTTCCGTTGTCATTGTGGCCAATAGGGTAAGTCAGATCTACCTGAATCGTCAGCGTACACAGCACACAATCTCAGGTTGTTGACACCGGTGCACACTGATCAGCATCGTCAGAGACTAACTTGAAAAGCGCGCAGGTGAGAACCCTGGTCAGCAGTTATGAGACGACGGACAATCGCAAAGGCACTCTGCCGAGAAGACACGCGGCCCACTCGTAAATCCGGATCCCCGGGTGGGTCCCCTAGTAGAATATATAAACCCTCCGCATAGATTCTCCCATCGGCGCCATATTATCTTTGTGCTCTTGCAGCTTCGCCGACGCCGTGATCCAAAATGACCTCGCCGAACCGACCTTTGCGTCTATGGGAACCTGTGCCCGAGCCGCCGACAAAGCTTGGACGGTACCGCAAGCTTGCACCCCTTGCAGGCATCCACGTCTCCCCCATTTGTCTTGGCGCGATGAGCATCGGAGACCAGTTGGGCAAGTAAAACTTTGGCGAAATGGACAAAGAGAGCAGTTTCAAGTTGCTTGACGCCTTCTATGCCGCCGGTGGCAACTTCATAGATACAGCGAACAATTACCAAGATGAGACATCAGAGAAATTCATCGGCGAGTGGATGGAGACGCGGTGCGTGCGAGACCAAATGGTTGTCGCAACGAAGGTGGGTAATCGCCCCCAGAATTTATATGTAGGCCGCTAATCAGGGTTTCTTCGCAGTATACCTCTAACCTAAAGAATTGAGATAAAAGCATCCCACAGCAGACGCACTACATAGGGAATAACATGAAATCACTATACTTGTCTGTCGAGGCGTCACTCAAGAAACTTCGCACAGAGTACATTGATATTCTTTATCTGCATTGGGTCGGTGTAAAATATGTTTTGGAGGACATACGACCTAACGGTTCATCCGCAGTGGGACTGGGATTGCGGTGTCGAACACAAAGGAAGGTTCTCTATCTGGTATGTAGTCTTACTTGAAGCCAGAAGCCTGTAGCAGCACTCATCTCAGATATACAGGGGATCTCTGATACTCCAGCCTATATTGTTGCTAAAGCGAACATGTATGCGCGACTCACAGGGAAGACACCTTTTGTCATCTACCAAGGTGCCTGGAGCATCTTACAGCGCGATTTCGAGCGCGAGATCATCCCAATGGTTCGCGATGAAGGTGCGCAGTACTCGTCTCTTCCGCTTTCCCGTAAGCTTACTCGAATATCCTCCAGGCATGGCGCTTGCCCCCTGGAACGTCCTCGCCGCGGGTAAGATCCGCTCCGACGCGGAAGAAGAGCGTCGGGAACAGACTGGCGAGAAGGGTATGCTACTTGTTATTTCTGATACCACCGATGTTGAGACTGATGCGAGAGTGCAGGCCGCAGGGTATGGAACGACGCGTGGAAGCGGACGCCCGACGAGCGTAAAGTCTGCCAAGCGCTTGAGAAGGTCGCCGCCGAGGTGAACGCCAAGAGCATCACGTCCGTGGCGATTGCGTACGTCATGCAGAAGACGCCGTATGTCTTCCCGATTGTCGGCGGGCGTAAAATCGAGCATCTGATGGACAACATCGACGCGCTGAACATCGCTCTGAGTCTGGAGCAGATTGCGTATCTAGATGGCGTGCTGCCGTTCGATGTAGGGTTCCCGGGGAGCATTATTGTGAGCGTACATTTATCTCAAATTATGGGGGCAGTATGCTGACGAGTTGCTCAGGGCAATGGATCTGCGTACAGGCTCCCATACTTGTCGACTGGCGCGTTCGATAAGTGGCCGTACCTTGAGGCGATTCGTCCCGCAAAGTAGCAAAGATATGATGCCCGAGATTGACGTTTGTGATGTTTGAGCTACAAATAACATTTGCAAGATTGATGGATCCTGAACAAAAATACTTGCTCGCTTCAAAGAGGGACCTGTACCATGTCGATACTCGCCCTGCGGTATTTCTAGACATGATCGGAATAAGTATATCCAACTTTAGAAGTACGTTGAACGTTTGTCGCACGTTGAGGATTCAGGTTGACGTGTCTACAAGCATAGATAAGAGGAACGGAAGAAACTGCACTAACGACACATTGAAAGAACGGAGTGGCTACAAAAAACTACTTGTATATCAACCGCGATACAGCACCAAAAGACGAGGTCATCGCAGTCGTGGACGTGACTATGCATGCGGAAGCAAGTGCACATGATTGTTACGTGTAGACGCGAACAGCGGCGACGTCCCAGTATGAATCATGGAATGAGCTTGGGTGATTGTTCACCCAGTCTGGAAAGGTACTTCAGCATCACAGAAGAGCATACAATGGTCATATACATACCGACACAGGTGCCAGAGCATCCGGCTGCAGCGTAAGACGAGCCACCAGCCCAGTCTCCGCCTGTTTCCAAGTATCAGACATCGTTTCGGGCATCTTTAGAATCCGGACTTACAGAAAGTGAGATCGAAGATAAGGTTGTTGTTTTTGCCAAACTCATTACCGATGTCACAGTCCGTGCTCGGGAAGTACGCGACCGGTTGATTCTGAAGATTACGAAGGGGAGGGGGAGGCGATCAGCCTTTCTTTGACTGACTCGAAGTGCGGTAACATACCCAGTTGTTGGTGTTGACCTCGTCAGCACCACTCTGCACATCGCCAGGGACAGTGCTGTCCTGTCTTGACCAGAACCAAACTTTCACTTCGTCGCTTGTCCTCTCCATAGCATACCAACCTCCACCTGCATTGTTGAAGTCGTGACCGAAGCTATTGGAGGTGGGATTGTTGACACCACATCCGCTGTTGCCATCGGTGTTGACATCACAATTCAGTGATCCAGCAGTTCTATATGGACCTCTCAGTTTGATTTAATGGTGGCATCCCAATGCCTGCACTTACCCAGACATATCCCGGCCAGAGGAGGGCATACTGCAAGTGGTGGCGACATGGAGAGACACCAAATTAGGTCCTTGGTCGTTGACGCCTTCGATCCTAACCATAATTTATTAGAGGGAGAAGGGAAAATTATCGTGTTCGATACTTACTGTGCGGATCGTATTGTTCGGAACATGAGGGATAGCAGTCTTCAGCAAAGGGTGGTGTGGTCCTTACACGTATGTACTTACCACATCAACTTCGCCGTTTGCTGGCCAGTTGGGGCCAGTCTCCCAAGCGGCGGGCCAGGTACCACAGCCCACAGGCATGTGTCTGACATCAAAACTGCGCGACGTAAATTATTGCCTGGTGAGACGTACAGTGTACAGGACCATACTTACATAACGATGTGTGTGCCGAAACTATCCTGGCTCTGAAGGCGAACACTTTTCCTTCCAGGCCCCGACGCCGACAATACTGTCGTGGCGTCGGCGCGCATAATGAGCGTGTCACCATTTGCATAAGTAAGGTTTTCCGCTAGCGCCGTCGCTTGGGTTACATAATCTCTACGTTGAGAGTGTCAATGGATGGGCATTGTGCATCCATACATGACCACTCACACTCGACCGTGCGTCGGGTCGGAGATGGCCTCGTGGGTCCAGGTGTTGAGGAAATCCTCGCCGATATACGTCTTGTCAATATTGTACGTGCCGGCCAGCGACCCGACAACCAAAGACGAAATGGTAAGGAAGATGTCTGAGGTGCGCATGGCGGCTAATAAATGAGAAAGGGTTGGTTCCTGAAGGAGGAACGAAAGAATAAACGGGGAGAAAAAAATGGATGGTGAGGTTCCACCATTTTATAGCAGGCAGGTATCGCAGTGCTCGCGAGTCTCCATACGCTACTTGCAGCATGTGCACCTGGATGTGCGGAATCGGTAGCTATGCCAGCGTTGGTACCTGCAAGTCTCGGGATGGCCCGTACTTCCGACATCAGGTCGCCCGAAACGATGCTCTGGATTGCCAAGCTGTTTGATCAGAGCGTATGGAGATCAGTGCAGACGCATTGCACCATCCACGAGACCCTCGGACAAATCATGTCCGCGGCTTATAGGTCCTATGCCACTTCAATCGTCGTTCATGCTAGGTTACGTAAGTGAAACAAAGTGCATCATCTTTGATCGGGATCCCGTTGATCAGTGCATGAACACAGCTTATACTACACCGCTCATCGCGTACCTTAATGTTCAGTTCACGAAGTAGTTACTATCGTCTTGGCTGCGACGCTGCATTTGAGCGGGCGGGTCCGATGATAGATAGGAGGTATTCGGAGGCGGTGGGACCTTGTGTTGCATATGGCTCTAGCGCGCAAGGCCGCGCTTTTAGGAACAGAAGGAACACCTGAACTCACAATCCCATATGTCTACGTGAGCACACCACCTTGATTGTATACTTCTTCGAATCCTCTTTCCCGCGTTATCTATCTCATGTAGAGACCGCGTGGTCATACGATACTTGTCAGGTCGAACGTGCTCTCTCCATCTCTTTTAACAGCCACTCCTTTCTCCGTCACGATCGCGGTAATCAGTTCGGCAGGAGTAACATCGAAGCTTGGGTTGTATACGCCATCGAGACCCTCGGGAGTGATCATCACCGTTGCCTGCTCCTTGAGGCCCTCAGCATCGGTCCGCACGGGATACAGAGCGCCTCGAACCACACACGCCTCCAGAGCGGGCCTGTGTTCAATCGGAATGCTAATACACAGCCTAGATCAGCAGCGCCGGCACGGCTGAACGGTTCGGGACTCACGAGCTCCCATCAGCGATGTCGAGGTCAACCGTACTGACCGGTGCAACGACGATGAATGGGATTTTGTGTCTCGCAGCGAGAACCGCCGCGTTGTATGTTCCGACCTGCGAACGGATTAGCCATGTCGTGATCATGACGAGCGAAATGTAAGCACTTTGTTAGCGGTGTCGCCGTCCCTCGTTATTCTATCCGCTCCGACGGCTATCAAGAAAATGCCTGAGAACTATAGGCTAGAACAGGAATGTGTCGACTGACCTACAGCATGGATGCCATGACTTTGGAAAAGTGATCCGACCATGCTGTCGCAGAGCATCGTGGATGGTATATTCAGAGTTTGAAGCTCAAACGCGGTGAGTCTGAAACTAAATTAGCCGCAGCCTGCATATTTGGCCAAACCTTTACCCACCGTGAGCCTTGATGATATGGTGTTGATTGCGTGTAGAAGGCGCGCTGTAATCGTCCTGTTTCATGAAGGTGGGTGATGAGGCCAAGAGCAGTGCCGTAGCCCTACGGTAAGCTGTAAGGAGATATTATCTGATAACTATGACACGGGTTGCATACCGACGTCGCCAGAGATCCAGTATTGCATACGGTCATGACATTGAGATTTGAGCCAGACAAGCCCTTCGCTGCCCATTGCTCGAGAAGCCACTCGGCACCATGTCTTGACATCTGTTTGTTTCTCCCGACGTCTTCCTCATCGATTTCCTTCCCTTCCCTGATCAAGTCTTCTGCAATCGCACGAGCATCCTTTCCGGCGCGGACAGATTGCTCGAGGATATTGGAGAGTCGTCTTGTCGCTGCACCAAGGTTAACCGCAGTGGGGCGCGCAGTGTTGATATATGAGAGATGTCCCTCAACGTGTTCTTGCAGTGTCAGAGGGGACGTCAAGAAGTCTGGCGATGGGTCTGCCTGTAATGCGCGCGACAGGTGTGACGCGATGGTGAGGGCGGCTAGGGAAGCAATAGCCGGGGCACCACGAATCTACCAGCTGACAAATGAGGAAGTCTAATTTGGAGGAAGTATAGCGGCTGCGCACCTTCATTGACTTGATCGCATCGTGAGCTTGCTCGATTGTGCTGATCTCGATGAATTCTGTAGTGTGAGGCAGCAGGAGCTGGTTTACGATCTCAATTTTCCCCTCAGATGTCCTTATTGACGTGAGACCAGGCATGGCCTGTGTGCTTTTGGAGCAAATGATGAAAGGGAGCTGCAGCTAGGTCGTGAATTTTGCAGGTCGTCGAGTGCCGTGGACGCGAATTTTGCGGACGGAACGAAAAGTGTATACGATCGATCGGGCGTCGCGTGTGATCGGTCCCAGTTTCCCCGATTCCGGAGAAGACGCCCCGCCACAGCACGCTGGCACTTCCCCACATTAGGCCACACATAACATGCGCAAACCGCCTCTACCGACAAAATTGATCCCGGCATCGTGACACAGGTGAGCAACACGTTTTCCACTTTGCGTCTGAATTATCAGGAACGCGCGAATTTGTTAAGGCGGAATGGCTCTCGCGACCACCTTTCTCCGGTATGATATAACATTTGGGGAGCTTGTAACAGTATGTCTGTATCCCCACGACTTGAGAGACATTACACGATTGCTCTTTGGCCTTCAAGTTGTCCTTTACAAAGCGATGGGCAGCTGCACACTGTAGTGTCCAGATGATTCGTCCAAATTCACGATCTCGCAGTCTGCATCGCTTCCATCCCCGATCTGTGTCTCCACGCAGGTAAAATCCATTGCCTAAGACGAGGTTCAATAGTGAGAATGACAGCACATTCCGTTGCACCCACCTTGTCAATCACGGCCATAGGGTGGTCTGCAACGGGTGGCAGTCAGTACTTGGCACGCCTCAGCACTGCATAGGTACTCACGCCAAAGCCCTGTGTTGTACACAACGCCTTGCCCGGCATGGGCAACGAATGCTCGCATTGTCGCCAAGTCCGGCCTGTCGCCTTCCCCATTTAGCGCGACAATTACCAAATACCTAGTTCCCGGCTGCGGCAGCTCCTCCCCGGCGCCCATCGGTATGAACGCCTGGTTCGTGTAAGGGTGCCTCTCCAGCAGCTTAACCGTCCACAACCCGCCCGTTAGTACATCGATTGGATTGCAGCGGTACACGGACAGTCCCGCAGTTGCGCCAGCGCCGGCAGGGTACGATGATTCCAGCAGCGCAAGCTTATGAAACTTGATTGCAGTGCCTTGGTTGGCGCCTGTTATCCGTGTTGTCCGGGGGGACGGCACCGCGTTCACGTCAGCATATGCTTGGACGACTTGGCCGAAAGGCGCGAACGCCTCAGGTGTGAGCGGCAGCGCGGGTATGATGAGTCCAGTGGGGCCGGTCGCGGAAGTCACGTCCGACGGCACAGCAGCGTTGTCCGTTGTCATATCTGTGGTGATATCCACCCCGCCGGGAGCGTCTTCGCCGTTCCCAACAGGAGCTCGACTACCAATCACGCGCACGCGCTTGACGCCGCCGTCGGGGTATATTGTGATTTTTACGTGTGTGTACGGCTTCCCTTCCACGTCCTGAAGCTGGAAGAAATGTTGCCGGTGTGGACCGAGCTTCGTGCGCGGGAGGATAAGAGTCCAATCAGCTGTGGCATCATTAGGGATGAGCGCGTCGCTCGCCGTCGCGTGCAGCTCGCAGGAATAGGGGAAGTTGCCTTTGAAATGCGCTGTATCGATTTCAACGGTCGAGAGATACCCCGCATCGCCTCTGATTATGGTGTGTTATGATCAGTATATGCATTCTCTGGCTCGCATCGCATCGAGGACTGATGTAGCCGAGCGATGATGGGAATGAAACATGACTAACAATTTGAGAATCGCCCAGTCTTTGTGGCCTTTCTGCCGGCTACGCTTGGTTTCCCAACCGTCGCCCATGTCTTTTCCTACCAATAGTAGGTATGACCACACTGCGCTGCAGACATGGCACGATGTTCGCTCACCTCTACCAGGAAGTATCAGGTTTGAGCCGACGCCAAAGTGCTGATCCGAAGTGAAGACAACTCGTCCACCAGAGAAAGCATGTGCGAGGTCAAACAACGCTGATTTACTAGCCGGGAAAACAGGTGCCACAAGTCCATATACACGGAAGCGGGCCTACGGGGAATAGTTCGCGTTCACAGCTGGAAAACATGTTATTCGCAGATACTCACAATACCGCCGTCTGGGTACATGTTGAGTTTGACGTAGTTGACCCTCGCGGACTGCGGAATTCTGAATAGATGTCTGGAACTGGGGCCAAGTTCCACTTTAGGAAGAATTTGTTCCCACTGTGAGTAAGGATCAGTAATCACAGATGTGTCAAAGAATGGAATATAGTATTGGTATAAGATCGTGATTTTGCAGTCTCCACATCATGCAACATCAGGTGGAAGGGCGCGATCCCCACGGCGCGACAGAAGCTTGTGCGGGTCACAAGTCTCAGGATAACAAATGTCGATTTCAGGGTGCTCTCCCCATTCCTCGCCTCATGCAATGGATGCTACTGCGTGGTGGACATTCTGTCTCCCGTGCTGTGAGCTAAATCGCATCCCAATCCATTTGGAACTGGTTCAAAGGAGCTCGCAAACATGCAATTAGTGATTCCCCGCTGCTACCGATATTGGCAGTTGAACAGGAATCGCACATGATTGACACAATCCTATCTTAACAAAAACGTACTTGCGTATCATTTTCTTGCGGTGAGTCGGCGTTCGCGTAGAGGGCGTCTATGGATACCTGAGGTGCTTCGTTACCTGGTACCCAGCACCGATAAATCAGCCATCGCACGGAGCATAGCACATCGGTATATCCAGACCGTTGAAGTGTGCCGTATCCACGTCAAACCCAATGATCGAGCCAGGGGTTCCTAGTTTGATGATGCACCTAAATAGGCTGTTGGGCACCAGTAGAAGCACATCCATCACATATCGTACCAATCGTATGTTGGATTGTGCCTTCTGGTTTCCCATCCGCTAAACAGGGCACCCTTCGGGCCGAACTGGCCTTTGAGGCTCGGTGCGGGCTGATCGCATACTGAGTCGCCGAGAATACATCTCAGGTCGAAGAGACTTTACCTCGACTAAGAGCAGATGGAACGCTTCTGCGAAGAACTCATCTGAAACAGATACCACCTGGCCACCGAGAGCAACACTAGAAAGTTCTTGTATGGCCTAGATGAGAATGGGATTGTAGTACAGCGGAGCCCTGGCGCACCGGTTGCTGTCGAGAAGGTCTGCTTGAAGTGATCTAGGGGAATACGCTCAAAGCCCGACATCGTTGTATGAGCACAAGCTGTTCGGACGCGTCCGAGTCATTGAGCAAAGGCGCCAATCGAACAGGCAATCGAGATTAGATCGTGCGCATGTCGGCAATATCCATGATCTCATTCTCCCCGATCGTTGCCGTCTCGCTCTTGCCTCCTGTGCCGAGACAAAAAGTGTTGGTCTTGCTAGAGCTAAATAATAGACGGATGGATCATCTGGTTCTTGCGGAAACAAGAAGACCCTGCCGTCAAGGATGCTCCGGGTCATGTGACGGGCAAGGCTTTCTAAAATAGGCTATCAGTGGCATGTTCCTCCGTGTCATGGAGCCCGTCTCAAACACAATCACATGCAACTGCTCTGACCATCGCCAATAACGCTGCTATGGCTCTCCGTGCCGCGCAGTACATTCCCCTACTCACACCATCATCTCGACATGATAGATCACCTCCTGGGTCGCCCTACTCCATCCTGGAAGAGAGTCCAGGTGAGCCACGGCCGCACGAGCACAGCTTGTGAAACAGTTCGAGAGCGCTGACGCCACCGCAGGTATTCCTGGTGATCTTCTTTTGGCTATGGAGGATTTTGCACGGAAACCCAGGCGGCCCTCGCCTTCTGTGGTTGAGACGTGCGAATAGAGTTCTGCGTGAGTCCGGATGTTGTGGAACACGCGCAGGACCCTGAGAAAGCTGCTGTACAGAACGATTCACTCCATGGCAGCTCATTGTGAGCACACTGACTGGCGTCTACACCGTGCGCAATCTTGACAAGATCCTAGGGCTAGGAGGCAAGTGCTCTACTCTGACTGAGGGCGTGCATAAGGCTGATGCGTTACTGTAGCGCCTGAACCACTTGCAGGTCTGGTAAGTTCGCCACATTTTCTCGTATCATTGCAATTCTGCACACGCCGTGAAGCTCTGGCGGACTGTAGAGGACAAATTTTCGAGACAGCTATCCACTACTTCTAATGTGTGCTTTTATCGGAGACAACTGAGCTTCTGATCGTTCGCTCGCTACATGCGTATGGCTGTGGATCAACACATAGCAAACCGCCGTTTGTGTTGATCAGCATAGATGACGCTTACTTTCCCAACAGTATTCGCCCTCGTACTATCGTGCGACCTGGATTAACACAGGTCTCGATGCGGGTTTCGCCACTGCCATGTCAATTCGTCCGAAGTGGCTCAAGGACTTTTGCTCCGTCCTCTTTGCTGTATACTACATCATATATGCCCACGAAGCTGATGAGAAGGTGAGCCGTAACGTTTATCTAGCTTCGGGCCTGTCTCATAATCTCATTCGTAGCTACGTAAATTCCGAGCTGTCCCGACTGTCGAAATGCTCCGCACGACTTGGGAGAAGACAGCCAATCCATATGTCAGTATGGTTCTTCCAATGCTTTCGCGTCGGACCTCATATCTCTTATGCAGATACGTGCATTCACGTATTTTCCGAAGGTTACCATGAGGCGGAAGGTGCTGCTTCCCCGTCCTCATGACTCAGCCTATAAGCGACCTGTGACTGCCTGGCTGTTCTTTGCTCCTCCAGAGCATCACCTTGCTCGAGCGACTGACCTTATTCTTGATGTACCTGGGGGTGGTTTCATCTCCATGACCCCAGAACATCACGAGGAACGCCTGCGCATGTGGGCTGTGCGCACGGGCAAGCCCGTCGTATCGATCGACTACGGCAAGGCGCCGGAATGTGAGTGCGCCCCACTACGACTCCGTCCGGTCCCTAAACTGCAGTCTCGCAGACCCATACCCATATGCTGTGGATGAATGTTTCGACGCTTACCGCTCGCTGGTCGACTCTGGTGGACAGATCGTGGGCATGTCCGGGCACAAGCTGAACATTATCCTGTCCGGCGACTCTGCGTGAGCCCGACCTATCTTCACTGCTTGCCCAACTAATCCTTCCTTCCCACCAGCGGTGCACACATCGCGACATGCGTCGTGCTGCGCATCCTCGAAACGCAGCTCGCAATTCAACGGCCCGCCGCGTTCGTGCTCTCTTACGCAACGCTGGACTTCAACTTTACCTCCTGGATGACGCCCGCGAACCTGCGTGTGCTGCAGTCGGAGCAGTCCTCGGGCCACATTCCCGGGCTCGCCGCGCAAAAAGACCACTTTGCGCACGCCAGCCCGCTCTCGATGGTCGGCACGCGCCGGCCCGTGCGCCGCCGCCGATCCTGGCGTGATGCACTCCGCACGTTGTCCTCCACAAGCCCAGACGCCGTTCACACCCCCGCGCTTGCAGAAAGATTGCCGGGGTCCGCGTCGCAGGACGACGAGGCCGGTGACATGGCGGATGTGGAGGACGATGCCGAGCCAAAGCGCTCGTCAGAATCGGCAAAAGCGCTTCAAGCTCGCGTGCGCTTCCACCCACATGTTCATGAGGTCGCCCCCGAGGGGAATCAGAAGGAGAAGGAGTCCCCGCCTCCGTCCAAGGATGTCGTCCAAAGCACGCACCTACGAGCACCTGAGGAGCCTCACGCCCCGGCGCAGGAAAATGCGCCGCTGGGAACACGGCTAACGATGACGAGCCGTACCGGGTACTTCCAGGACCGCATCATTTCGCCCAGCATGGTGAGTGTCCCTTGCCCGGCGCTTCATCACGCCGTCCAGTCCGCGCACCACGGTTGCTGACATCACTGATTTCCCCTTCTCGCAGATGCGCGCAATGGCGATTCTGTACATCGGCCCGTTCCGCAACCCGGAGTTCAGCAGCGACTACTACCTCTCGCCCATCCTCGCGCCGAGCCGTCTGCTCGCGCAGTTCCCGCCGCTGCTGATGTCGTGTGGGGAGAAAGACCCGTTCGTGGACGACACTGTGATCTTCGCGGGGCGCGTGCGCGAGGCAAAGCGCGCGCGGCGAGCCGAGCTCGACGCTATGCTCGCAGGAGGTAAAGGCGCGGGGAAAGATCACGATGTACGGGCCCTGAGGCGGGAACGTGACCTACTCGCGAGCCAGGGCGACGAGGATTGGGTGACGATGCACATCTTTTCAGAATGGAGCCACGGGTACCTGCAGATGCCAATGCTGATGCAGGAGGCACGCACCGTGATCAACGACCTTGCCGACTGGATGGACGGCCTGTTCGCGAAGCTGAACCTGGATCCCGTGCGGTCGAAAAGGGAGAGGGCGGCCGCCGCGAACGATTTCGTGCGGGGAAAGCGTGTGTCACCGCCACGTGTGTCCAGGTCCAGGACGGCTCTTCCCCCGATGGAGAGCGGATCGACGTCTGTGACCGAAACGGAGCAGGAGACCGAGACAGACGATGTCTTGACCTTCGAAACTAAGAAGAGGGCATCGCCACATCCGAAGCGACGGTCGTCGCAGACATCGCCGACACCGAGTGAACAATCTGCTCCATCGAGCGAGGACGTACTGCCGCCCCCACACCCCTCGCTTGAGCGAACCGATAGTGAAGACACCGCCATCGGTGAGCCCGCGGGAACAAGATTTGATCTGTTCGATATCGTCCCGCAACAGTCGGGGAGCGGGAGCCAGAGGCATAGATCGCGTGAGCCCTCCCCGGGGTTTCTTAGCAGGACCGCCACTCCGGGGAAAGCAGGTCAGACCATTTCCGAGTCCGAGCTGATGAGGAGGCGTCGGTTGCTTGACTCCCATTTGATCGTAACGGACCCGCCCAGATAGACATGTACGTTATTCGTCGCTCTCGGTATATATCGACCGCTGTTGTATTTTATAATATGGTCAATGTTATGTTATCAGCCAAACCTTCCGTCGGCGCGCCTTGATGTCCGAGCAATCATGCATGGCTCACAAGCGGCCAGCCAAGAGGAGGGCTGAGACCGCTGTCATGTCGCCAAATTCCCGATGGAGCTCGCCATCGGGAGCAGACAGTTGCTGATTATTATTATTATTCACGATAGGGACACTCGAAGGGTGCACCGCATTCGGTGCCGAGAAACGCTCGCAATGCCGGGCGACTGATGCACCACTGTTGGGACAGCAGACCGAGAGTCCGCGTTTTGAGTCTCGAGGGACTCGAATGCGCTACACAGCGAGACCGGGTCGCCCGGATTGGGTCGGTGGGGGAACAAAGGCGTGCCACATTTGTGCACACAGTGTAGTTCAGCAGAGGCTTCTAGTGTGCGGGAGCACAAGGCGTTACTGTGACGTGCTGCGAACGTGTAACTGAGTGGAAGAGCGGGAGATTATGATATATTTTGACTGATGGTGTGCTTACGTAACGGATGGGACTGATGAGGGCATCTGAGATTGGCGCTGGAAGCTGGAGGGCGTGAAGGTGGGCGGATTGGAGAGAGTGGTCGGACGTGCGCACCCTCTGGAGTGGTGGCTGGCGCTGATTTGGCGTGCGCAGTGGCGGTGCGCCCGCATCCTTCATCTCAGATGATGCGCCCTTCTTTCCAGGGCTATAAGAGAACCTCTCGTCTTCTTCCCCTACACGCCGCTGCGTGATATTCTTCCCGAACACGACCCCCGCACGCTCCCATCTCCAGTGGCACCCTTCTGTCACTGGGCACACCGTCCCGGCCTACTGACACCGTTCAAACGCCAGTTTATAAGCATCGAATATCAGAAACGGTTATCTGCAAGCGCCTGTCAGTCACGGTCAGACATGGAAGTGGACGCCTCGAGAACGGCTGCTTCTTCCGTTCTGAACACTTATCCTCACCGCACCTTCCAAGCCTATCATTCCTCGTCCCCTAGCCTGTGCACCGCCCCCGCACCAATGTCGCCAGGAACGTACCCAGGCTCCAACAACGATCTCGCTGATCGCTCATATATGGCCCGCCCCGACGAGCCACGCGCCACAGCGTCCTCGGACAGAGCCCATGCCTCGTCCAGCCGTAACTACTGGCCTCGATTCTCCCCACCATCCACTGCGCACCATCCTACTCGCAGCGAGACATGGCCTCCATCCCGCACACACCCTTCCGCGTCGCCAGCCGGCCCTCTAAGGCTGCCTTCACTGACCACGATCATACCATCTGTAGACGCCCATAGATCTGGTTCCGAAATCCAGCGTTCGCCGACGGCCTCGTTCAGCTCAAGCCAGTCTCTCCCCGCTTCCCTTCCACCTATTGCCTCCCTGGGGGGAGGGGGAGGGAGTTCCGGCTCATCGTCGACTGCGCTCCCACGTCTCCCCCCGATCCTTCAGGTTGAAAAGCAGCAAGTCACTACTAGCGCCACGCAGGCTGCGAGTGCCAGTCGGCGGCGAAACGAAGCTCACTTTGTCTGCCCCGTACCTGGCTGCGGCAGCACATTCACTCGACGCTTCAATCTGCGAGGTATCCCTGATTGTGGCTGAAATTCGTGCGAGCAACCGTATTGACTGTGCATTGTTACAGGCCATCTCCGGTCACACACGGCGGAGCGTCCCTTCATGTGCGAATGGCCCGGTTGCAACAAGGGGTTCGCCCGACAGCACGATTGCAAGCACGTATCGATCTCCACGTTCCGTCTCGAGAACCTCGTTAATTGTAATTCACTCTCGTATATAGACGTCATCAGGCCTTGCACACCGCCAAATCACAAGCAAATGTCTGCCAAGGATGTGGCAAGACATTCAGTCGCCTGGATGCGCTCAACGTGAGTGTCTCGACTTGCACGGACCGGCATGTCAAAATTGACGCCAATCGACAGAGACATTGTGCGTTGCCTTGGTGCCGCCACCTATACATAACCTCGTGCTGACTTTGTCGTCCTTCACAGTGCGTTCTGAAAATGGCGCCGAGTGCCGCCAGATGACGGAGTCTTTGGCGTCGTCGTCGCGGTTGACGCCGGACGACGACTGGGAAACCCGAAGCACGTCGACGGTGCGCAGTGGGCGCCGGTCGCCGTGACACAAATGGGGTGAAGCTTTGACACTCCTGCGTCTCTGTCTCTTCGTTCGTGTACGATACCTCGTGAGCAGTCTTCTCGGGCGTCCGCGCATCGCCGTATATACCATGCCCCCTCCTGCCCTGTGTCCCCCGTCTTGTCCAGGCCTGTCGGATGCATATGCAAGCGTCCTATGTCTCTGTTCGCGCGCACACGTTATCGACTTATCGGCGCGTGCGTACCCGGATCCTCGATGTCGTGCTCGTGCTCGTGCCCGTGTCCATGTCCGTGTCCGTGTTCGTGTTGCAGCCACCAGCCGGTGAGAGCCGGCCTCAGGCTCGGTGATCGAGCCCCCCCACACGCACGCGGCATAAAGCAGTGGGAAATAGCGCTACTTTTCCGTCCCTAGCGGCTATCAACAGAGGCGCCGAGAATTGCACAGCATGATCATGCTCGTCGGTCCGAGAAGGGCGGAACCTGATGATCTGCACTCCGCAGCAGCGGCCTGGGGCTTGGTGTTGTAAGCGAGACAGTAGCACCAGGCCTCCTCGGGCAAAGCTCCCTCTCATAGCTCGAGACACTGCTAGAAGCCCAGGACGACGAAGGCTAAGCTTGTTCAACCGCTGATTGGGTTGCGAGCGGTGGATCAACGTATTCAAATTCATCTTTGGACTGACAACAGATTCCCAATCTAGGTTCACAGAGCGCCCTGGAGCACGAATATTGAGCAACAGCACAGCAATACATGGTGTTAATCTCGGTAGCCACCTCGGCGACGTGCACCAAAATCGTGGCACGTGCAGGCCGTCGTTAGAGACATGACAGCGGGTGCGTGTGATACGCCTAGGCGCAGAAGAGTCGGCGCGAAACAAACACCGCCCGAATTCCGATCGGATATCATCAGGTCCGCCCCTCCTCCTTGGGGACGAGAGGCGGGCTATTCTGCCGTACAACGCGAACCCCCGATTTGACACCATGCCGAGGAGCTAACTGCAGATTTATTCATGGCCGAGGTGTATGACACGACACTAGGGGGCGCCCCTAGCCTAACCACCACGAGGATGCAGGTGAGTGGGAGTTTCAGGCACGGGCGACATATCAGACGGCCGAGACGCAGACAGAAATTCATGACGCTCAATCAGCTTGTTCGATGGAAAACATTCCTGCAAGTCGACCCACACATTCAGTGACGGCGATTGTTCGACATCTATACCCATGCGTGTTACGTTTCACGAGTATGAATACCAGACGAATGACCGCGCGAGTTATCGGGGGCAGTAAGCATGCTTGGACTAGACCCCAAGTGCGTGCGTTGCTCAGCTCGGTGCAATGGCCCTCATAATTCCGCACGTGTGGGTCGCTGTCGTGGCTGTGGACTAGACTAGCCGCTGACCGAAGCTGCCGGTGAAAAGAACGCTCCGGTAACGATGGAAGCCGCTGGAAGGGCATTCACTCGCTGCGGCGGCGTGGATGTGTCGTTGCGAGACGCTTATTACATTGTGAGGCGTCGCGCGACTTCAATCACTATAGACTACTGCACCGATAGCCCTGCAAGTGAGTTCCGGTGAGGTGACAGGTCGTCCATTCGCTCGCTTTTATCCATTGTCCTTCTCGCATTGTGCGTAAATCGGCATGATCAAGGCGTGAGCTGTTTGTTCCCCTCCTCCCCCGCGGGCCCTGACTGTTCTCCGTCACAGTTCCAGCACATCCTCACCTATGACCGAGTTGACGTTTAGACACACACACGCACAGCGGTCAGAAACACAGTAACTACAGTCAATGATTCTCTATGGTCGGGCGCCACAACGACAGCTCGTCCAAATTAGGCAGTCGTTGTAGAACGACGGTTGGTTTGCTGGGCGTCCGTGATTCTCTCGGTGTGCTGGAAGTCTTCTTGTGCAACACGCATGCTACGAGGCTCCCCAATCGTACGGCGGTTATACTATATTGAGCACCCTGTCCTGCGGTGCCTCCTGGTAAGGGCGTTCCGACGTATAACCTTACTCGGCCGTCCAGCACGCTGCAGTCCCCATTAGACCCCTCGCACTGAGAAGGCTACCAGGTCCCCCCTCGCGGCTGTTGTGCGTGCCCAGCTGACACGGATGCTACTCCCGCCTTCCGCTTCCCAGCGCGTGCAAATTCAAATTCCCCTTCTATTGAGGGCGGTAAAACTCAATCTCGAAGAAGGGTGGTCCGTATCGCATCTATCATTCCCAATCGTAGTTCATCTTGCTTGTCGGAAGGTGGCTCCAGCGTCCATGGCTGTGCACGGGAAGGCTCGGCTGGCAATCTCGCTGGGCTTCTCGCCCAGACTGCCTTCTCCCGACAAGCGCAGTATGAGGTGGGGCTCTAGGATAGTCGCGAGGGGAGGCACGAGGTAAAAGCATGTTCTGGTGCTTACTTATCGTAGGAAAAGAAAGCGAGAAGGCCGATTACAAGGTATCCATGGCATGCCCTGACATAAGCCCTAGATCCGCCAGTGGAACGGCTATTGAACCCGACCTCCCCTAGACGTGAACGGACGTACAATCGCAGGTTGAAAAGACTTAAGCGCAATAAAGTCCGTGGTGATAACAGCCTGCAGGGTGGTGGCGAATTACAACATTGTCCTGCAAGACATTGTCCGATCATGGCTGCAGGTTTGTGCACATCACGATAACACGAAATTGAGACGGAAGGCTGCACATTAGGGTTAGTCTATGCCCACTATCTATACCAGGATAAGTCACCTTCAAGGTCCTCGCGGTCACACAGAGTGGCAAGGTCGATCCGCTGCAGATGTAAGCAACAGGTCTTGAGGCTTTCCCACAATGTATGCGAGGTCACACCCCGCTTATCACCGCTGCCGCCTCTCTCGTAAATGCTGTCTCCGTCTTGCAGCACGAGGGCGTCCAAAATATGGTGAGCAGCCTCCTCGTAGCGCTAGTTATGACAGCGTGAGCAATGGCCCGAAAATGCGGTGACGCAGACGCTCACTCGAAGGTTGATACAGGATATTCCAAGGTTGAACCTGCCAAGTGCGTTGTCAGTGGTTGAAATCGAAGGCGTCAAGAGAGACACACTTAGCACGGATGTACGTAGGGTTCAGCTCAAGCGCGCGGTAGTAGTACTGTAGCGCCTCCTCGGGGTTCCCGTTGTTCGCTAGCGTAGCACCCACACGGTTGTATAGAAGCCAGTCCTGCACGAGTCAATTAGGAATTGACGTGCAATGGGTTACATCATATCCACGCACATCTGGCCGCACTGCCAGCGCAGTGGTGAAGCAATCCTGCGCCTTGGAATAATCCTGCAAGGATAGCGCGAGCGCGCCAACGTGAGAAAAGCGCGCCGGCAGTACGGTACAAGACAATATTCACCTCGCTGGTATTTAGGAGCACTGCCAGCGCAATCTGGAGATCAGCATCGATCGCTCCGCTGGTGTCGCTCCGCGCCGCCTCTATCAAGCACTGCACCAGGTTCGCGAGACGGTCCGATTGGACCATGTCTTCGGCCTCTGGGTTCAATGCGCGAAACTGCTCAACCACGGGGCGATACAGCTCGTTCCGGTCTACCCACTCCCGTATCGCGTAGTAGGCACCGCGCCTGTTACTCTCGTTCGTGTACGAGATTGCGAGAGCCAACCATGACGGAAGGTGAGAGGGTTCAAGCTCCAGTGCTCGCCGCAGGGCCTGCACCGCCTTCTGTTCACGCTCATTTTCCTGTTGCTTGACCCCCAGTTCGAACCAACGCTGGGCGTTCGTTGGATCGCGCTGTGCTGCTGCTTCTGTCTCCAGCACGTTCTACGTCAAGGTGAACTGCTGAGCCTGGCGGCGCCAACTCGATCGGGCACGTACCTCGAATAGAGTGCTTCTCATATCCGCGTGCATAAAATGGTGTCTCGTTCGAGACGCTTCACCCAACAAATAGGGATTGTGTGGCTGGAATTGATAATGTGTAAGAGGCCTAACGCCAGTGGCAGTGGCTTCAAAGAGATCCCAGTCGCGTTGTAGTCTGCCCCAATCTGCGTCCTGAGCGTAGGCCATGTCAAGCGGCGGCTGGCTAACATTCCGCGACGCTTGTCGCTGGAACTCAATGTAGGTCTCGTTTTCCTCGCGCAGATATGCGTCAATTGGGCTCTCTTGATAACCTTCACTCGTCGACGCAGAGTCAATCTGAACACGATCAGTGCGGACAGGCTGGGTTTGTGACGACCATGGGGTGGGCCCCGTCATGAGTGCGTTGTCTCCCAGGGGCATGCGGAGATCGGTAGCACGCCCCTTGCCTTTCACGTCCGGGGCTTCAGAGGCACGCGGGGCTGCTTCCTCCTTTGGTACCATTGTGTTACCGTCTACGACAACGTCACCATCTCGCAGCTGGCGCATGAGTCCCATGAACTCGCTGTTTTTGAATTTCGGGTTCTCCTCATGCCGTAGAGTCTCCATGAGCCGTCCCGCGGTTCGTGCTAGCTCGTCGGCATCTTGACGGGATTGCTCAGGACTCTTCTGCTCTACTGCAGGTGCGGCCTCTGGTGTGACGACTTGCTGGCCAGCCGGCTCTTGTGATAGGAATACCTGATCCCACTGTGAAGCTATAGTTCGTTATCCGACAGTATGAGAGCAGCGTCCACGATATCATCAAAATATGCGCGTACCGTTGACGTCCTGTCCTGCCTTTTGTATGGGCATCGCAAATGGCGGCGCGGACATGGAAGCGAAGCTATTCATGCCATAGCTCATAGCCAACGGGCCCCAAGACCGAAGATCTTGAGACAAGTAAGGAGAATGTTCTGGAGATGAATTCGAACGCACGCACTCGTAGCCATCCCATTGGGAGAATACGTCGAGTGCAGCTGTACATTTGATTCGCTCTGTGCGCTGGCTGACTGGCTTTGGGCGAGAGCACTTGCGGGCAGCTGTAGATCCGGTGAATGCTTCACAGGGTGCTGAAGGAAGTCGGCGGCCCAAGACGCAGGAGACAGTGGTGTCTGCCTCTGAGGAGTTAGTGCGGCAGGTGAATGGGATTGGGATGCGGGGAGCGAGGCATGCAGTGCCGAGAGGTCAAACGCAGGAGGCCCTGTGGCCAGGGCAAGTGGAGAATGCACTGGTGAGAAGAACTGGGCGGCCTCTTGGCTAGAACCTGCCGCTGCAGAATATTGCGAGCGGAATGCCTACACAAAAGTCAGGCGTGAACTGTCCGGAGAAGACTCCCGCCTGCAACCCCTCACCTCTCGAGAAGGGCCTGCACGCCCAGTCCCGAAGTGGTCCTGCAACTACAACGTGAGAACTGAGAGACCTACACACGTAGGAAAGATGACGCACCTGCTGAATCCCCCGATCCCGGTCGAACTGCTTCGAGAGCCCCCGTAAGGGGTTTATGGGCCCACAATCTGCGCCATTCACAAGCATAGGCAGCGACATCTTTGTGGTCGCGTAGAGAGCAGTCCCAAGGCGGCAAGCAACGATGCCAGGGGATGGGGTGGGTTATATAGAAGGTAGGTTCGCTCTGGCCCGGTGCAGTGGGACTGAATTAGAGCGCTCTGCATCCGGTCACATCACGTGAAAACCCACGTGAAATTGCTTCCACCGATCAGGTTCGCCACATGAACGCCTGCGGAAGTGGCTGCTGACGTCTACGTATTCCCGTACAACCCAAAATAAATAACAAAATATCTTCGGACGTGAATAAAATAAGTAGCATAGAATATACATCGTGTCTGAGATACAAGTTGAACGAGTACAGGTACCCGCGCCAGGTGCATTTAAATAGAGAAGCAGCACATGTGAACCGAAGCCGCGCCGTGGAATTGCCGGGAAGACATACACCAGTGTTCATCCGCAAGAAAGGAGTCCAATAAAACGAACAACGCCTTGGTTGCGTCGCACTCATTCTTCAATGTGACGATAATCTGTAATACCTCTAGCTTCGAGTCCGGGGACTTGAGCCTTGATATAGGTGATGATCTTGTCCCTCCATGTTTGTCCGCGGCAGACCAAGAACTCCACTCGCCGCAGAGTGTTAAATCGTTCCGCACAGAGAGTTTCTCCAACCTCTTTCCAGTTCAGCCTGCCCATATCTTCAGCAACTGCACCGCCCGCGTGGATCTTGAAGTGAATGTCCTCTATGTGCGGAGAGTTCACTTCAAGCGCCTTGGACACCCATTTGAGATTCCGAATGATGACACCTTCGCCTTGGGAAGCCATGTGCAGTGAATTGAAAGAGAGGGTGCGTAAACTAGAGCAGTGCCTCAATGTCAATCTGTCACACAGGTCTAGAAAAGCATTAACAGACAACCGACACTACACAACAGAAGAGTACTCACCCTCATTGATATCTACAAGATTCACATCCAGGTACAATTTCCGCAGTTGCGGTCCACAGGCCTTCAGAACCTCTGCCAGGACAGAAATGTCAGCCTCGTGCTGGATGTCAATCTCGAGCTCGGTTAGAGAGGCGAGCATTGACTCGGAAAACAGCCATGCCGTCAGCAGAATGTGGTTGCTGGTCCGAAGAAATCCACCTCTGAAGCGGAGGGACTTGATTGCCGGCTTTGACAGAAGAGGGTTGCAAGGCGCGATGAGATTCTGTCCGGGAACGGGGGAGCGGGAGAAATCGGCGGCCACATGAAGCTTGAGTACGGTGAGCTTCGCGAGATTTGGGAAAGAGCAAATGAATTCTGCGAGAGTGGTGAGGTACGGTGTCAAAATTGTCTGGAGATGCAATTCGGTGACGGTGTCCAGTTTGAAGTTCTCAGACCGGTGCAGAGTCCCGATATGTACGCATCTCAAGGCCAACCTAGTGACCCTGGAGAAGGTATCCGAGACGAGGGGCACCGCATGCATGAATTGCAGGAATCTGGGATCACCACCTGTCGTGAGAGTTTCCGGGGGTTGAGTTATACCAAGCGCACGTATGTGTCTACAGCTGCGAGGGGACTCTTCGATGAGCTTCTGGTATACGTCGTATTTTGGTTGACTGATCAGCACTTCCCGCTCGAAGATGTGATGCTGAGCTCGGGGCCGCCACGCGCTGCATACGAGACTGCACGCCTTTAGAGACTTGGGAGCGGGCTGAAGGTGGTCGATAATATGGTCTGTCAGCTCAGGTGGGAGCGAGGGCGGCATGTTGAGTGAGGGATAAGTTCAGGAGTGAGACGAATAGAAGGAAGGCGATGATACTGCCCGCGGACCGCGTTATATATACTGTGTACCAGTGGGGCTTGTGGCTCGAGCCACCCTTTGTTACCAAGCCACAAAACGCCACAAAACGAATTGCCTTTGTTGTTTGATTTCATAACAACACGATTCTGACCGAAACAAGCGTGGCAGCAACGTGTCGCAAGTAGCATCATGGGATACTGCATGTGCATTAGCAGGTACGGATCACACAATCCTGCGCCTTACACTTCTTGTGAATAAATACATAGTACGCGGTTATACACCTATGAAGCTGTACACAATTCTGCCTGTGAGAGAAGAGTAATACGTTGGATTGGGCCGAGGATGGCGGGTCAACGACGGGAGCATACCTCTCGTTCCTTACCGCAGCCCCAGCCGTTCCTCCCTCGTCATCGCTTCTCTCTTCCTCTTCGCGTCTTCCGCAGCGACGAACGGCTGAGATGGCTGAGATGAGATCGCGGGTGCCGGAGGCACAGCAGTGGGCGCAGTTTGTGGCTTCCCAGAGGCCGAGGCCAACCTTGCTGCAAGAGCCTCGTTCTTGCGTTTAGCGATCGCGTCCCGGACCTGCTGCACGTCCGTGTCGCACATCGCGATTACAGTGGGACTCCTCCGAATCATGTCGCCTTCCTCGGATACTACGAATGCCCGAGGGATAGATTTCGATAGACAGGCGAGATTGTCGTGCTGAGCTGCGGCGCAGGGTAGTGGCAGGAACAGGCACGGTGGCTGCGGGGACAATGACGAGCAGGACAAAGCCGAGACGCGTGGGATTGAACACGACACGGCAGCGAGTTTTGGGCGCGACACGACTCTCTCATCTCCTCCGCACTCTCTGCCGCAGCGCCCTGCCTCTCGCCTGTATAATACCCTGCACCCCGCACACGGCTAAAGCACCCTCGTTCATCCCGCCGCCACACCCACCGCCATCATGGATGTCCTCCTTCGCGTCACGGACACCGTCAAGTCCTTCCGAGTGAGCTGCTTCGGTCATGTAAACAGGCTAGTGTATGCTCATGCGCAGCGGCATGCCTGTCTTGTCTCCTGTCATCGTAGGAGACCCGCCTTAGCGCACTCCGTCCTGTGGGCGAGTTCTTTGACCACCACCGAATCTCAAAACCCGCCGACTTGAACACAGCCACCTCCGTATGTACTCGGCTGACATTCCTCTGGCCTCCAACGTTCTGACAAAAAGCTGGCGTGCAGCGTGTCTCATATAACACGCGATACTTCTCCGGTGCGCCACGTCCTCTTGTTTGCGTCTCATTCCACCATTGACGGCGTTCCGGCCACCAGGAAACTATGGGGTCATCGTTGGCGTCCTTGCAGTCTACGCCCTCATCACGAACCCTCTCCTCCTGATCTCGCTGGGCTTCCTTATCGGCGGGTTCGCTGCCATCAACAAATTTGGTGCGCACAGTGTTTTGTGCTGCCCTCCCTCGCTCATACCACTCTTGCTTCTGCCTCACACGACCCATAGCCCCCGAGCCAATGCAAGTCGGAGAGCACGTCGTGACCCAGAAATCCCTATACACGGGCCTTTTTGTCGTCGGCGTCCCGCTCCTCTGGTTCTCCTCGCCGCTCGGCACATTCTTCTGGCTCGTCGGCGCATCGTCTTTCCTCATCCTCGGCCACGCGTCTCTAATGGAGCCTGGCATCGAGAGCGAATACGCGTCAGTCGGTGATGCTGTCTAAGTGTTGTGTAAATGGGCTGTAGAGGTAGGGGGAGCCGTGCATGCAGCGAGGGCCTAATACGATCTGGGCTGAACTACTTACATCTTCTCCGCTGGCTGGATAGTTGTTTCACTGGTTAACTCTCGTGAATAGAATCGGGCGACGTGCATTTGGCGTCCACTTCTCACAGTGATGTACACGCAAGAGAAGGCGGGGCTCTTCGCCCAAGACGGGTAACTGGGAGGCCATGGCGGGCCTCTGGAAGCTTACATACATGTTAACGATATGCGTATGGCAAGCCACAATGCGAACTAGATGCGAAGGGTACGAAAATGGGAGATCTTGAGGAATGCAAAACGACAGCACGATAGGGTTAGCGATGAGGCGTGGAATGTCCTGAGCGATGACAGCCGGTGCATCACAATAGGGGTAACCATTGCCCTTCATAACACGTCAGTCTTCGAGCTCGAAAGCGTATAGCAGACCTTACCAATGACGAGACTAGGGAGATCCATAATATCCCGCCGGATGGAGAAGCAGAACGTGCACGGCACAGGTGTGCCGGAAGGTTTGAGGAGGACGCAATGCGAATACACACTCTGCGTCGTGTTCTCAAACGCATGGTTCGCAAAGTTTTCCCAATACTCCACCACCGACTGGTTTTCGAACAGCTGAAGCATGCAATGAGTCATCCCGCGCCAGTCGCACACTCCTCTGTGGAAGCCGCACCTCGTAAATGTACTTCCGCCGCCCGACGAGCTCTTCCTTCTCCCATCCCGTAAGCATGCAGAACTCTGGGCCGACGAGGCAGATCTCGCCCGTCCGCCGCCACGCGACGGTGGGCGTCCCGCTGAAGGACACAAGCTTGTCCAGCTCCTGCGCGCTCGGTGGTCAGCACCGATGATGCTCGGAAGCAGGGAAAATACATACGATAAGAGAGCGCTGGAAGCACTTTTCAACGAAGACCTCGTCTTCCTCCGAGAGCGGCATTTGCAGCGCGATAAGCGACGGCCGAAAGATGGCAAGGGCGCGGACGATGCGCAGGATGTCATTCTTGTCGAATCTGCTTGGTGGTGACGACGTCAGCATGAAGTCCGTGTTGGAATATCCCCCATGACCGAACACGGACGACATACCGCGTGGGCAGATGTTTCATCAGGAAGTGGTAGCCTTCCGTGTAGTCGTACGGTTTCGTGACCGCCTGATACACAGCCGCAGCACCCTGCGCGCCGCCTGAGATCGCTGAGCCCGCGCCAATATCTGGCTGGCTAGCCCACGACGCGTCTCGCTCAGGCCTCATCGCGCCTTGCAACGAGATGGCCTGCGCACGGCTCAGATACGACGGATAGCGTGACGAGCCAGACTGCGTCGGCGACGACTGCCCGCCCGCAGACGTCGTGTAGTCCGAGTATGCGAGATGCGGCTGGGGGACGTTCACGGATGGCGGGTGGCCCTGGCCGGGCGTGAACTGAGTAGCGGACGCGTAGCCCGCGGTACCAGTGCCTGCAATGTAGTCCGGAGATAGTGCGGCGCCAGACCCCGACGTGAGCGTCGTGTCGGACGGCTGGAGCGCCAGCTGCGACTGCTCGCCGTACGCAGACGAGGCCCCGCCTGCGTATCCGCTCCCCCCGGAATGTGACGGCTGCCCGGCGTTCGTATAGGGATCCGACGTTGGCCAGCGGGCCGTCACGAGATTCGTGCTCGCCGTGGACCCGTTGAATGGGGCCGAGGGCTGAGGCGCATGGGATACAGAGGGACTGCCGGAATTGGGAGGACCAGTCGGGTCAGGTGAGTTGCCTAGGATCGCGGATAGGATACTATACTCAAGGTTGGCGCCCTCGGAACCCAGGGAGAACGGCGCCGATGCAGTGTACGACGACGGGAACATGGGGTCAGGCGGGACGTACGGTGGATCCGGCTGTGCTAGGGACGCGATACGGACGGTGGGGTTCAGTAATCTGTGATAGCGAGAAATCAGAAATCAGGCTTTACCTGGTTGGACAGGCGCAGGTTCGGCGCTTTTGGAGGAACCTTCCCCAGATTTTGTTCGCTTGAGAGCCTCTGGGCAAGAAGCGTGATGAACTAAAATGCTGCAAGTTCGTGAGATCGAAAGCTGACCTAGCTCCTCCTCGTCGAGTAGGTACTTTGCCTTCTTGCGGTGGCCTTCCGTGCAGTTATCTGCCATGCCCCGCTTGACACAACGTTGACACGGTCGAGCTATGGAGTGACATTGCTATTAGTCAAGTATAGGATAATAAGTCATGCAAATCAGGTGATCGAAGCAGGACATGTGGTGGTAATGATTGCACGGATCGAGACAAGATGATCCTGAAGGCTTGAGACACAGCGACGGCGACTTCACAAGGCCGAGGGAACGTAGAACAGGCGCCGCTAGGGACCCAGAGGTAGGAGTCAAAGAGCTCTCAAAGAACCACGATAGAGCGCCACGACAGGAGATATTCTTGGGGACGTCAATTATCAATGTAGACCACTTGTTGCTGAGTAGACCGAGTTGGCGCGCCGAACGAGTGGACTCGAAGGCAGATGCACTGCACACGAGTACCGGATGTCGATGTAGAACCTCCATTCGATAGAAATGGTTGTATGCGTGGGCAAACACCTTGCATGCCGTAGAAACGAAAGAGGGGTAACAGGAGACTTACAATCATCGCATGTAAGGTGCGCCTTCTGGCAATGGAAGCACGCGCGGTTTGCTTTTTTCTTCTTGGGCCCCTCGCGTGTGCGTGGCGGCTGGGAGGACGAGTCTGCACTGTCGCTGGTGCCGTCCTGTGGTCGTCTCCGCTTTGTGCCCGTCTTTTTCTTCGAATCAGCGTCGGGGGCGGCGTTGATGTCGGAGGTGGAGGACGAGGCGGAGGGAGGGAGACGATAAGCGGGCTGTTGTGTGAGAGCGGAGGACATGGAGGGCAGCTTGTCGCCGGGCTGGGGCAGGGAGGGAATCATTTTGTAGCGCGCATGGAGGGAGCGAGTGAGTGCCTGGAGGAGGCCGGTCAGTGCCCGGGCCCGTTGTACGTCAATCGACCGACCTCACCGAATCGCACGCTCCCCGCCCCCTACCTCTCGGCCCGGCACATGCCTTTTTTAGCATTCACGCGGTCTCCCTCGGAATTTGTCATCGGCGCCCGGCCTTTGCCTACCCGGCCAGTGTCCATGACCGTGACGCTCCTTCCTTTTCTGTCGCGCCCATGACGCTGCGCCCAACTGTCGCGTCTCTCGTGCGCACCCTCCAGCGCGTCCTCGGCCAAGACTCCGCCGCCCTCGAGCTCAAATGGATGAAGCAGGCCCTCGACGCTCCAGCTCCTGCACCCACCACACTTGAGGAAATGCTCGCTCGGCGCGTCGCAGGCGAGCCCCTCCAGTACATCCTGGGTGCGTCACAGCGCGCCGGCGACGTCCATCACCCAACTGACGCCTGGTAGGCACCCAGCCTTTTGGCCCGCTCAATCTCCTCGTGCGTCCCCCGGTGCTTATTCCGCGGCCAGAAACAGAGGATTGGGCTTTACGCCTGGCAGAGCGCCTTGCCCCATCGAGGGATAGGCCGCTCACAGTCCTGGACCTGTGCACCGGCTCTGGCTGCATACCACTCTTGCTGTGCCATCTCGCGCCGCCGGGTGCTTTGTGCGCGACCGGCGTCGACGTCTCTGAGAACGCGATACAGCTTGCATCAGACAACGCGGCGCTCTGTCGTATTGCTGTGTCCGAGAACGGCGCGCCCACCGAGCCCCGGCGTAATACGTTCACACCTGTGCTAGCGAACATTCGCGACCCCGCGTTCGCGATCTCGTCTCGCTTGCGTCCGCCATATGACGTCGTGACGTCGAACCCTCCGTATATCTCCAAGCGGGATTACGACCAGCTTCCCGCCTCTGTGAAAGACTACGAAGACCCTCGGGCGCTGCTCGGCGATTTGAACGGAAGCACAAAGGGGCAAGGACTCGACTTTTACCACACGATATCGGACCTACTGAGCAAGAAGTCTCAGCCTCTGCTGAAAGAGGACGGTCTCGTGGCGCTCGAAGTTGGCGAAACTCAAGCCAAAGATGTTGCAGAGCTTCTCGATCAGAAAGCCCATATTCGGAATGTCGAGATCTGGCAGGATCCATGGGGCAAGGACCGTGTGGTCGTTGGAAAATATCAGATATACGCATGATGATGATGGATTTGCTCCTTCGGGATATCCGGTGGTCAAGACTTCGCCATCGAGGCATAGCGGTTGGTCTTGCCCTCTCGCTTCTATGCGGTAGCCACTCGGCGAGTCGCGTCCCACGCCTTCGACTCACCGTCTAGACTCACTTCCCCGGGACTGTCAGCCGCGGACCCCAATGTCATCATTACCCCATGGGGTCGCAGATATCATTCCGTTCGTACAACCAATGCTTATCTCGCAGTCTGTTCTATATGTTATCACACGGCTGTTTCTTCGACACGTTCGTGGTTTGACTTGGAACTCCTCTTCTCATCGGTGTCTTCCGATAGTCGCTCGCGTTGTCCTCCATCCTGTCCGGCTAACTCCTCTGGATTGACGCGACTTTGCCGATCCCAGTGTAGCGTGCGTCCGAGGTACAGTGCCACCCACGTCAGGGCGAGCAGGACCGGGACCTCGACAAGGGGCCCGATTGTCGCCGCGAGCGCCTGCTCCGAACCGACGCCGTAAACTGCAATCGTCACTGCAATGGCAAGCTCCTACAGAATGACACGCATCAGTAACCACGATCGTCCTCACAAATAACTGACATACAAAATTGTTGCTGCCTGCTGTGAAGCTCTGCACGACCGCCATCTCGTAGCTCCATTGCCCATTTCCACGTGCGCGTCGGCCCAGCCACCAAACGAGGGCGAACGCGCCGGCCCACATGATAGTGAAGTACAGCACGAGTGGGACGATGACGCGGAAGACGGGCCCAATGTCGTGGATGATGTGGTGTCCCTGGTACGCGAACAGGACAACAATGGTGTAAAGGAGACCCAGCGGCCCGAGCGGTGAGATGAGCGGGAGGAAGCGGTTGGTGAAGAAATCTCGCGAGGTGAGGTAGAGGCATAGCGCGCGTGTGAGTAGGCCTGCGCCGAGCGGGATACCCAGGTACTATAATATGTCAACGTGAGCCCCTCCTCTATCCGAGAAACGAATGAACAGAGCGCACAATCAGAACCGAGATGGCAACGTTGCCGTACGAAACGTGGATATCGGCGCCTGCGCCGCCCATGATGTTCACGAACCACACCGCGTACGGCGAGTACAGTGCGATCTGGAGCACGCTGTTGAGGACGACGAGCACGGCGCAATAGTTCGCATCGCCGCCCGCGAGCTGGTTCCACACCATGACCATGGCGATGCAGCGCGCGATGCCGACCATGATGACGCCGGTGCGGTACCCGGGCAGATCGGGCAGCGTTGCCCATGCGAGTGCGAGCATCACAAGAGGTGCGACGACCCAGTTGAGGAAGACCGAGAGCGCGATGTGTGTGAGCGTCTTGCGTGTGACGAGCAGGCGGGGGAGCGCTTCGTATTGCACCTTTGTGAGGATGGGCCACATCATGACGATGAGTCCTGCTGCTATCGCTGTATTGTATGAAAGTACGGCATCAACGCTCGCGCATGGCTACGCTCGAGAGAGGTGGTGTACATACGGGCAGAGACACTGGCGAAGCGTGCAGTGTCGAACGCAGGCTGCACGCCGGGAACAAACTCGCCGATGATGACACCTACGATCATGGCAAGCAGGATAGCCGGTGTGAGCAGCTTGTCCGTGAGGCTCAGCTTTTTGATGAGGACTGCAGACGGAGAGCGTGAGCTACAGTTTGGTCGCGACTGGTGCAGCGGACACTCACCTTGAGGCGCGGTCCGTGCAGGAGGCAACTGAGTACCTGCCTCCGTGTCCCGGACGGTCGAGTCGATGCTTTCCGTGCGCTGCTCTTCTCTGATAACGTTGTCCATGGTGGTCATGGTCAGGAGGCAGAATCGCATAAACTGAGGAGAAAACGCGCTGTCCTGTAGACGCCGATTTTGAATATCGCGGTCAAATTGATCGGGGGAACATTTGTATCCGAATCTGGCAATGGTGAAAGTCGCGTGGGGTTACGGGTGTGACAGGACGCGATCCGTCACACAGGACATCAGCCTGTGATATTGGCCGTCCGGCTGGGTCACCTGTTTCCTCATATTACCATGTCGGCGTCTTTCCCGCGGCTTCTGAGCTGCTTGAGCTGCCGAACTGGTCCTTGCGACGAAACGACCACCTGGGGGACGATACAGGCACCCACGTACACGCATGGCGATGAGCAAACCGTCGGAGTATGGAGTAGGCAAGGTCTCAGTTGACGGCGAGGAGTTCGCCAAAAGGACCGCGGCTCGGCTGGAGAAGATACAATCGCAGCTCGAGACATCGCCGCGGGCGTCGCGTCTCAAGGGGAAAGTATGTGTGATCACTGGTGTAGGGTCTATGCTGGGCATTGGGTTCGTTTATTGTTCATGAATGGCTTGATATATGTGGTCTGACACCTGCAACAGGCGTGCGGCGGCGCTACAATTCGCCCATGAAGGTGGGGGGCCTTTTTGACGACATGTGAGATACTGTTCGCTCATAGGCGCAATTCACTTCCAGGTGCAGCACACTTATACCTGATGGACTTCGACGGAACGAACTTGCCAAACCTGAAGTCAACGATTGAGCAGAAATATCCTGACGTCAAGGTAGATCAACTGGGCCTACATCTCAGACCCGACCTCTGATGCCCATTGTAGGTAACGATCATGACTGCAGACGCTGCAGACGAAGACAATATTACTGGGATCTGTGGGCGAGCGGTGCGGGAAGAAGGTCGACTAGATGTGTTCTTTGCCAATGTAAATACCCATCACATGCTTTTGCTGATGCTCGTTCACGATATCACACTCTTACTCCGCAGGCAGGTATCAATAGCAAAGAATCTTTGCATAACATTACTGCCGACGCGTTCATGAAGATGATGAGGGTCAACGTTCTATCGTAAGTGTAGGTGGCACTTGTCCCTGTCAATATCTGATAGGCCCTCTTTATAGCTGTTTCCTGGCCGTCAAGCACGCTTCAGAGGCTATGTTGAAACCTAATTCATCGCGCGGCAAGGAATACAGCGGAGGAAGTATTATCCTCACTGCGTCCGGTATTGATCGTCATTTTGAAGCCTCACATGTTAATTTCTGATGATGATTGTGCAGTCGCGGGCTTACGTTCTGGTGCTGGGCCGCTTGACTGTAGGTTTTGTATCTCCGGTGTATCATCGTTGACCTTATACCGTCTTCTTTGTAGATAGCGCTGCTAAAGCTGCGTACGTGTTCTTTTTCCAGTAACATCCACGTGGAGCTGACGTTATATATCACACCAGCGTGAACAACATGGCACAAACAGCTGTGTACCAGTTACAGAAGACAGGCATCCGCGTCAATTCGATCTGCCCTGGGCTCATCGAGACGGGTATGACCACCGCAGTTTTCCAGTACGCACGGTCTAGGGGTACGGGAGGTAAAATCGGCCAGCTGAATCCTCTTGGCCGATTTGGTGTCGCTCAAGGTAGATTCGACATCGCTCACATGATGTAGGCCGCTTGACTCACGTAACCCATAGAAATTGCGAACGTCGCGACGTTCCTTGCCTCGGGTGCGTTCGATCCCGCTCCTTGCGTCGGGTGGTGATATAACATTTCTTGACCTAACTCGACAGACGAGTCAAGCTACGTGAATGGCCAGAATATCGCTGTTGACGGTGGCTTGTCCGCTTCGGTGCCCGTTGTTCCTGGGAGATGGATGTGAGAGATCATGTATCATTATTGTATGCCAGCAGCGGAGTGAAGCATTGCTGCTTCTTGTCCGTACTTCAGTAACACGGCTAGGTTTCTGGTTTGCTTCATGCCTATATACTGTTCATCGTTATCTTGCTACCTTGGATCTGTCACGAGGCGCGCTCAGCAGAGAATGCGAAGCGATTGACTAGAGTGGTGTCATAAGCTGATTCGGCCGCGAACCGATTGGTGATGATGATGACGACGATGACAAGAATTGCTACTCCGCGACGCACACATGGACCCACAGGCCCTGCAAACCCGACGAGGACGGCCCGGGATGACGCCAGAGGGAACGAGTCCTCAGTCGCAGATGGTTGCGTGCGACTAGCACGATTGTTTTGTGGATGGTGTCCAGCGCAAAAGTGCCTTCGAAAGAGCCAGATATATAGGACAGACGCACCAGGTCGATTCCCTCTCCCCAAATATCGCGCCTAGTCTCCGTTTCGTTTACCGATTCTTGTGAAGGAGCACGCCTTCTGCTGCGTTTGGCTGGCTTAAGAGTTGCTTTGGGAGTTATGCGTACGAGCACAGCCCTCTTGATAGCAGACCGTAGATAAAAGTGAAAGGAGAGAAGACAAGAACAGGAACCGCGGCAAGTTGTCGAATCAAACCTTAGTCATGGCGGTTGGCAGTAGACACGGTCCCGTGCATGACAAGAGAGGCTTGCGGATGCGCAGACAATTCATAAAGGATTGTGGAACACGAGAGACACGTCAATACATATCGGCGCGAATATTGCACGAACGTCCACAGCCCAGTCACACCATTGCAGTCAACGTTCAGCCAGTGTCCATGCCTAACGACCGCTGAGAAAGGCGGGAATAAGCAGCGTAAACCCGCCTGTCCTTTGCGCATGACTCTGCCGTTACCCGAACCTTCGTATCGAGACCTGGCTTTGGACTTTGTTCCCGCGCGGCGCGGGACCACGATACGTGTTCCTCTTGCTGACGAGCAGTCATCTTCTAAAACAGCCGATCGACGTGTGGTTTCGTGCTGATTGAAGGCGTCATATGTCCTGATCAGCTGCAAGTCGTTTGACAAAGTTAGGCACAGAGACTCACCAGGTGCATGGTACTCTTCGCTGACATGCCGTCTGATATCTGGGAATCCTCGTGGTTGTGTAGGCATGGGAATGAATATTGGCTGCAGATGGACTCACTAGATATCATGATCCAGGTGAGGTTGAAAATTCTGTGGGCTGTCACCAGTATACTACTGAAGCAGGCAATCTTGCAATGCATGTTCCTGGAGACACTCAAGCTGATATAGCTCACAGCCAATGCAAAGATGGCCCAATCAAGCACTGGGAAAGACTCCTTCAAGACATTCCAACATCAATTGATAGATGCCAGACCAGTTAGTTGGTCTGACATCTTCCATTCTCATGGTATGTGCCCCGAGAGCTTCCTTGACATTCAAGGAAGCCCCAGAGCACGGCCCATGAGAAAGAAGACATCCAGATCATCATAAGTGGTCTGCTGTCTTCAACTCAGGACGGCGCATGGGCTGTGGGACCACATCCTCTGAACAGAGTGAGTTATAGCCGAGAATGCACGAAGAATATTTTTGACAGTCTCCAATACATGTTTCGCCATCTAAAGACATTTCCTCGATTCTCGATAATGCATGGGGCATCGGTACGTGGCATGGAATCACGACGAAGGGCGCACCATGATGAATCATTTTTGTTGGGATGGAGAGCCGCATACACGAGCTTGCAGGTTGAACAACTAGTAGAATCCAGAGCGTAAGGCGGTAGCGTCGCTGTCGAGGGATCTCTGGCACGAACACAGATACAGCTAGAGCCCTTGCACTTTATACGTCACCCCGAACAGACTGGGAGTCGAACTCAACGGACGCGCAGAAACAGATACCTCCTGGTGAGTGCAACCTTGCGTCAGAACAACGCCGTGGACATGTTGTGGTCTGAGCATCGACTTCACGAGAACGTTCGCGGTGATATGACATCCTTACGATTGACGACTGGCGTGGGTCATCCTGATTTTGTGCTAGTACTGAAATGTTGATGCCAATAGTAGCTCAGTTGATCCGCGCGCACTTACTGAGATCCAATTCTACTCCGCTACACGCCTACACGCGTGTCCGACGGACTGGCTCCGAGACATTTCTCACTCACTCCGACCCTGACTGAGCTTGTCCGCCTGCAGCACGACCTGCGATTTGAGCGGACGTGCCGGCTGACATGCATTATGGACGCCGTCGGGCGTGCAGGGGGATCGTCTACTATTCGTGATTCTCTGTGAAGTGCCGGCACCAAATATTTGCGAACGCGTGCGGTTGGCTGTTGCGTCGTTAGGTGCGTTGACGCTCATCGACAGTGTCCGTCTTCCAGGCTGACACCTCCCAGTGACAGCGACAAACACGACGAGCCAACGACACAGCGATGAGGAGTCATCGTTTCTACCGCACCAATTTCAAGCCCCATGAAATGGCCCTACTCTTCCCTCTCTCACCTATCGTGCGTTGTGGGGCCTTTATGAAATGACAACGCCATCGCTAGTGGCATCAGCGATGGAAGCACGACTGTAGAGAGCGAGAGGGACGCTGGGAGGTTTGACGAATGAAATCATGAGGTTCGTCGCACCTTCTCACAGCGCCTTGCACGATACATTCCCTAACCCGGAATCTTGGCGGTGATCATCGGGGCGTTAACATTCACTCTCGACCCTACAACACCAGGAGGCCAGCAGGAGGGACCTCGTGCTTCTACTTTCCGCTAAGACAAGCAATGACCACCTGGTGCTCAAATCATGCGCTCTTACTTGCCCTTCTTCGGATGCTTCCTTCCTGTTCCCACAATTGCACCCGCTATCGTGACGTCGTCTTAGACAATTCTGCTCAGATCAGTCAAATTTCCACCTATGCTGAGCTCTTCGCTGTCCTAGGAAACCTGCCTCTGGGCTGGAGCATAATATCCGGAGCCGGCGGAATTGTCTACTCTTCTCTCAGGAGACTATGGAGCAGTGACCTAGGCAGCAAACAGACGCGTGCTGCCGCCTGCAGATTCTGACGTTTGGGATGACTTGCTGGGCTTGCTCTTGACCGGTGGCCCTCACGGCAACACTGTCTTGTTCTGAATCTGGCCTGTCTAACATACGGAATACTGGCTCTGTAGCGGTCAGGAATCTAACCTCGATCACGTGTGGATGTGCATTGGCGCGTTCTCCCGCCGCTCGATTGGGAGTGCGAGGCGGCTGACATGAGGCTGGTTGGCACCATTGAACCCATTCTGTTCGGCATGTAAGCTGTCGTCAAATCGTTCATCGTAGCCATCATCACCTGCATCTTTGCCACAATGTCGCCTACTCCAGCTCTCAAGCGCGTTTGTATTATTGGGGCAGGCGCGTCTGGCATGTCTGCGGCGTACGCGCTCAGCCGTCACCCTGACAAATATGAGGTGACGGTTTACGACAAGCAGAGCGTCACAGGGGGCATGGCGACGTCCATCGACATCGACGCCGACAAGTATGGCGCTTCGTATATCAACGACGGTGTGCAAGGTTGCAGCCCTGTCTTCGCGAACACCATACGGATGTTTAGGATGCTCGGCTTTGAGGCAACCGAGGTGGGGATGCAGTACGTCATTTGTAACTTAACTGTCGCATCACTGTCAACTGTCCTACAGAATTAGCTTCGGCAAGGATAAGGATTTTTGGACCAATGTCTTCCCCACAAATCTCGTGGCAAAGTTCCAGAGCGATATTAAGAAATTCGGACATGCTCTCTCAACCATCAAGACGTTTGAACCTATCTTTGCCATGATACCGGTTCACGTTATGTTAAGAATGTTTGGATTCTCCAACGACTTCGGAGAAAAGATGGTGTATCCCCTTGTAGCCCTCTTCTTTGGCACGGGGAACCAAACTCCTTACATATCTTCAGCTATTCTGGTCAGTGTCTTCGTGCTCACGATCCGCGCGTGTTACTCATTCTTTGTCAGGAGCGTGTATTCAAAGACCCCAGCATGCGTCTGTTTGAGTATTCAGAGAAGAGCCTTCTCGCGAGCATCCCTACCATGCTCGCGTTCCCGAAGGTGTGAAAGTCTTTGTCAATCATGCCGTCCGCACTAGAACTTAGTAGCCTGTGGACAGCTGCACGATGTCTACCAGGCATGGAGAGAAGAAATCGAGTCTCACGGCAACGTAAAATTCAAGCTTCACCACGAAGTTGTTGAGGTGGTCGCGCGCCACAGCAAGGGAAGATCGTCGGTGTCCAGCCCCGTGCACATCAAGTACAAGGTCGCTCATGGCGGTCTCGAGAGTCAGCACAGAGAGAACTACTTCGACGAGCTTATTCTTGCAGTGGATGCGGACTCGTGCCTGAAGATACTGGGAAAGCAGGCGTCTTGGATGGAAAAGAAGGTCCTGGGCAACGTGAAATACCTCTATGACGTCACAATCACACACAACGACCACGATTACATGCGCAAGGTGCGTTCCGATTTGCATGTCCTGTTCTTAGTTTGATTCGGGTATCTGCGTTGCGCCATAGTATTATGAAACAACCTACAACCCTGAACATAACGCGCCCCTCGAGGCAAACTCTCCCGCTCAAGATCGCCGCGAGACGGAACAGTCGTTCGCCTTCGCTGAAGAACATTTCCGTCCGCTATACTACACCATGCAGTACCCGCAGGACAAGTCTAAGATCGAGATGAGCTTCGATCTCACGCACTATCAGCCCCAGTTCCGTGGCGAGAAACCTGCCGGACCGATTGATCCTCAAGACAAGTCTGAGCACCGGAACGAGTGCAACCCCTCCGCCGTGACGCGTGGCGCTCAGGATGAAAGCAAGGGAACGATCGGCGAGTCTGCGCGCACAGGCAAGGACGATAAGGGCTGCGCCGAGCCACCGCTCGAGCAGCATGTCTTTCAGACTATTTTTCTCGATCGTGACGGCTCGCAGGATCTGTGGACGTGGAAGGACATCAACCCCGAGAAGAAAATCTACGAGAAGTGGTGGAAGCAGCAAAGTCATCGCTGGCAGCACTACGCGGGCACTGTGCCCTGGATGATGTGGATCAATGGCAAGAACAATACCTAGTACGTGCTGCGTGGTAAGCAGCTTGTTATTCACACCGCTAATATATCATTTCTTGCAATAGCTATGCAGGTGCTTGGTCGGGTACGTTCCACCAAAAGGATCAAGGGGCGTGTCGCACTGATTTAGATTTAAACTTAGTGCTCAACATGCATGAACTTGCCGTTACTTCTGGCTTCGCCGCCGCCTATCGCCTGGGCGCGGAGTACCCCTTCCATAGCGACGAAGACTGTGAACGACTATTTAGAATGTACCTCGCAGCAAGCCACGGTGTCAGGATGGTGAGCGTTGCATGGCACTCGCGTCTGCCAGTCAAGCACTCACGATGTTCGATCCAGCGCAAAGAAGACAGAAAGGGTCTATTGGCCTGATCTTGCCTGTCATCTGCGGACATCTTTTGTATATATCATTCATTCATTTTATTTCTCCAAATCTTGTGCCTCCAGAATCCTCTAGCGACGTCGTGTAAGTACAATCCGTGGCGGTGGGATCCTCTTACGTTCCCTTGACACGCGTACCAGCACGCGATTACCATCCTACTGTTGTATTGGTCGACCCGTTTACATGCAGCTCTGGACACGACTCAGAAGCAGTTGTCAACATTTCATTGACAACACCGCCCGTGCCCGCAGTGATTCGCCGCGCGCCTTGTGAGTAATTGCTCCCGAGATCGCATGTAAATATATGAAGACTCATGTTTCCACATTGGACACTCGGGGATGGCCGATTCCGTAACCCTGTAGAACCGGATCTGCGTTCCTGCTACATGCTAACTAACAGTCGAAATGGACTACCAATCTATAACGCTAGATGTCCTGGAAGCACTATATCTCATGATTCTAAACTTCAGGTATACGCGGTCGAGCGACGCCTCTTTTTGTATTCAAGGAATGCAGACTTGGAGCGCCCGATCTTAGCGCGCACTGGCTGCCTTTCTTCATTTCCTTTTCATTCAGGACCGTCCCTGAAGGAGAAGACATGTTCGCCCCAAGGCATCACGGGGGGAACCCAACGACACCAAGGGGCCGCTTGCGTGCTGAGAAGTGAAAAGTATCGAAATATCGGCGAGTGTATTGCGCCCTATGGCCTGCTAGCTCATCTCATATGCCATGCCGTATATCCCAAAACTCTCAGTTAATCTCACAATGTTTTACTCTAGGAACTCTTTGATATTAGCCGTCACGAATGCAACGGCTCTCGGGTCCGCACTCCCGCCGGCTATACGTTGTTTTCAGCACTAGTGCATCCGCAAGACCATATTGTGGCACGAACTCACCGACATGACCCCAGACGCTGTCGATAATTCTCAGTTTCACATCTTTCAAGAGCGACGCCTCGACCTCGCTGTCTTCGGGCTGGATGAATGATGTAAGGGGGGGTGTTTGGGCGCCACGGAATGTTATAGGTACGTACGCAAAAATAGAGGTCGGTCTTGCAGGGCAGAAGTAATACCTTCGCCTTGATACTTTTGAGGCAATTTTCGTAGTTCCCTCCGTCGCGAATAAGGGAGACGTCTCCTCTCTGCCACGTTTCGAGGAGCGCAATCATGTCGTTTGCATCCCAGTACTGAATGTAGCGAGCTTCCCAGCCCTCACGAAGGAACTCTTCAAGGGACGGATAGCTGTGAATCACGTAAATTTCCGCGCACGTAACCTCCCTCTGGACAGCTTACAGTCCGTCAAAGGTGTATAAATGTTGACGGAAAAACTATCCTCAAATTTGGTAAACCTTGCATAAGCCATTCTGTAGTTTTCCGGTGCTTACCGCCTGTCCATAGGCCCACGCGCAGTATGCCCGAGCAAATGCCCTTATTGCAACTTGAGGAACTGAACTGTAGTGCCCATCAAAGAAGTCCTTCGCGGATATCATGGCGTGTTTAGGTCCCTCGAGGAAGCTGACAAGAGCTCAGCAAAATACGACGTATCTCCTCACATAAAATATACCATTTGTTATGGGGGCTCGTACGAGCTGACGAACAAATCGCGACAATTTTGTCGACGAAGTCGGGATAAACAACAGACCAATGGTACGCCTGCAATTTATGTAAGATGTTGTAGAGGGGCGTTCAACCTTGGATTACCTGTTGCCCTCCCATAGAGAAACCCACGACGCAATGGACGTGTTTCACGCCGAGTACTTTGGTGAGAACGGCAAACTGAGCGCGGCTGTTTATCGGCGGTTATTATCCGACCGCTCTGGGACATACCAGAACGGCTTCTCACATATTGTCCTCGTAGGAAATATCAGGGAAATATGGCCCGTTGTACGGCGTCGGCTACAGCGCGCCAGATTGAAAAGATCGAACATGACCCTGTGTTATGAAACGCAGCTGACCGTATTCGAAGGTGACGACGACTGCACAAATAGTCAGCTTTCGGCAAATATATACTGTTTTCACATGACGCCCATACAGACCTCGCCATTGCAAAACAATGCGAACGTAACCACGAAGTACTTCGTCGGATCCAAAGCCTCACGAACAGTGTATCAGGACAGTGCTCACAACACGAGAATCCCTTCGAGGTCACCTTGCCCTCACCGACCAAATATGACTGACCTGCACGAATTTTAGCATGTTAGCATCAAGCACACATACTCATACGCACTATCCAGTCTCAATTGCGCCCCATAGCAAGTGGGGTACACAATGCACGGGTTCGCAGGGTCTCCGTACGTCTGGTATGCGGTGACCGCATCAGGCAGCACTCCCCCTGCTACTCTGAAGCGGCCATGGTGGTGGAATAGGATTTCTGACTTCGTCGCCATTTAGAGGAAGCCTGTTGGGTAATGTACGTCGGGATTTGAAGCAGACGGACGCCATGCTCTCACTCGAGTCGATATTTGTATCTGGGAACGGGGAACGCGACATGATAAGGAGACTTGTCGCACGGCTCCAAATAGCGTGCTCGGGCAGCCGTCGGGGTGGTGACAGTCTGGCTTGAATACTCGATCTGTCAAGTTCCCTCGAGGTTTTCTACAATAACTTATCATGTACGCCTGAATCCTGGCACGTTGTCATCCTTTAACTAGGTACGTTCAAAATTGCCGCTTAAATCTCGCTGGAAAACAAGCGGCATTTAAGCGTCCAAAAGCAGCGAGCAGAATCTGAGCTCCCCTCCTCGAACAGCGACAAATAAGCGACTGCTTGGCGCAAGCGCTCACAGATTCTGGCTTACAGCCATGTCACGCTTACATGATTCGCCAACCTGATAGGCTGGTCAGCCCTTCGCGAACCGAAAACGTGATCAAATGACGGCTGCATCACGCTTAGTCATCTGTGACACTTTCAGCGACCTTTCAGCGACCTTCAGCCACATTTGGGCGCTCAAAAGCAGCGAAAAGTCGCTTGTTTTCCAGCGAGATTTAAGCGGCAATTTTGAATGTACCTACTACTATATACGCCACTTACCGGCGTGTTTGATTGCTGCAACCGGGACACTGCAACAAGCCCAGGGCTGGGGGCGCGACCTCAAGCTAGAGGCTGGGAGGGTTCCTTAAATTGGAGCCATATCATCGGATAGCGCCAAGTTGCATTGGACGATCATCGCATGGCATCGAGAAATCAATTCCTACGCCAGATTACATACTAAGAATGTTCGGCCAAACCAAAGGGCAAATGACAACCCACGTCCATGGATGCGAACTAACTGGGCCATACAGTAATTTTACACCTGAGCCTCAGGTGAAGAGCACAAGCATCATAGCTAACCATAGCAGCACAGCATGACGACATGAACAACGCCGAAGAGCACTCAGTTGATCTTGAGTAGTTTGACCTCTGTAGATGCACATGAGACCACTGTTCCTGCACTCTGTACGAGATTGCACTTACCGAAAATAAGTGTGGAGTTGGCAGGGATGGAGTCTAGCTTCTTCTTGCCATAACCCATGTTCGGAGGCACGGTAAGCAAGCGCTCGCCACCGATTTGCATGCCCGTAATGCCAACGTCCCATCCTGTTCGTCGAAGGTCAGATCTCAACCGAAGCAGGGATAGGATCGGACATACCCTTTATGACCTCCCCACTACCGAGACGGAACTTAAACTGGATGGCAATACGTGTTATCAGACAGGCGTGAACATAGACTGGCTCAACTCACAGGTGCCCCGCCGGTATTCTTGTCGAACACCTTGCCATTTTGCAGCTTGCCAAGATATCTCATCGAAACCATATCACCCTTCTTGGCTTTCGGTCCAGAGCCGATTTTGTGATCCTTGATCTTCACGCCGCCTTCCAGCTGCTTCTCCTCACCAGCTGTTTGTTCTGTTTTCTCTGCCTTCTCTGCCTTCTCTGCCTTCTTGTCCTTTTTCTCCTTCTTTTCCTTCTTCTCGCCCTCCTTCGCCTCGGCATTTGCCTTCACGGCAGTCGACTCCGCGCCCGTCTCCACAGCCTTTCCATCTGCGGCCTTCAGCTTCTTGAGCTTCTTTTTCTGCGACTTGGACAGCTTGTCCTCCGCAGCGTCGGTCTCCATTGCATCAGACTCGCGCGGGCGCTTCTTGCTCGCCTCCTGCTTGGGGGCCTCTTCCGCATCGGAGTTGACTTCTTCGAAACGGCTAGTGGATGGTATGTTTGTAAGATATCCATAGGAGTAGGGAACGAACGCACCCCTCATCCTCGCTAGGGATCTCCATCTCGTCGGGGTCATACTCGACATCGGAGCTCACCTCGCGAAGGTCATAGGCTTCTTCGTCAGAATCATCCTCGTCTTCATCGTTGTAAGGGACTTGGTCCGGAGGCATCTGGTCTGAGAGACGTAACCAGTCTCGTAAGCTGAGAAGTTCTGACATAACGCGTTCCACAACATGTCCTACTCACCAATGTAGTTTCCAGTGAGGTGGACAGTGCTGCAGAGTATTAGTCTTAGATACTGTGGCGCAAAGTAGCATTACTTACTTTTTGCCAACAATCTCGATGAGGTACTCTTCATCCTGATCCAGCACGATGTCTACCGTGGCCTGCTCAATCTATAGAAGGGGACATGTTACGATAGGCAGTAGGTTGAGGGCGTGTATACATGCCTTGCCAGGCGTGAGTGAGCACAGGACAGTGACGCTCAGATCCTTCGAGGGGTCAGACTCGTCATCGTCCTCGTCCTCGTCCTCATCGTCGCTGTCTCGCGCTATGGGCGGGCGGTAGATCAACTTGACAGTTGTGCGGCCAGACTCGTCTGTGAGCTCCTCGCCCAATGCGATGTTTGTGATCCTAAGGTCACTCTGCGGGATAATTTGCGAGGTCTCGGCGGAATTTGCCTGAGCACTCCTGTAATTTGGGATTCAGCATCCGCTGAAATTGTGATACGCGTCAAGCACGCGATGCATACCAGAGGGCGACTGCGATGGCCATTTTTGAATCTGAAGTACGGTGAAGACAACAAGCTTGAAGAAAAAGCGAGCGCTCGACGCGTCCAAATTTGAGGCACGGGACCAAGCTCCGCTTGAATCGATCTCTTCTGGAGTCTCCATTCAATTCACCATGGTATGTCCATGAAACGAAATGGTATTCGACGCGACATACTCATGAGGAGCCCCATTGCAGTCCAACACCTTGCGACCGTATCTGGCCGCAGTGCGGTCAACGCTAACCGCAGCTTTGACATTGGAGGACTTCGCATCGCAGGTACTCTCGACGGTGTATGATCGAGTGACTGTCCAGCTCACCGCAACGCCAGGTCGTAGAACGACACAACAAGCCTGAGGTTGAAGTCAGGTAAGTGACACCACTGCCAGTCCGTCTATGGCTGGAACGTATGTGCGTGTAGGGAATCGAAGGAGGTCCTACTGAATTCATTGACAATCTCCCGCAATGAGAATGAACGCGTCCTCGTCGAGCCCTCCATCAACTCCATTCGGCTAAGCATCAAGATAAAGCAGGCCGACGAGATTGAACGGATACTGTGTCACAAGTTCACCCGGTTCATGATGCAGAGGGCGGAGAGCTTCTTGGTGCTGCGCAGGAAGCCAGTGAAGGCGCGTGTGCATGAATGCCACGAGTATCGGTGATTGACTAAGGTGCAGGGATATGACATTTCATTCCTCATCACCAACAACCACACCGACACAATGCTCAAGCACAAGATTGTTGACTTCATTATCCAGTTGCGTCTCGTCATACTTCTGTGAACGACCGTCTCCTAATTGCTCACTTGCCAGATTCATGGAGGAGGTCGACAAGGAAATCAGCGAGATGAAGCTCAGCTTGAATGCACGCGCTCGTGTCGTCGCCGAATCATACTTGGGAGCTGTGCGTAGTGCAGTCCTTCAGGCAGCATCTAGATTCTTACATCATATTCTCAGTTCAATTCATGAGACGCCTCTTGGTCGGCGCAGGTTTGTCGACCACTCCGGGCGAACAGGCAATGCGAATGCACAGCGCTGTGCTGTCTAACGAACTTTCCAAACATGTTGATGTATACATAGCACAGGAATCCAGGATCGTGTATGACCCAATTATTCGATCGCCTTCGAGCCAGGCCAGCAAGGTAATATGACCGCTTTGCGACGTTCAAAGTCTAGCGATGCGCACACAATTTAACATGTGGGTGCCATCGTGGAGGCGCCTCTCTGCTCTGCCGCTTGCCAACCCCACGGAAACAATATCCGCCAGCGTGTACTATCCTCCCCACGTACTCATGGTAGGATGCCGCCAACTGCACATGTTCGAGACGTGTCGAAAACGCATTGAAAACTATGCGTGATTGCTTGCCAGAATCAGCACATTATCATTTGTATATCTCCAACTTCTGCATGTGTCTTCAATACAGTCGAACAGGCCTGAACAGTCATGACTCCACTTGCGATTCTCGTTGCCTACAACTCGGGGTGAGTTACTTCGACATAGTGCGGTCAGACCTCGGCACCATCCCTTTCCCTCCTCACGCATTCATGTTCGCTACTTTCCGTGCAGTTTGGTCATTGATCCCATACTGTGGCTCTCGGCGGAATTGCCTGCTGTGGGCCCAGCTCGACGATGCAATGAGAGGGTGCGAGATATACCCTTGAGTATTGCGGCGTCAGCTCTGCTTGAATTTCAATTCCTGTTCTCTAGCGTATCGTCACTAACAGACATGCGCTTCCTCCGCCCTCAGGCCCGACGGCGGAGAACACTCACAAAGAGTACAACACAAGTTACAGCATTTGGTTGACCGACGCTCAATACATGTATGTACGCCTTCCGTAACATGCTACGATTCTCAGTCACTTCGCCTGCTTGGCTCATCTTCGTCCGTAAACACAATATATAACATCATGTACATGGCATTTACCATCTGTGCCGGTAACCTGCAAATACTGCATGTGAACATTTATGGCAAGATGTTGTTCACGAATGGCTCGTGTGTCCTAACTATCCAAGATCTCTGAGAGAGTCAGGTCTTCAAATTCGTATGCTTAGACGCCCTTTGATCTTCAATTGTTCAAAGCGTATATGTAGACGTCCATGACGACTTTCGGAAGACGGCACTTGCAAATGACCCCCGTAATGCACTCGGCGGTGAGATTTTAGTATACATATTCAACGCATGTTTTCATTGTCGTCTCATAATTTCCATCACCTTGTCAATGTGTGATAACGGTGGGTGGTGTCTCCGACCGGACCCGTGTGGACGAGTAGTTGTGGTGGGTTTCAACTGAAGGCAAGCTGGTAGCTCCCCCCATCCGGCGCTGCGTAACAGATACTAGTCAGTCTGTATCCCTGGTCGTTTCGTTATTACCTGACCGTTGCATACAGGAGAATCTGGATCTTTGGCTGCCCATCGCTGCTGCCACCCTGTATGTTAACTTCCGCGGAACCTCCACAAGCATCCTAGCATGAGGCCACTGTCCCTTTCGTGACCGAGCGCATTGGCTCATTGGCACACAGTGCATAGTCTCTTCTTTTCTCTCCTTTCCCTGGATCGAGAGTTCTATGTATCTCATATGGCTGTTTTAAGATTGTCATTACAGGACGCTGACTTCGCAAACACATTTGATGTCTTTCTCTGAAATGCCGTGAGCTATATTTCTCTGTTTGTATTTGTTGTCGGTGCTTTTCACTTACACATGCTGTGATACAGCTGTTTTGCTCTGATAGTACTTCTGCCTGCGTCGGCGCATCTGGCGGACGTATATATGACATAGACAGGTCATCTCTGGTGATGCACAAAGACGAACGTACGGTATTCTAGTCACTTCGGAAGCGGAGAACGGATCAGTACGTGCTGGATATGACCAAGAATGCAATCCTGACGCATTCAAGGATTACCAGCCATGTACGAGGTGATTGCTCAAAACGCGGTATGTCTCTTCACCAGTAATCTCGATCACGATCCGTCGATCTGAGCTCTGTTTTCCCTTGCCTCATAACTTGCTCGTTTAACAGCGTGTGGCTACGAGCTTTGAGATCAGGCTAGGTTGCCGTCAAACATAATGCCCACTCACGAAAACACGCGTGGAGAGGGCCACGGCACACCCACCCGACAGAGGTTGCTCGATGCGTCGTTGTCGATCATTGACACTTGCTTGACGGTCAGTGACGTCGGAGCTCAATCTCCATGTTCAACTTGTATAAAAGGCCCCCCATCCCCCGTTTCCTCCTCTCAGCAACTTGACCTCGAACCATCATGATCCTTATCACGCTCTTCATCTCTTACCTGGTCTTCACGACCAACATCTTCATCGCATACGACCACGCCGCTCGTACGTTCGGGTACCCCAGCCTTGGTGGTCCTCTCAAGTACCTGCAGCTGTCGGGGTGAGTGCCATATTGTACTTGTTGATGTCAACACTGAGGTTGAGCCTGCCATTAGCATCACCATCCGTCAACCTCGATGGCTGCCTGTGGTCTGTGTCGACACGAAGACACCTTCGGCGGCGCAGTGGGAGGTGTACGAGGAGTTCACGCTGGACTGGAAGGTGCCTGGAGCGCCGACTCAGTTCTCGAACTTCTCCATCTCTTACGTGCTGCCATCATTGGTGGGCTTGGACGAGCTCACCTGCCCAGTGGCGGAGGACGAGGAGCCGTTCGCTCAGGAAGCAGACGGCCGCGACGACTACCACGGCGGGGACAAGTGGTGCTATGCCCTCCCCGAGTCGTCGTTCCTCGACCATCTCATCTGGTACCACACCCAGTCGGCGCAGTCAATGTGCGCGCTGACAGAGGCACCCGAGGAGGAGTCGGTCACGACGCCCTCCATCGACACCATCAACATTGTGGACGTGTTCGACTGGGACATGCCGTCGTCGTCGATCAACGGAACCTCACCGACCCTACTGGACTCGCCATCAATCGATCATGTCGACAGGCTGGTCGGCTGGTCAATATTAGCTATGGTGCTCCTCTTCACTGTCAAGCACTCCAAGACGGCGACACGGGTAAGTACTGCACATGATACACGATGACCTTGGTTAACACCTCATGTACAGGACACCGGTCCCACCATCAAGTGCGAGAAGAAGGACGAGCCAGAGTTCGTACCTGAAGCTCCTGAAGCTATGTATGTTGTTCTCGGCTCAGAGATGTGCGATGCTTATGTATTTGGACCAACCAGAGACGTCCCTGCGCCCAGCAATGTGTTCACGGGGCCGGTCTCGGTGAACGGCTGGAGCCGCGACAAGAAGAAGAGGAAACGGAAGGGAAAGAAGAACAAGAATTCTATCGTGTTCCAGGTAAGCTTAAGCGCTGCCCAGTGTCGTTCACATTCAAGTCCAGTGCTGATGTGTCGTCTCAGCGTTGATTCAATCATAGCGATCGAGGGTTAATCAAACATCACACCCTTGCTTGACGTCACCACTCAGAGCGGCAATCCGAGAGACGATTTGAGCGACCGACGAAGACGAGGTAAGGATGGCATGGCGTGCAACCCTAGTGGTAGCCCCTCATCCCCCCTGGAATCCCGACGTTGCAGCGTGCAGCCCACGTCTTTTGGTGAGTAATGTTCGTCCTCTGGTATAGTCTTCGCGTTGACTGTGCCCACCTGAAGTTATTTCGGCTCGACGACGTGAAGCGTATGTGGGACTGGATCCCTTCGCGCTTCTGCCTGTCTAACCGGATACCAAGGTATGTTTATAGTTGTCTGTGCTTGACAAGTAGGCTCACGAACGTGCATCAATCGCCAGACACCTCTAGACGTGGAACATATGCACTGTCTCTCGTGACCGCGTCCTTTCAAGCTTACGGGCGACACCCCCCGATATCAACAATCGATTCTATGTCCATGCACAATCATCAAAGTTGGCGCTGCCTCTCGACTATCAGCAGAATCGTGTTTGCCTTTTTCATTCGTCCGATACCTGACCTCCTATTCAAATACATCTCCTCTCGTATCTGCGCCCCTTCCATCCATTTCAACCCCCAATCCTCCTCTATCTCCTCAAGTCCCGTTCAACTGTCTTCCCCTCCCTCTATATACCCGTCTTACTACTACCCAAAACTCCGCTCACGTTTGGTCCCTCCCAATCATTTCACTATATTCTCTTTATCGATTAGTTCACTCTCTGTGCAGCATCAACCGGTTTTGTTCGTGTGTGTATCTTCACCTATGGACTTCTTTCCTTGTTAGGATGTCTTGTATCAGTATTGTATATATGGTTCGAACGATGCTTGGAGTCTTCGATGCGATTGATGTTATCTCCCTGCTTCCCTCGCATGCCTATGCTACCCATCGCTAATGTGCCGTCGGTAACGACTGACATGAGCTCTTCTCCTAGTCTATATCTCCCATTCTGTAGCATCTTGTCGTCATGTCACACTTCATACAAATAAATATGTACTCTTTGTAGCAGGTACTGGGACGATAACGGACAGTAGACGCGCTACTGCCTTTTGTACTACATACAGCAGCTGGATTCCAATGATGCACAACACTTCAGTACCCTTACATGATCTTTTTCCCGCCTTTGGTCCATTTTCACTGCTACATGCTCCTGCACCTTCACTCTGAGAGCCAGTCCAGGAATTGAGGCGTGAAGTACGTCAAGATGAGCGTGCAGCCTAGGCAACAGCACCGGTCAGTGCCGCGTCAAAACACTATCCAACCCACCGGGACTCACCTGCGCGGACCATGCTCTCGACGGTCTCGAACGCCATCACACGAAGATCGTACACGCCCGCGCGCGCACCGGCGACGACCATGGCGTACTCACCGCTGACCTGGTAGCACGCGAGCGGGTGGTCGGGCGCGAGCTGCGCGGCGTCCTGGATGACGTCGAGGTAGGGCAGCGCAGGCTTGACCATGATGATGTCGGCGCCCTCGGCGACGTCGCGTTGCTGCACGGATCGAACAGGGAGGCAGCTGTGCGTGAGGGATCCTTGTATGCGGGCTATGGAGCGAAGGACGTACGATCGCGCGCCGGGCGAGGCCCTTGGCCTGCGGGGGGAGCTGGTAGCATTTGCGGTTTCCGAACGCAGGGGCGCTGCCCGCAGCATCTCTACACGCCGTCAGCGTCCGTCACACTCTGCCGCATACATCCTAAGCAATGACCGCGCGCGCACCTGAAAGGACCGTACAGGGCACTCGCGAACTTGGCGGCGTAGCTCATGAGCGTGCAGCGGTTGGCAAACCCGGCGTCGATGAACGCGCGCTTGATGGCGCGGATGCGGCCGTCCATCATGTCGCTGGGGGCGACGCAGTGCGCGCCCGCACGCGCGTAGGCGAGGGCGACCTCGGCGATGCGCGCGGCGGAGGGGCCCTGGTCGAGCGTGCCGGGCGTGTCGGCATCCGCGGCGAAGAGCCCGCAGTGACCGTGGGAGGTGTACTCGCAGAGACAGACGTCGCAGGCGATGTAGAGCTCCGGGAAGAGCGCGCGGAGTTTGCGCACGGCAAGGATGACGGGGCCGGTGGGGTCGTCTGCGGGCGTGCCGCGCTCGTCCTGGAGTGCAACGGTGCGATAGGATGGGTGTATGCGGTCAGAAGCGGGATCGAGGGGGGCGGGGAAGACGTACCTTGACACAGTTGAGGGGAACGCCGAAGAGGATCACGCTAGTGAGGCCCTTCTTGACGAGGGGCCCGAGGAATTCGTCGAGGCGGTTGACGCCCCAGCGACTCTGGCCCGGGAGGGAGGGGATGTCGACGCTGGCGTCGGGGTCGTCGGTGATGAAGATGGGATACATGAGCATGGACTTTGTGAGATGGCGACGGGCCTGCCATGAGCGGGAGAGCGGGTGCTGGTAGCCTCCCTGGAGGATGGAGCTGCGGGAAGAGCGCGGCTCAGGAATGCACAGTATGAGCGTGAATGCACTGACGAGATCTCCATGGTGTTGTCTGCGGCCATTCTGCTTTTGTTTGAGGAGTGGTGTGCAAGGACGACTATCACTCGATCGCGTCGGGTGATCGGTCGGACAAATCCGCTTCCCGGCCATCAAAGTCCTGCATTGGGTCTTCGTCTCAGTCCTCGACAACGCAGTCCCATTCTTCTCAATTGATTCTACCTGTTGACTTCCTTTCGTGTTAATGAATCGCATGTCCGTAACGGTCCACCCATTCCAGGAATATGATGCTATATTGGCAAGCCAGGGCATATATAGCTGGAAACGCGTTCATTGTTGTCTCATCGTGGACTAGCTCCCATAACGCGATTCGGAACCAGGTGCGCCCCTCGCATTGCGCACATAACCCGTATTTGATCTGCCCGTACAGCCTTCATATCATCAGATGCTCTGATAAAACCAAGTGGCCAACTGGCAACGCGCAGATACACGAATCACGAATCGATCGAAGCAGATCCCAATGACCACGCACTTATGTCACAACCTTCTGTAGAACTCAACACTGACCTGGTTCGTGAGTAGCCTCTGTCGCCAATGGTTCGAGTTATGAGAGGAGATAATGAGGGTTTGTGCGAGAGAGGGAAGATGCATTCCTCGAACGCCGACGTCGGCTTATAATAGTACACGGAAGCCCTTGCAGGAGTGTCATCGTACCCTCTCTGCTGACGCACACAACAACAAGTGATCGAAACCAAGACCGAAACAGAAGAACATTTTCTACATTAGGATGGAAGCCCCGTTCCGGGCACAGGCAAGCAAGACTCGACGTCTCCGGGTCGAGTCCACGGCTGTCAAAGTCTCGGCCTCTCGAAGGTGTATGTACCCGACGCGTCATATTTACGCTCGCGACCTGCCGCCCTCAGGTGCGTGACGATGCCGGCACCGTCGATCAGCGTGCGACAGCCGCTTTCTCTCCCCATCGACGCCGTCATTGCAAGCCTTAGAGTTGCCAAAACAGAGATATGTGCGTAATTTTATGTCGTTCGTTGAGAGGAAGAATGAAAGCGAATGGAAGATCGAAGAGAAAAGAAAAGAAAACAAACGAGACCGAATCCGTTGACGTTATCCTTCCAGCTTCAGCGCACTTTCCTCCACCACACCGTCATGACATGACACTTTTTGTGATCCCTCGGACCAGCTTGCGACGGCAAAACACGTCTTGCACCTGTGTAAACCGTATAGTCTTTCCAGGGTAACCCCCGCGCTTCTGTTGAATTTTCTATTGCAAAATGTACTCGATGCAGCTGCACAACATGACCATCTTGGACTACTGGTTCATGTTCCACTACCTGCACTCACAAGATGGTCCCGCAGCGTCCTCGTGGTACATCAACTACTGCGGCCCTAACACAGTTCGTCTCGTTCCTCTATAAAAGCGGGCGACGCGGTATGTTCTGTCCTGTTCTTGTGTCTCGGCCCAATCAACCTGGCATACATCTGTCTAGTCGGATTGACGGTGCTATTGCTGTGGTTGCTGCCATGTTCACAATCATGTTCTTCCAACGCCACCAGCAAGGCGTAGTCGAAATCTAACCATTCGACTCCACCGAGAGTGTCCCACATTCGGCCGCGACGCACTACGCGGTGAGTGACAGCTACGGCTACCACCCGGTAGCTCTGCACGCCGACCCACTCATAGATGTCCTCCGGGATCCATGTGAGTCGTGTCGTCCCTTACCACATCCTGAATGTCCCCCTCATCGCTGTATCGTATAGGTCATAAATCGTACCCAAGCTCTAGTACATTGTTGGGCCGTCCGGCATCGAGCTCGACGATGTCAGACGCGAAGCAGCGCGTGGCGCCGCCGCTAACGCCTGCTGTCGCCGATCTCCGCATCCATCTTGGATTCACTCGTCCTGGAGGCAGGCGGTGCGCATGACCCGGATGCGGGCCGCCTCCTCCCCGTGCGCCCCCCTCCCCCGATTATATTGCTGCGTGAAACTACGACGAGTAAGCCCCGTATCGAGAGTCAAGGCACGCGGCGTGAAGCGTAAACCTGGTCCCTTTTTACTCGTTTCTCGACCTTTTGCACTTTGCGCCTTCCCATCAAATATTCAGAATTCTATTCCCGTTGGGCATTGGTGGTCGGACGACAGCATTTCTGTAACTTGTGCTATCGGGAGATGTCTTGGCGTGCTGTTCCAAGATCCTGGATACACCAGGTTAAATTATATTGATCCACTGTATGATACACAGCGAGCCACCCACAAGAGTCCACCCGAACCAAGCCGTGGATGTCCGATGTCCTCGAGCTCCGTTGTAATATCGCAATATGTGTGTTAGCGCCACGACGGCCAATCTCAGGTAGATTTACCGGTGCCGAGCGTAGATACCAACTGATGCAGGACATGTGGACAGCTCCACAGAGACAACATCCACAGAATTGTACCCGGCCCGGGCGGAAATGGCCCTGGTGATTGGTCACTTCTGCTACTGCGAACCAATGATCATCGAGCAGGGTCTCTGTTGACACCTCGATCAAATCGATCGCAGGTGGAGCCCGGCATTGAAGAGATCGGGCCTCCCTAATTTTGTGCCAGTCCTGCGCCCACCGTCGGTGCCGAGACGATGGTGAAGGGCGAACGATCAACGACGACGCCACTTTCACGACAATGATTTCTGAACGCGGTGAGTACAAGCATAAAATCGCAAGCTACCCGCATGCAGTGTGCACCGAAACAATCCAGGTACATGACTGCAGAAACGCTGGTGAGATTATTATCCGACTCTATCTGGGGGCGACAGACGCGTAAGATCCACGTACTCCATCTGCTGTTGCCCGCGACGTATAGGGTCAAAACGGCTTGTCCCTGCGTCGAACCTCGGCTCCACTCCCATATGAGCACACAACGGGCACACATGCACTCACACCGGTCGTTCCTGTCTGACCTCGAGCGGCTGCGTCGTCCGACGGCCTGGTTTCATTGCCTTTGATGGCGTAGCAATGGCTCGGGCCAAGGTTGACGCTCATCGATGTCCGGCACTCAGAAAGCGTTCAGACCCGCTCGTCCCGACGCGCACCCGAGATCCCGACGCCGGACATCGGGATAGCCGCCCAAGCTCGACTGTCGTCGGGCAGCGCAGGAAGCTCACGCAGGGACCGGGTGCTTCGTGCTCGGGTGAGCTGCAGGATCGCAGGCGTCAGAGCCAGCAAGGGCGGTCAAAATCGCCGCCTAAATATGTCGCTAGAAAACCAGTAACTTTCTGCTGCTTTGAAGCGCCCATATGTGGCTGAAGGTCGCTTAGGACAATAGATCACGTTCTCGCGAAGGGCTGACCAGCCAGTCATGGTGGCGAAGTGTGCAAAGCGTGACATGCTGTAAGCCAGAATCTGCGAGCGCTCGCGACGAGCAGTCGCTTACGCTGTTCGAGGATGAGATCCTGGTTTCACGCCTTTTTCTTTTTTTCCTCAGTCGGAGCGCGGGTGCACTGCACCAGACTCCTGGTCGTCTGCATCCGTCAATGGCGGGACCCGCAGTCTCCCATTTGAATTCCGTTCTCCAGGGAAAGTTCCTTGCCTGCGGATCATACCTCAGTAGGTCCCTATGTAGCGTAACGGTGCCAAGCTCAGAGGTAGCAGGGATGCCCTGGCGCGACGCTAACGCACCCCAGAATCAGCCGGAGCACGCTATCAGCTGCGCTTGCTGCTAATAGGATCCAGATCTGAGTAGAGATTCCCAGCCGCAGAATCGCGCTGCCAGACTTCGCTGCATCCTTTAGCGAGACACGGCTGTACGCATTAGCGCCGGACGCCCGGGACGGCGGGCGACATCTGCATCAGGGGGTGCTGCGGACGTCACCGCATACGTACTCGGACTCCATTCGTGATAGAGAAGGGCTTCGTGTGTTATAGGGTCTAAATGCTAATGGGTATCCGGACCTGATACTGGCCCAACCTAAACCAGCAGAGCAGTCAGCTGGTGATGAGCTCGCAGAAGACCGCTGGAGCGAAGCGGGGAGATTCATTTGGGGTCGGTTAGCGGCGTTAGATTGGCTCAGGGAATCATGGTGCCAACGATGGTCATGACGTGCATTTCGAAGCCCTGGAACCGACCCTCGCAACGCTATAAAGATATGTGCAACCACTAACCAGGGTCCCGTTCGATCTAGGTAGTCACTTAGGCCCGCTGTGCCTTCCGCGTCCGCCAGCCCCCGTCTAGTCGATCCAAGAGTGCCTGCACCTCTTTCACAGCGCCCTTGCGCTCTCTGCGTGCATCTTCCCACTCGCCCTCAGTGGTGATCGCATCTAGCCGAAGAAGCGCCTGTAGCAGCAGCTCGCCCAGCCGCACATGTTCTAGCGCAAGGTCCTGCTGGCGCCCGCCGAGCTGGTTCTGACGCAGCCCGGTTGTCTGCGCGGGCGCTGGTGCTGGGGCGGTGCTTGTAGAAATCGCCCCCGGTTCGAGCGCGGTGAGGAACTCGTCGACGTCTGGGAGCAGGTTGTTGCGGACAGCGTCGAGCTCGCCTTGGATCTGTGCGACCGTGCTGGCCTCGGTGCGCTCGGCGGATGTGGACTTTTCTGCATGCTTGCGCGAGCGTTTGGTACTCGAAGGCGGCGATTCGCCGCCCCCGACGAGGGCGATCGTAGAGTTGGGTTTTAAGCCGTACGCCGATACTAATGCCACGAGTCAGTTAGTATGCTGCATTACGAGGATGCAAATATGAAGGGGCGAGAGTGGCCAAGTAAGAATAGCAGGGAGTCGTCGTTTGATAGGCAGAGATAAGGGTTACCGCTACGGATCATGAAAAAATCGGGGGTAATAGTGGTAATGAGCGGTTTGGGCCGCCGTTCTGTGAACGAGGGCACGACAATGATACATGAGTGACGTCAGGGGAATATATGCCGTGTCAGGTCGTGTAACCTTGGGAGTGCAAATGTTCAATTATGACGATGCTCGGTAGTTTGGGTGGCACGCTAGTGAATGATAGACAGACGGTATAGACAGGCGACTGTGACGCCATGCCTCATGTGTTAACACGAGCCGGCGGTCGCATCGCAGCGAAGCAACGCACAAGACGGACGTGTAGGCATCTATATTGGGTGCGCGATACCACGGTGAGTAGCGCCAGATGCGGTTGCTCCACAACGCCAAGGAACAGCGACCGAGAGAAGTAACGAATGCGCGCGAAAGATGAGAAGCGGAGCTTACATGGTGCGTTGTCGTCCTTCATGACGGCGCCGGCGTGGATGAGCTTAAAGGACTGCGCGGGGAGCTGGGTATACTCCGCGAGCTGATGCCGAATCGCAGAGAGCTTGGTGTCGGGAGGGGGAAGTGGGAAATGCAGCCTGTTGGCATAACGTAGCGGCGTGGAGGAGTGCGCCGGGAATGTTTCCGGATGGGGCGATAGTGAAGGCGACCGAGGATGCGGAGTGCATAGGACACCAATTGTGCGGGACGGAGCATAGAGGCAGTGTGGGGAAGATGGCAGGAATAGCGGCCGCATGTGGACGGTGTGCGGGATGGGGAAAGGGACGCTGCGTCAGGCAGTGTGCATCAGCAGAAGCAGGAGGGCGCACCTCTCCCTCCCCCATTTCACGACGTAGCTCATGGTTCGCTGCTTCTTCTTGTTCCGGGAGGCAGTCAGCTGGCCGTATGCTAGTCGGAGGAGAACGAGGAGGACGGGGACGGCGGCTGTGGAAGGCGTGGTCAGCGGGGCTGCGTGCAGGGTGAAGAGGTGGGGCGCACCGAGGACGAGCGGGGAGAGCAGGGTGGGCAGATCGTCGAGGGGAACACGCTGGATGAGGGCGCGATGTGGAGTGCCACCGAGCAGCCACCGCATCTACCGTGTTCGTGGAGCGTCTCCCGGCGTCTGCGTGCCCCCGCCCCTTCCTTTCACACTCCGCCCAGCGGAGAATGCGCTGGAAGCCCAAAGAAGGCAGGAGGCGGTGCGGCTTGTCGGCTGGGGCTGATGTCATCTGCGCAGCCCATAGGGACCGCTCTCTACCAATTCCAAGTACAATCTATTCGCCGATCGCAATCCCGTTTATAATCCATCCTTCCCTTTCTCTTCCCGACGCTCGCTACCCTTTCTCCCTTTCTTCCCCCTCTTCCGTTCCTCCTCTTCCCGTTCTCTCCGCCAACCGCGTCGCCATGTCCGACGACACCCTCTCCAACGACGGCGCACTCCAGTCCCGCCCCATGCAGCCCACCCGCTCCGTAGGAGGCCTCCTCAACAACCGCCGCCCGCTCGGATCCACCCCAATCCCGCCCTCTCTTCAGGCCAAAATGGCCGCAGTGCGTATTACCTCATCTCGCTCAATGTGCTCTTCCGACCTGACACTCCACAGCTTGCACAGCGCGGTGCCCAATCATCGGCGTCCGTGGACGGTGCCGCTGCCGCGCTCGCCCGCACAGTCATCAACGACAGACCTGCGATGCCCGGACAGCTTCCCGCGTCGTCTCCGGGCCCCTCCCGTCCCACCCCAACATTGGGCGGCCTCGCTGCCCGCCGGAAAGGCGCGGGTCTCCCGAAACTCAGCCCCAACGATGTTCCGGGAGGCATGCACCTACCACCTCTTGGCGCAGGTCCGCAGGGCGCAGGTCTTGGAGGGGGACGCCCGCTCCTAGACAATGAACCAAGGCGCGGACAATCGAGTCAGTTCGCGACGCCTTTCTCGAACTTCGGGAAGATTGTGTGCGTGCTAGTCTCACACGGTGCCGGAGTGCGCTCATCTATTTCTTACCATGCGCCGCGTTCTTCGTCATTGTCTCCATTCCTACCGATCACCACGCATTGTGTAACGCATGCAACCTGACTGGACTGGAATGTTCGGGACCGGTAGCGATCCGTCCGGAGCGCTCAACTTCAGCGGGAAGGCCGTGCTGCACGCGCAGGGCGTCAACTTCAGCAATGGCTCGTCTTTTTCCATCAGTATGTCGCAGCTACAGCTCGAGGACGAGCTCGGCAAGGGCGCGTACGGGACTGTTAAGAAGGTTCTGCATAAGCCCACGAATGTCGCGATGGCCATGAAGGTGCAAGATTTTTCCTAAATTGCCCTTCCGTGTGGGGTGAACAATGACGCGTGATACTGATTGTATGCGGCCCATCTTTAGGAAATTCGACTGGAGCTCGATGAGTCGAAGCTAAACGCAATAATCATGGAGCTTGATATTCTTCATCGAGCCATATCTCCAGAGATTATTGAGTTTTACGGCGCATTCTTCATCGAATCGTGAGTGGATCGCATCACCGCATCAGCCGCTTGCTGAACTATTTGGGGTCTTAGTTGCGTTTATTACTGCATGGAGTACATGGACGCGGGCTCGCTTGACAAACTGCAAGGCGCGGGCGTGCCGGAGGATGTTCTCGGGCGTATTAGTGGGAGCATGGTCCGAGGGCTAAAGTTCTTGAAGGATGAATTACAAATAATCCATCGCGGTGCGTCTGGCGTCTCCGTCCTGCACAATTTGTCGGTGGCTGATTCGTATGACTCGTGCAGATGTGAAGCCGACGAACGTGCTGGTGAACTCGAAAGGTGAAATCAAGCTATGTGACTTTGGTGTATCTGGGCAGCTTGAGAAGTCGCTAGCGAAGACGAATATCGGGTGCCAGAGCTACATGGCGGTATGTGACTGTTAACCACCAGATCTTTGCTTCTTACTAATTGAGGTATTCCCTTCACCACTACCACTTACGATCTTTAGCCGGAGCGGATTAAAGGCGAGTCGCAGAATAACGTCGGCACGTATACCGTCTCCTCCGACGTCTGGTCGTTGGGCCTCTCGATGATCGAGATGGCGATAGGCCGGTATCCGTACCCGCCGGAGACGTACGCCAACGTATTCGCCCAGCTCACTGCCATCGTGCACGGGGATCCTCCCGAGCTTCCAGACACGTACTCGGAGGATTGCAGAGACTTCGTCAATCGGTGTTTGCACAAAGTGCCTGAGATGCGGGCAACGTACGCGGAGTTGCTGGTGGGTGATATGCGCGCTACGTTGAGAGGTGTTCGTACTAACGTATCTTGCAGGACCACCAGTTCATGCGACAAGATCGAGATCGCCAGGTTGACATGCCGAAATGGGTTGTTGGCGCGCTAGACTATCGCAAGCGGAAACATGCAGAGGACCGCCAAAAGAAGCTACTGCTGCAGGACGGCAGCACCTCCGCCCCGCCAGGAACATCGTAATTCTTCGCGACATACCGCGCGGCTGCCACCCGTGCTCCCTCCGTTGCCGCGTAGTGTCTATGGCTCCCGTGACTATGAGCGATACGGCGCTTCTGGCCGCGACATCGACCCAACGTGGACAACGCAGGTGCTCGTTGGGAGCTCGGTGCTGGCACCCATGTCGCGCGTGCGTCGCGTCGCACATGTATATGCCCGGACACCACGTCCGAAACTTTCTGGTCTTGTCTTCTCCTGTCCTCACTTATCATGCCTGCCTTGGCTCCGTCCCCTCTGGCCCCTATCGCACTGCGTGACACACGGCACCACCGATCGGCGATAGATCAAGGCGGCCTATAATACCGGCGCCAAAGCCAAAGCTTGGGCGGGCTAGTTTCATTGACCACGTCTGGTCGACTCAGGATCTGCAAGACTAATGACATTGTGGCACCCTAGGCCACCGACACTGGCTGGCGAGCAGTATCCGCATTTGGACAATGCATCGAGTTACCCCCGAACTTGCGCTGCATGGCATGCATGTAGTGTGTCCCTATGGCACACAAGTAGTATTTATCTCATATCTGTCGTCGTTATGATACTCGCGGCCGCACCCTGCTGGCGGGCGCACGACCGGTACGTAATGGATCCAGTACGACCTGCAGGCACACTTTACCCGGCCTGCGCCGGACGCTTAGCCTACTGTAATGTCTGGGATTTTGTCAATTTGCGATGTTACCCCGCCAGCCATGTCTACATACACGATAGGGTCTGCTGGTCTGGTTTACACGCGCTTAACTTGTATCATTACATACAATGTAACTTATATATCCTGTCGGCTTGTGTTGATTGTGCTGTGAACGCCTTGCGAAGCGCAAGTGACACAATCTTGCAAAGGACCTCAAGTTGAAGATGGCACCACTGTTTGAGCTTGTGGACAGCCGCGTCTGCATCGCGTCGGTGATCGCGCTGTACACGTGATCGCACTTTGCACAGTGAACGGGGCGCTCATGGACACGTACATACGCGTCAGGACACGACCAACACACGATTGCCTCAGTCTCGCCCGTTTTCTGTCCATTACCCTCGCAGCGCCAGGGCTATCTCTGCACTTTGGACTTAAAGCGTACACTACATACAAGAGCTGAGCAGTCAAGATGTGGCTTTCTGATGGACAGAGTGCGCATACTACCCTGCATTTATCCTGCTTGCGGTTCAATAACGATACGGTACACGCGCTGCAGAAATTGGTGTCGCGCTCACATCCTTTGGGGCGCTGTTTATGTTCCTCGGAGTGATGCTGTTCTTCGACGGCGCGCTGCTCGCACTCGGAAATGTAGGCCTCGCGAAACCTCTCACGCTATGGGGCGACAGTGCTGAGCTGATCGACACTATGTAGTTGCTGTTCCTCGCAGGGCTGACCCTTATTATCGGCCCACACAAGACATTTTACTTCTTCGCGCGAAAACAGAAGCTGCGCGGGACTGCATGCTTCATTGGCGGCATCCTCCTCGTATTCCTCAAGTGGCCGTTTGTGGGCTTTGTCGTCGAGACGTTTGGGTTCCTCAATCTTTTCGGGTGCGTGCGCCGACCTATGCTTGTGGCGCGGCAGATGCTGACCGTCTGCATGCCTTGCACAGGGACTTCTTCCCGGTCATACTGACGTTCCTGCGACAACTACCAGGCGTAGGGCACGTGCTGTCATTGCCATATATCCGAGATGTGCGTGCATCTGTCGACGCAGTTGATGTTTGAATTGACGCTCGCATGACAGGTAGCGGATCGCATAGCAGGCTCGCGAACGTCTATTGTATAGTCTGTCTCTGGAATCTACTGGTCCTCCGAAGAGCTCGGTATCCAGTTCTTGTCAGCGCGACAGTATCCCACCACCTTGAGCATACAAGTCGCCAATCCTCGTGCACTACAGCCGGTGGCGGTGTATTGCTAGTGTTCAAAAAGGCGTGTCGTGATTCTTTGAGGCCGAACGCTCCATATTGCTATCAAGGAAGTCTAGGCTCCAATATATCCACAACGAACTATGCGCCATTGGACACGAGAAGGTAGTACAGTCAGGCTATGCAATACCACGTGCTCCACGGTGATATAGGTCCCTGCGCTCACTCGGGACAAGTAGTTGTAACTGCGTCGCTTCCAGATACTCTGCATAGGATCTCCCGCCTCTGCAGAGCACCTGTTAGTGGAGGTCAACTGTAGACGAGGCAATCAGCGTTATGCCAGGCTGCGCCGTCTTGCAGCCTACCAGCTCCGTGATCAACTGGACCGCGTTCGGATCCATGTCAAGTGGTGTGTGTTGATATTGGCAATGACTGGTACTGGCTGCCGGGACGACAGCAATGGCGTTCTCTGGCCATATGTCAAGTATGCCAGATGAAATGACTCCTTATGCTTATATATGTCTGTATTTATCAGAGGACTGTCGTACCTATGACAGCGTATCTGCCAGCTTGGGCTCAGCCCCAGACGACCCAAGGACGCCTGAATATTATGATGATGACGATGGGAGCATCAATCCTGTAGGACGACGTGCCTCGCTTCAACCCTCCGTCCGACTGAGGACATCATGGAATGCGACTCGAGGATTGCCATATCTGCTGTGTATACAAACACCGGACTTAGTCACTTTTGAACGGTTGCTAGTGTTGATTTGTAGGCTCCTTGCAGCATAATAAGACGAGCGGTTCTAGCGTTCACATTATTGCATGATCGGCAGATCGATCTCACGACATCCGTTCACCGAGTGTTGACATAATGCATATGATGGCTAGACCGGTATGAGAGAGTTTCGACTTCGGACTTTACATGAGATTGCTCACGCTGTCAGCTTGAGCTTGAATGACGGGAATGCTTATTTGATTGACGATAGGAACGTCACCGTAGATATTATCCTTTACAATCCTTGTTCGTCCGAGTGGCTATTGAAATGTGACAGACATATGTCAGTTGCCAAATATGTAGAATCTGAACACCGGAGAACGCCACAGCTAGTGCGCGCGGAGTCAGAAACTCCGGCAATATAACGCCACGATGTTCGATCACATGACGTTGTTGATTGGATTCACACGCGGTATGAAGCGCGGGCGGCAGTAGGTGTGAGCTTTGGCCCTCCTCTTCCCAACTCCGTCACGCCCCAAAACATACAAATACTCTGTCCCGATTTTAACTATCGCTCTTTTTGCGCTCTTGACGACAACCACGACGACGACGGTCTTCAAGACTTCGACCCCAGCTGCGACACGTCGCACAAGACAAGAAACGCGCTACCTCCTGGCTTTGTCGAACAAATACTATGCTTGCATCTACCCCTAATACCGACTATGTCTCTCTTCGTGCCTCAAAACGCGACCAAAGTATGTCTCCGTCCTGTCGCACTCCGTACAGCTTCCAGACACCCCCGCGGTTTTCGGCGGCCAACTCCTACGACTCACCAATGCTCACGCCGTCACCTCTGAGGCGCTATAATCTCCCGTCCGCGGAGCCCATGGACCTGGACGACGTCTTCCAGTCTCCGGAGGTTTCATCATCCTACACGTATCTACCGCGACGAGCCCACCTATCGCGGCACGACGATGACGAGGGTGGCTCTTCTCTGGCGCCGCCGACTTCATTTCCGCTTGGTCGCGCGATGGCACCACCGACTTCGCCTCTTCCATTCCGCACGCCTCTCCGCACACCAGTCAGGCGGTCTGCGCGGACCCAGGGATCGCCGGTCCGTCCTGTCTTGTCCGAGAAGCCGGTGAATGCGCTGCATCCGAACATCGAGCTGGGTGTAAGCCTAAAGCGCAAGCCGACGCCAAGCATGTGCGCGACGCCGCAGCGCACGCGTGCGCTTACACCTCTGGCTATCACGTCTGTGACCCCACGTGAGCAGGGTGAGTCGGGCGTGGTAGCATTCGACCGTCTTGCACCACTGCCAGCGCCACGTTTCACGCCTCAGAATACAGGCGACACGGACCTCAAGCGACAGGCAGAGACAATGACGATGCTTAAAATTTCCGACCTCCGCCGTGCGGAAAATGAAAGCGGGTACGAGTCAGGTCCCGAGGAGATCGAAAGACGCGACCTCTTTGAGCAAGTAGTCGCACTACCATCACACAACTCTGCACATTGGAAAGGCAAGGGAAAGGCCACAGGGCCCCTCAAGGCGCCGGCGCTTGAGCTATTTATCAGAACGGGGCAGGCCAATAACGAAGAGGTCGCAGAGGCGATCTCACCCGGCGGCCACATCACGAAGCGGCGGGCGCGCTCACGACCGGTGTCGGCAGAACTATTGGAGTCGGTGCAGAACACACCTGCCATTTTAGAACATCAGGTATGACACTGCCATTGTTTGCCACAATAAGCCATAAGCTGATCGGAACACAGACTTCAACAGCCGCGCATATATTAAGGACCGAGTGTTCAAGTTCTGTGGCGTTTCCTCCCACACGACCACGCCGTATGTCGCACGGTTCGGATACATCGTCTGAGGCGGGTTCTCCCGTGCCCCGTAGCCGACTGACGCCTGGGACCTTGCAACGGATCCGGACTCAGTCGCAGGGAAAGGGTGCCATGAACAGGATTGCTAGTTCTAGCTCGGCCACACAATTCTTTGGGCCTCGGATACCTCAACCAAAGTCCACTACGAAGAAGCCCCCTCGCAAGCCGAATGTGGCGTTTGGCGCGAGCTCTGTCAATCGTCCCCGAATCTCCACCGCTGCACTGCAGGCACTCAGCCGTAGCGTAGGGGAGCGGCCGAAGGTGCTGAACAGGCACAGCTATGCGGGCCCCGACAGCCCTGCTACTCCCGCGTGGCGCAAGACAAGCCACGTAATCTCCTCGCCTGTTTCCTCGCCCGCCCCGCGTAAACGGCCAGAAGAGTCGTCCGACGATGAGGACCTGTTCTTCAGTGGCCCTCCTGAGACGTCCTTTTCGTTCACGAAGGACACGCCCAGCCCAAAGAAGAAGCAGAAGCGCGAGACGCCCTCGCCAATCCCAAAGAAGTTCAGGCCTCGCGACTCGGGTATAGGGCTATATTCTAGTGATGAGGATGGCAATGGTCCGCACCTTTTGCTCGACGATGTATTCATGCCATCTATGCCGCAGGCGTCCACCTCTGTGAGCACGGTCAACTCTACCAGCGACGACCAGGCGCTTGTCACACCCATTTCTGGGCCAAGTCCACACTCAGGGTGGCCTGGTACGGAGGTGGGGCTAGCCAGTGATGACTCGGCGGATGGCATCGAGGCTTTCATCCTACGCACTCTGACAGCCGGCGTCACCCAGACCTCTCAAGCGTGCAACGAGCCCAAGAGAGTTCCCGGGACACCAGTCAAGAAAATCAAAACAGCGTACCTCGGCCAACGACCATGGCAGAGCGCCGTCGCTTCGAAGATTGGCATTCCTGGCTTTGACGACGACCTGCCGCCAAAGGGTGGAAAGGCAAAGGGCAAGAAGCCACGGAAGAGTCTACCGGCGGCATTCCCGATTCTGGGCAAGGAGAACAAGACATCACGGAAGGGCAAGACGAGAGGCGGTCTATCTCGACTGGCGATGGAGACTGACACGGATGAGGATGAGGATGTCAGTCCTAGCACTAGGCGGGACGGCATGTACGACGGCCTCGGACTTGGTCGCCCATCCGGTGGTCTGCCAGGGTTCGCGCGGGCGAGTGGAGACGGCAAGGGCGGTAAGGGGCACTGGCTCATGCGCAGGAGCAGTAGCGGTGCCTTCTCGAGTGGTAGCGAGACTTGTGGTTCCAACAGCGTGACGCCGACACGAGCAACGCCCAAAGGTACGTATAGTGTTTCTTCCTTAGATCGTCAATTAATGTTCGTGCAGTCTGGGGACTTCCGCCTCAGCGCCTACCTGCTCCTGTTTCACCCCTCAAGAACCGGCTTGACTTCTCCGGTGATCATACTACACCGTCTATCTCATCCACTTCATCAACGGCCACTAACTCCCCCAGCGCCGAAGCGTCGATGCGACATTTGCGCACTGGCGCGTTGGCTATGCCGCAGCCAACGCCAATGCGTGCACCGACTTTCATGCGCCCACAAACGCATGCCCACCCAGCACGCGTACCGTTGGGACGGATGTCATCCCCCATGGATGACGGGCGGTTGGGCCGGTTCGACCGTGACTTTATCGAGGTAGACGAGCTGGGGAGAGGCGAGTTCGGGCGGGTGATGAAGGTGCGATACAAGGACCACGCACTCCGCCCTAGCCCGCGGGAGATGGGTAATGAATTTTTCGCCGTGAAAAAGTCGAAACGTATTGAGGGCTTCAAATCGCGGTGCGTTCACATTCCAATCTGAGACGGACATGTGTCGCCCAGATCACGGTCTTCGCGGCGCGATCGTTAGATTGTCTTCGGGCTGCCTAGCTGATCAATCCGCGAAGCGTGGTTGAGGCATTCGTTGGTCTCGTTATCTGGCGAATCCCGATCCCTTGTACTGATGCTTGAGTCTTTGTCTGACAGGCTACGGCTTCGTGAGGAGGCCGACATTCTGGCACATCTTGGAGCACGAGGCGGGCATCCGAACGTACTGGCGTACATCGACAGCTGGGAGGAAGACGAGGCGCTATTCATTCATACGGAGATTTGCGCATTGGGGAACTTTGCCCACTTTTTGTCAGCATATGGACGGTCATATCCACGGTTGGATGAGGGTCGGGTCTGGCGGATCTTGGCTGAGCTGAGTGCGGTAAGTCGTTTAGATTCTGCTGACTGATTAATGCTGATGTGCATTGTCGCTCACCTAAAAGGGCCTGCGCTACATTCACGATGCAGGCGTCATTCACCTTGACCTCAAGCCCGCCAACATCTTCATCACCGGCTCTGGACGGCTGAAGATTGGTGACTTTGGCATGGCATCGTTGTGGCCCCGCCCAGCGCCCTCGTCTGAGGCCTCGAGCGGATCTTCCTTTGAGCGAGAAGGGGATAAGTTGTACCTGGCCCCTGAGGTTCTGCAAGGGCGGTACAGCAAGGCGGCCGACGTCTTCAGTTTGGGGATGACGATACTCGAAACAGCAACTAACATCATCGTCCCTGACCAGTAAGTTCACTTACTTGTTCACTGCCGATCTCGTCTCACCACCCATACATCAGGGGCAACGCTTGGCATCGCTTGCGTCGAGAAGACTTCTCACAGATCGACTCTAGTCTTGCAACGTTGAGCGCCGAGCTGCGAGAGCTGATTCGAGGTATGATGCGTGCGGAACCTGCGCTACGCTCCGATATTGCCCTTGTCGCCATGCATACTGTCGTTTCGCGTGCCCGTGCCGCTATGGATGACATCCGCGCGGTGGACGGTGACGTCTTTGCTGCTAGCCCTCTGGGCGGCGTCAGCAAGGGGTTCTTGAATGAAATTCTTGGTGGCCGTGGCTGGGTGGACAATCGTATGGAAGTTGGCTTATGAGTGAGTGACAGGGGATGCTCTTGGGTACTTACGTCGCGCTATTATGGATCCATCTTGAATCTCCAATATTCCCACATCGACCCATCTTGTTTCACTTTTTTGGTCGATTCTTGATTGCACGACATATTCTCTTGTTTGTGTTCATTTTTTACTAATACTATTCCATGCGACTTGGCTTTGCGCCACCTTTTCTTGATTATCGCTATGTACACTTCATCATCAACCTGCTCTATGCGTTCTCTTTCCTCAAACACCCCCACGTCCCTTACGCCCCTCCCCTCCCTCACTTCTCGAAGACCGCGCATTGCATACCCACTTCATGCTCCTTCAGTTTACACTGTACTATGGAATCCCGCTTGATTGAATCTCGACATCTATTGACTTGCTCCTCGCATTGCACCTCAGTCTGCATTCCGCACATTCAGTACCGTACATACGACATAGTTTCTCCATCTACTATGGGGATTATCCTGGATTTCACGTAGCACGCCTCCCAGACTGTACGACTCAAGGGCAAGCTGGTGTTTAGATAGTGTAGAGAACAATCGCCATCGCTTGCTTGCACTCCAAACGCAGTGCGAGAACATCAGAAGTTGTAGCGAATGAATCTACTAGATACATTTCGGGTTGTGGAAATTCAGGATTCAAATGTATAAAAAGTCTTTGTAGCGCGCTTCTAGTGCAATCACTAGAACGCATGATCGTCCTCGACGTTGGAGTGCCAGGCGCTTTGAGTTCTCACAGCCATGAAGTTAGCATGCGAGCTTGTCATTGGCCCGCATGGGCGCCTGCACATCGGACCATGCTTCGCTGACAGTTGCAGGGAATGTCATGAGAAAATGCACCGAATCACGACTTATCAGTCAGCGGCCCTTTCGCCCATGATGGCTCTGTCAAGGCGGAGCGACTGCAATACAGCGGAGTTTCATGGCACAAGTTTCGCTGACTAGTTCAGACACATTACACCACGGCGCAATGTCAGGACCGGCGTGGCCTGAGCTTGCCAAGGGGCCTTGAGATGGATGGAAGCTGCGGCGCAGCAGCTGAGTGCGGGGTAATGATCCTCGCAATGCAGCGCCACAAACGTTTGTTGAGTCTGATCGTCTGGCTGCGCTCAAACCCCACACTCGTGCAGCGTCCAATGTTGCACAGCAGGACATACGCGGAGGATAGCTTTGAGTCAAGGGTCAGTGGTATGGTGTTCCACGGGTTCTGCTGACCTGTTTGAGCTTTGAGGCGCCTGTGGAGAATTCTTATCACGTCAGGTAGCCTCAGCGAAAGGAAGGTACCAACAACGCTAAGCTCCAGCTACGGTTGTATGACACGGTCCGACTGGCGGGCGGACCCAGCTGTACACGGACGGAGCCCGGGTCTGCGGTAGCGTTACGCGAGCCATTTCGTGAGCGTTGGCCCGTCTCAGACGACCCATCGGGAGACAACGCAGATGATTGAGGGTTGGTGACTAAGTAGACAGGCTAGGGTGGGTTTGGCAGGGATAGCACGCGTAGAGTCGACAAACTATGCGCCATTCAATGCATTCCGCCGCCCGCGTGGTGTCGATAGGGAATTATCTGCGTTGGCTATGGGCGCAGCTGGTCGCGACTTTGAAGTCGGAACTCAAGGCGCATCTTCCATATACGAAGCAAATGCCTGTCATCAAAATTAATGCCGGACCCGAGGCCCCCTGTTCACCACCGAAAGAGGCGGACAGAGCATACCTAGACGCAGTGGCAGATGATCATATTGAGATTCCAATCACCCGACGTTGCGCGTGGGGATAGCAGCGCAGTACGCCTCAAGTACACGAATAGGTTATCATATATGATCACAGCATTCAAGATAAACACGACAAGCCAAGTCGGGCGATGTCACAAACCCCACGCAAAGTCTATGCTGATGCCGGAAGTGCCCAGCAACATGGAGTCAGACAACCCGGGTGCCCAAAAGGGACGGGAACAACGAAGCAGGCACCCGTTGCACAAACACACGACCTGGAACACCAACTTTAGCCTGAACTTTGATTGGGCGCAGGCTCCTTATCGCGCTCGGGTGTCCGTAGGCAGCAAGTGTGGCGCGGCGCGAGGCATCTATTCTTACGACGGGCACCACTGCCACTGGCCGCCGGTGCGGCTAGCACTCGGTGCGTTCTGATGTGATCGCGGCATGCCGTCATTCAATGTGTGCCCTTGACTCATCCGGGTCGCCGCGCACGATGGCGCCGTTGACGGTCTGCGGGGAGGTTGGTGGGAATGGAGAGGCTGAGCGGCTGGCCACAGAGCAACAGCAACAGCAAGCGCAAGCGACTCGGAGGGCGGCCGGGCTGGTGTCGCCCACCCCACGGGTGCGGCCCAGTACCCGTCTCTCCTCATCTCCGCCGGCGAGACACACGAAGCGGGGGCATACACTGGCAGCAGTCAAGACAGTATAGCGTCTTGAACAGAACTGCGCTCAGCAGCCCTTGACTTGCCGTTCTGCCACGGCCACAGGTGTGTGCCAGTCTGTGCGACGCGCACCGACAGTGACTGAGGTGGGGCGCCATGACACCCTGTCAAGCTCTAGTCTGGCGGCCCCTGCAGCCCAACATGGCGCCATGCATGCACGCGTCGGGACAGGCGGAACAAGGCGTGGACGTGCGACACGCGCTGCGATCCCCGCCACCCCGCGAGCATCCCGCGGCGACACGCACTGGCAGATGCAGATTAGCTTCCGCGGCCGCCCAGGGCGATTTGCACCAGGGGCGACACGGTGGTGGTGGTGATAGTGGGACTACAAACAACCAGCAAGACCTCCTTGTCTTGCATCATGCACAGGGCCCACCACGCGTATTTCAAATGCTCATCACGCATAGCAACCGCAGCCCCGTCCATGCCTTGCCAGTTGCCCTTGGGCATGCATGCGAAGTGCGCGAACCGCACTACAAGTAACAAGGACATTTACCGCAGTATAGTTGAGTTTGGCGTCTAGAGCTACACATCTACAGCGTCGTGATTTGGATTCGGATGCGGATGCGGACAAGGAGGGTGTGCGCACACACGCGCGGATGCTTCTGGTGCCCGTACGCAGAGGACAGGGTTGCCAGGGGGGGGGGGGCCTGGCGAGAGGAGTCCGGCAACCTCGGGATGCGGACACAGCCACCGTGACGCTACAGCTCCCGCAAACGCAGAGTCCTGGCGGCCGCACTGCTGTTTCCTGCGCAGTCTGTGGTAGGGATCGTGGCCGTCGCGCGCCACAAAGGCTCTCTCCTCATAGGCACGGTGCGCTCCGTGCGCCCAGCGAATGCGAACGCAAGCGCAAGCGTCGCCGGTGCATATCGCCGGAAGGCACGCGCGACCAGCATCAGATCAGACTGGCCGTTCGCCGCCGCACGTCGGAACCTGTAGGCAGGAGCTGCCGAGGAGACTAGCACGATGAAACCGCCAGGCTCTGCCGTAGTGCGTGCATGCCGTACAGACACCGGGCGGGCGCCCCTGCGGCCCGGAGCACGACGCGGCGGCGATGGCTAGTGTGGTAGGTGTGCAAGGCACGGCGAGCGGACGCGCACGGGCAGCCGGCTCAGGCCCTAGGTTCCAGGTACTAGTCCGCGTTGGGAGCTTGAGCGCTGAGCGCTGAGCTTGGATCCCGGGCGAACCACAGCGCCTTCCGCATTGGCACACTGTTCTCGATCGCACACGATGTCGATCGCCCCCGTTAATACAGCCGAGAATGGCAGGACTCCGATGCGAGCGGCGCGCGCTCCTGCGTGGACCCGGGGGCTATAGCCCCGCGCGCGCGAGCGTGGACGGGTGCGCTCGATGTTGACAGCCAGACATCTGCGTGCGGCTTCGCCTGCGCGTGACGCACACACCAATGCCAGCGTGCGCCGCGGCCTGATGCGCTCCGCCGCCACGTTTATTCTGTGTCTCGACAGCCGCCACAGCTGCGCACGACGGCTTGATCTGCTTCGCACCGATGGCTTGGGCTGGTGTTGCATCCGCCCGCGACCACTACAGTACAGGCTACGATGCCAATTAATATCAATGCATGCTGGATGACGAACACACGATGCTACGGTCCATGGCCCATGTTCCGGCCATCTTGCTCGATGCGCAGTGCCCCGCGTACCGAGCAAAATGCCCAGAACACCGCGGGCCCTGCGCGCAAACCTACGAAGCGCAGATAGAGGGCAATCTCCACCCATATCTCCCTGGCAGCCTCCCAGGCTAGGGACGTGGGCGATCGCACCCGCCTCTATCTTCGTGCGGCGCCTGCTGTCGCACCTCCGGTGTGCGCGCTAAGCGTGGTCACACTGCGGGCAGGACGGAAGAGGACAGGGTGCCCTGTGTGCCCGGGGACGCAGGCCGATCAGTGGGTGCCGCCGGGCGAGACGTGCCAGGCTGGATCATCCCCTGGCGGCCAGGATGCTGGTGCTGGTGCGCTGCCAAGGGAGTACCACCCCCCTGGGCGCTGAGACGCCGGTGCAATGCTGTATTTGGCCTCCGTGGACTTGCGACGCCGCCCGAGGGCGAAGACGGTTGTCAAGACGCGCTGATGACACGGCCGAGGACAAGAGAGAAGCCTGTTTCAGCTCGAGTGCGCACGCTCGCTGGCACTGGCACTGGGTGCGGGATGGGTGACAGCGCGGGGATCCGACGAGAGGGAGGATATGGACATATTGTGTGGTCGTGAGGGCGCGCGGACGCACCGCGGGTGTGTCTGTTCGCCTCGTCTGCGCGGTGGGGGGTGCCCCGCTCCGTGCTCGACCGCGTGTCTGCCGTAACAAGTTGCCGGGGGCACGTCAGCCGGGGCGATGTGCGGCGGTGTGTTTCTGCGATGGGATGCGAGATGACGGAACGGACAGTGATCCTACGGCATGGGATCTCTGGAGGGCGGCGGCAGAGGCGCTGGCTGTCAGCGGGCGCGATCTGGTGCGGGGGGACGGCCGAGAATGGCAAGGGGGAACGGGAGACGGGTGCGTGGGCATGTGCGTGGGCGGGTTCTTGTGAGGCGAGGGCTGGTGATTGGGGTTGTCCTGGGGATGGGACGGCGAGCGTGGGATGGAAGGGTGAGCAGGGAGGGGAAGACGAGGAGAGGTCAGGCGGGCGTGGTGCGCTGCGAACATGATCGGGACGCGAAGTTGGCCGGAATAAGCATGGAATACGTAAAGCAGATCTGGGAGCTCTGGGCCGTGGTCGGTGCGCGAGTTCGATCCCGGCAAGTGCCATCTGTCCGCCTGATCATCGTCTGTGTGCTCTCGCCCACTCCCTCCTCCCTCTCTCTCTCCTGCTCCCACCGCGTACACGGCTGCCGACACCGCGCCGAGACGCCAAATCTTCAGGCTCTCGACCCATCTTCTGCTAGCCCATAACAGGTGCGCAGCCAAGATCGCCCTGCCTGCGCCCGTGCCCGTGCAGACGCCGCACTATCCTCGTCTTGTTCCTGGCGACGCACTCGCACCTGCACCTGTCTTTACCCTTACAGCATCCTCCGCAGGCCCGCGACTCGACAGATCCCGTCGCGTCGTCTCCCACTCCACTCTCCTCCCTGACTACCGCTCCTCTGGCCCTCCGATCGCACACCACATACCACCGTGCTAGTCCACCCACTAGTCCCTCTCCTTGTCTCCCCAGGCACATCCCTGCTTTCCCCACCCGCCTCTCCTTCTCTCTTTCCTCCGACAGCACTTGAGCATCGCCCCCTGCTCCGTCCTCCAGCTGGCGTTTCAGTGCGGTAGCCCCCAGCGCCCCGCCCACGCTTGCCGGCGATCGAGCCGTGCATCTGCATCTGCATTTTCGCGTCGCACGTCCAGCTCTCCCAGATCTATCGCCGTCCGCGCTTCTCATCCTATTGCCCCCGCCTGCCAATCCTCAATCACCTGCACCCGGCCTCGGACTCCCCGCCAGCACCAGCACCTAATCATACCCATCCACACACCACATAAATGCAGCACTGCCCCCCGACCCTCGACGCCCTCCAGTTTCGCCGTGCTTCCTTTCCCCAACTCCCCTTCCAGGCCGACGCGTTCCGTGGTCCCTCCTCCTCCTCGTCGCACATCTATCCCGACTCCCGTTCGCATCTGCACCATACACCGTCCCTCTCCGCCCCCGCATTCTCTTCGCCAGCACATCCGCATCCACACCCCGCCCGTACCCATCCTCAGCACCTGCACTCGCACCCGCACCCACATTCCTCGCCCGCGTCCGCGTCCGCATCCAGCGCGCCCGTCGGCCAGACCACCACCTGCATCCCGTCGCTCATCCCGCCCGGTATGGACCCCGCGCAGGTCGACATGCGCAACTTCTACCCGTACCAGCCGAACGAGGTCAAGCACCGCAAGCGCACGACGCGCTCGCAGCTCAAGGTCCTCGAGGACGTCTACAAGTCCGACACCAAGCCCAACGCGGCCCTCCGCAAGAAGCTCGCCACCGAGCTCCAGATGAAACCGCGCGGCGTCCAGGTGCGTGTCCCTGCTATGTGCGTCCGGCCGAATTCGCTGACGATGATCCTTGTTTCTTCCTCTTCCATCTGTGCGGTGCCTATTCGCGGTGCTGCTGTTTGTGTCGTGTGGTGCGTGTGGGCGCTGATGCGATTGCGGTCGTGGTGCCCGCGGCGTGCAGGTTTGGTTTCAGAATCGCCGCGCAAAGTCAAAGATGCTTGCGAAGAAGGCGGCGGCCGCGCGCCCAGCGTCTTCCTCTGCGAGCACCGTGCGCGAAAACAGCGCGAGTCCCTCGCCGCCGCCCTCGCCCGCGCTGCAGGCGCTGGACCTGACCGAGCGAATGCAGGAGAGCTTCGACCCGGACGCGCTCTCACCGCAAGGGGAGGCGCACGCCCATGGACGTGAGGGCTCGGGGACGTCGTCTTCGAGCTCTTCGGGAGACACGGTCACGTACGCGTGCACCTCGCCGACCCCGCGAAACGGCATGGCCGAGCACCGGCATCAGCATCCGGGCACGGCGTCACCGACGATGCTGTCCCACCCTCCAAACGCACACCCACTACCGCCGCGCAGCGACTCGCTCCCCGACATCGCGATGCACTTCGACGTGCCCTTCGCGTCGCCCTCGCCGGCGGAGTCGAGCGCGCACCAGCACCAGCACCAGCACCAGCATGACAACGACAGCGCGTTCGGCGCGTACACCCTGTCCGCGCTTCCGTTGCGCCCCGGCAGACACCACGAGCACGAGCACGCGCACGGCCCGTACAGCAGCAGCGCGCTCGCGCCGCCCGCGCACGACCTCCTCGCGCACCGGCGGCCGTCGCTCCCGATCCTCCCCATGGCCCAGTACCACGCGCGCGCGTACGGCCAGGGCAGCCCGTACGTGTCTGCGTCTGCGGCGCCCGCGTATGACCCGGCGCTGCGCCGCGCGTCGATCGCGGTCCCGGCGGACGGGCATGCGATGCGGCTCTGCATGCACCCGTACGCGTACGTCGCGGCCGCGGCGAACCACCAGGGCCCGAGCGCGAGCCGGAACCTGAGCCCAGACGCGGATATGCGCTTGAGCCCGAACATGGATCGAAACTTGAGCCCGAACATGGATCGAAACTTGAGCCTGAACGCGAGACTGCGCGTGAGCATGAACGACCAGGAGCCTGTATTCCCGCGCGCGCGGTACGCGATGGCGCTGGAGCCCGTGAGCCCGCACACGCAGGCGCCGCCGCCGAACATCTCGGCGCGGTATGGGCTGCTCGCGCACGGTGCGGGCGGGCATGGGCATGGCGCGTATGTGATGTCGACGCGCGAGATGGGCCCGCCGATCCCGGGGCCGCTGCCCGCGCCGGGCTTCTCGTTTGGCGCGCCTGCGGGCGGCTTCGAGGGGTACGATGCGGGTGCGAGCGAGGGCGAGGGCGCGTACAGCACGGACAAGGGTGCATATAGCACGGGTGACGGCGCGTACAGTACGGTGCACCGGGGCTCGCTCTCGAGCGAGGCGGACACGGAGGGCAGCGAGTACGACGCGGTGTCGCGGTTTGGCAGTGTGGCGAGCGTGGCGGGGAGCGAGACGAGCTGGACGAGCTACTATGAGAGCGACGATGGCGGGATGAAGGAGGGCGCGGCGATGTGTGAGGAGAGACGAGGTAGCTGGTGAGTTTTGTCTGGTCTTGATCCGGCGGGGACGCGTGTTTTTTGGTCTTTGCCGGTCGGTGCTGACGTGGGTCTTCTGTGTTCTAGCGGCACCTCTATGCAGATCCTCGAGATGTTCTCCAGCATGGGTGTCAGCTCGGCCTCGCATCCATACCCGCACCCGCACTCGCAATCCAGCCCAAGCCTCCTCGCGCATTGCAGCGACGACCCACAATCCAGCCCGACACAGGATGCGTCCATGATGTATGCGCCCGTCGCTGGCAGGAGCAGCCTCAGCCCGCCGACGGTGCAGCGGTCGACCTCGAGCGAGCTCGCATACGCGCTGAGCCATGATCGGTGTGGCGGGTCGGAGGTACGTGGTGGGCGCCCGTCTCGCGTTGCCATGCACATTTAGCTGATGGGGTGCCATGTCTTGTGTTGTGTTCTGGTAGAATGCCGAGAGGAGCGCACCCGCACTCCCGTCTGGCTTCGAGTATGCCGACCCGCCGCCTGGTCCAGGGGATGGCGGGAGCGCGAGCAGCAGTCCGCAGGGCCAGTACGGCTATCCGCAGGCACGGGACGGCTACGCGCAGGCACAGGACGGCTACGCGCAGGCACAAGACGGCTACGCGCAGGCGCAGGACGGTACGCCCAAGCGCGGGTACCCAGGCACCGCCTACGACGTGCCCACGTACGCCGAGGCGTACGGCCTGGATGCGGGCACGTATGCGTACACGAGTCCGGGCGGCGGGCAGGAGCCAGACACGGTGTACACCGGCGGCGTCGAGATCTCCGAGCGAAACATGTGCATACCCGCGTCGGCAGGCCTGCAGTATGTCGGGTTCGGTGCGTATGGTGCGGCGGGGTATTCATAGCCTCGGCGTCCTACCTCTCGCGTCGTGCTGCATATGTATGCTCGTGCAGGGCCTGTGGTGCGTTCCTGCTTGTCTGGACCCTCGTCTGTCTCGGAGACTAGAGCTGTGTTTGCATGTGGTGTTTTCTCCGTTCCCTGCTGGCTGGCTGCGTGCGTGCGTGCGGTCTTATTGTATGCTCACCTATTGTTGTCTTGTTCCCCCACCCGCGCATGCACGCACGCCTTGTCGGACCTCGGGCCTCTGCCCGTCACCCCATCATTTGCTCGTTATTTCATTTTTCCGTCTTTGCTAGTGTCGAGCACTACTACTGCCATCTTGTCCTTCCATCTACCGGACGATCGCCTGCCTCATCTGTGGTGGCTACTGCAATAGTTCTCTCTTTCGCCCTTTGTCTCTCGTCTCTCGTCTCCTCCGGTCTGCTTGCATCCGCTACGTCCCGCTCATTGTCTCCGTCTTACTGTAGATGCGCTATAGTTATTGGCTATCCTGCTCTCTGCCGTATCCGTACGTCTCGTCTCGTCTCTCCTCTTTTTCCTTTATTTCATTCGCACAACCCATATTGTTTGTTGCCTCCGCCCTTCGTTCCTCCCTCCCTCTCCCTCACCATCCCCATCTCTGTTGTGCTGCATCCTCACGCACCCTCCCGCTGTCCCCCACTCGCCGCTCGCTTCCTTGGTTTGTGTGTACCATATACTCCTTTGGTTCGCTCTTCTCGCCGGAGCAGCGTCACGCGGTCGTGTGGGTGCCGCTGGCCTGCTGTATCTACTGTACGTCAAACTGCTCTAATTAGACTTTTTTTGGAAAGTGTACGATGCGCGCGTGTGTTCTTGTGTGTCCGGAACGTCAATGGTGTTGTATGGCACGCGCTTCACAGCCGAGGTAGGCCGAAGACTACCGCGCGCAGCAGCGGTATTGTGCTAATCCCCTTTCAGGCGTGCCTCGCTGTCTGCATGACGGCGACAGTTACCGGCTGGGGGGGTGCGCCCCAAATGTCTGGTGCGGAGGGTCTACACACAGTGCCATTGACAATCCAGTAGATACCCAAGGATGCTATGAAGGGGGGCTCGGCACCGTACCCCGATCCAGAAGCATCGTCGGTGAATATATCTTCGGGATTGGTTGACGGTATGCGAGTTCTCACATTCACATTATATGTTCGCTGTGCTAGCTCTTGGCAGATCGAGATCGACGATCTGCTGATCCGTCTATGTTATGCACTGCTGCGAGCGCTAACCTATAATCCTGAACGATACAACCATGTTTGCCCATCGGCAACGCGAGCTTAGATGGCTGGTTGTAACAATACGTCAGCCCCTAGGGAGCGGAGGTTGACCACACTCGTTGATCGGGGCTGACATTCGGCTGGCAGCGGTGAAGTCGGCGGTCAGCCTCCATGTTCGACTTGTATAAGAGGCCCCCGCGCCCCCGTTCCCTCTCCCAGCAACTTATACTCATTCCACCATGATCCTCATACCGTTCTTTATCGCTTACCTGGTCTTCATGACCAACGTCTTCATCGCCTACGACCGCACCGCTCGTACGTTCGGGTACCCCAGCCTCGGTGGTCCTCTCAAGTACCTGCAGCTGTCTGGGTGAGTGCCACGTTCAGCTTCGCGTCGTAGCCATTGACGCTGAGGCGCCGCTAGCACTGCCATCCGTCAAACCCCATGGCTGCCTGCGGTTCGTGTCGACACGAAGATCCATTCGGCAATGCAGTGGACGATGTACGAGGAGGTCATGAACTCGTCCATCTCCTACGTGTTGCCGTCGACGATGAGCTTGGACGAGCTCATCTGTCCCCTGCTGGAGCACGAGGAACCCTTCGCTGACGGCGACGGCAACGACGACTACAACGACGGGAGCGAATGGTGCCGTGCCCTCCCCGAGTCGTCGCTCCTCAGCCACCTCGTCTGGTTCCACGCTCAGTCAGCGTCGTCAATGTGCGCACTGACTGAGGCCCCAGTAGAGGAACCGAACACCACGCCCTCCACGGACAGCGTTGACAGCCTAGACGCCATCGACTCAGACATTCCGTCCCCGATGAACACTACCTCGAAGACCTCGCCGTCGGACGAAGATGTCAGCAAGGACAACTTGCCGGACAGATCAACCCTAGCCATCCTCGTGTTCATCTCGATGCTGGGTTCAACGGCCCTCTTCGTCGCGGCCGAGTATCCCCAGCTGGTGAGTACTATTTGTCGTTCGTAGTGCCCTTTCTTAAAGATACCTTGCACAGCGGGCCGATTCAGCGAGCGACTTCTCTGGGAAGGACAAGCAAGGGGTCCCCTCCGACCTCAGGTATGTCCGCCTTGTATTATGATGCCATTTTGCTCAATCCTTCGAAACACGTAGCGTCTCGGCGAGCGGACTCGACATCAACCCATCCGACAGCCCATCCATCGGGTCGATCCCTATGGACGTCCAGGGTCGCAACAGGAGGAAGAAGAAGAGCAAGAAGCGCAAGAAGAAGGCTTCTGCTGTAGCCGAGGTGGGCTCGAACAGTGCTAGATATCCCACCCCTAACTCACGTGTTATGTCAGCCTCAGCCCAACCCTGGCGATTGAATGCTCATTGTTCGGTGTTACCGCACCCGATGGCAAATCAAGAGATGGTACATGCGACTGACGAAGGCGAGGGAAGGATGGCACGGCGTGTGTGGCCCTAGCGGCCGCCCCTCATCCCCCTGAGTTTCCGATGTCGCAGCGTGCAAACCACGCCAACCTGGTAAGCAGCATCAGTTCCCTCATGTGGATGCTCCTGCTTATCGTGGTGGCCCGCAGAAATTCGGCCTGTCCACGTGAGGCGTATGTGGGACTGGATCCCTTCGCGTTGTCGCTAGTCGAGCCGGTTTTCAGGGTATGATTTTGTCCCTTCGTGCTCAACAAATAGCTCACGAATATATAACGTTCATTAGAAAGTTGTGGGACATACACACTCTTGTTCCTCATCGCCGTCGTGTACCAACAGCACCCCCGTTTCCATTTCATCAACGCACTGCCTTCAATACTCAATGCACCGCCTTCATATTACCATAGAACTCTCGTTTATTTCCTCGATTACAGTAAACTGTATCGCACCTTCCATCCGACGTCTCATCTTTCCTTCTATACATCCATAATACCTTGTACATCCTCTACTTCCATCTACCCTTGTACCCTGACAATGATCTGTTTCATTTAATATTGCCATCTCATTGCGTACAAAGCCAATTTCGTTCCCACATATACCCGTCCAACATCTGTTAATATATTATCTTTGGTTTCCATACTCTACACAATCCAGCGTGTTCACGGATTTATACGGTGATCTTCGGGGGGAAGCATACAGGCGGTGTGTTCTATTGGGCCATGTTTCAGCAATAAATCTAAGACTTATTCTTATGTTATGCTGTGTGGTAGGTTCGCCACATGGCCCTCCTTCGGGGCGACTTGTACCGCGGCTTTGCGTGAATAAGGGGTCTTCATCACACACACCTATTGCCGCTTCGCGATCTCAGCCTTCTCTCCGGCTTCCCTTGGCACCTCTCTGTTTGAGACCACCACGGCTTCTGGGGCGGGCTGGAAAACCGGCAGCTGTGTGATAGCAAACCCAGCCACGCCGAGCACTGCAAAACGCGTCGGAGATCAGCACCGCGCACACACAACGATGCATCCGTACACTCACAGTAGCCCGTGAGCTTCTCGAACGGCGTGTGGAAGTACACGCTCGTCGTGTACACCGCGAGCAGCTCAAGCACTACGACGCCGACGCCGAACGCCATCGCCCACCAGTGTGGCGCCGACCAGCGCCCCACTGCGCGGCCAAACGACGCGCGGAGCTGGTCCGCGAGGAGCAGCGTCGACATCGTGAGCAGGAAGACGTGCCCCGAGACGTCGTGCCCGCGGCGCAGGCGCGGCCGCCCGCGCCAGCCGTCCTCGGGGAGCAGGAGTGCCGCGGGGAAGAGCGCGGGGTGCGTGGCGACGGACAGGGTGGACTTGGTGTAGCAGTAGTCGGCTGGGACGGAGACGACGTCGCCGGAGGGCAGGCCGAGGACGCACTCGCCGCCGGTGAACGCGACGAGGCGGTCGAGCACGGCGGGGCCGAAGAACCAGCCGGTGAAGGTGAGCCAGACGGCGGTCGCGGCGAGGAACTGGAGGACGCGCTCCTTGGTGCGTGCGGCGGGCGGGCTGGTGAGGTAGTGCGCGAGGAAGGCGGCGGAGGTCCAGCCCCAGACGCGTTTGATAAAGTAGACGTTGAGGATGTTGCCCTTGGAGGCGAAGTAGTGGGTGCTGTGGAGGGGATGGGGGAGGTAGGTGAGGAGAGGGTTGGAGGTGTCGAGGTAGGTGCTATTGACGACCGAGTAGAGCGTTCCGAAGAGCACAATGGATGTGATCACGACGAGGACTGCTATTCGAACATCGGCCATAGTGTTGGAAACAGTAAAGGGGAACAATGGTGGGCAATGGGCTGGGACGTCATACGCGTGCAAGCGCCTGCTCCGACGCGGTCACGATACACGTGTATACCTCACTGCGCGCCACGAGCACGTAGCTACTACTAGTCGTTTTATGCTCAGGTAACATAGATCAATCGCGTCAAAGACAAGCATTATTTACACGGACGCATGCTATTCGGCTATACAATACAAGAGGTCCTAACAAGAGTCAAAGGCCAATAGGTAGATACATAACCAGGTAATGCTGCACTGAGTGTACTAATCAACAAAGAGAATATGCTGAGATAATTGGGAGGGACCAAACGTAAGCGGAGTTTGAGGTAGTAGTAAGACGGGTATATAGAGGGAGGGGAAGACAGTTGAACGGGACTTGAGGAGATAGAGGAGGATTGGGGGTTGAAATGGATGGAAGGGGCGCAGATACGAGAGGAGATGTATTTAAATAGGAGGTCAGGTATCGGACGAATGAAAAAGGCAAAAACGGTTCTGCTGATAGTCGAGAGGCAGCGCCAACTTTGGTGATTGTTCATAGACACGGAGTCGATTGTTGATATCGGGGGGTGTCGCCCGTAAGCTTGAAAGGACGCGGTCACGAGAGACAGTGCATATGTTCCACGTCTAGAGGTGTCTGGCGATTGATGCACGTTCGTGAGCCTACTTGTCAAGCGCAGACAACTATAAACATACCTTGGTATCCGGTTAGACAGGCAGAAGCGCGAAGGGATCCAGTCCCACATACGCTTCACGTCGTCGAGCCGAAATAACTTCAGGTGGGCACAGTCAACGCGAAGACTATGCCAGAGGACGAACATTACTCACCAAAAGACGTGGGCTGCACACTGAAACGTCGGGATTCCAGGGGGGATGAGGGGCTACCACTAGGGTTGCACGCCATGCCATCCTTACCTCGTCTTCGTCGGTCGCTCAAATCGTCTCTCGGATTGCCGCTCTGAGTGGTGACGTCAAGCAAGGGTCTGATGTTTGATTAACCCTCGATCGCTATGATTGAATCAACGCTGAGACGACACATCAGCACTGGACTTGAATGTGAACGACACTGGGCAGCGCTTAAGCTTACCTGGAACACGATAGAATTCTTGTTCTTCTTTCCCTTCCGTTTCCTCTTCTTCTTGTCGCGGCTCCAGCCGTTCACCGAGACCGGCCCCGTGAACACATTGCTGGGCGCAGGGACGTCTCTGGTTGGTCCAAATACATAAGCATCGCACATCTCTGAGCCGAGAACAACATACATAGCTTCAGGAGCTTCAGGTACGAACTCTGGCTCGTCCTTCTTCTCGCACTTGATGGTGGGACCGGTGTCCTGTACATGAGGTGTCAACCAAGGTCATCGTGTATCATGTGCAGTACTTACCCGTGTCGCCGTCTTGGAGTGCTTGACAGCGAAGAGGAGCACCATAGCTAATATTGACCAGCCGACCAGCCTGTCGACATGATCAATTGATGGCGAGTCCAGTAGGGTCGGTGAGGTTCCATTGATCGACGACGACGGCATGTCCCAGTCGAACACGTCCACAATGTTGATGGTGTCGATGGAGGGCGTCGTGACCGACTCCTCCTCGGGTGCCTCTGTCAGCGCGCACATTGACTGCGCCGACTGGGTGTGGTACCAGATGAGATGGTCGAGGAACGACGACTCGGGGAGGGCATAGCACCACTTGTCCCCGCCGTGGTAGTCGTCGCGGCCGTCTGCTTCCTGAGCGAACGGCTCCTCGTCCTCGTCCAAGCCCACCAATGATGGCAGCACGTAAGAGATGGAGAAGTTCGAGAACTGAGTCGGCGCTCCAGGCACCTTCCAGTCCAGCGTGAACTCCTCGTACATCTCCCACTGCACCGCCGAGGGTGTCTTCGTGTCGACACGGACCACAGGCAGCCATCGAGGTTGACGGATGGTGATGCTAATGGCAGGCTCAACCTCAGTGTTGACATCAACAAGTACAATATGGCACTCACCCCGACAGCTGCAGGTACTTGAGAGGACCACCAAGGCTGGGGTACCCGAACGTACGAGCGGCGTGGTCGTATGCGATGAAGATGTTGGTCGTGAAGACCAGGTAAGAGATGAAGAGCGTGATAAGGATCATGATGGTTCAAGGTCAGGTTGCTGAGAGGAGGAAACGGGGGATGGGGGGCCTTTTATACAAGTTGAACATGGAGATTGAGCTCCGACGTCACTGACCGTCAAGCAAGTGTCAAAAGTGATCGGTGGAAGCAGCACCTGCGCAGGGTAAGTTTAGTTCTGCTAGTCACTGAAAGATGATTTTGAAGGGAAAGCACTATGAGTAGGGGCTTCAACCTCAGCTCTAGGCCTGAGATTATGCTTTAGGGTGCAGTTCTTGACCTGAGGCTGAGATAAACTCAGAACGAGGTATAGATCGGTGGATCGAGATCGAGATCACCGAGGCGTGCATGTTGAAGCTTCAGTCGCGGCTGCCTGTCTTTTGGTATCAAACGCGTAAGATCCATGTAGCACATACTAATATACCGTCCTTGCTCGCTGTAGGCCGGAGAGGCGGCCTAGGAAATACCGTCGAGATTCGACATCTTCATTTGGGCAACATCATCGTTACGACGACACGCAAGACAGCAAAATATCAACAAAGTGGTGCAACACAGAGCCTTCTGCGTCATACCACTTTGTTGATATTTTGTCAAGACGATGGGTTTTCGCTGTCGGGTACACGACTTACCTAACAACTGTACTATCTATCATGATATACCACCACTATTCGCACATGTTGCTTGTTGGAGTACCTATTGCCCATGATATATGCAATGTCAATAAGGTTAGATCCTACTATAGGAGGCGGTCAGTATATAGCATAAGTATCGACCAAGGATGTAGACTGACTGGCAATGGAGCGTGGGAGGGGAGAAGTGCAAGCTTAGAAGCGATTTAAAAATGACCAGCGTGACCACCAGCTGTGCTGTTAACGTGTATTTTCCAGACGGCGGAAAGTACAGGACGATACTGGAAGTATGCTTTCAGTTGTATGAGTGCATATAGTGAAAGACGACTGCCAGCTGGAATCCGTATAATGGCCACTATTTTGCGTGGTCCTCCGCTCTTACCAGCCCGTGAGGCTATCGCAAGTTGTAGATAGAGCGCCGGGCAGACGCTGAGTCCAAGCTGATCGTCGTAGGACCCCGGCGAATCCCCCAAGAGCTCTGATCTCGAAAACCCCGAAAAGGGGGCCTCTGGAGCCAAAATCTTACATCTCAAACCCCCGACACGGGGCCCGGACGGCGGTCAGGTTATGTGCCAGGTGCCCCCGAAACCAGGCGTCCGGGGCGAGGTATGATCCTCGACCCCCGAACATAAGGTCCATCCGGCCTCGGAACGGGTGCCGAAATGTGCCGGAAAGGTACGATGATACCGGTGACGTCTCACTCGATTGCTTCTTGATACCGCTTCGTCGCTATGTTACTTTACTTATCGGTTCTCGATACCAAACTTCATGTAAGTAGGAATTTATAGGTCTAATGATCTTGTGCAAATGCAAAGATCCGAAGTAGAGAGATTAGTACCACGTCAATCAGTGGCCTTAGTGTAGTAGTCGGTACTTCTAAATCTATGTACGGCCTTGTGACAATGGTACAATCGCGCGCGCGATTTTTTGCAATTTCTCGCCTTTTTTGCAATGTTTAGACGTTAGATGCCATTTACCCCCAAAACTGACCGGAATCAGGCGAGGTTATGTGAAGTTCCCCCGAAATCGACCATGGGCTGACCCCCGGAGGGCGGTCCGCGCGGGATCAGAGCTCTTGGGGGATTCGCCGGGGTCCTATCGTCGTACTCCCAGGATGCGGGCCGCATCGGGGTCATGCCATGGGCGCCGGTACATCCAGTCGACGCATTCAATGAACCGTGCGCCACCTATCTGCACATCTGATATACGTGACCTCACCCGCGATGAAGCCTGCAGTGGTGTACGAGAGCACATCGCCTGGAGTATACGAAGAATTCGGAGACGGTGAACGCACTCGATATCAAGTCGCAAGACGCTTGATGCACACTACGATCTGTCCATCATCATTGATGCTGACGAGTGTTTTATGCAGACGCTTTTGCCTTCTCTCAAGCAAGGCCCTCGCAACGTGCCCCGTCGAGCAATGTAAACAAAGCGCATTGCCAATGCGATTACGAATGATTCCGGCCTTGGACGCGGCACATGCAATCAGCGTGGGCCCACATGATGGGGTGTTGAGACATTAGAGAACACGGAAGTTAGATCTATGAACCACTGAGTCAGCGCTTTCAGAATGTTCATTCGGCTCAGCGGGCACTTTTAAAGCTTCACCTCTCACGACAACACACTTTCTACTTCGGTTTGTTTCAGTGATGCTCCGTCAGTGCGTCAGAAACCTTCAGCACCTTCGGTCGAATCAGTATCAAGTGAAACGAATGCTTCTCATTGCAGGTGGCAGTACTGGTGACCGCAGCCACATGCTGTCACTCTACAGCAGGATTGAGACTTGTAACCCATCACGAACGTTGTCATGAGCTCGTGATTGACAAGGTACGGGCTCTTCAAAGCAAGCTAGCACCACAGCCAAGCTTACCACTTCTCACACATAACACTCTCCACTGTAATAGTGCGGTTCTGCAATTCTGCGATGAGGTCAGCTACCTCTATTCTCGCCATTGCAATGGGTGCTGCTTGTCTCCGGGCAGCACATGCAGCAGATGTCTTTGCGCACTTTATGGTTCGCGCAATGTATCTACATACAGAGTCACCCAACTGAATTCCTGTGGCTTGTCTTTGTATAGGTACAGAACTCGTACTCTTATGAACAGTCGGACTGGGAGAACGATATAACAACAGCCGCTGGAATTGGCATAGACGGCTTTGGTGAGACATCAGTCATGCCTCCTCGCCGATTCTGCATTCTAATCATGTCACGAGTCAGCCCTCAATATCGCAGCGTATGACTACGAGGTCGGCCAGCTTGTAACCGCTTTCAGTGTCGCGGAACAGCTCGGCTTCAAATTGTTTTTCTCGTTCGATATGTCTTATTCGTGGTCGAGCGATGACATGGTTGCACTCGTCCAGAATTACTCGACGAGCTCGGCTTCATACAAGTGGAATGGCGATATTCTCGTGTCTACATACTCTGGAGAAACCTATGGCGAATCGTTCTGGGCGGATTTCAAGTCGACCCTGGCGGGCGAAGGCATCACGATCAGCCTCGCTCCCGCGTTCACAAGCTACCGGGATCCAGACGATGCGGACAGCCTCATGAGCAACTTTACCTCCATCAACGGGTTCTTCAACTGGTGGTCATGGTCAGTCACGCTATATTTTCTTGGTATCCTCTCTCCACTTTACAATTGGTGAATGGTGTAGGCCTGCCGATGTGGACGCCAATCTCACCACAGCAACCGATCTTGCCTACCAAGCGATCGTTAAAAGCGACCGCACGGGACCTTACATTATGGGTATGTCTGCCCCAGTCTTAGAGATACAATTGTAGTGCTCACAGATTCTAGCCGTGTCGCCTTGGCAGTTCAAGAACCTGAACACGACGGACAACGATTGGGTCGAGTATAGCGATACGCTGTGGCACTACCTGCAAGCCATCCAGGACGTGCAACCGGACATTGTTGAGATCGTGACGTGGGTGATAGTTATTCTCTTGTCTCCCAGGGAGATAATCATTGTCATCTGGCAGCTGGAACGACTATGCAGAATCGCATTACATCGGTGATATTAACCCCAAGGTTAATCTCGGCACATACGCTCCGAACTACGTGAGCAAACAAACATACTAGGGTGTTATGGTCAACGCTGACTCCCAATATATGCTCAGGTGCCTAAATTCACCCATGGCGCCTGGAGGAACGTCGCCCAATTCTTCATCAGCTGGTACAAGAATGGCACCGAGCCCACCGTTACTGCTCGTATCATTTCCACCTCATGTCGAATGCCCGCTAACACCTTTGTTAGGACGACCAAGTGGTGTTCTGGTACCGCGTATGGCCGAAGGATACCGTATGCTGCTGCAGCTTGGAGCCGCGCAACTATGAGTTTCCCGAGGATGCTATTTTTGCGATCGCACTCCTCAGCGAGCCTGCGACGATTCAGATGAACATCGGCTCGAGCGCGTCATCATGGGATGCGCCGGCGGGTCACAGCATCGGCTCGGTACCGTTCCCCACCGAGGACGCACAAATCCCGTACATCCAGATCATCCGCGATGGAACGACGATTAAAGATGGGTATGGAAGCTACTACATTAACCAGACTGGATGCACTTTCTACAACTTCAACCCCTTCGTGGACATTATCTCGTAGGCGGTGTGGACGTGGACTCTGCGAACATTAAACACAGGACAACCCCATATTTATATTTACATAGGTCATTTAGCTCTTCTGGGTCATTTTCACTCACTCCCAACTGCTGCTGTTGGCGTATGCAAGCGCATCATAAACATTTGGTTACCATTGAGTTCGTCTGATACCTGAAGGCAGAAAACGTCATCTTCGACGGTCGCTCCTGGCTTATGCTGTAGTAAGACGGTCGCATATAGGCTTCGATCCGCACCGAAGTCTCACAAGACGACAACGACTTGTTGACGACGATGATAGTGACGGCTGGATCCGTCGGAGAAGCGACTGTGCGAAGGGTCTGGAGCGCGAGAAGCGACCTGGTTCTATGTAGATACAACACTATTGTGATACATTTCTTTGCTACCTATCTTCGACTGTTGATTGCTTTTAGGACCATGACAACGACAAAATGAATTTGACGTCTGCGACCTCTTGCTCCTCCTCGATCAGCACTTTCTGTGTTGATTTTCTCTTGGACACATCAACGGGCACACTGCGCACCGTCTTCTGAATCAGCTCTGCGTACTCATCCATCGCCTGGAGCAGCTCGGCACCCGTGCCATCCTCAAATACATAGAACACATCCACATCGTCCGTCGCCTGCAATCCTGCCCGTTTTCGCAGCTTCTGCATGCGGTTGATGAGTTCGCGCGCAAGCCATTCACTCTGTAGTTCGGCGTGTACTTGAATGTCAAGCCGCACGACAACATCGTTGTCCGTGTGCGTCGCATATTGCGCCTGGCCCTCGACCTCGGGTAACTCGATGTAGCGCTGCACAGTCAAGTCGCCCGCGACTAGCTCGATGCCATCCACGTTCAGCTTGCCCGTCTCCACGTATGAGCGGATATCGTCACTCGGAACCTTCGGCAGCGCAGCTTTGACGCGACCAATGTCTTTTCGAAGCTTCTTGCCGAGGACTCCCCAGTCAGCTACTGCACGATGGCGCACACCCGCCATCTTCTCATCCGATGTGAAGACGACGTCACGGACGTTGAGCTCTGATAGGATGTACCGCTGCAGCCCGCGTGCGTCATCAAGGTACTCGTTGTCGGCGTGGAAGACCAGAAGTTCCCGTAATGGTGTCTGTCACAATCATCAGAACACAGTTGGCTTGTAAATTGATATAGCTCGTACCTTCAAAGAAAGATTGTGACGCTCGCGGATATTTCTCGTGAGCTCGATGACGGCTTGCAGCCGCTTCACTTGGCGCTCGATGACTACGTCAAAGTACTCCTCCTTCACTTCCGGGAAGGCAAGGAAGTGTATGGAGCGCACATCGCCTGCAGCAGGGTTCTCGGGGATGAAGGGGCGTAGTGCTTGGTAGATATTTTCGGTCAGGAAGGGGGTGTACGACGACTGCGATGTACGATTTCATTGTGTGTTCATTCCCACAATGCGACGCAAACACTCACCATTGTGCGGCAGAGGGTGAATAGCGTCTCGAACAGGGTATTTAGCGCGGTCACTGTGTCTTCGACACCGTCCTCGCCCTTGAGTCTTCTCCGGTTGAATCGGATGTACCAATTCGTCAGCTCGTCGACGAGGTCGAGCAGACGGGGAATGATGGTGTAGAGGCGGTACGCGGCCATCTCCTCACTCACCAGCCGGATGAGCGACTGGCACCGCGCGAGGATCCAGCGGTCCATCACATTCTGTGAGAGAGGCGCGTGCGCATCGTACTGGAATGCGCGACCAGTCGTCTTCTTGAGCAGTGCAACCTGCCCGAGAAAGAAGCGGAGCGCATTAAGCCACGGGAGCAGAACGCGGGAGACGACCTCCCGCACGCCCTCCTCGCGGAAGCGTAAGTTGTCGCCCCGCACGATGGGCGAGTTGACGAGGAACATTCTATTCAATAATCCATCAGTCTTCGCCTAGGGAGGCTCGTGAGTGGCTTTACCTCGTAGCATCGGCGCCGTACTGGTCGATGATGACGTTGGGGTCAGGGTAGTTCTTCAAGCTCTTGCTCATCTTCCTGCCATCGCTGTGGAGGCCGGGACATCGTCAGCCTGCCGACGCTACATGCGTGATGAGTATGACTCACGCTGCGAGGACGAGCCCGTATACGATGAGGTTCTTCCATGGTGCGGTGCCGAACAGGTGTGTTGAGAGCACGAGGAGCGTATAGAACCATCCGCGCGTCTGGTCGATACCTTCGGACACGAAATCTGCCGGGAACGTTTGCTGGAACGTATCCTGGTTCTCGAACGGGTAGTGGATCTGCGCGTACGGCATGCTGCGCGTGACCTATCAACGAAGGTATGGGAAGGGCGAGGGAAGCGCAACGCACCTGCCGGACTCGAACCAACAATCAAAGACCTCCTCGATACGCCGGAGCTGGCCCTTGCCCTGCTTCGATGGGATGGTGATGTGGTCGATCTTGTCCCGGTGCAAGTCCGTGATACCCTTGACACCAGAAAGCGTCTCGAGCTCTTCAACAGAGCCCACACATACAATCTAGGCGTTGCGTCATGCAATGGCCTATATTCAACGTTGGTAGGGGATCTCACCTCCTCCATGTCTTCACTCGCCCAGAGCGGGATGGGCGTGCCCCAATACCGATTACGCGAGATGTTCCAATCGCGCGCGTTTGCGAGCCAATTGCCGAAACGGCCATCACCAACACTCTGCGGCACCCTGTATTGGAGAGGCTGTCAATGAAGAGTACACAGCGGGTTTGTGACGGAACTGACCATCGCGTCTCCTTGTTATTTGCAACAAGCTGATCAACTATGGGCGTAACACGCACGAACCACACAGGGATGGCACGGTAGATCAGGGGAGTACCTGAGCTGCATACGGATTTTTGTCAGATTGGGGAAGCTAGCCTGGTGCCATGCCAAGACTCACCGCCAACAGAAGGGGTAGGAGTGGTTAATGGTCGACTGCACGATCAGACGGCCCTTGGCCTTCAAAACCTTCTGGATGTCCTTGTCCGCAGCCTGTGAAAAACCAGTTCCTTTTATAATATGTATAGGTGATAATGAGACCCATACGTACCTTGACGTGCAGACCCTTGAAGTCGGGCACTTCGTCCGTGAAGCGGCCAGCATCGTCGATCGGGCATGGGGGCATTTCCTCAGGACGCAACACACCGTTCGCAATGGCAATCCGGTGGTCATCCTCACCGAAGGCGGGGGCTTGGTGGACAATACCGGTACCGTCTTCGGCCGTCACGTATGTGTCGTTGAGCACGCGGAATGCCTTGTCTTCGAACTATCCAGCATTCGTCAGTATCAACAACCGAGCGCCGGTAACAGCGACGCGTACCTGATCCGTGAAGTACTCAAATAGCGGCACATATCGCCAGCCCTTCATATCTGTGCCCTTGAACGTGCCGAGCTTCTTAAACTTAGCCTTCTTCGGATCCTTGTACAGCGTACGGAGCAGGCCCTCGTGTAGTATGAAATTTTGGTCGCGTTCCTGGTCGTGAATCTTCACGTAGGTGTAGTCAGGATGTACGCACAGAGCGAGGTTGGACGGAAGCGTCCATGGCGTTGTCGTCCATGCAAGTAAGGACGTCGTGCGGTCATCGACGAGCGGGAATGCGACCGTGACCGCGGGGTCGCTTACGTCCTTGTAGTTCTGGCCCGCCTCGAAATTCGACAGTGGTGTGAGACAGCCGGTCGAGTACGGCATGACCTTGAGCCCGCGGTAGACCATCCCCTTCTTGTAGAGCTCGCCGAACGCCCACCAGACGCTCTCCATGAAGGTGACGTTGAGTGTCTTGTAGTCGTTGTCAAAGTCGATCCAACGGCCCATGCGCTCGACGGTGCGCCGCCACTCGGACGCGTAGCGCATGACAATCGCGCGGCATTCGGCGTTGTAGGCGGCAATACCCATCTTCATGACGTCTTCACGGCCGGTGATGCCCAGCTTCTTGTCTATTTCGTGCTCGACGGGGAGGCCGTGTGTGTCCCAGCCGAAGCGACGGGTGACATGGTATCCACTCGCGTGCGCATGGCGAGTGACAATGTCCTGAGATGAATATCAGCACGACATGCGTAAGTGATCACAGGTTAAAAGACATAAGTATCGCAAGATGATGCGCAAAACTAAATGAGTGACCACTGGTCCGAAATGTGCCACAGGACTATGTGAGCCCCAATGAATGCGGAGCAATGAGCCACAGAGTTCTGCCCGGTGGTTACAAATGACATTCGGACGGAGGAGCCATTGTAGTATCACGGATGGTCCTTCATGCGTGCATAGAGGATCAGCTAGCAGCTCGTGACGCACCTTGATCGTTCCGGCTAGCAAATGACCATAATGTGGGAGACCGGTTGCGAATGGGGGACCATCGTAAAACGAGAACTCTGGTCTTCCCTCGGAGAGCTTCAAGCTAGTCCCAAAGGCGTCTATTCCGCGCCAGAACTCGAGGACTTTCTCCTCCTCCTTTGCAAAGTTAAATGGTGCAGACACTGATTTACCGAAATTGATCAGATCCGACGCGATTTTATCTTGATTTCGCTAGTCAACTTACAATCGTGCGGCGGGAAAGACATAGTGAATGTTTCCTGTGTCTCGCCTGAACACAGGGAGTATTTAAAGAGGTCTGGAGACCCGAGGATATGAGGAAAGAGACTAGGATGACTCGAGGTTGCCGCTCAAAAGGTGGTAGAGAGCAGGCGCCCGCTCAGATCACCTCGGCAATGTCCGAGGTAACGATCGGCCCGATCGTTCCTCGTTCCGTTCCCCGCACTTCGTCCGCTTCTCCTCGAGTCACTCCTCGCTTTCATCCTCTGCCTTTTGTTTCCATCCTGCCAAGTCGGTCCTTCAGCTCGTGAGAGAGACTGCATCGTTTGTGCTCACAGTGGTACTTTCCTGCTTGCAAAGTGGGTTCAAAGGCATCGTGCACTAGACACATGATTCTCATGAACCAGCATTTCGCTTCGTTTTACGTATTTCGACGAACGGCCCACATAAACAGCGAGCTTACTGGCCTCAAACGGTTCAGGCTATAATACGATTCTTTATCATTGAATGGAGGCATCAGCACCCTCGGGTGGTATGGTGACCTCGTACACGTACGTGGACACGCCCAACCCAAATCTTGTCAGTTCTCTCCGCCGCACGGCTCAGGATCCCTGCTCATATCCGTGATTGTCACATGAAGGTGTGCTGCATATGCAGGTGTGCATTATACCACTCTGAATTGCCAAACGGATCTTACGTCCGCCTATAGGACCCCCTTTCTCGACCCATGCACGACCCGCACATGTTGTCACACATTCTGCTATGAGTGTATTGCCCGCGCCATCGCAATCTCTCGCCAGTGTCCCATCGACAGATGTCCTCTCTCGCTTCTTGACCTCGGGCCCGCAGACCCTCTCATTCGCAACGTGCGTGTGGCGTCACCGCTTGTTTCGATGTCCCAACAATTGACTGCTGATAATCACGTAGCTGGTTGACGAGATGGTTGTTGAATGTCCACAGCGCCCCGCGGGCTGTACATACACATGCCAGAGGCTATTACTTCCAGCTCACATCAGTGATTCCTGCGAATATGTAGAGGTTGCATGTTCGCACAAAGGATGTGGTAAACAAGTCCTACGCAGAGATTTCACACGCCATCGCCACAACGATGAGTCCAAAGATGAAGAGCCAGCTGCGTCAGGGCATGGCCTGGAAGCAAGTCTAGTGCTGGGCCCTACTGACACGACCAATCATACTGATTCTGCCTCATTGACATCTCAGGCCAACCATGAGCAAGAGGCCACAGGAAGCACGTCTCCATCGAGCACCAGCAATTCCGTACAATTAGAGGACCCTCTAAGAGTGGAAAATGCGCTCCTAAAACATCGCATATCCGCGCTGGAAGGGGTTGTCAACATTTTAAGACATGAGATGCAAGCGGTCAAGCATGCTCTCGGACCTTGGTACAGTGAAGACGATGCTGGTTTCAACTCGGTTGCTCCCGGTTCTGGGATAAGCAGGGATGGAGAATATGGTCACCGCGGCGACTCGCAGGTTACTAGCCCATCAAGGAGCGCTCTCCCTGAGCCGTCATCCCAATCACCCGTACAACCTTCCCGTCTCTCTCACTCCAGGGCGCCATCCGCAACGGAAGGGACTGAAACCGTCGATCTTGCTTCCTACTTCCCACCAGCGGAGGACGAGGACGTGTACTCTCCTGACTTCCTGCGCTCTGCCACACAACATCCAGCAGCCGGCCATCCACACCGCTCGCATGCCCCCCAGGTGCACCTTGCGGGGCCTAATGCTGCTGCGCCTGCGGCTTATGTCCTTCCTACACCGTACAACGTTACCGCGCGTCCGGTGCCTCCGTACACCAGCCCCGGCCTCGCACCGAACCTCGCGCTTGCCGTACCCCCACTCGATCCGTCGCAGCCGCTGCCCGCGACGCTTGCAGACTTGCACGGCATGCTGGTGTCGCTCGCCGGCGCGCTCGGCGCGCTCGGGAGTGCACGTGCCCAGGATGCCCTACACACGAACGAGGAGCTTCGTAGTGTTCGTGCAGGAATGCACGGGCTGCGCATGCAGGTGAGTCGCTTCCGTTAACATTGACACCCATGCAACAAATCGCGAACAATGATCCATCGCAGGTCCATGACATCATGACCACACGCTCGGCGGGCTCCGCCCAGCCCTCGGCGTCCGTTGGTGCTAATGGTAGCGCGAGCATAATGGAAGGCGCAGGCGTAGGTGCTACTGGCATGGGAGGAGGGCCGTCATGGCTGGCCTACGGGCCACGGATAATTGGGCCGCCACACTTCCCTCATCTGCCGGTATCTACGACAAAGCTTTAGGCGTTCTTCTGTAGATTGTGTACACATAGTATATCGCTTTGACGATACTAGACGTGTTCCCTCGACGTGTCTTACACTTGTTTGTCATCATAAGCCACTCTTGAGTTTCATTTCATGTATGATTTTGTGCTAGGACTCCAGATATTGTGCACGTCTTGAACACGCAAAAACTCAAGAGTCGGGGAGGTTCGAGCGCAGACTGAGCGCAGTTTTTCGAAAGGCCCTCCGTAAGTCGTGCGCAAGCCTGTTGGACCCGTTCGGCGGCAACCGTAGATCGCCATGCAATGCATGGGGGTTACAATGCCTATCACCATGCTCTCAACGTCCGACAAGTCGTAATGGAGTAGAAAGGATGACGCATGCTCAACCCCCTTGTCGGGGTTGTGTTGCAGTATATGTGGCTCTGCAAGCGGCCGAGAGCAGCTCGATGATGAAGGTCTTGCGAAGGGCATTATTGTCCTAGATATCGTTCACTCGTTAATGTACGTCAGTTCTATAACAGTGACATCTGCTCAAGAAGGCGCACCGAAACCACGTCCCCATTACTCCTAAAGGCGATGATGAATCGCCGTAGGGGGACGTGCCCTAGAAGCCACTGGCAGGGAAGAGCACTTATAAGTTGGCATCGAGCTCATGATAGCATGCACACGCAACACCTTCTCACCTTGAAAAATAAGCAACATCGGTGCATATAGGGACTGAATCCTGGTCTTGTCTGCGATGGATACCACTGATCCCAGACGCTATCAGTGTCTAGAGACAGGAAACCAAAGGATATATGTATATAGTGGGTGTCCATACAATCAGGGCCAAGTCGCTTTCGTGTTCAACGTCCGCACGATCACTTCTTCGACGAGCCGAAACCAGCGAAGCCCATCATCGCCATCATGTCGTCCCCGCCTGGTGCCGGCCCCGTATCTTTCGCCAGTTCTACGAGGGCCTGTTCACGCTGCGCCTTCTTCGCAGCTTTCTTCTCTGCACGCAACGCTGCCTCACGCTCCCGCACCTCCGACAGGCGCTTCTCGAAGTCAAACGACTTTGCGTTGGAGGCTTCACGCGTCTTTTCTCTTAAATACGCTATTCGGGCCCGGACCTGCTCGACCGTTGACCGCTCTATCCGCGTCGTCTGGCCGAGCGCACGCAAATCTGAATGTGAGACGTCGGTCAGGAGCTCCAACGGAATGTCAACAAATATCCTTACGTGCGCGCCCATTGATGTGGTCGAGATAGCCTGTGCTGTCTTTGTACGTGCGATTGCATGTTTCACAATAGAAGCCTGGTACGCCGGGGCCGCGCGTGCCGGCATTCTGCACGACCATCGTCTTACCAAGGTTCTTGTCGAGCTCAAGGGGCCCCTCGCGGCGCTTCATGAGTTCTGTAGGCTTTGGTAGATCATCTTTGCGACCCTTCCTGGGTTTCTTTCCTAGCACAAACCAGACAGATGAACAACAGCGGAGTGTGGCGGCTCACAGACGTACCTTGCTTAATGCGCTCCTCGTTCTCCTTCATGCGTTCCTTCTCATCCTCGTCGCGCTGACGTGCCTTCTCCGCGTATTCTTCCTTGTCCCATTTCTTCCGGAAGTCTGTGTCAGAAGCGCGTGTCCCATATGCGCCGCCTTTGCTGCTAGACATAGTCGGTGCGATTAACGGGGAAGGATGGGCGCTTGTTGGACATCTCTTTGATTGGCGCTAAGTGGATGTACAAAACAGGCAAGTGTCGTAGTATACATCTAAACATGTCCTGGCATCTGGATACAGGCAGAAGCACGAGGTGACCCAGTCCTACATATATTTCACACCATCAGACCAAAATACCTTCAGGTAGACAGATGAGCTCGTCGGAGCTCTCTATCGGTGGCAGCATATAGAAGATAGTCGAAGGAGATCACCAAACCAAAATTGTCGACCTCGATCTGCCAATCTGGCTCGACGTGGTTTCTAGGTATAAAGTACGTGGTGGCACTTACTATCTCATTGTTTGTCTTGCTCAGTGTACTGTAGAAGCGGATTGCAAGGATGTATCACCGAGCGTGACCAATTCGGCGCCCACGCTAAAGCTACATGCGATTAAACGCAAATTACGGAGCCGATTACAACAATGTGCTATGATATGAAGTATGAGAGTGGGAAAGTGACGCAGCTCACACAATAGGGTTTTCTGCACTGTGTGCTACAAGCTCTTCAATGAGCCTCACCGCTCGCTCAGACCTAGGTAGAATTGTGCACACGAAGGGATCGACATGACTAACAACTTGTCAGCCACATTCGCACCTGGACAAACAATAGAGCGCACCTGATAATACCGTTCTTGAAGGATGGTGCAGGTACAATCTCATGACCAGCTGCATCGCGGGCCCGTCCTACGTTCATAGTCGCTAAAATGCTCGCGGTAACAAGCCAGACACTCGAGTCCGCAAGATACCGTCCAGGGCAGATACTACACAACGGTTCAGCACAGGGAGCGCCGGTCGTGGGAAACCCATACCGTCGACCAAAACCAAAGACATATTTCCGAGGATCCAGTAGGCTTGTCGCATTGGCATCCAGCCCTTCAAATCGTTCAGGCCGGAATGCTTCCGGATCCGGGTACAGTGCCGAGTCCCGGCTCATAGCCCTTGTCAAGTATTCGGTCGAGTGTTCAACACAATGTGCAAAACACACGCACCATACATTAGGAACAATCATTGATCCTCCTGGGATATCGTACCCACGGTAGTTGTCATCATCGCGTACACAGTGAGGCACGCCTGAAAAGGTATCAGTGCAACATCGCTCATCTGTAAGTCAGAGTTCATATACCCAAAGGAGCGGGAGGGTTCCAGCTGCGAGATGTGTCAAACCAGTTTGACAATGAGGCTGGGAGTTACGTACCGATACACCTCTTTAACAATGGATTCGACATACGGTAGGACATCCCTGTCGCTGAGATCTGGCAGTCTGGATAACCCGACTACCTGATCAATCTCAGCCTGCGCCTTTCGGGCCACTTCGGGATATATTGTCATAGCCAACATCAGTGTGGAAAGCGATGTCATAGACTATGTGTAGTTAACCGTTCAGCAGGACATTTCCGAACGATCGAACAAACGCACGGTGTCCACTCCAGCTGTATATCATTTTTAAGTCAAGCAACATTGATGTACATTACACAGAACGCGTACCTGCATACATAAGAGTCGCGGAGCCCTTGACATCAATCTCATCGTCCTCAGTCAGTTTGCCATCATGCGATACCTCATCGAGCATGAAGGTTGTGAATGACCGTTTCACGGAGTCGGACTCCTGCACATTGATTGATTTGGTTCAGTATTGTTCCTGTGCTGCACCAATCGACACTTTACCATGGCGTTGCGCAGCTTCTGATATGGAATGTCTTCCATAGCATCCCACATCTCCTTGCCCCTCACCGCTTGCTTCTTGAATCCACTGCCCGGCATCCAGGACGGAAGATATTTCACTGGACCCGCCACATGGCGGTGAGAGCTCAGCGGTTCATCACAGTATAAGCTTGGAAGGAGATACGCACTGATCGGGAAGAAGTCGACAAGGGTTGCAGCAAAGCTTCCGAGGGCCGTAATAGTGGCAATGGTCTTGTCGGCAAATATCATGAACTCATCGTCGACAGACGTGACACGATGACCGTATGCAATATCCAGCATTACGGCACCATTGAACCTGACAAAATGTATAATGAAACGATTAATACCGGTCATGAAGCCGTTCTCGTACCGTTTGATATGGGAAATGAAGTCTTCGGATGTCTCCATGAGCGAGGATAGAAGTCTGCCGATCTCCCTTGTCTGTACTGGGCGATAGCCTTCCAGCACGGCCTTGTTCTCAAGCGAGCCTTGGTACCATCGTCGAAGACGCCGGTACCTGTTATCATAGGACATGAATATCATGAGCGGCTTGGTCATGACACTGTGTTGTTTTAGGCACATCAGTCATGCACATCGTGATATGGTAAAGTGCACCCACAATTCGCGTAGCAGGAGGAAATACGGGCGATCAGAATACTTGCTTGCCCGCTTCTCCATGAGATCCTGCGCGGCTTGAACTGAGCTCACGATGAGAAAGGGCTTGCTGAATAGCTCAATGTATATAACATCCCCTAATATAACATAGACCACTTTAGGATGACACTATATAATGTACAATATCGATAAAACCCGCACCATATTTCTGCATCCATTCAGCAAACGTCTTCTGTTGGTCGACCAGCGGAACTTGATGCAAGTTCCCCAAGAATGGTATGCGACTGGGTCCTGGAGGTAGACGATGTCCACGGGTAGAAAGGGCAAGGCGATTGATGAGTAGGATCAGAAATAGAAGCGAGGTTATGACTAAAGCATCCGTCCTGTTGAATCCCGTCGACATAATGAGGATCAGGATGCATCATGCTTGGAATTCGAAGTGTCCTACTATTTGTACGCCATCGCCAGCGGGCATCAAGCTGAAATAGGAAGCATAATATACGGCATTGCCGGCTATAATGGACCCCAAAAGGGGATAACATATGAATTGCAGGGAAGGATGGTATGGCAGGGAGCGCTCACTTTAGAGTATGAGAATGCTGCGCCATCAGCCTGTATGCATTCAGACACGCCAGCCGCTGTCAACGTCCATTGGCGAGGTTGCGTCAGTTAGCATCACGCTCTCTTGCTTTTGAAGATAGTGGAAGCGAGCGCTCGCGGACCATTGGCTTCCCCGCACAGAAAGAGAGATCGCTGACTGAATAACTTTGACGTTGAGCAGAGTTGGCGAGGGCAGCAACAATACTACGATAGCGAGACAAACTGTCCACATTTGAATCAGTTTAATGCATCCTCCCACCGCTTACAATTGAATGTGTTTGCGTCGAACGGCATGCGAATGTCTGCGTCGAGCGGGGACACTTCCTGCGCGGAGAAATCTTCATAGACATTCGTCCACTACCATCTTAGGTGCCAGAAGAGATTACACATGATGAATCGATTAACCAATTCCCTTTGCCGGTGCGACAAGGTTCTCGACAGAAGTACCGCCTAGGTGAGAATGAGTGCGATGCAGCTAGCCTATAGTGGTTAATTGCCTAGTAGGCTGTCCGGAAGCGCATTACCCATGCCACGCCACCGGGGACGACGATGACAGAGCAAGCTAAAGAAAAGGTGCAATCCGTCTCAACGCAAGGAGATGCAAAGCATGCTCCCCCGAGCAATGAACTCTGAGCACTGTGGGATCATACTCAGGCTATGGCTTTCGGGACAGGGTGATCAATTCATCTCGAGCACATATTTTATACAGCGAGGATTGATCGCCCAGAGAGCTGAGGAAGGCTACATCTGTCATCTTGCAGGGGTAACGAGCTAGCATGAGGGATACGCATACAGTAGTCAAGAATGCAGAGCGGTTATAGCGGCTGTCAGTGCCACTTCGCTAGTCCCTGAGAGCAGAGTAGACAATTCCTCCAACCTGCGCCAGCTCTAGCCAGCTCCGAATATCTATATATAATGATCGTCGCCCCCATAAATAAATGCTGCATATTCCGAGCTCCGGATATGGCAGCAGATAGATTACATAATCGTCGCTCGAACATGCCTTATGATTTTCGTTGAACATTCCGCACCTCGTTGGGTGTCTGGACAATATCCGGAGAGCGGAAACCTTGGATTGTCCCCAGGGTCACTCAGGTCCTTTCCACCGCATCTCTGGCAGTCCTATCGCATGGATTCTAGCGGGGCGGCCTATGATTACACTGAAGGTGCTTCTGCAATTGACATTCAGCAAGCTCTCGCCGTCAATGCTCGAGGCAGAAGAGACTCGCGCTATGGCGCCGAAGGCGGCGGAGCTATGTTCGATGGCCCAGGCCATTCCGTGAACCCCAGCAGCATTTCAAGGATGTCGGTAGACCATCGCAGACGCAACAGCGACGCCTGGTCCGCAGACTCAAGATCCCGCAGAAGAAGCGAGGATAGCGCTCGGGCCCAGGGAGAACGTCGTAGCCGCAGGATGAGTCGCGACAGCAAGGTCTCATACGGGTCCGTCGAGCGCAGCGCTCAGGATGACGACCGGTCAGACGAAGGCGAGAGCCATGACATGGCCAGGCGACCGAGGCGCAGACGATCGTCCTCCACGTCCCCCGAACCGCACCGCGCGACGATGTTTGAGAACATCGCGCACATGTTCAGGCGCGGGACCCATCTCACCGAGTCACCGCCACACAGCCGACGCGCCTCTGTCTCGAGCCGCACGTCTCGGACGCATCTCCTCCGTCGCTCGAGCAGCAGGCGATCGAACGCCAGCTCTGATTACGCTCTGGATTTGGGGGACGAGGCCGACGACCGCTGGGGCTACTCTTCTGGCGAAGAGGACGAGAGCGAGGGATCTGATGGTGAGCATACTGACGCAGCGAGCAACGCACATAGCGGAAGCGAGCTGGACTATGGGTCTTATCCCCCCTCGCCCACCGCTGGCCCCTCGCTGCCGCTCATGTCGGGCGACACAATCTTTGGCGGCGAGACGCGCATAGCGATGGGTGATTTTGAGCCTCTGTCCCCACCGCCACCAGGCCCATCTAGTCGACAGACGATTCATTTGGCCGATGAGGACACTCAGATCCGTATGATTGGCTATGAGGTGCTGCTCTGGCGACAGCGATTTTGGCGACTGTGTTGCGTCTTCACATTTGGAATTCTGGCCTTACTCGGTCGTTGGTTTCCTCGCTTATGGTTGCGCTGTGTTTGCCGGGAGAAGGGGTTCAAGGATATCACATATGGCTTCGTCGTTATTGAGGTGGGTCTCCTTTCGTACAGCAACGAGCACGGTAGTTCAGACGGGTAAAAGACGGTCTACAGAGACATCGCATTGTTCCCCCTTCGGCGAATAGAATATCCATATGACATATCTACTGTCTTCCCGTCAAGGAACAGCACGTCAGGGGCTTCGGTCAACGGAAATGGTCGCGCTGAAGACGGCGTGAAAGCATTAAGCCAATTGATTGTAGTCAACTACCGCTACGCTCTATTTGCGCTTGATCCTCGTACTGGTCTCTTTGGCACGGTCAGGTATCAACCTTTGACATAATGTAGTCTACAAACATTCACCATCCTCACCTCGATAGGGATTGGCGCGATTTGGCCTGGACAGGCGTAGTATCCGTCCAGCATGGTCTCAGCACCCCTGTACGACAACAAAGATGTACGCTCTTCGGGCCCAACCTGATCGACATTGAGGGGAAATCCACAATATCATTGCTCATCGATGAGGTTTGGTGAATCCCACGTGCAAAGCTGCAGTGGGCTGATAGTCTCATGTCTGTAGATAATCCACCCATTCTACGTCTTCCAGATTGCTAGCATCATATTGTGGTCGCTTGACAACTACTACTATTACGCCTTTTGCATCGCCCTCATATCTGCTATCAGCATTGCCACGACTCTTCTCGAGACCAGAAAGGTGTGTCCTGCAAGCACCTTAATCGTATCCAGACTAAGTCTTCTAGACGATCGCTCGCATGCGAGAAATGTCTCGGTTTACATGCGCTGTCAAAGTATACTATGACGGAGGATGTGAGCAGTCATTCACTGACTTCATTCTACAGCAATTCACTCTTCCGTTTCAGGGGTGGAGACCGATTCCGCCAATATCGTGCCCGGTGATATCGTGAATTTGCTTGAGCCGTCGTTGGTTACCCTGCCCGCCGACATGTTCCTTCTCTCAGGTGACGCCATCGTCAACGAGAGTATGCTCACCGGGGAAAGTGTCCCTGTCGGCAAAGTGCCTGCAAGGGACGAAGACCTGGCACGGTACAAGGACGGAAAGGATATCACGGGAGATATGTCAAAGAGTTTTCTGTATGCCGGCACGCGCGTGGTGCGCATGCGGGGTTCGTTAGCCCCCGATGGCAGTCCCAGGACGCCGGCGCTGGGGCTTGTCGCGCGGACCGGTTGGTATCTTCCACTGTAGCTGTGCTCAATCTTCTGACATAGCAGTAGGGTTTGACACGACGAAAGGGGCGTTGGTGCGCTCGATGCTCTTCCCAAAGCCCACGGGCTTCAAGTTTTATCGCGACTCGATTCGGTTCATTCTCGTCCTGACTGGGATTGCCGGTCTGGGATTTTGTGCCAGTGCGGTTCAGTTTGTTAGGCTGGGGGTATGTAATCCGCCCGTCGTCGACTGTCCGGATTCGTTGATCGACGGGTACAAATAGGTCAAATGGCGCACGATCCTCATTAGAGCCCTCGACCTGATTACGGTCGTGGTGCCGCCCGCCTTGCCTGCGACGTTGTCCATCGGGACGAGCTTCGCGATCAGCCGCCTGCGCAAACTGGGCATCTTCTGCATCTCCCCGAGCCGTATAAACGTCGCCGGGCAGATTAACGCGTGCTGCTTCGACAAGACGGGGACGCTGACTGAAGACGGGCTAGACATCCTTGGCGTGCGCGCGTTAGAGCGGAATGTCGACCGGTTTGGCGAGCTTCTCGAGGACGTACATGGCCTGCCGTCCAGCCGCGACAAGACGAATTTCCTGCACGCGCTGGCGACGTGTCATTCGCTCAAGCAGATCGATGGCGAGGTCATCGGGGACCCGCTTGACGTCAAGATGTTCCAGTTCACGAAGTGGACGCTAGAAGAAGGTGATGTGGCGGGCACGGGCGTAGTCAAGAGCCGGGCAGGCGGCGACCGCCCAGCGGCACTAGTGCAGACGGTCGTGCGCCCCCCAGGTAGCGCTCAGTTCCGGCTTGAAGACGCGCTGAAAGGTGGTAGAGTCTGTGTCTTCCTCGTCTTATATCGCATGGATAGTCGCTCATTTTGCAATTGTTCAGCACGCACATTTTCTCGAGTTGGGCGTGATAAAAACATTCGATTTCGTCTCCGCATTGCGCAGAATGAGCGTGATCGTCAAGCGCCTGCGGAGCAGTAGTATGGAAGTGTACGTGAAGGGTGCCCCAGAAATCATGGGTGACATTTGCGAGAAAGATTCTTGTGAGTCAGCATTGAGCCTAATACAGACTATATTCTCATCCAAGAGATGACAGTCCCGCATGACTATGACGACCTGCTCTCTTATTACACAAAGCGTGGGTACAGAGTCATAGCTATCGCCGGCAAGAGCATCGAAGGCCTCACTTGGCTGAAGGCACAAAAAATGAAACGGTACGCATTTTCACGTGTGCCGGAGGATATCGTTAATTGTTCTTCTGTGGTTCAGTGAACAGGCTGAGTCTGGCCTTCGCTTCCTCGGCCTCGTTATCTTCGAGAACAAGCTTAAGCCGGGAACGACGCCCGCGATACAGGCGCTTCGGGCAGCGCACTTTACCTGCCGCATGATCACGGGCGACAACCCCTTGACTGCCGTTAGTGTCGCGAGAGAATGCGGAATGATCAACCCTGCAGGCCACGTCTTCGCTCCCGTTTTCGTATCAGGTATAAGGCGCACCATCTTTCCTCTTTACTGAACTATACAAACAAACTCTACCCAGGTAACCTGGCAACGCCGTTATCTAGGCTGGAATGGTCGAGTTTGGACGAACCAACATGGAAACTCGACGATTACAGCCTCAAGCCTCTGACGCCTCCTGCTCACCACCTCGTCGAGTCCGCCGATCACGAGTATCATGATTATACTCTGGCGATATCTGGTGATGTGTTTAGGTGGATGATTAATCACGCTCCGCTGGAGACATTGCAGCGTGTGAGTCTTCCGCTAGCTCACCAGAGACTTCGCTAACCGATGCTCCGCTATGCTTTTGGATTGAAGATGCTGGTCAAAGCGCAGATCTTCGCCAGGATGTCGCCGGACGAAAAGAACGAGGTTGTAGAGCGGTTGCAGAGCCTGGGCTACACAGTTCTCATGTGTGGCGATGGCGCTAATGACTGTGCTGCACTGAAAGCGGCGGACGTCGGTCTATCGCTTTCAGAAGCTGAGGCTTCCGTCGCCGCTCCGTTTACAAGTCGTACCCCGGATATAAGCTGCGTTCTAGAAGTCATTAAAGAAGGACGTGCCGCACTCGTTACTAGCTTCAGTTGTTTCAAATATATGTGAGCCAGCGAGTTCGTCCCTCCTTTCTGCTATCTGACATCACTCGTCAGGGCATTGTACTCGCTGATACAGTTTACTACAATAACACTCCTATACTCGTTTGCATCTTCTCTTGGAGATTTGCAGGTACGGTGAACATCTGTCTCAATCTATGCATTGCGCTGAACCTTGGTATCAGTTTCTATACATCGACTTATTCATCATTATCCCCATTGCTGTCACAAGTACGTGTTCCATTCAGCAAGACGTTCTCTCGGCTGATTGATTTGTCTGTCACAGTGGGTCGAACATTGCCATACCCAAAGATACACCCGAAACGTCCCACGGCCAGCTTGGTGTCAAAGAAAGTCCTTGCCAGTCTGGTAGGGCAGATCGTGATCACTGTGACCATCCAATTCTGGGCATTCTTCTGGATCCGGAGACAGGACTGGTAATGTTTTCGAAACGTCTCGCAGCCGATGCCGATCTCATCGAGATGTCTAGGTACGAGCCGCCCCCGCCTGCGGATCCGAATTCAGACGATGACCAGCTTGAGGCCACTAATTTCGAGAATTCGGCCCTGTTCCTGGTCTCATGCTTTCAATACATCCTGGTAGCAGCGGTGTTCAGCATCGGGGCTCCGTATCGTCGCCCAATGTGGACAAATGGTGATGTCTTCCCGGCCGCCTCGGCGCCGACGCTCAGAGTTGTTGCTGACAGGCCGACATAGGTCTCTTCATGTTCTCTTTAGCTTGCCTTTCAGCCTTCAACTTGGTTGTCCTGCTTGTCCGACCCCGTCTCCTTGCAAGTCTCCTGGAGCTCGTACCTTTACCATTCTCTGCGCGGACGACACTGCTAATAGCGGTAGTCATCAACATCGTGCTGTCCTTAGCATATGAGCAATGGGGTACACAGCTCCTGGCGCGGATGATTGGGTTCATCATGCAACTCCGCCAACGCCGTAGGATCAGTGACGGCAAGATGTACAAGGCCGTCGAGGGCGGTATGCGATGATGGCGGCTGTGTTTTGGATTGATGTTATCCGTAAGAAATCTGGGCCGCATCTGCGTGTACATTGGTCTGCTCTTACTTGACACTATCTAAGACTACCTAGAGACTTCTCATACATCTCGCTACTCACGCATGTCAGGCCAGACTCGGAATCGAATGAAATACGTGTCTCAAGCGTGTCTCTCAGCCTCGGGTTTTGGGATGGAAACCTGATTTGTCACACAAGGTGTAATTCTGGACATCCATCAAGTCCAACAATCAAATGTCTACCGCAGTCCTTGACAACTGGGTGTTGCGACGGTGCCTGCCGGTTGCACTGACCTCGGCCAATTACTAGCGTTAGAAGCGGAGCTGAGGTATTGTACTCATGAAGTAACAAAAAGAGCAGCGGAGTCGAAATGTATTGATGGAATCTAAGATGATCATAATTGGTGAGAACATAAGTGTGGCCCCCTTGAATGGCAGAGGTCCACGGTGCCTATCGTCCCTTCCTCTTCGCCTTTACTCTCACCTTTCGGGTCTTGACCCTTTCTGCCCTGGGGGCTTATCCATTCCTTGCCTTCTACTTGCCGTTCTACTAGTCGACTACAGGAGCCAGTCTCCACTCGTTTACACTTAGCTCTAAATTCCCGATCTAAACATCAAGATGTTCGGTTCATCGAAGCTTTCGCTTGTCGCCTGCCTCCTCACACTGCTCTCCTCCGCCCTTGTTCATGCTGCTCCTGCTGCGAACCCTCGAGATGTACTCCTTGCTGCGCGCCAGTCCGCGCGGCCCACAACTGTACAGACCAGCGAGATGGTCGAGACGTACGTAGCCCCTAAACTATCTGACAATTACACGACGAAGTTGACTTTATTCATAGGTCGGGTGGTACTATGATGGAGACGTGCCAGATTACCCTCACTCCAAACAGCGACGGCTCATACCAGGAAGTCAAGTCTTGCACCTACCGCCCGATCGCTTCTGGTGCGGCCTCCGGAACGGCGGCGGCGAGCGTAGCGACTGCTCCTCCTGCGCCACCCGCTGTCATCGCGAATGTACGTAGAAGCTAATGTGATGCATTGAAAAGGTATTGAGCCATCTGTGCAGGGTGAGTCTTCGGTCGCCTCCAGCGTCGCGTTCGCCACTTCGGCTTCCGCGGCCTCCGGCTCTGCAGCAACTGCAACGGTGTGTCCGGTTTCTTGATGGGAGGACCACTCCTCATAATATATATGACAGGCTGCATCCGCGTCTGCCGCAGACGGTAATGCCCCAGTCAATAACGCAGCCGGCGCCGCAACTGCGACTGCAACTGGGTCGGCTCCCGCTTCCTCGGCCTCAAGTACTGGCGTCGTTACCAAGACAGCTAACTCCGCTGCCGTCGTCACCTTCGTCGTTCCCGGCCGGCACATTCTCATCCTGCCTGTCGGGCTAGTCATCTTCTGTACAATCACTGGAATCGGTATGCTTGTTGTCGGGCTCATGCATTTCGAGCGCATGCGCTACCGTAGGGTATGTGTCTACTTTCTCGGTCCCGAAAAGATCATTTTCTCGCTGGATTTCCTTGATAGCGTCGTTCTGACAACCCATTTATATTCAGGCCTTCAGGAAGCGCAAGCTTGCAGAGCAAGGCGCTGGTATGGGATACGGTGGAATGGCGTAAGTGTCTTCTATCGTTGTTAGCGATCACAACTTACGTCGCCATGGTTTACAGGAAGGTGTAAATCTTTTGAGTTCTTCAGGGTTAACTGCCGTGTATCGTTGTAGTCTAGAATCGGCCTTTTTCCTCTTTATCCTGTCTTTCTGGCGAACGCTTGCTGCGTGTACTCTACGCCTGGATTCACACCAATCCTATGCTTTGGCGAGCATCTGTAAAGATGAATTGCTCTCTTCGTATATTCATGGTAAGGATGTTGCCTAAGATGGATAGAAGTGCTCGAGCTCTTGCCTTCCCTGTAGTGTCTGGATCATACCACAACTAACAGTGAAGTAGTCGATATTTAAGTGATCGTGTGGTCTTCGTCCTTATTCAATGCTTATACATCATGGCTATTGCTCGGCGCAAAACGAGCTCGAATAGTTTGAATTTCCCAGATCTCCCAAGAAGGTTCACTCTGTGCGTACGCCACAACGGTCAACATCGTGCTTGTAAGCGTCTTCGATGTCGTGGCTAGTGAAGCCGAACAATACATGATCCTACTGCATATCAGAGCAAGCAGTGCTGTGGAGCAATCGAAGTAGACGTGCTGTTGCGATACTCTGCTATGTTTAGGTTTGAGACGAATGACCTCAACGCAGGCAATCGTCTTCAGATGCAACTAACACACTGCACGGGATTAATAAAATTTTGAGCGTCAGGAAATCGCGAGAGAGCAGTTCTCGATGATGGGCCGACAACGGTAATGTAGCGATATCGTGGCAGCGTGCTCCTGCCTGCGCAATGACGTGCATGCCAGTAATGCGGACTGCTGACGACGCGGGTGCACGCTGGACAGTAGTTTCACGCTCGGACTATCCTATATTAGCTAGCACGTACACGGGAGTCCAAAAAAAAAGGTATAATGTCCATCGAAGGAGCTCAGCCAAGATACCTCCAGATGAGATAGAAGCAGACAAAAGTGAGAATCGCACCGCCAAAGAAAATATACATATCCTGAGTACTGCATGAAGCATCATTATACCATGTCCAACTGAATAAAACCAAGTGCCTACCTCCGCCGCTCGATCCATCCAATGACGTCTCTACTGAGACCCAATGTATTCGCAGCATCCAAAAGACGTCGCTGTGTGCCTTTGAGCACATTCCGCTGATCGACCAGGTCGTCAAGAACGGCTCTGCCCTGCGCAATGAAGTCGTCGAGTTTTGCTTCTGTATTTTGAATGAAGGTATGCTCATGTAGTGCATGTTGTTCTCGCATTGATGACATGGGCACAGCGCCTGCACGGAAGGGAGACTCTGATATCTCTGAGGACGATGGTGGCTGTCCAGGCATAAATCGTCGGCGCGTATCTCCTGTTGCTGGTGTTAAGGGAGTGGCTGAGGAAGAAGACGCTAATAGTTCGGAGCGAACTGCAGCTTCGCTCTAAGTGAACATGGCGATGAGGTGGGTGGATCAGTACATGGTCAGAGAAGCATCCTGGAATGCAAACCTCTGCCTTAATTTGCTCGAACTGCGCGCGTAGCTCCGTATAATCTGCGCGGAACTTCTGAACTCGCCTGGATAGTCGTACTGAGATGAGGACTTCTGAGCATGACAGCGAGTAGCAATACACACATGACGGCTTTCTCTTGCTTCGTTTTAATGATCTCCCGTTTCGCCATTGAATCATAGTCGTCCACTGTTCTGTGCATCGCCGCGAGGGACGCTGAGATCTGCCCTGTCAAACATCAGAACCATTTGGTATTTATGAAGGCCCTTACACTGAGCATTTGACAAGAGGTGAAGCGTACAGACCTAATAGGGCTGCTGACTTGTCACCATTCCTCAAACGCTCTAAGTCGGCTTGTATTGAATTTGTCTGACGAACACCAAGGGTATACAACGAGTTCATTGTGACCAGTGCACAGAATTTCTCGAGAGACTGAGCTATTCAGGGTGGTTACACGATGTGTATAAGAAATGAAGAGTATGAAAGTAGATGAAGGATACGCTTGAGCTTGAAGCCGCGTGCACGTCGTACCTCGAGGTCGCAGCTGGTCGCAGTCGCGACGCGCACGTGATGAGACACGTCAACGCGCCCGAGCTTCGTTTAGTTGTGTTGTGTTCATCCCCTTGTTGGACACCCTGCGTTTAGTATTCAGTACTCAGTATTTAGACAAGATGGTCGATGAGGAAGAAGCTGTAGCAGATTCTCCGCCCAAAGCATGCGGTCCTGTGCGGCTTCCTGCTACGGCAACGCGTGTCGTCGATGCAGATGAGGAGGTAAGTCCCATTCGGCTACCAATCGAAGCATATGTGCTGACTATGAGCCTAGATCTTTCTACTTTACACGTCCCTTGCAGCACGAGGACCTTGCAACGGTTTGACTGGCTTCCGTGGATTGGGTCACATAGACTCGCATCATGACACCCTTACAATCGAGTTTACTCTCGATGAACCTCATGACTCAACTGCACAAGGTCCAACTCAATCATCTACAAGGCAGAACTCTAAGAAGCTTGCTCGTCAGGAACAGACCCTGACAGTAGAACTGTTCCAAGACAAGACGGCTCTCCGCAGTCGCAAAGGAGATACCGGCAGCGTGCTTTGGCATGCAAGGTAGGCTATTACTTCATTGTACAGGTGCCTGGTATCTGCTCAGGCACGCTGCTCAGTTGTTATCTGACGGTATGCCGCCAGCGTTGATTTTGCACGAACTGTTCTCAGGCAACATCACGCCCGAGCGGCAGACGCGCTCCTTGATCCTGACCTGCTGAAACATGCACATGTTCTCGAGCTGGGGTGAGGCTATTATTCCTGTCATCACATCACTCTTATCCTTGCGACTACGTGCTAACATCCGTGCGAACTTCTGCTCCCATATGGCATCCGGACGGACCTACTTTGCGACTAGCAAGGGCCGGCACCGGACTTCTGAGCATTGTCTTATCACCTCTTGTTATGCGTTATACCGCGACCGACATCGAGGATCTAATCCCGCTCATACGGAAGAATCTCGCGCATAACTCACCGAGGAATCCCCCTGCTGCGAAGACGTCCCAGAAGACCAAGTATGCACGCGGGAGGATTGTCGATCACACACCCAACGTCATTGCCGAAGCACTGGATTGGGTTGTGCTGCATAATGCCTCTCCATCCATCCGCCGATCGCTATGCTCGTTCGCACCGGTCAATCTGCTCCTAGTGGTCGACTGCATTTACCATCCATCACTCCTGCCAGCGTTGCTATCAACGATAGACTGCCTAGCTGTCCCCAGAGATACTACGGTGTTGGTAATCGTCGAACTGAGGGCGGAGGACGTTGTTAGAGAATTCCTTGACCGATGGTTGAGTTTGTCCTCCGCAACAGGCGGGCAATGGGAGATTTGGAGCCTCAGAGATGTGTTGGATGGACCCTATGCTGCATGGGTGGGTTGGAAAAGGTGACTAGGTCCAGATATAGGATTTGATAAATGTGTATCGAGGGATGTAGTAAGCTCAAGGGACGTATATATGAACATTCCCATGTTTAACCGCGGAAAAGAGCATGAATTGCCATGAGCGGCAGAGTATGTGCTAATGCAGACAACAACAGTGAATCACCGTTTCTTCCGTCCAGACGTGCCCTTGCGCGATGCTTTTCCTCCTGCTCTCTCAGCCTTTTCAGATTTTCTGCGTCGCTGCTTCAATCTGTCCACCTTTCGCGCCGCGCTGGTCTGGTATTTAATGTCCTTCGGTTTTGGAGCACTTCTCTTCCGGTCGTGACGTACATCAGCAGTGGCGGGTTTAGGCTTGTGTCTCGCTCGATTGGCGACATCCGGGGGTTCAGAGGTAGCTGCAGCCCCGTCACGCTCGGCACCAGCGATGGGTCGGCGATCGTCCTGACCGTGGATGAGAGCGTCTGGATCGAAATCCTCGACAACCGTCACCGTGGCCACTTCTTCCTCATATTCATATTCTTCTTCTTGCGCCTTCCCTTTTCCCTTGTCAGGTGAAGCCAAGGTTCCTTCTAGACCCGACCACTCGGTATCACTGCCGTCTCCGTCCTCTGTAGCAAGGTTGAAGAGAAGGAATCTGATAGTAGAGTGAGTGCAGCTCACCAACGTGGCCTCCGTATGCCTTCTCAACTTCCGCAACATTCTGTGCTGCACGTTCGGCTAGCAGTTGACGTTTCTAGCGGTGCGGAGTGAGTCCGCTTCGCATGATGGTGTAGACCACTCACCTCTCTCCTGGCTTCCAACCTCTCCTGCTTTTCACGGTCCTGAGCCTTCTTTTTGGCAACCTCTTTCTTCTGCAGCTTGCGCTTGTGGAAGCCGGTCAAAAATTCCCTGTTCACAACAGCAGGGCTCAAAACACATTATCGCACGCGAGCTGGGGCAGAATTCTACCTGCGTGCACCGTCATCAAACACAATCTCCTTGATTTGTTCTCGCCTTGCACGCTTTTTCGCGGCAATAATCTTGTGAGACTTCGTGAGAATAGCTAGATTCGACGACGCCATCACGGATATCCAAAGTTGAGCGTAGTAGTAACTCCGCGAAGATGCTCTGCACCATTAGCGCCCAGTGTCACATAGCCACGTGCACCATTGGTGCGCTAAATAAGTCAAGGTCCTCTCTGTTCGCCGACGGCAGCGGTTCCAAGGTCCCACCCTCAGGCGGGCCCGAGTCGCTCTTCGCCGCTATCGTTTTGGCCAGTGTCGCCTGAACTTGTCTGGATGGAGGAGCATATGGCACAGCTCCGATAACATAGCATATCTCTGCGGAAGATTCGATGGAGTGCCATACATCGTCCTTTATATGGAATCGGGGAGGTGAGCACATGCTGCGCACGAAGCTTACTCTACTCAACACCCAGAGGATTGCGAAATCTCACCTCCGACTCACACGACATCCTTCCATACAGAGTTAGACATTGTGTACTTGGCGCTACCACACAAACCTCAAGATCTCAATAAAGCGGCATTTGTATGTTCCTCCAGGTCCCGGCGGCCCAATAGTCTCTCCAAATCTACGTAATAATCTCGGGCACTCGCGGTCCGCAGTTCTTTATTTCTAGATTCAGATTTGATCCCCTGCGCAGTCAGACGCTTCTGCGTTTGAGATCATGTGCATGGCGGTATGTTGTTTCAATTATGCATTTAGCAGAGTGTCGCCAATATGAGAATGAAACAAATTACATCTCAAACTAAGGTATCTATACAGCTTGTGATACAGCTCACTACCAGTGACTTGGTGTTCAGTTCACATGGAATCCGGTCTTACGTCTGAAATGCAACCGGATGCCGGAGGTGTGTCCTGACGCGGCATGATATATTTCACTGCACTAATTTCTAGAAGTTGCGAAGACAGTTTGGCTCGTGCCGGGGGCTCAATCGCTTGTTCGTCGGTGCGATATCGTGTGCCATACTACCGTCGGCATGTTGGCAGAAGTGCGCCAGATTTCCGTCTTCCACACGGTCTCACTTTGCCTTGGCAGTGCCGCTATCCTACTTCGAGTTTCTGGTTTTTGAAAGCGATCATGCGCTCACACTCAGAGTCTGCTCCGCCAATGTCGGATCTTGTGCCAACTCGCGTCACAGTAACTCTCCGCGTATAATCTATTGCGTATTCTCACCAGTGCCAACGCTTAAGCAAAGCGCTCAAACAACGAAAATAAAACCCAACCGCATAGCCCGAGAGGTTCCCATCGTGGGCTCCGAGCGCTCCGAGCGCTGTAAGAGGAGTGCCAGCCACTCGAAAGGTTTTTGGACTGTGCCAGTTTTACTACGGGGCATTTGAGGCCACTTCCATCGTCACAGTCCCTTGGCACATACAGTTTGTCTCGACCCCCCCCCCCCCATCTAGATCCTGCCCGTGTGTTTCTGTCGTACCTGAAGCACTGGCACCTGTGGACTCCCGCGATAAGACCACGCCGGCGAGCTTCGAAAGTTCAAATGTACTTCTTATCGCGTGCTCGAGTGGGCCGTGCTGACATGAATAAGAAGCGGACGCTCGTCCCGAGCGGTTCCCCTGGACTCCGCCCTCTCTCCTCTCGTCATGGAAAGCCTCCACGCAGCAAGCGAGAGCGCTAGCTCCCTCTCGGACAAGGAGAAGCTGGACGTTGAGAAGGCCGGTCAGTGTCTCCTGGAATCCTTTTCTTAAAATTCGCACCTGAATCCCTCTCACAGTGGTTCACGACCCGGTCCCCGTCGTCGACTTCGACGACCCGAACCTCGACAAGGATGCCATTGAGTTCGGTAAGATCGTAGTCAATGCATACACTGACGGGCGCTGACGCGGAGACTTCCAGAGGATGACTCCCCCTACCCTGAGGTGCGGTCGGCCGTGGCCAACACGGACGACCCTGATATGCCGTGCTCTACCCTTCGTTCATGGATCATGGGTGTCATTTGGGCAATTATTATTCCAGGGATGAACCAGTTCTTTTTCTTCCGGTACCCGTCCGTCAGCGTGGGCAGTGTGAGTTGCCGCCTTTTGTCATGATTTAATTTATAACAACTTGCGCAGTTTGTGGCCTTGTTGTTGTCCTTTCCTGTTGGCCGCGCGTGGGCTCGTTTCATGCCCCGGGTCAAGATTTTTGGCATGTCCCTCAATCCTGGACCATTCACCATCAAGGAGCATGTATTGGTCACGATTATGGCCAATGTCGGAGGTAGTTCGGCTTATGCCGTACGTTGAATCACCATAATATGCAATGGACATAACTAACAAGACCGTAGACCGACATCATCGCCGTTCAGCGTGTATATTATAACCAGGATTACAACTTCGGATGTGAGCAGCATCCACAATATTTCGCAGTAGTACAACTCACCCTGTTTTAGATCAATGGATGGTGGTTATGAGCACGCAGTTGGTAAGTTCAGCGCTTCGTCCCTCATGTACACGAATTCACCACCGCTTGCTGCACAGATTGGGTTTTCTATCGGTGGCATACTGCGGAGGTTCCTTGTCCAGCCACCGTCCATGAGTACGTGCCCGATCGATTGACCGCAGTCGGTCGATCTCATCTCAATCTCGATCGCAGTCTGGCCTGTCAATCTGGTTACCTGCGCCCTTTTCAACACATTGCACCATCAACAATACGCCGGTATCGGGAAGCGCGGGGGTATTAGCCGTGAACGCTTCTTCCTCTACGTATTCATCGGCTCGGCGTGCTGGTATTGGTTCCCGGACTACATTTTCCAAGCCCTCTCGTACTTTAACTGGGTCTGCTGGATCGTCCCCGACAATGTCGTTATCAATCAGCTCTTCGGATACACAAGTGGACTTGTATGTGGCTCTCGACATGACCTACTGCGCCAAACCACTGACTTACCGCCGTGTTGCAGGGCATGTCATTAATCACCTTCGACTGGGCGCAGGTACACTTCATCGATTATCTTATAGCCGATCATGACGGCGTGCTAACTGCTGTGGTCAGATCTCCTACATCGGATCTCCTCTACCCACGCCGTGGTGGGCGGAGGCAAACATCTTCGTTGGCTTCGTCTTCTTCTTCTGCAAGTTGTGCCTTATATTGTGCATGAACGCGGAAGCTAATCATGTATATTAGGGATCCTCACACCTATCCTATACTACACTAATACATGGTATAGCGCCTTCCTACCGTTCGTACCATCTCACAAATATTAGTTGGCTAATGCTGACGAGATCATACGTTCACAGGATATCATCCCGGACATCATTCGACCGCTATGGCAACACCTACAACATCTCTGCTATCGTCAACGAGGATGCTTCTCTCAATGTCGAGAAGTACGAGGCATATAGCCCGTTGTTCCTGTCGACGACGTTCGCGATGTCATACGGCCTTTCCTTCGCGTCGATCACCTCCATCATCACGCATACCTTCCTCTATTTCCGCAAGCAGATCTGGATCCAGTCCCGCCGCTCGATGAGCGAGCAGCCGGATATCCACGCTAGGCTGATGTCGAAGTACCCTCAGGTCCCGGAATGGTGGTATGCTTCTTTGATGGGTATGTATCTATTCGGCAGTCAGTCCTTCTGCTACTAACTTGGGGTGGTTAGTCACCATGTTCGTCTTTGGCGTGGTCTCAATTGAGATTTGGCATACCGAGTTCCCTGTCTGGGCCTTCGTCCTGAGCTTGATCATCGGTAGGCTTTTCCACGCAATGGCCAGTGGCCAGTCGCTTGAGTTGAGATCTGACACTTGTTCCTCTTGTAGCGTTCGTCTATTGCATTCCTGTTGGAATGATTCAAGCTATCACCAACCAGCAACTTGGTCTCAAGTAAGAGTCTAAAACATATCCATCCGTCGGCGCTTGGCTTAATATCTCCTGTGAAGCGTCATCACGGAGTTGATCATTGGATATGCGCTCCCAGGACGACCAATAGCCATGATGATGTTCAAGACTTGGGGATACATCACCATGTATCAGGCCTTGCAGTTCACGTCTGACTTCAAGCTTGGCCACTATATGAAAATCCCTCCTCGTCCGATGTTCTGGTGTCAAGTGGTCGCGACTGTTATCGCCGGGACGGTGCAGCTCGGTGTGCAGGCATGGATGTTCACCAACATCCCGGACCTGTGCTCGACCTCTCAGCCGAACGGCTTCATTGTGAGTGTGATTTTGTCGCGTCAATGCCGCTATTCACCCGCTTGTCGGTCATAGTGCCCGTCGACTGAGGTGTTTGGTACTGCATCCTTCATCTGGGGCGTCATTGGTCCCAAGCGTCAATTCTCACAGGGCCAGATCTACTAGTAAGTTGCCCACAGTGCTCACAGGTTTGGATCTCGTGCTCAGGCTCGCTGGCAGTGGCCTTGTCTGGTTCTTCCTGGTCGGCGCTCTTTGCCCGCTTGCAGCTTACCTCATCGCCCTGAAGTGGCCCAACTCGTTCATGAAATACGTGAACTTCCCCGTCATCTTCAGTGGTACCGGGGCCATTCCGCCCGCCAGCGCCGTGAACTATGTGCCATGGGCCATAGTCGGGTTCATCTTCAACTACGTGATCCGCCGACGTCACTTCGCCTGGTGGACCAAGTACAACTGTGGGTGTTCCTGAAACTGGTGCCCTCTGCCTAGTGCCACGCAGCTGATTGGTTCACTTCCTAGACGTCCTTTCGGCCGGCTTGGACTCCGGCGTCGCCATTTCGATTATCATTATATTCTTCTGTGTGCAGTACCCTAGGGATGGCACAATTGGCGCGTCGACCATTGAGACGTGGTGGGGCAACACGGTATCCTTCAACAACGCGGATGGCCGCTCCGCCAGCTACAAGGTCTTGCCATCGGGCCAGGCTTTCGGGTAGGCTTTGTTATCTCTCCCGTCACGTTGAATGATATTGACCAGGTCGGTCGCAGGCCTTCCACTTGGTCTTGATGTTTACGAGTCACATGGTGTCTTCGTTGTTGTATAATAGTAGATATGTAGTATATATGAAGTCATGAGAAGTGCATGATGAGCGCATAGATAGGGAATGTATTCTGTTCACGGTGCCTGGCCGCACGAGCCATAGTAAAAAAAACACTGTGGGATCGGCGGATAGTGTTCCTGTCTCGCCGCAGCCTTGGCTGATAGTGGCCCTCCATAGATAGTGGCTTTGCGTGGCATCAGTCAAGACCCCTTTGTCAGGCCTCTATAAGTAAGAACCTTGCGAGAGAGGCTGCACTCCGCGATACTGCACACCATGTCTACGGCCACAGGTATTTGTCACGCGCCTACTCAACAACCAACGTAGGGTAACCTCGATCGCTCAGGAACTGTAGGACTTCCACCACCAGCGAAAGGCCAAGCATATTGCACAGTTTCTGTCCTAGAAGCCGGATACGTCGATGTTCCCATGGCACAGATCGTCGACACAGCAAAAGAAAACGAGATTGCGCGCTTCCCTTGTCTCGCGTTCCTGCTGCGCCATTCTACGGATGGAGATACCTTCGTCTTCGACCTCGGCACACGCCGAGATTGGGAAGAGGCATTGCCGCCCGCAATGGTGAAAGCCGTCAAACGATGGTACCATGTCGAGGTGCCGCAGGATGCCATCGAGTCCCTGCAGAAAGGCGGCTACAACCCCGCCCAGATCTCGCACGTCTGCCTCTCGCACGTCCACTTCGACCACCAGGGCGACACCCGGCCCTTTACCAACGCCACCTTCATCGCGGGCGAGGAATCACGCGCCCTCCTGAGCCCGGGCTACCCCGCCGACCCCAACGGCATGTTCCTCGGGTCCCTGCTCCCGCCGGAGCGCACGCGCTACGTGCCGCGCGCCGAGATGCGCGCGGTCGGGCCGTTCCCGCACGCGCTCGACTTCTACGGCGACGGGAGCCTGTACGTCGTCGACACGCCGGGGCACCTGCCGGGGCACCTCGCCGTGCTCGCGCGCACGTCGGCGGACGGCGGGTGGGTGTTCCTCGCGGGCGACGCGGCGCACGACTGGCGGCTGATCACCGGGGAGGCGCGCATCGCGGACACGCCGCACTTTGGGTGCTCGCACCGGGACAAGAAGGCGGCGGCGGAGACGATCGCGCGGATACGGGCGCTGTCGCAGATGCCGCGGGTGCGCGTGCTCATTGCGCATGACGTGCCGTGGTATGAGGAGAACAAAGATGGCGCTGCGTTCTTGCCTGGGAGTATTGAGTCGCTGTGAGGCACGGGAGTGCGTACCGATCTCTCTCTCGTTCTATGGACGTTCAATACAAATGTCAGCATCTGTCAGATCGGGATGTGGGGAAGGATGGGTGTTGCAAACCGACATGTATTCTACACGACAGGAGTTCTTTGCCACTGTGACAAGCAGTGACTTCGGGCCAATTCCGTCCTTCATTCATCGCCGAGTTAGCCACACTGCGGTAGAACTGTTGGTGATGAATTGTCATTTACCTAACAGATTTTGAACATTGGACGACGAACGGTGCAATAGTCTGATAGATATTGTGGTAAAGCTTGTCCATGACCTTCCGAAGCTGAAGCGGGCCAAAATCACTCCAGCCTAATGCCGTAACTTGGTATTCCTCTTTACGCATGCGCCTTAACACCAAATCATCTCAGTCGCTCTAGGTTGAGGAACTGAGATTGGACTGTAATAATCAAAGAGTTCTGGCAATTTGACTATGTTAGATACATGATATCCGGCTGTTGTGGCGTGGGCCCAGGTGCATGAAGTGGTCTGATATGTACAGCTGATTGCCAAAACAGGCGCGTGCGACACCTTCACTACATGTGGGTTTTACTGCTTTACGACATCGGGTGAGCACCGTGGTTCCTGATTGGAATCGGGAAAAGACATCATTGTCGGTAGGGAAGACCGATGAAATATGAATCCATTAATCGTGTTCTATTCTTGGCAGCATGAGCATAGACATCCGTATTTTATTATGGACCTCCATGGCTATTTCCTTCGGCAAGCAGCTACCAGCAGAGGCATCTCGCTTGTCATATGTACGGAGATGGGTGACCGGCTATTGCACATGGACGATGCTGACACGCCACCGGGTGCTAAATGATACAGGAACGAAGATATATGCGGGAGAAACGGATTTCTGTGTCACACAGGCTGCAGCGCACACCTTGCATTCAGCCCTGGTATCAGTCCGGCTGGCGAGCTAACTCTCTAAACTCCTCGTAATAAACCACTATTTGTAGAGTCTGGTCAAGCTACGCGGGAGGCGGCTGCGGCGATTGATTAGATTCTGTGCAGCGAGTCGGCTGTCGGTTAGATCGTTGGATCACGTCAGGAAGGACGGACTCCGAATGGGCAACACCGATGCTCTCCGCCAAAAGCAACTTTTGCCCAACGAAGTCTCGCAGCTCGCTTCCCTGGCGCGCGTCCCCTTCATAACTCCCGCGCCCGCGGGCTTTCTCCCGCTCCCCTCCCCCCTTCTGTGGTACCTAGTGCAGCAGGATGCCCGCACGTACGCTGTCACCGCTCGCCGATCGCCTGTCAGTCCCGAGCCAGTCGTACATCCGCCGTTCGCATCCCAACATGCCCCCTTCCTACCACCACGACTACCCCTACGTCCCCCCGCCCGTGCCCATGGACACCATGGACCGTGTATACTCTTATGCACCCCTCACGACCTCGGATCGCGTATACCCCCCAGCAACGATACCCTTTCACGTCCAGTCTCACGCGTCGGCCGCGTCGCAGCACAGGAACAGCCACATTCTGCTTCCCCCGTACAACACAGGCATGCAGACAAATGCGAGCCATCCGCCATGGCACCCGCACGTCCAGGTCCGGCCAGCCATACCCCCACCGCCGCCCGTAGCTCACAAAGTGTGGATTTTGGACTGCAAGGGCTGTGGGATGTTCTTGACGAATCGTGGGATGAAGGTGAGCGCCACAGCCTGTATACTTTGACAAAGTGTGCTTTGAGCCCGATGACGTCGGGTTTCTATATCATTGGTTAGACTTTTGTCTCCATTTTGAATTGCGATAGGGGCGTGTTTGGGTGACCGCCGATTGGATCTTTGGTTTCTTGGCAATGTGCGCCGTTTATTCGGCAGCCACGAGTACTGGTCGCGCGACTCGTGCCTCGCGAAAATATGGTTGTCTGAGCTTGACAACTCCAATGTCGCGTCTACTTAGCTTTCTCGGGTTTTAGATCGCGTACGCTTCCCTGAAATATTCTAAGAGACGTCGCCGCCGGAAACAGCAGCTGGGCGAATACCCGCACTTCGTCGTGAACTAAGCTCCAAAGAGTTCAATCTGATTACGATTTGTTTACATTATATTCTCTCTTACGTTATGCGCCCAGGCAACCGAGCGTTGGTGTTTCTGCACCACACGCACCACACGGGAGATTCTTTTGTGTATTTCCTAAGAGAAATGTTCCTTCCTTGGACCTTGTTGTGCCATAAAGGATGTCCAAGGCGCCACAACATACTACCATCCCGGTTTCTTTTCTCCCTTGCGCCTTCCCAGAACGTACGGTTTCGAGTTGTTCCACTAACATTCTGGCTGTATGACAGGCAGTACTGCTTTTACGGCCAAATGTACCCCTCTACTCCACCGACGCGCTGCCGATCAATTGCTCCGCCTACGCGCCTTCCTCGAGTGTCCGCGTTCCCCCTCCGACAAGCGGCCCACCCGTCGCACCGACGGCCACAGTCGATGGTCCCTTGACCCACCCAGACGAGTGCCCCGCACCGCCGACCTCTCCCGAGCGCACAAGCTCGCGTTCGTGCGAATGCCTCACTCAGACGCTCTGCTGCCACGGCTGCGGGACCCCTGTTGGTTACATGATTGTGAGCCCGTGCCGGCGGTGCACGTCGTCCATCTCGGTCAGCAACCGGACAACGAACGGCCATCGCTTCGTGTTCTACTCAGCCGAAGTGACGGCGGAGGAGAGGCACTACGTCGCGGGCGAGCGTGGGGTCATCCCGTTCCACCCGCCGGCGACGGCTCCCACTGCGCAGTCGACCGCGGTTTCCAGGCACCCGGGGTTCAGTCCTGCGCTGTTCTATACGTACACGATGGGCGCGGCGCAGGGGCTGACGCGCACGAATGACCCCGCGAGCACTTCCGAGGGCCGGGACCAGCTGCTGATGCATGCGACGGAGAGTATGTCGCAGGCGCACTCCCGCACGCTCTCGGCGACCAGCTCTGATTCGATGCCGCCGCTCATGGACCCTGAAAGCCCATTCCGGCACGTGCACTCGAGCCCGCCGTCGCCATCGCGCCCCTCCCCGCCCCCGCCTACTCGCGCCGTGTCGTCCCATCCCACCAATGCCCCGAACTCGCCACACCTGGACGTCACAAGCGGTCCGCCTGCGCCGCCCGAAGCGCCAGTAAGGCTGCGGGTGGGCGAGGTGCTGCACTGGCACAACCTTGTGCGCAGTGGCGAGATTCCGCCGGTGTGTGACGACGCGCGGGCACGGAGGAAGGGCTTGGGTGTGGACGCGAAGAGCTGTGCGCAGGAGGCCAAGGACGAACGGAAGCGTGCTGCAGCGACGAAGCCCCCCGTCTTCGCAGGCCGATGAGCCTTTGAACAACGATGAACGGGCGCCGACGTCCTCCCACCGGAAGGCGCACACACGCTAAAAGCCCATGATCTCGACACGACAGACACGACAGCCCTATACCCACATCCCCTCATTGTCAATTATTCATATTTCTTGGACGCTCGCACGTTTGTCGCTCCTCTGCACTCCCAGAATACCTGTCTCTTGGCGACGCTATCATGTTGCATCGTGGATTGTACCTGTACCGCCTAGGCCTGCGCTTCTCGTGTATATTTTTGTGTATTCGTATCTATCGTTCGCGGAGACCCACATTCCAGGGTACGCAGCTTCACATGTGTATACGTAGTTTTGATATATAGCATGCCTTGCCCTTGTGCAGTAGTCGCGGGTGAGTCGAGTGCCACGATCAACTCTGTATTCAGGATGTCGATACCGATACCGGAAGTTCGGGGCGCGCCTTTAAATTCGTCCCCGTCTCCTTCCTGTCGCCCTCTGGCCGCACTGCCATCCTGATATTGCAACGGTGGGAAGCTGCTTACAGATCTCTATCTCTGCATCACCAGCGGCCGGACCGAGGAGGACACGATGGGAATCCGAAGCGAGCTGCGGGAAGGCGCGAGGCCGCGTCGAGGGAGCCGCCGTCTTCGCCTTCGCCCGAGATGGCACCGCCTGCACACACTTCACCCGGGCGAGCTCGCAAGCCATGCCTGCTGTTCCAGAACACCACGACCGTTCTTCATCAGACTGCGACCGTCTGTTCAGTGCTAGGCTGCCGCACCGCGTCGCAACGGGCGCGAACTACGTCGGTAGCGCTGACACGCGCGGACATCTGCAAGTGTGGGACTAGTAGCGGTGGAACTGGTGCTGCGGTATCCCTCTCGCTTTCTGACTCTGTCCACTGGCGGTGGGCCTCTGGTGTGCTATTGCTATTGCCGTCCGCACTCGCGTGCACCGCCGCAGACTGCTATCCGATCGTGCACCTAGGATGCGCGCATCCTGGTCTCCCGTGCTTGTGGTGCTCCTGCCGACGTTCGCGGCCGCTGGACTTGTGGACCAGGTCGAGCGTGCGTTGCTGAGCATCACAGATTGCGGAACATGCCACTCGGCGCTCCCGACGTTCAAGGCCGTCGCGAACCTCGGCGACGCTGCGTTCGTGCGCACGATCACCGCGGCGTGCATCGACCTCAAGGTGAGTAGCCACACTGGTGCTGCCCGGGCTCTGCGGACGCTCGCGCTCACGGGGCGCTCGACAGATCGAAGACCCGGACGTCTGCGAGGGCGCGATCCGCACGCAAGGCCCCATCCTCGCGCACGACCTGCGGCACTTCTCGCTCTGGGGGCAGACGGCGACCAAGTTCTGTGAGGCGGTATTTGGGCTGTGCGAGCCGCCCGCGGTGAACGCGTATGAGGTGCCGTTCCCGAAACCTGCGCCGGAGACCCCGAAGACGTTCGTGTCCAGGGGGAGGCCGCCGTTCCAGATGATGCATTTCAGCGACGCGCACATTGACCGGCAGTACACCGTAAGTTGCTTATTGGCTTTTACTCCCGAAGAGTAGACCTGGTGTGGAAGGCGAGGCGCTGCAAGATTTTGGTGCTTCATTGCGTGCTCCGGGCAGGTTCTGTGAATGTGAATTGTGTGGATGCAATGAGTTTGAGAGAGTGCCTGAAAGTGCTATTCTATTGAGAAATGCATGCACATCATTAGGGCTTAAAACCACACTTCTCCACCCGCACTCGGTATGGCGATACCGTCATGATTGACTGGCATCGCATACATGCATGAATTCCCATCTACCTAGAAAGCATTTACTTATATTCAAACTCATAGGTGGGCGCAGAGGCCAGCTGTACCAAACCGATATGCTGTCGTGATTACGAGAAGAGGTCGAAGCATGTCAAGATGCCAGCCTTGCCTTTCGGGAGCAGAAATTGCGACGCTCCGACCCCTCTGGCAGACTCGATGCTTGAAGCTGCCGAGAAATTCGGCGCATCTGCCAAGTTTTCGATCTTCACTGGAGACGTGATTGACCGTAAGCATGACATTGTCGCTGGAGACTATGCTGCGGGAGTTGACGGCCCATGCAACCAGATGCGGTCTGGGATGTCAGCGAAGAGTAAGGTCTCATCTGACAGTGACTATGCAGACATCGCTAACAATCGTGGCTCCATCAGTGGTGTCTCCCAAGATATGCAGACGTTCAGCGATCAGATGGCGGCGATATTAAGCGCACCTCTATTTCCTGCATTGGGTGTGTATTCCTCTCGTCAATGTACTCACAAATCTCACGGCAATGTATTGTGTAGGGAATCAGTAAGTTGAGCTTTGTAGTAATCCTGTGAATGGTGCAATAATGGATGTGGAATGTGTTATAGTGAGTCAGCCCCAACAAACAGCTTCCCACGTAACACCACCGAGCACGAGATTACCTCCGAATGGGTCTTCAATGCTCAACGAGCGGGTTGGAGTGTACGTCCGCATTCTCGGCTGTCTAGGTCGAGCGGTCAGTTGATATCGTTTGATGTGTCGCTAGCAATGGATTGGCGAGGAGGCTACAAAGCAGCTCCGGCATCACTCAGGCAGCTATTCGACTATGGCTCCCAACATGAGCCTTCGGTAAGGCACCGTGCTGGTTATAGCAGTCTCTCTTCTCTAATTGTGTTCTGTACATTACAGCATCATCTCTTTGAACACTCAATATTGGTACAAACAGAAGTATGTCATGTACCGTGTTGTGATGCGGGATGTGATCTCTAATACATGCCCGCGCGCAGTTTCTGGCTATATGACAGCGACACGCAACAGTACGTCCACGGTCTTGGGGAGCACTTTGAGTGAAGAAATCTAATGTCGCTCTACTTTTACAGACCAGATCCAAACGGTATCCTGGCCTTTCTCGTGCAAGAGCTACAGGCTGCCGAGGATGCAGGCGAGAGAGCATATATCATTGCACACATGCCACCGGGCAGAGGCGATGTCATGCGTGATCAGGTAGGGTCTACAGCACCATGGTGATTTTGCTTATCTCAAGGTCCACGCACCACAGTCCAGTTACTTTGACCAAGTCATCCAGCGATATAAAAATACCATCGCTGGACAATTCTATGGACATACCCACGCGGTCAGTGCAACTATGGTTCATACATTCAAAGTTGTTGAAGCTATCTGTTTCCAGGATGAATTTGCTATCGGCTATTCGAATTATAGCGAGCAGACCGCTGTTAATGCCATGAGCGTAGCTATGATTGGGCCTGCATTAACTCCCATGAGTGCGCCCACAGCTTTCTCAGTCATTGACTGTCACTCAAGTATCTTTATCAGGCGGCAATCCAGCTTTCAAAATCTACGACATCGACCCGGATACGTTTGAGATCATGGATGCGCGGACCTATAGAGGTGAGCTAGCACAGCTCCCACTGTATAACCCAACCTAAGCTTGGCATTAATTCAGCCAGATTCTACGATCCGCATTATCAATTAGAACGTCAGTGTGAATTGTATAAATTGACACAAATAAACTCTGACATGCATTCCTGTCGACATAGCTACCTGGGAGCTGCTGTACAGCGCGAGGGAGCTCTACGGGCCCATAGTACCGTCGTTCTCAGGGAAGGGCCCCCTCAATCCGGCGTTCTGGCACGACCTTACGGAGGTATTTCACAAGAATGACACGGCGTTCCAAACCTACATCGCGAATAAACCGCGCGGCCGCGAGTTCATCTGGAGCCCGTGCCAAGGCGCGTGCAAGGAGGGAACGCTGTGTGAGATGCGCACGTTGCGTTCCGATGTCTGTGTATGTCTCCATTCGACCTCCCGATGAGCGTTGGGAGTAGGGCTGACGTATGGATTGGATTGACAGGGCAGGATGTCTGGGCCAATCTTTCACCTGCCCGCTAACGGCGGGACTCACGGAGTACTGCACATGGATTCGTGCGATGGATCTGGCATCGGCCACATCTTGAGGAAGATCATCCAGAAAGCGTCTTCATCATCTGTACGTATCGTACCGTCTGCTGCTGCACGATTGCAATTCACGTCGAAGATCTTCCAGTTCTCGACGTTGGAGTTGTCTGAGCTGGGTGGCCACCTGGAGCAGACCGTCCTGGCGATGTAATTCATTTTCCCATTGGCTTCCTCTCGGGAGCTGTATGCCTGATTACGGACGCTTGCGTATGTACAACCTCTGGATTTGGATTCTCGCCTCCTTAAGCGTGGCGAAGGACTGCTGTAGATTTCATGACATATGTATGTAGTTATACCTGCTCTTGTATATTATTCAGGGGTCCTGTCTTGACCGGTTGTACTTCCCGAGCACGGACTGTGACACGAAACGATGCCTGATACTTGGAATCAGGCGGAGAGTGCCACATTCTTTCAATGTGTCGTTATTGCATTTTCTTCCGTCCCTCTTATGTATGCTTGTAGCTACGTCAACCTGAATCCTCAATATGTGACAAACGTTCAACGTGCTTCTGAAAGTTGAATATGCTTATTCCGATCATGTCAAGAAATGCAGCATGGTGAATATCGACATGGTGCAGGTCCCTCTTTGAAGCGAGCAGGTACTCTTGTTCAGGATCCATCAAAATTGCGAATGTTATTTGTGGCTCAAACATTACAAATGTTAACCTCAGACATCATATATTTGCTACTTGGCGGGACGAATCGCCTGAGGGTACGGCCACTTATCGAACGCGCCAGTCGACGTGTATGTGAGCCTATACGCAGTCCCATCGCCCTGAGCAGCTCGTCAGCATACCGCTCCCACAATTTGAGATGAATGCACGCTCACAATCATGCTCGCCGGGAACCCTACATCGAACGGCAACACGCCCTCGAGGTACGCGATCTGCTCCGAGCTCAGGGAGATGTTGAGCGCGTCGATGTTGTCCATCAGATGCTCGATCTTACGCCCGCCGACAATCGGGAAGACGTACGGCGTCTTCTGCATCACGTACGCAATCGCCACGGACGTGATGCTCTTGGCGTTCACCTCGGCGGCGACCTTCTCAAGCGCTTGGCAAACTTTGCGCTCGTCGGGCGTTCGCTTCCACGCGTCGCTAAATATCCTGCGGCCTGCACTCTCGTATCAGCCTCAACATCGGTGGTATCAGAAATTACAAGCAGCACACCCTTCTCGCCGGTCTGTTCCCGACGCTCTTCTTCCGCGTCGGAGCGGATCTTACCCGCGGCGAGGACGTTCCAGGGGGCAAGCGCCATGCCTGGGGGATATTCGAGTAAGCTTACGGGAAAGCGGAAGAGACGAGTACTGCGCACCTTCATCGCGAACCATTGGGATGATCTCGCGCTCGAAATCGCGCTGCAAGATGCTCCATGCGCCTTGGTAGATGACAAAAGGTGTCTTTCCTGTGAGTCGCGCATACATGTTCGCTTTAGCAACGATATAGGCTGGAGTATCAGAGATCCCCTGTATGTTTAAGATAAGTGCCGCTAAAGGCATCTGACTACAAGTAAGATTACATACCAGATAGAGAACCTTCCTTTGTGTGACAAGCGTATGCAGGCCGTTCATAACCTCTTCGACACCGCAATCCCAGTCCCACTGCAGATGGATCGTCAGCTCATACGTCCTCGAAAACGTGTTGTACACTGACCCAATGCAAATAGAGAATATCAATGTATTCTGTGCGAAGTTTCTTGAGTGACGCTTCGACAGACAAGTACAGTGATTTCATGTTATTTCCTATGTAGTGCGTCTTCTGCGGGATGCTTTTATCCCAACTCTTTAGGTTAGAGGTATACTGCCAAGACACCCTGATTAGCGGCCCACATATGAATTCTAGGAGCGATCACTCACCTTTGTTGCGATGACCATCTGGTCTCGCACGCGCCGCGTCTCCATCCACTCGCCGATGAATTTCTCTGATGTCTCATCTTGGTAATTGTTCGCTGTATCTATGAAGTTGCCACCGGCGGCATAGAAGGCGTCAAGCAACTTGAAACTGCTCTCTTTGTCCATTTCGCCAAAGTTGTACTTGCCCCACTGGTCTCCGATGCTCATCGCGCCAAGACAAATGGGGGAGACGTGGATGCCTGCAAGGGGTGCAAGCTTGCGGTGGCGTCCTAGCCTTGTCGGTGGCTCGGGTGCAGGTTCCCATAGACGCAAAGGTCGGTTAGGCGAGGTCATTTTCGATCAGTGTCTGCGAAGCGTTCTGTAACCCACGAGAGTACAGAGAGAATATGGTGCTGATGAAGAACCCATGCGGAGGGGTTTATATCTTCTACGAGGGGACCCACTTGGAATCCGTATTTACGAGTAGGCCGCGTGTCTTCTCGGCAGGGTGCTTCTGTGATTTGTCCGTATCTCATGACCGCTGACCAGTGTTCTCAGCGGCGTACTTTCTAAGTTAGTCTCGGACGATGCTGATTTGTGACCACCGGCGGTAGCAACAACCCGAGTGTGTGCGCCGTGTACACTGACGATTCAGATGGATATGACTTTTCCCGTTGGCCACAATGGAAATTGAAATGCAAGCACCTGGTGAGAAGCTTCTGATAAGTGAGGAACCACTGGATATAAGATTGTGGAACAAGCCTTATGCTTATGTAATGCTCCCCGGCGTCACTTACCGACCATCGGACCATGGTCTGCATCTAGAGATGTTACGCATGATGGAATACGTTTTCTTGCGGCATGGGATCGCTCGGCCAGCATCAGGCACAAACTGCTCTGAAACTCAACATGACGCCATGAACAGCCATCTGCTGCCGTTTCAGTGCTCCATCAAGCCCAGGTCGGCCAAGGCAGATTCGTTGATTCTGAACACGAACGAGCTGCAAGCATGAATTATACGCTGAAACTAGACTCCGCGCCGTGATTTTGAACGCGCCGGATTCTCCCGAATGTCAACATGGCAGCTCACTTTCCCTTTCCAATCACTGCATTTGCCGGCGTTTGGCGCGTTCAAGTTGATCATAGTGTCACTGGCCACTCACGGCAAAGATTCGTATGAAGTACCGTGATTTCTTTCACAGCATATCATGACATGCTCGACGCCTTCTGACTATGCGCTGACCGCTAACGAATAGCTAGAAGGTTTGCTAATTCCTTCCTTTTTCCCGGCGAGGTCGATATAGTATATACCAGTGCCGCAGATCTACCAGCGTATCTCGACGCTGCGAGTTTATTTTCGGCTTCCGAGAACTGGACCAGGAACTGTCTGGGAAGGTAAGTTGGTTGGCATTTATCGTGGTTGGTGACATCAGAGTTGGAGCGCCACTCGATGGCCTGATGCATTGCAGCATCGGAGACTGACAGCCAGACTGCAGCTGATGTTCCACAGGTGCATCGGGGCATAACAATGGCATTTTTCTTGGGACTCCCCGAAACGCTCGCTCGTCTCCGCAGAAGTGCTCCTGAGGTGGCCATCCGTGACGCACTCTGCTGCGACAGTGGGGCCTGCCAAGCAGCATCCGACTCCCCGCCTATGACGACCTCGCTCCCGCCTTCTCGTATATATTGACCTCTATATCTGACCCGCCCCCCACTTCTCATTTCACGACTTACGACATCTTTCACGACCACCAACTCTCCACTTCGTAACTCCACATAATTATACCACCACCATGTCTCTCCCACCCGCACAGAAGGACGTCCGCGACCGCCCCGCCTTGGGCGCCGTCGCCGACCCCGTCGACCGTGACAGGAAGAATGCTGACGTCGACCGCAAGCTTCGCCTCTACGGCATCACCACTGCCATTCGCGAATCGCGTCTTCCTACCAACGACCAGATCGATGCTTTCCTTGAGTATGCTCTCAAGCATTCTCCCGTTCCCACCGACCAGCTCTCCCAGTCTGGTCAGACACTTATCCAGGACATACGTGAAATCCTCGACACCACTCGCCTCATTGCGCGCGAGAAGAACGCGGATGAGCTGCTCCAAAACTTCTTCTGGCACACGCGTAACACCGATACCTCGCGCGCGAAGAAGGACCCCAATGAAGTCATTCCTGTCGACCAAGACAAAGCGCGTGCCGACGCCAACCAAGCCACGCAACACCTCCGCACGCTCGCATCCCTCGTCCTTACCAATGCCGAGGTGCGCAAGCTGATCGGCGACTTTGGCGTCATCGGCCGCGACCTGCTTGCGCGTGGCGCAGCAAAGACCGCCGAGCTTGCGCGCCCCGACGAGGATCGCCTTCGCCAAGTCGACGAGCCTGGTCCCGACCACAAGTTCATCTCTGAGGGCGGCCGTGAGGTCGGCCTTGATCAGACACCGGTATGACCTTCTCTATCTCCGTGGTTGCTCTCATGCTGACGCAGTTATAGGTCCCTGAAGTGCGCGTGCCCGGTACCGGCCACCGTGTTGCACAGGACCCTGGGAGAGAGCTGGGCGAGGGCACCGCCGTTAAAACCGAGCAAGGTGATGTCTACCGTAGCGGCGAACTCGTAGACGAGGCGCAGCGTTGCAAGGACGAGCTCGTCGAGCGCGCTGGAAATGAGGCTCGGTCTCACGCCGAGGACGTCCAGGAGGGTCTTCAGGACGAGAATGCAGACGTCAGCACGAAGACTCGCTTCCAGAACAAAGTTAACGACCTGAAGGTCTGTATATCCATGTCACTCGCGCATATATGCGTCAAGTATTGACTTTGCTCCGCGGACAGGATCAACTCGCCGGACGTGTACCTCCCGAGCACAGGGAGAAGGCGAACGAGCACCTCGACCGCGCGAAAAACTTCCTCAAGGACGAGTACTTCCCGCAGGAGCGCCGTGACCAGCTCATCTACCGCCTCAAGAAAGTCATCATTGAGTGTCAGAACCACAAGGACTACCAAGAGAGCATCCGCTGGCTCATGGATACGGGTGCTGAGTATCTCAGTCACGGTCGCACTCTTGCTGACCATGGTGAGTTCAAATCTTGTTTTTGCAATTTAATCCATTAATAAGTGACATGGATTCCAGGCAAGGACTCGCACCAGAAGCTTACGTCGGATGACAACCTCCAATTGGCGATGTCCGAGCTGCGCACACTCCTGGAGCGCTTTGCTGATGGTGTGAGCCTTGACATCATCGGCAACGCCATGCGCCAGCTGTATGAGGATTCGCGCAATGACGAGGGCCTCCGGTATTGGTTCTCTGAGGTCAACTCCTTCGCACGCGACGTATGTCCTCATATCTTGCGTATGGTCGATGTGTGCTGACTTTGAGCATGCGCAGTCTCTCATGCAGCCTGGCTACGTTCTCGAGGATGCGTGCAACGACCGCGCGAACCAACTGCGCGATACCGGTCGCCAGTACTACGATGACAAATACAAGAATCATTTTAACAACCTGTTCAACTCGGCAGGCGACTGGTTTACCGCGTGGGGTAACGACCCGCTTAACCGGCGGTTCGGCCAGGACTGGGCGCGGCTCACGAAGGACCTGCTATTCGACTCCGAGGGCAGCCTCAAGTTCAAGCCTGAATTGTGGACGGACATCCGCAAGACGATCCTGCCGAGCCTCATTGACAACGTCGGTTATATCCCCATCCCACGCATCGAGTATACAGATGACTCGCTCGACCTTGTACTTGAAAATTTGGCGCTGTCGGGCCGCAATGTGTTCCCCAACCTCATCAGCGCGGAGGCGCACAATTACATCAAATTTAGCCCGTACAACAACATCAGGTGTGTGTTATCTTGCTCTGCTTCGGCGAGACTAGGAGCTCATCATCTTACAGTGACGAGCAGCACCACGACTTCACGCTCACTCTGGGCCAAATCCAGGCTGATTTGCGTGATGTCGCCTTCTACTACCACAAGAAGACGGGCACCCCAAAGATATCCGACTCGGGCATTGCAGACGTGCTACTAGGCGGTACGGGCCTGACAATCACCGCACGTCTCGTGACCGCGCACGACCCATCATCTGTCTTCGCCGTCAAAGACGTGCAGGTTAAAGTTGACACACTCAAATTCTCTGTACGCGACTCGAAGCACGACACGCTGTACAAGACGCTTGCCCCGCTCGCGTCAGGACTCGTGAAACGGCAGCTGCAGAAGGCGATCGGTGGTGCGGTGCAAACGGCGCTGGAGTACCTCGACGGCGAGCTGGTGGCGGTGCGCGACCAGATGCGCGAGGCGAAGGCGAGCGAGGACGGCAGCCGGACGCAGGTGCTCAAGGATCAGTTGCTCCAGAAGAAGCAGGCCGCGCAGGGCAAGACGGAGGAGACGAAGCAGAAGACGGGCCAGTTCAAAGTCGTCGCGCAGCCTGGCTCGGAGCTGATGCCCGACAAGGGACACCCCGATGGCTGGGTGAGTCGCGCGTCGGAGCGTCTTGATGCTGCGAGGACCGGGGAGGAGTGGAGAAGCGACGCGTGAGTACTTCATCATGATGTCATTTCTCTTTTTTCTAATAATGATTATCCCACAGGTACAGCATCGTCTGAACCCAGATACCTGCTTTCTTCTGCTCGACTTGGGATCACTAATTTAATATTTGTATCCTCGTGTGTATGAGACGCTTAGTCTTCGTAGTCGCGTTAGGAAATCGCCCAGTTACGTCGTGTGTTGTAGCTGTAATAATGCTTTTGAATAAATGTCGGGACCCCATTCTAATACTTCCTGTATACCGTGTTCGGCCAATTTATTTCTTCGTAACATGTCATTCCAAACGACGCACTGCGATGTGTTCTCCCGATTTGGAATGAGTACTTGGCTAGTGTTACACAAGTTGATTAAATTAGATGCGGTTTCTGTAACCCCCTTATACGCAACATCACCCGAATAGGTCCCAATCGGGTCGCGATTCTGCCCATTCTGGAAGTGGATATTGTCTTGCCTTCCTGTCCGCACTTCCAAGAGCATCGCACTGCACCAAATTCGACGGCCTCACGATCAAAACACACAAGAAAATGATGTATTGATCCCATTCCAACTAATTCCATGCTGATATTCAGCCCATCTCGGGGTTTGGGGCTCAGGGCTAGTGGATATCTGTTGTTTATATTATATTGCTATGATTATCATAATCGCGCGGGCATATACTATCAAGGGTAGCGCAGAATCTCCTGACACGTATTCTGGCCTGTGGAATCAGAACCCCTCATTTCAATGTTCAAAAAGAACTGGCAAACACAGAGGCTGCCTGTAAAAATGCCTCAGAATCATATCGGCGCTTATCTGAGGAAGCACCGCGTTGCGATGGGAGACACATTCTTGGAGAAGCACGGTGACCGTACGGCAGGAAGACGCGTCCTTGTGGTATCGCACAATAATTCTTGTCAATTCGCGCATGCATAACGACTTTCGAAACGAACGACCCTGCGGACAACAGATTCCGCCAGCACGTGATGCTACAGGACTTGCCCCACTGCGCAGCAGACTGCAGACCTCGCCGAGCTTCGCACCATCACCTCCACTGGTTGCACAGCATGACGCTCGTTCTCAACAAACTTAACCAAGACATACTCGACAGGATATTCCTGCACTTTGACGATTTCGCGACTCTGTCAGCGGCCATACGCACCTGCGAGGCGTTCTACAACGTCTTCTGCTCGCGCCCCAAGTCTATCTTGAATGCTATTGCGGCGAACATCATCAAGTATGAGCTTCCGGCCGCACGCAGGCTGGCGAGGGAGATGATGTATAGGAAGCTGTACACCGTGGAAGGCAGTGACTCGGAGGACGAGTTGGATCTGCCTAGTGAGAGGAGCTACATGCGAATGCTCATGAGCAGGCGAGAGGCCCATGAGATTTGCCATAATGCACGGGTCGTGCGGCATCTGGAGGGTCTCTTCAGTCTTAGGTAAGTTAACGTTGTTACCACTGGACACACCGAGAACATGCGTTCATGCGTTGTGAAGACACAAGGATCGCACATCGCAGTCTAGCAGGCTACTGCCTGAGGAGTCGAGGCGCTTCCATAGAGCCATGTACAGGTTCTGGCTTTATTGCCTTGTGTTCGAGATACACGATGACGAGGAGGCGTGTGACCCCGTCAACAGTATGGAGCATCTAAATGCTTACTCCACTCTTGAGTTGTTTGAGATTCATAGGGTAGCTAAATTTCTTGTGGAACTTATCGCTTGGACGGCCAGTGTAGAAGAGAATATCCCGGTGCACTCGCCCCAGCTAGGTCCGTCATCGTTGCGAATAGCTATCGGACATACTGACATAGCGAGCAGCGGATGAGGTCAGAGTACTTGTCTCGGCGGGGCCCAAGCACATTCTCAAGGACTTCAAACACTGTCGGCTGAATAGAACGATGTCGGCCATGGGCCCGAGTCATTTTTGGAGGGCATTTGACATGGTCATGGCCAAGCGCGATCTCGACAAGGTCGCATGTGAGAGTGGCTCGTCCAGAGCGATTGTTAGTGGGGTTGTTGGCGACAAGGACCGCTGTGCGTAACGCCGGTGGTTTTGAACTCTAATCCTATCAGTGCTAATCACACAGCTGCATAGGCTGTCGATGCTTAGATGTTCAAGGACTCAATCTCTGGGGAGCGGCCAGTGAGTATATGTGGATAGGCTCTTTTTTCTTCAAGTGATGAGAATACAGACTGGCGGTGGATGCGTGCCACGATCGACCTGGCGACCATCCTCCAGTCGCTTGGCGGACAGCTGTTTGGGAATTGGCACGAGACGCGGTTGATACTCGCACACCTGGACGGGCGCACGAGCGCACAGTACGCTGAGATGGTCGGGGAGATGTTTGACCTGCCTAGCGAGGGGCCCGCGCTGCAAAAGGATGGATGGTACTGCACGTCGTGCATGCGCAACATATTTCGGCACAGGTTCCGCCTGTGGTGGATTGAGTACAAGCGGAAGAGTGCGTCTGCATGTCTATTTTCTGGGTGGTTCGTATTTATCACTAACAGAACGTCCGTTTGGCAGCTGGAATTCCACTACGACCTGACTGCATGTAAGTGTAAGGTTTTTACTCTGAGCGTTAACGACAAGGCTGACCTGCCTGCTCTTTACTAGTCACGGCTATGACTGCTCGTTACAATACCGGGATGTACATGCGTTTGGTTTCAATGTGAGTGGAAAGTCGATATCCCGTGGAGCCGTTGTGATTGATTATGGCGATGCCTCCTCGAAGCATCTATGTGAACCGAGGTGCAGAAGATGATTCCTCTTGCTTCCAACAATCTAGGACTAGTTTAAGATGGAGATATTTTATGGTGTCTGGAGTATTTAAAAGTTCATGTATTTGATTCCGTTCAAACACGTATCCACTTAGATACGATTTCTTGCGCTACTTGTACTAGTCCTGACAATAATGTCTTACTATGAAAATCTGGGTACGGCTGGGTGTAGCAGAATCGTCAATTATGTGGTAGGAGAATGCAGTCGCCGCTAATAGCCCTATCCTCTTATTAAGAAATGCTGAGAGGAATCATGGGTATGTCATGAGTCTAGCCTCGAATTCATAGAAACGCAATCTGAGATCTGTGCCTACGGGCGCTTGTGTAAAGTATCATCGCTGCACAGCATAAGTTATATCACGGTCATATGGACTGTGGACAGCCTGTTGCAACATGACACGTACAGGGATTTCCCAGACGCAATTTGCCGGTCGGCGATAATCTCTTTCGGTCAGTGGGAGTTAAAGAATGTTAGTTCATCCATCCGTCCGAAAAGAAAGTAATCCGGATTTCACATAGTGAAGAACAATATTCCTGCCGGACGATATTTGGGTCGTGTCCGCTCTCCGGACAATTGCAAGGAGTCTGCCTGGTCCTTCCTGGGGTGTGTGAGACGGGCGCCTCTAACTTGTGTGTGACTGTTTGCACAATGCGCGTCTTTATCCCTATCTAATGTGCTTTGATCATCACCATTTCTGTATCCCTGGATTTTACCGCATGATCCTCGATGTCGACTTTACATGATCTCACCAACCCTGGAAAGCTTGGATCCTGCTACCGTTACCGATGCTTAAGAATTTATATATCACCGTCAACGATCTCTCCGAGTCTTGCAGATACACGTCCGCAATATTTCAAGGACATGAGTGAAGTGAAGCCTGAGGGATTCATTTCACCTTTAAACAGGACTTCTTCAGGGTGAAGCTCCACGGGGCTCCGTGGTTGAGCATCGTAAGATTCAAACTTTGTCACTGGTAGCGTCACGATGTGAGCCCGCGTCACAGTCCACCGTCAGCGCAACGCCACATTCTCACTGGTTCTCGGATGGCCTCAATCAGGTGTTGATATCTTTGTTACATAGCCTCCTGGCTTGTATCCAGGCTCCACACACATTGTCCTAAATGTGGATGCCACGCGTGTTCGCCACAATCGTTTTGTGGCTATTTCGATCTGACAAAGAGGCCGCATCACCTCCTGAGTGGCTCGACGCGGGCTGTATTTATGAAGTCCTGTATAAAGTGGTCTACCTTTCCTTCAGCTTAAATTGCTTATTTTCTTGAGAGCAGACTGCCATAGAACCTCCACAACCTTCAGATATTGGTACCTAACACTGCACATCACTTGAATGCTTACATACACAATGTCCCTGAAACCTTCAGCCGCAAGTTTAGCGTCACCTGACAGCACACCAGAATGTGAGTCAATGACGAGCATTTGTCATAATCTTGTCTCAAGTTTCTCAACTACGGCATACAAGGGAACGTGGGTGGCGTCTATGTAACACCATCCTTCTGGTCAAGCACCGTGTGCAACGAAAAGCAGAACTTGGATCAAGACCACTGCAAATTCATCCAAACGCACTTCAATAATAAGATCATCCGTGGATACCCCGTCGCAGAATTCGCCGAGGCGGTATGGGGCTACAACTGCGAATCAATTCCGCCGCCAGTCGGCTCTGCATGCTATATCATCCCTCACGACCTGGCCAATTCGTACTGTACCTCTAGTGAACGCGAAGCATTCACCCACCTTGCTTCAATCATGCAAACCCTCATCGAGCAAATACTCCCCGGAGGAGGCACGTTGGAGGGCCGACCACGCGCTTATGTGCGAAACGCACGCCACATTCGTGATAATAAGATGGTTGCCAGTCATGCCGTCCGCCCAGACGTCGCATGGTCGACTCGTGAAAGGCCTGAGAGTGACTGTTGGCGATCATCTTGGCGATCCTGCCTGGCGTTCGGGGAAATACGTAGAGGACAACTAAATCCGCTTGCACTCTCTCAAGACATAGAGATCAGGTCTGGTCAATCTAGACAACCAATGAAGACTGGTAGCTCTTTGTCGGGTTGCGATAATTCTCCCTCTGCTCGCGGTTTCAGCTCGGAGTCCACGAAGAGAAAGCGATTCTCGAATGACATGAACAATTTGGGCCCAAAGCGACATTGTTTCCTCCACAGCGAACATCTTTCTGGCATCTCCCAGTCGCGCCTGGACACGACACCTCTGCATCGTGATGAAGAGCTTGCAGCTCGATATGTTATGGAGATGATGAATCGTACCCTACGGTCGTTCGCGTCCGGCTTCTCAGTCAATGGCACGCAAATGACGCTGTGGTACGCGGACCGCGTGGGAGTGGTGCTCTCTGCACCATTTGACTTGTTTCAGCAACCCGAATTACTTGTTCTCGTGTTGGCCGCCCTCGGCTCAGCGGACCTCACCAAATTGGGCTTCAACCCATTTTTCGAATTCCCGGACCCAGCGTTTAGGCCGTACGGCGAGCGCATGGTGTTGCCAGCAGATCTTGTGCACGATGCAGAAGGTGCGCTGATAGGCAAGGATCTGACTTTCCTGATAGATTATAGTCGGAACGCCGGTGGGATGAGACTCAACGACTCCACAATAGGGCAAAGCACGAGTATCTACGCTATCAAAGCTGCTGGAAAGGCTAGAGTGCTGTTTGGTGCCGGCGATCTGGCAGTAAAGGTATCCTGGCCCCCTTCGAGTGAAAAGGTGTCGGAACATGCGAAGCTCGCCGTAGTGCGTCGCCGTATGCGCGAGAAGGCGCCGCGCTATCTGCGGTACGTCACGGATCTCAAGTGTTGGGTGTCTCAAAGCATCACAGAGCATCAACTTCCTCGAGCATTCATGAAAAGGCTACCGCATTCACGGGAACGTGTATTCAGCCTTCTGGTGCTCAAGGCGTATATGCAGTTGCAGTTCATCAGCAGCATCGAGGAGTTCAAGACTGTGTACATCGATGTTGTTCGTGGTGAGTTCTTTCAAGCGTCCGTGCGTCTACAAGCTTGCTGAAGCCATCGGTTTAAGCCCACTACTGGGTATTTGAGAAGGCTCAGGTCCTCCACGGCGACATCAGTGAAGGCAACGTCATGTTTTACAGGGAGGCAGGCCGGACCTCCGGTGTTCTGGTTGACTGGGATCGAGCGACTTATAGGAATACCCATGACGAAGCCCATGATGATTTGGAAGATGTAGACCTCGACATAGAGTCCCGGCCCACCAAGATAAGACGAGTCGATGTACCGTTGATATGGGGAACACCAATTTTCATGGCAATTGCACTGCAACGTCCTAGCGGCCGGCCACTCCCTCGCTATCATCACGATTTAGAGGCGTTCTTCTGGCTGCTCGTTTGGTTCTGTACCTCGTTCCAACCCGGGGAGACCGCATTTCACTCGGCTAGCTGGTGCAACAGCAGCAGAGACGAGGAACTTGGGCTGAACAAGAAAACGATGCTGGAAGACGATGCGTACTGGGCGTCAGAGACTGCCGCCGCTGATGAGCCTTACGGAAAGCTCCTCAAAGAATGGGCACTACCGCTCCGCGAACCGTTTGCCCTGGCCACGAACCTATCAGACAAAATCTACACGTTGCGTGGATGCATCGACGATGCACAAAGTTGTGGCCGATGGCTTGCGGCCAGAAACCTAGCTAAAGACTTGAAATCCAGAATCGAGGAACGCAAGGACGCGATATCGTACGAAAAGTTCTTGGCCATCTTAGGTGCACCGACGGATATTGCTGCGTAATTCCGTATATTCAGTGCATACATCACATACTTCCCAAGTCGTCGCAAGCTCTGTCACCGTTTTACTTCGAAATGTTTTCTGCGCTGTTATAATTTTCCGTTATCCCGCATATTTTATATATACCACGCACGCACATCTCAGCACACTGACGGTTCACGAACCTATGCTAAAATTTCGAAATTGAGTTTCAGCGCTGAAAGCAGTTTCTGGCCTCCGTCCTCTATCGGGCGGACGAGATCGTTCTTAACCGCAAAGAACTACTTCGGTAAGGTCTCGAACGACATGGCGATCCGGGCGAGCACTGCCGTGCAATAGGTCGCCCGGAGCGGCATTGCGATATTGAACACGAATGCTGACGTACGCAGCTGGCCATCCGCCCCATGGTGCGTGATGAACACAGTTAAATTCAGAGTGCGTTCGTTCGTGCCACCGTATTCAACCTGTAGAGTTGTTGAGATTTTAGTCTCGCGATGTCTACTGACGTCCCTCCCGTCGATATGTTATGTATGCCATATGACCGCGAATGAACTGAAGGGGACTTACACGCATGTATTACGGCACAGGGCGACGCCCTCCAGCGGATATGTGATTGAAAAATCTGAAGGTAAGAGAAGGCTACTATGCTGTACACTTCCTTCTAGTTCGCAAATTGCTATCTCCTTCCGCATGCATGCCCTGCTAACTTTCCAATGGCGAATATGTATCAGTTCAATGACCACGGTTGAAATGTCTGGGAGAAGCTACGGCACAGGGCAAGAACAATATAATTGTTGATACGAACCTACCCGTGATCTTCCTTCTCAACGATAACCATACGGAACATGTTCGGGGCTGAAGCGCTTCCCATGATTTACCATGATAACAGATTCGGGAATGACTGTGTGTGCGTGGAGCCCTGGTGACAATCAACACAGGTCAAGTAACACATTGACGATCATGCATGGTATACAATGCGTAATAGCAAATAGCAGAAAAATCCACTTACAAAGCTCAAAGGACAGTGCCCTACCAGCTCAATCATAGAACACGAGAAGGCGCAACTCAATCGACTCTCGGTAAGGAGTGCCCTCGGGCGTGGTCGGGTCTTGGAACGCCGTATGGGGGGTCAACAGAGCCGTGCCATCGTCCGTCTTCGAGTCGAAGCTGCCAAGCCGTCAATCATACGGCCTACGAATTTCAAATCCTTTACACCACTTACCACTTAATCAACACGAACTCATCCGGCTCTATGCCGCGGAGGTACTTCCACTTGTGGTTCGGATTGAAACGCACGCTCATCGTCTCACCATCACGGTCCGGGTACACGAGCGTTGTCGGCACGAGGTCCCCCTTCGGATCGACCGAACGGAAGTCGCACAACGCAAGCGGCCAGTCGTACGCAGCGTGCGAGATCGGCCGCCACAGGTTGATGATTTGGAAGCGGCGACGCAGCAGGTCGGGTGCGTCTGTGGGTGGGAGGTGCCGGTGCACCCGCGCAATGGCAGACGCGGTCGTCTGGTCGACGTGCACCTGCGGGACGGGCTGACGCTTCTGCGGCGAGTCCTCAATCTCGCCGGGACGGCGGCGACGGATGGCTGAGCGTGAGGTCAGTCAATCTCGCCTTTGGACTATGAGTGCGACGAGACGGGGACATACTGTGATCAAAGATGACGGCGCGGCTTGCGCCCGTGATCTCCTTCACAAACTCGATGCTCTCCGGGTAGTACTCTGCTTCGACCGCCTTGTCGTCGGTGAAGGCCTTGTGCGTGGCAGGGCGCCGGAAGAACTGGAAGCCGGCAGTATCGAGTGTCACGGAGTCCTCCTTGCCGCGGATGTTCTCGATATCGACGGTGTACGACTCGGAAGTCCAGTTGCGCTTCCAGGTGCCGGTGACGGGGTCCGCATTGATGTGCGAGTACGGCTTGGAGCCATCCGTGGGGGCCGAGAAGTAGATAAGTTCGGCTTGCACCGTGTTAGGAGCAGCGTCGGACGCGGACATGGTCGGCGTATTTGTCGCGAGTATGGGCTGTAGGCTATGCGACTGTCGGTGATGGTGGTGTACCACGGATGTGCGTCATGACTTATATACCCTGGCAGCTACTGCGGGAACTTCGGGATGGCGTGCTTTGGAGAGAGTCGACGCTGACAAAGATTGGCGGGTCTCTGTGAGGATCCCCTTTGGACGCCGCTCACTAAGTCAGCAATATTGCTGACCGATACACCAGCAAAACCGCCTGGGAGAGAACCGGAGGTCGGTGAGGTGCTATTTTGTACTGACCGGAACGATCTCGTCGCCCGAGATCACGGAGATGCCAACTTGTCGGGAGACCCTCGCAGATAGCACAAGCACGAGTCCTGGTTTCCGAGAGGACCCGAAAGAGTATCTTGGGTGTTGAGTCCAGATGAACTCGAGAGGAAATTCACAGAGGATTCTCCAATTGCTCAATTCTATCTCTCGAACGAGATACAACATCTCGGGGCCTTTGGAGAGAACAGCTGGAATGTGGCAAGTGAGACGGTGGAAACTCGAAGCTCGAAGTGGCGGAGGCATCAGTGTCCGTGGGCGCTACTCCACCGGCATTCCCCGTCCCCGCTTGATAAGGCGACTTGTCGCCCCACACCCTTCTCTCCTCAACCACCACCATCCTTCCGTAGTTTCTCATTGTTACACCCTTCTCTATCAACGTAAGTTAACGTTTTATGTCGACTCAACGAATTGAAATAATATTGGAACATACTGACGTCGTTGTTTGGTACACAGCATGCAGATCTTCGTGAAGACCCTCACCGGCAAGACAATCACGCTTGAGGTGGAGTCCTCGGACACGATCGACAATGTGAAGGCAAAGATTCAGGACAAGGAGGGGTGAGAACAGTCCACATCGTTGCTGGCGGTGCCAGTCATTCGAACTAAGCACTGACGCCTTTATCGCACAGAATCCCGCCCGATCAGCAGCGCCTCATCTTCGCTGGAAAGCAGCTTGAGGACGGACGGACGCTCTCGGACTACAACATTCAGAAGGAGAGCACTCTTCACCTCGGTAAACACAATCTGCTGGCTATATGCGGTTGTGGCTTGGTCACTGATACTTCTGTAGTCCTGCGTCTGCGTGGCGGTATGCAAATCTTTGTCAAGACTCTCACGGGCAAGACTATTACGTTGGAAGTGGAGTCCTCGGACACCATCGACAATGTGAAGGCCAAGATCCAGGACAAAGAGGGCATCCCGCCAGACCAGCAGCGCCTCATCTTCGCTGGCAAGCAATTGGAGGATGGCCGCACTCTTTCCGACTATAACATCCAGAAGGAGAGCACGTTGCATCTTGGTTCGTTCTATATTTATCCCGTCACGTTGCACACATTGATCCATACGTCTAGTCCTGCGTCTCCGTGGTGGGATGCAGATCTTCGTCAAGACCCTTACGGGTAAGACCATCACGTTGGAGGTCGAGTCTTCGGACACCATCGACAACGTGAAGGCGAAGATCCAAGACAAGGAGGGTATCCCGCCAGACCAGCAGCGTCTTATCTTCGCGGGCAAGCAGCTCGAGGACGGCCGCACGCTTTCGGATTATAACATTCAGAAGGAGAGCACCCTTCACTTGGGTATGTTTCTCTGTCCGTCCTAACAGTATTCACTTCCTAATCAAAGTATGATGTTCAGTGCTCCGTCTTCGTGGTGGTATGCAAATCTTCGTTAAGACGTTGACTGGGAAGACGATCACTCTTGAGGTTGAGTCGTCTGACACTATCGACAATGTCAAGGCGAAGATTCAGGACAAGGAGGGCATCCCTCCTGACCAGCAACGTCTCATCTTCGCTGGGAAGCAGCTCGAGGATGGTCGTACACTATCCGACTACAACATTCAGAAGGAAAGCACTCTGCATCTTGGTACGTAGTATTGTTATTCGCTAGCTTTGCTTTCCTGCTGACAGATTGTGTCAGTTTTGCGTCTTCGTGGTGGTATGCAGATTTTCGTTAAGACGTTGACGGGTAAGACCATCACCCTCGAAGTTGAGTCGTCGGATACGATCGACAACGTCAAGGCGAAAATCCAGGACAAGGAAGGCATTCCTCCCGACCAGCAGCGCCTGATCTTCGCAGGCAAGCAGTTGGAGGACGGGCGCACTCTTTCTGATTACAACATTCAGAAGGAGAGTACTCTTCACCTTGTTCTCCGTCTGCGTGGTGGTCTCTGAGTCGCTGGATGTTTGTGTTGTTGCCGCTAGCTCGTTGGTCGCGTTGGTGTTCGCCAGATGTCTGCATGATCGTGTACAATCATTGTAATATCGCAATTTCGGAAATGCCACGTCATGGTCGTGTATGTTATGTCTTGTGTGATAACCATAAGTTGATCACTACGTGTAACAAATGTTCAAGTTGTTCGCCGGCTCGTTGTAGCGAAGGACACTAGTGCAAAATACTAGCCGGGTCGAAGCAGCCTTCCGCATGCGATAATCAGGCTTTCAGGTACCGAGCTAGCGGTACCTATTCAGTTGCTAAATTATTGACCATGTACACGGGACCACCCCAAGTTGTGCAAGGTGGAACAGGGTGGAACACAAGAAATTGGTGTTTGGGCCTTGGAAAATACGGGCCGCAATCCGGTCATAACTCGCCAGGGTATGGATAGTTATTGACGTCTCAAGCGGGAACTAATGCGACGTGGTATAATACTAAGACATCAACGACGGTCGTCGTGCAGCTATTTATATTTTCCAACACTCGAAGTACACAAGAATAGCGGGAGTACTTGCCATTCCGCCTTAATGATTTATCTTTTTGTACAAAATAATAAATTAAGGCTGAAGGAAGAGTGAATTTACCTAATAATGATTGAATAGAAATTGAAAACAATTGATTGTGTAATCTCACTGGTCACTGTTTCTTTCAATCTGGAAGTCCTTTGGTTCCTGTTCGATCCTTTCCCTGGTAAGGTCAGTAGGTATGATTTACCTTTGTTTATAATTCATTAATTCAAGCTTTTGAACAAAGAAATCAATTCTTCAATGCCGTGGCGCAGGGATTCGAGCCGACCGACGCGTCTCGAATCGGATAGGCGCCGTCCAGCGCGCCTCTCCAACTTGCCGCGTCGGAGCCAGTCGATGCGCTGTCGTGCATGATTTATTCACTCTGGATCAACCTCGGTTTGGAATGGGCTACGCCCGCCGCTCGGCTTCGGTCATCATGCTGCTAGCCAGGGCCCGTGAATCGTTCCCAGTGCACGGGTTTACGGCCGGCTGACTAGGCTGCGTCGCGATTGGGCCGCTGCGAGCGGATCCTCGTCAATGTTGTTCCAGTCGTCAATTAACATCTAGGCTCCCCATGCCAGTCGAAGCAACTACGAACGACGGCGACTGTTTTCACGGCCTTTACGTCGCCTGGTAGCAGAAGTCGTTAGTACTTATGTGAGCGACGGGCATCCAACTTCTTCTGTGGGTAGGGCGACTGCAGACTTACCTACAAGGAGGCGACGACTTTCTAAAATTGGACTGTCGTTCAGTCTTCGATCAATCGCCTCAGTCGTTCCCATGACTGTGGCCTGTGCAGTGCTTATGTTTGGCTGGTGAGGGCCGGCACCGTTGACGACGGTGGATGTACGCCGCAGCGGGGTAAGCGACTCGAGCTTCTGGGCCCATGGAACGCACAGGGAACCATAGTTAATTTTCCGTTAGCCTTTCCCGACGCCGACGGTGTCTGGCACGCGTATCATACCATAGCAACGACGTTGTTACATCCTGCATGATCATGGAAGAACAGTGCATACTAGCGAATCCTCAGGTCGTACTCGCGCTCCTCGTCATCGACTGGGCCATGGCGCATTCATCTCTCCAGATCCTTGCGTCATGCTCGACTTCATCGCCGCACATGCTCGCATTCAGCTAGACAATCTGAATGCGGGGCATAGGCTGGGGCCCCATCCGCTTACATCGGGCCCGCACCGCATGATCAGGTTTCAGACCTAGAACAGGGCGTTGTATGTGTGTGTGGACGACGTCGCGGTGAACCAGGCATGCTGTCAGTGGTCAGCCTTTAACCGTCCGGAACCAATCAGGGCAAGCGAATGCCACCATCAGTCGCAGCGCACTACCCAAAGGCAAGCGCCCCATCCGGTGAGTCGTGTTGTACGCCGCAAATTAAAACAGGTACGAGGCCGCGGGCAGTGTAAAGTAGCGTAAGTCACCCGCTCACCTTGCGAGGCGTAAGTCTGAAATTGCGAATCGAAGACAGCAGCCTGGAACTTGGAACTGACATATTTAAAGGGGTCGGCAACGAAGGAAGTTCTGATCGCGCCGCTTCTAGGGTAACCCGATCAGGATTAGCTGCGATGGCTCACCGATCGAGATTCTGTTCGTACTGGATCTGGCGCGGCGGCCCTTGAGAGGGCGGCACGTCAACCATTAAATATTCCGCGCAAGTGGGACCGCCTGGGCTCACTCTCTTGCCCTGCGCACGTCCCCTCCACGCTTCACGTTCTCTAAGTTGCATGTAGGCTTGTGAAGGCGACCGACAACAAGATGGTGGCCGTAATCAGATCCAACCTGTATACGAGCCTGGGTGCCCTCACCCTTGGCGGGTTGACATCTACCGCGTGAGTCCTCTTGTGAGACCTTCGCGTGCGAGGGGCATTGACGTATTCTACGCAGCCTGTCGGGCGTTGTCGGCATGCAAGTCATCCTGTACTTTCGGCTTTACGAGAATGATGCGCCCATCCTGAAAGCGGTAGTACGTTCCTTCTATTATTCTGAGAGCTATGCTAGGTTCTCATGTGCCGCACAGGTAGGATTGATCTTGTAGGTACAGTCAGAATTGCACCGCAATTTACTCCTGAACGACTGCAGTTTCCTGGACATCCTCCACACATGCTTTGTCTGGGCGGCAGATTGGATGTACCTGGTATCGTCGTTTGGAGACATGAATATCACGGATCATGTGTTCTGGTGTGTTTCTCTACTCTCGCACATAAACGTGCGCTGTGTTCATAATTAATCTTAGGAGCGCGGGGGTGCGTCCTATGTCTGGGAAGTACTCAAAGAGCGTCGACTGATTGCGCTGCGCATCCAGCTCACCATCGCGTTGACTGCGATAACAACCTTCGTTGTACATCTGTAAGCTTATGTGCCGTAGACGCCTGCAATCTGGTTGATTAGAATATCCCAAAGTTTCTTTTCGTACCGGTTACTAAGGCGTACGTTGAGTTAACGTAAACACTTCCGTGTTCTCGTTCTGATCTTCCTGCGTAGTCAGCAAGGGCAATTATTTCGTAACCGCGCCGATTGTGAGTTCTCCGCAGCTAACGGTGTCATTCGATCGCTCATCTGATGCGCTTTGGAAATCTAGGTCATCATGGCTACTACTCGTGTTGGTGTGTGCAGACTTCTCAAGATGACCGGGGTGTAGCTGCTGACTTCTGTTCTAGTTTCGGCGATTGGTGAGCTTCTAAATGTCTGTGATACACATTGCTTCTAAACGTCTCTGCGCTCAAGCAACATCTGCCGAGTTGTACGTATTTTGCGTAACGGTTCCTCGAAGATGCGACTAATGTTTTCTGCTAGGATCCGGCTTGGGAGTTATTTTGAATTCTACACCCATTACCGTGTATGTCCGTCTTTCTCACCGGTAGAGGCACATATTGACGACGCACCGTGCAGTGGCTCTTCACGCTTGGTCTGGTTCTGTCTACCGTTGTCGACATCATCATCACGTCCAGTCTCTGTCTCTATCTCCGCAAGAGTCGCCATGGGGGAACGGGGAGGTACGTGACAGCTGTGTAGTTGTGTTTGGGTCGAGCTCAAGGTTGCGGCGACAGACTCGACCACATCCTCAACTCAGTGACGCTTTACACGATTGAGAATGGCATGATGACCTGGTGCGCGCAGTCGTACAATAGACTTTATGGAACGATGTCTGATCATCATACCCCAGTATCGGCACCGTTTTGTCTCTCGTTTTCGTACGTACTTATCCTCTGCTTCATTGCTATATGGTACTCACTACCGGTATCAGTGGATTGTCAAACCACACGCGCTCATCTACCTCGCCCTGCACTTCGCCATCGGCAAATGTATGTCTATTCATAGATCCTGCTCGATGGCTAACCCATCCGCTGACAATCCCCTACTCGCCCAGTGTACGCCAACTCGTTCCTCGCTTCGTGAGTCCCTGCCATCACACGCCCTTCCGTGACCAGACTCACCCACCTACGTCATATCAGTATGAATGCGCGCAAGCTGCTGCGCGTGCAAAATGCGTCGAGCTCGGGCTCGGGGCACCGCCTCCCCGTCATCTTCACGCACGGGCTCTCCGCCCGCGATCGGCGCTCGTCGGTGAGTCATCCTCCCCTCTCGCCGCATCCTCCTCACACGCACGCGGGCCGTCTCTAACAGCACATCCTCACACAGCCGGACGAGGTCGACCTCACGGGCACCAAGGTGCGTGCCCTGGCCGCCACGCCCGGATCGAGCGCTACTGACGACGAGCTCCTGGGTGGGATGCAGCTGCAAATCACGGTGGACAAGACGGTCGACTACACGGCGGACGACGCGATCCCTGCCTCGCCCTCGCGCCTGCCCCCGCACGACGCTAAGGGGCACTGACTCTGAGAGCGCGCCGGGCGTAGAGTATGCATGTAGCTGTAGCTACGGCGGCCAGCGCAGTGCTTCGCAATGGAATTCAAGGACAAAGTCGCTTGTAGTGTTCGGAACCTTTATGCCCATGAACATTATGCCTATGGAATTTGAAGCTTTACAGTACGAAAGCGCCAGCGCGTGGATGACGCGTGTCTCAAAGGCTGAAACTCAAAAGCTATCACAACGTGCGGATGAGACGCTCCGGTGAGGAGTGAGTGCACAGTGGTGCGTCCTGCTCGTGTCCTTCATATCGAGCAATCATGACCACGGAGTATATAAGGCATGCGAGGTCTACCATTCTGGTGGGTAAGATATGTCATTTTGGGAGCAGGAGACGCTGCGAATTGTATATCAGATGAATGATATGCATTGTCGTTTCTCATCGGCCTACGGCGGCTATTCATAAGGCGTACCATAGAGAACTAAGGTCGAATGAATTGCTTTCGGACCTATGCCTTCGGGCAGCGTTCGTTAGCTAGTGCCCAGGTCAGAATCGACCAAGGCAGGGCGGAGCTACATGATGATAACGCGGTGTGAGTGTAGCATGGCTCAAGCACTGCGCAAGAAGGCGTCCGTATCTGGCACGAGGGGGCAAGGAGGCGACAACGCAGACAAGATCGCAGAGCGCACACCCCTATCGTGCATTCTAATTGGCTCCGAAGCTCTGGAGTACATTAGGAGGTGTCCTTCGAGCGGAAGTTAATCCACCCGTCCAGCTCGTACCTGCTGTAGTCAACCTGACAAGTCGTGGTGATCTCCCTGAGACCGTTGCTGCAATGAGGCGAGCCACAGCCATCCCTGAGCCCGTATATGAGTTCTCGCAATGCTATTCAACCCATCAGCTCTGGGGCGAATTCTACATCCCTTTGCCGCGGAGACCTCCACCAGCATCATTCGCATTCGCTCCGCCCAACCCTATATTTCGCCGATCACGCACGATGGGCTCCCAAGACCACGCCAGTGCACGCCGAGGCCGTCAGCCGTGGGAGCAGATGGCGCAGACGTACGCGTGGGTACTCGAGCAGGACTTCGCCGACATGGCGCTCAAGAACGAAGAGACGGTGCAGTGGATCCGGAAGCAGCAGGAGCGCGACCTACGCCGGGAGCAGATGTCGCGCACGGCCCGTGCTGCGTGCGGGGCGCGCGAGCTCATGGAGTTCGTTGACGGCTTCGTTGTCGAGGTCGACGGGTGCCGCCGGATCGAGGAGACGTGGCGCGCAGCAATGCAGTGGCACGCGGAGGCGGAAAAGATGGTGCAGGACGAGGTCCGGCGGCTGCAGGAGGCGCGCGCGGAGGCGGAGCGCTGCAGGCTGGCGTATCAGCGCCGCAACGCGGAGGACGAGGCTCGGGAGGCGCGGCGCAGAGAGAGGGAGCGCGAGCGTGCGCGGATAGCCCGGGGGGAGGTGGAAAAGAAGGCGTGGCAGGCGTACGAGAAACGATGGGCAGCGATCGCGACGAGCACAGGCCCGTCGGCGCAAGAACAGCTTACCTTTGAATCCATACCCTGGCCGATGGTGTCGCAGCCGCATAAGGTGGAGGATATCACTCCGGCACGGATGGCGATGTTCCTCTTGTCCCCTATGCATTCGGAGGGGCAGTCGAAGAAGGAGAGGGTGCGGGCTGCGTTGCGGCGGTGGCACCCCGACCGCTTCGGGAGGACACTTGGCAGAGTCAACGATCAAGACAGGGTTGCTGTTGAACGGGGTGCCGGCATCATCGTGCGCTGTCTCAACAGCCTGTTGGAAGCAACAACCTAGCATTTTATCAGGTGAGAGCGATCTTGGAATCGCCGAGCTTCTCATCTGAATTCATATGCCTCTGTAGATCTGCCAGGAATGGCCTTACAATACTCGCCTCGGGCACGTGAGCCGCACACTCACCCACACGCTGCATATGCCAGCAGGAAGGCATTAACAGTGTTCTGTCAGGGACAGAGCCAAATGTACAGTACTAGGAGAACCTATCTTCATGCGCCCTGGAATTGCACGGGGAAAGGTCCTGATGATGTAGCAACTGGTCCTGCAGGACTAGATTGCTACTGGGGCTGTCGATAAGGGTAGACAGCTGGTATTAATATTATACTTATCTGCCGTCCTATACCAGCAGCGGATCGGAGAACGTTCACTGTGAATATCGGGTGAGTCGGCTGCACGTTAGACAAGGTTTGACATGATGGGCTCTCCGTCATATCGTCGCCCAGTAGCAGACAAACTATGGAGACTGCCTTCGCCTTCCCAGCCAGAAGGCCATCTCAGCTCACCAAGTTCGGGTTCAACGTTCATGGCTGGACCTCACCGAGCGCCTCTGTTTCGGTCCCCGCCTCCATGGGGTAGCCTTGTCGTGCCTATCCTCAATCGACCGCGCGCCACGGCAAGATGTGAACAAGTTTAAGTATGCAGAGAATGACGATACAACAGGAGGCGCTCCTACGATAGAGAGGCGCCGATCGAGGCCGAGTTACAAGGGTTGCGCCAGCGGCTTCGAGCAAAGCAGAGACGCAGGGCAGACGAAATGCATAAAGCAGAAGTGTGAGTCAGCAGGAAAGACAAGGAGCAAAGGTTTAGCTCAGAAAAGATGTTCGCAGGGCAAGGGAGCGTGAAGAGATGGAGCGCAGAGGTGAACAACAAGGCATGGACGTTGTATGAGCCGCGATGAGCTGCCATCGCTGCGCCAGCTAGTTCGTCCACGCAGCAGCATGCCTTTGGATGAGTATTCGTTCCAGGTACAATGGCTCGTCTGGTATGGCTGAAGATTTCAAACTCGAATGGATGTGCACGTATCATAAGTAGCCTGAGACAGACATATGTAGACACGATAATCTTGAATTTGTAACTAATCGAGGCGGGGAGCTTGCCGAGAAGGATCAATGAAGAAGCGGTGCGGCTGTCACTAATTTCGGACATGGCAAGTAAGATTACCAGAGTCAAATCTATTGCCTGAATGTCCCGATTTCTCTTTGTCCTTGATACAATTGTTGGTTGACTTTGTTCTGACTGTTATAGGCAGGCTACTAAGCCGCATGCATAGACAATTGGCGAATTACCCAAATGTGCAGTCCATCAGGGGCACAAATGCGAGGAATTCATTCACGCGAGGTACCGTGTACCAACCCTGAAAAGGCTAACCTCTGTTGGCTACAAGCATTCATAGACAGAAGGCTAAGGCCTGTAGGTTGAGCATCCGTCGTTAGCACTCAGCATATTGGCTAGGTTTTGTGAGCTCTCGGCCCTCAGGCAAAGTCATCGCATTACTTCGAGTCAGCCTCGTGCATAATGATATCGTCAGCGCCATCATAGATCATTTGCCACCCGTCAATCCAGCTCGTCCAGGATCGTCCGCGCCATCAACTTGCCCACGAGCTCACGGCGTGCACGCGCCCGCCGCTCTTCCTTGGCGCTATGACTGAACCACTTGAATACAGTGGGAGCGAACGACAATGCATCGCCCGCAACACTCTCCGCATCGTGGCCGATCGTCGTCCAGTTCCAGTGGAGGGCTTCGGAGCCCGCGTCGTCGTCGCGCAGGAAGAGCTTCAGGAGGGTCGGCGCGAGCGACAGCGCTGAGCCGGCGACGTGCTCGACGTCCTTGCCGACGTTCTTGAGACTAATCGCTTCCGACCCCGCGTCGGTGTCGGCACGGGCTAGGAGGCCAAGAAGATCGGGAGCAAATGGCAGCAGAGCACCAGCAGCTTTCTCCGCATCGTGGACCAAGCTTGTCAAGTTGATGTGGATGGCCTCAGAGCCCTCATCTACACGTGCCAGCAGAGCTGCCCTGGAAATATAACCCGATCTAATTCAGGGTGGAACGAGAGGCTGAAGGAGAAAGAACCATACGCGGATATTGGCAGCGCCATGGCCGGTGCCACAGACGACGCTGCGAAGAGTGCGGGAAGGACAACGTTGGAAAGCATAATGAAAGGTCGGGCGATTCAATGTCGTGATGAATAGTATTCGTGATCGTGAGGGGAGACGAGGTCAAAGTGCAGTCGTGGGTGATTACAAAGGAGAGAAACAGACTCGGCTGTGGGTTACGAAAAGAATGCGGATAAATCTCATGATACATACATAGCAAGCAATCTGCAACTCACTAGCCAGTACCTGTGCTTGGATGACTTCAGCTCTGAAAAAAGAGGGGCTGAGAGCTGGGGTATTCGGCTGCATCGTACAGGTTTTATACAGCACGTAGAGCGTGCTATTCCGAGCACATCAAGATGTGTATGATACGTATGTGGTTGTATTGCTGTGAAGCACTGTTCTAGAGCTAGGATGAACGCATCTCATGGATACCGTCTATCAGCCGAATATTGACCATCGCAGATGGTACACTTGACAAGTTGATGCCCTAACTCAGACGCCACGAGCAATGCGACTCGCCGTTCAAAAGGCGAGGTGTCGCAGATTAACACTTGAGTGTCGGGGAAACCGAGCTTACGTCGAAAAATCAACTCCGCACCCTGGCTAGTGTCCTGGGCACGACACCTAGATTAGGTAGATGAGTCGTCAGCGATAAGTACAACTCGTTCCGACTGTCATGTCAAATTCAAACCCTGCGGTGGACACTGCCGCATTGCATCCTTGAGGGCCATCAACCTCAGCGCTTGTTCTGATGGCTAGGTCATCTGCGCTTCAATGCAACGTGCACACCACTGCATATTCATGTAGACCGAGATAATCTCAGCGCATCTCTGTGATCAGGATTCCACATGGCAGCAGCGTAACGTAACTCACCATCGACATCGGGACGCTCGAGCGCGCGGCATATAGCGGTCTTTCTGAGGGTATGCAGATGAAGTTATTGAATCCGATCACACTTCGATGGAAGCTCATAGAATTAGAACATCCCTTGAAAGGGATGTTGCGCATACTGCGCCTCTCCTTCTCAGCTGATATCTACTCTGACCGCATCGATTTTGGTCTTGCGAATGATAATCTGTCGAAGTGTGGGTAAGACAGACCACTCACCTTCCAACCATGCGAGTATTCTCCCAAACACTGCGTAGATAATCGAGAGAAGAGGATAGCCTCAATGATCATAAGAAGATTGAAGGGCACCGCCTTAAACCTTCAAGTTCCGTTACCCGCATTAATGACATATGCGAGCGCCTGCCTGCGCTCGCTGGGTTCAACACGAGTCACGGGATCGTGTTGATTGACGCGTTTTGGTAGCGCGAATTGTGGAAATTCCAGCGTTTTTCTTGGACTGCCCGTGCCCGCTTCGTAAACTGCGATGTTTCAGCTGCATGCCCGCGGTACACGGAGTGGCAACAGGCGGTGCAAACGATGGCCTCATGCTCGCGGATTGTTTATCGCTAGCATCTGGCACGAGGTAGCACGACTGATCAGTTCCCGAACACGCACTATGCATGCATCTAATTGGCCCCGGAGTCAGAGAATACGTACATCAAGACTGAGTGGCAGACATATAATTTTTCACCTCTTTCGTCTGAACAGGACCTCCCCTGCACAACTCGACACCTCATGAACAGCAAGACACCCAGGCTCGAAGACTTGCCATCTGAATTTGCGCCTCAATCAATGGATACATCGAACTATGAGGAGTCCTACATGCCGAACTGGACACGTTACACACCTGCCGCGTCACAGTTTCGCCTCCCGAATCCTACGGAATCGCATTCGGCAGCAGCGTCCGCCAAATTCTCCCGGTTCAAAATTCACTTTTCCTTCCAGACGCGCTCGAAGGGCTCTCATTGCGAGAAACTGGGCGCGCGTCTGCAGGTATTGACGAAGGAGCGAGAAATTCGTCGACAGCGGGAGGCGGAGAAAGCGTATCGACACTTGCAGGAGGTTGCTCGATGGGCAGCGGAAACACGCAGGGAAGAAGAAGCTCTCCATGCTCAGCTCGAAAATATGGAGCGCGAGGATATTCGAGTAGAAGCATGCCAAGAGGCGTGGCGGGCGTACGAGGCGCGATGGGCCGCGATCACGGCGAGGGAATGCTCATCCTCGAAGGAGTTGCTTGTTTTTCGGTCTATCCGCTGGCCGATGCTCTCACAGCCGCAGAGCATCGAGGACATAACCGTCGAGCAAGTGGCTGAATTTATACTATCTCCCTTGCACTCGCAAGGCCAGGCAAGGAGGGATAGGCTAAAGGCGGCGTTGCTACGGTGGCATCCGGATCGCTTTGGGCGGGTCCTCGCCAGGGTAGACGCGCTAGACAGGGACGATGTTGAAGAAGGAGTTGGTATCGTCGCTCGGTGTCTAAACCACTTGCTCGCAACAGTCGATTAGCTTGTCCGCCGGGAGGTGAGTACGAGTCGCTGGTGCTGAGCTTGATTTTGATAACTCATTTGCGACAAGGAAAGACGATCTTTAGGTTTGAACTGTGCGCTGCGCTGGTCTTGTAAGAAAAGGGGGTGATGTAACAATGTTAAAATAGTAATGATGTATTATGCTTCAAACAACGAAAGGGCTCTGCTTCAATATACCTACCTGATTGACTCATAACGTTAGCAAGTCTACCTTGGGCAGCCATTAAGATAACATTCCGAAACCTACGTGACGAGACCATCGTCATAATGCTGCACTGACGGCAGTCACAGGCAAAACTAGTGATCCTTCAGTCATAGCGGCATACTGTAAGTATTTCAGGTCGCGAACTCACTCAAAGAAAGCGGGTTGAGCCCTGGTTAGTTGACCCACCAAATTACCATGTACATTCGCCGAGGCAGTATGGGCGTCTATTACCGATTCAACGCGGGTCACGGGGCTCGTGTCATTTGACCGCGTACTGGCGCTTGTGTCGCGAAGCGGCTCTCCTGCGAATAATGTATGCGCATACGAGATAATTGGACCCAATTGCGTTCCTGCTCTTGTCGCTTTCTTAGCTCCTGTCGTCACTCGCATAAACGACCTTTTCTTTTCGCTGATTCCGAAACCCGAGCAGCTAGTCAGATAGCGATTTTGGGTTTCACACGCTGTGCAGACGGAAATGTCAGAAACAAGGTCAACCCCCGTGTCTACATCGCTGGAAGAGGAGGTTTTCAAAGATTCACGTCGTGCTAAACAAGATAACTCTCAATATGTTCTGAAGTTCGTTGGTGCAGCTATAAGCAGTGAGTGCTCTTGTATGTCAAAGGACGGACTGTGGATGTGGTGCGGTGCGCAGACATGGCAGCTTCGGCGGTGAGCAATCCGTTAGATATGTAAGCACGGATTGCCAAGCATCACTATCATTCGAGGCTGATTCCGTCATTTCCAGCATCAAGGTGACACCTAGTAGAACATTACTTTTACTGGCCGTGCTAATACTAAACGTAGGTCCGCCAGCAGCTGCAGACACAAAGTGAGTAGAGTCTGAAGTAGGCGTGCGAGAGCACCGATAGATCCTCTGCGACAGTTCCGGGTGCACGATCGAATACATTCTGGTTTGTGGGCATTGAGATGGGACGCACCGAAGGCGTTCTCAGTCTCATGAACGGTTTCTCGGCGAGTATGCTCCGGGAGCTTGTGTATTCTGGCCTTAGACTGGGTTCGTATGAATACTTCAAAGACTCGTACGTTTCTCTGTGTGTGTGTGGCTCGCTAATGCTTATTGGGCTGATATGGGTCTAGCATTTACGACGCATCGAAGGGAATGCTCACCCGGGAAGGGATCGGCCTGAAAGTTGCCGCAGCAACTATTGCAGCAACAGTAGGCTCGTAAGCCATACTTCCTCTGATAATAGCTGGATGAGTTGACGCTTAACAGTTTATCACATCAAGGGCCCTTGCCAATCCAGCAGACTTAGTGAAAGGTTTGATAATAGATCTGCAGGCCTGTTGATTGTGATAATAATTGTGATAAGTACGGATGCAGGCCTACTATCCTGAAGGCAGTCCGTACCGAAGCATGCGCCATGCGTTCGCTACCATATGGAGAGAGGGCGCACAGCATAGCAACGGCTCCCTAGGTACTGCAGGTGGTCTGCGGGCGCTGTATAGAGGGGTCAACCCTACAACCATCCGGGGGATCGTGCTATCTGTATCACAGATATGCTCGTATGACCAAGTCAAGCAGACTTTGAAGCAGAGGGGCTTGATGGAGGAAGGCCTTGCACTTCATTTCGTTGCGAGCATGTTCGCAGGGTAAGCCTCCTGGGTCTCCGCTGAACACTGGAAGTGCTCATGTGAATAACGACAGTCTGTTCTGCTCTATCACGTCCAACCCAGTCGGTGAGGAGCACCACCTGCTAGCAAGCTGATCAGTCGTTGATTGCATCCATAGATGTGGTCAAGGTTCGCCTCATGAACGACAAAGCGCGAGAGTTTCACGGAGTCTCAGACTGTGTCCGAAGCATCACGACACGAGAAGGTCTCCTAGCATTTTACAAGGGCTTCGGCATGTGCTGGGCTAGGGTGAGCTGCCCCCTTGTACGCACTGTGTTGTGTCGATCATCGCTGATATACGTTGCCGTGACCTTCAAGCTGGGAACGCACACCATTTTGACATTCGTGATCTTTGAACGGATACGGCTGCTCTTTGGGATCGCTGCGATGTGACGACATGTATCCTTTTGGCGGGTCTCTGGTGTGAATGTATGTGTTTCGCAGATGCGCGAATATGTTCGACGGAAATGTAGTCATAAATCCTTGTTACGTTGCCCGCATGTTGAGGCGGTGGAGAAACAAATGTACGGCCCGATTAGGCACCGCGTTTTGGCTCCACGTGACCGATCATTGTCCTCCGATACCAGGGCGCGCGTCCTGCCTGTGCTCGCTGCTAGCAACATACCAGCTATTATTCTGCTTTTGGATCGGATCGCCTTGATCACTTGCGTATAAATTCGCCTCGCTGTTACCCTGGCACGTCCGGTCTCTCAGCGCGTGCAACTTGTTCGCATTCGTGCATTCAACATTCGAATCTCGATCAAGTCCCAACCTTAACGCCCACCAGGAGGAGGTTGGGACGCATACTATCATGAGCGATTCATCGTGAGTCTCTCTCCTTATATTTTGACTGGAAACTCTCGCGCACGAGTATGAGAGGTCCGTGCCTACGGGAGGAAAAGAGTATATGTTGCAGGTCGACGTTATTGGTACGCATCTCATTTCGTCAGACGCCGACCCGCGTATACATCTGGCGATCAACTCATTGCTTGCCAACTGCCAAGGCTGTGCGACATATGTACCTACATGCACGCATACGTTTTATTCAGTGAAGGTGAAAGGCTCAAACACGCCTTACGCACGACGTGCGTGTCCAGCATGCCGCTGAGAGGCACTATCGCGCACAGTACTCTGCATGGCCTTCTTCACATATCGAGATGATTATTGTGTATCCATACTGTCACAAAAGTGCATACATAGACCCTGCGTTATATCTCGTATCGCGATCCATTTATGCACGAACGGTCTGGCACGTTTCGAATGGCTTTATATTTACACGGGAAGCTGTCAACGCTGACATTGCACGTTGGGCAGAAGCAGCAGGGAGAACTCACCTGTAGGGCTTCCGTCCTCACGCATTAAGTGTAGGGGCTCACGCTTGTCGCCTGCAATAGCTTTCTCGTTCTGCATCTCCGGCATCAGACGATGACCGACCGTCGTCTACCGCGCCCGTCGCATCCTCTTCCAGGCAGTATACGTCCTCCTTCCAGCCCGCTGCAACCGTTGCTGCGCCGATACTCCGTCATCCTGTCGGGGCCTGGAGCGGCCAGCATGTGACGGGCTTTGCAGCATACCAGACTGCGCCTTCTTCGTTCCAGCAGGCGCCGTATATCCATCCACAGGGACCGCGTATTCATCCTCCTTCAAAGCAACCTGCTGTTCATCCTCCTTCAAGGCAACCTACTGTTCATTCTCCTCCGGAGCAGCCTGCTGTCCATCTTCCTCCGGAGCAATCTGCTGTCCATCTTCCTCCGGAGCAACCTGCTGTCCATCCTCCTCCGGAGCAACCTGCCAAGAAGACGAGTCCGAAGGAGAAGGAGAAGGATACAGACAAAGCGCCTACATCGCGAAAGACTAAGGTTAATGATAATGACAAGGATAAGGATAAGGATAAGGACAAGGACAAGGGCAAGAGCAAGACTACGACTCGTGCTCAGCCTTCTCGTGTTCAGCCTTCTCGCGCTCAGCCTTCTCGGGCTGCGCCAGCAGCGGTGACGTACAATCCTAATATGATGGCGCCAAAGGGCCACGTCCTGTTTCGTATCGACGGTTACCAACAGCAGCAGCAATCCACAACAACTGTCGTTGAAGAACAACCCAAGCGACCCTACTATCGTCGTGATTACGAGAAGCCGCGCGAAGATACTCCCACCTGCCAAGCGAAGGCGGATGATGCTGCTAGTAATACTGTGTCTTACGCCAATGTGCCTCCGCCTAATCCTTACACTTCCGGGTTCCTCACCGCTTCGCAAGGGACCTTACTCCATGGCTCGCACCCCGCTCCATCACCGCCTACTCAGTCCAATCCATCTTCGCATACTCAGAGCGGTCCACCACCACCGCTTTCTTACTCCAACCCACCGCCACCCTCTCATCCCAATCCTCCGCCATCTGCTCGTTCTAATCCCCCACTACCTTCTCATCTCACGCCTCCACAACCCACTTATGCCAACCCCCAGACGCAATACGAATCCCCCGCCTCGCCGCCAGCAACCCCTTCTTTTGATCAACCCCAATTTCATGCGAGCAGCCAGACCTATGATGCTCCTCAAAGCCACAGCCCTGCATTACTTCCAGAGCCTCCTCCAATTGAGATTGAGGAACCTAGAGAAGTCTACAATCTCACCACGCCGCCGCCTCCACCACCATCTACCACTAACACACGTGGTCCCACGGAGCATAATCGCAAGTCTCGAAAGCATCGGTCCGAGGCGCGTCGCTTGGATACACGGCCTACCCCTCTTCCTCTCACCAGGCCTACGGATGTCTCTCCGATGCCCTCAGAGACTGCTGTTGCAGCCCAAACACAGCCTCGTATCATGCGCGTTCTGACGCTCCTCATTGAAGATAGGCGAATGGCAAGTCCGGAGAATACACTTGTGGAAGTGCGTGTGGAATTGAGGCAGACAGAGAATGCTGCAGATGGTTACTACGCGGATGCTCAGGAAGTCTTCGCCGAACTACAACGCAGTCCATCAAGAGTCGATGGTATGTTGAAGCCTAGTACTGGGGTAGTGACAAGAAAACATCGGCTCACCGCGGAATTTACCCATTACAGGACGTTGTAAGATGTACACGATGCGAGGCAAATACAAGCAGATCTTCCTGAGGCTCACCCCTGAAAGTTATGAATGCGCCTCTTCAAATCTGGTTGTGACGCCGGATAGGACTGTGGAGTTATACATCGATGATGTGAGCTTGTGCGATATAGCTAGCGTATTTATGCTGACCACCGGCGGGACGTTTGCAGCTACCTCTCGATGCTAGTACAGCACCATTTCACCAACTACCCCAGCGCGATCCCTCTCCGCATCGTGGACGCGGTCTCCTCACTCCTGTGACGGACACCATGGTATCGCCTTCTCCCCGTGCTCCGGTTAACTCGCATTTCTTGTCCAATCGTCTGGATACACCCGGCGTCGAGAGCGATACTCAGTCTCAGGATTCTCGAAAGAGGCGGCGCTCGGCATGTTCGCTATCATCTATACTGAACGAGTCTACGGCCACATCATCACCAGTCCCCCCTTCGCCCATCCCCAGTTTCTCCACGCGTTCTCCTACCCCCACAGCCGCATCCCCTGTTGATGTTCCAAATCCAGTTTCGATCGCCACTGCACGTTCACTACTTGCACTATCTGGGAAGCCAGATACAGAGTCGGATATGGATCATGATGAATTATCCGAGAGTCCTCGTCCCGCGAAACGGGCGAGGCATACTTCCTCTCATTCACAGGCGGTCATAACTACCGAGAAGACACGTAATCCGTCAAACCACTCCCGTGTCCTATCCACCACGTCAGTAGCATCGCCTGCGCCTGCGTCAACTACGACCCCACGTTCTACCGCTGCCTCAAACGCATACCTAACGCGACATGGCTCTTCGACAGGCATGTCCACACCGCGGCATGATAACGTCGGCAGTTCAGCAGCCCAGGGTTCCCGTCCATCCTCGTTGGGATTGTTCAACACAACGGGCCTAAAGCTAGATATCGAGAGCATTGTCGGCAACTATCTCCGCCCTAAGATTTGTCAAGGATCGGAATGGACTGCATTCGTAGAAGGACGGAGGAAGGTGTTAAGAATGTCGGAACAGCTTCAACAGTACGAATACATGAAGAGGAACTTCGACAAATACGTTAACACGTTCACACCTTCGAATCTTCCTAGTGCACCGCACGAGCGCATCACAAGGGTAAGTGTAGATGACGTTGTCTCATTCGGTCATAATTTCATCACTGATAAATGTATCACAGAATCACGTCCTGCGTGCGTTCAATTTGCCATCTACCTGGGGCGATGAATGCATGGAGATACTGGGACTAGTCTCTATGTATGGGCCTACCGGGAAGCGTTGCCAGGATCCGCGAGTCACTAACGTTCTGGACGAGACTCCCCCCATCTCGACCGGGATGCAAGTCAAGAAGTTACTGTCCCTGTTGAGAGACATCCACAGCAGGTGGATGATAGACCACCCCGAATTCTGATCATTGGTAAACCCTCTCGAGGTTGCGGATCTCCGTGAGTTGGTCACGTAGCAGTCCACGTTCGCTCGGAGGCAAATTTTAAGAACTCAAGGCTCTCGCAGTCGGTCTCATGCTGCCTTGTAAGCCCGACTGAATGCTGCTGCCCAGATTCGATCGCTCACCCGACCTGCTCCTGCTTTAGTGGACTCCATACTCTGTTCTCTCCGCGATCGCGATTGGTGCTGCCTCCTGCGTCATTTCGCCGAGTTATCAGCCGCTCTTCCTTGATTTGCTAGCCACCGGTCATATGCTCCTGTTTCACTCCCTCGATCCAGCGTGGAGGTCACCTGGATCTCCTCTCACACTCGTTGTCTTGAGTTTTAAGTGTTCAAGATGTAGCTTATCGACGGCTATAAGTTCCTCCCTCCTTGCTTCATCACGCTCTACACTCGTCCGACACCCTCCTTACCCTCTGCTTGTATTACTTTCGGTGTACGATGGCCATTCAGGAATACAAATTCTTAACTCCGGAACAACGTACCCACTTTCTTGAACACGGATGGATTCGCATCCCTAAAGCCGTGCCTGACGATATCATTCGTCAGTTTACCGAGAATGTCTGGGTGAGACTAGGCTACGACCCCAATAACAAATCGACGTGGACGAAGGAGAAGGTCAGTTGTGGCTACAAATTTGTTGCAGGACTCAGTCGCTGACCGCGTCCTGATGCAAAATTGCGAAGATACACATGCCCAGGCATCGCGAGATCCCGACCCCGGATTTTATGCCAAAGGCTTGGGGCGCGATGTGTACCTCATCGTCGACAACTTTCGTTCCGGTCTATGTTAATATACATTGTTTGTTCCAGGCGAACTGCTTGGGGGGGAGGATCGCATTGATACCACTCTATTCGAAAGTTGTGGCGACAGCTTGATTGTCAACCTAGGCTCCGAAGAATGGGTCGATGTGCGTAACTCATGGATACTGGGCGATTTCACAGCTCAAACATTCACTTAGCGTGGGATCGCTCCGAAGGATCTGGGCAATTGGCATATGTGAGTGATATAAATTCGACTGCAATACGTGCGTAGTGATAATGAGTGAAATTTATAGTGATGGAGACTGGTAATACTTGTCAATACCTGTGTACAAAATGGTGCCATGTTAATTAGACCGGCGCACGTAGGTTCAGACACTTCCTCGACTCCGGAGATCAGGGGCTGCAGGTTCTCGTGCTGTACAATGAAATCAAGCCTCAGGCTGGGGGAACATACATTGCACCGGATGGCATCAAGAACGTCGTGCAATGGTGAGAATGTCGCAGCCACGATATACGTCCTTGTAACGATTGCATAGGCTGTATGAACATCCGGAGGGAGTCGACACGCTCCCTCAAGACCCTGATGGAAGTCGTTCTATATGCTCGATCCAGTCATGCAGCGACTTTGTCGAGGTATGACAGACCATCAACGCTCAGTTGGACGCCTTTTTGACATGTGTTGTAGTTGACAGGAGAAGCTGGCGATGTGATTCTCATTCATCCTCTTATGGTGAGACCCTCATCCGTCTCGTTTTCATACTGTTATTGACTGAGAGTCCTCACAGCCTCACTCTGCATCAAAGAATCACCTGCGGATTCCGCGCTTCATCACCAATCCACCTGTTACCCTGAAAGGGCCGCTCAACTTGAACCGCGCCAATCTGGCGGACTACGTACGTGTGTGTATGAACTAGTTATCAGGGAGACTTACCCACGGAGGTGATAGTCTCTCGTTGAGCTCAAGATTTTGCAGACACTTGGCACCTCTTCTCTTCCGGACTGGAAGATCGAGAGAGAGCGCATCAGGTTCACTCCTCGTACTCGTGCCGGCAAAGATGCTATGATCCTAGAGGAATTAGAGAGAATGAAAGCGCATGCGCTGAAGACTGGAGGAACAGTTGATAGTATGCACATGAATGGCCCTGTGGCTTACCAGGTAGTGGTCCGGTGAAAGTCAAACGTAATATATAATCTGAGGGTTCAAGTTACGATCATGGCGACAAGAGGAGTCTATATTACGACATATACGGAGGTGTTAATGTGTATCCGCGTCGCGCGAAGCGTCTGAGTGGTCATCGCGTCGTTCACGTGATACGTGCATCCCCCAGCGCGTCAAACGCGTTGGGTCAAGCCTGTGTCACTGCTGGTTGTTTGACCTGCTGGCCGTTTATACCTCAGTCCCATCTAGTCAAGTCTCGTGTACTCTCAGGATTGACTCTGTTGCTCGTGCAAATCCTAAAGTCGCAATGGCAATGTCTGCATATAAGGACTTGGGCCTGGGTCTTGGTGAGCCTTGTCACGCGGAGAGGATTCTATACGGCGTTATAATGCGTTCATGAAATAGTCGCGGAGCACCCCTATGTTCCTCTTCTTCTTTTTACAGTCGGGCTTGCTTCCTTTGCGAAGTTCGCCATCAAGGCGTCTGCGGTCTTCCTACAGACTTTCATCTTGCCTGGCACCAATGTGCGCCTGATTTGCATTCCCCCGGGCTAATTTCTATGACTCACGCTATGATTGTTTACTGCTGTAGCTGAAGAAGTACGGAGCCGGTCGAGGTGCATGGGCAGGTACGCCACCGATGCAACATAATTACACTGGACCTGCCCATTGACTCAGTGCCTCCGTCTGTTGCTGTGGTCGTGCGATCGTGTCAACTGCGCTCATAGTGGTTACTGGCGCATCTGAGGGTATTGGAAGAGAGTTTGCTCTCCAGCTAGCCAAAAAGGGCTTCAACATTCTTGTTACCGCGCGGAATGCTGCAGCGTTGGATGCCTTAGTTGCGGAGATAGGTACTTGCTAGATGATTGTTTCTCCCTTGGTTTGATACTTACTTATTTCAATGTTCAGAGTCGAGCTCAAACGTCAAGGCAAAGGCCGTCGCAATGGACTTCTCAAAGCTATCGGACCCGAGTCTTTGGGCACGATTCGAATCTGCACTTGAGCCCCTGGACATCGGCGTGCTCAGTACGTAACATGGCAGATGCTTTCCAATGTACCTCACAGTATCGCTACTGCTCTCAGTAAATAACGTCGGCAAGTCTCATACCGCCCCGGTGTACTTCGCCGAGGTTGCCTCACAAGAGGTCGAGGATATTCTGGCCATCAACGTCAACGCGACCACCCGTGTCACTAAGATCGTCCTCCCGGGCATGGTAAACAGGTATGGTTGTGACGGCTGACGCGCAGCATGACGCTCGTGCTGAAGCTGTTTAAATCCCTAGGAAGCGCGGACTGATTCTGAATATGGGCTCCTTCTCTGGGACGGGTATCCCGTCACCCATGCTCGCGACTTACGCGGGTACAAAATCATTCCTCTCCGCATTCACCGCTTCTCTGGCGGAAGAGGTCAAGGCCAAGGGCGTTGACGTACAATGCCTCAACACATACTTTGTGGTATGCTTTATCCCATCTCGCCGTAGATTGTGAGATTTGAACACTCCCCTCAGGTATCCAACATGTCGAAGATCCGCCGTGCCAATGTCACTACCCCCACGCCTAAGGACTATGTTCGCTCTGTGCTCTCGAAGGTCCATATATCTCATGCTGTACAGTCTACTTGTCTCATATCATATGCAGATTGGCTTGCCGTGTGGAGCGCTTTGGACGGGTCGTCCAAATGTCAGCACTCCTTACTGGAGCCATGCAGTGATCGACTATGCCATGGTGCGTTGTTTGCTCTATAATTCCATCGGCATCTTTTCTGACGGTGCGCTCGTGAAGAATTTGATTGGCTGGAAGATGTTATTCGTCCGATATACGCACAATCTGCATCGTAGCATCCGCAAGCGCTACTTGAAGAAGTTAGAAAGAGAGGCGAAAAAACAATAAGCGACATGCTCAACACATATGTCATATACTCTGGTGTTGTTGCTTGTTGCTTAGTTGTCTAACGTAGGATTTCTTGGAACTTGAGTTTCGTGAAGGGTATGGCAATCTCGTCAGCACTTGGTCCATGTCCATTCCTGGGCCACACTGAAAAAAAAACTACGTCCCACAAGGCCGGATGCATCGATCAGGGGCAACATCTCGCATATTGAACCTGTACGAGTACCCGCGGACATCCTTGTTCACAATCAGCTTTTGGGGTGACACCAAAACAGCCGACCACGACAATATTCTGCGCATGTGGTCCTGCATCTCCTGCGATGGGCTAAGTCTAGTCTACTTTTGGTTGTGAGAGCCTGTCAGATGAGATTTGCGTGACCTGAAAGGGAGATATGTGGCGGCTGTGATGATACTTCACCGGGTCAAGACCATGGTCCCGATTATGCATTCCAGATTATACACCAAGCCCGCCTGTGCACAAACCTTCTCGGGTGGTCTGTCACTGTAAAATCAGCTGCAACGAGCACCATCGTGCACGCCCACTGCCATTACTAACACTCCGGATCACAGTCATTCAGCTGCCGTTATATCGTGGCCAGAACTCGGTCTGATCAGTTTTGTCTTCTTGGGATACGCGCTGGAGTTGTTGCTCGCGTTACTCCACTGTAGTTGGAGTTTCACGAACAATGAAGATTCCATCGCATCACGCAGCGATGTGCAACACCGCCACCGACTGAGCCAGATCATCATGGCAGATCGCAATGCATGATCTTCCTCCAGTCTAAGAACTGTGGGTGCGATGATGCCGCATCCCGGCAACTCGGTCCTGCACAAATATCACATTGCAGTATCTTGTACTTACGCAAAACGCGGAACTTCCATGGGCACTGCATTACTCCACCACGTCTGCCATGGAGAATCAGGCTACCATGTCCCAATCCCAATACAGAAACAGCATGTAGCTGAGTGCAGATGCGCCTATCATCTTGTGGAAACGAGCCAAGCCATCTGGTACGGTAAACGGTTCCTGGTAGCCGACACCCAGCGTTCCGGGCTCAGTTGCGAATACAGTACTACCCAAAGCTGGGAGGCGATTCAAAGACGAGGCTTCTAGGGCTCCTCAACAGATACTCTGCGCGACCTTGATGGTACACTTGATACATCAAACCTGCTTTTCTGCGGGTAATATGACTTTCTACATAATTGACTCACTTGACCAACCTGAGCCGCCCATCGCTGGTTGCATTTCAAGGCCTTCCGCCCTTCTATGGCCGCAGCTCAAGGAGAACATTGTATGGTAGCTGGGTGATAGAATATGAGCCTCGCTTTTCATGTGTAAGATGTTTGACTGTCACCAGCCCGACCCATCATCATCTCAATCGCCATGATACTAGTTGTGCGCATCATGATGCGTACATCGACTCTTGGCGCTGTTAAACAGCATAGGCGGAAGAAGTAGCATCGAAATGTACCGTGTGGTGGACGCTGTTTGCGCCTATAAAAAGCCACTGAGCTTTGGTTTGACCAGTAGCAAATCCTAACCGTCACATCACTCGACGACTTCGCACTTGAAACTACAATGCGCACCTTCCAAGTCCTCTTCTTATTCCTCGCCATTCTTGCCACCACCGCTACAGCGGACTCACATGTCCATGAAGACGTAGAAGGCCTTGTTGCTCGTGATGCATGGGATGACGATGCGTTGTTCGCCCGCAACGATGCCCAGCTCGACGCCCGTGATGACGACGAGTTGTATGCTCGTGATTGGGAGGAATACAAGGACCATCCCCTCGTCCGGGAGCTAATTGACGTCGTACGTCGCACTTATCAACGCGTTGTTCAGCGTATTCACCGGGGTCTAGGTCAAACGTGCTAGAGTGACCTCCTGCTACAACCACAGCCGTCTCACTGTCAGGACTGGAGGGTGAGTGGTCAGCCTTATGAGCGATATCCGAGAGAACTCACATTCATTGCTTGAAACAGCTGCGATCCGGTGAATTCATTGGGTTTCAAATCTTCCCATAACTGCCAGGGCAGATATTACTACTGTGTCAACCGAAGCGGGGTTGGCTACTGTGCGAGGTCCCGGGGCCTGCAGGTAGAAAACGGCGAATGCTTTGCGTGAACGAGAGAAAGCCAGCATCGCTAGCAGGCAATGCTATCATTTTCGTTTGTATGATGCGACTAGGCTATATAGCTCACTGTTAGAATTGTTGACTCTGTCAAAGCCGTGTGTTGTGTGGTCTATAAATTAATTTGCCGGGATTGTTTCAATATTGTGGCCTTATGTGGTTGACCTCAATCTTTGGCAATAAGGTCGTCGTCGACTCTCGCTGAGTGTGCGAATTTCGGCATTATACAGGTCAGTATCCATTACCTAACAGTGTAGTGGCGGTGAGAAGAAAGGAGATAACAGCGAGTTGTTCACCTTTTTTGGTCCGCAAGATTGGCTGGTGAATGTCGAGCGCACTACTCGGGCGAGTTTAGTGGGCTCGGTAGATTATCAACGGTGTCTGTTTGCACATTGCATGGGATAGTCAGACGGATCACGCGGTGCTATGATGTAGACATACATGTGGTAGGTCATTGATCTCAGACCTTTGCCAGACCTCTGATCCCCTGACGAAAGTGGCACCTGTTGTGAAAGTATCTAGCCCGCATCGACCATTTAGACGAGGGGAAACCTGTAGAGCCGTGCATTTCATACTGACAGCGGTGTCACGAGAGTCAGTTTTGCAGCAAGCGGAATCAGTTAATGGATATATAACGCAGTACGATGACGTGGATACATGTTATCGTTGCTTGCGAAAGCGGCAGTGTCGCCATGCTGTAGGGTCCGTCCTGATCTCAATATCGAGCTCGAATAAATTTGTTCTCATGAAGCCTTGCGTCGCTAGCATAACGCGAATGAGCACAGTACTTTAGTGGAAGTCTAGAAGACGTACGCTTCTCTGCGACCTAGATTTCTTGCCTACAATGCTTGGTTTCTTGTCAATGGCGTCGGAGTCTTGCCGTGAAGGCGAAGCGAGCATACGCTGCACTTCGTCCCACCGTCTAGCAGACTTAAAACCGGGATCCCCAGAAGCCGAAACTTGGGTCAGCCTCGGGCAAAGTTTCGAGAGGAACTTGGCGATTGTGCCAGGTTTACTAATCGGGGAGTCGCCAACGCACAGCTCCTTCAGACTAAGGACTGGGAGATTGGCGTTCCCTGCGGCAGACACAGGAGCAGAGGTCGCATTGAAGGCGAGGGCGAGGTACTCCAGGTGAGGACAATGTTTGGCAAAGTGCACGAGCGCGTCGAGGGTCGTCGAGGGTTTGTGCCCCCACCCCAACGACGACCCGAGTCGGAGCCGGCGCAGATGCGGCCACTTCTGAGCCATCTCTCCGATAGCGGCATTGTCGAGGTCGAAGGCCACGGGGATATCCACCTCGAGCGTCTCCAGGTCGCTGCAGGAAAGTAATGGTGCGAAGTCCGATAGCGAAAGGAAGTCTTTGCTCCGTGCGCCCTCCTGAATCCAATCGTAGGTATGGCCGTCTATGAAGAATAGCTTGATATGCTTGATGTGAGGGCAGTTCTCGACAAGTTCTCTGAACCAGTCTCCGAATGACTCGCGTTCGAGGTCGGAATCGAGGCCCACGTTGACACAGACCCGAACAAGGGGTGCCAAACGGAACACCTTTATGACGGCGGCTGCGAGAGGCAGGTCCACGACGTCAAGCTGCAGACATTCCAAGACCGGAAAGCGCCGTGCCTGTAGGATGTCCCCAACTAACAGCAGGGAGCTCATCACGTCGACATTCATAGACACATCGTACATGCGCAGCTCCTTCAGGCCGGGTAGCGTAGACATCTTCTCCAGCAGCTGTGCAGTCATCTCTACTGTGTCCGGTACCCAGCAACGAATGTACTGCAGGTCTGTGAGTACATTGAAAGCATTGATCGTCTCGCGAAGCGTGGCGGCTGACTGGGGGGACTCCACAGCTAGACGAGAGAGATTAGGTACAATCAGTGGGAGATGGGCGAGTTGTGAGGCCACCCGCAGGTCCTCCCAGTCGGACTGCAGTGTGACTGTGCGCAGGCCAGGCACCAGGAACATCTGCGTGAATTCGAATGCTGCGTCGCCGGCGGCGGAGGAATACATGATGCGTAGATTGTGGAGGAGCGGGCGGCCACGATGGAGACCGAGTGCGACATAGCAATCCCTGACGAGCTCAGGATTGTGCACACAAGCCAAGTCAAATGCATCTGGCCCTTCGTGCACATATGATGCACTGTCGGCTAAATGGAGGTACCTAACACGCGAAGCGTAGTAGTCGAAGCGAGCGAAGTCGCTCGGAAGAAGAGGCCTGGTGAAGGACTATTTCGGCATGAATAGTGATCCACATATGGATATCGTCAATTACATGGGCCTTACCACTTCTATACGCCCGCTGCGAAAGCCACGCCCAATGGTCTTTTGTTTCCATGCATCGTCTGGCATGCACTTGACTAAATTTACGAGATTATACTGCAAGCTCCAGAGCTTGTCGAGAGCGGGTTCGAGGAACGTGCGGCATGTCCGAGCGAGCGCTGCAGTCGAACTGGGATGCCAAGGATCGAGCGTCATTTCGTCCACATTGTCGAGATCGACGGGTGCTTCTTCTGCATAAACGCAGGCAATTATCATAGACAGTATTTCGGGTATACGCAAACATTTGTGCATGTGGGCTCTAATAGTCAGAGACAAGAGCAAGATGGAGACCAAAGGCGAAGTACCACTCAGATAGGCGCCCATGCGTCTGGCAACCTTGATCAGAGTCTTGAATTTGAGACCCGATCTGGCCGGACCGGTAGAGTATCGTCACAGTAATAGTACTGTGGAGTACGGGGTTCTGCAAAACATTTTGATGCCTGAGCCTATGTGCTCGAACGAGCAAACACGCTACTGTTCTACCACTTAGGCATCATTTCTAATGGTCTTAGCAGTTCTTATACCAACTTTCAAGGCAATCCATAATGAATTGCGAGCAGTAGAGAGGTGCCGGCTGGAAGCAGCTAAAGTGCGGTACTTCTGCAAACTCTGTCACTCACGGGTCACGGCGGCAAGTTCAAACCCCGCCGTGGCAGAATCTGCAACAGCGCATGGTGGCAGGGAATGACACGTTCGTTTTGCAAACCATCCACACACTGCGATTTGTTTTGTTGACAGCATATCGGGCTTGAGGATCAAGAAATGCATGGCTGGAACATACAAGATCGGATGTCCGATTGGGGACAATGGCTCATAATTACTGTGAATCTGTCTTATCAAGAATTTGCAGAAGGCCATACAAAGTGTCTTAAGGCTCCCATTCCACAATAAATCTATTTCTCCTCAATCGGCTTCACAGTTAGACTACAATGTAAGTCTATAATGTCATACAAGTGTCAGAAGTACAGTCTTTGAGGTAGAAGACGAGATCACGGTGTTTTGCAAAATCGATCGACTTTGCAAAACCCCGTACTCCACAGTATGGGTGGTAGGGAGCATCCCAAACCGCCTTATACTTCCTTCCACAATGTCATTAAGATCTCAGAAGTTTTGAGAGAGAGTATCAAGTCTACAAAGATGCCCTCATGACATGGAAAGAATCAAACTATGAATGTGGAAAGAGTTGCATCGTGACACGCTGTGACGTTTTTGAGCAACTCCATGCCCATTTACACCTCGAAAGTCGACCTCGTGGCTTCGTGTCGGTACAAGCACCGCTCATTGTCTCGCACTGGAAATATTCACAGTTGTGGAGAAGACCTGAACACGTTAATTGACGCAAGAATCACAAAATAAGACGCAGTGAAACGAGGCTCGCGAACGCAGTTGTGAACAACACCTTACCAGTATAAGCCGCTGTTTCCAGGGCCCAGGTCTCACGATATGGAATCAGCTGCCATTTGCTCAATACTATTCCTTCCCTGTTGTCGGACTCTATAATACACAAATCATAGACTACTGCTTCACTTTGTAGTAAGATTCCTGCCGTGATATATACGTAGTACTAGATAATGGCCAAATCATGGAATGCAAGATGTCATAATCACTTTGGGGGTGCGTTCACGACCCATACGCAAGCTTGGCGTTACCGTTGAAGACAGCGTCGATGGCGTCTTGTTCTACGCCTAGCTCCGCAAACGACTCGCGCGCGAGCTCGTACCAGTCGCCCGCCTTCGACGTCGCCTGCGACGCCAGTGACGGCGAAGACCCGAAGATGATACGCTGGAAGCCGAATGCCTCGACGACAGGGCTGACTGCTCGCGCAGGATCAGCTCTGAGAGGCTGGAGAATCAAAAGCGTTACGCACTATACATCTTGAGCCTGCGCTTCCACTCGTTGCGCTCCTTCTGCGACGCGGACGGGACGGGCGCACCCCACGCAGGAGGGAGCAGGTTCACCCACACGTTCCCGAACAGCGACAGTGCTGCCGCGTGTGACTGGTAGTTGCGATACGACGGGTGCGTCAACAGCTTCACGATCGGCAGAGCAAGGTCGTCCGGAGGCGGCAGGATATTCGCTAGGGACGCCATAAGCGGATGTAGGGACACCATAAGCGGATGTCAGCACAGAACACGCGAATACGTACACACGACAATCTTTCCATGGAGCTCCTTGACGTCCTTGGAGATGGTCATGCTCGTCAGCATCTCTTCCAGTGCGTCCCAGCCACCCTCGACCTCGCGTATATCGCATTGGACATCTATGTGGACGGTGTGCCCAGTCTTCAGCGCCCACTGCAGTGCCTCCCGGACCCGCGGCTCGTTCTTCGTGAAGATGGCAGAGGGGACGAGTGCCGGCGTCGAGCTGCCCGGCGATTCGAGGTAGGCAGGGGGCGTGAACGTCGCCTCGCCCTCCGCGGGAATGACGGGCACAAGCACAGCTACAACAGGGACATCGAGTGATCCTGATCGGATACTACGGGCAGATGATCAGGACGGCACGAACAAGTTGATCGGCGGGTATAGGCATCGGGGACGACGTACTTTGCCAGGATCTTCTCGACTTCAGCCGGCTCCTTTTGGGGCAGAGCCAGCACGACGCCCTTGGTCTTGCGGCGCAGGGTCTCGCCCGCTTGCGCCTTCCACTCGCTCAAGTCGCCATCCGGGGCGATCACGTACGCGTCGACAAGCTCTTCTGGCTGCAGTGTGCTTGGGCTGGGGGGCAGCGGGAATGCCTCGGACGATCCGGTGTTGGGTGGGGTAAATGCGGAGAGCGGCAGACGAGGCAGTGCCTTTGCGCCCTTGCGACGTGCG